GGGGGGGGGGGGGGGGGGGGGGGGGGGGGGGGGGGGGGGGGGGGGGGGGGGGGGGCGGGGGGGGGGGCGTCGAGGGATGGGCGGTTGAGGGGCGGCCGGTGTGGGATCCAAGGCCTGAGTAGGCGCGACCGGGGCAGTAGATATGCGTCCCGGTGTTCCGTAGTTGCCTCGAGGTTGCGGATTCAACGTACCGCGGCGCTGGGATCGAGGTGGCGGCTGGAGATGCGGTGAGCGATCCCGTGGTGGTGGTGGTGGTGGTGGTGGTGGTTGATATAGATGACCACGTTCCTGGCTCCCGTTACCCACCGCTGCGGGGGACGACGGCTCTGGCGATATCTTCGGCTCGGGGGGAGGAGGCTCTTCATGCTCCTTCCGCCGATTCCTCCACCGCCTGGGAAGTATGGCGACCCAGCACTGTCGCTCTTCTTCCACATACCCGTCCTCATAGCCCGCTTCCAGGGATCCCGGGGAGATATCCACATCCGCTTGGCCATTGTTGTTCATGGTCTGCTGCTCAGGACTGTTGAGCCCATCCTTGATCTCGCGCCGTCTGCCGGAGGCCAGATATAATCCGAGCAGAATGCCACCAATCACAGCAACGCCGATGACCGCGCCGGCGATCTCTCCGGGTGACACGCCGGTGGTCTCGCTGCCTATGGCATACTGCATGGCAAAGACGGTGGCGCTGACCGTGACAATGGGTTTGTCAGATCTAGGGATGTGGTCTCTCCTGCCGGCTGTGAGTGATCCGCCGGTGGTGGCCACCGAGGGGGGCACTATTGTTGTTATGACCGTGGACAGAATACTGTAGCAAGGTGTTGCGCCCCCCAAGGCGGCGGTCCTTGGAGCGAAGGAACTAGCAAGTCGGGTTCAATGACACTGCTCGGCGCGGCGAGGACGGAGAACAATATCGGGGGCATCTTACCTTGGGCAGCAATGGCCGGCCGCTGCGTAGTAGTTTGTAGGGCAGCTCTTCACCACGGCGTCCCTGGCCTTATCCGGCCCGGTATAAACGCCCTGGGAGGTCGCCACGGGTGAAAAGGGGCAGCAGTCGAGCTGGCTGCCCATACAACCTACGAACTGGATATATGACGCCGTGGGCCCTTGGTCAATGAGGGTATATTGGGGAGTTGAGCAGCGGCCCACGGATGGCGTGATAGGGTTAAGTTGCTGGACAGGCGAGGGGTTGGCTCCGTTTAAGAAAGGCACGGTGGGAGAGGGCAGTCACGATGGAGACGGCAGCCGTGAGGAAGGTGGCACTGAGAAAGGGTGTGGGGGGCACCTAACTGCGAAACTAGAAATCTGAGAATACGCGAAGGATCATGGGGTCAGGAGGGACCGGTACCGAAGGCTGGCGGGCAGAAATCATTTCTTATATAGGTAGGTGGCTCTCGGTCCTTTTGCTGGTGGTCTTTTCGGTGGTGTGAGATCATTCTCAAGTAAGTAGGACCGGCCTATCGCCCGCCGCGCCTCTTGCCACGGACATCCTCAAAAGCTAGCCGCATGGCCCCTCATGCGCTTGACTGATAGTGGATCTAAGGATGGGTGAGATCACCCATTGCGCTCGAATTAGGCGTGAGGTCGTTCAGGCAGGGTCTAGTCATAGCGTCGAGGTTGGAAGGAATGTGGCTTTCAACCCGATACAATCACCGAGTGAATCTCATTTATCGACTTGGGCTAGTTAAGGGGAATTCAAGGAAAAGAAAAACAAGATAGTTTAGAAAGGTAGCCAGGGCGCGAGGTAAAGGATTTTGAAGTGCTGTGTATTCATTCCGGTGTAATCCCTACTCTGTACCGTCGTTGTGAAGTCGGTCAGACCCATTCGAAAGTTGGGGAACATTCCCACGGCCCCATGAGATTCCGTGCGGGATGAGAAAGCAGAGGAATAAATGTGAAAACAATAGGAAGACGAGAAAGCGAAAAATCCGTGATATACCAGGTTTCCAGGTATAGGACCACTTGCGATGTACGGGTGAAATTAAACTTAGTTATATCTGAGGGGGCTCATGTTAGTTACAATACACAAACGTTACAGCGGTCAGATACCTACTCCGTGTGTTGACCGCAAATGACATTTTGACGGGGCCCAATCGCAGGAGGTGCGAGAGAAAGTGGGGCGCCATCTTTAACCCTATCCCTGGACATCATTGACGACGACGTCCCCTCATCTCCATCAACACCCCGCGATGTAGAGTATCAACATTTTGATCAAGCAAAACATCAAATCACCACATGGGCATAGGGCGTGACCCTGGGGGCGCTGAAAAATGACGGACATGGTGGACACACCAGAAACGGGTGTCGACAGCACGAACGCCAACCTGCCTTCGCTTGACCGAACCCCCCCTGCACATCAGCAACAGCAGCAGCAGGGCCAGGAGCAGCATCAAAATCAGCATCCATCAAAACAACAACAGGAGTCGCCGCAGCAACAAACCCCCTCACCCCCCTCCCAAAGTTCGGAATCCAGAGACAATGTTCGCACCAGCGAACCCGTGTTTCCCCCGCTGCATAACAATGCAGGTGCGGATGCGGATTCCATCATCTCAGGCAACTCGGCCCCTTCCCGCGGGGCCCCTGGCACGGGCACAGGCGGTGATGACGACAATGATGAGGAGGAGCCCGCTGTGGCTCGGCCCTTTCTCCGAACTTCGAGTCCCGATCCATCCGCGCGCCCGGGCATGACCACTACCGCTGAGGACGAAGAGGACGATACAGGCTACGGAGGAACCCCGCACGGCGGCGGTGATAGTGGGTTCACGTGGCGGCCGAGACTCAAGCAGCAGATGCACCGGTTTAGTTTGTACGAGACAGCCAGTCGTTTCTACATTGTTGGCGGCGATGTGACCGAAAAACGGTACCGCATTCTCAAGGTCGACCGCACCCACGACGACGGCGACGCCTCGGAGCTGAGTATCACCGAGGACAAAACCGTCTACTCGCAAAAGGACATGAACCAGCTGCTCGACACGATCGATGATGGGAACCGAGGCACGGGCGGGCTGAAACTACGCTGCACGACCTGGGGTCTTTTGGGTTTCATCAAATTCACAGGGCCGTACTACATGCTGATCATCACGAAAAAGAGCACTGTGGCCATGGTTGGTGGTCACTACGTGTATCAGATAGATGGCACTGACCTCATACCGCTTACCTCGCCCAGCTTCAAGGCTGACCAGCGGAATAACACGGAAGAGTCGCGCTTCCTGGGAATCCTAAACCATCTTGACCTGACCCGATCCTTCTACTACAGCTACTCCTATGATATTACCCGCAGTCTGCAGCATAACATTGCCCGCGAGAGAGACGCCCTCCTAGGTGTGCGCAACCCGGAATCTTCTATTGACGAGGATTTCAACCCCATGTTTGTCTGGAACCACCACCTACTCCAGCCGGCAGTCAAGGTCTTGAACGCCCCCTTTGACTGGTGCCGCCCCGTGATCCACGGCTACATCGATCAGGCCGCCGTGTCTGTGTACGGGAGGACTGCCCACATCACCATCATTGCCCGCCGCAGCCGTTACTTTGCCGGCGCTAGATTTCTAAAAAGAGGGGCCAACGACCTCGGCTACGTGGCCAACGATGTCGAGACCGAGCAGATTGTGTCCGAAGCCATGACCACCTCCTTCCACGCTCCGGGGCCCCGTTTCTTTGCTAGTCCTGCCTACACCTCCTACGTGCAGCACCGCGGCTCGATCCCTCTCTATTGGACCCAGGACAACACGGGAGTCACACCAAAACCGCCCATCGAGCTGAACTTGGTCGACCCCTTCTACACGGCCGCTGCGCTGCATTTTGACAACTTGTTTGAGCGTTACGGCGCCCCAATCTACGTCTTGAATCTGATCAAGGCCCGCGAGCGGACCCCGCGCGAGGGAAAGCTCCTCGACGAGTACACCCGTGCCATTGCTTACCTCAACCAGTTCCTACCCGAGGAGAACAAGATCATCCACCGGGCCTGGGACATGTCGCGGGCCGCCAAGAGCCGCGATCAGGACGTGATTGGGACGCTGGAGAGCATCGCCGAGGAGGTCGTAAGCACCACCGGCTTCTTCCACAACGGCGACGGCCATACCAGCCCGATTCGGGTGCAGAACGGTGTGGCCCGCACAAACTGCATTGACTGTCTCGACCGGACGAACGCGGCCCAGTTTGTCATTGGGAAACGGGCGCTCGGCCACCAGCTTCATGCCCTCGGAATCTTAGGCGATACCACGGTCGAATATGACACGGATGCGGTCAACCTGTTCACCCACATGTACCACGACCATGGCGACACCATCGCCGTGCAGTATGGCGGCTCACAGCTAGTCAACACCATGGAGACCTACCGCAAGATCAATCAATGGACCAGCCACTCGCGCGACATGATTGAGAGCTTTAAACGATACTACCACAACTCCTTCCTCGATGGCCAGCGCCAGGAGGCGTACAACCTGTTCCTGGGCAACTACATCTTTGCCCAAGGACAGCCCATGCTGTGGGACCTAGCCACCGACTACTACCTCCACCACGAGGACCCCCGGAGGTGGATCGAGAAACGCAAGCGGGACTACATCAACTGGTACACCCCTGAGTTCCTCAAAGAGCGTGTGCTCCCGCCATACCCACCGATCCACCCATCGGCGACCATGGCAGCGGGCAACAGCAAAACATCGGCCCCAATAATCCCCTCCTCGGCCTACGACGACTACTGGCTGGAATACTACCGCCCTTCCACGCTCTCGTCCTTCCCCAAGATGTTCCCCTACAAGATGAACTCCACCATCAAGTACATCCCCTTCAAGTCGACTCACGACGGCCGCTATGACCTGAGCCCGTTCCGGGTGCGCAACGAGAATGAGACTGACGCGCACGAGAAAAGAAAGTCCAAGAAGGAGGTGACCATCGTTGCGCCGCATGACGGGGCCCGCATGGCCGGCGATGCGAAGACGCCATCAACTTTTAGTGAAAAGTCGGTCGCCGCGTCCTCTCACCACCGCAATGCTAGTTATATTTCTTCTACATCCCGCTCTCATCATCACACCCAACATCAACACCACCACACCCGCCACCAAAGTCACCCTCATCCCCTCTCCCAAACCCAGACCCACTCCAACTCCCACTCCCACGTCCACCACAGTAGCAGTCTCCACCACCAAGGCCACAACCCAGACCCGTACCACTTGAAGAAGCCCCATCAAACCGCGCTTGAAAAATCCCGCGCTGCTCAGCAGACCTTCACCCAGCTCGTGCGCGACTCCCTCAACCCGGCCGTCGGTGCCGACGAGGCGGATGACTACGCCCGCTACGTCGAACACCCACAGAACCTACCCCTGGTGGTGTCTTCCACGTCGTCGTACTCGAATTCAACCGCTGTGCCGGTTGCGTCGGCAGGTGTGGATGGGACGAGTAGCGGCCGCTTTGGTACTGGTACTGGTACCGGTACCGATACTGATACGGGCACTACCACCGGACATGGGGGACATAGGCATAGTTCGTTCCCGCTGGGAGCGGTGGTACTGGACGAAGATGAGGTGGAGCCAGAATATGTCGAGTTTATTGCCGGCCGTTGGATGGCGGAAGGGTTAGGAAGAGAGGCAGATTTTGTACGCCACGAGTCTTCCACCACTAGCAACGGTCATAACCACCACCACCCTCACAGTAACAACCCTCGAAATCGCAATAGAGCCTGGTCTCTTCCCAGCGACCCTTACAGTTCAATCCCACCTCATGGTCACAACAATCTCAACGGCGACCTCACGAAAGAAAGCGGTGGAGTTGAAGAAGAAGAGGAGGAAGACGATCGGGTGTTGTACGCCGAAACGGTCAAAGTACCCGAGAATCCGTTGACCGTCACCGAAGAGGACGCGCTCAAGAAGCGGTACAAGGCCTATCGCAAGTGGTTGAGGGGCAAGAGCCTATTCAAGCAGCAGCCGGTGGACTAGGGGTCCCCGGTGTCTGCTTTGGGGGCGCTGGATGCGAGTTTGCCTGGTGATGACGATGATGGGGTCGATGAAGAAGGAGACTTTGGGGGAGTTGTTGCTGGTGGCAGAGGGGCTCATCACGCTATTGGCGGCTTCTTCACAGCTTCAAGGACAACGCCCTTGCCATGGGGTACGCGGTCGATCGCTACGTCCGCAGACGAGAGCCCGGAGAAAATTACACCCATGAGGAGGGTACAGTGGATGAGAAGATAAAGGTTGTCTCATTCTGGAGGGACGGCTTCATTACTTGGAAGGAGGTCCAAAAAGCCCGGTGAGCCGAGGATCCTTGGCTACTAGCGGCGCAACATACGAACCCAAATCTGTCTCGACATTTCCCTTCCCGTCCTCTCCGCCATCGACTTGTTTCCGGGCTGTCTTCAAAACAGCTGCCACTGCCCTCGCCGTGAGGCGTAATTCCTTTTTCACCAAGCCAAACCGACGGTTTTTGCTCTCCTCTCCCCTCGGCCTCTCTTGCTCGCTGCTTACCTTGTCCTCCTCACCCTCCTGTTCGAGAACGTGCAACCAACACAGCACTAAGGCGTTGATGATTTCATCCTGCCACGGCGAGCCCAGGATGCGCGGCCAGCAGTTGGTTAGGACTGCCTGCAGCGCCTTGACCGCGGCGAGAAGGGTTTCTGGTGCGCTAGGGCCGAAGGGGTCGGTTAAGATCGCTGACAGCATGGGGATGAGGTCCTAGGGTGTTATTGTGAGTTTCCAAGTCGTGTTCTTGTGGCGAAAACACGCTAGGGTATCACGCTAGAGCAGTAGGGGGAGTGTGGTTGGGAATCGGTATCTCACCTTGAGATGTTTGACCGCATGCACTTCCAGCTCGTTAAGGATCCTTGCAGTCCACGAGCACAGCTCCGCGACGATCCTGACGTGCTCTTTTGCGTGGAAATAACCCATAAAAACACCGTCCCGCAAGACCTTGTCCAGCAATGCATGCTGCTTCTTCAATACCCCTCCATCGCCATTCTCATTCTTTCTGGAAGTAGTAGTCTTGCCATCGCCAATACTGCTGCTGCTGTTGCTCACCGTTGGTTGCCCCACCTTCCTCGCTAACTGTAACAGCGCCCCGTACGCCGGCCCTAACACTAGCATCGACTCATCCTCGGGGGTCAGACTTGGGAGAGCCGACAGAGTAGGGAAGATGGCATCTTCAAAGACCTGCGCCAGGCCGGTTGCGTGAAGTGTGGCGGCGGGGAGTTTGGCGAGGAACTCGGATAGCATGAGCAGGCCCGCGCGGAGGAGCGGGGATGAGGCGGGCTCGTCGGCAAGGGTGAGGAGAAAGGGGGTAAAGAGTGGCCAGTGGGTTGCCAGAAGATGAGACTGTGAGAGAGACGAAAGTTAGTATGGTCTGTTTTAGGTCCCGGTTTTGTTTCGTGATGTTTGCGCATTGCAAGATACCCCTTTTCTTTACGTTTTCTGCGCCTCAAGGATAGTAGATACGTTGAGCAAATGGAGACATATTGACCCAATAACGTAAAACTGGATCGAAAACTAAGAAGGGAAAGCGGCATTACAACGGCGAAAGGGGAAAGAGGTGATGAAATAATGGTAAAATACGCTGAGGGGGGAATGAAGAAAAAAACCTAAAAAAAGGAGAAACAAGCGAGGGGGGGGGAAGGAAGAAGACGAACGAGGGAACAATGTCTAAGAAAAGCAAACACTCACATCCGCCTCTTTAACTGCCCACCCAAGGACCGGCACAGCCCTGAAATCTGTATACTTCCACGGCTTCGTCTGTGCCGTTTCCTCCAAGAGACTTGCTCCTCCCCGTCGTGGGCCACCGGCACCACTATCATCCTGATCCGGATAGGCCGCCTTTCGCCCTGATGCCGTCACGGTTGCGGGTCGGGATCGAGAAAAGAGCGGGCGTAGATAGGACTGCAGGACGGTCTCGGTAATGAACGCAGTTTTGGAGCGGGGTTCCTCCTTGGCTCGGTTGTTGTTATCATTGCCCGTAGAGGTAGTGAACTGCTTTGCTAGGAGTCGTGATGCAGCTGCCTTGACTTGTGAAGGTACCACTATTCGTTGGTCGGAACTGCCGGCGTAAACCATAAGCAGATACAGGGTTTGGTCGTCCAGTTGGATAGGGCTGCTAGCTGAGGCATCGTCGTCGTTGGTCCCATTATTATCCCGTCCTTCAGGGGTAGCGACTGTGTCTAGAAGGCTAGTGATAACTTGAATACTAAGGATGGAGCTTGAACTGCATCGCTCGGCGAGGGCTGGATCAGTCGTGGGTAAGCCAAGTTCAGAGTGGTGCGTTTTGATCTGAGCTGGAGTTATCGTGTGTTAACTTCGGCACTTCGGTATGTTTGAGAAAAGATAGAGAGGGCTGTTCACCTCCAGGATGTCCACTAGCCCCCGTTTGCCCCTTATTCTCCGCAACAACAGGGGCGACAACCTTAGTGACGTTAAGTACGAGCTCTCTCACTGCATTGCGGTTCTCGATGGATGGCCTTGGAGGGAAGCGACCTTGACACCGTGTACAGGCAAGTAATGTGAGGAGATGGGACGTGGCTAAGGATCTCTATTTAGGACCGATCAGCTAACGCGTAGCTGCAGCAAGTTATGTTGGGCCTCCTACGGAAGTGAGATGATACCGGCCTTACATTTGGTTTCCCTGCGCACAATCTGCTTAGAGAGCCCCTCGCAGCTTCAGCGAGCTCGTTGAGAGTGAACGACTTGGGAATAACTACACAAGAGGAGTTGTCTCTAGTTAGTCTACTATATTGGTGGGATTGTGTAGATGTCAAATACGGTGGGGGATCAAACCCGACTCAAACGTATGACTCACATTGAGAAAGTTCTTCACAGGCCTTGACTTCACTCAAGGTCTCGAGGCGCAAAGCATCGTTGGCGATCTTGTCGAACCACGACATCGTGGGTCGTGGATGTGGCCAGGATAACTACAAAATCGGAAAGGAATTTCAGATTATACTGACTTGGGCTGGATGAGCGGGTGATGAGCTCTAGAACCGTCCAAGTAAAGAAGAACAAGCGGGAATCCTGTTAGACTGGCTTGAATGGATCGAATTTGGAACTGCAAAACCAAATCATGGAGGTTCAAGCGATTGAAGGTTCCTGAGGTAAGGTTGAGTGAGCAGTGAAACCTGCCCATGTTGGGACCCTAATGTTGCTAGAGACCCACTATCTGTCTAGAAATACAGGGGAGGAGCCACTAAATTTCTAGCACATTGACCACTAAATCCGCCCGACATCTTGGTAAACCCTCAAAGCAAAATTCTCGGCCTAATTCGTTGCCTACGATGGAGGTAGTGGAGATTGTCATCCCATGTCATAGGAATGCGGACGTATCAAAGACTTGTTCAATCTTGAAAAGCTCATAGGTACTGTACAGTACGAGGTAATTTAGTTTGAAGAACCCTCAATCGGAAGCGAACGAACTGATAGTATCAGATATGCTGTGGATAGTTTTCAGGCAAATACCTACTCTTGAACTGCTTCACATAACATACATGTTAGAGCTCCCTAGCCGACAACCCCCATTTAGATCCAAGCATATCAGGAAGAATCAATCCCTAGCTCTGCGCGCCGAGCCCTAACCGCCTCAATGGCGCCCGTCGGGTCCTCCACCCCGGGATTCCGCAACTGCCATGCCAGAGCCACATCTAGCGCCGGACCCGTCCATCTCCCGGGAGAAGCTTGGAGCGCCCTCATCAGCGTTTTGCCATCTACCAGTCGCTTGATGGATAAGACATCCATCAGGTCCAGTTCGACTATGTGGTCGAGGAACTCCTGCCACTCGGCCAGGACGGCATCTCGTGTCTCGTCAGGGCTGGGGACGGCATGAGCCTTGCTGGCCCCCTTACCACTCTCCCCCGCTCCCGTGGCGGTAAGGGGGCCAACCCGCTCCGCGACGTCCACCAGAATCGCATACAACACCTGGAGCCTCCATTCGCCATGCTGAGAGTTCCATGAGCGGATCGCCATGCCAATCCGATCACGCTCGTTGCGGCTGTCGTCCTTGTCGCGCACAGCGTTTCGGAACTCGAGTATCTGGGCACGGTTCCGGATGGAACCATTAAGGAGGTCGCACAATTTGTTGGGCGCGCGGAAACCGTCCCGTGCCACCTGCGAGGAGAGCGTCGGCGGACTACGGAAAATCCTTCCGGAGTTGTTGTGGTTGTCCATGAAAGTCTTGACCTGAGCATCTGACAGTGATGTCCAAGGGGTGAAGCCGACAAGCGACCAGGCGTAATAAGATGCGTCATCGCCGGTAATGAGCAAGTCGTAGATCGAGCCGGGCTTTTTAGTAGACTTTAGGAAGTCGAGACACTCGTATGCAGTAGCCCAGGTGCTAAGGTCGGGCTTGGCCATGTCGGGCTGCTCTGGGTTGGTGAAAATGGCGTGATAGAGCTGGAGCCGGTCAATCAGCCGGAGTGACTCGACGGGGTGTTCGCCTGTGATGTTCGTTAGCACATATTGGCTGTTCCGTTTGCTTACTCCCCAGTACTTAGCAATATTATAAGTATGTGGATAACTCACCTTTCATCATCTTCTCCAACTCCACCCCGACCCTCTCACGGGAGATCTTGACAAGTAAACTGTGCAACACGTTCTCATCCGCCATGACTTCCTCTGTGGTCGGATCAATCGTGAATCCTAACCGACTAGCAAACCGCACCAACCGCAGGACGCGCAGCGGATCATCTAGGAACGTCTGTAGCGGTGCTAGAGGTGTGCGGATCAGTTTGCGCTTCATATCGTCTAGCCCACCCACGAGATCTTCAACCAGGCCTGTTTTCAGGTTGTAGAAGAGCGCATTCACTGTGGCATCGCGGCGCAAGGCGTCCTCCTGAGCGGTACCGAATTCAACGGTTGGGTTGCGGCTATCGGCCGTGTACGACTCGCGGCGCAGGTTGACAAAGTCCAAGTCCAGATCCCATAGTTTGATGTTCGTGGTAGCTAGGTGCTTGGATTTGTCCGGGTTACGCGCAATCGTGTGCAGGCGCCCCATATCATCTGGCCCCAACCCATACTCCCGCGAGACACCGTCCGTCTCGCAGTACCGACGCAGCTCCGCCGCGAACTCCTCGCCCGTCACTGAGTTGATGGCTACATCGATGTCGTGCGACGGGATTCCTAGAAGCTTGTCGCGCACCCAACCACCTGCCCAGCGTAACTCCACCTTCTTGCGCGGCGGCGTGGACGACCGCTTCTCCCGTAACCTCTTGCCGTACTCCACGTTCATGTTGTTCGCAGTGGCATTGAGAAGGCTCCTCAGTCGGCCCTCACGCTCAGTGAGTTCAATCTTGGGAAGAGCGGCAGCCATCCTGTACTCGGCCTTCTCCAGGGCGCTCTGACGCCGCCTCTTTTGCGCGACGGAGGGTGTCGGCGGCCTGCGGGGCCGGAGTTTGAGGACCCTGAACGCTGGGAAAAGTTTCGGTTTTTCTGAAGCGGGTGCTGTCGATTCCCGTGAGCGTGTTGTATTTGGTGAAGTGGGTGATGCCGTTCGAGAACCGGGTCCTGTGGTTCCCTGGGATGTTGGGTGAATGGTGTTTGCAGGTGATGAAGCCTCAGGAACCGGCCGTGGCCTTTTGCTAGTGGGTTGCGCGGGGGATGATGAGCTGCCGAGTTTGCGTTTCATGGGGTCAATAAAGTGTGCCGCGGATTGAGTCCTCGGCCGGGCAAAACGAGCAAGCATTGGAAGACGCGCAAGTGCCAGACTTCCGACCGTTTAACAATCACTCATTTTCCTGCCTCAGGTTGCGATCAAATATGTGACTCCCACTTGTTTGGTGACTCCGCCGGCGTTGGGCGCATTCATCCGAAGTCAATGCCTCTTGAAACCCAAGCTGTCCACCAAAATAGAAAGAGAGCAAACCCTATCGATTGGGTCAAGGCACAACGGTGAGCGTCGTATACTTTGAACCGTGTAGAGAGGCAAAACTCGCAACCACAGCTCCCTAGGAAGGAAGTCACAAACTTGAAGCTGATAACCCCACCAGGCACTGTGAAGAAAGGTGAGTCACACTGTATATACACTGTGTTGCCACCCCTCCCCAAGCTCCCCTAGCTCTGAGACCTCCCACCGGGGAACAGGCCACAGAGAAACATACCCGGCATCGCCTTGTCCTCGTAGACGTATCTCATTTACTCTGTGGCATTTGGCGGAACCATAAATGTGCCTCCGCTCAACTCCCAGAGAAACAAACGTTCGGTTCCGCACCACATTTGGCTTGATAGTAAGTTTAGCGCGCGGCCGTGGAAAACATTCACCACAAGCATTCAGGTGTTGTTGAACTCAAGAGAAAAATAGATATTATATCATGCCCCTCCCCCGGAAGCCTCTCCTTGGCTGTCTTCAAACATCACCAATAACCGCCTTGTCTTCCGTTACTGCCTCCCCTTCGGGAACGGCCGCAACTCCCTCAGTCGCTGCTTCACTAGCTGGGGCAGGGGGTATCTCAGCGGATTGGGGAGGAGACGCCGTGGCTTCAGCTACAGGCTCATCCTCCTCGAGTGCTAAATCCGCCCTCAGGCTGGGCAGGAACCGGTCAATCCGCTTCCATGTCTCGTCCCACAGTTCCTTGCGCGACGGGTTCTTGCTCGGCGGTACGAGGTACCCGTTGCTTGACATGATGAGTAGAACATTTTTGAGGTTCTCCGGTACGGCCTCCTCCTAAAACACCGAGAAGTGTCAGTCACGGTCCGCACAGCGCAACTGAAAGAAAACAATGACCAAACATAAAAAAAACGTACCAAACTATCACCCTGACCGCTGTTCATTAACCGGTCCATGATCTCAATAATCTTAACCCACAGGTCCAGCATGCCGTCCCACTCCGACAGTGCAACCAAGTACTGCAAAAACACCTTGGACAACAACGACGCGGCTTGCACGCGCGTCTCGCTCATCCCGTCACGGTCCGATGAAAACACTTCCGGTTTCAGCAGCCGCAAAATCAGCGGGAACAGGACCTCGCCAAAAATTGCTGTCCATTCCGCCCTGTCTTCTCTCTGCCTCTCGCCGCGAGTATCCTCACCGGTGCGAGTAGCAGGGGTGATGGTCGTGGACGACGACGATGTCGTCATGAGCTCTGGCAGAAGGAGAGACCGTTGCAGCGAGCTGAATGCTAGGTGGCGGATCTCGCGGCACGGGTTGGTGCATTGGGTTGTGAGTGCCCGGAAAACCGGTAGCCAGTAAGCTGACCAGGCCTCACTGCTCTCCAGGTGAGATTGCTTCATTAGGTGGGGGATGCGCTCTGTCATGCGGTAAATGTTGTTGAGCGCCTTGACACCACGCTCAACCACGGCGTTTTCGCTACTAGAGTTAGTACTTGACAGCTAAGACAGCTCGGATGTAAAGGAAGAAGGTCTCACCTAGGTTTGTCGTGCTTACCGACCCGCCCGCTCTTCCGCCCCTGTTTCCGATCATTCTGCTGCTCGGTCACGGCTCCAATACTCGCCATAGATGCAAACTCATTCAGAAGCGCGAGCGCCGCCTCGTAGTTATCCGCCATGATCGCTGACGGTGTCTCCGACACCCCGTTCTGCAGAATCTCAAACACTGCAGGCGCCGCGTCCCCGTTGGCCGCTAGGGTCTGTAGAATCACCCAGAAGTCAGGCGAGGTCATGATCTCATTGCGTAATGGACACGGCTTTTCCGTGCACAGCTTGAGACCACGCAAGACTAGCCCAGAGGCTGTGACAAGAGTGTCGCTTGGAAAGCTGGAGACTGTGTGGAGCAGGATGGGCACGCGGACGTGGTCATGGTCCTAGTACCGGTTAGTACTCATATTTTGAAAGTAACAACTAGCCTAAAAGGGGAAGACGTACGTAGCTGGCGTGGAGCAAGTTGAACATGTAGAAAGTCGCCCGCTCGATCAGAATCGGGTGGTACCGGGGCACATCCCTCAGAATAGTCTGAATCGCCTCGACGACGCGTTTCCCAAGAAGTTCGACCGTGCTATCGTCCCGGAGGGCTAAGACGGTGCAAAATTCTAAAATGTAAACCAAAGCTGGGTCGTAAAGCGCGGTGTTTTGCCGAGGCTTTTGCCCGTTGGGTTGGGACGGGGGGATATTCTCCGTTTTGACTGTGATGACGGTCTGGCCGTTATCTTCTGGGATTTGGTCCAGAAGGGTGTCGACTAGGGCCTCGAGGCTGTGGCTAGGAAGATGTCTACATCACGTTAGTGAAATGGGAAACCCTCAACACCATTCACATTCCTGCATGCACGTACGCAACATTGGCAAATACATCGCCCATGTGGCACTGGTTTACGCAGTCCACGGTGCACAGCGTGCTTTCGAGCTCCTCGTCCGACGGCTCGGGCGGGTCATCGGCGGCATAGCTCGAGATGTACGACGTAAACGCTGAGAAGAAACCGGCCTCGCTTTGCTTGGAGGCCCGGTCAATCACCTGCGACGGCGGCTGCAACGGGATAGTCGGTAGAGCGAGCTTGTCCGCTTCGGTAGAGAAGAACGGGGGAATCAGTGAGTTCACGAAGAGGTTGAGCCAGATGCGGATGACCTGGTTCCCATTAGTACAACAGCCAAGTGTATTGGGAAAGGGGTAGTGGAAACAACTCACATGCTTCCAACTCTTCCGGATAACATGCTCCGAGCCGGTAACGACACGGAACAGAACCAATGTCGCCAGTTGCGGTCGGACATCCCGTCCGAATCGCACCGCCAACTCACTAACCATGACGCTGTTATCGCCGACCTGTACCTCCGTGTTGAGCGAGGTATTAGCCAAGGCCTCACTACCCAACGTCGAGATGTAGCTCAGGCGGTACACAATCTCATCAAGAGCCTCCGAGTTGCCATACTTGGTCGCGATGCGGGCGCACTCGTCAAACCCAGTGATGACACGCGCATAGACGGTGTCGTCGGTAGCCGACATGAACACAAAGAACAGGCACGAGACGATGGCATTCCACGTCGTGGCAAACATATCAGCATCATAAATGCTGGTGTCGCACAGAACAAGGGGACCCGCCTCGTCCGTTTTGAGCAGCAACTCCTTCCAGGCGTAGTCGAACGCGTGCTTGTTGTCGTGCTCGTCCGGCAGGATAATCTCGTTGGTGCGGATGGTGTCGAAGATGTCCTGCAAGTACTCGGGCGAAAAGTCCTGCCCATCATTTTGCCCTCGCAAGTTGCGCGAGAAGTCCTCAAACGTCATGCGCGACCGATTCTTGAGCGTGGGGGTGTGTTGGTCGGTATTGAGCAGGATGATGGCATACGTAAGGATAAAGACAGCGTCCTTGTTGGCGACCTCCTTCGGGACCGAGCTGGTGCAGTACTTCTCCGTGAATGAGTTGACGATGCGCTCGATGAGAATCGATTCACCAGGCAGCCGGAAGGTTTCCAGCATGAGCCGGAGCGCCTCGTCCACTCGTTTGCCCGTAAAGTCGAACTGGTTCATGAACGCATCTAAAATGGCCTCATTGCCCTTCTTCGACAAAAACTCGCCGAGCATCTTCTTGTTCACTCTCGACGTCCCCTGCAAGAACGTTGCAACACATAACGGATCTGAGACGCTCTCAATCACACCCTTCTCTTGGAGGTACGCCAGTCCGCCTTTGGGGCTCTCGTTGAATTTGGTCGTGCCCTTAATGATGAGCTTCTTTCTACGCCGCCTCTCCCTCAACACCTCCGGGTCGGGGTACCCTTCCGTCTCGGGTGTTTGGTCCAGCCTTTCGGCAATGAACTGGATGAAGCGTAGCAGGGCGTCCAGGCATAGAGGCGGGACGCTCGTCGTGCTCCAGGTGGCAGAATCGGGCAAGGCGTTCCTAGATAGCAGCCCAACCAAATCCTCGCAGAGATCGGCCCTGTTTTCGTCGCAGTCGTAGTTGACAAACAGCTCCACCATGAAGGTTGGCATCCGCGCCAGCACGCCGATGTTTTCTACCATGGCCTGTCTAGCGTCTGGCTTGCGAGCACCGCCCTCGAGGCCTAGCTTTTGACGGTCTTTGACAGGCACGGGAGTCGAACGGCCACTACCAGCTTGCGATGACGACGGCTTGACTAACTTGGGGGACTGCGGGATACCAGAGTAAAGACTTGGATCAATCCCGGGCTCCCGCGGAATCTCCACCGCTGGATGGAGGCACGCCACAAGATACGAGAGGTACAACTCCTGTTGCAGTTTGAGAACACCACGACACGTCGAAAGCAGCGTACCCGCCACGATCAAGGCCTCTTGCAAAATAGCCATGTTGTCGGACCTGACGAGTTGGAACAGGTAGCAGCACAACTGGTCCTCCGCAATGGCAGCGAGGGCAGGATGCCGAGCAATCGATGGGCCCGCGACTTCCAGCGCAACGTGGATAATGCGTAGGGCCATAACCCTCATCTGGTCGGGGTGTTTACGGTCGTGGGGGTCGAGAAAGTTCACAAGCACCCGGAAGAGTTCACGGATAGATGGCAGCGAGTAAGGGCGCAGGTCGACTGACGTGATGCTTTCGGTGGCCGAACTAATGCTGGGCCTTCCGGCGCCCGGGTCGGGACTCCCAGGGGCCTCCGAGACGCTACCATTCTGGTCGGAGCTTGTGGATGGGCGAGGGTCCGCCGAAGGCTCCGTAAGGTCCTTTTCTGGAGCCTCCGCGCCGGAACCCGCCTCGGCACGAGACTCGGCCGTCTCGTCAGCCGCCCCAGTAAGTGTCTTGGTGGGTGTTTCCGACTCTCCCTCCACCGCTGCTGGCTCCCCAATCGGAACATCCGTCCCATTCGCAGCGGGATCCATACTGACGCTATCCATATCCCTGCTTGTCTGGCGATCTAGCGCCTCGCTCTCCTCGCCAGCCTCCTCTTCAAGGTGCTTCAAATCCTCAAAGATGATCTGCACCATGCGCACCATGGATGCCTCCGCAGTTCGGCGCAACACCTCGGAAAACCGCGGGCGCGAACATATCGTTAGCCCACGGCCCATCATGTCGCACACGCTCTCGTCGCTAAGAATATCCCCACCAGGCCCAGACAGCATGTCTTCCATTAGGTGCAGGATCATGAGCAGCACCACCTCCTCTTGTGCCGGGTCGCTGATGTCGAACTGGCAGTGCGTGATGGCTGCGGAGAGCGATTGCATGGCGAGGGCGAAGCGGGGAGACGCAGGGGCTACAAAGCCGTAGGCTAGGAACTTTTGTATCGCCCGCAGCGCCAGGATCGTGACAGGGGCGGCAGTGCCCTTAGCTTGGATGATCTGAAGAAACGGGTAGAGGAGTACGAGAGAATCGAATCGGTGTATGTCTGCGGAAATTCCCCATCCGTTAGCAGTGTATCTTCATTCGTATCCTTATATCACCACATGCAACCAGAGACCACGCAATGGGTGCAGGGGAACGAAAGCAGGCCTCTACTCTACCTTTCACGCCCGCCAACTCCTGGCGCAATCTCCCGAACCCCGAAATCAACGGGTTATCCTGCATGCTCTTCCCTTTTTTCCCACGCAACCCCCATCGATTCGCCGCCGCCAAATCACCACTGCCGGCCGCATCAGTACCGCCTGAACCATCAGCCCCGGGCTTCCGGCTCCGGCGAGCACCAACCCCACTACCACCTGGAGCGGGCGGTACCAGTTGAATGAGGTTCGGACTCCCGCCGAGGATCGCGGAAACCGAAGAGTGGGGCGAGCGAGCGTATTTCTGGATGGCCGAAGTGATGGCGATGCATTCGGAGATGACGAGCGAGACGGGGTCAACGGCGACTGACACGGGCCTGCTGCGGTACTGCATGCGCGAGGACAACAAGGGAGCCCTCCGCGGTGTCGATGTGCCCAGTGCGGACGGCACCGCTACCACCGCCGTCGTGGTGACGGCCGAGTCTAGGGGCGTGGGGAGGTGTCCATCGCGGTTCATGCTGAAGACTGAACTTCGAATGCGTGCGTGCGGACTTTCGGGTCCCCGGCTCAAGTGTTGTCCAGAAGCTTAAAATATGAGGTCGTTTGTTATGTAGCTAGCCCGATAGTGGGAGCACAGGTTGGCCGGTAGGCGAAGCGTTGGGGACAACCTAAATGTCCTTGGGGCAGCGGTGCTACGAGGTTCGGTGGTCGGTCGATGGAAGCCGAGCACTGTGGGAGGAATGCGGGTCAAAAAAAGAACCTCAGTTTCTAGCCGAAGAGGACAACGCGAGAAACATACACCTCTAAAGGAAATAGAACAACGCATACAGAATATGGGTATATAGCCTTGACAGTTGTGTTGCCTCGAGACAGAAAAAAGGAACCGTCCTTGTGACAGGTAGGTTCCTTTACGGGCGGCGTTGTCGTCAATCGCGAACGCCAACCTTGAACGGAGCTTCCCCCAATCCCTGTCCCCACCCACTCATCGTTTTGGACACTTTGCTTGGGCTCAACCAATTGCATTCATAACAGAACCACCCACCTGGCGGGCATCGGATTCGGCACGCTGCGGGCACTCGAGTGGGGCCGTTGAAGCCAAGGTCCATTGGGGGAGAGGTACCGATGTACATACATACCACCTAATCTGGCACCTCTACTCTGTAGCGACAGAGCCTTCGGGGCCTGAAAACAAAACGTAATGTCACAAAAGAAGCTTTCTCGGAAGTTGAAGAGAAACTTAATACGAGACGCAGAACTATCGGTACTGTTGAAAACACATCCATTTCCAGTCCACAACAATACATACCAGGTATCTCTCTTCGTCCCCCCCGCTCTTCCCTTTAAAGTGTGATCCAGCCATAGTCCGAACCGTCCCAAAACGCCCCAGCCATGAAGCCTCTTCTACTCATACATATGATATTACTGGTTGTTGTTGCTCGCCACCTCCGCCCACCTTTTGTCTTTCCTTCTAGGACCGACATGTAGTGGCTGTGCCTGCACCTCCACCTGTCTCATAAATCGAAACCCTCCTCAAAACCAGATGCTGGCTTGCAATATTGACGCAGAGATTAAACGGAAATAGACAGCATAGAAAAGATAGAAACCGAACGGAATCATGGGGGGCTGTGAAAGAGGGATGGTGACGAGGCGCGAAGCGGAAGTAATGCAACCGCCTCTCATCACACTCGTTCGCCTCCGATTGTTCTCCTCAGGCGACGACCTTTTCCTCCACCTTGCCTCCGGCAGGTTGGGCGGCCCCCTTGCTCTGAGAAACGGCCGCGTTATCGCCAGAAACAGCCTCGACGGGGTCACCCGCAGGGGCCTTTTGCTTCTGGTCTTCCTGGGCAATATTTTGCATCCCTACCTTGTCCTTCTCCCACTGCCCCGCAGCATCGCTGAAAGACTCCTTTATCTTCATAGCCCTCTCAGCTTTCTCTCTTTCGGCTTGTTCCTGAGCTAACTGCTCCCTTTTCATTTGCTGTTTTCATATTAGTCTTAAATTCCTTCAGGTATCGACCCCAGAGGAAGAAAGGAAGGGAGAAACCTGCCTCCATATGCTTAATATCGTCTACGCTAGGTTCGTAGGCGTGCCATATCGTGTAATGGGGCAAGCCGATGACGGACAGATCCATCCTACGGGCCATCTAGAGGACAAATATTAGCCGGGGTCAAACACTAGGTTATTACCGCATGGATAGACTTACCTTTCCGAACCCCTCAGTCTCGGCATGCTTCTCGAAGCTAAACGCCGGGAAATGCACTCCATAACGAAAAACCTTCGCCTTGGCCAAGATGCTCACACCTCCGACACCATCGAGTTCCATTTCTACGTCGGGGTCACCGTAGGGGTCGCGGAGATACGCCAAGTGTGGCCGGTACGTGGCATACTCGGCGTACCCCTCAACGATCACGGCGTCTTCGTCAAGCGTATCAGCCAGCGTCAAGGCGGTGTCCGATTCCTGCCATGAATTGAGATCATACGGCTGTTCTCCTCCGAGCCATTCTGGCAATGGGCGCCAGACATCTGTGCGGAAACCAGTTCGTTAGCATTCCAGCCTTTCAGCCTAACAACCGAGCCAAAACGCCATCCAGAGAGTTAGAAACGTACTTGGAACAATAATGTCTTTGTTGTGCCGCATCAGATCCTCCAAGATCGTAAATGGCGCCGTCTCAACATCCACATCTCGCCAATACACCCATGAATGATACGGCCGCAGAGCAGCACTCAACAGCCAGTTCCTCGCCCTCGCCATCAGTTTCCTTCTGCCCGCTTGCGCCGCAAACCCATGGCGGCTCTCCACATCCTGATTCACCACCTGGCCAAAATCTTTCTCAATGATTGAAATCTCCCCATAATGCATTGACTCCTGCTCATGCGCCTGAAGGGCCTCCAGGCTTTCCGTAAGCAACCCCAAAGTATTATCTTTCGAATCCGACACCAAAAACGCCAGGTCGAGCAAGTGGTGCGGGTAGGTCAGATTGTGTAGGTGGGAAAAGAACATCGAGAGGTGCGCCTCCGCATCGCGCAGCGGTACGCAGATCAGGATGCGTTCCTCCCGCTCCCATCCACGCGCTGTACCCTGCACGCTCGAGAGGTCATGGTACCGTACTGTTTCAAGTTGGAAGTCGGCGCTGCCGCTGGAGGAGAGGAGACCGAGGGAGAAAAGCGATAGGGTCGAAGACGTTGAGGTGGTGGTCGAGGATGGCGACGAGGGCTCGCGGAGGAGGGTGTAGAGCAAGATAAGAAATAGGATGGCCGCTACTGCGCCAATTCGTAGGAGTGATTGTGTCCGTCGGCGGGTCGTGGGGATCGTGCCGCGTGGTTGGTATCTAGAATGGAAACAGCAACTCCATGTCAGTCAATGCCCAACGAATCTCCCCTGTAAGAGAATAATACAACAAAGATAAGAGGCAGTAAGATCTGAGCACAACCCCCGACCGGAAACACACCTGTGCGGCAAAATATCGAACGTCTTGCCCCGCGGGTACCCATTCGAGTAGCCCCCGACAGGATGCCGCGGGGTCACCTGGGGCTCCGGCGATACAAAGGGCAGCATTGGTCCTGCGCAAAGGGTCGAGGATATGCAGCGCCCGATAGAAAGTCTCCTCCTCCGCGGTACATGCGTCTATCTGTCTTGTTGTGCAGAAGTGGGTGACGGGTCGGCGGGCGCACGGGTGCACGGTTGCCGGCTGTAAGGCGAGGATTACTTCGTCGCAGGACGGAGGGTTGCAGGTCGAGTCGAAGGTGAGGAAGTCGGGCCAAGAACGAATGAATCTCTCACGAGCGGTGTAGAGAAGGGTCCTAGTCGGAGGACACAAGATTAATTCGGTTGTTTGTCTTCAGCACATCACTTCGAGAATGACAGACGGGTTGCGATCACAAACACGTCGCACAAAAATGGTGAGGAAAGGTGTCCGCCTGTCCAAGCTGCTTCAATGTCCCTGAACGGTTCAAGTTGCCCGTGGCGTTTCGTTTCTTGAAAACACCCCAGAAGTCTTGGCGCCACGCCAGCTCCTGGTCTCCCGGCTTCGCTAACGTTAACACCAGCCGGATCCAACCCCCGATCCGTGCAATCTCAGTACCCCCAAATGATGTCACTTCAGGGGCTATGATGGTGGAAAATCCCGCGTGCATTGCTTCAAATGCGACCTGTCACTCAAGTCGCCTGCGGAACTGTGCTACCAATCTGCAGCAATTCGAACTTGCGATGCCCAGATCTGAGGCGGGAGCAACACCACGCCAAGGTCAGAGCACGTCGATGATCATCTCAACAGATCGATATTCAAGATTAAGAAATCACGTAGGTCTCAAAGCCCCGTCTACACTAACTACACTACATACACGACACCAATGGATCCATAAATTTCTGCATCTAGTACTCGTGTATAATGAAGCTACGTATTGTCGTTGCGGGATGCTAATGGAACCCACCTTCACCTACCTTGGGGGAACGGCCCCGGAACGCCCGCGAGGCTTTGGTGACGCTGTTGTAGATATGCTAGATCTTACAACATGTTAGCAATTGTCTTCAACCGAAAACTGCATCAAGTCATTGCGATAAACACAGAATCAGTCAAGCCGTTTTAACTCAGCCCTACGTGCCGGCTCGACCTGCCATGCACCATAACGATGCACAGCGAGATCGGGCAACGGAAGTCTAATAACGTCCTCAAAGGGACAACACCACAGCTCGACATCGCATTCGGGAATTAGCCGATATGCTAGAGCGCGGGTGGAAGACTCGGCCCGTACATTTCGTTGAATGGATAAGCTATTGTCATCAGGGTGGAAGGAAAGCAAATGAGAAGCAAAACTATCAGGCGTACCGTTTCAGGATTAGCGAGTGTTGTAGGGAGGCCGCGAAGTACTCTGTAAAACTAGAAGTGGCATCCTAAGCCGAGTCAGCAATAAGTTCACGGCAACTGAAATGGCAATGAAGGTGAAGGTATGAGGATGCTGGTATCAGAAATATGTTTTTGGTATATTGGTATCTTCATTCTTGTTCAGAAGCAGAACTGAAATTGAAAGATTTTCATCATGAAGCGCATTTGACTCTGATAAGAGAAAAGGTTTCTTACCTCGTCCGGAGGATAAGCCGAGCTCTCAGCCCGTACCGTTGCTGGCCAAGGTTCAGCGTATCTGCCATCGTATCAGTCATGAATGGCAACCAAATGCGGGCGTCAAAATGTCCAAAGGAAAACTCGGGTCAGATGGTAGTGCATGTGTGTTCGTTCGCTCAGAGAAATCGCGTGAACTGTGGATAGGAGATCATCATAAAATAATTTGGAGGGAGCAAACGAAAGATGCGTTGTTTGACTTACTTGGAGCAGCATGCCCCGTGGCCAGCGTCGCGGTTGGCGATCGATCAAAAAAGCGTTTCACGCCCAACACGCCGACCACGAATCGCGTATGACCAACAATAATTGTAGCAAGCAGTATCCTTAAGAACAGCTTGGGAAAGAAACCCTTTCAAGTACCATTTTTTCGGTACTGCGTGCCACAGCACTGCACAAGGTATCCGTCACAGAATGAACCAAGTCGCAAGGTGCTTGCGCGATTGTTGTTGGGAAGGGAAGCGAAGCTCCGAAGCTCGATAAATTTTCAGTTTAAACGATGCAGGACTGGTGGGGTGGATTGGTCCGAGCGCCCGAAACTGTGGCACATGTGGCTGATAACATACATCGTATGTGGCTTGCTTTGGATCAAAAGTGGGCCATACCACGGTGCATCTCTATTCAAATAATTTCTGAGCCAAAGTCGTGAGTGAGGCCAAAACACATCCAGAACTAAGACAAGGTTGCGAGAGCTTGCTTTTTTGTTTCCCTTCCTCACAATAGACTGGTCCCATTAAAGCCCGCAAAGCTGCCCTGAGGAATTTTCGAAATTTCACAGTGCCCTCAACACAACATCAAGAACCTAAGCATGACTGACAGGCGGCGCATCAATGGCCCTGCCGGGGCTACGATACCACCTATTTTCGACGACCTCAAGGTCCAAGAAATCAAGCCGGTGACAGGCCGGTTGCGCGCGCCAAATGCAACCCGCAGAATGTGTACGTCCCCCTTCTTTTTAGTCTGTTTGTAAGGCTCGCTCTAACATTATCCTAGACCTCAAAACCGGAGTGACCCCCTCAGCCTCCGGGTCTGCCTATTTGGAAATTGAAACGTCTGCAACACCTGGCGTATCTGGGCTAAAGCTCAGCTGTTCTGTCCACGGGCCCAGATCCCTTCCGCGATCCGCCCCTTTCTCACCTCACATCGTCTTGTCCACACACGTCAAGTACGCTCCGTTTGCCACCAAACAAAGACGCGGCTACCTGCGGGACCCGAGCGAGCGTGATCTAGGGATTCATCTCGAAGCTGCCCTCCGTGGTGCCATTATCGCCGACCGGTGGCCGAAGAGCGGTGTCGACATCATCATCTCTATCGTCGAGGGCGACCAAGACCGGGAAACGTCCAAGCTGCAGGGAGACGAAGTGTGGGACATGATGAATGCCCTGAGCGGCTGCATCACTGTCGCGGCGGCAGCCCTCGCCGATGCCGGTATTGATTGCGTTGACACGGTTGCGGGTGGGGTGGCTGCACTAGTCCAGAACGCAGGGGAGGATTCTGAGCCGACGATCGTGGTCGACCCGATACCCTCCGAGCACGAGAAGATACTGGCAGCCTGTTGCGTCGCGTATCTCCCTATTCGGGATGAAGTGACAAATCTTTGGTTTCGGGGCGATCTGCCAGCTTCCGAAATGGGCCTTTACACGAGCCTTGTTGAACAGGGTATCTTGGCCTCCCGAAATGCGAACCGCGTCCTTGTCGGCTGTTTAAGCGAGACAATTCAATGATTCGGGGCCTGCTGCTCGGGGGCAGCGATCATGGAAATCATACCTCCCAGAGATACGGTGCATGTCTCCCCGGCGAAACGGCCAGATCTCTACCACTTTCCATAACTCCGGATTTTGCCCTGCTGCCACTGCTGGGATGCCGTCTAGGTTCAAGGCACGTCATACCCCGCCATGATAGCCCCCGAACGAATAAAACAGCGAGCAAAAGGTCTGCATCCAATCCAGAGCTCTTCCACCAACCGCAGTGCTCTCGGTTGCGCCCTGCCGGTCGGCAAATGGACTTCGAATACGAGGGTTGCGTCCGCGAACATGATTCTCCATGGAACCAAAGTTACGCCGAGCTCGGCAGCACCACACGTACATAGTAAACCCGAGTACTTCGTATGCGAAGCAAGTCCAGGCGCTCTGGCGCTGACGAAAGTGGGGGCTGCTCGGTCAATGGCGGGTTGGGTGAAGGCACCTTGGGCACCTGTGTCAGAATCGAGCATCCGACCTGCTCTGGTCTGCCCCAAGGAGATCGGCCGGCTTGGCTGGAAAATCTGCGTCTGCAAGATCCTGGTCGAGCGTTTGTGTGCTTTTCGGTCGACAATCCAGAAAACCGCCGGAGAATCGACTATCTAAATCGCAGATCTGCAATCCACAGTCCCAATCAAGTTTCTCAAACACTGTTCTGTTGCAGCCCCCCCACCTGTTCTGCACTTGGCCAACGGCCTTCCAAAAACGAACCTTCGAGGATCCACAGAATCCTGTGCCCAACCCTGGCAATCGTGGAAAAATACACGCTAGCGGCGGACCGCCACTGCATGATTTGCGGAGGCCCCTGACGTTATCGGAACGTGTCGTTCCTTTGTGTTCCTCCAAAGTAATCATCCAACAAACCACCAATTCCATCACCTCAACTCAGCCGCTTTGTGCTGTGTACGTTCGTTTGCACGATAGCCCTCGACGCCCACACTCGTTACCTCAAGAGCCGAAACATTCTGCGCATTACCTCTTCGATACCACCTCTTTAATAATTACGCCCTGAAGCTTGTTTTGTTTTCTGTTTCCTCCTTACCCCATCCCCTTCGTTCGGCTCTCGACTCCTTGGCGCCAAATACCCGCATCGAAAAGTCCGCGAACCCCCTCGATGTCCGCGGGTAGCTAGGCGCAGCGATTTCCCGCGCCGAAAACCCAGTTCCGATTGCGCAAGCCCTAATATCGACCGCGTCAACTGCCTCCCTTGCCGGTTTTTCGGCCCGCGCTCATCCCTAGCCGTAGTCCTCATGGGCAAGAAATGGCGATGGGGCGTCATCTTGGACGCCGGCTCGTCTGGGACAAGGCTGCATATATACCGCTGGAAGGATCCTGAGAAGGCTATCAAGAGCGCTTCAGAGGAGGAGTTGCGCAGCCTGCCGAAACTAATAACCCAGAAGGAATGGACGAAAAAGATCAGGCCGGGCGTTTCCACATTTAGCGAGGATGTTGGGAACGTTGGGCCGACTCACCTACAATCTCTCATCGACCATGCGCTGAATATCATACCAGACGACAAAGTGGAAGATACTCCCATATTCTTAATGGCGACCGCCGGAATGCGCCTACTACCCCAATCCCAACAAACAGCCCTGACGGACGAGATTTGCTCATATCTCCGGCGAAACACTCGGTTCTCACTTCCGGACTGTGGCCTCCACATCCAAGTCATCAAGGGCGAAACAGAAGGCCTGTACGGCTGGATTGCGTCAAACTACCTCCTGGGCGGGTTCAACTATCCAGACAAACACCAACATGGCAAGGGCCATCACACATACGGATTTCTAGACATGGGCGGCGCATCGGCACAGATCGCCTTTGCACCTAACGCTACGGAAGCAGAGAAACACGCAGACGACCTCAAGCTTCTCCGGATGCGCACACTCGACGGCTACCCGGCGGAATACAAAGTCTTCACCACAACCTGGCTTGGTTTTGGTGTGAATCAAGCTCGCGCTGCCTACATCCAGAACCTCGAAGACCGATATGCCGAGAGCAAGGGCGAGCTCCCCGACCCATGTCTACCCATGGGCCTTCGAACGACTCGACTAGGCGAGCCACTGAAACAACGTGCCACAGGCGCCCCCACGCTTATCGGCACAGGCCATTTCGACGAGTGTTTGCAACTGACATATCCGCTGCTTGGTAAGGACAAGCCGTGCGAGGACAGCCCCTGCTTATTAAACGGCCAACATGTCCCCGCGATCGACTTTGACGTCAACCATTTTATCGGTGTCTCGGAGTACTGGCATACGACCCATGGTGTGTTTGGTGGTCACAACAACAAGGCGTACGATTTCGCGGCATATCAAAAGCGAGTTCAGGATTTTTGCGGGCAAGACTGGGACCATATCAAGGGTAAAATCAACAGCCGGAAGCAGGACGATATGAAGGTCGCCCAAGAAGCCTGCTTCAAAGCTTCGTGGTTAATCAACGTCCTCCACGAAGGCATCGGTGTCCCCCGGATCGGGCTCGAAGATGTGCCTTCTGCGAATGTGTCCAAGGGTGCACTTGAGCAGGCCAAAGACCAAGGCTTCCTCGACCCATTCCAGCCTGTCAACAAGATTAACGGCATCGAAGTGAGCTGGACGCTTGGCAAAATGGTTCTTTACGCTGCTGGGCAGATTCCGCCCGCCACTCTCGACAACCGGTTCCCTGTTGGTTTCGGTAGCAACGCTGTCGGGACCCCACAAGATTTTCAATACGCTGGGTCGAGCTGGAAGCCATACAGCAACCAAACGAGCGATGACGACGACTGGGACCTCGATGCCGAAGACATTCTCGAAAAGGCCAAAACCAAAACCACCACAGGCTTCTTTGCTTTTGTCTTCCTCCTCGGCTTGTTCGCTTATCTGTTCCGCAAGCGCGATCGACGCATGCGTCTTTATAGCCGAGTGAACACGATCCTCCGCCGGGGTCGCAAACCCGGCCATGGAAACCTGCGTAAGCCTCCCGGTGGTGGTCATGGTGGTGGCGGTGGTGGCCTCACCGGGCTAGCTACCAAGATTTTCGGTGGCAGTCGGCGGCACTCTGGTGGCCACAGCGGCAACTACGAGCGTGTCATGGAGGAGGGCGAAACTATCCAGTTTGAGCTCGGCGACGTGGACTCGGACGAGGCCAACGACTACTCGGACTCTAGTGACGCGGTTTCGACCAGCTCCAAGTCGTCTCGTCGGTTTGGCCTGTCCTCGGGCTTATCGACACCACAAGTCGTGGATCACCACCACCACCACCATTACCACCACGGCCTAGCATCACCAACGGTGTCAGCATTGGACCGCAGCGGTCTAGTCGTGCGCACCGAGAGCCGCGAGCGGCTGACGCTGCCGCCAAATCTAGCGCTGTCGGGCGCTGGCAGGAGGAGCAGAGCTGGGAGCCCGACGCGGCTCAAAAGCCCGATGATGTCGCCGTTACAGGAGACGTAGTTGCATGTATTTGTGAGGGTTCCATTGGATGGCGTACCAGGACGTGTTGCACTTTCGATTCCCGGGTAAGGAATGGTCGGTGGGGTGCTTGGCTTTACTGTGTACGTCACAATCAATGTGTGGCCTGCGTTGCGCGCAAAACTACTTTTTAGTACCAACCATTCTTCTTCTTTTCTTCCTCATTTCTGTTTTCCGCGTTGGGCACAGCAGGCGTGGGTAGTGGGAAGGAGTCACGGTTCTCTTTTCTTCGGGGGGCGGCTGGGGTCGGCTGTCATTTATACATACTTTTAGTTGGCGTCGTCCGGGTTTTTGGTCGTCTTTTTTTTCTCCAGCGGAGGGTGGGACGTATTTGTATTCGCCTTGTGCGACGAGGCCCTTCTGTTACGATGACATGTCTTCTGAGGACTCAACGTTTTGCTTCATGAGAAAAGCACAATATCAATATCTCGCTTGGCTTGCTATGATTTTGCTTACCTCACAACGAGACGAGTCTTTGCTTCTTTAAACATGTTCAACCCACCTCCTCACTTCCATTATAACCCTTGTCCTTCCTTTCATTTTTTCCCTTGCTCTCTTTTCTCTTCACCCCTTCACCCCACCCCCTTAATCATCTCTTTCTAAGAACCCCGGATCACTCTTCACCCTTCCCTCAAACTTGCGCCACCACTCCTCAAACGCCTTGAGTGGCACTACCTCGACCTGCCCAGCCGTGCCACTAAAACTAGATAGGAAGTTGAATGCGTTCTTGATGATTCGTTGCGCTAGCACCAGTGTGCTTGGCTGCTGCCCTACCCCTCTTGAGCCTGGTGCGACCGGCACCAACGCGCCACTATTCCCGGTCCCAGACGAAGCAGCAGAGGAAGAAAGCTCCGCCATCCGCGCCCCGACAGACCCCGCGTCCTCCACCGATATCCCAATCACCACGTTCCCTTCCCCCCCTCTCCCGCCTCCCAGTGCTCCATTACCCCCCAATTTGAAAATCGCACTCTCCTTCCCCTCTCCAATGGCTCCCAAAAACTTGAAATCCGGTTGCGTCTGCCCCGGTGTGCTTGGTGGCGTGACCAGATAGATAGCGGCGGCTGTTCCGGGGGGTAAGACGACACCAGGGAGAAGGAAGACGACAATGTGGGAAAATCCGGCGGGCCCAGAAGAGGATGAGGCATTGGGTGGTGTGGGAGCTGGCGCAATGGCGTAAAGAAAGGAGGTTTCGCTAGGGGTTTCGGTAGGGACAGTGAGAACCGGTCGGCCGGCGGGGACGAGGCCGAAGAGAGGTTGTGACATTTTTGGATGTTTTTTGTGTCCTTTTTGTCTTGAATTTTATATCCCCTCTTTTGGAGTTCAGACTAATCAGGGAGATCCGTGACGGTGCTTTGGAAAGCTGGCTAGTCTTAGTTTGAGATGCCGACTCAGATAAATGAGGGACTCGAATAAATGAGTTGTCGACTGAAGCGTTGATTCAAGGTTCGGCTGATGACCTCATCTAATACTGTCCTGCGAGTGGTGTGTCCTATTCCTGATTGAGGCTTTTCAAGGGTATCCGTGTATCGAACTCTTGAGGTTTTGATAATCGATATATGTTATGCTGCTTTACTATACTGTAATTCAATAAGTCCAAAACTTTTGTTGTGTCAATGTTCCGCAAAGAACTCAAGTCCTAGTCTTGTATTTCTAGAGAGTTCCAGAGTAATCCACGAGTGCCAAGACAAGGGAGCTCTCTTTCACAGCACCAGCGGGGCCATTCCAAGTGGTAGCCATTGAAAGCAACGGCAGTTCCATTGGAGCCACAGTGGGGTCCTGTCCATGGCGGGATCAAAGATACCTACCGACTTCGTACCAACTGGGATTTCAGGTTTACCTCTGAGCGTCGTGTTTTTTTCATACCTTATATGGATGTCTTGAAGAAGATAGTACATGAGACAAATAGTCGGAATTTCGCTAGGGTTAACGTGTTGAAAAAGCTTCCCTGAAAGATTGAGATAAACTTCAAGAACAGAGACCCAAAGACCGGTGTCCTTATCATCGATGGTCAAGGGAGAGGGTGGCATTTGGACGATGGGCCCCAACTGCCTACGGAGCTAAAAGTGGAGGTTCTGCTTCCCGTTTGCTACCTTACCTGATTACCGAAGGTCGAGCTCCTCAAAACTCGAGCTTCGTTTAGAGTAACTAGTTTGGAAAATAAAAGTCTCTCCTCACCTAGGCTCAAAATCATCTTTACATTTGAGAAGTCTAGCCTCTTGTTATAGGCCAAAGCACTTGTCCTCCTTCATAAATTTAAGAGCCCATCACTGGGCTTGATCGGTATTTGCCAACATCAACACACTCGCACCAAACACAATGCCACCTCGATTAAGCACCTTGGACTGGGTGAACAAGGTGGATGGGTAAGTTGCCCAATTTGTACTTCGTAGTAACTTCTAGTACACGGCTTACGGGCACTTAGCTTCCCCATTCTCGACAAAGAACCCCTGCGGCACACCGAGGAGATGAAGCGGCTTTACACCATGGTCTGGAAAGATACACAAGGGATATTCCCCATTGGCTATGTACCGCTCTCGGTTCTCGAGGCCCTCGAGGCTACGCCTGAAAACATTCGTGGCCCGATGGAAGTCGACCACGAGGCGCGGACCATCCTGCTCTTCCAGGAACCGACCACGGAAGCCGAACGCACCCAGCTCGTGGGCCGACTGACGGCACACTGGCGCCAAAACCAGACGTTCCGTATGCTCAAGGGCTGGCGTGATGAGTTGTGGCCCGTGTATGGGCGCAACGGGGAGTTGTTGTACAGCATCGAACGTGTGGCAATGGGGTTGTTCGGCAATGCGCGTTTTGGAGTGCACATGGTGGCTTTTGTCCGTAACAACGGCGATGATGGTGCAAAAAGCCAGTATGACTTGCGGATTTGGGTCCCTAAGCGCTCAGCCACCAAGACATCTTACCCAGGCATGTTAGACAACACGGCTGCAGGAGGGCTCATGACAGACGAAGATCCGCTGGAATGCATCATGCGCGAGGCCGACGAAGAGGCGTCACTCCCCGAGGCTTACATGCGTCAGCACATCAAGCAGGTCGGCACCATCACATACATCTACATCACCGATGAGCGCGCGGGCGGCGAACCGGGATGGATTTATCCAGAATGCCAGTGGCTTTACGACCTGGAGTTACCCGCAGACGAAAGCATCACGCCGCGACCCAAGGACGGCGAGGTTGAGAGCTTTAGTCTGCGGACCGTGGAGGAGGTTCAGGAGCAACTGGCGCAGGGAATGTGGAAACCCAACTGCGCCCTTGTCATGCTCGAGTTCTTCGCCCGTCACGGCATCCTAACTCCAGAAAATGACCCGCACTACGCCGAGCTCAATGCGAGGGCGCACCGTTTCATCCCTTTCCCCGGTCCACACTGGCCGGACTGGGAACATGTGACCCCGCCCCAGAGAAAATCTTAAAGAGACAGGGCAGCAGGAAGAGGGATGTCGGAAGGCGAGCGTCGACGGTAACAGGTGTATTGCCCCCGGGGTGGTAACAGTGGTCCGCGGGGGCGAACTTTTGCTCGAAACAATGAATTCCCATTTCCCTGAACGCCATAATTCCCGATATTAGCCTTTCTCCCCGCTGTATCGCACCACGCCCGCTCGTCCCAATCTACAAGTGGCTGAATACAATCCGAAAGTCAATCTCTCGTCCCTCGTCTAGCATAATCACCGCTTCCGGGCGAGTAGGTAAACGTAGTCTACGCGCAAAGGCGTGAGCTTCTTGTACGGGCCCTCAAGGGACATCAACAGACCGCCAAACGAAATGTATGCTTTGCTATTGTCCTTGTTAGAAAGCCAAGCCCAATTTTCTACGGATATTCGGGAGTCCCTTCCGACCCCTCGCAGTGGTAGACTCACATCGTCTTCCCATCCTCAGCGTCCTCGAACTTGTAAATCTTTCCATAGCAGACATAGTCAAAGATATCCGCGAGGGTGGCGTCACTAGCACCAGCCTTGGCAACGTCGCGCCAGCCGCGTTCGTCGTCCTTACTACCGTCGTAGTGCAGCGACGTGGCCAGCGCCACGTGCAGTTCGTCGTCGGCCTTGCAGGGGAAAAGTTCGGTGTTGATGTCGAGGCTCATGCTGATACTCTTGTCGTCCGATTTGCAGTAGATGCGATCCACCCGGTCATATTTGGCGTCGCCTAGTCGCTCGACCCGGAAATGGTCTTCGAAGAGCTGCGCGTCGGAGGCGATGTTGGACATTTTGGATTCGAATATGGTCGAGGATTGAGACGTATGAAAGGTGTTGTTTTAGTTAGAAAGGCGCGTATTGACGGTAACTTTGGGGGGATAAAGGGCGGGGTTGTTATATCTCGACGCAGAGGGAGGTGGATGAGTTCCAGAGGACAATTGCGGGCGTGGTTATGCGAATGCGACGGCTGGGGAAAGTTGGTTTGGAAGCTGGAGAGGCTCAAAAAATTCCGGAAGCATTGAAGCATGACAGCAAGGAACGCGGATTCGAGTGGACAGGGGTGCTGCCCCCGGCAGGCAAGCGGGGCAGCGATAAGAGCTTTTTTGTCTTATCAAACACCCCTCCAAATGCCCCTCCAAGCCGTTGTCCGTCCCTGTAGAATAAATACATTTGATTACTCTTCTCCCACCCGGACATGTCATTCGTGAAGCGAAATACGGTGCTTTCGGCACGCCCAGGGCGAGCGGCCCCCCAGGCGACACAGACTCAAGAAAAACGGCGGTTGGCGCTGGGAATTCGACCTTCGCCCTTGGATGGCCGGCCGACCACCTCGACGGGCACTGCGTCGCTCGACCAACTCCTTGCGGGCCATGGCGGACTCTCTTTAGGAACCTGCCTACTAATCGAAGAGCAAGGAACAACCGACTTTTCAGGGGTACTTCTACGATATTATGCTGCCGAAGGTCTTGTCCAGGGCCACCAAGTACACCTGGTGGGCTATCCTCCAGAATGGAGGCACCAGTTACCTGGCGTGGTTGCACCCGACACCAAAACAAAGGTATCACAACCAGCGCCAGCCCCAGAAGACAAGATGAAGATTGCCTGGAGATATGAGGCATTGGGAAATAAAGCAGCCCCCGCGGTGACTGCAAGAGAAGGGGATACTAGCCTTGAGACATTCTGCCACGCCTTCGACCTTACAAAACGTCTCGCGCCCGCCGTCTGCAAAGGATCCCTTCACCCAACTCCCAGCACATGCCCGCTCACCTTCGAGCAACCCGGTCCATCTTCTGCCTCCCCCTTCAAACTAATAGTTAAACATCTCCAAACTAAACTCGCCTCCTCCCCGCCCACCGAAATCCACCGTGTTATCATCCCCAGCCTTCTCCTCCCCAGCATCTACGCTCCGCAGTGCGCCCAACCCTCCGAAGTCCTCCCCTTCCTTCACGCCCTCCGTGGGCTTCTCCGCCAATACCCAACCCAGCTCACTGCTCTCATCACCCTTCCAACCACGCCATACCCCCGCACCTCCGGTCTGGTTAGGTGGATTGAGTTGCTTAGTGATGGCGTCATTGAGTTGATACCGCTCCCTGCCAACCCTGGTGTGCCACCGGCTTCTTCGTCATCGTTAAACCCTGGAGCGGGATCGAACTCGAAGTCGGAGGCGGACAAGAGTGCACAGACACAGGGTTTATTGAAGGTTTACACCTTACCAGTGTATCACGAGAAGGGAGGTGGTGGAGTGGGTGCGAGTTCTGTGGGGGAGACTCTCGGGTTCAGTCTAAGCGCGTCTAAGGGCCTGGTGATCAAGCCATACAGCTTGCCGCCTTTGGAGGCGGAGGGTGGAGGGGAAACTGAGAAGACGAAGGAAGGAGAGAAGGAGGGTATCGAATTTTGAGGTTTAATGTGTGTTCGAGAATGATCCGGGCGGAACATGGTTTCCGTCACACGGATTGTCTCCGGCGGTGTAATATAGTCAGTAGTGGGTAGGAGCTGCCGGTGGGAAAATACCCGGCGTTCTTAATTAAGCAGCCAGAACTGGATTTACGAAAATATTTTTCGGATATGCACTAGGTGTTGGGAGGGATCAGTTACTCCATGTATCGAGCTTGGTTGAGATACGGGTACGTGGGAATAGACAAAATAAAACGAATACATAAGAATATACCACCTGTTTTCACAAAGGTTGCATTACCTATCCTTGAGTTTGGTGTTGCGGTGTCTTGGGTGGTTGGTAATTACAACGGAGGAGGGTATCGGTAATCGTAATATACAGATCCGCATCCACCATTAGTGGGTCTCAACCGCTGAGCTCCAAATCCAACATAAATTTTCGGTCTGCGCGAACTTGCAATTGTTTTTTCTCTCCGTGCTGCTCAGTGTAGCGGTCCACGCAAGCAAGGTTAGTCGCATTTCCTCTCCCGCAACCCCCGAGAACTACATGATTATATCAATCGTATACAATCAATCTGTCAATCCACCGATTTTCTATGACGACCATATACGTCTTAAAGACTATGACTTTTTCTCGCTTCAACCATGCTTCGCAAAACACTCCTAATTGCATGAACTTGATCTAACTGAGAAACGATAGGATTTGATTAAGAGGAGACCTCAGCGATGGCCTCACCGGCGGATAGACAGGTCCGTATCTCGCACGTGGCGGGTCGGTACCTTGTCTTCGATATTGACGATGTCGTTCACATTCGCCGGCACCATGGCATCTGCGCGGTCCTGACGGGTACCATGCCACAGAACCCGACTCAGAACCTCTTCCTCGGGCTACCTGTTGAGCTGCATGCCGAGGAGGCCCGACTACTGGTGGACAAAGGCGCTGGTTATATCGCTGATGAGCTTGCCGAACATTTATCGCAGCTTACCCTCGCCTCTGACGCGCCGGCGCGTAAAGCATACCTTCAACACCTCAAGCAGCAGCGCCGCAGCGCGCAACAGGTGTTTAGCGAAGAAAAGGCCAAGGTACAAGCTATGCATCAGGACAAGCGCAAGGCTAAGAAGTCGGTCACTCCTCCCGCTTCGTCCTCGGAAGCCCCGGCGGATACAAGCGAGCGAGATGCACCCGCGTCCCTCTTTGACACACCTGCTTCCACTCCCGCTACTGTTCACAATAAAAAAGAATCTTCCCTTCCTGGCGTGACTCCCACCACCTCCCAACCCCTTACCACCCCACCATCCTCCTCATACCCGACCACACCAACACTCAAGAACTACCCCCTCTGCCAGTATCTCAATTCCCGTGGGTACTATACCACGCCCGGCCTCCGGTTTGGCGGCGACTACAGCGTATATCCCGGCGATCCCTTCCGATACCACGCGCACTACCTGGCTAATAGCTACGGCTGGCACGAGCAGGTGGCGATGTTGGATCTCGTGACTAGCGGGCGGCTGGGCACGGCAGTAAAGAAGGGGTTTTTGTTCGGGGCGGAGAAGCCGGCCGAGGGGGGTACTTCGGATCGGGGAGATGGGAAAGAGAAGGAGAAGGAGGTGAGGGTGTTTTGTATTGAGTGGGCTGGGATGTGAACGTCCTTGGGAGGATACTATAGTCGTGGATTGGCGTGATAGAGGAGTGGGAATGGATCAATGATACCCTTCATCAAATATTCTCGTTCCTCGGTTGTGTGTTTCTGAAACACTTTTATACCACGCGCGTTTTTGTTATGAATGTGCTGCGATCCCGTCTTTGATCCCTTCGGCGGACGGACTACCGGGCAGGGCATCAAGATAAAAGACCGGCGGATGCCATTGAGGGAATTTCTGTACTACCGGAGCAAATATGTATCTGCACTTAGCTACAATGTACCTTACTACAAAGACAACTGTGTATGTATGTCTGCATGTATTTGCTCCTCCCCCCCTCCTCTGGCACTGAAAGTGACTCAAACCTGCCAAGTGGGCAAGGTTACGATGTCGAGTCTGCTCAGGTCTACCCTAAAGAAATTGAAATGCTAAACCCGAATCCACGACAAGCAACGCAATGCTAGACCATGTGAACTAATTGTCCACTTTGATGACGTTTCCACCACGAAAGCCATTCACAAGAAGGAATTTATCAATCAACATAAATCGGTAGTTTCAATTACAACAAAAATAAAAAGCCCCAGCCCCAGCCTTCTCTCACTCAGTAAAACTAGGAATGAGGGGCACCCCAACTTACGGCACATAAATCCGACTGAAACTAATCACCTCCCGCCGACAGCACACACACTTATCAAAATTATTCATGGCTAGCGAGACCCGGCAGTCATCGCACAAACTCAGACACCGGCACGGCCAGACAATGATGGTTCGCGGCGTGCTCTGGCAGACTACGCATTGCGGGCCATCGGGACCTAGGCCGGCGGCGCCGGTGGCCCACGAGGAATTGGCGTCCGCACCGGATGAGGAACCTGAGATACCTTCGTGCGATTGGTCTGTTCCTTCTGTTGGTGGTCGCCCTGTGTTAGAGAGCGGTGAGGTTTGATGTAATGACCCTCCCGACCGGGCAGCGGCGCGGCGGGAAAGCAAAAGCTGCTCGAGCGCGCGAGCCTCTTCTTCGGGGGTCATTTTCTCCAGGACACCTCTAGCGGCCGAGGGATATTGGTGGTGGAGATGGGCTGTGGCTTGGGTATTGGTGAGCAGTACTTGGGCACGCTGGCGCTGAAGTTGCTGCTTGAAGCGCGAGCGGGTCATGATGCCGTCGCTAGTGAGGTGTGCGGCAAGGGCGCGGGCCTCATCACGGTCTTGCGGGTTCTGGGGATGGAGGAGCCGGGCGAGGTCGGCGGTAGCTATGGGGGTGTCGAAGACAGGGGTAGATTCGCGGGATGCGCGGGCAGAGGCCACGGCTGAGGCGAAGGAAAAGGGGTTAGGGTTTTGTTGGGTTGGGGTGCGCTGGCCGTCTTCAAGCGACTCGGTGTCGTCGTGGTCAGATTCCCAATCCAACTCACTTGCGGTTTCGGTCGTGGAAATGACACTGGTAGTATCGTCGAAATCGGGCTCGTCTGGACTAGCATTGGAGTGTTGAGGGAACGGGGGGGTGTAGTCGCCACTGGCATCGTCGCCCCCCCACCAACCTCCTCGGAGGAAGTAGCTGTAGAGCTTGGAATCGACCTCCCCTTCATCCACGGAGTCGCCCTCGGCGCTCGTTATCCCTAGGTTGTTCCTCCGCATCCGGCGACGCAGTTCAGCCTCCACGTCGACTTGATCGACCCGGGGGATGGCGAAAAAGACCCGGCCTTCGCCAGGTGACAAGATATCGACGTTTAGCCCCCGACCGCGGCGTGATGCCTTCTTGTTGGATGATGCTTCTGACTTGGTCCGCTGTGACAGGCCTTGGAGCCACCGTGGGGGTGTGCGCAGCCCAAAGAGGGCCATGGTCCTGATTGTGATGAGTGCCCACACAGTGAGCATCAGTTTGACAATGTGTAGCAGATAATCGAAGGCTATGAGCCACCGCGAGCTCCGCTCAGCAGCACCCACGCCGTCACGAACCCTCCTCCCAGAAGTGTTGCTTTTTGGAATTTGTTGCGCGGCCCTTTCCCTCGCATAGCCACTCATGGCATTCCCATCCTTCACCGGCACGAGGCCGATTGTTCCCACGGAATCGAAACGTGACCCAGGAATGCCGCCTCCGATCCATTGCATCCGCAGCTCTTCGAGCTCCCGAAACCTGTCATCCTCTAGCCAAGTGTACCGTTTCAGGTTCACCTGGTGGTCTTCATTGAGGTAGACTGCCTCGCTCGCCATTGTGATGGCCCCAAAGCCCGCTCGTAGGAGCGCGGTGTAGAAGTCCATATCCATCCTGATACGAATATCCGAAAGGGATACGTTAGCTTGCATGTTGGCATGCGCGCTCTGGAGGCGTTGGCGTATGGAAGGCCGTTCGCCGTTACGGTCTGCTTCCGGCGCGGAGAGGGCAGAAAGCGTGAGGGCCGCGGCATACACGAGACCGCAGGTGAATATGCCACACAAAATGAGGATATGCGGGATGAAGCCGATGATACAGACAGTCGGGAACCTCATCAACCCTTGCGCCGCGGGGTCTTCAACCGAAAAGTTGAAGGCACTCCACAGCAAGCTGGCCATGAAGCAAAGCCCCCAGAAGCCCGTGCTCAGAAGACGGAACTTGGATTGCAGGTTGAATATTCCCAGGATATGGCTCGTAGTATGGCTCATGGCCGACAGAAGGGCAACAACAAGTACTTCGGGAGGCGTGTTGACCCGTTTCAGGATCATCGACCTGGTAAGTGCAACCTTGGATCCAAGAGCGGCATGAGAGGCAGAAGCGGTGCCGTTGGTAAACAGCCCCCATCCCAGCTGGTTGCTGATTGCAGCATCCGCCTCGGCGAATGCGAGAGAGTGTTCGAACAAAGTCATGCCCGTCTCAGCAGCTACCGGACGGCCCTGGACAGCGCAAGCAAGAACCTCAACAAATTGGCTCAAGCAATAAGTCCCAAAGAGGGGCCACAACCGGGAGAGAGACCCGGTGAGCTCTGGCTGATCCCGGTCGTCCCAGGGCACCATCTTGACGGAGCGGCATGACTGTTCATCAGAGGCGCCGAACAACAAGGTCGAACTAATCCGATTGAAAATGGGATTCGGATATGAAAACATGAGGTCAGAGCTCTTACTCGAGTTTGCCCAGCGCAGCTCGAAGAAGTCGTTCGAGGTCTGGCACTGTATGGATTGCAAGAGCCACCTTGCCTGGAGCATGAACAGGGCGACGGGCAAGACCCGCAGCAGAAGCCGGACGTGCCATCGGAGACGAAGCCTACGGCGGGTAGCGGCGAAGACGTGGGTGCGGTTGAAGATAATAGCCATGGCGATGCAGCAGAGCGCCCACTTGCTGGTGGCATAGCTGAAGACGCCTCCCAAACCCTTTGCGCCCTCCATCGAAAACCGCGACACAAAAGCATGCGGATTTTGTGTTGCGTTGCCGGCAGCAGCGGTGGCGGCCGCTGATATGTAGGATCCGGAGGAGGAAGTCGAAGCGGCCGCTAGGTTGGCGGCAGTCGATTCGGTAAAAACATCGGCCACACCGGGGGGTACGAGGGTGGACGACGAGGAGAAGATACCCATGTCGGTGGCGCCGGGGACAATCCGCTGGCCAAACCCGTCAATGGCCTCCGGAAACGAGATCAAAGAACCAAGCCTGCCCAGCCTCATAACCATGCGCGGGCCTGCCCAAACCAGATCCTCCAATGATGGCGCCAGCTTCGTCATGTTGACGGCCATGCCGAGATGCTGCGCCGTCCACATGGTGAAGTTGCGCCAGGCGCTAGAATTATCGAACGCGCCGGGGACGGCCGCAGCCACGGCTTCTTGGAAAGCATTTTCGTCCATGTTCATTCCTCGTCGGAAGGGGGGTTTGCCCCGATCGCGGGTCGTCGCGCAAGTCGTCGGACTCGTCGTTGAAAGGGTCGGGCGGATCGAACGGATCAGGAAGGCGGCCAAGTGCCTTCAAGGGGAATGATTGGGAGGAGGGCCGAGTGGCCACTGCCTCAACCCCAAAATCGCAAATAAAAGGCGAGTCAAACTGGCGACACAAAGAAACGCGCGCGCGGTAACGCAAAAATGATCCCCGTGCCTGGCATGTGTGATGTTTGCAGCCTCTAGTCTTCCATTGTTGGGAATGGAAGGGCTTCGGGGCGAAATGGGAGATTGGAAACAGGAGGTCTTGCAACGCGCCGCTGATGCTGGTGTCGCGCAGTGGGCATTGGTCCCAAGTCCCCCACCTCAACCCCTAACCCCCGGGGGGTGCCCCACACGACCTTCTAGGCATGCTTGGGGCCGGGGCATCGGCTGGCATTGGCCCCGACGAACCGACAACAAAAACCACATTGGACGTCTCCAGGCTCGATATCAACGAATTTCCATTCCCAACTATAACTCTGCCGTCGTCCGCATCGGGAAACTACGACGATTACAATCCCACACAAACCATGGCTGCGCAACAGCCCATCGCTACGTATGTGTCATTGCACCCCGACACATACAAGGCAAATCTGGAGGCAGACGCGCGCGCGCTCCGTCGCTCCCCATGATCACGAGGGAAAAGGCAGGAGAACTAACAAGTGATTTTCAACGCACAGGGTATACGTCCGTAATCTAGAAGAGCGCGTCAAGCCAGAGTTGATCAAGGAGGCGCTGAACGCCATTTTCTCCGAGTATGGCAACGTGATCGACATCGTGGCCAAGACGAACCTCAAGGCCAAAGGTCAGGCCTTTGTCGTGTTCGACAAGCCCGAGTCGGCGCTGGCCGCCATTGAGGATGTTCACGGCTTCGAGCTGTTTGAGAAGCCAATGCAGGTCGCACTGGCTCGTACTCGCAGCGATGCTACCGTGATGCAGAACGGAAATGAAGAGGAGTTTGACGCCCACAAACGCCGGCGTATGGCTGAAAAAGGTACGTCTAATTGAGGTCCTTCTCTGCTCGGATCGGTCCAGTCAGACTAACGAATGCTACGCTACGCAGACAAGAAGAAAGCACTCGAAACCGCCGAAGAACAAAAGCGCCTCAAACGACCCGTCCCCGGCGGTGCAGCCGCTGCCGAAGCCGGTGGACGTCCGGCCAAGAACGCCCGTGGTGCGGGCCTCAAATCCACCGGTGCCGGCCCCGCTGCCGTTGTGCCCGACGAGTATCTACCACCAAATCGGATTCTCTTCGTGCAGAACCTCCCCGACGATTTCGACAAAGAGACGCTCACCGACATCTTCGGGCGATTCGAAGGGTTCCGCGAAGTGCGGACGGTGCCGGGCCGCAGCGGGATTGCCTTTGTGGAGTACGAGGCGGAGGCCGGGGCGATCACAGCGAAGGAGAACACTGCGGGGATGCCGCTCAAGAATGGCGAGAAGATGATGAAGGTGACGTACCAGAGGCAGTAAGAACTCGGGCACTGTTGGTGAGAGAAAATTGGACGAGTGGGGATCGTAAATTTAAGAAGGGCGGTGCCTATAATACAAGTGAGGTAAGGTGGGTGGAAATATAGCGAGATATCAAGTCCGAGATGACCTGAGTAAGAAATAAACTCCTTATTGCGCCTATGCCAGACCAAACATACTACTATATGCATCACAAATCCCCCGATAATCATTTGACCACGCCCACGACCCGGATTATAAAAGCCCGCTTTCTTTCGTCGGGTACGGTAGACATACAAAACTTAAAAGATCACGTCCTGGTCGTCCTCGGCGGCGAGGAGATCGGTGGGCCCGGTTGCGTGGTCGGCGTCCGGCGTTTCGTTTTCCTTCTCGAGCAGTTCTTTCCGCTTCTTTGCCTCGACATCGGCTGCGGCTGTGTCTCGTTGCTTTTTGTTTGCGACCTGTAGGGGGTAAGCGACAAAAACAAGGGTTATGTAGGCTAGGCGTAAATATACCTTCTTGAGCCGGTAGAACTCTTCTCTGTCCAGCTCATCCAGCTCTGAGTTAATATCTAGTGTGGGTCAGTGATCCGGCCTCTAGTAAGAATAGTCGTTCTCGGCGCTTACACTTGATGGTGTTTTCCGTCCTCGGAATGATGACGTGTTCACTGGAAAAAGTTAGAGACGAAGGGTGACCAATTCCACGCTTTCACTCACATCGCATTGACTATATCCTGGTTAGCTAGCGCGTTCATCAACTTGAAAAAGCATGGGGGGTTGTAAGACATACCTCTCCTGTTGACCACCTTGATCACCTCATCTAAGATGACAAACGCCGTCTGCAGGCTTGCCAGTTCTACCAGCGCCTCGACCGCACGGGCGTACGTCTCGCGGCAGCGCTGCACCTGCTGTCCGCCCTTCCCCAGACCCGTCATAGCAAAATCGTTGTTGCCTTCGGTCTGGTAAGCTTCGAACGCGGGCAGCAGCACACCCGACACGTTTTCCTGCTTGGCGCGGATGCGGAAGCGCGCCGACTTGGCCGACTCCTGGATCTGGTAGCCAATGTTGCCGCCGACCGCGTATGTCACCTCGGCCAGGGACAGTGACGCGATCTGCATCACACGGCCCATCTTACGCTTTGCTTCGTCGATACGGTGGGTAATCTCTGTCGGTAGGGGCGGAAAGGAAACAGGTCAACGGAAATTCGGGAGCACTCGGAGTTCATGAATTACCTCGGAAACGTCTGCATCCAGATATCACGGTTAGCTTGTCCTCCGACATCAATACGAATCAGAAAGACGCACTTAGTCAATGCTTCACTCTTCCTCTTGAGCAAATTGTGCCCCGTCTCTGCGCCCTTGAGCTTGGCTTTCATAATGCCCAAGGACTGCCGTGTAGGGAACACGGCTTCCCGGTCCTAAGTCTCGGGTTAGCGACGTCGTTTACATCACGAGTTCGTCGAGTTCTTCGTACTGCTGCCCCAGACATGGTCGTGGATCACAATTCGAAGCGGGAACGCAGACGGTGGGGTAAAACGCGCAGATATCGAGGTGAGAGCGCAAGTTGTGGTTTCTGTCCACGGAATGAGCGAGTGATGGGCTTAGGTGTTGTTGTTTGGAGCTTGGTTGAAGCTCCCGTCCCGATAACGTTGACATTCGTGATGATACGCTGCAGGCGGCACCTCCGCCCAACGCAACCAACCGATCGCAGCACAACGGCCCAGAGGTCGCCTCCAGCGGCCTGCCCCACCAACTTCAATCCCTGGCTGCGGCACGGCAGCCCAGAGTGCCAGAGCCCCCAGCATGCCCCACCGGGCCCAGGGAGGTGAGCCGGCTCGCTAGGCTCCAAGACAAAGAGGTGGCCCGAGCGTTTAACGTTCCACTCAGTCCTAATCTCCAACGCGCGCCCAATAGCCAGGAGCCTCTCGAACTGAACCTCGAAAAACGCAGCACGAAATCCGGGCAACACTCCCCGTTGCTGTCCCGCTCTGTCGCGTGTGCAACCACACCTTCAATCACCCCCCAACCATCCGGCAGTGATGTCACGACAACACGCGATCTAACGAATCGCTCTCCCTCGCCTCCCTCCTTCTCTCCTTCTGCTCTCCCAGCACCTCCGGAGGGGACGGGTGGACGGACTCCTGTTGGTTTCGTGCCCGCGACAGCTCGATCACGACGACGACATGGCCACGGGCGCCGCCTCTGCGCGCCAGCCAGATTTGGCGCTGGTGGTATGCTTCTAGCCTTTTTCTTTGTAGAGATGGAACTTTAGGTGAACTTGTTGCTAACAGAACTTTGCTCAACTAGTCCGAGGAGGATTTTCCTTACGAGCAAGACATCCACCGGAATCCGGGAAGTACCAAGCCATGGCTGGCCTACATCGAGTATAAACTCCAGCATGGCACTACACGGGAGCAGGCGTTTGTTATGGAGCGGGCTTGCGTCCAGCTACCACGGTCTTACAAGCTCTGGAAAATGGTGAGAAATCCCAAGCCTGGTCTTCGATATCTCTAGGTTATGGGTTAGTTGTGTCGTTAACTTCTTGCAGTATCTCCGATTCAGGACTAAGCACATTGGCAAGCTCAATGCCTCCATCTTTGCCGCCGAATATCAAAAAGTCAACGCCCTGTTTGAGCGCGCACTCATCCTCCTCAACAAGATGCCCCGGATTTGGGAGATGTATCTCAAGTTCCTAATGCAACAACCACTAGTGACCGTCACCCGACACGCCTTCGACCGCGCGCTCCGAGCACTTCCGATCACTCAGCACAACCGGATATGGGCGCTGTACCGACCGTTTGCGAACTCAGCGGAGGGCATGACGGCCGTGAAAATCTGGCGACGATACATGCAGGTCCACCCGGAAGATGCCGAGGACTTCATTGAGTTACTCGTGCACACTGGCCTGTACACCGAGGCCGTGAACAAGTATATCGATGTGCTCAACAACCCACGTTTCCAGAGCAAAAACTCGAAGGGGCACTACGAGTTGTGGAGCGAAATGGTCGACTTGCTTGTCGAGCACGCAGTGGACATTGACACGGGTCACGAGACGGACATTGATGTGGAGGCGATCATCCGGAGCGGGATTGAACGGTTTGGCGATCAAAGGGGGAAATTGTGGTGTGGCTTAGCAACATATTGGATCCGGAGGGGTAATTTTGAGAGGGCAAGGGATGTCTTTGAGGAAGGCATCACCACAGTGATGACGGTCCGCGATTTCACCTTGGTGTTCGACTCGTACACCGAGTTCGAAGAGTCCATCATTGGCGCCCTGATGGAAGTGGCCTCAACGAGGGCCGAGAAGGGCGTTATGGACGAAGCGGCCGATTTCGAGCTCGACATTCGCATGATGCGCTTCGAGCACCTCATGGATCGCCGACCATTCCTCTTGAACGATGTTTTGCTCCGGCAAAATCCCAACAGCGTCACCGAATGGGAGAAGCGAGTCGCGCTGTGGGGAGAGAACAAGCAAGAAGTGGTGCAGACGTACACCGACGCCATCGCCGCCATTCAACCAAAGAAGGCGGTTGGGGCATTCCACCAACTGTGGGCCAACTACGCCAAGTTCTACGAAACGGGTGGAGACTTGCGCAACGCCCGGGTCATCATGGAAAAGGCCGTTAAGGTCCCTTTCAAGTCGGTAGCAGAACTAGCCGACATGTGGATCGAATGGGCGGAGATGGAGTTGCGGAACGAGAACTTCGACGAGGCAGTGAGGATCATGGCCAAGGCGACACAAGCACCAAAACGGTCGACGGTGGATTACTTTGACGAAACGCTCTCACCACAACAACGAGTGCACAAGAGTTGGAAACTGTGGAGTTTCTATGTGGACTTGGTTGAGAGTGTGAGCTCCCTCGAGGAGACGAAGAAGGTATATGAGAGAATATTCGAGCTGCGAATCGCTACACCACAGACGGTCGTCAACTACGCAAATTTTATGGAGGAGAACAAGTACTTTGAAGAGTCATTCAAGATTTACGAACGTGGCCTGGATCTCTTCAGCTACCCCGTCGCCTTTGAGCTATGGAATCTTTACCTCACCAAGGCGGTCGACCGCAAGATTGGCATTGAGCGGTTACGGGACCTCTTTGAGCAGGCTGTCCTGGACTGCCCCCCAAAATTCGCCAAGGTTATCTACCTGATGTACGGTAACTTGGAGGAAGAGCGCGGACTGGCTCGCCACGCGATGCGCATCTACGAGCGCGCCACGCGGGCAGTGTCAGACGAAGACCGTGCCGATATGTTCAACTTCTACATCACCAAGTCGGCATCTAACTTTGGCCTACCATCGACGCGCCCGATTTACGAGCGCTCCATCGCCACGCTACCAGACAACGAGGCCCGGGATATGTGCCTCAAGTTCGCCGACATGGAGAAGCGATTAGGCGAGATTGACCGGGCCCGTGCCATCTATGGGCATGCCTCCCAATTTTGCGACCCGCGCACGAACCCAGACTTTTGGAACAAATGGGAACAGTTTGAAGTTCAGCATGGCAACGAGGACACATTTAAGGAGATGCTACGTATCAAGCGCAGCGTGCAGGCGCAGTACAACACCGATGTCAACTTTATCGCTTCGCAGGCACTCGCCAAGAGCCAGTTACAAAGACAACTGCAACAGAACGGTGACGAGAATGGGGAAGGTGAGGTTGACCCTGAGGTCGCCGATGCGATGGAACAGCTTGAGAGGCAAGCTCGCGCGCCGGCCGGGTTCGTCGCAGCATCGGAGGGGCTCAAGGGAAACGTGGCGTCGACTCAATCGGTCGAGGTGGCCAACCCAGATGCCATCGACCTAGACGATATGGATGACTAAGGCGATCCTTTGTTTTCTGTTTTTTTATCTTCTTTCTTCCTCCCCCCCCCCCTTTCCCTCCGCCTCCGTATCCAGAACGAGAGCCGAGAGTGGCACGCATGCGAGGTCCCTTTCCTTTGTCTTTGGTTGAATCACAGTATACTCTATTTTATTCCCAACTTTTCGAGCGGCATGGTTCGGGTGAGGATTTGCTACCGGGTTGCTCAGGGGTAACGCAATGCAGGATAGGGATATCACAAACAACCGGGCAGAGTTCTAAATTGCCGCCACGGGCGCAGGCGAAACCGATGGAATGAAGGAAACAAAAAAAACACGTCCATTCTTTCCCCTACATACATATTACATATGAAATGTTGTTTGTTCGGTGTGTTGTGTTGACATGTCGCTCCACCTTACGTCACGCAGAATCCGTCGTTCCGCCCTCCTACTTTATCATCTCCTAATCCATGGCGTCCTCGCCGCCGTCTAGCGATGATGTGTCCTCATCCTTCAATGGATTTCTTCACGGCTTTCATCCCCCCCTTACTTCTTGTCGTACCCCTTCTCATGCAACTTCTCAAAGTACTTGCTTTGGTAGTTGCTATCAATCCTGCCGTCGCGCGAAGGCGGCACGGCGTAGATGGAGCCCTTGCGCTTTTGGAAGCGTGAGGGCGGGACTTTAGAGGCGTCTAAGTTTTGTGTTTCGCTCAAGGTTATTACGATTGTTGTTCTTAGAAAGACTTGTTGTGAAAGGCGAGGTTGGTCGCCAAAAAAAGGTGGATTTGACCGGAGGGTAGGGAGAGAAAGAGTTGAGGGCTAAGAAAGGGGGTGTATGTATGGCTACATAAACCCTTGAAATAGAGGGAGAAAGAGGGTATGGAAAGAAAACGCACCCCATTCATCACTATCCCGTCGGTCTTTATGTACTTGAGAAGCAACCAAGTTAGTCGGAGATCTGGGGCTCGCCGGGCCAATGCTGTCATGAGTGTCCTCTTTGTTGTTGGCCTCCTTATCGGATTGTCTCGTCGCGGCCACAGCCTGGGGGAAATCTTGCGTGGTTGGACTCGGGGAGCCTGCGGTAACGGTGCTCTGTTTGCGATCCTCTAGAGTAAGGGACGGAGAAGAACACTTTGGTTAGCGGGGCTGAACTAGACGGAAAGGAAGCAGGATGAGGTAGGTAATAGAGCATACCGGCCATTCTCGACGCGTGCAACTTAGACGATTATCTTCAAATTCCAATTCGATAAGAAGAGTTGTTTCCGGTCAATTGTTGCCAACCACAGATACATACACAGGAGGAAAAGGTAGGAGCCACAGATCGGGGCTGAGAGAGATGAGGTCACACGTCAGTCAGGAGAGAAGTCTGAGCGCAAGCCTAGCCCGAGCTCAGAGCATAACAACGGGGAACGCCGAAAGCTGGTGAGGTTTGGTGGGGTTATTATATCCATCCCAACTTAAGGATACAAGCTGTGGCGTGGTTGTCCGAGCCATGCCATGGAATGAATGGTTCTCGACATGCGGCGCTCGGATCCCATTTCTTGCCGTCTTGTCTTAGATTCTCGGCACATTATTGAGACAGTCTAGATGGAGGCGTCCATGTTGCTGTGCAGCAATGAGAAGACGGCAACCACATGGCCCATCCATGGGCTGCCTCACCGGCTATACAGCGCATGACTCCCCACAGCATTGACAGGTTAACATCGGCTTGACGCGCAGTACCATCCGTATCTCGCGCATCTGCTATATCCCTGGATTCGGATGTCACGCGATAGCTGAACTCCTCAACCAGTATGGTCCAGAGCACACAGCCACTGTTAGCCAAGCTCTCATGACAAGAGCCGAGCATGATATGAGACGGAATGGACCACGGTCAGGCAATTGTGGCAGTGTAGTTCTCAAAGACGTCCCTAGCCCCAAATTTCACTTCGTAAATGAGCAACAGCGTGGGTAACTGAAGATCGTGAAGAGGCATTTTGAGGACAGTTGCGAGGCTACAAGTCTGACGTCACCACAGCTCTTCTCACTCTAGTGTAGTCTAGCTGAAAGGTGCACAGAAGAAAACAGTTTCCCTCGTTCGTGACACAACAGCTCGGGGTTTCCAGGAAAGGAATTCCTGGGCGGGCTTCCTCCTGACGAAAGCGGGAGATCTACAGTGTCACGCCCTTCAATTGTTGGACGCCCGGCTTGTGAGATGTAGAGGAAATGGAGATTATGTGGCCGAGACTTTTAGTCCGCAAAGCATCGGAGGCCTCAGAATGGACCATGCAATGGGTTTCCTCCTTCGCTTCAGTGCTCAAGCCGATGGTGCTGCTTAGTTTGGGGTGAGCATAGGGAAGAGGGGGCACATGAGTCACATGCTGTATTGAATCACTGACTGGGAGTGTGGTGAGTTCCTCGCGTCCCGAAACACAACGAACTCACCGGCAATGGTAGAAAAAAGAAGAATTGGGGTTTGGAACATATGGTGTTATAAGCCGACCAAAAACAGGTAATCAAAAGATGAGGTCGTGCCCGGGTTCGAACCGGGGTTATTGGAAAACTCGATACGAATCAAAATCCAAAGTGATAACCACTACACTACACAACCTTGCTGTGTGTTAGTGCGCACTCCCAAAACTGGGGCTTATGTATGGTATCGATAATCACAGGGTTAGGGTTATGGCAAACGAACATCTCCCACACACACCATTATAACAAATCAAACCGTAACAAGTTTCCAGTGATGCATGATTCTGAGACCGTCTATATGTTCTATTACACGTTGTCTTCATCTCTTGTTGCATCACCTTCTTGGCGTATTATTTCACCCCTAATTATGTCTTGCGATGCAGCGCCCCAGCACCAGCCTAGAGGAGGACGTCAACATGACCGTGTTTACTCTTATAAATAAATGCATGAGAAAAAGGGAGGAATGGTTATCGAAACCTACCTGGTGGCTCGGGAAGATAAGTGTGTCGGCAACGACCACGTTCTGCCGCCGTCCTGCAACAAAGACAACCACCTCTGCAATGTCGTCAGGGGTAAGAGGGTCGCAGCCGCTGGGATTCGGTGTGAGCGAAACGATCTCATACAAGGTGAATTTTTCCCTAGGCCACTTACGCATAGACTGCATCAGCCTTGGACTTGTCTCCGTAGAAGCGGACGACGGAGAATTCCTGTCCATTTCATATCATGTCAGCTTCCGCTTTGTGCTCGCTCCGACGCGTCGGTAGAAAATGAAGCAACCCACCGTCTCGACCTGGCCCGGGTCAACCTCCATAACACGAATACGGGTATCAATTAGTTCCTTGCGTAGGGCATCGCTGAAGGAGCGCACGGCGGCTTTAGTGGCGCAGTAGATGCTGCCGCCGGCGTATGGCTCGCGGCCGGCGATGCTACCGACGTTGATAATATCTCCCGCGCCGCCTTCAGGGCGGGTCTTGAAGATGGGCAACACAGCTTGCGTCATATTGATCAGACCGGTCACATTAGTCTTGAACATGACGTTGATGTCGTCTTCCGCAATCTCAGGTGCGCGGGCCACTGAGTAAAAGCGAAGGCGTAGTTAGTATCATCGTCCTGTTCCCGCGGAAAACCACAGGGTTATTTCCATACTTCCTTTGACGAGGCCCCTAGAACCAGCAGTTAGTCCTCGTTTTCTACGGTGTACCCAATCACCCGATGCTCTCAACTCCTAGATCTGAGGCCGACTCACGCATTGTTAACTAGCACATCTACCGCCTTAAACTCCTCAGGTAGCTTCCCCACAAAGCCCTTCACAGCCTCGGGGTCTGATACATCCAACTCAACAGGCAGCACCTGCACGCCTTCACCTACTTCCTCGCGGATCTGGGTGGCAATCTCGCGCAACCGGTCCACGCGGCGGGCAGTGAGCACGAGCTTGAGGTTCTTGGGCGCGGTGCGCGCAAACTCAAAAGCACAGCTTCGCCCGATTCCGGACGACGCGCCGGTTATGACCACGGTCTTGCCTTCGAGGCGCTTGGTCATGGCTGCGGCTGACATGGCACGGGTTGTTAATGGCGATGCCAAAGCGAAACGAAAAGGAAGCTTGTTGGGGCGGACGAGAAGGCGGGCGAAGGTTGTGATTTTGGCAGTTGTTGTGGCAGTTGTTGTGGCTGACGTTGTAGCAGCGGACCTTGCGAAGAACATGGCAAGTCAATGGATCCTCTGTTGGTTTTAAACCCTTAAATACTCCCCGACAACGGAGCGGAAAGGCTGGTTCTGTACTAAAACTGAAAGACGTGAATTAAATGGCTGCAAGTTCCTGAAGCCCTGCGGAAATCGGCACTGACGCCATTCTTGGGAGAGGTCCACTTTCCTCGTTCTCCTCGTTTTCTATTCCATGACCATTTGCCTCTGTCTGTTATCTAAAAGACCATTCCTCATACCGTTCAATGCCCCGGCCGGGCCCGGAAAACACCCCCGCACGCCGGGTCCATTTCAACCCACCGTGTGCCGGGCTTCAGCCGCTGCTACCCCGCACTGATTACCCTCGAACCCGGGACCCGGGCCATCCGCAATGGAAAACCAGGCACCTATCGAGCCAGGACAGGAATACGGCTCTCTGAATGGCCTCGGTGTTGGGGGTGGGTGGAGGCCGCTAGGCTGGGAGAATGGAAAAATGGGAATAAACTGGCCCAAGATTGTAGCGGAGTTATGAAGGCCAACAAGAGGGACAAGAATATCCGTCCTCATCTTGCACCGAGAGCTTATTATCACATACCTACCTACATTAACGTTATAGAAATATCGAAGATTTCTCATTGCACCACACTAGAAAGTAGGAAGTAAGTTTTTATCTGGTCTCCTTCACCTACTCATATGACAAATAAACCGTTCAAAAAATCTTACCATCATGGCCTACAGATACAAAATATACCTTCTAATTCGACAACGCCGCCTCCGATGTAGTCTATGATCTAGCCTTTCCTCTATTAATGACTTCCTTCCGAAACTCCCGGTCTATGTTTCCTCTTCCCGCTTTTCCCGCTGCCCATCGCCGCCCGCCTCGGTTGCCACCGAACCACCCCCCTTCCTCCTCTCCGCCTCTTCACGATACCGCTGGTGCATCATCTCTACCATCGACACCCGGTTGCGACGATACACACCCAACGTAACCAGCATTCCGACCACGAGCACGGCACAACAAACAATCATGTTTTCACGCAGAGCATCCGTGTAGACGCGCCGGATGGCATCCCACTGCTCGGCAGGCAGCGAGTTCGTGTCAGCCGCCAGCCTGGCCACGGTGCCGGAGCCGAGGGACTCGGCGGCGGTTCCTGCGAGATCGGAACGCAGTTTGACAGCGAGGATGGCGGACGACGCAGCAATGCCGATGCTTCCACCGAAAATGCGGACTTGCGCGATGATACCTTGAGCGGTGGCTAGAAGAGAGAGAGTTAGGCGGCTGCAAGTAGCAAGAAGTGAAGAATGGGGCGGCCGGGGGACGAAAGAGGGGAAACTCACCATGCTCCCAAACGGGCACTTCCACGGTGCCCATCATCGTCGACGATGAGGCCGATAGTCCGAACCCCAGCCCAACAAACACCAAAAAGCCCAGTACCTTTGGCTCAATATCCGACCCATAACCCGCCGTAATCTCTAGCCCACAACCCAGCAGCATGAAGGCGCAGGCCAGAAGCATGGTCTCAAACATCCGCTCCGGTTTCCCTTTCCGCCCGTTGATGGCCCCGGCCAGTATCGTCCCACACGCCGACGACACCAGCATCGGGAGCAGCATCAGACCCGCTTGCAGCGCCGACCGGCCGTACACTACCTGGAACCGCGTCGGGAAGACATAGATGCATAGGAGGAAGGGGAAGCCCGTCAACATGATGTGCAGAACCGTCGCGACGTAGACGCGGTTCCGGAGCAAGACGGGGGGCAGAGCTAGGGCGGGTTCGTGAAGGGGTTTGCTGGGGTCGGTTTTATGGCTGTTCTTTTGGATACGCCGGCGCCAGTAAGCGAGGAACAGGTGCTGCCAGCCGAAGAGGAGGACGAGGGCTAGGAGTCCAGCTAGTAAGGGCGCGAGAAAGACGGGAGAAACCCAGTCGGGTGATTGGGCAGTATTTTGGAAGGGAAAGACGATGAGAACGGTGGCGGCGATTCTAGAGATTGTTCTTTGTTAGACCATGCCTCAGGGCTCGACGGGCAATAGTTTGGAGGAAGCACTTACAAAAGAAAAGCGCTAACAAAGTCCAAGTCCTTCCAGGCCCGGCGCTCCAACGACGGCAGGTACTTATCGTCGGGCCAAGAAAGGATAAAAACGATGAGTGAGAAGACGCCGACGGGGCCGCTGTCGTTTCCGTTAGTCCACGTCCAGCTATCTACTACGCACGAATCTCACGCAAGATAGGGAGGCACATACTTAATCCAAAACACCCATCTCCAACTCGTGAATTCGGTCAGGATACCGCCCAGAACAGGGCCCAACACACCAGATATTGTCACGACAAATCCAATCACGCCGGCGATATGCTGCTTCGCCCGCTCTGGCGTCGCCTCAGTCAAGATAACCATGGCCACGCTGTACAACCCTATAATCAAATCAGCCCTTCGTCGGCGGAAAATCGCCAGTGCGCATCATTATGTGAAGGCACTCACCAGACCCTCCCATCCCCTGCAACGCCCTCAGCGCAATCAGCTCCTCTAAATTCGTCGCAAACCCACAGCCCACCGAGAACGCAATAAACACGGCATACGCGGCCGCAAACGTCGCTCGGCGACCGATCACGTCGGACACGCGTGCGAACAACACCGCACAGCCCAAGTAGGACAGTGTGTAGGCGAGCGCCACCCAGTTGATGCCGCTGACGTCGATGCCATCTCTCCCGAACTCAGCAGCGATAGTGAAGAGAGACGTTGCGACGATGGAGGAGTCGAGCATAGAAAGGAACAGACCAAGGCAGACACTGCAGCGGGGCATGTAAGTTAAGTTGAATGGCACCGAGGAGGAGGGCGGGGCGCACGGGGGTCTCTGAATCTTACCCAAGGATGAGGGGAACCAGACGAATGGTTGGGAGCGGTTCGGGGACAAAGGTCTTCTCGCTGGTGGCTGCAAGGTTGCCGGATGGTGGCTTTTCGGTCGAGACGCTCGCGGGGGTGCGCTCAGGGACATATGGTTCCGCATTGGGGCTGACGTTGCCCGGGTTCTCGGGACTTGGGGGGTGGTTTGTGGTGGCCATGGTGGTGATATGAAGTTGTAGACAACGGCTACAGCACCCGTGAGGTGTTACAAGAGGTATTGTAAGAACAATAGCCCGGGGAGCTGCCGTCGCTCGGGTCCAATACCCCAAGAAGAAGATACGGGTTGTCCAACAGAGAACGACCACCGCGGCTGGGCAGTGGCCAGTTGGGCATATAAATGTTTTCCTCCGATTGCCCTTTATCACAATAACTTGTCACAGCTAAGCCGGCTACCGACACGTGGGAAGCGACTGCTTGATCTATGGCTTGCTGGTCAGATCCCAAGGGACTGACGCAATGGGCGGCGGATGAGGACGAAGTTTTGTAGATCACCCGACTGCCTCGCACTCTCGCACCTTCGCACTCGGCTAACAACCCTCAAAGAGAAGGCTCTTGACACTTGGCAGCTCTCGAACTGCATGTCAGCGTCGATTATCGGACATAACTTAGAACACGCTGCGGGGAAGCGGACCATCGCAAGGGAGAGATTCCCATCCCTCGTGGGTATAAGGGGAAAGCATCAAACACCACCGTCAAGCGAACACAAGGACTCGGAAGGATGCACTATGTACGAAGTAGGTAGTGTAAGCCAACCGCATTCGCACTCGCCAAAGTACACCGTTTTGGATCTTGGGCTGATTCCCAATTCGGCTGACGCCTTGTCATGATTGGCCCGTTTGCTCAATGATGAAGGATCGGCAATTGCTTTTTCTTTGCCAGCGCAGCGCCACAGGCTCGCTTCTGCATCGCCGGCCACACATCGATCCCACAACTCCAGTGGCCTGTTGCGCATGTTCAATTCTTTTCATCCATCGAGATTCGTTTTGTTTTCCTTTCTATGAAATTGTCATACAGTCCAGACACAGCGTGTTCGATGTCGTATTCAACGGTGTATCCAACGGCGTGTCTTTATAGTGCTGCAGCCGGGCTGAAATCCTGAGAATCCTGAGATACTTTCCTTAGGTACCTATGTATGTACCATGTACCTAGGTACCTGCCTATGTTGAAGCCTCAAAGTGGAAGGAAGCAACCCCAGCAGACAGCAGGCGGAACCCACCCGAGCCACCTCCAAGGCTGTGTATCCTTGGGGCCGATACGTCACAAAAGATGCGAATGAAGAACCAGATACTCATTGTAACATAAGTTTCCTACTCCCCTCAAATATTCCACACTTTACAAACTCACAGTCAGCAGTTCTCCGCACGACCAGTCTGAACCCACCGTATTGAAGAACACCAGAGCAGGTCACGAATACACCCTGGTAGCAAACATCGCAAATGCCAGCCCTGCAGTCCTTCGCCTTGTAACCATTTGAGCAGGCTACGCCACGGGGAACTCAAATGGACAACAACAAACGGCAGTTGAAACGACAAAACCTTTCCGAGCCGCTCCGTAATGTCTGACTTGGTAGTTGACGTTATCTAAGACATGTGGGTCGTCCACCGATGAGGCAGCAGAGAAATCAAGTTTTACCGATTCCCCGGACATCTCGGCCCGAGAAATGTTTTTATTTTATGCCCAACCATTGTTGATTAATCATAGCAAAATATCACGCTCAAGTTCGGATGTTTTGCATCAAGGCGGAAGGCCAAAAATTGACCACCGATAAGCGACGAAGGGGCAAAAAACCAAAACACAGCAAGCTGCCTGCCCTTCGAAACGTCAATTCAGCTTGGCACGCTAGCCTTTTCGGGACTTACACAACCCAAACTCTACACACCTTTGGCCGCAACAGATGCTTCAGCTTCTTCCAACCTGTATTTTCTCTCCCAAAACTGTTGCAGTATTACTGATGGTGCTTCTCACGATGTTGTGTTAACCTTGGCGAGATTCGTCAAGACAGGTGACATAAGAAACACGAGGACCTAAGGCGCCAGCTAATAGAGTGGGTGGTCGTAGATTCTGATGTCTTCCTCTCTCCCCAAAGACAGGGAGGAAAGCAATGCACCCTATGCTCCACTTTACGGGGCCTGGGCGGTGAAGGTTGGCCCCGTCGTGGTCAAGGCTGGGCCCTGCCGTATGACCAAAAAAAAACCGCAAATTGAAACGTTTCAATTTGGGTCAATGATATTTACTTGGACCATATACATACACAACTCTTTTCTCGCTCTGTTACAGAAAATATTAGACTAGTAAGGTTGGCTGAAATGGGGGCACCTATTCTAACTCATCACCGGGTACATTTCCAGCCAACCACTGTCAACTATGGTATGACAGAGTTTGATAAACGTGTACTGTAGATTATATACCTATCGTTACGAGGCACTCCTGTTCATAAGGGGACAACACTCGGCATCCCTGCTCGGTGTTGTAAACCTAATTAGGGGTGTCCATGCCTTGGTTGTCCTTCCCTGGACCTGGGCTCTCAGGGCCCTGCCTCAGATAGCTCATAGCCTGCCTTCTCCTGCTACCACGGTTTGGGGAAAGGCGTCTGATTTCTTGATTATATTACTAAAGGTCGTTTCTCGGGTCATCCATCAGTGCTTCGTCCTACACGCTCCTCTTGATACCATCGTGGTGAATGTTGACCATGGCCACGTGGGTTAGTACTACACATAGTACTGTAACACATATACTGCCTTCCGACTACGCCCTTCAACACATACCAATGCTAACCACAACGGTGCTTTTGGGTCTATATATATGTGTGTATGTTAACGTCTGTGTGTATGGGTGTGTATGTATCCTGCTAACATTTAGTCAAAGAACTAGACTTACTTGGTTTCGCTACTTAATGGTATGTCAATACATATGTGCTATTCTCGGTTCCATGTATATTCAGAGCCGTACTAGCGATACACCCGCCCGTATCTCCTTCGACAGATTCCTGGAAATGAGTGTTGTCTTATCATCCTAGATACCCTAACTCCGTTTATGAGGCCCTTTTCAAACAGACTACACGTGTAGCCCCCCTTATGATATGGGGTCCTCAGCCTCAATTTCCCTTCCTGGGTCGCCCTAGGCTGCTCCAACCGTGTTGTGAACGTACCATTGAATCCATATGAGGGATGACTACCTAAGCCGAGCATGCCGACTACACCGTTAAACACGTACCTACATCCGCTACACCGGTGACATGCTTGAGTGTATATTTCAACAACCGCGCTGTTGAACGCACCATTCAGCATATATCCACATGGACCGAACCGACTGTCAACTACCTCGGTGTACACATTTTTAACTAACAGTTGAATATACTGTTAGCCACCCCGGGAACTAAACCCTTGAGACCCACGGAGCAACGCAACTTACCTCACATGACCAATTCAGCTAATATAATCCGCGCATAGTATCACTAACAACTCTTAGTAGGATCCCATCATCTTGTCATGGATACATGACTAAAGGGCACCATTGATAGAGGAAACAGCAATTTTGGGTCACTCCGTGCCCACCCGGGCGCCACAACCGCCGGCGTGTGTGCCAAATCGAGCCTGGGTCAAACCGCCAAGAAGACAAGAGAACACCTGGCATTCAACAGGAAAAAAGGTCCTTGAGGAACCAAACTTCGTTGCTGGCGTCGCTCATGAAGCACTGGTTCGGACGGGAAGAAGAAAGAGGCCCCGGTCTTGGCGTAGATCTCGGGCTCGGGGCGGTTACACAAATGCGACCGTCTCTCAACCCCGACTTTCGCCGTCTCAGACCCCACCCAAAACCCGGGCTCCGAAAGGGCGGCTTCCGGGTTTCTCGGCATGGTGCCTCTCTCTTCTCCTTCCGGAGCGGGTAGACACCCCAGTGAGCGTTTCGGCGGCCTCCCTCGCACTCAGCCGTCAGGCCAACATATCAGAGACAAGGCAGCGATTCACTCGCATCCTTCACGACAATCCGATCGGTCGCCAACGAAAAACAGGCCCCATTTTCCACCGGCAATGGTCGACAAAGATGCCGCGGATGGACCTGGGTGGAGTGATTTCCGGCATCCAGTACCGCCGAATGTCAAGCCACAATAGTCGGGGGTTGGGAAGGGGGCCAGGGTGATTTTGGCTCACTTCATCTAACCCCGCATTCTTGATCCCATCTCTCGCTCGCAAAACCACGTCCCAAGAAGCAGATTGGATACCGCTGTTGATTGACGCACATCGACGTTGCGAGAGAAGGCATCGACACCCTCGAAAGAATGTTCTTTTGATCACGCCGACCGGAAAAGGCAATTGATTGCCATCGGCCTTCACAGCCCAGTGGTCTTCCCCGCATCTTCAATTTCCTCCCCCAGGTCTCACCAGAACTGGGGTGCATCAGTACCCCGCATCCCCATCTCCAATTTTTGAAAAGTTTCCCCACCTCGAGACGCCCAGAGAGTACTTGGGTACTTCGCAGTTTCGGTGCAACTGACCGCCTCGAGCCCCTTGTCCGGGAGGTACCTCAAACACAATTCGCGCGACGGCCCGCAGATCCAGATTGCCAAAACAGCGGAGACGCGCAGCTTCAGCGTATTCTGCCAGCCAATCGTATCGCGCCGTTTTACACGATGACTCCGCTTTGGGAAGCCGTTTCTGTTTTCTTGTCCTTTGCGGCGCCTGCAATGCCTGGCTCGCCAGCCAACCGCACGCCCTTCAATCTCCTTTTTCACGGCGAGCACTCAAGGGCATTTGATGTGGTTGTCCGGCGTCTCGCCGATGGTCACTCGCATCGAGACGGAAGCGCCAGGGGCGAGCCGTGGGTTGTGGTCCTTGGCAATCAACGGTTTTTTTGCCCCGCCCATCATCGTTGTGTCGTGTAACCTGCAAATAATAAGTGATGCCGGCGTTTGCCGAACGCCTCATGACTTTTTCTGACTCCCACCCCACACTTCCGTCTTCTTCCCCATGGAGAAAGAAAGGCATGCTCGAGAACTTTGCATCGCATTCGCGTTCGGCAGAGCTGAAGTGAGACTTGTCTCTCGCCAACAACCCGGACCCCAGAATCGATGTTGATCTTCACCCCAACCTGCCTCAGCCAAAAAACTGAAAGAACATCCAAAGAAGCATCGTGCGGGTCTGCGAATGCAGATCACAGCCGGGAGAGGGAAAGCCCAAGGTCCAAGCAACACTTGGCGTTCTGGGGCGTCGGCCCTGACATCCAGCGTGCCATCGACGGCTCAAGCAGCAGGCCCACTCGAGACTTTTCTAGAAGCACGCGATGTAACCTTCCGCTCCACCGGCAACTCTGGCGGTCGTTCCCGTCTTTCCACAAGCTTGTTGCATCAAATCTGCTGCACTCGCTCAAGACGACCCTACCACTGAACCGGGTGATCTGGAGAAGGGCCATTTCCCAGGGGCACACACACACACACCGCATCGTCCACCCAGTGGACAACGAGAGCAGGTCGGAGAACAAGTCATCACCCTCTCTGCTATGCAACGTGGAACCTCAATTACTCAGTCTCACGGCAAGGGACGACAACCCGTGCCGGCACATCCCAATTGGCTGTCGTCATCAACCTGGGGAAGTTTTGAAGCATCCGGGAAACATCCGGGGAACCTTGTAACCTCTCGGCCATCCCGCCAGCCATACTTTGTGTTCTTTTTTTTTTCTGGAAAAAACCAAAGGTGGCAGGAAGAACATATGCACATAACCCACCCTCCCACAGATCAGAATGCGGGGAGAATGGTCACCTCTAGTAACAGATAGACCTCAAGCCCGACGGAAAGCGATCAAGCCAGAGTGTCAATGTCGTGTAGTGTAGTCCTCCTTGATCAAAGTCCTCATGACAGAGCGAGCGTTGTTGCTCATTTCGGATATCCAGCCCAAAGAGCCCGAAGAGCCGGGAGCCACTTACCACTTATCCAACTTCACTCCATGACTTTTGGAATTAAGGATAGGAAGAAGCATATCAAGGACCAGACTAAGGTAATTCAGATTGTGAAAGTAAAGTAGTTGAGGCATGGAAGATAGATTTGTAAATTCTGTGTCCAAGAATAAAGTATAAGCAAGAAGAGGGTAAACAGGCACTGCACCGCCCAGCCGAGCCCAACCCAACCGCCTACCGACCGTCCAGCCTATGCGTTGCCCCCCAAGGTACCCAAGATTTTTCCAACCTTCCCATGTCCCATCCATCATTTCAGCAGCGAGCAAACATACGTCTCTCCGTGACATGGTATTCATCGTAACACACACAGAAAAAGTCCCAAAACTCGTTTCCTTGGTATATCCATCATCCGTCCACCCATCCATGAAAAGCCAGCCCACCCAAACAGAAGGAAACACATTTCCCATTCTCATCACATCGCATCCGTCATTCATGAACAATTTATGGTGCGTCCCACACACCCACACACACGCCCAAAAAAAGAAATCGCCCCCATCTGCCCACCCACACACAAATCATACTTTGTTGAATTTCCCGGCCCGGAAAAGTTCCCCCTTGAGGGTGGTAGTCATCCGACGCAGACCGTGCAGATTGCATCGGGAAAATAGGAGGAGAGAAGAGATGATTGGAGAAAAGAAGAAAAAAAAGGGCCCTCCCGAAGAAACCAAATTGGGAAAATAGAAGTGAAGAACAAAAGGGGTAAAAAGTAACACATCATATCCAACACAAGAATGCCCTTCCGATAAAGGGTGTCAGCCTAGTAGGCAAATTCCATGCCCGCCTGCGCCGGTGCATGATGGTGGTGCGGATGAGCATGGTGCGCCATCAGACCGCCGTAGTCAACAGCATGCACCATCCCCCCTTCTGCAGAAGTGACGGAGCCCGGCCCTCCCTGGTGGTGGTACCCGGCCGCCGCGGCCGCCGCAAACTCCGCTGCAGCCATGGCCGCCGACTCGTCGACTGGGCTGCCCAGCGTGACGTGCGGGTGCGAGTGCGAGTGGCCGTGCCCATGCGGGTGGCTCGTCGGGGATGGGGTGCTCGTGGGCTGGGCCCCCCAGTACATCCCGTCGAGGTCACCCCAGAGACCGCCTTGGTCGAGCAGACCCATCATGCCGAGCCCGTCGACGGGCTCGAGGCCGATGGGGCTCATGTGCATGCCAGCGGCGTCCGCGGCGCCGGGAGAGGCCATGAGCATACCGTCGGCAGCACCACCGGCCGCGCCCGCGCCGGTGAGGACCTGGATGGTCGGGCTAGCGGCGGCGCCGGCGCGCTGCTGCTCGACGAGCTGGCGAGCGGCCTCGTACATGCGCCAGACGACCTCGCGCGAGCGGCGGGCAGCGAGCGACCACTCCTCCATGACCTCGAGGAGGTCGAGGACGGCCTCGATCTGCTTGAGCCACTCGGGCACGCGGGGGGAGCCCCACTGCCAGAACACGCTGACCAGCGGCACCATGGCGGCCTGGTACAGGTACCAGACCGCGTTCCAGCCGCTCATCTGGTTCCGCGCCCACTCGCGCGCAATGTCGTCAATGGTTTGCGCGGCGAGGTCGCGGCACGTCTCGATGGCGGCCAGGTCGGCGTCGCAGGCCTGCGTGTGTGGGTTCAAGCCCGACGAGGCGAGGGAGAGAAGTACGGGGCGGTGCAGGAGCATGCGCAGGTTCTGGTAGCGCCACTTCATGATGCAGCGCGCCATGTAGAGGGGCTCAGCGCATGGGTCGGTGGTGCGGAGCAGCCAGGGCAGGGAAGTGTACCAGTTGACCAGCTGCGCATCCAAGCTGCAGCGGTCTTCGGTGCGGAGAAGGGGCGTGATAGCGAGCATGTCTTGGATCTGTGTTGAGATCTTGCAGAACTTGATGTTCTCAATCAGTGGCAGGATACCACCCGACTGCTGGGACGAGTCGCGGCTAGCGTTGACGCCGAACTCGGGCGGGCGGATGTTGATGGCCGGGCCCCAGCGACCAAACGACGGGCGGCCGGTGGTAGTGGTCGCGCAGGTGTCCAGGCAGAACAGCGACCACCAAGTGCGCCGGCGGGTCTCGGCCGCGACGATGTCGCTGCTGGACTGTGCGAGGGATTCGCGGTGCAGGCCGAGCGCGCTGGCCATGCGGATAGCGGCGCCGAGGACAGCGTTGGCCATGTTGGGGCGGTTGATGTAGTGTAGGTAGAAGCCGCCGACGAGAGCGAGCGCCTGGACGATCTCTAGGTGGCTGCTGCCCAAGGCATCCATGGGCAGGTGCTCCATAGCACGGTTGTAGTAGTTGATGTGGTTGTAGTCATCTGACTTCATGGCCGCGATGCTGCCCATAGCGAAGACCATATTGAGGAGCGCAAGCCACGGCGCATCAGTCCGCTGGCCCTCGAGATAGTCGGCCCGGAAGCTGCTCTCGTCGAGCATGGGCGCAAAGGAGTGGATGCGCTTGAAGTAGGCGTCGATCAGGGTCTGGCCCTTCCACGACCAAGGGATCCGTTGGGTGTCCTTGGGCGCTGAGGAAGAGGAGGACGACGATGACTTTTGGCGAGTTGTGGGGAAGTTGTGGGACATGTCAACGTTGCTGAGGGGTGCAGCGAGAGTGTTGCGCAGGCTGGGTTGCACCTTGAGCATGGCCATCAGGGCAGCCTTGATGGATGAGGCGCCAAGGTAGGAGGCCTGGCGGTCGACCGAGAGGGAGAGGGCGTTGATGTCGTCGGCCTCTGCTGGGATGGGGTCCCGTCCCCTGCGCTCCTCATCCCATTCGGTATCCCGTGAGGGTAGCTGCTCCAGGATGTTCTCCGACTTGGGCATCATGGGCGAGCCAAGGTCCGAGATGGGTGAGGTGTTGATGGGTGGTGATGGCAGACCGCCCACTGAGGTGTCGAGCATGGGGCGATCTAGAAGGTTGAGGAGTTCTTGCCTCGACAAGGGCAGGAGGGCCTGCACTTCCTGGTTGGGATACAACCGCTTCAGGATGGAGCGGCATTCTTCGAGGGACTGGGAGAGGGCTTCGAGGGTCTTGCGAGAGGGGATCACCCGTTGACGGTGCTTGTCATAGAAGCACCTCTTGGGCGCCCTGCTGGAGAGGCATTGGCCGCATGGTTGTTGACCATCGCACCGACTGGTAAGGTTACGCTTGTTAGGGCTTCTGCTTTCTCTCTGTGTATGTTTGTATCATTGATGGCTTGCATGAGCTCCGCCAACTTACATCTTGCGCCTCTTGCACTCGGCACAGGCGTGTGGTGTGGTTATCCTCTTGGCTGTGCCTGCGCCGCTGGTCTTGGTGTTGTCTTGCGAATCTGCCGATGCCTTGCGAGGAGTGACTCCTTGAAAAGTGTGGAACATCCCGCCCTGAGTGGGCACCGGGATGGTTGGTGCCATTGTGATGATGGATGAAGAGAGGTCTGAGGTTGAAGATCGAGGTAGTAGAAGTATCAAAGGGGTATCTCTGGTCAAAAGTTGCTTGGGACCGGCCCGAGACGTGACGCCGGGTCGAAGAAGGTAGTGATGAGATGGATATGGTTTTACACAGCCTTGTTGTACATGAAAGGCAATGCCGAAGATGTGGTATTCAACCTCTTGACGACAGCCACAGTGGTGATAAAGATAGACATTGGCAATGGCGGCTGCGAGGCGAGACCGTGGGGAGCAGATGCAGACTTATATATCTACATTGCCGGATGCAGCTGCGAGTTGGGGTTGGGGCTCCCCAGAAAAGTGTGGGGAGAGCGAGATGGGAAAAGATGGTCGGTTAGCCAGGCCGCCATGGGGTGGGGAAAAGGTACCTACCCCGGCTTGTGTTCCCTGGTCCGGCTCTCCGCTCTCTTTGTACCCCCCCCCCTTGTTCTGCGTCGTCGTCCCTCTTTTCAAGTTTCCACCCCCTCCTCGAGGGTACACTGCACGACGAAGTACTCATTAGGGTACCTTCGTACCGTTGCAGCAGGCGAGACGCGGGCGCTTGGACGATGTGGACACTGGAACAGCGGTCCCATTGCCAACGCAATTTGCGCTGGTATGGGGCCCCCAGTATAGCTTTGCCAGTAAGGTCGAATTTAGAGTGTGCGCGTACAAGGCAATGTTCAGCGCCCTCGTTACCCAAGTGGCTGACGCGGTTGGTTAATGCCGCGCGAGAACCGTCTTTCACGAACCGGCGAGCCGACACCAGAAAAATAAGAGAGGCTTGATGGACAGGGGGTAAGGCTGCTGGTTCGGGAACAGCAATGGCGGGCACCACCAATCAGGCCTGACATACCCGCAGGTACTGTCAAGGACTGCGCTGTACCTGGCTCGACATATTAATATCAGGCACAGTACAGGTCACGCTCACCCGCCATCCCGATGGAGATGGAGGGAGGCAAGTAACTAAACCTGAACGCGGAGAAGGCGGAGAAAAAATAGACAAGAGGAAAAAAAAAAGACCAAAACCATCTCTGCCCACTCACCCACACCCACTCTGCACATTGTCTGGGGAAGCATCAGGCCCTGACCTCATCAACCAGCCAGCGGTCGCCCTCGGGTCGGTGGCGTTTCAGCGCCGTGGCCGGGGTGCATGGGGGATGGTGGGCGAGGGAGGCATTTTCCCCAGCAATACCAGACGAGCCAGAGAACGCCCGAGAAGAGACCTCGCTCGCTATTTCCCCTCCCATGCTGCACGTCAGCCAGGGATGCCGCACCCAGGCCACACGTGGGGCTGCTGTGAACAGCAGAACGCTGTGCTTGGTTGTACTGCGGAAAGCCATCGAAGTAACTTGCCGAAGATCCTGATGATGTTACACTGGGGTATCGGCTGCCGAAGCCGCTGGAGACATGGGAAGCGTTGGCGAAAGGTCCCCGCCACTTTCCTGGTGCAAAAGGTGCAAAAGGCCGTGCAAAAATGCTGTTGTTCGTTGACGGAGCCATGCTAGGGGGAGCCCAGTTGGAGTCGGGGTCCCCCACAGCTCCTTGAAAGCCGTGGGATCGAGGAAGAGGACTGCCGCAAGTTGTTGGTAAAAGCGAGATGAAAGGGTCGATTCCACACACACGCAACCCATCGCGCCGCTTTTTCTGTGTTAGGAGTTCTGCGCCGTCTTGTGGGAAGACACCCCCAGGTACGGAGTAGCCTCGTCGCGAAGGAATTGGAGAACAGTGGAGAGAGTGCCCGCGTTGGAGAGTTGGCTGGAGAGGGGGACCGTCGGCCCCAGGAACGCTGCTTTCTCCCCCCTTGGGCGCCGGCAAGTTTGTGGAGAATCCACTGCGTCGTCGCCATCTCATTGGTGTCCGGCTCTCTTCAACGGCCAGCGCCCCAGGGATCTGCCCGTTGGCCCCCCTTCGATCCGGACAGACAGGGGTCTGAGTCCGGGGTTGTGGTGGTGTGGGGCCTGAGCTTCTCCAGCACTCCAGCTCGACTGTTTCGCGAACCGGACAGCTTGGGCGCTTCTCTCCAGATTTTGGCAGGTTTGGACGAGCTGGGGTGCATACATCGTACTGTAGCGGGAGACGGAAACGGATGTGGCGCGCCGAAAGGGTGGTGAGAAAGACGATATGATCCAGGTACATCCGCTCACACTGCCTTGCCCCCATTGTTGGAGGTTGCGGACGCGAGCCGCAGTTGTAGACTACACTATACTGGGGGGCGTGGACACGTTGATTTTGCGAGTGAGTTCTTGTTCTCTCTCATCATGGCTCGACTCATACAGCGCAGTCAATCTCAACTTGGAACAGCGCATGCGACGTTCCCGATGTGGTCACCTATCAATTCCTTTTCCGAGAGGCCTCTCACGCGACGGTACCAGAGGATGTTCAAAACGATTGAAGTTGAGGCAGGGAAGTGAGGGTTCTGGCCTCGTTCGCTTGTCGTGTTGCCCCTCGCGCTGCGGGGTCGGGGGCTTCAGATCGAGAAGAATCACGAGAAAAATAGATGGCAGAGTGGCGAGTTCAGCTCTCGTTGAGGCACATGACTGCGCGCGCAACTCCCCGAACCGGGGGTTTCCATCGTCCAAAGTTCGCCTGACCTTGTGTTTTGCGGTTCCTCGTGGATCTTGTGGAGTTCTGGGCGCTGGCCGAGCCGCCTCTCCACCGTCTCCAGCGCCCGAATTCCGCAAAGCGGGACAGCATCACTGCACGACAACACGCACCCACCAAGGGTTCGTCGCCCGCTCACGGGGTGTCCTTTTGGTCCGGCTGTTCCGTCATGCTGGCGGGCCCGCGATCAGGGGAAGCGCGAAAAATGTGAGCCGGGCCTCGAACGCTGCGGTAGGAGAAAAAAAAGTTAAAATCTGAGAGGGCGAATCGAAAACTGGGTCCCGTCCTCGGCCGAAGGACAGCGGGACGGAAAGCTCGCTTTGTGCCGTCTTGCGTCCTGTCATTTCGGTGCGGCCGCGTGATTTTGTGACGCAGTCTTGGTGTTGGCCGCAGGTCCCTTTGTGAGGACCTCAGCCAAATCGAGCGACTGCCCATCAACGACGTTGACGTTTTGGGGTTCGAGGTCTCCTTGGTGTTGTCTTTTTTTTGCTTTGTTCGTTTGCGGGACCAGGGTCCGTCAGCAGTCCCGCAGTCCCGTTCTCGGCGTTTGAAAAACGATCCTGCGCCCACCGTCGCACAGCTTGCTGCCCACTTCCCCCTGGCCCTGCACAAGATGGAGAGTGACATTTTCGCTGTCTTCCCGGCTGTGCCGTGGCCACGCAGCGGGAATCGAAGGGGTCGGTGACACGGACATGACAGACAGAAAGCGACAACACTGACAAGCGTGACAGCTAACGTTAGCCGACCCCACACTTGCCTCGCTCGAGCCGGTTCGCAGGGAAGAACAATCCTGGCAACCTGGCAAGGCGTCGCCGAAAAGGCAGTGGAAGTGAGACATGGCTTGTGCTTTTCGCCTTCTGGAAGTCCCAGCTTTGCGGATTTCAGGGTTGGTGAACCTGGCGGATGGTCTGAGCCAGCCCGTCGACGCCGAAGGAGGTGTCGTGAGAGTAGGAAAAAAGCATTGAGCTGAATGGTAAGAATTGAACGTTAGGCGTGGTACCCGGACACGCCAGGGAGCTAGGAAGGTCAACGTTGAAGTCCATATCCGCAGGCGCGACGTCTCGGCAGAGCCACAATTTCGAGCTCGGCAGAGCAGGCGCGAGTGGCTTGCTAGTGGCTTACACACCTGGCGTGTGGCTTCGGTTCGACGGCTTTCACCTCCAGATGTTCCATGAAACGGTGTGGCGCCCGTGCACGAGAGTCTCCACGTGCTCCGTGCTCATCTCCCGCCCGCATCAGCCTCGCAGTCTTCTCTCTCCGTGTCCGGGCTTTCGTGGACGGTGTTTGTGTGAAGTCCTCCGTACCCGGGCTCCCCTTCATCCACCCCTTACACCGCCGCTCAAGGAGGTGCCAAGACGGTGTGCCCGGCGAGCAGAAGGCAAAGTTGTTGCTGAGTGGAGTGGGAGCGTGGTTCGTCCCAAGATCCTAGCCGCCTTCAGAACGTACAGACAAGCACCTGGTGGGTGGTGTTTGCGAATGAGAACTTGTTGGCCTCTCAGTCAGAGTTTTGAGTTTCTTCCCCACAATCAATTGACCCAATCACAACCGCAGGATTCGCTGGAATCGCGGCAAAACGAACCGAACCTGGGACGTGTCCAGGAACAACTGAGGTAAGCTAAGAGTGCCGATCCCCATTGTTGCGTGAGTTATTGTTCGGCCACCCGGCTCAACAACTGAGCACAGATGACTGTGACTAGTTATTCCTGGTCTAGAGTTAAGGTTGCAGCCGTGGGATCTTGTGTGGACAGGTCGACTCGCCGGAGAAAAGCATTGATCAATCAGCTCCAGCCCCCTCCATACTCCGACAGTAAATCAGCCCACTATCCGTACCTCGTCGTCGTCAACTCGCGCAGAACCAGGCCTGTACTATTTTCGGCTTGGCGGTGTAAGTTAATTCCTCTGTACTCACGTCCGCCAGATCGTCCGCCCGTTGGCTTCTTGGGCTTCGTGACGCGCCTCCCCCTCAAAGCTCGGGCCAAGAGGTGCGGTCGTGATGGTGTGGTGGGCGGCTTGCAGCGGTGGCTTCCTCGGCCGAATTCGCAACGCAAAGCAACATCGTCGCCCTGTGAGGTGGGCTTGCAGCAGCTTCAACCCCTGCCACAGCGTCAGAGGGAGCGCGGGTGAGGAGGCTTTCGCCGACACCTGTGACAAGCACAAGAATGGGCAGCTATCCCTAAAACGGCTTAGACCTTGCGAGCTTCGGCATGCGCATCCCAGTTTTCCCCACAGGCAAAATCCAAGATCGAATGAGCGTCCGAACACCTTCGACCAGCCAAAACCTTCCACGGGTTCATCAGCCACCAACCGCTTCCACGACGAATGAAATTGTCTGTTCAACGGGAACATCCTGGCCCTTGATCTTCGCTGCCTCTTTTGACCGCCAGCAGCATGCGCACAGACGTGATGGACAAGCATGTGCCTGCCATTCCATGCTTCTCGAAGCCCATCAAGAACTTCCAGCGCAGCACGCTAGAGCAGGATCCAGGAGACAGGCTATGGGGGCGTCAAGATGGAAGGAATCCCGGGACTGATGAACATGGAACGACAAAGTAATCCTCGGAGACGCCAGCGCCATCGTGCCCCCAGCCCACTCCCGATGAATGACCAAAGCCCGGGGTGCAAATGTTCGCTGCGAGCTTCTCGACCCGGCCGTCCCTGATTCCAGTGTCAGCGTTAATTTAGCCTGCCTCAAATCCAGGCCATCTCGTCTTCATATGCCATAACGCAGCCATCTCCGCCAAACCTATCTCGACCCGTCGCTGCCCGATGCTGGGACATCTCACAGTACTCTTCGGCTCCTCGCCTTCCCCGCCCCATTTTGCTCCTCCTCCTGTCATCTGACACTTAGCACTTGGCTCGCCCCTCAACTGGGCGAACTGCAGCCCTCTTGGAGGTGTAGTGCGGTGCGCGGCTGAGTGCGCCATCGCATTGATCAGCGCCTTGGTGGTGTGTGTCGCAAGGAAATTGAGAGGCTTGACTGGAGGTTTGACTGGGGTCGGGGGTGTTCCTCGAGTTAGCCTCCTCGCCCACGGGCTTCCTTGAACGACGGGAGGACGGGATGTCAGCGCCGCGAAGCCGGCCGGCCGGTCGTGGCTGGGAAGCCCAAGCATCGGCCGTTCGCCACGGCCATCCCGAGATTCAAGCCATCACACCCCCCAATAACGAACGTCATGGCTGCCCGCTGCCGGCACACAGTTGCTCGCAAGGCGTGGGCAAATTTGCCATGACTCCATGAGTCTCCATTACCCTAAAAATCGAGGATTGTTTCAAGGCTCGCAACCCTTCCTTGCCTCCGGCTCCAACTTCCTTCCAAGCGGGAGAGGGGCAGGCGGGCAGGGTAACATCGAGAAGGCCGCCCACACGAGAATTCTTCTGAAAACTTCAAGCTTCAGGTTTTTACCAATTTTCCGCCATCCACACTCCCAGCAACCGCAGTATGTGATCGACAGAGCCAAGTGTCTTGTCTCTCACTCTGCTTTGTTACTGTGTCGTGTACACTAGGGTAGGCCGCCCTCTCTCAGATATCGAAGACCAACAAGCAAAGCAAGTCCCACAATACACGTATACACCCCCCCTTGAGGCGATCCGAAACACCTATTCCACCCATTCCACCCATTCCATGTCTGGCCATGAGGATTTGGCATACATTTATAAGCGCGGCGCATGAAGGGGGATTCAACGGTTCCAAACTCTCTGCTGGGTCTTCGGGTCTCCACCGTTCATCCTGTTCATTATGTTCATTCAACAACCCGTTTTCCCTTCATTTTCATCTGGCAATTCCGGCCGCCCCCGCTCAACAGCGAGATGTTGTCGCAGGACGGTATAGATTATCAGAACAGTCTCGCCCGTCCCCTGCACGATAGAGCCAGCGTGTCAGCTCCTCCATCGTGGGACATGTGATCCTGCACAGGACAAGATGTCGCCGCAGCCGCATCCGACGCTACGTTTCCCGCCGTCCCCATCCCGTTTGCCTGCCTGCCGTCCGCCGACAGTCCTGTTCCTGTTCCTGTTTCCGTTTTTTCTTGGCTTCCAAGTCCGGATGAGCAACCAAGGCACGGACTCTGTGCAGTGCCAGTCAGGGACTGATCCCGATGTCGTCGTATCGCATACCACCTCGCTGCATATGCAAGGAGGTCTAGTGCCCTCTTCTCTCGGCCAAATCGCCCAGCGTTCCGGACTGGACGTCGGAACAATCGCCACACTGATCCGTTGAGACCTGGCAGTGATCGCCCATGTCGGCCTCCTGCTCCTGTGGTTGTGTGGCTGCGATGGAAGTTTCCTCGCCGCCCCACACGCATGTTCTCCAACATTTTCCCCAGACTTCTTCACATGAGACAGCGGCAGGAAACCATGCTCCTGCTCATCGTGGCTTGCAGGTTGATCAGAGCCAAGATCTGATAACGGGTGCTCTTGCCGGGCCTCCCGTCATCCGGCCTGGGGTCTCTCCCTACACGTAAGCTCCCAGGACATAGAGAGAGGGGAGAGAGGTGACAGAGTGGGAGAAAGTCTGGGGGGGAAGACGGAAAGCAGCATCCTCTCCCACTCCGCACCCCAAGACCGGGCCGCACACATCGTCGACGGAATACTCCGAAGGGTGACACACAAGAGAGGACACGATATCTTCACCACAGATTATTGATCAAGCCCGGGCCCACGATCCGGGTCCTGCGTCTTTCTTCCCCCCTTTTTCCTCTCTTCCATCGTCGTTCTCGCCCACCCCTTCACCACGACATCATTTTCCCATCGTATACAGTGTACATAGTATGTACGAAGTATGCACATACTTTTACCGCCCGCTCTATCATAGGAGCAACGGCTCGCCGGGAACATTCTTAACCGCTCGCTCCCCTGTGGTCCCCAGCGAAGGGGCGGTCGGCGATAAAGAAAGTAGGTGTACATGCGTGTAAGTGGAAAAGAGGGAAACTTCCGAAAGGCGTCTACTCCTCCAGCGAAAAGTCCGAGGGTTCCATTCAGGCCCTGCGGTCCGAAGCGTGTAAATCGACGTTCGGGGTCTCAAACCGAGTGGGGGCCTTCTTCTTTTTTCTGACTGCTTGCTCCCTTTCTCCAAAAAAACGAAAACAAAAACGCAACGTCTTTGTTGGAGAAAGGAGGGGCAACTGGCTTGGTGTCCCCGCAGCAAACAGGCGCGCGCGAACAGCAGAGCAGCCCAGGCTATCGGACTGACGGGCGGGCAGCCCAGAAGGTCGCAGTGTCACTGGATCCCCTAGTCAGGCCAACTGCTGGGATTCACGATGCTGCATACAATACAGACCGCCATCGTCCATCCATGTCCAGCCTGCCGGCGACTGATGAGACAAGTCAGCCCATATCCGTCCTTGACGGATATTTACCAAACCATCAAGCGGGCTTCCTATCCACCTCGACGTATCCACTTGCCAGCGGCTGCGGTGACCGCCCGTAAACCTTTCTTCTCAATGCTACGATGAAGGCTTGGCTGACGGCGGACTGACTGGTCGGATGGTTGATTGACTTGTCTTGCTGACTCGGTCTGGTTCACCACAGCTCGACCTGGCCGGCGCTTGGGTCACTGACCTGATAACCTTGGCAAGACAAGGTAACGACCACGAATCCACCAGAAAAGACGATACAGGGAGAGCCAGTAAGCCAGCAAGCGAGTGAGTGGGTGAGTGGGCCGGCACGTTCAGCCATCCGTCCAGCCGACTGGCACCGCCTCAGCCCAGCAGACGCCGCAAGGTGACGAGACGGAAAGCGGTCAGGTCATGCATGGCACAGGAGTTCACGATGGCAGTCTACACTAGGCAATGGCACGCCGTGACAGGCAAAGCCGCATCGTGGCTCCATACTCGGATACCAAGCAGGGAAGACCACCACCTCGCCTGACAAGCGGGCCTCAAGCGGGCACGATGGCTGGCTATAGTCTCACTCCGTCACTCACTCCAGTCCTCGCCTTGTTCCTGTGGGGGTTTCGCGTGCTCGCGGCAGGTTTTACGGCCAAAGCGAGGCCAAGCGAGCCCATTCCGACCGGTGGAGCAGGCCGGTAAGTCCGATGGACAACGATGATGATGACGACGGCGGCGAGAAACCACCGACAAACACAGTGGTCGTCACATCTGACCAGCCAGTAGTATGGACGTGTAAGTAGTTCGTTTCTGGGGTTCGAAGATGAAGAACCAGATCAGCCAGTCAGGGGGGAACGCGACGCTCAAAAGGGATATCCCCAGCCTCTTTCGTACACGACCTAAGAAATACATGGACGGGTACGTATGTAAACTACCCAAGGCGATCATATCGGGAAGTGCGAGTCAGTTTGTGGCGATGGAGGAGCAGTTTATGGTTCAAATGGGACCGTGAATGAGGACCATCTGTATGAGATATATCATCCAGCACCACATCTTGCTGCATCACTGCCGCTCATCGAGGTCGATCAATGTACATCATCGAGGAACAAGCACGACAAGTTCGTCAAGCAACGACAAGAATGGAAAAAGAGTGTTGGTGTAACAACCCGCTCAACCCGCCGTGCCCGCCACTGCCGAATACCATGCCATGCCCCATGCCATGCCATGGAAAACTCATAAAGGCCCGTGTAAGTGATGATACCCCTTTAAAGTGGCAGAGCAGATCGGAGATCTTCCTCATCCCAATCACCGTGTAGATCCTTTGGACGATGCCTTCGTTTCCTACTGCGTAAATTCATCCTTTCTCTCTCTTTCGCCCCTTCGCGCCTTCACCATTGCTGGGACCACAGCCAAAAAGATCACAAGAGCAGAACTGAACGCGTGGTTAAACCCGGGCGGATCTGCAGACCCCTGATGCCACTGCAAAATTCAAATACCCAAGATACGACTGATACCCAGGAAGGGGGGTGGGTGGGTGGATAAAAGCGACACGGGCAAATGAAAGAGGTCAAAGGCAGAGGCCAGCACAGAACAAACGTACACAGCACACAGCCCAGATGCACTATCTTGGCTCATGCAGGTCATTTTATCTTCCCTTATTCTCTCAAAGTCATTAATTCCATTCCCGTTTTCGTTCAATCATTCATTTGTCCCCCTTATCATTGGTTCGTCGGTGCTGGAAGCCGGGCCGGAGGGGGGGTGTGTCTTTAAATGTGTGACTGGTGAAGTTTTCTCTCCTTGTTGCCTCCCACCTTCTCGGCCGGCGTCGTCGGTCTAATTCTTGGACATCCAGGCCCAGCCGGAAGAAACCCTGCATCCACACACCCACCCACTGGCCCCTCCTTTTGTGTCTGGTCCCCTTTTTTTTGTTGACTTGCGAGGCGTTTTTTGATAATACCCGGCTCTGTGGTCCTGGGTTCCCGGAATGGCAGGAAGATATTTTCATGCTTAGGCCTCCCTGCTTCCCAAGATAGCCTCCATTCCGAGCTGACTGACAACAGTCAACGGCTGAGCCTCCCAGTCACCAGTGTACCCAGGCTCCTCGGTCGCACTTCACATCAGCTCGAAGAGTTCCAGACGAGGCGAGACGAGACGAGACAGGACAGGCTGTGTTCGCTTCAGCACGAACCCTGCAACCGCCAATGCTCGTGAGAGAGTCAGCACAGGACAGCACAGCACAGCACGTCAAGCAAGCGCCTGTCTTCCACCATGTCCCATTCTTGGATCTAAACGGAAAACGATGGAAAGACTGCGGACGAGACACCCCCTCTGCCCGCCGCCACCAAGAGTCCAGCACGTCTTGGGCCTCGCCATGACCCTGCTCTCCTGCCTTCGCCGTCGTTTGCCGACGGCGAGTGACGCAAGAGATACCAGCAGACGGTGCCAGTCAGCCGAGTAGACGAGGTTAGGCGAGCCAAGTCTGTCCCAGTTTCCTCTTCTTTTCCCTCCTTGGCCTGATCTGCTTCCTCTCTTCATCCTTAATCTCGGCCTTCTCTCGGTTCTCTGCCAAGTTCTCAGAGCCTCAAGACTTGCACACGCCCCCCAATACCGTCATACACACACGTGTTGTCGGCGGGAATGTATTGCTTAGTCACGATTTTGATGGTCTCCTGTGCCACAATGCCGCCCATTAGGGCCGCCACGTTGTGCAACTCACCGCCCTGGGCGCGAGCTACCTCTTGCGCGGCTTGAATAACCCGCTCCTGCTTCTCTGCCCCGGGAACTTGGGCGGCGATGGATGCGAGAATCGAGTCCGCGTCGAATGATGATGCTGAGCTCTCGCCTTCCAGTTCGTTTCCCCCACCTCCTGCCGCCGTCCCGTTTGTAGATAGACCCACGTGGGCCGTGGCCTGCAGAGCGAGATAGATTGGCAGGAGGGAGAACGGGGAAAGTGAGAGGGCGGCGGTCTCGTCGGCGGCGAATTCGCGGTCTATTCAGGTGTAGGGCGATGTCACCCTCTCGTCAGCACTCGTTTTCTGCGTTCATTGTCTTCCTCTTTCCCCCCAATTCACGTCTTTGCCCTTTTCTCTGTTTTCGCTTCGTCTCGCTTGATTTCTCGCTTCTTTTCGCTTCCCCGCCTTTCTCGCCGTGTTCGGCGAAAGGGAGAAGTGGAGGGAGATGAGCGAGGGGGAAGAAGAAAGCCACATGCAGATAACTCGTCCCCGCAAAGCGTCGAGACCATCTGGTGCGGGGGAGCGAGTGTGGTGGGGAGGTAGAAGAGGGGAGGGGGGATCTAGGTGCTTACCTGCTGCTGACTTGAGTCGATCGGCCTTGCTGATCTTCACAGCTGTTGCTGCACCGCTCGTCGCGTTAATTAACTTGACGAAAGCTGCGTTCTTGCAGAAGAGATCCACCTCTGCCGGATCAATAAGGTCGCCACCCGGCGCGGCCTGTGCTATTTGCAGTACCTCCGCTGCGTCCTTGCGCGCCTTCGCCTTGTAGATACTCTGGAGCTGAATGTACACCTTAGATTCCGCTTTCATGTCGGGCAGCTTGCCGGGAAGGGGAAGGCACTGATGCTTCTCATAGAATTGTTTGACGGCGTCGGCGATGAGCCAAAATCCTGATCGTTGTTCAACCTAGAGGCTTCTCGTCAGTAATAGGCATCACCATGGCCAACCCTTGTGCGAGTGGGAGTCCAAGCGGGGAAATCTTACGGGGTCGGTATGCTCGTACTCGAATACTTCCTTCAAGCCAGACGGCAGAGACGGCACAACTACCGTTTTCACAACGGCAGCAGCCGCCTCCTCAAAATTCTCCTCGCCACCTTCCGGGTTATTGGTCCTCGCTGCAGCCTGCACGATCTTACGGAGTTCGGTCTTTTCCTTGAATGTTGCGGGGTATTTGCCGTCGTGTGCCACCTTCCACTCCTTCAGGTAGTGGAGAAGAATGACTACATATGGCAGGTGACCATGTTCAAAGTTGTCTAGACCGTCGATATCCTTGGTCAGTTCGTCGGCGAAGGACACTAGCTCCGGCCAAGGGCCCAACAACCTCAGGTCCGTCGTCGCCGTCTCGTCCGGATGCGTGTCGACGATGGGGAAGGCTCCACGAAGGTTCACCTGGAAATACGAGTAAAACCCAGCAGAGTGAATCGCCACGAGCGGGGTCTTGTGCTTTTGGCCGTAGGCTTCAAGACTAGCGAGCTGCTCGGGGCTGATAGGGTGCGTGTACAGGATGATTGTGAACACCGGGGATGCGGCCAAGAGCGAGTCGAGCGTCTTCAGCTCCTATATTGACCACGTGAGTGAGCATGCGACTCCCTGCACCACTCGCCGAGATTTGTTTGACCAGTTTGATCGACCTACCTCATTCGGATACCAGGTGCCTTGTACGTCGGGGTTGAGCTCCAGGATGAGCTCCGTCAAACTCTTGGATCGAGATTTGCCCAGACTGGCCTCATCTAGGAAGAAGTTGACACCCAAGTCGGCCTCGGAGACCTGCGTCTCGTCGTAGATGGCGAAGCGCCCGATGCCTGGAAACGGGGCATCAATATCGAGCTCAGGCTATGGCTTGTTGCGGGGGGTGAAGAAAACCTCACTTACCTGGCAATACGAGGTTCTTAAGGGTTTCTGCGCCGACCGTCCCAGCTCCCGAGTTCACAAGGAGGATGTTCGCGGACTCTAGCGCGGCCTGACCGCTGGCCGCCCACAGCCGCAGTTGTCGGTCATATTTCCGTTCTTTTTCTGAGGGCCTGTGGAGGATCGGAGGCGTCTGGGACATAATGATCTCGGTCATGCTGCTGTAGGACACTAATCCGGGCTTATCGAGTGAGCCTCTACAGACTGTAATGAAGTCGATGTGAGCATGAAGTTCTATTTCGTGGGGTGCTGTTGGCTGTCTCTGGTCCGCTGACAGCTGATGCCGGCAGCTAGTGGGTTGGTGCCTGCCGAATCGCGGGCCGGAACACAGGATGTGGGGAAGCTGCAGCTCGTGCCACATTGGACCTTGCTGTGGCGCAGGGGCATTTGTGGCGTCAGATTAGTTAGGACGCGCCAACTGCTTTCGACGAGTTGGTTACCAAGTAAAAACTCATGATACTTACTCGAGCAACAAACGGTTGAAAATGATAATCAATTGCCTTTTATTACCAGTTCCTCATACTGCTGGTTTTTAGCCTTTCACATTTTTACAACAGCCCTTCTATTTTTCGTTTTATTTAGTTGCCCCAGATAGTATCCAGCCATATTTGGAGTACTCATTAGCCGCTTGACATTAATGGCAAACTAGGCAAGACCTTCAACGCAGCTTCCTCGCCAGACCGCACAAAGTCATACATGGTAGTTTCCGAAATGGGAGAGGCGACATGCAGCATTGTTTTCGCATTATTCATGCCAAATCAATCTTGCTATAATCATCCTTTGCACTCTAGGCGTCCGTTGCTTGATGTTTCGTAGTACTCACCGGCTACCCCTGAAGGTCGTAAACACACCGATGTGGCCTTTCGAATGCGGAAATGGAACAACATCTAAACTGCAACGTACAGGAATGTAACTCCCAATTAATGAACCAAGCAGTGGTTACTGTGTGCAGGTATGTCAGCCTCAATGCCCAAGGCTCTACTGCATTCAACTTACGTTTCTCAAGCCATGTCATATGTTCACGGTGTGCAAACAACCATGGGCTTGCCGGATCCGCCCCGTTTACTTGCCCGGTTTGTAGCCAGTCTTTGGGAGTTTCTGAAGTGTGCGAGCAGGTTCTCCAGCCCTCAGAAGAATGGAAATCGGTTGCCCTCAGCGGACTCAGCCCGACGATCGTCATGGAGTGCGCAGGGAGGGCGTTAGGGTTTTGGTCCTACCAAATGACAAACCAGATGTTTGTTTCTCCTTGCCCAATTTAAGCCTTGCTGGGCTATGACTTACTCCTGGAAGCTCATACCAAGTGCGGAAGAACAGCAAATTGAAGGACTATTGCGCAGAACTCCAAGGGGAGATTGAGAACATATGGGGCCAGGCAAACCAGAGGATAGGGACATTGACGGTCAAAATACGAGGTTAATATGTTCTAGGCTTCGAATATGGTGAGCACGGCTAATAAGTGACTTCTTAGATATGGAACGGGAAGAGCATGATTTACGACGCCAATGTGAAGAGCTTCGCCTCACACTGGAAAATCGAACTAGGGAATTGACGCAATCTCAAGAATTATACAGCAAACTAAAGCAACGAGTATTGATCGACCAGAGTCAACAAACACCTCCCGCCGCGCTGAGATCGCAAACTCCAATGCGGCCGCACGATACAATCGCTTCAACTCATGTGCAAGTCCCACAACTCCCTATCTCGGCCCAACACGCCAACCATGGCCTAGGGCGCCCTAACTATTTCCCCGCAAGCCCGGGACAACCAAGAGCACAAACTAGGTCAAACCTTATAGCAGACTGGAACAGGCCTACGTCTTACCCCCGTAAGATCCAATGCCCATCAATGGGTCTTCATTATGGGACTAACCTTCTGAGAATAGGAGTACCTGCCACGCCATTAAATAAGCCACAATTTACCACCCCTAAGTCATTAGCCTTCCAGTCGACGCCCAAAACGGGGGGTTCAGCGATGCTATCTAGACCGGGACCGGGCCAGCTTTACCAGGCGGCAGCAGGCCCTCAAAGTGTCGGAAGCAGCGGCCTGAGAGGGCTTTCCACGGCGAATTTAGGGGTTGCCGGCATTAAACGCTCCGCAAGTTGGGGAAATATTGATGTTCCTGGCCCTTCCTTTGGACAGTTAGGAGGTTCGCACCGTTCTGCTCCACATTCTTGGTTTCTCAAGCTAATCCATCCAGGCGTATCTCGCACACCCCCTGTGCCAAAGACAAGACAGGAAGAATTACACCACTTCGAACCTCCTGGGCAAATATTTCAACGTCCATGATCTGATTGCCTATGGCTACCGGGCGACCCTGAACGACTCTACCTGTAAATGCAAAAGAGGGCCACGATCGCGTATCATCACCGAATCATGAAACTCACGAAATTCCTGGACGCATCGTGTCGATGCTCAACCACCCTAAGTCCCGCCTAATTACTAAACTGGTTTCGTACACGATAGTTAGCCCTCGCGTGCGGAATCGGTAGAAGCCACACGGCCAAGGGTTAGGCAGTTCATTCAAAGTTAGGCACCCGCAAGTGGGAGAATAGGAGAGGATTTGTCACCAGTGACATAATAGGGGCGTCTGTTGAGTTTCGGGACTTAACTTAGTTTGAATGGGTAAACCTATTCCCGCATGAAGTGCCCGTCGGTGGTTGTCTATCACACTGAGGTATAGTTGATGAAATTTACGTTCAAGCTATTTGTCACTCTTAAATCACTGCAGAGTGCCGACTGCGGAGTACGGCCATCCTACAAAAAGCTAGGTGTGCTGAGTTACATCCCTAATTTGTCGCGAGACGCCCCTCAAGGACGTAATCAGGTAGAAAGAGATATGGCAGATGTAGATACTACAGGTTATTCTATACTAGGTATGTATCTATCTAGCCTCTGCCGCGGCATTCTGGCCAAAATAACCATAGGCACTTTTTGTAGGTAAGGAAGTCAGTGATGTACATCGGTAGCCAAACCCAAGCCAACACGATGTGCTCGGTCGCGCTGGCTCTCAATCCCATACAAAGCACTGAAACAGTCATTAAAAGGTATCAACACACATGCTCATAACGTATTAACAGAGGGGTATCTCACGCAACCCTTAACCACAACAGCAACAACGCCTAAATACCCCATCACGCCACATTTGCACACCCCGCCATCTAGTGATGAAGTAACATGCACAAGAAAAAGGAGATGCCGTGAACTCATGAGGACATTTTATCGCTTTTCCTCCCACATTCCTGACCTCGCTTCCTTTTTACCCTTACTGTTCCATTATGGTTCCTTCAACCCACTTTACAGCGCGTTCGGGAACTTGTCCCGAACAGGGGTGGAGGGACTCTGTCTCTCAGACATACTGTACGGTGCCTGTGTGATACATTCATCAGCATCTTGCCTTCTTCCAATGACAGAGCAGCCGGGGGCGAGCGGGGACAAAGATGAATAAAAGCTTACCAGGACTTCCTTCGCACTGCACACACGCCAGGCCAGTTTCCGCACCGTCCCATCAGCCGGCACAACCGCCGGCGCAAACTCGACACCAAACATGTGATGAATGGCATACACGACGCGCTTAGCATACTTGCTGTCTCTCTCCACATGTGCGCCGAACCGCTCCTCCACTGTGGCTGGCGCGATGTCCGGGTCACGATCCAAACAGTTACGCACAATCGGCAGTAGTGCGGCCTCGACGTCTTGAGGCCGCGCCGCGGCTTCGATTCCGCTGTCCTCGTCATCAACCTTGGCCAGGCGGACCTCGAAGGGCTCGGAAATCGACATGACGTTGTGGGCACCAGCGTGGTGGTAACGGAACTCGAAGACACCCTGGGTCCACCAAAGCTTGTCACCTTCAAAGACCATCTCGCCCTGGACGAGGTCGACGTCGGGGGAAGCCGTGGAACCGGTGGCTGGGCGGTCAAAGGAGACGATACCCTGGTCGGTGCTAGTGTCATATTCGTTGGCGCAGGTCGGAACCCAGCGGCCGAGCGAGGGGACCTCGGTTACGTCGCGCGACCGGTTGTCGGTGACCATGTACAGGCCGACCCAGTCCTTCTTGCTGTGGTTGACAGGGGCGGTCCACTTGACGCGGATTGGGGCGCCATACTCAAACACCTTGGTCTTCACGGGCTTAGCAACGCGGGCGGTTGCGCTTTCTTTGCCGGTGGCCTTCTCGTCGCCGCCCACAAGGGGTGTGCTCTCCATGGAGATGCTGTAGTGCTTGGGGTCGTAGCCGGCGAGGTCGGGGGAGATACGGCTGAGAGTAAGACGGGCCGGGTACTTGTTGAACAACGCAGAGGTGTCCCGGGCGATAGTGGATGAGCCGGTTCCCAGCCTTGTGCGCGCAACGTCGACAAAGTCGTCGAAGAAATGCTTGGAATCCTCCCATACCTTGTCCACGCTCATCTGTAGCCCCTTGACAGGGCGAGGAAGCGAGCGCTTGATGAACTTGGTCAGACCAGCCTCCTTGCGCAGGTTCTCGCCATAAATCTTTTGCATGTGAGGCTTCTCGACATACGAGATGAAACCGAGCGTCAAGATGTGCCCAATGAGAGCAATCAAGAAGATGGCACGACTCCAGGTAATAAGAGCCATACCCCACAATCCGGCAGTACCAATGATGCGCTCCGGGTTGTTGAGGAACCGGTAAATGGACTTGTAGGTCAGCTTTCCGGTGCTATCAAAGAAGAAGTCACCGTAGAACCAGCCAAACTCGCCCAGGGACTCGTAAATACTTGTAGCGGTCCAGATCTGGAGTGCCACCAAGCTCAGGCCAACCACATGCTTGAGAAGGACCCAGCCATAGCCCCAATCTGCCGGATAATGGTACATCTTCCAGCAGGCAGCGAGGAAGGAGGCATGGCAAAGGGTCATGCTCAAGTGGTACATGCCCCTCCACTGGCGCCAAGCTTCGTTTGCAGTTTCACCAAATTTGAGGAAGTGCCTCGTGAACATCTTCTCGTTTGACTGTTTGGTGAGGATGATACCAAGACCAATTGAGTACCACAGCCGCCAAACAATGGCGTTAATAACAAAGAGGGCCTGGTAGAGGGACGTGGGTGGGGTCACAAGGGCGAGAGCGGCAAAACAGGCGACGAGGAGTAGGGAAGTGTAATCCGTAATGCGGAACGGGTCAAAGTTCTTGATCCCCACCATGTTGTGAACCGGGAGAGGAGTGCCTGGGGCCGTGGTCGCCTTTTTGGATTCCGGACCGGTTTCAGCGTGGACACTAGCCCCAGACTCGGCGCGTTGTCGGGGCGGGGGTGGGTTGTATATTTTTTCGATGTGGGGGTTCTCGACAATGGCGAGGAAAGCAAACTGGGCAGCATGTGCAAGAATGGAAATAAACAGCACATCGTAGCTCGCAGCCATCGTAGAGATGCCATAGTACCCGGCATAGCCGATGGAGTACATGGGATGGGGGGCCATCTCGAACACACCGTCGAATGTAAGCTCCTGCTCGATGAGGTAGAAGAAGTCTGGCATGTGTGAGCTACGTTATGTGGCAATTGCTTGGACTCAATGTGGGTTAAAACTTACCACCCCAGTACCAGGCGTAATCTTTGACGACCCGATGCGCGTCAAGCTTCACCCACAGATTGAAACCAACGAGAGCAATGCCAATGACCCAACGGGCAGCAGCAATGACAAACCCTTCGCCCTCCGGCCGGTGGGCACAAACGATAGCAAATAGACAGTACGAGACAAAGTCGCACATGAGAATAAGATCGACCACGCGGCGGAAGACAAGCCAAGTGTTGTACTCCAGGGGGGCCTGTGCCATCTTGTAGTCGTTAGGAATTTTGGCCTCGAGCTCAGTCTCAAGGAACTTGTAGAGCCATGGGCGGGGGTTCTTCCCGGTGGAGGGGTTCTCAAAAAGGTTCAAGCGTTTGGCCCAAGTGACAAGAAGCTTGTACTTGGACTGAACTGTCAAGAGGTAGCCGATTCCCACGTTGTACGAGGCGCGCCAGAAGAGGAAGATGCATGCGAAGAACGGTCGTTTGAGGCTCGAAGGGAGGGCGTACGCGGTCCAAATGTGAAGGGCGAGAATAGCGAGCACGACGACATCGGAAAGATTCTTGGGTTCGCGGGGGTCTAGGAGCTGCGAGACCATGTCGTGTGTTTCGGGGACGACAAAGACTATACATCAAACACCAATGTCAGTATCTCTGTTGGGCTCGAATATGACGAAGGAGGGTCAAGAAATCCTAACATACCAGTCCCGTCCGGGGTACGCCCATACGTCTTTGTGAGACGAGGCTCTCCATTGTGTTCCTCCGTTATAGACTCGGTCTCCTCACTTGCTTGTGAGGTGGCGCTCACGGACGTCGACGATGGTGTGCGGTTGCGTTGGCGGACATGGTCCGGCCCGGCAGCCCAGGCGGACGATGCGCTCATTCTCAGGGTTCGGTGTTGAATACCGATTTCAGCAGAGACAAGCGTTGAGCTTTGCTCGCATCACCAGAGCGGCAGTGATGTCTGTTGTGGTGTTGATTACACCAGTGCGAATTGAGTAGAATTGGGAGGAGAGCGAAAGCGACGTGAGCGAGGGGTCCGGGAACAATCGACTCGTGTGACCCAGGCACAGCCAACAGATCTCGTAACGCCAAGACAGTTTAGACTTTGCCGTGCCGTCAAGCGTGGGTTTGTCGTATCGCACTTTTTGTCGGTCGAATTTGCCGCTGACACACGCACTCAACTTTGGAAAAAAGAGTTGCAAAAGAAAGCGATTGAAGCTTGCGGCAGCTGTAAAAGATACTCAACCTAAGGAGAGGCTCAAAGAAAGCTACGGTGAAGGTTGGAGCCAGCTGGCCCAACAAACTCGACCAGGGTTCCTGCTTTTCTTCACATGCCTCGATGGAGCAGTTTTTGTGGGTGCCCACTAGTGCCCATGGGGCCACGATACCAGCCAGTGAGATGCTCTTCGGTGACGTTGAAAGAGACCCGCATTGTGTTCTTTGGTTCCAGGGCATTCTATCAGGGCATTTTGGCTTGTGTGGCAACTTGTAGGCAAGACATTCGTGAGCTAAGCCCTTTATGGCGGGCCAAGCTGGCTCAAAGAAAGACTGGTTTTGGAGGCTCGTGGGCAAAAAAGGTACCATGTTTCATGTTGCATTGAGCTTTGATCTCATCGAAAGCCGGCAAGCCGGGTCCAGCAAGGAAGCTCGGGAGTCGGCAGGCACAGCCCAATGACCCCTCCAAAACTGCTGTGACCTTGCCCAACGCCGTCGCCGTGCATATCTGCCAGCGTGCCATTGGGTTTGATGAGGTTCTCATGCCTCAACCGCCCCCAAACCGTTGGCCAGCTGTTGCCAGCTGTTATCTTTTGACCCGACAGCTGTAGGTCTTTCCCCGGTGAGCTTGGTTCCTTGGCTCCCCAGGATTCCTCGACCTTCGCATAAAATTGACGGACAGGCATTTCCCTCGCCCAACATGAACCTAGTCCTTTGCTCTTATGGCGGGGAAATGTTTTCCTATCCCGCCGGTAGGAAGGACTGTGACTCAGAAAAGAGAAAAAATTGGAAGGTAGGTTTGGTGGGAGTTATAAGTGGCACGCCCGTCGGATATTGCTTGTGGTTCCTCCCTCCTCTGGTGCTTCTTTGTCGAGTGATCCTCACCACACCACCCGTTCACTCGTTTATTACCAAACAAAAATACAAAAATAATAAAAGAAATAATACAAAAGGCCTTTTCTACAGGCTGTCCACTCATTTTTAAATGTTCCGCTCATCTAAAACCCCAACGTCTTCCTCAACCGCCAACCCAATGGCCCGCCCGATCAACACCACCTCGCAGGACAACCCCTCCTCCCCCACGGAGCACGACCCCTCCTCCGCGTCTTCCAAGCCCCTCCCGGACCCCGCTACTTCCCAGGTCCACCACCGACGGCCCGGGACCTCAGGGACGCTCGCGGCTCTCCAAACCACAAGGCGCCAGGCCTCGGAGAAGTTCCGTCAAGCCGATCGCGCAGAGCGTACCTACCGCGCGACAAAGTGGTCGGCAGCGGCGCGGGCCAACCGAGCTGAGGCTGGAGACCACTTCCGCCAGTCACGCCAGCACTTCACGTTGGGGTGCCGGCTGCTCGTGGAGGCGGTGCGGGGCTGGCCATACGTGCTGCGCGAGCGGCGCGAAGCGAGGAGGGTCAAGGCAGAGGAGGCGAAGAGGAAGAAGGTGTTGGAGATGAAGAAACGGTTGGATGAGAAACTGGGAGAGGCGAAAGATGAGGATCGGGAAGGGAAGAAGGATGTTGAGGGAGAAAAGGGGGCGAAAACCGTCTAAAGAGCCCGGGGATGAGGAACGCTGAAAGCTAGGAAAGGAAGAGGGCGATATACTCACGGACAGACCTGTGCGAACCGCATACATGCTATGTGGTTTCCATTCCTTGCCCTTCCCTCACTTCATCAGGGCCATTCACGTTATCTTTTCTTTTCTTGCTGTTCTCCTAAAACGTTTTTTTGTCTGTCTCTTCCAGCCCTCCTACTCCCCCCTTTTTTGGGGTTCGGCGAAGCGAGCCTTTCCAAGACTGACTGTTTACTCAAGCCTACCACTCGTCACTACGGGCTTTCATCTTCAAAGCACCAAACACACTCCACTCTCTAACATATCTTTTTGTGTTCTCATTTCCTATCCTTTTTTCTTTATTATCTTGTTCTTCTCTGGTTGGCCACGGCCATAATACCTTTCTACTAATGACTTGACGAAGCATGATACGGTTTAGAAAGGGGCAATTAAAGGCAGGAGGATCTTCCTGACTAGATGGGAATTGGGTTCATCGGGGAAGGAGGATTGATATTCTGCCTATGTTTGGAGTCCCTGCGTTACCGTCTGCTTTGTCCTTTTACAGCTTGTTTCTTGGAAGAAAACTTCGAGCGGATGCTCATATTAACCCAAAATATAAATATAAAATAAAAGTATGTTTGGCAAAGGATATTACCAGTTGGGTTTCAGCCACGACGAGTTCCATCTACATAAATCATGTAGTAAATGTTCAATTTCTGTGCATTACGAGCCGAACCTCGGGTATGATTGAAAAATGAGCTTCAAATACAGTTGCGAACACACTGAGGATCGGGGAAGTTGAGGGACGGCCAGGCGGAATATGCCGCCATGAACAAGAGTTTTAACCAGGTAATTGTCACCTAGCTTCGCCGATATTCCCCATTCTGCAATTGTCCGGCCCCTTCGCCCATGAGGCTGAATCCGACCTAGAAACCCCGAAACCCCACAGTCCATTGCTGCAACCGCAAAGCCAGCGGTACCCGATCCCCAACCCCCAATGCCTCGAGCCCATTTCCCCTAGAGCTCGCCCCAGTGACCTCCCATCCCCGGTGAATACCCCGTTTACTGCGCCTTCTTCGCAAACTCCACTCTTAGGATCAGATGCCTGAAACCGAAACCGTCCATTTTGTTGCACGCCTTGACAGCATCGTCCCGATCCGCGTAGCTGATGAAAGCAAAACCCTTGGCCAGGCCCGTGTCGCGGTCCTTGGCCAGGAAGACACGCGTGACACGGCCGAACCGCTCGAACATATCACGCAGCTCTTGCTCCTCGGCCATCTCAGAGACCTATGAAAGATGGAGTGGTGAGCATGGGACCTGTGAACATGGGATTTTTCGGGGCAGTAACGCGGAATAAGGGGACGACGGAAGGGGAGGAGAGAAGTAGATGAGACTCACGTTTGTCACACGAAGCGTTGCCAAGTCGTCGCGCTCGCCATACTTGCCACCCATGCGCTCGCCCTGCGCACCCGCGCCGGCACGTAGCGCGGGCGGGACATACGAGCCCTTCTTCCCCGGCCCAGCAGTGCCCGCCGATGCGGGCCCAGCCGCCGCCGGCTCATCGCCCATACCGGCCGCTACATCGGCAGCACCGGCCTCGCCGATCGGCGCCATCGTGTCCTTGTAGGGACAGCGGGCCGTGAAATGTTCCCCGTTGCAAATACGGCACTTGACCTTCTTGTCGCGTAGCTTGTCCTTCATAGCCTGGGCGTTGGGGTCGTTGGCCTCGTCCTTGGCCTCGCTGCGCCAGTTGACCGACGGGCGAAAGATGATGTTCTCGCCAACGGTAGTGGTATCGGTGGCCGGGCCCGCCGGGTCGCTGGCCGAGTCGCCGAACTTGGCCCAGGTTTTGCGCTCAGCGACACGAGGGTTGACGACCTCGCGCCGGACGACGAACCGCACGCGCCGGGTCGCCTTCACCTTCTGGTTCAGCTCATTGTACCGATACTCGATGATTGTCCACGTTCCATCCTTGTTTTGGATCTTTTGCGGTGGAGGTAGGTCGGTCGTCGTCGGCGCCGTCGTCTCCTCGAGGTCTTCGTCGTCCGCCCAGTCGTGCCTACCGAGGGAAGGGGGGGTCAGTCAGTCAGTCGACACAAAAGAAAACGGATGGGAAGACAATAGGTTGCGGTGCGGGTTGGCGTCTTCACTCACTTAGTCTGAGCCGCCATTTTAAAATAAAATATTTGTGATCGAGAATACCCCACTGCTCAAATGTTCGACTTCGTCGGTGTTGAAGGACGGGAGGTATGAGATCGGTCTTCTCGGGGTCGGGCGTTCTTGGTGGGGGTGGGGAGTTTGAACGGCCGCTGAATTTTTGGATATTCCAGTGTGGGGCAAAAATTGGTACATTGAGGGAGGCAATAAAAAGGCGGACGCGACTGGTTAAACGCACTGTGTACCGACCGACCGCATCTGTTACCTGACTCCCAAACCTATCGTGTTGTTCCGCTTGTCTTGCAAGCCACCGTCCACCCCGTACTGACCGAGACAGTTGCTGAAATCCAAAAGAAAAAAGAAAGAAAAAAGAAAGAAAGAAAAAAGAAAAAAAGAAAGGAAAAAAGGAAAAAAAGGATTCGATTCCCTACACTTCGACAGCCGCGAGGGGTACAAGCAGGCGAAGGAAATGAGCCGAAATCGCAGTTTGGGTAATAGGGTCCGTGAAAGCAGTGATTCGTGTGTGACATATCGAGAGATTACAAGTTTATTTCGCTTTCCATAATGTAGTATATTACGTGTCTATTTTTGCAGGTCGGTGGGGATTCATTGCCTCTTGAGACGCTTTACGCTTTGCCGATGAGGCTCGACAACCCCTCGCAGAGTAAACACACCCCTGAAGAGGCTTGGAACGAACCACAAGCACACAACCTCGAACACATCACATCAAATGATCATATGACAGGTCTACTATTTCCTGATCTCTGAGGGTGAACAAATGGTACGCCCGGTAAATAGCAAAATACATAGCCTCCTTCCCAAAACACAACTAGGAAATCAAGATGTCTTCGTCGACCGTCATGCGCGGGGGTATAGCTTTCCTCATTCAATAACCCCAGCAACCAGCCAGACCCAACATCCGAACCGACGCTTTACCTCCCATCCATTCCATTTTCATCATCAACGCCTGCCAACCCACGTTTCCGCCGACCCATATCACATGGTAGTTTAGGGGGGAAGCGACAAAAGGGAGATGGGGAAAAATAGGAGATCCTTCCTGCCATCGTCTCTGGTGTACCGGGATAACAAATATAACCAAGCTCAAAAAAATAAGAAAATATAGACATAAAATAAAGAAACCCATCGTTTGGAAGGCCACGACAAAGTTGGTATGTTAATTGTTTGGTTCAAAATCCATCGGTTAATACGATGAATTTCCCAATACCAGTCGGGATGCTTCGTCAGATGAACCCCGGGGGCGGAACACTGTTGAATTTTGGAGGGAGCGGAGGCAGAGCCCTGTTTGGCGGCGGGGCCGGCGGCGGGCCCCCCGCGTCCGACTGGGACGTGGCTGGCTGGGACCAGCTCCGTCTCTGGAGGACTGGATGCGACGGAGGCTCAAGGCGCAAGTACTGGGATGATCTCGGGGCCGATTTCTCAGGCAGCGTAGCCGTCGCATGCTGGTTTTGGTGCTGCGGCTGTTGTTGTGTTTGCGGAGCATCGGACCGAATGTATGGCGAAGGAGAGAGTAGCGAGGATCTATCGACTTGGGGCGCCGAGTTAAAGCTGACTCTCCGCGGCCGGGACGAGAATGTCTGGGGGCCGAATGGTGACGGTTCAGCGTATGTGCCAAGCGAAGTATTCGAACGAGGGGGCTGATCTTGAAGCGGGAAGGTTGAAGCCCGAGGTGACGGGGTCGGGACGAAGTCTTTTGAGTACCTCCGGTCCATGGGTGGGACAACATCTGCCGTGTTCTCTTGCGTTGAAATTCCCGAGTCACGAAGCGACTCCTCGCGGATGCGTTTCGCCAGCTCGCTTTCCGCCCGATGGGGTGACGGGAGGGTGACGGCAGGGGTAAGCGGGGTACCTGACGGGGGCGTGCTGGTTCCTTCGGTGACGGTACCTCGGCTCAAGGACGAAAGAGCGGGGGACGGTTGATCTTCGACTAGGGACAACGGGCGGGGGTTAATGGACAAAGCCGTCGGAGGTGGCCGCCGGCTGCCCATGCGCGAGAGCAGGGGAGATGCCGACGATTGTGTTGGCATCGCGCCGGGAGTCGCCCTCGCAAAAGATAAGCGCTTGGTTGATCCGAGCGAAGCCGATGTGAAAGGTGCGGAAGACTCGGGTTGCCTCATGTTAGAATATGTTGATGCGGGCCGATGAGGAGTCTGCGCCGTGCTAGCGCCCATCCCAAGGACATGGTTGAGTGCTTGGACGGACTGCCTTCGGTCAATAATCGCCATCGCATTCGGACGCATTCTAGGCTGCGATGCGTCCTCGTACTCTGGGAACTCTGACATTGAATCAAGCTCCCCAAACGAGTCACGAATGGGTGAGCATGCCGGCGAGGAGCCAACGGATGTAACCATAGTTCGTTGGCTGGATGAAATGTAGGACAGCCGATTATAGCTATCCCTCAAAGAATCGAGTTGTCTCCCTTCATGAGAAATGAAACTGGAAGTGGAGGTGCCGTCAAAAGACTGCTCACGGGCTGGCGAGTACTGGGCCGGGCTAGAAATCGGCAGGCTTCCATCCCAGGTCTGGTCGGCCGTCATGACCTGGGAAAACCGGCTTGGTGTCTTCGGGACGGCCGTCCGCTGGGGCGTTTGGCTTTTGAGCTCGTTCTCGTCGGTCCCTATCTTCGGCCTGCCAGTTTCTGACAAAACCTTGCGCCCTCCTAATTTCTCGATTTCCCGCCGGAGCGCCGCAATCCAGCTCTCCATGTCTTCGGCGCTTTCAAACACCATCAAGAATGCCGGAGAGGGTCGCCGCTCTGCGCCGCGGAAAGGGAGCCGAGCGCGAAGGGAAGACTGTGGGCCAGGTGAGTGATCAGCATCCGCGACGGATGACACCTGAACCACCCAGTGGCGACCAGGTATGGCGTCGCTCGCAAAAGCGGCTGAGTCTTTCCCCAGCTCTAGTACTCGCTCCGGATGTCGGTCATAGGTGCCTTCGCTCGCATATTGCAACAGATGCCCCGATGTCGTAAGGATATACACCTTGGTGGTCCACTCGAACCTCGGCGCTGAACCAGATCCATTTCTTCGATGACCCCTCTTCGGTTTCTCACCAGCCAAGTCGTCGAGGCCGTCCAATGCCCTTGGGTTGAGTAGCCCAGCAAGCGAAGCGCTGCTCTTGTGGGTGTGCATGCGCAAAACAACTTCCGCCGGTACGGTGCATGCAGGAAGTTGAGCATGCTTGATCGTCTGCCGATATGCTTGGTATAATGGAGGTGAGTTCGGGGCCTCGCATTTTTCCGCGTTGTGTTGCGGGCGGACAACGCTTTCGGATTTCTTGTGCTTCAAGGCGGGCCCGCTGGGGAGAACACGGGACAAAGAGGGCAACGAGATTTCTGAACGATGCCCCTGTCCATTCTGAGAGCCATAGGGCCAGTTGATCTCGGCGAATGAAGCCCGGATGCCTCCCAGCCGTTGGGAAGCGTCTCGCGGGGTCGATGGCCTGCTGTTGTCGTCGCCGCCTTTGCCGCGGCCGAATATATTCCTCAGGCCAAGCCTCGATTCCCTCTTGCGCGTCTTATCCCCTGGTTCCGGTCGCAACGGTACCCTGAGCGCATCCACAGTGTCGGTGTGCAGATCAGGCTGGTGTATCCTCCTTGAGTGTGAGCCTTGGCTAGTGCTGGTATCGGACGACTCCGGGGAGGCCGGCTCTAAAAAATTGTGCATGATGGGCGAGATGGGGGGTTGGAAGAGAAGGAAACGGCAGATACGCCGCTTAAATGCACTGGCAAATGGTGTATGTTGTTTCCTGGGTGGGCGCAATGGACCACTGAGACCCTTTCTCCATTAGAAACGGCGTTGTTATGGCCCCGGTCAGAGAAACCACAAGAGGGTGATAGGTGCCGTAGTGGGTTCCCGATGTGTGCACTGTAAAATGCAAGGCTGAGTGCTGTCGCTGCGTATGTATCGCACGTCAAGTTGAAGAAAAATAAAAAGGAGAGAAGTCGTGTCAGGAACGGATGCTGACGCGTGAAAACAAGGCAAGCTCTGCGTCGAACGGCGTGGGCGCGTCTCGGTCCGGCTGATGCGGGACACGGATCTTTGGGTAGGATGGCGCAAAAGAACACACGACTTTGGCGGAGATTTTGCCAAAGCCACGACACTCGAATTTCCTCCTGCGGACCGTGCCACATACACCTCGAGGTGTCAGGCCGTGTGGGGATCAAGACGGAACGAATGAATGAATGACTGTGGTAATGAACGACCAAGGAAGGAGCGAAAAAAAGGACCAAGGAATCAATGAATGTCACGAGCGGGCAGAATCCAGCACCGTCAGGGTAGGAACGAGACAGCGCGGTTGGGGGCACGCAAATACTATATAAATTGAGGGAGCAGAGAATGGGACGCAAGCTCGTAACCCAGAAAGCTGGTTGGAGGGGATGAACCTGGGCGCAGACAGGGTGCAGGCGGGTGCGGCTGCGCCAGCGATGTTTCCGGCTTTGTCAGAAACGCCCACAAAACGTTTCGGTACTTCAAGGTTCCATCTCGGAGGGCTACCATCTGGGGTTCCCGCCCTGAGCGCGTGTAATTCTTGTCTCGGCCATCTGTTTGGTCCAGAAACATTGAAAATTCAGGTTGTTTTTACCCCATTCGCCCCCACATGTTATTCGCTCTCTTTTGGCTCTCCAGCACGCCCAGCTCATAACTTCACCTAAGGTATTTTCCATTGATTTCTCACCATAAGTTACCAATACTACTGTGTATGTTCACTCATACGGCACTCCCGTTCCCCAGCATGACCGAGCGAAATGAACAAAAGCAAATTCTCAACTCGGGGTTGCATCGAGGCGTGGACAAGGGGAGGACAACCCCGGCAGCCCATCTGCCCTTGTCGAATGGAATTCCACCTTGAATGGGGCGACCCATGCTTCGGCGTGCTCGCGTTCAGGGAACATGTTTCCGAGCCAAGCATGTCTGAGTTCGAGGTTGCATCGAGGGTCGACCTTCCGAGGCCCGGCAGCCTGGGCGAAGATCTGAATTTTTTTTTTTTTTTTCTTCAGGTGGCCCTTCGTGGTCAACGAGATGCAAAGGGAAAAATCGCAGCGAAGACGCCTCGTCTCGATCTCCAACCGCAAAGATATCGAGTACGAAGTACTTGAGGTGTCCCGGTCGCACAAAGCCGTCCTTTTCAGAACAAGTGGGCTTCAGCTCCTATGCCGAGGCTGCATCTGCCCGCTCTCATGTCTCACTAACACAACCTTATAAATCATTCGGCGCTCCAATCCTGGCGCCGACATAGGTAGTAGGTGTTTCCGGCTGAGGTCCCGCGAATGTCAACCCGTCAGCCTGGGGTATTCGCTGTGAGATTCTGTCAACAAATCCAAAAAAAAACTGACAACAAGCGAGCCCAAGAAGTTCGACTGGTGTTTCGTTCAGCGCTGGGAGTTTGGCGGGCCGAGCTAACGGCTCGGCACCGGACCTCCCCGCGATCGGATACCTCCATAAACGAACTCAGCTACCCACGAGGGACTTCCCATATTGGGCTTCCCTCGACCATGATACTGTGTACATATACTAGTGCACTACACGTGTACGGGTACAGGACACCCCAACCTGGAGGGATACTGCAATGTGGAGCAGCAGGTGTTAAAGCCGCTGATTCCGGGTCCGAAGGCTCAATATCATAACCCACCGAGCCTACTCATACGCGTAGTTACTTTTGAGGAGGTCAGATGTTGCGTTACCCCAGACGAATCTCTCGCCATCAAACATGTGTTGCGGACTTCCAGCTCTTCAGCTCGAGCAGCTCCCCGCCAAAACCCACCGAAAGCAGCTGGAGTCCTTGAATCTCCACCCGAGTGGGGTGGCGGCATGCTTCAGGGTCGCACGCCCGTTCTCCCCCTGTTCCGTAAAAAGGCTTGGGCTAACTGCTGCAGGGCGGGGGCCGCTTCACGGAGACGAGAAAGGAAAAGAAGGAGCAAAAGATAAAACGGGAGAGACACGTCGATCTTGATTCATCTCGCGGCAAGCCGCATTCCCTTGCAGCCGAAGAGAACCTTCTCTCTGTTGCCTGCCTATCGATCCTCGTCAGCGCTTCACGCATCAGCGCTCTCCCTCACCCCTTGTCCCCAGGATCGAGAGCCTGACGGTCGCTGAGTGGGCAACGACAAAAACACATGTCCCAGTCAGTGGCTGGGAGCTGGGCAAGCTGGGTCAGGAAGAAAGGCAAAAGGGGGTGGGAAACCAACACCAAATTGACGGCTTCCCAGATCAATAAAAAGATAGGAAATCCAGATCTTGCGCCTTAACCGGTAAGAGCCAAGTCGTGAAGAGGTCGCATCCATCCTGTGTTGTGATGAGATAGCCAGCCCATGCGTGCCATGCGATCGAGTGTGCATTTGTGCGTTCCATGGCATGGCAGCACGCCTCGTGGTTTGAGGTGGACCCGCTTTTCGTTCTTCGATTCGAACGTCCTTGAATCTTGACCTCGAAAATTCATTGGAACCCTTTGCCCCCCTTCAAGCTAGTCGTTGGGAACAAGTTCTCGTTCCTGCATTAGTGCCAGACAATGTGCATTCCTTTCCTGCCAAAACCCTGCGCTGACGCGATCAAGCTGATGACAGCTCCAAGCCTTTGTACCTTACATACCGCGTTGTAATGGAAGGAAACCTATCCCATGGTAGGCCTTTTCCATTGGTACTGGAGGTCACCCAAAGCCTTGCGCACCTACCTAAGCAATAACGGACCAACCGCTTGGCGAGTGACCTACACATAGTAATTGCTTACTAGTGTATGTAGGTACTGTAGTGTACTGGACCTACGGAGATGGCTCCAGCTTGAAAGTCCGGGAGGTCCGGTAATACCGTTGCCAGGTTATCAAGGGTTCCCAAGCCCCGTCGGCTCTTTCTTACCACTCCCGTTAGCTCGTCGACTTGCCCCCCATTCTAAACCGAGAACGTGCAAGCCCGGCAACGGTAGGGCTTGCCAAGTCAGCCGCGACTTCGCGGAGGAACGAGACATGCATGGGAGACATGTGAGCGTTGCCTTGGGTCCGATGCGAAGCGAAAAAGACTCTAAAAAAAGAAGAGGAAAATGCTTTCGCTGCAGTTTCTTCCATTCGTTCGTGAACCGATCGACACCAGCGATGGCCAAAACAAGCACGAGTGGCTTAGCAAGCACGTGGCTCTCGGTAGCCTGATTGACAAACATCACCATCTGTATGTGTGAGACCGACAAACAAGTCTGCTGTTCGTCCCGTCTACCCGCCCGCTTGACCCCCGGCCGAGCGACCTCCCAGTCTCTAGAGCAGCTCAACCAACCAACCCACTCTGTATGGATCTGTACCCGAGTGACAGCATTGGTTGTTTTCGTTGATTTTCTTGTGGCTGAGTCCAGTCCCTCACAATAATCACATCACAGAGGCTCACAGCGGCGGCCAACCAGCGACGACTACATCATTAATGAAAAAAACGGCAGGTACATGTATGGCTGACCACAAAAACAGAAAAGCAACTTTCTGGGGCATCGCCGTTTGTGTGTCAAGTAGTTCTCAGCCCGGGTACCAACAAGCATGCACGACATTCCGACTAGAATCGACCCGTCTCCTTGAAGAAAACAAAGACCTCGATAGTGGGCTGCTTGACCGTGCAACAAACCACATTCGGTACTCGTACTCATACATGATGATTGCTCAAAACTCCCTTCCCCGCCGCCCCCCCAAACGCCGATTCTCCCAAAGCTATGCTGCCTGATCCCTGAATGACTGTGGAAACAGTCGGGATGGTACCGATATCCCGTGTCTATAAGCAAAGAAAGGGAGAAAAGAAAGGACATTGGACCTAACATTGTGATGGAAAAAAGAATGACGAGAGGGAAGGGTGAAAGGAAAGGGATAAGAAAATGGAAAAGAAAGCAAAGAGTAGAGGAAACAAACCCCACGCCCAAGACTTCCGACGGGCCCAAAACAAGGGACGAGTTCTCGGGAAGTACTGCTGCAAGCTGGCCTACTCAATTTTGGCAGAAGGACCCCCAGTGGCAGCAGGAGAGGCTACTTTGGCCCCATCGTCGTCGGAAACCGACACTGAGTGGTTGAGACGCGAAGAATGCGGCGGTTCATGGCTCGCCGATGTATCGTTGCTGCCGTGTGTATCGAACAGCTTCCGCTCTATTCGCAAGGATTCCGGTTAGCGGGTGTCTCAAATGCTATGTCGAGGCACGCTGGGCCGTATCTAGGGGAGAATAACTTACCCAGCTCTCGAATACGATGCCTCAGCATCTGGTTCTCCCGCACCAGCATCTGGGCCTCGGCCTGGTAGAAGGCACAATCATCTCGGCCACCCAAAGCCCACTGCTCGCCGCTGTCGGCACTGATGGAGGTGGAACGCATCCGGGGCGAAGCGTTGCGGCTCGGGGTGCGCGACCGGTGGCGCAAATCGGCGCGGGCCATATCGAACGAAGTCCGTGGGAAGACGGGCGACCGCGGCAGCGAGCCGGAACCCGGATAAATGGGTTGCGGCGACGAGGTCACACCCGGCGCACCGGGCACAGGAATGGGCACGGGCGCCGCGGACGTGGGTACAGAACGGTCGGAGGCCTCATCACCGGTGACGGCCGATGGGTTCTGTTGTTGCTGGCGCTGGACTTGGGCCTGGAGATCGCGGATCTGAGCCAGGAGCCGGTTGACCTGGAACTCCTGCTCGTTCTCTAGCTCCTGATGAAGCTCCCCAAGGCTAGGGGCGCGGCTGTGATAAGGGATCCTGTTGGTAGCGGCTAGGCGTGGTGAGGCAGCGATAGGGACCGGGCTACTAGCTTGGAAGCTCGCGCTATGCTGGCCGTGGCTACTGTACTGGCTGTGGCTATTGTGGTGACTGTGGCCGTTATGTTGGCTGTGGCCGTTACCATGACCGTTCTGACCGTTCTGACTCCCTTGGCTGTCCGATACCATCTCGCCGGGTGCGGGCATCGAGGGGTCCGCCATTTGAAGGTTCATAAGCACTTGTGAACGACGGCGGTCGGTGTGGGGAGACTGGTTGCGGGGCGAAAGGGGACTGTTTGGCGAGCCTAGACGAGACAGATTAGATTAATACGGAAAACCGACCTCGACTGTTTTTTTTGAATTCGTATTAGACATACCCCCGGGAGACTCGCGTTGCAGGCCGGCATTCAAGGTGGCTGCTGCTTGGAGGGAAATGGATGGGTGTCGTGCGGGAGAGCCGGAGGGGGGGCCTTCCCCATTCAAAGCCCGGGAGAGCTCGCCATCCGGTGCCATGTTTAGAAGCGGAACTTTGCGGTGATAAACTAGGTGGCTTGTTTGGATTGCTTGTCGCAGGAGTAGCGGCGGGTGGCCGAGAAAGGGTGGGAACCGACGCCCGTCCTTAGTCTTAAGGTTGAAAAGATATTTGGCCGAGAAAGGGAAATGGAGGTTGAGGGAGAAATGTGGTGACGGGTAGCCGGCCTAGAGGTGGGTCGACCTGGACGGAAATGAAAATGGGAATCTTCGAAGCTGGAAGGCAGTTGCAGCCTAGCGGAACAAACGAGAACAAGAACAAGAACTGCCCGTGAGAAAATCACGGTTCATCAAAAATATCAATGGTACAAATGATGTGATGCTTGCTCCTCAAACGGCCAGCCCTTGATGTTTTGGGAGTGGTGAACCAGTAGCCTACCGGTGAGGCAAAGGGGGGTTGAGTTAATAGTCAACTGAGGACGAGGTCAAGCGGCAGTAGAAGAAATGGACACCAGGTGGCCTATTTAACGTCTCTGCAGCATGGATGCTTTGTCTGTCGCCTGAAGCTCGCAGTTCTTCGCAGGTTGATGCAGGTGCTTCAACCGCCCAACGGGTTCCCGCGTGACGCAACTGGAATAGAAAGCCGGGTCCCGACCAGTCGGGTGCTCGGCGTGCACACAAAAGTGGGGCATAGGCGTCACCTCTCACCTCACACCTTTCTTTCGCTGTGATCGCTCGGTTGGATCAGCCGATGACAATGACAAAGTATTGGGGCTCCTAGAACTTTGTGACTCTAAAGCTACTGATATCACTTAGAGCACCAAAAGGCAATACCATCTTCCGATTTGATATTCGCTGTGCTCAAGGGGGACCACTTTTCGCCAGGCCAAGCCCACTTACTCAACTTGGAATTGTCATGAGCCGCCGAGCCACAGAGCGTCATTCACTCCAACCATGCGCCGAGACCTGAGGAGCTTCCCAGCAACCGAGCTGTCGGGCTGGGGATGCGAATACCCCCGTCATGTTATTATTCTAACGAGCTTTTCTTCAAGGGTTATCGTTTTCCGGTCGAACACAGGTAACTTTCATCAAATGGGGGGGAAGGACGGACCCCACTTACCACAACCATCCTACCATGGACAAGGGGACCTGCTATGTAACGTACCTGGCCCATCATTGACCACTTGCGCATTCCGAACAAACCCCAACTCCCATCGTCGCTCAGTGAGGAGTGCCGCGAATCTTGTTTATAAGGGCGAACTTTAAGGAATAATTTTCGGTCTTTCACGGCCAACACCCCAACCGACTCCAGCCTTAGAAGAAAACGAGCTCTAGCCTCGGCTCGAGATATTGGAATTCGCAAAAGAGCGAGAGGACGGGAGAGAGCATTAGGTGTTGATGGGGATAGCTAGGCAGGGGATAACATGCGCTCTGTCCTAAACTTTCATCCCCGGAGGCCAAAACACCTCATCTCCTTCGCTTCTCAAACCGTTCGTGCGTTTTCCCACACCCACCCACTCCATGCCGATTTCACCCACGTGGTAATAGGTGGCGGCGTGGTTGGCCTTGCCATCGCTCAAAACCTCGCCCGGAGGTCGGCCACGGGATCCAGTCCCAACAGCAGCACCCTTCTCCTTGAGCGCCACGACGCCGTCGGCACAGAGACCTCCTCCCGCAACAGCGAAGTCATTCACGCCGGTATCTACTACGGCGCCAACTCCCTCAAAACCACACTCTGCCTGCAAGGCAAGGCCCTCCTATACAACTTTTGCGCCCAGCACGCCGTGCCTCACCGTCGCACCGGCAAATGGATAGTGGCCCAGACTCCCGGCCAGCGCGCCGCGCTGCAGCAAGTTCACGACTTTTGCGTTCGCGACATCCACGTCCCCGTGCGCTGGGTTAGCGCCGACGAGGCTTCCAAGCGGGAACCCGCGGTGCGCGCCGGTGCAGGCATCCTGGAGAGCCCAACCACTGGAATCGTGGATAGCCACGCGCTGATGCTAGCTCTACTCGGCCAGTTCGAGGACGCGGGCGGGACGCTGGCGCTGGGCAGCGCCGTCGAAGCCATCACCCCCCTGGGCCATGGGAGTAACAACACCACCGACGGCAGCGAGGGTTGGGAGCTGACGGTCCGTGACGCCGCCACGGGTGAAACCTCCACCATCACCGCCGAGACCATCATCAACTCGGCCGGCCTCGGCGCCGTCGCGGTCCACAACATGATCGTCCCGGCTTCGGAACACAAGCAAATGTACTACGCCAAGGGCAACTACTTCTCTTACTCAGCCTCCGCCCCAAAAGTCAACACCCTCATCTACCCGGCCCCGGAACCCGGCCACGGTGGCCTCGGGACCCATCTTACCCTCGATCTGGGCGGGCGCATCAAATTCGGCCCAGACGTCGAGTGGGTCGATTCGGCCGACGATCTCGTAGTAAACGTGTCACGACTAGCTCAGACAGCGGCAGAAGTGAAAAAGTACTTGCCCGGGCTGGACGAGACCCAGCTCCAGCCCGACTATGCTGGGATCCGGCCGAAACTGGGGAAACAGGGTGCTGTGGCGGTGGGGAAGGGGTTTGTAGACTTTGCGATCCGGAAGGAGGAGGGGTATCGGGGGTGGGTGAATTTGTTGAACATTGAGAGCCCTGGGCTTACGAGCAGTCTCGCGATCGCCGAGAAAGTGAGCAGGTTGTTATACTCCTAGAACTCGAGTACGAGATATGATCTTAAGAAGAAATTTATAAGATCAGAAAAGGAACTACAGGAAAAGCGACCCTAGTTTCGACCGACAAACAATTTACCCTCGGAGGGCTTTTTTTATTAGAACTTTCGTGTTCGTCATTATTTAAGACCAAGAGTTATGTTTCCCCTGCCGTCGCTGATCCGCTCAAAGAAAAAAAACCCGTAGCCACAATTTGGTGCTTCCAGCCACGAACACGAAGCTAACTAAATACAAAATGTACTCCAAGTCACGCTGTGCATAAAAGTACCTGATGCATCCTGAACCAACTCATACGCACCCCTGAACGCCAGATAATTCCCATCCGAAAACACCTTAAGTATGGTATGCCCGCGACCAACTCAGCTAAAAGTAACGTCCGGAAAAACCTTCCGGCCGAAGGTATCAACATGGAACTCGTATATACCGTTTTCAGCACCAACGAACCTGAAGCCAAACGAGGTGGCGGGGAGCAGAGGTTAGACAGGCTCCCGCTTTGCATATACATGCCGCATAGAGAAATGTGCAGGGGAAGGGCCTAAACTCACAACGTGTTGCCGTCTACACTCCATGCTAACCCCGCGGTATCATACGGCTCGGGCTGGGTGTGCGGCTGCACAAAGGTATACGCACTGACACCGCCACGCCTGGGTACCGCCGGGACCTCTGGGTCGCGATTCAAATATGACGTGCTGTGGCATCGCAAAAATGGTTAGCATCAGGATCTATAGGGCTTGACGTAACGAACACCGCGCCGGCCGGGGCTTTTGTTCGAGGAATGGCCCGTCCCCACTGGGAGAAGGGTTGGAGAGATCGTACAAAGCGGGGTCGTTGAACGAGTCGCCCGGGGTTGCTCGGGTGTTCGCCGAGGCAAAGTGTGGTGGTGGTGGCCGGTTGATCGAGGTCTCTACGAACTCGCCCCTACTACCGCCTGGCCCGATCGGGATAGCGTCGGACGCCCGGGCGTATCGTGGTATAGAAAGAGAGGAAGAAGCTGGTGCATACCGGCGTCTATCCGCTGCGCTGTCCTCTTGGGCACGCAGACGCTCGTGAGAGTCCCGGATGCGCTCGCGATGGTCTCGAATACCCTCGAGGATCTCGTCGACTGCTCGGGACACGCTTGCATTTCGTGTTTGGGTGGTGGTGTCGTTACCTGCGTCGGCCCCGCGGGTTGCTCGCGCAGGCCACGGCAGGCGGCCGATCATCGTTGGACCGTCGGAATTACCCCCATTTCGATTGTTAGTACTCGTATTGCTGGCAGCAAAGCTACCGTTCCTGATGCCTCGGCCGCTGCTCTCCGTGCCACTTCGGTTTAGCCCTGTGCTGTAATGTGCCTGCCGCCGGCGGAAGTTTTGAACAGCCTCTAGCACCGCCGTCTCGTCTGGAGTGAGCGGGATGTTGTAGTGTGATAACGCCGTCTGGGCTTCCACGGAAGAGTCCACCGCATTGGCAAAAGTCGATAACAAGGAGCTACTCCGTTCAACTCGTTGCTCCAACAGACGGGGATCAATAGTGCCCTTGTCGATTATCGGCAAGACCTCGAAATCTGCGTCATTATCAAGGTGTAGGATTTGTTGAGTTGCGAAATTTCCACGGATATCCGCAACGGCCACACGGCCACGGTCCTCCGTCCACGCGAGGAGATCCACAGAGCCAGGGGAAAACGCCATGTCCCTCACAGCGCCATACTGCGCACAGGGCCGTGTGGTGCCAAACGACGTGATCAGCGGATCCAACCCGTGGACTCCGTGGCCGGCGAGAGTGGCAACATCAAAGATGGACACGACCCCGTATTGGGTCCCAACTGCAAGATATTTACCCGTGCTCGAGAAACACGCCGCAAAACTCCCTCTGCAGTTGGTCAGCAACCGTCTCGCGTATGGCTAGGCCAAGAAAGGGAGAGAAGAGGTACAGACCTATTATCCGAATGATCGCTTGGGAATTGACTCTTGAGCTGGACCCTAGTAGTGAGGCTCCATTCGTACACCGCAGAATCTGCCGTGTAACGAGATGAAGCGCTTTGGAAACCTGCCCTTTTTCGTTCGTGTACGTACAGATAGGCGTCGTCGCTAATCCCAGCGAGGAGCCTGCCATCCGGAGAGATGACGCCGCGGTTCATGTAATCCGGGTAGGTGATTTTGTCCAACTGCTCCTGATCCCGCAACCTAACCACGATGATGGTTTTGTCGTTGTGTGCTAAAATCGCAACATCCTGGCCATACGCGCCATCCACCCTCTCAAAGAGCGTTGGTGGAGACCATAGGGTGATACAATTCACTCGGTCCTTCCCAAAGCTAGTAGTCGCTACCTCTAGGCTTTTTTCAAGACGCGTTTCTGGGGTCGAGGAGGCGGCAGAATCGGGAATTTCAAAAGAGAGCGGAAGACGGTCGTCGGCTTGGAGAGCTAACCCTGGGCCCGTCCCGTCGTTCCGAATTTGTTCGCCCACCCAAAACGCACAAAACATGCCCCGCTCGCCCCCGCAGCACACCCAGCCGTTTCGTGCTACTATGCATCTTGGATCGAAAGACAACCGTTTCACCGTCTCTGTTTCTCGAGTTTTCGTGTTTAGTTTCTGGATAGCGCAACTTCCGTTGTCGGGGGTGTTCGGGACGGGGAAGTAAACGGAGTTCTGATCATCAATACCGATGAGAGATCGCAGTTGCCAATGTCTAATGACGCGCGTCAGTAAAATCGAACAAGGCGAGACTTCGAAGCGACCTGCTCGGAGGTCTGGGAAGGAACCCTGAACGTACTGCCAGCGGACATGAGCGCCAAAGACTCGCCGAGGCTTTGCCAAAATCAGGTTCTCCGTCGACGCATAACTACATTCGCAAATGCCGTTAGCCATATTGCAGCACGATATGCTTGGGCTCGAAACTATGGCTCAAACTCTCGTACTTGTTTTCCTTGAAGGTCATGATGCCGCAAGTCTTGGCGAAATATCAACGTGATGCGACCATCCAAGACTCGCGCTCGGCGGCGCTCTAACTACAAGACGGGAAGTAGCTAAAATGTCGAGAGCACGCGTGGTGTTTAAAGTGTTGATTACGCTCGAGGTGCCGGGGAATGCCGGAATGTCAAGCGGGCCTGCGCTTCGTTTGCGGTTGTTGGTTGTTACTGGGGAAGTTCGGTCGTGAAGGCAACTGCGTCAAGACAACCTGGAAGGTCGTCACCGCACGGGCAAAGGTGGAGTCGAGAAGGCGGGACGGTACAATGCAACCGTGGAACATGCATGTAAAGTATGGATGCAATGATCAAAAGGCATCAATATATTTACCACGCGTTATAAAGCATGGGTTCACACAGCACTTGATAATTGAAGCTAACTAAAATAATGTTTTGTCTTGATTGAAGGTCCTGTGCCCCAAAAGAGGTGCTGTCACCAACGAGCCTCGGAGTGCGGCACGCCCGATAATTAAACGATTAAGGCCCTCAGCGTCAGCGCCTCTCTGTGCTGCAGCTGTTAAAGCCCCACGCCAGGGCGGGGCCGAGACAAGGCTAGTTTACACTAAGGTAGGTAGGTATCTGAACTTCTTTCGCACACACTGAGTGCAGAGCAACTGGTAGTTTCCGTCACGTGCATGCTGCTGGGGAGCGTTTTCTTCTCGAAAGCAGGTACTGTACCTTGAAGAAAGGACAAGATAGCCTAGGTACCTGGAGGGTTCGGCACTATCCATAGAGCTTACTCTACAATCAGGTATGACAGCACGTGTGTAGCACAACCTTAAAATATCACCGCAGTCGCGTGGTTCCGGCTTGTCGGGCTAGCGTCGGGATGTCAACCGGAAGACAATATGAGGGGTCTTCTTTCCTTGTGAGGCGCGCCTAGAGGCCGACAACCAAATCTAGCGGTGCTCAAGATGTTCCCATATATCTCCTTGCCATCTTGCCTCCGCAGAGCTTTACAAAACGTTTGGCACAATTTCCACTAGCATTCTTTCGAGCATGTTTTCATTGGAGACTGGCAGACCGGCTCAACTGGTGGTCGGCTCACTGGTGGCGGGCCCAAAAGGTGGGGCGTGGCAAGGAGAGTGGGGGGAGTGAGCTCGAGGTTTCTGTGGTGTTCTTCGCATTGCTGTGCCGGATTTCACAGAGTGGTCTGTGCACCCAGACGTTCCGAAATTTTTCTCAACCTCCTTCAAAAAGTTTTCTGTGGCCGACCGAGCTTGTTCAATCTCCTCCATCTCCATCAATCTTACTCTTTTCCCACTCACTCCCCGTGGCCTGCCTTCGTTGTGGTCCCCTCATCCTACTGAAAAAGTAGGGTGTTCTTTTTTTCCAGCCCAGATTTTTTCACAATGATGGCGACACGCCTTTCCCGTGCCGTAAGATTTCCCCGCGCGGTTGAGACTGCGACTTAATGTTTGCAGCTTTTACTGACGTTTGCATTAGCTCCCCAGGGCCGCCTCAGTGGCTCCCCGCATGGCGGGATTGCTCCAGAGGACACCCGCTTTCGCACGCTTCCAGTCCACGGAGGAGAAGGTCAAGGGCGCCGTGATCGGTATTGATCTTGGTAAGTCTCGAATCGGCAACTACGTCAGCGGTTGAGCATGTGCTTATCCATTACCCCGCCAGGTACTACCAACTCTGCCGTCGCCATCATGGAGGGCAAGGCCCCCAGGATTATTGAGAACTCCGAGGGTGCCCGTACTACGCCTTCCGTCGTCGCCTTTGCTGAGGACGGTGAGCGTCTCGTTGGTGTTGCCGCCAAGCGCCAGGCCGTCGTCAACCCCGAGAACACCCTCTTTGCGACCAAACGTTTGATCGGCCGCAAGTTCACCGATGCTGAGGTGCAGCGCGACATCAAGGAGGTGCCTTACAAGATTGTGCAGCACAACAATGGTGATGCTTGGGTGGAGGCCCGCGGCGAGAGGTATTCGCCCTCGCAGATTGGTGGCTTCGTTCTGAAGAAGATGAAGGAGACAGCCGAGGCGTACCTCAGCAAGCCCGTCAAGAATGCTGTTGTTACCGTTCCCGCCTACTTCAACGACTCCCAACGCCAGGCTACCAAGGATGCTGGTCAGATCTCGGGTCTGAACGTCCTCCGTGTCGTGAACGAGCCCACCGCCGCCGCCCTCGCCTACGGCATGGAGAAGGAGGCTGACCGCGTCGTCGCTGTCTACGATCTTGGTGGCGGTACCTTCGACATCTCGATCCTCGAGATTGCGAACGGTGTCTTCGAGGTCAAGTCGACCAACGGCGATACCCACCTTGGTGGTGAGGACTTCGATATCCACCTTGTCCGCCACTTCGTCCAGCAGTTCAAGAAAGACTCCAACATCGATCTCTCCAAAGACCGCATGGCTATCCAGAGAATCCGCGAAGCTGCCGAAAAGGCCAAGATCGAACTCTCCTCCTCGCTCCAGACCGACATCAACCTTCCCTTCATCACCGCCGACGCTTCGGGCCCCAAGCACATCAACTCGAAGCTCACCCGCGCTCAGCTCGAGTCCATGGTGGACCCTCTTATCAGCCGCACCATTGAACCCGTGCGGAAGGCCCTGAAGGATGCCAACCTGGCTGCGAAGGACATCCAGGAGGTCATTTTGGTTGGTGGCATGACCCGTATGCCCAAGGTTTCCGAGTCGGTCAAGAGCATCTTCGGCCGTGAGCCCGCCAAATCGGTCAACCCCGACGAGGCTGTCGCCATCGGTGCTGCGGTCCAGGGTGCCGTCCTCTCCGGTGAGGTCAAGGACCTGCTCCTCCTTGATGTCACCCCTCTTTCTCTTGGTATTGAGACTCTCGGCGGTGTGTTCACTCGTTTGATCAACCGTAACACCACCATCCCCACCAAAAAGTCCCAGGTCTTCTCCACTGCTGCCGACTTCCAGACCGCTGTCGAGATCAAGGTCTTCCAGGGTGAGCGTGAGCTCGTCCGCGACAACAAGCTCCTCGGAAACTTCCAGCTTGTCGGAATCCCCCCTGCTCACCGCGGTGTGCCCCAAATCGAGGTCACCTTCGACATTGACGCCGACTCCATCGTCCACGTCCACGCCAAGGACAAGTCCACCAACAAGGACCAGTCCATTACTATTGCCTCTGGCTCAGGTCTTTCCGAGTCCGAGATCCAGCAGATGGTTGAGGATTCGGAGAAGTATGCCGAGTCCGACAAGGAGCGCAAGGCCGTCATTGAGACTGCCAACCGTGCCGATAGCGTTGTGAACGACACGGAGAAGGCCCTCAACGAGTTCACCGACAAGCTTGACAAGACCGAGGCCGACGGGATCCGCGAAAAGATCACTGCTCTCCGCGAGTTTGTCGCCAAGGCGCAGTCCGGCGAGTCCACTGCTACCTCGGCTGAGATCAAGGAGAAGACCGACGAGCTCCAGGTCGCCAGCCTGAACCTCTTCGACAAGATGCACAAGGCCCGTGCTGAGTCTGGCGAGCAGCCCAACCAGGACCAGAACCAGAACGCCGAGCCCGAGAAGAAGGATGATCCCAAGGCTTAAACGTGCCTCTCTCGGGTGATTTTTGCCGAGGGCGAATATACCCCCCTGAATTTCTTTGTTCTCGTACTTTCATTTAGCATTTGTTTGATTAGGTTGGAGCGGTCTCCAGTGTATATTCTGTGTACTCATATGTTGGGTGTTGGAGGCTCATGGGGCTGTCCACATGTTTAATATGTAGACGGCGGATGGCGTTACCGAGCATCAAAAAACTGCTTTCATTCATGGCAGAGGGGATCACGTTACGATTTTCGATGACTGGCAAGACTGGGACGGGGGCTGGATACAGGTGCATGTGTGGGTGTTTGTAGATTTACAGCCACAGATCTATAATCCAAATCCCCGCTCTTTTCGAATTTTACCATTCAGTTTATAAGCTGATTCGTGCTGTTCTTAAACCTGGCTACTGTAATCGATGCTGTTGATACGGGGGATGGGGCCTTGACTTTTGTATCCTTATACTTTTGTGTGCCGCGTATTGTATAAATCATATCGTTCATTACCCCCTATTGATATCGGGTGAAGTTGCCGATGGGAATCAATTTTGTTGACTTTGCTATGTCTCTTGGGGGGGCACCGTATTCGTTCAAATTTCTATATTTACGGAACGAATCACCACACCATAGGTGGCTGAGGATTGCTGGAGCCAAACTAGCGCTGTTTCCACGAGACTGGATGCGACGGAGAGCATGGTGTTTTCTTAGCGGCCTAGGCTCGCAGCTTATTCTACGTGGATGAGTAGGCACGTCAAAGGTTAAACGAGATGAACGCCATGCAATTCAAGCAGAAAAAAGCTTTATTTTATGGCCCCCTTTTTGCCCGCCGGTACATATTTCCTCCCACCCAACATTTTTCTTTCCGCTACGACCTCCCAAATCCAAACCAACCCCTCTTCTGTGGCTTCGCCTCCGCTTGTTCCTCCTCCTCCTCTTCCTCTGCCGGCGCCGTCACCGCAGCTGCCACCTGTGCTGGCTTCTCTACCCGCTGCTGTGGCTGCTGTTCACCGGCAGATTTGCCCGGGTACTCGATATAATTCCACGCAACATCCAAGAACAGCGGTTTGACGGGGAACGACTCTAGGCGTGGAGGGTAGGTGACGATATTGTTAAGATCGACGCCACCGCCGGGATAGTCGGATAGGCGCGCGGAAAGGGGGGGTTTGGAGGTTGTTGCTGCGGATGTTGGCTGGTGGGAGGTGGGCGTGGATGAGTTGAAGATTTCGACGAGGGCGCGGCCACGCTGGAGCTCGCCGGTGAGAGTGTCTTGCAGAAGGGAGAGGTCACGCTTGGTAACTTGGATGTTGCGTGGGGTGAAGGCGTCGTCATCTTCGTCACGCGCGGCGTGTGAGAGGGATGGTGTGGCGGATGTGCAGAGGTCTTGGGCGTGCTTGGTGAGGGCGAGGGAGTTGACTGCGTTGCCGGCGACGGCATGGGAGCGGGCGATAGCGAGGGATCTTTTGGAAGGGTTATAGTTAGCATTTGACACCGTACGAGGGAAGGGGATTGTGGGGAGAGTTAGTTGGCTGTGCATACTTAAGAGCAGTAAAATAATGCGAGGTGGCTTCTAATCGGCCGGATAGCTCCTGGTCATTCGCCACACCAGGCAGTTCTTTGATAGACTCGATGCTCTGAAGGATACCCTCATAAAGCACGGCCTTCTCTTTTAGCCTTGCGATTTGCCGTCCCGGTGCTTCGTCCTGGCCCCTGTCTGCCTCGGTCTGCTCCTCCGTCTGTTTTTTTCTCCGCGATGTTGGCCCAAAGTCCAATTTCAAGCCGTCATTCTCGCCCACCAACACCCGATTGCGGCCTATCCGCCAGCTGATCATTTCAAACCCCACCGCTGTACGCGTGATCTGTAAGCTCTGCATACGGGCGTCGCCTTGCGTGACCCCTTCAGCTCGGAGCTCGTCGATGGCCTGCTTAGTGGCATCGACAGCATCTTGGCTAGTAATCAAAATATCGTCATACGCGGCTGCAAGGTCCTTCGGATACATCGTCCCTGCCGAGGCTAAGTTCTCAGCCAGCTTGCCCCGTGCTGTACCAACGGCAGCCCACGCCACGGAGATGGCCGCATCCTCGATCTTGACCTCCCTTCCCCGCCATGCCAATGTCGTTGGAGCGCCTTCAGCAGCCTTCGTCGCGTCGGGGTCGCCATGCTCCAAAACGGCCGGGTTCAGTTCCTTAACTTGGTCTGCCAGCTCCGGGTCGGCGGATTCTTCAAAAGCTTTGCGGGCAATGGTCGGGATAGGTACCGTACGCGGGATCTTAGCCTGGTAGGCCGCGTAGCGAATGGACGGGTCAATGGTCTCGGAGAGGAGGTCCTTGAAGACGTCGCCCTTGGCCGAGGTGACCAGCGCGCTGTAGACAATCCTGCAGACGGCATAGCTCTTCAGACAAGCTTCCCAGCTCTGTTTCTCGAACAGCGCGGCGCCTCGAAGCAGGGCAGCGTAGGCACGGGCATTGAGGACGTCGATTGGGGACGCGCCGCTGGCAGGGGACGTGAGGGCCTCGGCCAGCGCCTCGGCGGTGCGGGCACCCTTGTCGAGTCGCGAGACGATGTGCGACCGGGTTTTGCTTGAGATTCCTTTTGTGTCGGCGGTGTGCGAGGCTTTCATAGACATGGCATGGGCCCATGTCCGTTCGGCTGTCAAGAGCTGGAGGTAGACATATCTGGAGAGCAGTAGAACAACTAGTTAGCTAGCTAATTCCTTCTTTTAAAAGAAAAAGGAAGATAAAGGAGGGGAGAAGGGGGGATTCCCGAGAGTTAAGCAGGGAACGCACTCATGGTTCTCAGCAATCTTCTCCGCCGTCACGGGAGCTTTGGGATTAAATTTCCCACGGCTTTTAGTCGCAATGTTGAGTTTCTTGCGCGAGTTGAGCAGCTTGCCCGACAGTTGTGACCAGTACGTCGAGTAGTCGCCGTACAGAAGCGCCTTCTCTCTCAGCGAAACCACAAACTTGGTGATATCCATGGCGGTTTGTGGCGGGAGGCGGTGGGTGAGTCGGTCGTGGGAGGCAGATTGCTATTGTCGTGGCTACTTGTCGTGTGCCTCGATCTGAATCGCATTTCCAAGCGGTATCGACAGCTCCCGATTGTGGGGCTTAACTTTTGGTGGGACGATTTCTCCCCCCGCCTGCAACACAAATTTCGGAGGTTGCTCGAGGGCCGTGTAGAGGGTTAGGGTTATGGTATAGAAACCCCTTATCGTGTCGATTGCTCTTTCTTATCTCACTTGGACAAACTGTACAAAATATTGTGGTTGTGCCAACCCCTACAATTCCTTTTTATTCAATCTATGCTACCGATTCTCCGTTAGAAATCCCGATCTCATGTCCGCTTCAGTGACTAGTTTCACAACAATCTCTTGAGCAAACCTGATCCACTGTCCACCATTCAAATCCCACACCTCCCTTGCTCTCGCGCCGTGCAACAACTGCCCCATCATCTTGAAAATCTCAGGTTTCTCGCTTGATCCATCAAGATTTCGCATAACATGCGGCTTCACACTGGCGCTCCGCGAAAAAGGACTGAACTCTATCGTTTTTGCATTCCAGCTTCCTGGACCATCCTCAGCTCCTAAACCTGCCTTCCACATGAAATAGGCCGTCCGCATTGTAGCAGGCGTGAAGCCCCATCTATTCCTCGCATGTGGTTTGGCACCGAGAGATAGCAGCCGATCGACAACAACCGGCAGGTTATCATGATTGCCGAGGGCGCCGAATAACGCTGCGTAGTGCAACGGGGTGTCGCCGTCCGCGTCGGGGATGTTGATCAGGTCAATTGTAGGGAAAAGCGGTGTCAGGTGGGATATAAGGTCGGAGAGAAGGGTCGGGTCTGTTTCGGTGAATGGGAAAACTAGTTATACCGTCAGTCTCCCCCGTGCGGCCCCGAGAATTACGGACCCAGATGAACTTACGACAAGGGAGAACGTGGAAGATTGTTTGTTTTGCGGATGGCCGGGTATACAGCACGGCGAAGGTCTGCCTGCTCTTGAGGTGGTCAGATAAGACAAGGCTACGCAGGATGTCGATGATATCTCTGGGCGGGTGGATGTCGTGGCGTGCTAGGACGATACCAACCGGTGTAAGGCCGTCAAGGGAGACGGGGGTTACAGGCCGGGCATACGCTTCGTAAAGGGCCTCATCTAGTGCCCCCGGTGGCTGCCACCCGGCATGTCGAAAACACCCACGGAAAAACGGCATAATATCTTGTCCGATCGGCACCGTGGTGTCTACACCGAGCTCGACCAGCCGCTTAACCGCCTCGACACGACCGTTGATCACGGCGAGGTGGATGGGCTGCACCGTGGCACCAAAGGTTCCCTCACTGACCGCCACACTGCCGATTTTCCGGTACAGTTCGTTCAGCATAAAGATCTCCGTGCTAGCCAGCTTGGGTGTCCAGAAAAGCATATGCAAGACCGACATGCCCTTCTCCGACGTCAAGGCCCGCGCGTTGGCGCCGTGATCAAGTAGGAGACTAAACACTTCCTTTTGTCCGTGGAGTACCGCTGTATGCAAGGGAGTCTGGCCGTTGTGCCTAGCCTCAATGCTGATTCCCTCTCGGATGAGGTACCGCACGATATCCACGTGGCCATTCATCGCCGCCGCCCAAAAGAGCTGCCCGTCTGAATTCGGCTGGTATTCCCTCAACAACGGCAGGACCTCATCTAGCCCCTCGATTGTGCCAGAACGACCCGAGAATCGCAGCCGCCGTTCAGGGCTGTCCGGCTCCATGGTGATCAGGCCTAGGGGGGTCTCGGCAAACACCGCTTGGCCACAACGAAGACCATGACGGTCCATAAACATCTTCAGTATACCCACATTGAAACAAGGCTCTTCAAGCACATGAACCATTTTTCCTTCCTCCTGAGTATCTGGGACCTGCGGAAATTCCGCTCCCAGATCCAGTAGCACCCTCACCACCTCTTGATTTCCCTGATGCACCCCCCACCGGAGTGGTGTTAACGACCGTCCTCGGAGCTCCGGCGCCCAGTGCCGATAGTACGCCCCCGGCGGAGGGTCCTGATTAGTAGGTGGGAGGCCGCCCGGCTGTGGTAGGCTCTCACAAAAGACGGAGAGATGATCCTGGTGAAATCGGTGGGAAGCGGAAGGGGCCGTGCGCGTGTACCTACTGGCGGCGGATGCCCTTGTACCATATCTGGGATAGATATCAACCTGCTCGTTAACATCGAAGCCGTGGGCGACAATAGCTTCGGCGACAGGGGCGACTTGATCGGCGGGGAGGTGGTGTAGCTGAAACAGTAGGTAAGGGTTGGTGTCCTTTGTGATAGCCGCTTGTTCCGTCTCTCGGTTCCCCCCTGCTGCTTCAGAAAGAAGGGCAAGAGCCATGTCTCCGCGACCGGCTGCGAGCGCCACTGAGACGTACGGTGCGAGAAAAAGTCCTGGGACGAGACGGGCTTGTTCGGTGAGGAGGACACGGAGGGTCGCGACGGAGCCGTAGCAGCAAGCCCAGCGAATGGCATCGTTAAGGAACTCCTTTGGGCTCAGCGTGCGGCCCATTATTGGGAGTGGGTGGGTTCCAGGCGAACTCGGGACATGCTCGGTGACCAAAATTCCTGGGATGGGAGAAACGGTGTCCTCCGTTCCGGGGGGCTCTTCCGATGCTGAGAATAACCCCAGACCTCCTGGTACCCCAGAAGATTCCCGAGGCGTTGAAAATAGGCCGAGTCCCGATGCCGAAGCATCTGGGAAGACGGTGTCTGTAACTGGATCATCTCCTGCGGAAAAGAGGCCAAGTCCGCCTGTATCCCCAGCACCGAAGTCGACATCTTCTCCTAGGGCAGGCTCCTGCGGTGCTGAAAACAAGCCCAGGCCTGATTCCGGAGCAACAAGGGCATCACCATCCGCAGTGAGGGGATCCTCCGGGTAAGAGAATAACCCTAGACCTGATTGCGAGGTAGTGGAGATGACGTCCTCTGGTACAATATCCTCAGATGTCGAGAAGAGTCCAAGGCCGCCCCGGTTCAATGTAATGGGACCGATATCCTCTTCCCCAGGACCTTCCCCTGGTGCCTCGAACGGGTCAGGATCGGGCTCCGATCCAAACAACCCCAAGGCATCAGCCCCCCGACACGACTCTTGCGAACTGGGAAAGGCAGGCGAGGCTTGCCATGGGTCCTCGGGTATCTGGTCCTGAAAGCGCGGTGAAACGGCCGCAGTCCGCCTCTGCCTGCTCTGTTCCTCTTCTCGCAGAATAAAGTCAAACTCCGTGCCAATCTGTTCCCGCAACAACTCCGGGTTAGAAAGATCGAACCGGCCCTTGATCACCCGCTCAAAATACCCCAAGCTAAACCCAGACTCTGGGTATTCCAACACGGCCTTCCGCAAAATCTCATCAAACAGATCTCGGTCGCGCTGTTTCAGCTCCTCCGCCGCCCAGAATGAATACCCTTCGACTGCTGCAACCAACAGTACCTTCTCGTATCTGTCTTCATATTTTGAGGGGCTGTATCCTCGACCATACGCCCGGGTCAGTCTGGAAACGACTGCCTGTGCCTTCTCGCTGCCTGCGTCTGCGGCTGTGCGCATACATTCGAGCCCTCGGTCAATGTCACGGTCGATTCCGAAGCCGGAGAGGAGGCATATGCCGAGCTCGAGGGCGGCGTGGGCACGTATTAGGGGGCGACAAGTCGGGTCTGCTGCGATGTGGGCGATCCGTGACGCAATTTCGGTTTGGCAGTGGATGGGGATGGCGCGGTGGTAACGTGAGCCATAAAATAGCTGTATGGTGGAAAGGAAGGGACAAGAAGTCAGAAACAGGAGTTGATTACTTGGGGGGTATTAGGGATCTTTTTGTGTTCAGCTGCGGGCAACAAACATACCTCTCTAGTGAGAATAGTCAACTTCCAGTAGTCCCCGGGTTTTTCTTCAAGGCGCAAACGACGACGGTCAGCAAAACCTCCCCTTAAGACTGGCTGCGGTCAGCTATCACTTACGCGGCAGCTCCGGATACCCGGGATCCTCCCACTCATAGTCCTTCCCAAACACCACCATCTGCATCACCTCCCCTTCCATGGCCTGCAGGTGCAGAGCAAATTGATACTCAGTCTCGGCTAAATCATAGTTGGCGACGTCGGTGCCGCTGGAGAGCTGTTGAATCGCACGATACACCTCGGGCCAGCTATCGGAAAGTATACCGTGGTAGCGTGAGATCTGTGTGTCAAAGTTTCCTTTCAACTCAACACGGCGTTCATACCGCCAGTTTCCTGCAAGGTCTGTATTCCAGTGGAGAAAACGCGCTGTGTCGGGCCCGGCATCGCCAGGGAGGCCGTTAAGATCTAAGGGAAACCAGGTTTTAAGGGTTTCCCGTGTCTACGAATTATTACCACATAAGTAACTGACCAGTTGCGTTTTGGGGCAGGGAAGACTCACATCCGCCACGGGACCTAGTGTGACATCAGGGAATATTAGCGGCGGATTATGGAACGACGCTGCCAACGCCATCGAGACATCGCCTATAGTGTCCTCAGCTGAGACGGACGACCGGAGACCATCGATGAACTCATCAAATGCCCTGGCGTATAAGTAATTAGTGCTCCGCCGCTTTCACACGCCCCTTGTGCTGTTTTAACAGCCATAAAAAGGAGAGACAAAAAGAAGGAAGAGGAAGAGGAAAAGCCACTTCTAAATATGCGAGACGACAACTCACTCAACCGTAAACTTCGCCCAATACGTCCCCGACCCCAAGCTTCCATCTACACCCGTGTTCAAACCACCTTGGCCCAACGCAAACAGCCTCCCCACCCCAAACGATCCCCAGCCCGAATCTAGACGTTCTAACCACGACTCGCCTCCCCACGACTCGGTGTTATCCTTTGGGAGAACCAGCCGACCAATTGGTCGTTGTTTCTGAGAGCTAGTTTTGTCACCAAGGCTGTTCTGGTGATTGTCATCATCGCTTCTAGAATAAAGAGGCACGACAAGGAGGTCGGGCTCAAAACCGTTGGCTTGTTGGATTTGGTCAGTCTGGAGCCAGATGACGGGACCCGAGGTGGTGATGGCGGAGAAGACTTCGTCGCTTAGTCTTGTTCTACCGGGGAGGGAAACGGGTGTTAGAAAGGGTGAGGCAGGGTTGGACTTGAGGGCGGGTTTAGATGGCGTGATGGCTACGGCAGTGTTTTGGTGTTGCTGGGTGAGCGTGGGATTATACCCGGCGGTTGCGTGCTGAATGTGAAGACCACCAAGGCCGTGCCTTCGAACTCGACGCCGCAGGCGGCCCCGTGGGATAATTTCCGCGTGTTCCGCAGAGGAAGTGAGATGTCCGATCCCAAACCCAAGCCCAGGAGCAGAACTCGCCACGGGAGCCGGAGCAAGACGAACGACCAGGCCCGGGATATTTGTCATGGCCTGGCCGCCCCTTTCTAGCCCAGTCAACAAACCATGCCGTCGAGCCAATTTCCGCCTCCGGCCTCTTAACACCTCTTTCACGGCCGCATCACCATCACCCTTGACCCCCTCACTTTCCCCATCCCCTGTGATACCGTACCCCTTACCCCCCTTCTCCAATCGCTCAAGATATACCCCGAACACCTCCTCCAGCACCTCATCCAATCCACCGCCTTCCACTGCCTCCGCCGTAGCGGCCGCAACAGCGCCCTTGTTTACCCTATCGCTGCCATCAAACAGACAAAAACACACAGGCTGCCGCCGCCGGCGAATTCGATTCTCGCCCCAACCAATCACCTGGCCCGCGAGCAACGCTTCCGCCTCCTTCTCGTCTTCCGGGAGCAAGCAGTACACGATCCGCATCATAGGCCGCCAGTTGTCTTGCGGCGAGAGCCGGCTCCGTGAAAGCGGGGTCAATGGGGAACCGGGGTCTTGCTGATGGAGTCGGGCGCGGTGTCGTAAGGCTTTTTGGGAAGTGAGCGCCGGGAAGTGGTCTCTGTAGGAGGGTGGCTCTGCGGCTCTGCGCTTGTTCTCCTTGGCGTCATCATTATCTTCGTCGTCATCTTCGTCATTGTTGTCATCGTTAACGGGAGTGTCGTGGTGGTGAAGGTGGACTTGGACTTGGATCGGGACCTTGGCTACCCGCTGTTGATCTGATGGAAGCGGACTGCTGATTGTTGCTGTATTTGGAGTTGTCGTTGCTATAGTTGTGGTAGCTGTGGCTGTGGTTGTGGTTGACAGGTCTGAAAGAAGGCGAGTGGTGGTGATATAGCCCCATACTCGGAGGGCAGCGGGGATGTCGTCCAGTTGGAAGGCTCGGCCAACTTTAGTGGGCGTGAGTGAGGTTTGCTGCCAGCCGGAGGATTTTATGATGCTCCCCTGCAAGGGATGAGGGGAGAAAATGCTGTTTTGGCTTGTGTCCTGGACTGGAGATTCCTCGTCTGAATCCTCAAGCTCGCGAGAGAAGCCAAGCCCGAGACCCTGTGACGGGCGTGATGGGAAAGGATCGAAGAAACTCATTTTCTTTTCCTTTTCTCTTCATCTCACACTTACCATGCGCTTCTCATCCTGTTTTCTGTTTTTCTCCTCCTTTTACTCCCAGGTTTTGTTATTACTTTTCCGAGTCGTCGTGTCGAGTGTGTCTGACCTAGAGTAGCAGCGTTTTGGCGGACCCCTCAGCCCCTCTCCCAAGTTGGGGGCCAAAAAAAGGCAGCCAGCAAGGCCGCAATGCTAAACAATCCCATGCGGGCTTTTTGTGTCGTGCACATAAGCAAAGGAACCAAGAAAGTAAACTCTCCTAGATTCGCTCGTCTCCTGTTACAGGAGTGCTCATTTTGGTTGCCCTGAAGGGTCTCTTCCTTCAGCGTCTCCTAACTCCGTCTCACCTCGAAGTTGATCTTGGCCCAAGATATGCTTGGTCCGGACTTGAGATTTGAGTGATCAGCTCGACGACTCACTGTGACGGAGAAGCAACGTTTTTGCAGACATCCAACATGGACGCCATTTCAACCGGATGGAGCGTATTCACCACCTGCTACTCGGCGTACCAAATCGTCAGCGAGGCGATTGAACTCAACAGCGACTCAGTTCTGTGGAGCGTGCAAACCCGTGTCGAACGCGTCCGGTTTGAGGTTTGGGGCCGCACTCTTGGGTTCCTCGATGAGAAGACGGGCGCGCCTAAGGACCTGGACAAGGAAGACTTGACAGTTAGCAATGGGGGTTTGAGCGATATTGTCCAAATCGAGACTGCCAACCAGCTCATCCGCGACCTCCTCAAGGCGATAACGGCCGCTCTCAACGAGTTTCAAAAGACGGCCGAGAAGTATAGCCTGGAAAAGAAGAACGTGGAACCAACCGCGACAAGCACGACCAGCCGGCGCCTGAGGGCTCTTGCGGGCTTCTCCAAGGCTTGGTCGGAGACCAAAGTATTCACCAAGCATGTTGTCTACATCCTGGTGGACAAAGGCCTCGTCGAACAGCTTGTACAGAAGTTGAGCGGCCTAAATGACTCTTTGGAGAAGCTCCTCACGCTCCCTCAAAAAGTCCAGTACGCAAAGGCAGTCTCATCGGGGGTTTTGGTCAAGTATCAACGTCCTGACGAACTCGGCTCTCTGATCGAAGCCCTAGACGACGGCTCCGGGCAGAAAAGCACACAGTCCGACCCGGGTATCCTCAAAGCATCGGCCCGTGTCAAACAACTGTGCGTCCGGATGGATTCCCACGAACCCGCCGAGCGGGCAGCCGCCCCGGGACCTGGAAGTTTCAAACTCGGGACGGAACTCGTCCGTGGGTACCCGGCACCGACAAAGAAGCATAGAGGCGACCCGCACTGGCCCTTTGGTGTCGCCAACTACACCACTGGCGCGGAGCCGACTCGAAGGGTTCTCGTAGAATGGCGTGACGCGAAGCCTAGCTCACCACGGTTCATCATCGAAAATACAGAGCTTGTCCGGCGCCGGGATGCCATCGCTCAACTCCTTCACCGCACTAGCACCATGACGGGCGCTGATGATTACCGGCTGCTCGACTGTGTTGGTTACATTGAGACAACAACCACAGATGGCAGCGACGATCCCGATGCTCCAGCGGTCAATGTTGTCGGTTTCGTTTCGTTGTTCCCGTCGTGGGCTGACGAGCATTCCGAACCCATTACGCTGCATAGTCTTCTCCAAAATGCCTTTGACAGGGAAGTACCGGTCCTAACGGGCGGCAACAACGACAGTACATCAATAGTCCCAGCCTTAGGCACACGGTTCTCCCTCGCTCGTGACCTCTCCAACGCTCTGTACCAGCTCCAGTGCAGTAACTGGGTGCACCGCAACCTCAGCAGCCACCAGGTGGTCTTTTTCCGTGACAGCACCTCCGGAAATGTACTCCGTCTCGATCGGCCCTTCCTCATTGGCTTCCAGTACTCGCGGCCCGATGATAACATGAACTCAAACAATGGTCCGACGCCGGTCAACCTCTTTTCTGAAGGGTTCGGTCACAGCCTCAAGAGCAGCGCCGCTTTCCCCGAGCTGTATCTGCCCCCAGAATTCTCTGTTTTCTCTTCTGACAGCGTGTCGTCAGGAGCACTGGGTCCAGCGGGGCTGAGCTTGCGACGCTATCGACGGTCCGACGATGTCTACAGTTTGGGTGTAATGTTGTTAGAAATTGGATTTTGGGAGCCGGTCAACGCATTCCACCATAACAACCAAGCTAGTCACGACGGGTCGAGAGACGCCACGGAGAAAGCTCCAACGGTCCAGGACACAGCACGCAAAGTGCTGACGGCCGCAGCGGCCGAGCTGCCGTCCGAGGTCGGGGCATTGTATGCTGATGCCGTGCTGCGGTGCCTTCGGGGGTTGCGTCAGGGGGAGGTGACCCAGGCGTCATCGGCGACTGACGACAGTGGGGTTGCTACGGAGGGCGAAGGAACACCTGTTTACGACGGGCAGTATCATGGTGAAGACCCGGAGTTTGCACTTGAGGTAGACTTTTTATGGAAGGTTTTGAGGGAAATTGAAAAGTGTCGCGTGTAATGGAGTAAGGAGAAGGACAAAGAATAGGGAGAGGAGACAAGATAGGAGAGTAAAAGTGATCTATGAGTCCTAGAGCCCATAAGATTTGACATATACTGCATGTACTATGTAAGGCAGATAGAAAGTCTTTGAACCGTTGAACTTAACGAGAAGTCGAGTCATGGAAATTGAGAATCAATTGTTAACCGGTTCCAACAGCAAGAGAGTTGACGCATATAAACGGCAGCCACGACCGACTTCCCGGTGGGCCCGTAGTGGAAGAAGGCGTCATCATCTGCCAGCTTTCCGTCAACATTATAGCCAATATTTCGGAGTTTTGTGCACAGAAACACTGAGTGTTAAACATGCTCTGGAATCATAGATACCTGCACATCTTGTGCTGTAACTCCGAAATGTATTCCATTGTTTCGGCCCCCAACACCGCGTCTCGTGAGCTGACAAATGCGAGCACCATTCGGCATGATTTCAAGATTTGTCACCAGAAATGGCGTTAAGAAGCCAGGAGGCTTGGAAAGGGCCTAGACGTCGCTGAAAACGGCGCCTCCCGTTGGGACTTTAGTTGGGGGCCTGGGAATGAGACTCAAGAGTATTTATTCAAATAGAACCCAGATGCCTCGTTGAAAGAGTCTACCACGGCTCGACGATACTCATCTTTCTGCAATACCAAGTTCCTTCAAACTTCAAAGTCAGCATACACGCAAAGTCATGGCCCCCACAACGATTTTAATCACCGGTGCGAATCGTGGTCTTGGGCTCGGGCTGGCCAAGGAACTCCTCGCCCTGCCGAATCACGTAAGTCTCCGAGCATATGCTTTGGATTTCATCACTACGCCAGCTTGAAGCGAGGAGAGGTCACTACGGACACACATATCTACTATCCGCCGGGCCGACCCTTCCCCTGACTTCTTCTGTAGACCATCATCGCAGCAAACCGAGACCCTAGCCATCCCACCTCGCAAGCCTTGGCCAACCTCCCGACAGGCGACGGCAGCCGCTTGATTGTGGTCCAATATGACGCCGGCGTTGAGGGGGCTGCCTTTGCAGCCGTGAAACAAGCCCAAGAGAAAGCCGACATCACACACCTGGATATCGTGGTAGCCAATGCTGCGATTGTCAAGGTGTTCCCTCACGTAAGGGAGGCCAAGCGCAGCGATATCCTTGAGCATTTCCGTGTCAATTCACTTGGACCGGTCGAGCTGTTTCAAGCTACGAGGGACTTGCTGGAGAAGTCTGCCGACAAGCCCAAGTTTGTGTTCTTGGGATCTGGGGCCGGTGCTCTGGGGTGAGTTCCAAATGTTCCTCAACTTAGAAAGTCTTAGCTCGAAAAGGGAAAAATGGAGAAAGGAAAAGAAACGAAAATGAAGATAGAAAACTAACAGCTCATCACAGCCGCCAACCAGCAATACCTAACGCCGCTTACGGGCCTTCCAAAACCGTCCTAGCCTGGTACGGCGTGAGGCTCCATGCTGAGGAGGAATGGTTGAGCACCTTTGTGATCGACCCGGGTTGGGCACAGACAGAGATGGGCAACGGTGCGGCCGAGTTCTTTGGTTATTCCTCGGCTCCGGTCACCGAAGAAGAGTCCGTCAAAGGCATTTTCAAGATTGTTACAGCCGGTACAAGGGAAGAGTATGGCGGCAAGGTGGTGCTGTACACGGGCGAGGTCCAGGTATACTAAGCAGGGTAATTCTATTCGGCGGGGCCATTTAGAAAGTATTGTCCTCGAGGGATGTAGAGAATAAGTTTTGATTAATATCTTTCTAGACTCTCTTTTCCCAAGAGGATTTAATATGCCGTTGTTTTTTCCCTGTTTGGTCTTATAAAAAAAGAATAAGAATAAAGGAAAGTGAGAGAAAACCAGCTGATGTAACCGATACACCATGATAAGTATTTTAAATGTGATACGAGGCGGGCTTTTCGGCCTTGACAAGAAAAATAAATGCTTTTCAAGACCAAGGTGGACTACACCTGCGACTGTATGTACATGTACATACATACCATGCATGTATGCGCAGAGTATTTACAAGTAATGAATCGGTCCTTTATAACGGTAACGTATGTTTCCGTGGGGTTCCACAGCCGAGCGGCCGGTAACGTTCATGATATAGTGGGGCCCAAAATTTCAAGCCCACCACCGACAAGACCTTGCCGTTGCAACTTTCAAGCCATCTCGACGACCATCACCCCACCCCCTCGGGCACCAGAGCCCTCCTCCTACTCACACGGGGAATAATCTCGGCCAGAGGAAATTCCGTGCGCCATTGTTCTCTTGGAAGTGCCTGTCGTCCCACACGCGCGGGGTGCGTGTCTCGCCGTATTTCCTGCCCCACTCAGCACGCGAGACTAAATCGTCGCCGTTCTCTACCTCACCATGCGACGGTAGCATAAACAGCTTGTTTGGGATTGCATTTGGGATTGTATTTGGGGCTGGGTTTTGTCTGTCTAGTTCCCGTGCTGCTGCGTGCTCTCGCACCTCGTCCGCCGGACCGCCATGCTCGAGAGGACTGCGACAGGCATCGAGCCCTGCAGTACCAGCTTCCAGCGCATCTTCCCTTCTGCCGGCTCCTGTCTGCCAACCCGCCGCACACTCCATGCGGCTTTTTGGCACCATGGCGCCGCCGACCTAGGGCACTTCGATACCTGTCAGCCACTTGTGCGCCATACCCCGGCCGAGGCGACCAAGATCCCCACGGCAACCCCGCGGTCCAAGCCGAAGCCGATCGAGAACGCCTACCCGGTAACTGCCCCCGGGTTTTCGCTCGACTTTTTATACCCCAGCGGAACGGCCGCGCTACTCCAGAGAGTCCACCGGATACATGGCCCCCGCTTGGACCATGGCTCGAGATCGCGGACCCCCGTCTCTCGCCTCTTCACTTCCACTGCCCCTCTTCGGTCAGACCAGCGGCCTTGGGACGACCCAGAAGCCGCCACGGGGCAGGCGGCGGGCAACCCGGAAGATGTGCATGAGGAGGACGAATGGGGCCCTCAGCGGGAGCTGGAAAGGTGGGAAGGAGATGACGACGGCGGAGGTAACAGCGGTAACGCCGGCAACGGCGGGAACGATGGACGGGGCCGACGGGACGGATGGGACGGATGGGATAGAGACCAAGGGCATCCAGTAGATGGCGCTGCCGACATCAATGGTGACGTTGACGTTACCTTAAACAGGCTGAAAAGGCTTCTGTACTCACCGACAAACACCGGCGGCTACGACCAAATCTACCAAAACTACATGAGGCTCCCTCCGGACATGCAAGAGCCCTTTAAGGCGGATGTGATGGTCACCATCTCCGCCTCAGATCGGCCCATCGAGGCTGGGCGGGTCACCGATCTCTTCGCTCAGTTTCGCATGAGCCAGTGGACCGACGATCTCCTCGCTGCTGCCACAAAGGCCCTTTTTGTCCTGAACAGAATCCAGGACGCCGTGTCCCTTTTCCGCGTGGCTGTGGAACACCGCCGCTTGAGCGGGGGGCTGGATCGCATCCTTGCCCACGGATTGGAAACGAAGTCGTTCGACTTGGTCACGCTTGTGTGGCGTCTCTACACGACCAATATCAAGGACCCCAAACCGCCGCCCGACGCCCCACCGCAAAGTTCACCTCGCCTACCAGTCGTCAATCATCTGATCTACCCGTTGACCGCCGAGGTTCCGGATCTCCACCTCCGGTTCCGGGAGTTGTACTTCTACTATGGCGACCCCGACGTCAAGCCTTGGCTGCTCAAGCCTTGGTTGATCAAACCTTGGCGTACTGAGTTCATCGGCTCCATTATCAGACACCTTTTGACCCATTCCCTCGAACTGTTGAAGGAGCCCGATACAGTTTTCATGCTCCACTGGGTGAAGGACCCGAAGGAGTACGAGCGCTACATCCTTCTCAACCACCAACGTGGGGCGAAACCCCGCTTGATGACCGACCTGTATTACAGGTACAGGTCGCTCCCGAGCGTTATCCCGGACGCCTCGATACTGCGGATCATGATGGACATCCTTTTCCCACTCAACGTTGTGGGAATGCTACGGCTCAAAACGGATTGGTACCGCGGCTACGGCCGGTTGGATGAGAGGGCCCTTGACAAGTTCATGTCTTTTTACGCGGATCGTGGCGATGTCAAGTCCCTCCTCGATCTGACCGAAGAATACGAGCAGCACCACCCCGGCAGTAATCTTAAACATGACCCAATCTTCATCGGATTCCTCGCTCGGGCTTATGCCGTTCGCGGCGATCCCAAGGGTGTGCGCCAGGTGTTGGCGGATGTCACTGAAAGAACGGGGGGCGGCCCGTCGGTCGAGCTGTTGAACCACTTGTTGAAGGCGTACAGTAATGTGGGCGAGTACGAGGAGGCGATCAATATCTTTTCGTTGATCCTCGAGCAGCACGAACCTGACCCGACCACCTTCGCTACCATGATGAGCATGGCCGGCGACCGCGGCGACCTTCAGTTTACTCTTGAGGTCTTCAAGCTCGTCGAGGACCGGGGTCTGCCGATCACCTGCGACCTGATCCAGCCCGTGGTCGAGGCATATTGCCGCAACGACCGATACGCAGATGCCGAGCGGTTGTGCATCAAGATCACCAGGAAGAAGGAGGTGCCCGGGCCTCACACCCCGCTCTGGAACACGCTCATCCGCCACAACGCCTGGGGGCGAGACCTGATTGGGGTGAACCGGCTCCTCCAGCACATGACATCGCTCAACGTCTCCTACGACCACACGACCTATGCCCACCTCATCTTGGCGCTGCTCTACGTCAACCAATCGCACCACGCCCTACATCTGCTCCGAGCTGCGCTCGACGAGGGATCCTTTGAGCCCACCCAGGACCATTACATCCTTCTCATGGTAGCCTTCATCCACACCCAGGAGTCGTGGCTAGCCTTCAAAGTTTACGACTTGATGCGCCGTACCGGCTTCCCAGAGTCGGCCGCTGCTACCGCTCAGTACATCACCGCCTTCGCAAATTACCGGCGGCTGCAAATCGATGACAAGTATACTCTAAAGTTGAAGAGGCGGTTTGCCGGATTCATCCTCCGTGAGTTTTATCGGGCCATGGAGAGGGAGGAGAATAACGAACCCGACTCCAACGGTGCTATCATCCACCTCTACTCCAAGACCCTTTTGGCCTTGACCAGGATGCGGGAGTATGCTTCGGTGAACCGAATCATTAAAATTCACAACGAGCGCTACCCAGACCGCGGGACCCCCGAAACCATGCCTCTCGAGATCCTGCACTTAGTCTTGCTCGCCCAGTTTCGTTCTAGAAAGATTGCCCGCGTCCGCAAGACGTGGGAGATCATCCTCCGGCGCACTAGCCGGCGCTATCAGCCGGCCGCGTCGTTCCTGAACCCGGAGGGCGAGGGCTACGACCCGGAGAATCCGGTCAACCCCATTGTTTCCGACCAGCGGTTCCGCCTCAGCGAACCGCTCCGGGTAATGCAATACGTGCACATAGACGCCGGAGATTCGATTGGCTTAATTAAGCTGGTGGAGACAGTACGCGCGCGCGGCTACGAACTGGATAACAAGAACTGGAACTACCATGTGCAGGGGCTGGCAGATATGGGGCGGTGGCACCGAGCCTTCACTACGTGCGAAAGGGTACTCATGCCCAACTGGGCCGGCTGGGCGGCGCTCACCGGCCCGCGCTCGAAGCGGTCGCATCTCCCGATGGACTTGCGCCAGGGCGGCCGCAACCCGCGCCTGTTCCGGCCCACCAATCACACCCTGCTCGTTCTCATCCGCGAGTATCGCAACCTCGAGCGAATGGCGCCCTGGTCGCGCACTGCCGCCCATCATTTCCGTCTCATCAACGCCGACTGCCCCAAGACCGTCCGCGCCATCATCAGCCGGCGCACCGGCCGACATTCGCTCGACGAATTGATCATCGAGAAGCGGTTGCGGTTCGCCGGGGCGGCCGCGCTGCAGAAGAAAAGGGAGGGCATCAAAAGGTCGCAACGCGCGAAGCGTCGTCTGCATCCACGAGGCAGTGGGCGCTACGCACCGCAGGGTGTCCGCGCCCGGATCAAAAGGATGGCCCGGATCCGTGGGCATATTGCCGATGGAACTGTTATTCGGGGCGGGAAAACGGGCGCTAAAACCATGCGCGAACTTCGGAAGCTGCAGATTGAAAAGAAAGAAAAGATCAGGGCGCAGAATCGCCAGCCACGCTGGGAAGAGCAGGACCGCCAGGATCGTCAGGACATTGAGGACCTTCAGAAACTGTTGGAGAGCCGAGAACTCCAGGAGCGCCAGGAAGCTCAGACAGCCCGAGCGCAAAAACAGCTGGAAGATATGGCACCGAGGACATCCACTAGTGATGAGGCTGAACCTTGGGCTGGTCTGGAGGGATTCGATCTGGGTGACATGGACGACAACTCTTCGGGCAAGCGGGAGAAGGGCGACAAGAAGAGCTTGTCAGTGGACGATTTCATCAGCGCGCTGAAGGGGGAGCCTGTGGGGGGCAGCGCGGTGCCAGCAGACAGCGGTGAGACCGGGGAACAGAATAAAAGGAATACGAAGAAAAAGAAGTCGAAGAAAGATAAGGAATGGGGAGATGGGGCTATGTCACCGGATGATTTTATAAAAGCAATGAAAGGAGGTGGTGGTGACGAAGAAAAGTAATCGATGAATATTTGACATTCGGTAAACTGGGGGAAACAAAGGAAAATAGGAACCAACAAAAGGAGGAGGGGAAAATGGAGCGAGATGCTTTTGGTGTACGATTGGTGCTCTGTATGTCTATGTAAGCTACTTTATGTGTGTATGCCGACGGGAAGAAAAAGGAGATGTGTATGTACAGGTAGTCATGACTTGGGGGATGTTGAGATCTAATAGATGATAGACCACGGGAGTTGGGTACAATAGCCAGGTCAAAAAGCCACCTTGAATCGGTTACGCGTTGCGTTGATTCAGTTTCTCCTGCCTCCGGGCAAGTTTTAGTGTGTGATGGTTAATGATGTGACGGTAACTTTCGATAGTCCAGGTTGGATTGAATACACTAGGGCCGAGCTGAAACACCGAAATTCGGTTACACCCTTGACGGCTCGCAAAACGTCTCGTCAGCTTGGCATTCCGCGGTGGGATGCAGATCTCTTGGCGCTGTGACGCGACCAAGAAATAATTATTACAAGCACCGGGCAAGTGAACGCATCGCGCCGGTAATGGGCATCACCGCATCGCAAACCGAGTTTTTTTTGCATTTTTGGCCAAACCTTCAGATCGATCCTATCCATGGCTATCTAAATTTCTTCCTTTTGTGCTCATTCTATCCCGTTATTAAGTGCTTTTCCATATCATCAACCTCCTGCGCTGAAGAGACAATCCATGGCCGCCTGTGAACAGGCATAACACGACAACAAAATGCTATTTCCCGAAGAACACTCGGCGCATTTGAAGCAATGGATTGTCAAGCGACTGGAAAATACGTAAGTTTGCATAGAGTCGTCTTTTGTGCTGCGATTATGGCAATTTTTTTGCTGACAATAACGGTGGATTTCTTTCTCCTGGAAAATAGTTCCGATGCTGACCCCGATGTCCTCGCCGACTACGTTTTGGCATTATTACGGCACGATGGTGACATCAACGACGTGCGCAAGCTCTGCGAATCAGAAATTCCCGACTTTCTAAAAGAAGGTACGCTGTCCATCGCCCTTTCCTAAAGATTTAGGATCCAGGATGCCCAAGATTTCAGGCACCCGAGACTGACCTGCTCCTTCCCTTGTTCTCCCCCCCCCGGGCAGACTCTCCAGTTTTCGTGAACGATGTCTTCGACGCGATCGCCCACCGCTCATATCTTCCCGGCGCCCCTCCCCCGCCTCCGAAGCAACAACAACAGCAGCACCGTGCGACGACCGCTGCTTTCCCAGATCCGGGCCCCGCCAACGAAGGTTCTTACGGCATGTTTTACGACGACCGTCCGATGGATATGGCTGTCCCGGCTTTGCCACCTCCCTTCTCCAACGGTTCGAGGAAGCGGGGATACACCGACTGGGACGATCCGAACGCAAACGTACAAAATGGAGGGGGTCATGCATTCGGCGGCCGACCGGTCAAGCAACCCAGGCGGGGTCGCCGAGACTCGAGGTCCGATACTCTGAATAAGTGGTATCGAGAGGGCATGTCCGACGCCGTGGCTGGTCAAGTACCTTATGCGCAAGGTGCTGCTGGCCCCCCGGCGACGGTGGGCTACTTCAATCCCCAAAATGGTGCGGTGGGGGGTTCGTTATTCGGAATGAGCATGGCAACTGGGCATCCCATGCCCGATTTCTTGGGTGGCGGTCACTTTGCGCCTGGTAAGAAGAGGAAGAAGTGTCGTGACTTTGAGAAAAAGGGGTTTTGCCCACGCGGGACGAGTTGCACGTTTGCGCATGGCAACGACTCAGTTTACGGAGGCCCTCCAGGGCCGCCATTTGGAGGTATGCAGATGATGCCGCGGCAAGCTTCGGCGGGTGAGGGTAGGTATTGCATTTTCTCTCTCAGGCTTAGATTTGTAGCTAATCCAGGCCGCATAGAGTACGATCCTTCCAACGCCCTGATGCCCGACCTGCTCAACGGTCAAGGTCCCTTCCCTGGACAAATGCCAATCCCGGTTTTTGGCCAACAACAGCGACACCGAGGCGGCAAGTACCAGAACCGCCAGAGGCGGGCCGATAAAGCAACCTTCTCCGCTGATGGGCCGGTATTTGATAAGACAAAGTCGACAATCGTGGTGGAGAACATCCCTGAGGAAAGCTTCACCGAGGATCAGGTCAAAAGCTTCTTCTCCCAGTTCGGCAGCATTGTGGATGTTTCGATGCGGCCGTACAAAAGATTGGCAGTTGTCAAGTTCGACAATTGGACGGCTGCCAATGCAGCCTATCAGTCACCGAAAGTCATCTTCGACAACCGTTTCGTGAAGGTCTTTTGGTATAAAGATGAGGCGTCTGCTACGGCTAGTTCTGCAGATGGCGGTTCGGGTACAACGAAACCAAAACATGCTCGCGGCTTACCCACAGCTGATGACCATGAGGCTGGGTCGCAACCGGAGATCGACCTGGACGAGTTTGCGAAGCAACAAGAAGAGCGACAGAAGGCCTTTGAGGAGAAGACAAAAAGAAGAGAGGACCTTGAGCGACAGCGTGAGGAGTTAGAGAAGCGGCAGCAGGAGCTGATGGCCAAACACTTAGAGGAAAAGGCGAAGCTACAGGTTAAGCTAGGGGGTTCTAATGGTAGCAAAAACGAGAACGGTAGAGACGACACCAAGAGGCCAATAAGCCAGACCGAAGCGCTTCGTGCACAGTTAGCAGCACTTGAGGCTCAGGCGAGGGAAATGGGTATTGACCCAGATGACCCCGATGCCTCGGCGTCGTGGACCCCTAGGGGCGGTAGCAACGGACGAGGGCGAGGCGGTAGTTGGAGAGGTTCCCCATCACCATACACGCCCCGTGGGTCATTTCGTGGCGGCTATCGTGGCCGTGCGAACGTCCACGCTGCATATGCTGCCTATTCGCTTGACAATCGCCCGAAGAAGGTAGCCCTGACCGGAGTGGACTTCACCGCCTCTGACAAGGACGAGACACTCCGGCAGTACCTCTTCGTAAGTTCATTTTACCAGTCTCAGCGCCTCGGGCGTACCCTTCCGGCGTCGTAGATATTAACAGTGTTTAGGGAATCGGCGAATTCACCGACATTCACACGACACCAGCTTCCACCGAGATCACGTTTAAGGACCGGAAAACAGCCGAGAAATTTTACAACTCGGTTCTTCTCGCTAACAGGGAGCTACCTGGTCTTGACACTCCTGTTGAGGTCAATTGGGCCGGCGCCAACGGCGCTCCAGGTTCTATGCCCACGACGCCGGGTGTGTTCACGGAAGGTAGCAAAACCAACAACGGTGGTGCCAATGGGCAAACCAAGGGTGAGCGCAGAGCAGTTAGCGCCAACGGCGAAGACGACGGCGGCGGCGGAAACGACCGCCGCGGCGCGAGAGAAGAAAGGGAGGATGAAGGCGATGCAGGAGGTAGCGGCGATAAGGACGTGCACATCCTGCTTGATCGGCCGACCCATGGCGACCACCATCACCACCGCCATCACCAAAAAGACAGGGAGCAGCGGGAAATGGATTATGAGGTGGCAGATGAGGAAGATCAGTGGGGGTATTAGTAGTACTCGCCGACTTACACAAGCAGGCCCATCAAATTCTGTCTTCGTTTAGGCGTTTGACGGCCTGGTCCTTTCGTTCCGCAAGATTATAGGCGCATCGAAGAAGAAACACGAGACTGCGTGTGCGTGCCGGCAAATGAACCATTGCGTCAATCGTTCAATTCAAGTTGGCTTTGTCGGCCCGGGCCCATGTTGGGAGTGCATACCATAGCAATTATTATCACTATTTCTTTGCCAGAAGGCGACAACGCCCATGAAGGGAAATGAACTCAACAAAGCATGGTCTGAAAGAGCAGGGGCGCAGAGATAGAAAAGGGTGTGCGATGATGAAACGGAAACAAAAGTGGCTACTAGACAAATGGCCTTGTAGGAAACAACCTTCGTGGAACTCGACATAGATATAAAGTATAAATGCCATGTGATAAGGACAAGCGGAAGAACTATACACAACCCACAAATTGTGCTTAATTGCAGGGTGCCAAGTCCGCGCTACAGCTTGGGACTTACTCTCATGGAGCGTCTGGAAGGGGGAAGAAAATTCGATCCTGCCTTTGGAATTTCCCTGGGTATCGTTGAGATCTCGGTTATGTACGAAAACTAGGTTGGACCATCTTCTTCCCCACCCGCTCACCTCTGTCCCTTCTATCCCTTTCTACGCCTCTTTGGGGGGGTTTTGATCCCATTCAAGCCTTACTTTACTTTCCCTCCTCTACTGCCCTCCCAAGTCCCAAACCCGTCCCTCCCCACAGCCGAACCGACCCGGCTCAGTCCTCGTTTCTTTGTCTACCAGTTGATGATTTTGGTGGAGAGAAAAGACCGAGAAATAAAAAAAAATAAAAGAAACTATCATCCATCCATCCTATCCCAACACCATCCCACCCCATTTTTGTTGAAAAATCAAGACCCTGACCTCAGGGGGGTATATATGCCCAGCGCCCCCATCTGTATCCCCATGATGATGATGATGATGCGCGTTTTGTTCGCCCCGCCTACTCTCGAAGAGAGAGAAAAAAACGCCATTCCCACATGCATGCTCCTGCTGTATGTTAAATAAAGTCCGAAAGGTTGCGTGCGTTCGTTTCAAGATGCGTCATTTTCTCTCGATCCGGATCCTCTCCGCGTCTCGCTCCAGGCTCTGCGGATAGATAGATGAATATTAAAATTCCGTGTTTGTTGTTTTGTGCATTTGGGAGGTTGAAATTATTCCGGCCATGCTGAAAAAGGTGTTGAAGAAGAAAAGGGTCTCCCGCCAGTCGGCTAGCCAGGTTGAGTGGTTAAGTCCGATGGGCTGTAGAGTCGACACGGCTTTACGACAATATTTCGACGCCGTTAGCAGCGCCGTTCGTGGTACCGTTCGCTTGGGGCTCCGGAACCTTGTCTAAGCCTGGGGCTTGAATCCCCTTCAGGACATCGAAAATGGTGTGCCCCGCATGGAAGTCATTGTTCACTACAGCATGTTGTTAGCTCAATGCTCTACCACGGCTGGTGTGACATGTCAGGGTTTTGCTTACCGATGTTGACCAAGTACCACGTGTTCATGATTTCGTCCAAGAGAGTGCGGCTGGAGGAGCCGGTCTCATAGCACCGCGCCCATTCCGTGCCCAATTGGAACGCCTCGTCCTTCCAGGCAAGGAAGCTGATGCGTTCCACAATGGTAGGCTGGACAATTTCCTTGCCCGGGAAAACGCCCCATGTGACAGCGTTAGGCCCCTCGGACTGTGCATTGGTATGGAGGTTGCCCGATTTTGTCACCGCATGGTAGGTGAGGTCAGGGTGGTTTTCGATCCGCCGCTTGATTTCCGGGAAGATCTCGGGCGAGATAAGCATCTCGAGGTAGGCCTTTTGGTAGACGTAACCGTTCCCCGGGCCCCAGCCGTGGATTGGATGTGTCGACTTGACACCATTAACGGCCGGCTGTGAGTTCACGGTGATGAGTCCACGGCTGTTGACATCAATCAAGTCATTCTTGATAATATCAGCCTCTTCCGTAACGGGGGCCTCGCTCCAGGGAAGGTATTCGATCTCCTTGTTCAGGTAGCGGATGAAGAGATCCGCAATATCGCGCACGCTGGTCGGTTCCCCCCACTTCTTGCGATTTTGCTCGTTGCTCCCAGTCAACCCAATGCCGTAGGCATCTAGCTCACCGAAAGCTGGAGACCTAGAATCACCCCAGCGGCCATTGGGGAATTCATCCCAGTCTTGAGTACGTGCCACATATGACTTGTTCCGGTTACGCCAGAAAATCGGCCGAACATCCTCGTCACGTCGCCCAAACCCAAGCGACTGCTTCCAGGGCAAGGCCTGTTTGAGCGGGCGATCGGGGCGTGGCATCCAATCTAGCTCTTCCAGAACCATGCGGGTGGCCTGAGCAAGGTTCATGGTGTAAAAGTGCAGGTGACGAATGCCAGCACCAAGGATCTTGCGGCACATGTCCGCCACAAGGGTCTTGCCGATATCACGAACAGCCACGTCGTCATTCTTGACAGGCTCCAGCTTTTCCATCCAGTCTTCGGGGATCTTGCAGTTCATGTGGTTCGCGCGACGCAGAAAGCTGGCATACGTGGCGATGGGCATAATACCAGGCACAATGGGAACGGTGATACCACGCTCCCTGACCTTTCCCACCCATCGAACAAAGTTGTCGGCGTCGTAGAACATTTGTGTAACAATGAATGTCGCACCCATGTCGACCTTCTCTTTAAGATGGTCCAGCAGCAGGTCCTCGTCCTTGTTGTCATCGCACCCCTCTGGGTATCCGGCCACGCCAATATCGAAATGGTTGCCGTACACTTTGCGAATATGAGCCACGAGATCGCGGGCGTACTGGAAGCCGTCGTCGGCAGCCTCCCACTTTTCCTTCTCACGCGGCGGGTCACCGCGGAGGGCCAGAATGTTGGTGCAACCGGCCTTGTAGGCCCGGCGAAGAGCATCGTTAACCTTCTCCTCCCCCATATCGGTACACGTTAGATGCATGCAGGCTTCGAGGCCGAGGTACGCCTGGGCCTGGACCACCATTTCGCAAGTCAGCTCGGCAATCCGGCCACCCGCGCCCCATGTGATGTCGATAAACTTGGGCCCGAAGTTGTACATGCGCTCCATGCGGTCATACAAGTTCTGGACGCCCTGGGCGGTCTTGGGCGGGAAGTATTCGAACGAGAAGGACGGGTTGCCGGTCCTCTCGGCCTCCGCCAGCATTTCCTTGATATGCATGGTGGCGGTGGTTTGGTGGTTCTCGTCGTAACGTTACTGGGCGAGTAAATAATAGACTGCTACTGCGGTGGCAATATCATGTTAGCCTGCCCTCGCCGTACATACGCGCCCGATACGGGCAGGTTCGTCGCCGGGATTGAGCCGGTGGTAGGAACGGAGGTTGGGGGAGTAGACAAGGCAAGTTCCCTTCGCCCTCACAATCACCGATATAGAGAGGGAGGCCAGACCCGAAAGGCCGAGGGAGAGGGAGAAATGGACTCAAGACGCAGAAACAAGCGGGGAAGTCATACATGGTCAATCAATCTTGGAGAACAGCTCGACTCGCTCGCTTCCTGGGGCCTCGGACAGACTAGGAAGCAGCGTCTTCACCTCGACACCGTGTGCACCGCGGTGCCCTTGAGCTCCAGTCGGTGATGGTCCCAAAAACGGGGAGAGAAAGGATGAAAAAAGGGAAGAAACAATAAGAGAAGGAGATGGGCAAAAGAGGAAGGAAGAGTCAGCAAAACCGACGAGAAGAAGGGAAGGAGAGACCGTGGGGCAACGACCGCTTTTACGTGCACAGTGCAAGGTGTAGCATGCTCGAAGCAGAATTTCGCCGTGCCCGGAGGGCTTCTCATTGGGTAAGATGGGATCGCACCTGCATCTCCCGATCCCCACCCACCCCCGTCCCCAAGGAGCGAGCGCCGACACCTTGAGGACCCCCGAACTTGTCGAGCGAGAAACCCCGCAGTTCGGAGGCTAGGAGAGCACGGGGAAGGACGGAGACAGTGGACTGGAGGTACTTGATGAGCCCAGCAGATCTCAATTGCTGCAATTCATCTCTCTGCGGGGTCTAAGATCGCCGAGTTGAAGTCGTGGCCCGAATAACAGAGAAACAGAGCGGAAGGGAACGTTTTTGTTTGCTATGGCAACGACGGGATTTGACAGCGAAGCACCGCATCCAAAATACCCCGGCGGGCCGGACCCCGTCCCTCTCAGTACTCCGAATGTGGCTTGCGTGAACATCCCGACAAGGCACAGTACGAAATCCGAATGTAACTGGCGGTCAACGGTCGAATTGGTTGAATGCACACATAACCCCAGCCCAGACGAGAAAAGGGGGAATGAGAATATCCTGTACTCAGGAAACTCAGAAACGAGCACGACGGCATCGATGCATCTCATCAGATTCGTCAGATGCACCGCATGGGCCACTCACTCCAGGGCGGTTCGGATGCGACCCCCGACGAAAATCCACCCGTCTCCCGTAATACACCGTATTCTAAGTGGAGGGGCCAAACAACACCTTCGGATCGCACAGCGACCGGCGAACCGCTCCAAGTGGCTCCTGACGTAACCCAGTTGCGAGAGACAACTTTTTCTTGGGGGACACAGGCACACAGGGGACAGGGGCAAGCAACCTGATTTCTGAGTCCTTGTGAATAACGTTAGCGTCAACTGCCCCCACTGTGCCATTGATCGCCCTGCCGTGGCCGGCCACATGCCAATTTCGCGACCGGGCCGGCCCTCCACAGTGTGGAACGATAGCCGCATTTACACTCGGTCGTGCAAAGCCAAGTTGGAGAGACAGGAACGGAGACGAACGCTTCCCCAGGGGACAAACGGTCTGAAGTAGCGGTTGGACCAAGCACAAAAAGAAAACAGACCCAGGAAAAATTCATGCAGACAGCATAAAATAATTGCTGTGGACGAGCTGGGAATCGAACCCAGGACCTTTCGCATACAGGTAGGTATGCTAAGCGAACGCTCTACCAACTGAGCCACACGCCCTTGATTGGTTACCGTTGTACCGATTTGGGCCCTATCATCTTTGCTCCAACCTGCCTGTCCCGTGGAGTTTAATAAGGATGAAGAACGACATTGAGTTACGAGAAATCGGGGCCGATGGGTGGGGGAAGACATCGTGGGCGATACTTTGGATGCCCGAAGGACGGCAGCGGGCACACACCATAAGTAGTAGAGCACCACCAGGTTGTCACTCGCACCCAGAAGAACAAACCATAGATATACTGTGTATTTCGGATATGCACATCTCGCCGGCTTTCCTTGGTACACAATAGGTAACGGCCGCCGGTAAGGAATTCCCATGAGCGTAACAAACAAAAACCCTATTATGGAACAGATATTCGCCTCGATTACTTGGCCGTCTTCCCAACCTCTGCACTAGCATGGCTATTACTACCAATTTTCGGGGACTTCGACTTCCCCGCGCCACCTTTCCCAACTATCTTCTCCGCCCAATTCCAACTCAAGGGACTTGGACTTCTTGAACTCTTCCCCCCACTAGCAGAACCCGGCACTCCCAGCTTTCCCTCCCCTTCTCTGCCCCGCAACGCTGCCCCCTTTTCACCCTCAGGACCACCACCCATACTTCCCGACCTAGAGTCACCCCTCTCACCTACTCCATCATCACTCTCATCTCCGCTGTCCAACCAGTCCCGCTCACTCCATGTCACCGAGTCAAGCCGGTCTAGCAACGGCCGCGGTGTGGTCGGAGTTCTGGCCCAAGTAACATCCGACACACCCGCTGCAGACACACCCAGCGCATTTCCGGTGTTGGTAGTGCTCGACGCGGCGAGCGAAGGGCTTAGCTTTGGACTACGTGGTAATTCCGGCACGATATCCGCTTCCTCTCCACTACCGTAGGAGCTATCATCACCGCCACTACTACCCACCCCGCGGCCAGCTCGATCTTCGATTATGGTCCGTTCCCCATGCGCATCCTGTCTCGTTGCCGTATTTCTCCTCTCACCACCGTCCCCTTTACTCGGGGGTTGGCTCAAGTCCTTTGCCCGCTCCGCATTTGGCTCATCTTCGTCCCTACGCCGGGCGGTGGCGGTATCTGAAAAATGGGCTTCGACAAGGTGCTGAACGACGGGCCAGCCAAAGGCGTTGGCAAAGGTACGGCGCACGACAATATTGTTATGCGCATCAGGCTCTAACTTGACGAGGACCTTGCGCCAGGAGAGGCCTCGATGGTAAGCCCGCGCAATCTTCTCCTCGACGCGCATCTGGGAGGTGTCGATATCGAGGTCATTGGGAAGATCGCTGGGGGCTGGCTCGCGACTAGTGTCGAGGGAGGGGGTGTGAACCGTCGAGGTTTCGTCATTGGTGGTGGAAGCTGTGGATGGTTTAGGACCTGGGGTTTGTTCGGAAGAATATGATTCCTCGGAAGGTACAGATTCTTTGGCGTGTGACGCTGGTTGTGACGGTGGGGGGGAGGAAGTGCTAGGTGCTGATGTTTGAGAGGTTACTGTTTGTGCGCGGCGACGCAAGTTTAGAGGGCTGGAAGACCGTTCTTTGATAGGCGGAGGAGGAATGTCCGCCGTGTGGTAGACGCGGTCATGGAAGATAGTCCGAGGACGGGCGGAAGGGTCAATGATGAACTCGATTGGTGGCAGTTTTGGGTTAAGCAGGTCCCCGGCGGATTCGAAGATGGTTGTCTTTGGAGGTGCTGACATGCCCTCGAGCTCCTCCGTAAGTTCATTCCCGCTGGTGACTTTGGATTTAGACGAGGTGGCAGAGCCCGCAGGGGACCACTGCTCTGATTTTAGCGTCTGGCTCCGTTGGTAGATCTTGGTTACCTTGGAAGACGTTGGGGCTGGCGGTTTCGGTGTTTCGTTGCGGAAGAAACTGAAAATTCCTGAAAAGGGATTCGACGTCGCTGTCGTCGAGCTCTGGAGCTGCTGAAGCTCCGAAGGCCCCTCTTGGTAGGGGCTAGCAATCGACCTCAGACTCTGTCGGTCGTCTTCAAGCATGGCGTTAGTTGGCGGTTGGGGGACCTGATGAGAGTCCTCCTCGCTAGTCGGCGTGGCCCCGCCCGCGATGGGGCCGTCTGCGCCATTGCCTCTCGTGTCTGCTGGTGACCAAGGGGCAAGCCTGGGAGTCGTCACGTTAGCTCCTGTGAGCTCGGCCCACCCGAATCCAACCATAGTCTCTACCAGACCTGCTTCCCGGCGAGCCTTCTCAACCCGCCCAAGTCCCTGCCAGTCGAGAAAGAGGAGGCAACTCGTCCGTAGGGGAACAATGCCGTCATTGACCACATTGGAATACACGGTCCGATTGCGAAACTTTTTAAGCGCCTTATGAGCCGGCCCCGTAGGGAGGATCCGGAGCAGCGGCTTGGACTCGGGCTGATGCTCGCCATACACGCGCTTGTGGGCGTGCTCTCCAAGGTTGCTCATGAGAGCACCCCACCCGTTTCGTGCAATAGTCGGCGCTCTCCAAGTTAACCCTAGGTCTTGACCCGTTCGCCCCACGAGACCAAAGTCCAGTGCAAACTTGACGTAAAGCGGATTCTCATGGTTCAGGCCGAGAAACGGAGTTGCCAGAGCGATGAAGTTGATCGGTTCGATAAGGTCGAAGAATTGAGGTGAATGTTTTTGAATGTACGCAACGGCGTATGTCTGAACAAGTCCCCCAAGAGAATGGGCGATGAAGCTAATTTTGGTAAATTTGTACAGTCGATTGCCCCCGGTGGAGACTGTCTGGTGAACGGAGCTGTGCTTGTGTGCCTCCTCGATGCCTTTCTTCGGTGCCCCCGCCTTAAGGGTGTGGGCGATGGCCTCTGAAGCTGCTTTAGCAGTCGGCAAGCATGGCTGGTCAGGGTAGGTCATGGAGAGAATGTATCTGGCGAGTCGTTTGCCTAGATATTTGATGCCTCGTTCGGTCTTGGCAGCATTTCCGGGGAACCCGCGGACGACGACCTCCTCACCATCTTCATCTTCGTCATCTGGAACGATGTCTTCTTGACCCTCCTCCGCTTCCCCATCTGCATCGGTGGTTTCTTTTGCGGCCTTTCGAGCCGCCCACTCGCGTGCTTTGCGCACCCTAGCATCGATCTTCGCCTGTTTAACTGCAGCGTCAATGCTTTCCTTCATGAACAGCATGTCTCCGCCAAGGTTGCTGTGTAAACCGTGTGTGAGCACAACTAAATGCACCTTTTTCTGTTTTCTCTTGGGCTTCTGTTCCGCTTTTTTGGGTTGTCCGCCAACAGCATCAGACGCAGTGACAGATCCCGGATCCTCGCTCTGTCGTGCCCTTAGCCATCCAATATCATCCCATCCTGATATCCTGGGAGTATTCCACAAGGCCACTGTGTCTTCAACCGTGAGCCGAACGGCTTTAGAAAAAACACCCTTCAGCTGAGCCGGATGATGTTTCTGGGAGCTTGAGCTCTGTTGGAAGTCGCTGACACGGCCCGGTTGCGAAGCCTGCGCCTGATTCCCAATGACGGGTACCACGGAGCCGAGGTTCAACGACTTTTCGTCGCGCGCCAGTAAAACCTCGTAGTTGACGGACGCCGAAGCCGAAAAAACGACTTGCGAGGAGACTTCTATCACCCACGTCACCGTCTCCCCTTCATGCCCCGGCCCACCTCCGAAATGACCATGTTTGCTGCTGCCTTCTCCAGCACTCTGGCGGATGTTATCTGGAATGACGAGGTGGCAGTTCCATACGGCGCCGGCCTTGAGCATGGGTTCGAATTCGGGTACACCATAGCGGCGAGGGTTTTCAAACTTCTCGAAAGGCTTGAATGTCGACGGATACGCGGAAACGGCGAGTGTGTATGGCCCGTGGACGAAGGCGGCTCGGAGGGCAATGGCGCACGTATTCTTGATGCGAAGGTAGAGAAACTCGGGAGACGGGAGAATGTGGTCGGCAGACGGTGTGTATGTTACTGTGTAGCGGACGACCTCGCCAATTTTGACGCTACCCGTTTGGTGGAGGAGCAACATGGCAGGCGAGCAAGAATGATGTCTTACTGTTCATGTGTCGTCGGGATACGGTGCCAGCATGTGACTGGCGGGGTTGATATCAGAGTTTCGGGCACGGAAGCTTCGGTCGGGCCCGGCAAATGACGACCCTATCCCATTGTGTTGATACACCTTACGTTAGCAGTCAGTAATGCGAAGTGCCTGCCGCAGTATCCGATTGCGAAAGAGGCTTGAGGGACGAGACCGTGAGACCGGCGCAGCCTCGCCAACGGTGGCCCCCGCAGGGATATGCGGGTGTCAAAGGAACGGGCGAAACGCGAGGCAGGGGTGCTGCTTGATGACGACGTCGGAATCCGCAATTGCTGATGTCCGTCGACGGCCAACACCGCACTCTTCGAAGAAAATAACAGAACAGTGGCGAAGTCTTGGAAGTTGTTACCACGTCCAACAACAACACCATTTACAGAAAGGCTTGATTGGCTTGGCTGCAGTTGACAAGATTCATTGAACGGTGCAATGTTAAAAGAGATGACGAGCGGAGCGATCCGGAACACATGCCAAGTCTTCCTATCTTGAGCTCAGCCGACGAGATTCCTGATTCGGTTTTTTGCGCTCAGTACGGATTACCTGATTGAATACGTCAACTGTAATTACAGGCCGAGTTTCTTCACTTTCCCGAGAAAGTAAAAATGGGAGGAGAAGGGGTTAAGATAAGCACACTTCAAAACTTGGCCTGTTATATGATGTATCAGACATCAATTCAACAACATTCGTCCTTCCTTCTAGGTAATCTTGTTGTCTTACACAGCGGTGGCATAAACCTGGAACCTGAACTTTACGTTCACCACTTCCGAAACGCGTGTAACAAATGCGGCTTCTCTGAATTCAGCTGCCCCTTGCGGCTGCCCACATGGGCGGGAAAGCGGACCACTCACGTGAGCCGTCCCAACCCGCCGGGGACCAGGGCCTGACGACAACAATTTCTGACCGCCCATCTTTTAAAGCCGGCAGTATTTTCTCGTTCCCAGACCCCTCCCCCAGCCCCAGGACGAGCTCACCGACCAGCACAGTAACCGACCCGTGGATGCGATAACCGTGATTTTGTTTTGCAATAATGGGGCGACGGCCGAATGCGCTGATATTGCAGTATTTTGAGAGGGGGCCGAAACTACAGGACCAAAGCAATCGCTATCCGCACACTTGCAAAGCGTGAGCCACCGCTCTTTCATCATCTCTCGCCGTATTCTGCATCGTCGCTGGGTCTAGAGTCCCACCGCTTGTTCTAGCGATTCAAGCTAACAAATATGTCTTCCATCGCAGATGCGGCGAGCACTTCCCACGCGGCCGACTCGACAGCTTGACAAGCCATTTAACGAAGAAATGCCCGGCCATCTCCGAATCCGAGCGAGTCAGCGCTCTGCTCGCCCTGTCTGGCATGAGCCATGCCTCGCAGCGCTTTCAACAGAACCACCAGGCTCAAGCGCGCGCCGCCCAAGCCAATGGCTCTCCGGTCGATTTGCCCATGATGCAACGTGATTGGACCGCGCTTGGCGTTCTTGCTGAGGTTTCGCGACAGATTGATCTGAACGAGAAGAACGATGGCGGTCAACCTGGAGCGGCCGCCCCTTCGGGGGCTCCGCCGCCGGGCGGGCAACCGGCAGAGCGGTTTGAGATGCAAGACCAGTTCATTATTGAGAACCCGCCTTTACATCAAGACAATAGCACAGCTTTGCCCCCCAAGGGTACGGATTTCAGGAGTTTCCGAGATGAAGAAGGGAGAAATTTTAAGCTAACGATCCGCGTATTAGAGACTCAACAAGAAGACGCCGAAGGATTGCCAACGGCCGAAGAACGCCTCCAAGAAATCTTGCGCGCCGAAGATACCCAGTCGGAGGCAAATATCACCATGGCAGCCGCCGCCGCGGCCCGCTTAAACCCAGCGTACCTAGACCCAGAGATTCTAGGCGAAGAAGCTGCAGCGGCTGCGGAGGCGGCCACCGCTACAACGAACGCCGCAGCGGCTACAGTGGCGGGTGCGACGGGCGAACTCCCGATAGGGGATATGAACGGGACGGAGGAGCCGGCCCAGACCCCGGACACCCCCGCGATCCAGCCCACAATCCCGACACCCCCCATGGTGACACCGAATGCTCCGCCCCCGCCGCCCTGGGGAGAGATCACATATACCACCGACACGTTTCAGGCGAACCTCAGCAGTCATAGCCCCATGCAGGCCACTTCAGCCCCCCTTGGGAAAGGAGTTTTTCGCTTGGATAGCGGCCCGAACGGCGCTAAATCGCGCCATTCACGGGCCCGATTCAATGCCACTCGGAGGAAAGAGGTTCAAGAGGTCCGCAAGATTGGCGCTTGCATACGATGTCGAGTGCTCCGGAAAACCTGCTCCCAAGGCTCACCTTGTGACACCTGTACGAAAGTCTTGTCACCTCGAGTGTGGCGTTCCGGCTGTGTCCGGACTAAGTTCTCTGAGCAACTGGATTTGTACTCCGCTGGCGTGCAGATCGTGCTTGCTCAAGCCAGAGTCAACTCGATCAAACAGTCCATGACTCTTGGCACTCATGGCGTTCTGATTGAGGCCTGCCATTTTCCTGAGTGCGAGCCCCGCCTCCAGCTGCAGGTGTTGCAGTGTGATCCTGAACGGGATGCCGAGGGGAAAATTGTTGATGCCGCAGTCGTGGAAGACCGGCCATCGACGTATCCAGTTGTCATGCTGGATAACGACAGCCAAGACGTACCCGGGCGAGTCGAGATCTATATGCGCGAGATTTTGCCAGACATGATCAAGCGAGAGCCTTCGCATTTCATGCAGGTCACTCTTCATACAGCCGTTGATGTCGCAAACCAGACCAACGACGAGCTGCTCAAGAAGTCACTCGAGCTGTGGGGGCTAGTCGAGATCTTGGACCGCGAGCGTCAGTGGACCATCAACGCGAAGACCTGGGGCGAAGACACCCCGGCCAAATCGATCAAAGAGGACACCGACGGAGAACTTTTCAACACCATCTGCCTCCAGCTCGCTGCCGCCACGGAGAGAAAGGCGGCAGCGACCAGCAAGGCTCTCCTTACTGGCATGCAGCGCGTGCTTCAGGACAGCAAAGTCAAGATCGACTTCAACATGTATTTTGCGGTTATTATTTTACTCAACTGTGTTGAGAAGTCTAGCTGGGCTTTCAAGGCCTGGGAGCAGGAGAACCTACGACATCTTTGGCCGTTGGAGAAAGAACCGGTCAGCTTCGCGCAGCAGGGCTACGTTATCGCCAATCTGTTACACATGCTCTTGGGCATTCGCAAAGCGCTTCCCCGGACGACACGCCGGGAAATTGATGGCAAGCTGGTTACCGAGGAGGATAATCCGGCCATTCGGGAATATTTCGAAGCTATCAGTCTTGACTGTGAGTGTTTGCCCCCGTTATAGCCCAACCCCCGTTCAACATAATCTAACACCTTTCTTTCCAGTTGCCCAAGTCAAAGCTAAACAAGAGCGTCCCGCCTTTTCTCCCACTGATTCCCGCTCCTTTGAGCTCCTCTTTTGTTCAACTCTCCTGCTCCCCGGCTCGGAGTGATGGATTATTCCGCTTATCACGCCCTCAATTGACGCTAATTGCCTGTTGAGAGGGCCCAAAGCTCTCCCACCCTTCAACTTTTCCATTCCAGCTGTGGGTTACGGGGCGAATAACCTTCTTGTCTTTTTCTTTCTTGAACGCCACAATACCCACGGCTAATGACTGAATACGCCATGTACGATTATGAGGTCTTTTTTTTTTCCGACGCTGGAAAAAGGCCACCTAAGGTGCGGCAATGGCTTCACTAATGATGTAATGCATCTACCCTTTTTTTCTCCCACCGTTCATTTTTATGTCCTTGGTTGATAGGGCAGCAGGGAACGGCAATTAGTTGGACTGTTCGGGAGCAACAAAAAGGACCGGTAGGGTAAAACAGATATACTTATAGGAAGTAGTAGGGGCCATAGATGGCATTGATAATAGCCTTCCCCTTCTACGATAGATTAGTACCAGACTCAATGCGGACCCAGACAACACCAATCTACTTGGCCGGAAACCATAGACAACGCAACAGTGACACTTGTTTTCCACTGACGATAATCGTCAAGCAATGCACGCTGGCTTAACCCCCAACCCTATCAACGAACACTCGATTTAACATTCCAATTCCCACACAGCGCTAAACCGCCTGGTATCTACCATCACGTCATTCATCACTTCTCCCGGTCACTCGCTACACTCCCTCCCGTCTCCCGCCGCTCGAGGGCCCCCGGCCCTGGTGCTGCCGCCGACCGCTTCGGCTTCCGAAAGCAGGCGAACTCGCCCTTGCTCGCCTCCCGTAGCCTCTTCAGCACCGCACGCATCTCAGGCAACTCCCCCTGGAGGCGAGAACGCGCATCGTTGTCGGTGCGGCTATCGAGCTCCTGGTAGATAGAACTCTGCAGCTCCGTCGCACGGTCCGTGGTATAGTGACCCAGGGTTTGAGCGACAAACTCGACGTCCAGGGTTGCCTGCATCAGCGCTTCTAGATCGTACCGGGGCCGAGTTTGGAAAGCGTCGAGTAGCTCACGAGAGGCTTGCTCGAGAAGGTAGGAAAGGACTTCGGAGGTGAGGGAGGCCGCGGTCGTGGAGACTTGGGTATGTACGAGGACGAGGCTGAGGAGAGCCTCATACACGTAAGGGCGTACCGAGCGCGGCCGGCTGCCCGCGGCAGGGGCCCAGTCGGGTGAGCTAACCCCTGCGCGGATGATGCGCCGGAGAGATTCGATCGACGGCCGTGTGTAGGACTGGAACAGACGGGCATCGATTTGGGAGAGCACATCGCGGATGGTCTTGGTCTCGTCAGTGAGCTTGACGGAGAAGGCGTTTTCAAACTGAGTGTTGAGAGACGGAACGACAGTCGCGCGCAGTGCTTGGAGATTGCTTAGTGTTAGGAGCATGCGGACGTTCTAGAGGAGTGAATTCATTAGGTTATGCCGTACAATGGAAGAGTAACAGTAAAGGAAAGGTCTGGGGAAGGGGGTTTTCGGTTCCTTACCCTGTCGCCTGCATCAATTGTCCCCCCACCAAGTGCCGACGGTGGAATCTGCGAGACCGCTGGGTTGGTGGCCAAAACATAGCCATCTCCCTCGACCGTCCATTCGTCACCGGCCTTCTTCGGAAACCGCTCCGCATTCTCAACCATCCCACTAAGGGCCTTGTAGAGAGTAGTCACATACTGGCTACGCACCATCTGTAGCAGCTTGGTCGGCGGGGGGAGGACAATATCCCCAGCACCCGGCCGCGACATGGCTTCAGAAATGTACAGGATCTTCTGCATGCCGCTCAGTAGGGCGCCTTCAAACGCAGCAAAGCTCGTAGGCATCCTGGTGACGTCGCGGGTGTCCGGCGACCGGTTCCAGTCCTCCACAAACTTAATGTTCTCCGCGTCCCTATTCCACGCCGCACATAGGGCTGTCACGCATCTCTCTCGCGCGACCCCGACTAATGTCTTGACTCGCTCGACTTCGGCAACATCGCCGTTCCCTACGGGGGCGATCGACGCCATGTCCGAGGCCCCGCTTCCCACAAGTGCTAGCATCTTGGAAAGGAAGTGCACACCGCTAAGGGAGTTGGACCAAGGCGGCCAAAATGCAAACTTTTCCCAGGCCTCTCCTCTCTTTGGTGAGGGCGGGGGAGGGTTGTTGGGATCTAGGTTGAAGCGAGGATCTCGTGGTGTCAACGAGCCGGAAACAGACCCGTTACCAGGGGTTGCTGGAGACTGGGGTGGCATGGGAGAAAAGAGTAAAGAAATATCTTCCGGGGGCGGGCCCGCAAAGAACATAAGAACATTGTCCCGTATCATGCTGACAAGCTCGACAGTCCCCTTTTGAAGATCAGAAGTACCCTGTTGGGAAAGCCGGTGGTGGTTCTCAGACTCCCCACGGTAGCCAAGCGGCATGCTCTTCTGCGCCTTACCATCGATGAAGCCTTGTACAGTTTGCCAAAACTCGAGGACCTCGCCTAGAATGCCCTGGGATGAAAGGAGGGTGTTGAGGAAACTAACGTTCATCTCCCAGAGCTCGATGACATCGGACAAATCGAATGTCTTGGACATCATTTCGATCGACTGTCGCCCCAGAGTCCGCATGTGGCTAGCAATAGTCTGCGGATCCGGTTTCTCCGCGTTTGCAAGCCGGCGCCGGAGAATTTCGATCTCAACTTTGGATCGATCCGCCGTGGATTGGATCTTGCTCTTCAGATAATCGTAGCGGCTCAACAGCCAGACCCAGATGGGGTTGTCCTCAACACCAAGCTCTAAAAGCAAAGTAATGAGTTCCATGTGCTGTTCGTCTTGTGATTGCCCAGGCGTGTCTGACTTGGTTATGTTATAAGGTGAAATAAGCCGTCGCCAAATGTCACGCTTAAGCACTTGTATCTGCTCCTCAACGTCATGCCACATACGTGCTGCGAGGACGATGCGATGCAACTGGTCAACGGTGGGCTGCGATGACTTGAGCTCCTCGGCCAGCTGCCTCGCCTCATCCGCAAATTTCCGTGCCTTGGTGTACTCCTCCACCAGTGTCTCGTGATCCTTGCGTTTGATGCTGTCCGCTATTGCCGCACTGGCCTCGACGTACTCTTTGTACTGGTCGAGCGAAGCCGCAACTGTCTTGAGATTTTCCTCCTTCTCCCGTCCCCCGAGGGCGGGACCCCATACATCCTCTGCCTTTGCCGAGACATCGAGAAGAGGTGCCTTTACTCCCAGCACGCCATATTCGCTCTCCTTGATGAGCGCATTCTTCTTGCGGGGATCGGCCGCGGGCGAGTGCGGGCTGACCAAAGGCGGGGGGCCGCTGGTACTCCGAAAGCTACTCCTGCTAGCGTGTCGAGAGTGGTTACGGGCCCGAGGATGCGGTGTCGGGTCCGCCCCCCGGTACTTCATCTCCTTGTAGACATTGTCGATGGTCGCTTTGGCACGAACAAACCGCTCGAAATTAGACTCCACGAGAACTTTGAGCGATGCTGATTTTTGATCGATCGATCGGGACAACAGGTCGAGACCGCTAACTAGGGACTGTGTATCGGCCGTCGCATGCATCTGCGAGAGGAATAGCGCCGGCGAGAAAGTCGTCGACGATAGCAGAAATCGGTTACCTGATCGTACCCAGCAATCAGTTATCACAGCCACTGTCACCTGATGGCCCGGCGCAAAAGCGCCTTCCTGGCTCGCATCGCAAACTTACGCAACCTAACATCATCTTGTAGTGGTACCCCGAGATGCTTTAACGTTCGAACCACACTCTCTGTCGTTCCTAAGGGATCTGGCTCGTCCTTCTGCACCAGATTGGCAACCCCGCTACCCGAGCTCTGGGACCCCGGAACAAAGCTGGCCCGGGTGCCTACCGCCCTCTCCAAGGCCTGGTATCTCGACTTTCGGCGGTTGGCCTTTTTCTTGACTGTCTCCTCGTCCGATGCATCACTCTCGTTGTCCTTCTCAGTCGGCCATTGGACGGGATTAAGAGTCGAAATTTGGTAGAAGTCGAGGACCGACCGCTCAAGGTCGGCCATGGTGAGCAGCTAAGTGACAGTGAATGCCGCTGGATTGGCGCGGATGGTCAGACTGGTCGGGTCTGAATGCACTTCCCAATGTCATGTTACTGTCTCTGGCATAATGGTGTCGTTCGGCCGGTTGGTGATTAACTCAGGAGCTAACTTCACGAAACGGCTCAACGAGCGGCTGGAAGACCTTTTGTGGGGTTAGGTGGTGGCTTGTTTCGCAGGGGTTGAGTGGGGCCCTGATCCTCGATCATGCCCGCTGCCAAAAGTGAAACAACGCAAAAGTATCCGAGTGCACCAGGCACCATGTCATTTCGAGGCATCCAGATGCGATCAAGTGCACGGCTCACCGCCCTGCACACTGCGGGCTTTCTGCCACATTTTGCGCGTCATGGAGCCTTGTCAGATTCGACAGCAGTCGGTCGGCTCGGTCTTGTTGCCACCGACCGACGGCAACCGAGGCGGCAACCCTGTTCTGCACGGGCCTCTGCCGTTGTCCCGCAGCCAGATCCTGCATCACTGGAAGTGGGCTCGGCGGCTTTGTGGGCTCATGGGTTGGTTTGACTTTTGGCCGCAGCTCCATTCGTTGATCAGTTTTTATCTCCGCGTCAATCACCAGCCCAAACACCTTTCTACCGCAGACTCGGCGGCGGCTTTCTCTGCGACGACCTTCCCTCACTTTTAATATCCTGTCCTTTTCTCCTATTAACTTTAGTATTATCCCTGAAGGACAGGCAAAATGCTGGCCCTCCGCTCCATTGCTGCCCCGGTGCAGCGCCAATGCTTTCGTGCAGCTCCCCGCGCGGCCTTGACCATCTCGCTGCAGGTTCGACCAAAAAAAGTCCCGACAGCCTCGGCCTCGAATTTCTTCTTTACTAACACCAGTCACTCCCTCACAGAACCAGCGCATGTACTCGTCGCAAGACCGTGTCGCCAAGTTTAACGGACAGAAAGATGCACAGGTAGGCAGACACATAAGAACCCCTCCAGCGCATGCGCCCGCCAACCGCCGCTATGTTTGCCTTGGCATATGAAAATCACTCAAAAATACATGGGAGGGCAACAACATCATGTAAACACAGTCGCGCTAATGTGTACTTGGAATTCAGGGTCGCTACACAGTCAGTCTAATCGAGGGTGATGGCATTGGTCCCGAGATTGCCGTCGCTGTCAAAGACATCTTCGCCGCCGCCAAGGTTCGTTCGTTCCCAGCTTCCGTTCGCCCGGCGTCAGTCAGATATTTACAAGGGAACAATTTTTAACATTGTTGCAGACCCCTATCAACTGGGAGCCCATCAACGTCGACCCTATTCTAAAGGATGGCAAGACCGCGATTCCCGACGCTGCCATTGACAGCATCAAGAAGAACAAGATTGCCCTGAAGGGTCCCCTTGCTGTATGTGCACTCGATTATGTGCCTTGTCGATTATCAGGGATACCGGAACCCATACCTGACCGTTGCAATAGACCCCAATTGGCAAGGGCCACGTCTCTCTTAACCTTACGCTCCGCCGCACATTCAACCTCTTCGCCAACCTCCGCCCATGTCGTTCCGTTGCCGGATACAAGACACCGTACGACAACGTCGACACCGTCCTCATCCGCGAGAACACCGAGGGCGAGTACTCTGGCATTGAGCACGTTGTAGTGGATGGTGTGGTGCAAAGCATCAAGCTTATTACCCGCGAGGCCAGCGAGCGCGTGCTGCGCTTCGCCTTCCAGCATGCTCGTGCTATTGGCCGCAAGAAGGTTCGCGTCGTGCACAAGGCCACCATCATGAAGATGAGCGACGGCTTGTTCCTCACCGTTGGAGACCAGGTCGCCAAGGAGTTCCCCGATATCGAGTTCGACGCTGAGCTGCTCGACAACACCTGCCTCAAGATGACCACCGACCCGGTTCCCTACAACGACAAGGTCCTGGTGATGCCCAACCTGTATGGTGACATTCTGTCCGACATGTGCGCTGGCTTGATTGGTGGTCTGGGTCTAACACCCTCGGGCAACATCGGCGATGAGTGCTCCATCTTTGAGGCCGTCCACGGTTCCGCCCCTGACATTGCCGGCCAGGGCCTCGCCAACCCCACTGCCCTCCTCCTCAGCTCCATGATGATGTTGAGGCATATGGGCCTGAACGAATACGCCGACCGGATCGAGAAGGCGGCATTCGACACGCTCGCTGAGGGCAAGGCCCTGACTGGTGACCTCGGTGGCAAAGCCAAGACGCACGAGTATGCGGCCGCCATCATTCAAAAGCTATGATATCCCTGTATAGACTGTACGAGTACTGCGGCCAACTTTCGATAGCATCTTCGCTGGTCGTTAACGATGACGATTGTAATGACCTCTTCCAGTGGTATCTTTTGCGAGTGAATTTGGGATGTCGACGTACTAGTAGGAACAAGGTCTGTGGAAGACTTGAGGCTGCGGCTGGATGCTGACCTGAGGCACCACACCCTCAAACGGATCGTCCGCCGAACTCCCTTCACCAGCTGCGCCGATGAGGCCGGGCCTGGCACGTGGGCAGATTCCTTTATTTAACTGGAAGAACGTTGCCCTGGTCTCGACTAGCTGTGCGAGCTCCTCGGACACCGAAGAAGTCAGATAAACCCTGGCTGCTACTCACACACGTCAACAATCAACACAACCTTGATCAGCACGATAAGCTCCCCTCCCGCTATGTACCATTCAGGGGCTGGATATCAGAAAACCATGACAAGAATAATCATCATCCCAATACACCCCACAACCGCTCCCAGTGCTGTGTTTTCCGCAACGTGTGCAAAGTCGGCCCGAACAAGAACAAAAGGGGTTGAGCCAAGCCTTTCGTGCTCCCAAATATCCCATAACATTTACTGAAAGCTCCCCGATTCCTACTTACTTTGGCCCCATACGTAGTAATGGCATCAATGTTGCTCTGTGGCGCAACACATCGCGACCCTTCACTATCCCAATGATATTGCCTGCAGCCAGATAACCCCAAACCCCGGCACGATAGATCACCTCGTCAGCCAACTAATGCTCCGTAGAACAGTCCATCACTCGTCATGTGCTGGGCATCCCATCGCCGCAGGCCGAGTCTCTGGGGCTCGACGGGCGCGTGACAAGGATCGGGTAACCAGGGGCGGGAGAGGCGAAAGGAGGATCGCGGAACGGCTGCTCCCCCCTCTAGAGCCAAGACTTTTTGTATTTCTCGTAGATCTCTTGGCTTTTCGGCTCCCTCGCACCCTGGGTCATAGGGCGTGTGCAGAATGAGGCCGAGATCTTGACTCCTCCTCAATGTCGGGACTTCCCTTCACGCATGCCATTACCAAATCCGGATGAGGTAGCCCTAGTTTTGTTTCCCGGGCAAAATGCATACATCATGGCGGGAAAGAAGGTGTCTCCTGCGTTCAAATTAGCAAACCTTAACAACCTAACTGGGTGCGGCGTGCTGGGAAAAGTCGCGTATAGCCACCTCCCCTCCTTTGAATGGTACAACGGGAAAGCGGGTGTGGGCCCGGAGCTTATATCTCCAATACTATGTACTCCGACACTGGCCCGGACTCCCTCTCGTCAGAAAAGATGGGGACCCGTGGCGTTTTGTCTCGTATCAACGTGGCTCACTAGCCGTCGGGAACTGCATCTTCAACGGGGACTTATTTAATTGGTCAATCCCTAAGGGGAACAAACAGGGACAGCCTCTTAGATGAAGCTCGTGGGCAAGTCACGGAGATCAGTCATGCCTAGATAATCCGCCGAATGTGTCGAGCACGCAAAGCCCTCACAGCGGACTACACGTGTTCAACGTCCCTCTTCCCTTCCGCGGGGGATTGCTTGCTTATGCGCGGCACGGGCCACAAGTAACGGGACAAGAGAAGAATGGAGAGCGAACACTCAACCGGATCGGCCTCACGGGAGGTTTCGTTTGACAAAAAGGGCCGGTCTCATGGGCCGTTCGCCAAGCGGTCGAAGGTGGGGATGGGACGGGTCAGAGGCGCACAAGGAAGCGGGAAACCGAAGGATTTTCCGCGATGAATCGCCTTTCGGTGCTGGTCATGATACGGGATGTTCTCGCCAAGATATGTGTGTCTTGCCGAGTATTGCAACATCGTCAAGGCGCACGAAAACTCTGAAGCCCAATGCCATGGCTCGTTCTTTTTCAAGAACTTGCCAAGATGCCTTTGAATATGCGAAGATAGAAAATCAATCAACCCAGTCGAGCCAGTGCCTCGCCCAACCTGGAAGTAAAAAAGGGAAAGTCCACTAAGACCAAACCTCGCCGTTGGCCGCACTTACCAAACCGAGACGGAGGGGAGCACTTGATTGGACAGAAATTCCCAAACCCCAACCCTGGCATGCCTGGGGCTGGCACCGACAAGCCGCTAAAAAACTCAAAACTGTCTGGGGCCCCACAGAACGGGTTTAGGAAATTCATCACGCACATAACCTCGTCTCTGAGTTTGGAATATTCGGCCTGTACAACCAGAGCCGGGGACTGCAGCAATCGAGCCACACAGCAGGAACGGCCGTGCAACCATCCCCAACCCCAAACATTCCACGCTGACCGGAAAATCACTCAACCTCAGCCGCCCCCCTTCCTCTGCGCTACTCTCCTTTTGGACTCTCGACGTCGTCCAACCATACACACATCGCCGCTCTCCATCGGGACAAAGCGAGCTTCGCGAGCGCACACGACACACTTCCCCAACATCGGCTCCTGCACTTTTCACAGTGCTGACTGATAATACCGGAGCTGCAAATGATCCCCATGAGCCACGTAGATCATGCCTCGAGACCGTGCCATTCATGCAGCAGACTCGCAGGGCGTCTGACCACTTTGGCACACCGACGCCAAGCCCTTGTACAATCGTCCAACGAATTGGATGGCGACGCCCGCGTTTCCCATGCATGCCGCCCCCCAAGGCACGAGGACAACCACGACGGCTCAAGGTGGCGCCGTTCATGATTGGGATGATAAATGGGAGTCTTGGTCTGTGGCGGCGTTATGGATGACGACTTACTGGGTCGTTGATGCTAAGTGAGCTTCTGGAACAAGCGGTAAGTCCGGACCTTGAGGTCGACTGGGAGCGTGACGATTCAAAATTTGGTTTGCCTGCGTGGGCATGGGAAGAGGAAACTTGGAGCGTTCCTAGTTGCCAGCCGCAATAAGCGCCTTGCCAATTTTGCTTTGCTCCGCTTCAGGTATGACGACGGCGTGGGATGAATGAGGCAAGTAGGGCAAAGGGCAAGCAAACATCTGCCATCTCGGTTTCGCCCCGGCCCACCTTCAGGTACTAAGGTATCAAATTTCACGTCCCGCCATCCTTCTTCCTCAACCACTCCCCTACATGGAAACCCGAACCGTGCTCATGGTTTCGCGGAAACTTACTAGTTAGCTTGGTGAAGTATTACCGCCCTTGGCCGGTGTGTCTAGACTCAATTCTTCCTTCAACGCCTGAAACATACATTAGCCTCGTCCGGGGGAACATGAGAATCAAAAACAAAGGTGTGGCATGGCACTCATGCTGTTGTCAGGTTACACCCACGCGGGACAATTTCTGGGGTTGATCACCACTCCCCACACCTTTTTCATTAACGAATGCTAGTGAGCAAGGACCAAAATGTTAAGGCTGCCGAAGGCCAGCATGGAACCAACGGAAACTGCAACGTCAGGGATGCCGGGGTTCGCGTGAGAGCGGGATCCGGCGTGCTCACAAATGGCTCACTGTTTCTGCACACTCTGACGGGCTTCTGGCCTCGTCACGCATGTCCGATCAAGGTCCACATCCAAACCTGACATTCCCGAAAACCGCACCTGCATTCATCGCCCTGCGTCCCGGTAACACCTACGATTAGAAAACATGACGGTAAGGTGATCCGGTTGGACCGTGCCGTAGCCCCAGGTGTTGAAGAGTCCCCAGATATAATTTCCCCGTCCCCCCCCCCTTTATTCTTCCTCTCTATTTCTCATTTTAACATCGTCACACTTCATCACCTTCTACATCATCCCACACACCCATTCAGTCAACAGGCCCTCGCCTCACTCACCGCTTGACTCTCTCCACTCAGCACCCCATTACCTTCATCCACAATGCCTGCCCACCAGGAATCTCTCAAGGCCACTCTTGAGAACAAGGGTGTAAAATTCCATATCAAAACTGGCAACTCCAAGTGGCAGTGCACTGTTCTTGACCGCGCTACCCAGTAAGATCCATCTTCAGAAAGCATCCGCTACCATTGGAGATAAGCTAACCCATCTGAATAGCGAGAGGCGCAAGTCCGAGCGTACTGACTCCACTGATTCGGTCGCGTCTAACGCAACGACGTCGTCCAATTCGAGCACCAAGTCCCATTAAAACAGCCATCGCACCGAGGAGCGCGGGTGACCATGGGAACATAGCCAGTCTTCGCCTACCTCGGTGGAAGCGAGTAACTGCGGTCGATGGCTCAACAGGTCACGGTCCCTAGTCTCGTTCTCTGCCTTTCACGCATATACCCACAGCAACATGGAAACGGAGTACTGGGACATCATTTCGGGAACTTCCAAGGAGGAAGAGACAGTTGGTGTTCAGGGGCAGAAGGGGACGGAAAACAGGGGTTGGTGGAGAGATGGATACTACTGACGGATGGAGCGGAATCAGACGGTTTTCCTGTTCCGTGCGGGAGAGACAGGGAGATGCCTGATAAAAAGTGCTGCGGGATAAAAGGAAAAGGCACCGGATGATGCAAGAAGGGTTTGGATGGTGGGTGGAAATCCAACGAAGGACGGTGGAGTCGGATCAACCCGGTGGGCCCCAAACTTTCAACGCACCCACATGTGTGTGGGAGAGCGCTCCGATTTCCGGGTTTCGCGACACCGAGTCGGGCTTTTGCTCCACGGGAACTCCGTCTTGTCCGTTCACCTTCCCGACCTGTCCGTCTGGTGGGCTATCTTTTACCCCTTCCTCTGTCGGTGTGTTCGCCTCATATACCCTCTTTTCCTTGTATTTCCAGAGTCATTGGTTGGGGGACAAAATTGGCTTTCTCTTTGTTGAATCACTCGGTAAGACGGCTTGAGGATTCGTCATGTGTTTCTCAAACCGTCCAGGGAGTTTTAGAATGAGACTGTGTCATGATCATGAAAGATTGGGGAACGCCCAAACAGTAATCCAAGAATTACCGCCATGAGGGATATCACGCAAAACGGTGTACTAAACGTATGACCGGTAGGCCTGCTGGCCGCAGTGACCAGCCTCTCATGCGTTGGGGGAGAGGTGCCGGGACCTGAAGCAAAGGACGTGCAGGTGAACAGGCGTCTCACTCGAGGCTACAGTGCTAATGCAGTCAGCAACCCACACCACCCCGATAAGGGACAGAAGTGACCTGCATGGGCGGGCACGCCCGGAAAGCTTGTTTTTGCTGAGCCTTGTCCGCCTCGCCGGTGCGCCAAGTCCTAACAATCGGGCCCATTCTTAGGAATTAGGACGGCAAGTCTCCATGGGCTCAACAGGAGTTGTGAAAGCCTCCGAAGGGCGTGTGATGGCGAGGGGGGCCGCGTGGCGATTCGTATTGGGTAAAATTGCTGGAGCGCAGGTGTGGCACTAAAAGTCAATCGTGGGGGTGGGAAACAGAGTGTGGTTGGTCTCAAATCCGGTCGACCAATCCTACTTTTTATGATCACAATTTAGTAGGTGTTCCCGAGAAGGGAGGGGATATCTCTACCCGTCAGCGATGTGGCAATGGGGCACTGAAAAGTCTCAATTCATCGTTTTATTTTGACCCTCCTGAGAATCGACGCCCTCAGCGAGGTGAGTGGGCCAAGCCGTCGTCGGCCAAGCTCCATGCTAAGTAATGTCAGGGTAAGTGGAGGAGCGGAAGAGCACGACTCGTTCTGTTTCAGGCTGGATTACAGACTTTTGCTTCACCTCCTGCACCATTGCATTCCGTAACCGTATGCTGTCAATTTCGATCATGTGAGAGGCTTGCAGAGTCGAATCGGATGGAGGGCTTGGCGGTTCAAGACGCCGAATGGCCGAGCCTGGACGGCCGTTCCCCCCCGTTGTCCTTTCGGAATTTCTATGCCGCCTGTGAGTTAGAAATGTGTAAAAATAGTGGTAATTTTAGGATAGGTTCTGGTCATTATGAATCGGAAGATTCTTATCGCCTTCCTCCGCAGTGGATGGGGGATAATCATAATAATTATATCAGGTCGGGTAAGTTTTCAAGCACCCAAGCAACAAAAAAAGCGGCAGACCAAGTCCCTGGATCTTTCTTTTCTGCAAATCTGAAAAAGGACCAAAAAAATAAATCAAAAAAATGAAGGAAGACAAAAAAGAATAAATCAAAGTAGAGAAGAAAAACGGAAAAGAGTAAATCAATCAAAATCTGTTGAGATTTGATCGAATGTTAGGTACTTTTTTGTCCACAGTGAGGCAGTTACCTAACCCTAACCCTATAGCATAGTTACTTGGACCATGCTTGTGTGCTTCGGTTTGAAAAGTTGATTTCACAAACTCACAGGAGCTGCTCTGTCTGTATGACCGTGTCTGCATACGGGTCGGAAAGAAAAGTGCGTCACAAGCCCCTCTCTTAGCTCCCCTTTCTTTTCAATGTGTACAATACGTGTAACTCTGACATCAAATTGAACCTTTTCAACCGCGCCAAGGCATCCCCGGATTGCCTCATGTCTCAATTACCCATTTGATTTGCTGGGCCCAGCAGCCGCCGCCAATTGCGAGGACTCAACCCTTAGCAGCGGAAGGTCCGTTTCCCCAAGAACCTGAGAGCGCCTTGAGCGACGGATGAGGAGCGGCTGCGAACGGTCCGCTTTCCCACGCCTACGTAAGCTCCCTTGGCCAAGGCGCAGCTCCAGCCCCGGCGAACATAAAAGCGATTTCTCCTCTGTTTGGCCGCTGCACCACGACTCTCATCTGCAACCTCACATTTCCCTGCCCCCATCCGCGGCTGGCGCTATCAACCCGCCAGCGAGTTTGGGCTCCTAGAAGGGGCTTTTGTCGCAATGCCGGTTCCGGTCGCGGCCAAAGGTGAGCAAGAAGAGCGACTCTCAATTAACTACTCCCATCACCTTTCCTCCGAGCTTCCCCGCATGAGCCGTGGAGATCACGTCCCCTTGGCCGCTCAGGTGCCAGCCTGATGATGAAGTGGCGAAGACCCGTGAACGACACGCAATCCCATCTCACGTTTATTGCCCCCTTCCCACCTCAAAACAATGCCAACCGCGGGAGTTCCGTGTGTTTCTTTCATTTGCTCCGCTTTTGGGGTTCGTACACGTGTATATCCTCGGGTTTCTTAAAGCAGCTCAAGGCCCTGCGGGTTCCTTTTTTCATCATTTTTACGTTTAACCTCTTAGAAATAATGCCTCCTATTAACCGTCCCGCCATTGCTTCAGTCGGCATCGTCGCCGCCTCGGTGGTCGTCGCGGCTGCCATTGCCATTTACGAAATTCCAGAAGTTCGCCGGACTGCCGACGATGTTCGCCGTCGCATTGCCATCGCTCTTCATTCCCTAGGCGAGAACATCGACACAGACAGAGAACCTCGATTCAACCGCCCCGAGGACGCTGAAGGATTTTACCAAACACACGATATTGATGCAGACGAGGAAACGAGGAGGCGACAGCGGGAGGAGTTGATGTACTGGAATATGCATCGAACGAACCAGCGCCGACACGATCGTTCAGAAACGCAGCCGCGATCTCGTGGCTCGAGTTTTGACGACTTCCTTAGCCCGGACCAGTCTAGTGATAGTGGAACTTTCGTTTACAACACCGGAGCGAATGCTTGGGGCAATCATGGCTCTGACAACCTCCGCCGTCGCGGAAACAAACCGGATGGTGCCCGGAGCCTGAACGCTGCCATGCTTTCCAACCCCTTCGGCGACGAGCATGGTATCGAGCTAGACGAGTGCAGCCACCCTGTATCCCCTCCGCATACCAACGCCGCGTCAGACATTTACGATGCCACCCCACGGATTCAATCGCCCAAAATGACCCCGATTCAGCCCGCCCAGTCCCCTGCCGCGCAAGCGAAGGGTGATGTTCTGTTCGACTTCGAAGCCCACGGCGCCGGCAGCGAGTATGGCACAGCCCTGGAAGCCTCGCAGTACCCGCGCCAGAATGAAGTCCCGCGCTCCGCAACCCCTACGACCACTACCCGTAGTGTGACTCTTGAGCGCGAGCTCGCCGAGGACGAGTTCATGACCGCCGGCCAGGATGATCGCACCACCGCAGATGCGTATGCTTCCATCCAGGCCTGGGCGCAGGATTCATCCAACACGGGCTTTTACTCGCCGCTGCCCGAAACCCCGGATGCCCCGCTGTCTGACATGGAAATGGTTAGTGAGGGTCAACTGACGCCTACCGACTCGGGGTCGGTGGCCGGGTCCGGAGTAGATGTGGCCAACGATGCCGTCTCCGCCACGGAGGGCCGTGACTTTGACGTGATGAGCGAGTCGGACGCCGGTGCGCATACACCGGGAAGCTGGTCTGAAGTAGGGAGTGTCATTAGCGAGAGTGAGAGTGCCGCGAGGGCGTAAACCCTTCAGATGCCCTACTCTTGAGATTGGTGCTTGTTTGTAGATTATTTTCCTCTGGTCTGATTTTGGAGCAACCACTTTCCTCCGCGATACCATCACTCACTACGGCGTTCTAAGGTCACGGCGTTGAGAGGGGGCTGCAACAGGATAGGATAGATGGGATCAGAAAGGGGTTTTCGTTCGGTTTGCCGTTGACATTTCATTGGGAAAACTGTGTCTCTGGCCCCGCACGCTTTGGACGCAAGCGTCGTGTCACCGTCGAATTCAGGATGGTATGAAATAAAATATATCTTTGGCTTACTATCTTGATACCGCCCCACCACCTCCACCGCCGGCTCTACTTTCATGCCTCTCGGCGAGTCTAGGCTATTCGTGATCATCAACTTCCCCCTTGTTCTTCTCATACTCTACATACTCTCCATACAGCTCTTCAACCGACTGGCCCAGTAGCTCCGGCCAAAAGGTCTCCACTGCGTACCGGTGCTGCCGCAGCTTCTCGTTGAGTCGACGCACAGTATCTTTGCCAAAGCGATGCTCGAGGTAGGCGAGAAAATAGGCCGTGTGCTGGTAGCCACGGTCCCAGTCTAAGACGCGAGGGTAAGGGGTATTTAAGTCAGGGACGTGCTTTACCAACCGGGTTCTCATCAAATGTAGGGCAAATGGGGGTTAAACCAAGAATAGAGGAAGAAAACAAATCAAATCTCACCACCACCTGTCTCCTTCTTCCAGTGCGGAGGGCTCAGATCGCAGTTCAGCCGCACCCAGTCGGCCACGCCCTCGATTAACCCTCCCGGGCAGCTGCCGTGTGCGTCCCACTGGTAGCAGTGTACCAATTCGTGGGTCAGTACGCCCGTTATCTCATGGGTGAGGCGCGAGGGGGGTGAGATGGAGTTGATGTAGCTGAGCGAGAAGTGAATCTCTTTGTGGTCGCTATCTAGGTCGATCTAGATTGGGAGAGAAGGAAGATGGGGCCTTGTGAGTATGCGTCTAAAGTATATCTGCGTATGTGGGTGTGTGTGTGTGCATGATCGGTAGATCATTATGAGGGAACAGGCAAGAACCAACAGGGCAGCGGAGAAAGCGGAATGAATAAATGAGTGAAGAGATACCCCCGTAGTGTAGGCCACCCCGCCCATATCGCGAAGGATGAGCGTGACGGACCGGGTCGGCGGGACCGTGGTATGCTTGTCAGAGGGCGACCTATATAATAGACGAAGGACATTGTTTACGGCGGTGGAGAGCACCGTGGCCGAGTTGACAGCGCTGAGAAACTTGGCCGCACCGGGATGGTCGAGATCCCGTATTTCGAGCCGGAGTTTGGGCTTCGCGAAACTGTGACCACCGCTCGTGACGGCCTCATCGAGTGGTGGCAATATTTCCGATTCCGACTCCGGGTTCTCGCGGGTCCGTCGTGGAAGCGGGACGGGAGATGGAGTTGCAGTTGTTGCGGAGGTCAAGGCTGCAGTAACGGTCGAAGAATCGACCGGGCCGGTTGTTGCTTTGATGGCCATGGTGAAAAAAAACACAACGCGTAGGACTTCGGGGTGGGATAAGGATTGATGAAGAAGAAGAAGAAGAAAAAGTAAAGTTAAATATGTGGTTACTCTCGGAAACCAGTAACCGGTTTCGACGCAATTCTAGTCAGTTTTTGGATGCACGAAATATGGAGTCCTAAACTTTTTTGTTGAAGTCAAGTAACTTCGCCCACCACCCAATCGTATATCTTTGGTGCCTGTTAGGTTGTCACCAGGCTTCCGTCCTAGACGGCACCGTGGGGCAATATTGACTTGGAGTTGCGGGGTTGAGATTGGCGGGGCAGCCAAACAGCCCTGTTGGTGAGGTGATCATGGGTGTGGGCAGACCCACCTCTCCAGAGCATGCAGCGGGTTCCTGTGGACGGAGCAGGGGTTCGTAAGGTTGTCCCGCAATTGATAATCATCGCATCCCCGGCACCGCGCGCTTGTTGATCAACCTCTTCCCAGAGCTAATTTGCGACGACGGCCATCGCTATCATCACAACTACCTCCTATCTTCGTGTCGTTCCAGGATCTGTCCGGGTGCTTTCTGGTGACTTCACGCTGTCACTTCCTCGCTGTAAGTTTCTTTTCTTTCCATCCCACGTGTGACAATTGAGATACTTCTTTTTTTTGGCGGGGGCAAGCTCCTGCACCTTGTCGCACTGTCGCACTGGCACAATTGTGTTTATTTTCTTTCTTCCTTTTTCTTCGACGCCACCCGAGCCAACTAAAATCGCCGCTGACAACTTTCCCCCTTTCTCTCTTTCCCACTTCACAGCACACCTGCCATTTTGTCACCAACAACGCTCGCCATCCTCTTTTTGAGGACGAGAAGAAAATGTCAGAAAGAATGACCGACGAAGAGGTCGCCGACCTTATCGCCCTCTTACGCACCGATGCATCTATCGACACCAAGGTCCAGCAGGTCACAGCGATTAAGTCAAGCATCAAACAGCAAACCGTCCCCGACTCCTGTATACTCCCAGTATTCGAAGCTTTGCGCGTCGCGTCGAGCTCCCAACATGCGCTCCTTGTCAACGCCGGGTTCACGGCGCTTAACCACCTTTTCACGCGACTTGTGCGACAGGATCCCAAGTCCCTGACGAAGGAAGGCAGCCGCACATTGCCTCTGATTGTTGAGAAGCTAGGGGACCAAAAGGAAAAATTCCGCCAGCTGGCTATGCAAGCTTTGGCGACTCTCTACAAGGTGGCGCCGGTGGAAGTCGAGCGCTCGGTGCGCAACATTGCCATGGTGGGCAAGAGCACAAGAGCGAAAGAAGCCAGCATGCATTGGCTTTTGCAGGTGCGTATGCGGTTTCTTTTTGGCGTTGACGTAACACATCGCTAATAGAATTTTGCTTTAGATGCACCAGGAGAACGGACTCCAGTTTCGAGCCTACGTCCCAACTTTGATGGAGCTGCTTGAAGATGCCGACGGGATGGTTCGGGATGTGGCCAAGACGACCGTGATTGAGCTATTCAAGTACGATTGGATATGATTTCCTTCGATCCGATGCGCTCTTTTTGCAACATTAGCTAATAAGAAGACAGGAACGCCCCCGGACCGGCCAAATCCGATCTCAAGAAACAGCTCAAGAATTTCAAGATCCGCCCGGCTATTGAGCAGGCGATCGTGAAGGAGCTCAACCCACCGAGTTCCGCTCCCGTTTCGCAAACCGAGATCCTCGATGAGCCACCCGCTTCCCGCCCGGCCCTTGCCGCGAGCATGTCGTCCCACACCAAACGTCCGGTAACGCCCGCGCCACCAGAGAACGCGGCACCCGAGACCGTGGAGCCATCCTACGTCAACACGTCGCGTGAGCTGGAGGAGATCTTTAGAGAGATGCACGGCTATTTCGACGGCAAAGAGACAGAACACAACTGGATGAGGCGAGAGGAAAGCATGACTAGACTTCGGCGGCTCATGGCTGGGAATGCGGCGACTGATTTCCATGATCCGTTCCTGGCCGGCCTGCGGGCCCTCCTCGACGGGATTATCAAGGGTGTGGTGTCACTCCGGACCAGCCTTTCCAAAGAAGCCTGCAGTTTGGTGCAAGATACTGCCCGGGTTTACGGCCCAGCGATGGATCCCATGGTGGAAATCATCATGCAAACCTTCATTAAACTCACCGCCGCGACCAAGAAGATTGCTTCCGCCCAAGCAAACACAACCGTCGATATCATCGTATCCAAAGTAACGTACAACACTCGCATTATGCAGCACATTTGGTTTGCGTGTCAGGACAAGAACGTACAACCACGGCTTTACGCCAGCGGGTGGTTGAAAACCGTTCTAAACAAGGAGGCTCACCATAAAAATCATGTTGAGCACACGGGTGGCCTAGACCTGATTGAGAAGTGCATCAAGAAGGGCCTAGCCGATGCCAACCCCGGCGTCAGGGAGAAGATGCGGGCGACATACTGGGTGTTTGCAGGCATCTGGCCAGCCAGGGCCGAGGCAATCATGGACGGACTCGATTCGACCGCGGCCAGGTTATTGCAAAACGACCCCAACAACCCGAAGTCGCCTAAGAAGCCAGAGGGCGGGGTGCGGCCAGGCTTGGGTTTATCGAAAAGCACAATGGGGACCTCGAGGCCAAGCGTGCGGGAAGCCATGATGGCACAGAAGCGGGCCATGACTACTGCAACTGCTACCAAGACTCTCCCGAGTCGCCCTGGGTCGGCTATGTCGCACTTCTCTCCGGCCAAGTCAACGTCAGCAGCTACGCATGGGACCTCTGCCACCGCCACTGTGCGAACGAGGCCGGAGTCAACGCTTTCCACAGGGGGTATCTCCGGCGCCCCGATGCGGCCCGGGAGGAGGCGGCCCGAGATGGCAGCACGACCGGCCACGGCGGGACCTTACTCTGTTAGGAGCCACGATCAGCCGTCAGCCGAACAAACGAGCCCCCCCAGCCGTCCAAGGCCGAAAGCGGTCACACCGAAGTCAATTTCATCCTCACCAAAACGGACAGTTCCCAAGACAGTCCGGCCATTCCAACCCGCCAGCCCCGAGGACCCCCGGCTTCCCACACCCACCAAACTCGGGACTCCAAAGGGGCTGGGATCTCCTCAGTCTACTCCTTCGAGAATGGTACCGCCCGTCCTCAACCCACCCTCCAGCAGCCCGTCGAAAGCCCATGAGGAGTTCAGCCTGGTCGTCCCTGTCCTAAATAGCGCCGCATCGCCTCTCGGGGGAGAACAGCCCACGGTGCCTTTAGCCATGGACGAGGATATGGAAATGAGCATTTCCGACACGCGCAGACCGCTTGCCGAAGCGCCTCTCTTAGTACCTGATATCCCGCCGCAGACTTCTGCTGATCTTCGCGAAGTTGTTGACCCGGTGGCCGCCTCGCCGCCTGTGGTGGAAGCAGCCTCCCCTACCCCACCCAGCGCGGTGCGGTCATTGGAAGTCTACGAGGACCCCATGACAAGAGAGCAGCAAGTGCCGTTGCCCAAGCCTATGCTCGGCCCCGTTCTCGGGGATCGATCCGTCAACGAGGACGCGGCGATTCTGCAGCAGGCCGCGCAACAGCACCAGAAGCAACAAGAGAATGGCGAGCTCACCGGCTCTGTTCTCTCACCAGAAAAGATCAAGCAAAATACGCGCCTCTTGGACAGCGGTATCTCCAAGGTTCAGCAAAGGTCCCTTGATGTCCACGGCTTCCGCAAACTGCAAGGCATCATCCGCGACAGCGACACAACCAAGTCGCCCGCCGGCACCCCCCCGCTCCTCACCGACGCCAAGTTCGACGCCCTCCTCGCTGGTCTCTTCGACTACCTCGAGTCGCCTCTGGCCGCCCTGACCCCGGAAAAGACCCAGGATGTCAAAGCCCAGGTTCTGGCCACCATCAGGCTGCTCCTCAAGCGCATGCGCGCGTCCTTCCAGCCGCATATAGCACGAGGCCTCGAGAGCCTCCTTCGCGCGCGTGCCGCGTATGAGGGCCGCACGCATATCGTCAGCGGTCTGGAGCTGCTGGCGGCTGATCTGGCTGCCCTAGGCGACGCATCAGAGATTGTCATCGTCTTGTGCCGTATGCTCAGTAGCAACCTGCCGGGCGCCATAGACGACGACGGTCAGCACGCCGGCGAGGACAAACCCGTTGCGCCCCCATCCACCACCCCTTCCGACCGCTCCCTCAGCATGGGCTTGCACGTCCTCAAAGAGCTGATGGATGTGCGCGGGCCTGGGTTCGTGCCCACCGACAACGAGCTGGACGCGCTTGCCGGTCTTGTCGGCGCGTGCCTAGAGAGTGCTGAGTCGGCGGTGCGTATGGATGCGGTGCTCCTGTGCGTCGCGTTGCATGCGCGCGTGGGCGATGTGCGCTTCTGGGAGGCCATTCGGGCGAGAGGTGTCAAGGAGGACCCAAAGAGCTTGATTACGTACTATATTGTGCGGAAGCAGAGGGAGGTTGGCACTGTCGTGGGATAGATGGTTGTGGGTGGTATCCTATGCCATATTGGACGGGCGATCCGATTTTCTTTTCCGTCCCTTTCTTCGCTGTCGCCGCCTGTCTTGGGAGTCCGGTTAGTTACGACAACGCGAGCGGCGAGGCCTGTATTTTCTTCGATAATTCGATATTAATCCTGACAAGATAGGGGGGGTTCCTTTGGGCGGAAGGCGGCTAAGCAAAATTTGGCAGTATGAGGCTCGGAGCACGGCGTCTTGGTGATCTGATTGTTTCGGGGGCATGGAAGTGTTGGACGGGTTGGACCAAGGTTCCATTACCGTCATCCTATCACTAAGCTTGTATGAGGGTTAATGGATAGAACTGTGTGTTAATTCGATGTTGGCTACACTTGCTGGTGTGTCTGCTGGCGTGTCTGCTCTCTCGGTCAAGTGAGAAGGAGGCTATTATATCTCCTGTCTTGACCAAGCATGTGATTGTTTACTCTGTTCTCCTGTAGACCAGGTTAACGATCTTTTATTTACTCCTGTTCTACCTCCCTAGTTATCCCCAATCCTGTGAAGTTTCGTATGTTTTAAGGCCGAATCTTAACTAGTTAATTCATTCCCCATCACAAACATTTCGGCTATTCGCCGCTGAAAGCTGTCGCGGAGTTTTGCCATCACCCATCATATCCCTCTCCGTTGTTTGCTTCTCTCTGATGCCAAGATGCACCTTGTTGTTCCTCGATTCTGGACTTTGACCTGGGTGAACCCCCCGGATAACACCCCTGGCGACATGACAGGGAACCCCGGAAAGATCGCCCGATCGGTTTTTGTTGTTTCACTCCTCGGAGGACATTCACAACTGCCACTTCTCAGGGCGTTTCTCTACAGGGTAATTAATCTCAGAATTGATTCACTGCCCGTCCGGTTTGGGCATATTCCGTAATACATAACAGTCAAACAGGGGTCTCATCTCTGGGGTCAAGGTTTTAAACCTGGAGTCAATGTCTGAATGGATAGGGGGCATCGGGAGGTTTCGGTTTCGGTAATTTGAGGTTCGGTTTCTTGCACCGTACACTATGTCGGAGGTGGGATTGCAACGTTGATTCCCGAATACGTCGTCGAGTTGACCGCTCTTGTAGGCTGCCTGAAGAGCGACCGAGGCGGCGTTTTTTCACCCGTGGAACTCTGGATTACGAAGGGCCTTTCTGATTTACAGATATTGGATACGTTGCAGTACTTCGTACCTCCTTTCCAAAGGAATTTGAACGCGATACGGAGTAATGTGGATCAAATCGGACTTTATTTAATTTCGAAGGACGAAAAATGGAAAGCCTGGACGAGGAGGCTTGCCCGCATGTATGAACGTTTAGAGACTGGTTCACATATCTCTGTCTCTTCTCTCTTTTGAGGTGAGGGTGGTAGTCGGGATACTTGGGGTATGGACAGGGGAAAGGGACGGGCCAGGCCGGCCTGAAGAATTCATCCGATCACCCCTTTCCAACGTCGTTGTTATGCAGCTGCCGATTCCCGAGATTGAGCAACCATTGCCAGCTATAATTGGTGTACAGTAATGCTATTTTGATAATTACCGTTGTCCCGATTCTGGAAAGTATTTGCCATCATCTAGCATGATGAATCGCTTCCGAAGAAACACCACATTTTGTAAGTAATACGGGCCGTGAGAAGGGGAGAAAATATTAGCAAGACTTTTGGATGGGTTCGACGTCTGAACATGGATCCTAGAAATAGTACGAAGTACAACCCGGTATCAACCGAACTGCTCACGGTTCACGATGACGGGGATTTGCTGCGGTGTGGTCCGTTATGTTGCTCTCGTTGTGGGGTGAGGTTTCGTCTCTCCTCTTTTTGCATCAAAAACCCCCTTGGAAATGGGCAGGGACCGGGTATTCTATCTGAAACGCCAAGCGGCGGGTGTTGTTGTCGGGGGATCTCTCCAAGGCCCTGGTTGCAGATCCCCACCATGATGTTTCTAACAGGACCCTAAAAAGATGGCTCGAGGATGGATCACTCATCAGTTATACCTTGGGTCGCGATTGAGGAATGTTGTCGAGAGGTTCTTGTGTAGCCTCTGTCAATGCAAGGACCGATGTGCACTCTTTTTTTTACACCATACTATATTTTTGCAAACCAAGGAGTGTGATTCTTGAAACGTGTGGTGATTATGGAGGCTGGGTGGTGTCCCTCGCTGTGGCCAGAGGGCTCCTGAGAGGTGCTTGGAAAGCTAAATAAACGGGCGTTAGTGGCAGTTGTTCTCAATATCGCAACTCACGGTGAGAGTATGGGGATTGTTACGGTATAGCTATATCTGGCGGATTCGGTGATGGGGTGTGCCATAATCCTGCCTACCTCAACGGCCATGATTCCATTGGGTTTAACGAACAGTGTGGAAGGAAGCCATCAGACGGACATCTCATCGATCAACGGGGCTCAGTCGTGGTCAGACATTGGACGATGACTCTGTGCTCCCTTCTTCGTCAGCACCTTTCTATTCTCAGGTGTGCTGTTGGTGGCTTCGCTCATTGTGGCTCACAAGAAATGTCTGGTGCGGGAGAGGGCTTTGAAAGCCGAAGCTGAAGCGAAGCCATTCACTCGCTCAGGTTTTCGGGGGACATTTCCGTGAATTCAGGCTGGCACACAGTCACGTTTTGGCAATCCCAAAGTCTCGCGATTTCTAGAACGTCTTGACCCTTAACCCAGCTGACTGGCACAGAGAAGATTCAGTCCCCTCGGGATGCAGAGGCTGCGCGTGAGCATCGAGTAACGTTGGACATCCACGCCGGTTATGAGAACGAGGCCCTCGTTTTGGAACGTGGACTCAGTCACTTCCATGGAGGTACGTACCAAAGAGCGAGACCTGGCCCCCATGTTTCAGAACGAACATCCGAAAACGGCGTGCTAGTTGGGGAGTTGATTCAAATTGCCAAAGAGGTATCTCCGGAAGAGGGGTTGGCCCCTGGAACCACGATGATGCTGGCGGTAAAAAGAGATTTGAGGAATTCCAGGCACACGAGATGAAGTGGTGGATGCAGCATTCTGGGCACCTAATTCTGGGCCCTTTCAACGCTCAAAAATTCGGGTTCCCGGATCCACAAGGGTTTCCTGACGCGGCTAAGAATGGAGACGGCCCGGCGACTGCTGCGGGGTCCAGTTACCATTGGCTGTCTTCCCCGCCCCTGTGCTGCCCCTTGTGTGCCCCTGACCGCATACCTCAGCACCCTGCCAGGGCTGCAAGGACCGCCCTTTTTGATGGAAGACACAGCACCTCCATGCACCAAACACAGAGGCCCGCACCTGCGACCTGGAACGGCTCTCTGTGCTGCCAAATGCACACAGCCACTTCAACGGCTCCCACCTAGCGTGTCCTGCCGTGGGTCTTTCCCCATTTTCACCATTCTCAAGCTCCTGTCGACCCAGGTCGAGGTGGTGCTGTCGGCTCAGGGCGTCCGCCGAGTGCGTTTTTCTTGTCCCCAACACGCCCTTGATACTGCTTTTCCGGCCTCACGATCTCAAGTGTCCCCTGTGCAGTTCCTACTGCACAAGGCTTCTTGACCTAAATCTCAACGAGCTGCTGGGTTTCACCTAGGTGGTCCCGCTTTGCTGAGCAAACACTGTTTCTTTCCTTGGCCCTCACACACACCCGTTGGCCGCGCTTAGCGAACCGTATTTCCTACAGCGTCTCCAAAACCGATCTGTGCTTCTCTGCCTCTCGCCGGGCAAGAGAGAGTTTAGCAACCTCACTTTGTCCGCCCTCGCAACAAGCCAGCACTGGCGGCCCCCTCGAGGTTGGCCCCCTGCTCCGCGACCGCCCCTCGATTGCCCCCTGCACCTAACGAACCACGACACTTTGGATGACCCGACTAAGCTTGCATTGACTTCGCACAACTTGAGACGGCTGGCGGATTGCCCTTTGTTCCTCGGCTTCCAACGACTTGCCGATACTGGAAGACCGACCTACGAATAACGCATTGCGCCACGGCGAGGCGAAAAACAAAACACAAGAAAAGGAGTTACTCAGGGCTAGACGAACGGGTTTCTGTCCCCTTCGCCCTGCGAAAGCCCATTACCGACCACCCGTTTGGTTCCCTGCCGGCCCCGACTGGCCGGAACCAACTTGATAGACACATTCGCTATTAAGGGGAGGAGTTCTTTTGTCACCTGCCATCACCATGGACGACTATCTGGATAGCGCCATGGACTCAGATGATGTCTTTCCCTGCAAGGGATGCGGCGAGGTGGGTGTTGATATCCTGAGGTTGTTCACTAAGCTTGATCTAACATGGAGGCGCTCGGTAGATTCTAGAGGAAGGGAAGGCCTTTGAACTGGGTATGTTCCAATTCCCCTCCCGAGAACTTCTTCCCGCCTACTGCCTTGAGATCACCGACTAACCAACCCAAATAATAGCCGGCAACCGATGGCATCTCGACTGCTTCCGCTGCAACACCTGCAACACCCTTCTCGACTCGGACGCGAACCTCCTGCTTCTCGGCGATGGCTCGCTCATCTGCAACAACTGCACGTATAGTTGTAGCGCCTGCGGCAATAAAATTGAGGATCTCGCGATCTTGACCGGTGACCAGGCCTTCTGCGCAACCTGCTTCCGCTGTAGGAACTGTAAAAGGAAGATTGAGAATCTGCGCTATGCGAGGACGTCACACGGGATTTTCTGCATGAACTGCCACGAGTCACTGATGGCTAGGCGCCGGAAGAAATCGAAAGCAGCCGCGCAGGCAAAGCAACGAGAAAAGGATACCTCGCCCATGATCACCGACAAGTCGTTGCCCGCCTTACCGCCGAACGCCGTCCCACCAAACACCTTGAGTGACCGGGTCACTCCCGACTCTGACACCCCAACAGAGCTGTCTCCTCGCCCTCGCGCAGCCTACGGAAGCAACGAACCAACTTCCCGCAGCGCATCGAGAGCTGATCGCTCCCCCGAACGGCCGAGCGAATCGGGCAGGGATTCGTCTCTTGCACCGTCCGCACCGGCATCCTACAGACACAACCGCAGTTCTGCTGTCTTCTCTACTAGCATTGACGGTGGTGAGGGAGACGGGAGCTTCTTCATCCCCGTGGCCCTCGACCCGAGCCCCGGGCCAGCCTTGACCCCCCAGTCCATGTCCGAAGCCTATAACGATTCGAGCAGGAGGAACAAGGAGCGGGATTATTTCGCGTCGTCGAAACCATCTGGAGAGAAACGGCCCGACTCTCAGGCGTCCACACCTCACATTGCATTCCAGGAAAAGCCGAGGCAGCCATCTTCAGACTACGAACCGCCCCAACAGGACCGGCCCACTCGCAAACTTTCTAAGAGAAATGGGAACCCAAAAGCGTCGCCTAATGCTGCGAGTGAGAAAGTCTCGACCTCTAAGATAACACAAGCAAGCGAAGATTTTAGGCTTCAAGAGGCGCCGAAAAACAAGCGAGCGGGTGGTTCCAGGAGCAACTCGCTGACAAGTAACTCAGTGGATGCAACCACCCCTGTCAAAGCGCCGTCCGCTCCCCCGCGCAACCGGGAGGTTCTCACCAATACCACTAACGTTGATTCTCCACGCCCATCTGGGACGGCCGACAAAGCGTCGCCGCTGAGACCAGCACAAGATCCCCGGCGGAGGGACGACGATACCACCCACGCCTCGCTCGAGCCAGTAATATCGAATAGGTCAGATGTACCAAGCCCGGGCCCTCCTCCTCCTCCTCCGCAGTCCATTTCTAGGAAGGAGCTGCCTCGGCACCAGCTACGGAATGGTGAGCTAATAACACCCCGACACGCTGCCTCGAGAGGTGCCTAACGAACTAACAACCATAGATGCAGAAGGCGGGAAACAGCCCGCTCTACCCCCACGACCATCGGTGCCCGAGACGAAATTAAGCGACACGTACATGCAGCCCAGAGTGCCACCTCAGCCTCCGAATCAGGCTCCGAGTGAACCGACACCGTCTAACAACGAGTCCCTCGAACCAAAAGTATCGCCGAAGCTACCGCGATGGAGCGCCGGCGGGGAATTCACCTTGGACGAAGACATGGCGAGGATCTTGGGGACTGACGAGGGATCGTCCTCAATTCTGCGGCGTGTCTCAAACGCGGTCCGACATGGGAGGACCAACAGCGCCGAGACTGTGAACAACAGCAGCAGCAGTCAAAATAGGCTAGGTCACAGTCGGAGTGTGAGCGAGACTACAAGGGGCACCACATCGCCTCGCTGGCCGCGGACACCCATTGCGGAGGATCCGGAGGGACAGCACGATCTCGGTAGCCCCCTGTCGGTCTCTGCGGCCGCGCAGGAGGACCCCGAGTTCCTGAAGCGGCAGCTGAGGACGTCAGAACAGCGAGTGGCAGAGCTCGAACGGCAGTTCAACACGGAGAAGGATTTGAAGAGCTTGAATAAGAAGTTGGTTGAGAAGAGGAAGACGGTATCGGTACTCGACACACAGACTGAGATTATGATCCGGCAGATCGAAGTACTGGCCGGCTACGTAGAGCGGGCGAAGAAGACGAATGAGCCGATCGATGCCCGCGACCTGGAGGAATCCGCCATCAAGGAGTTTGTCCAGAAGCTGGAAAAGGTCAAACAGAACATGACGGTCATTATCGAGCAGCTACACGCCGAACGGGACGAGCTGGTGGAGGAAAAGGATCAGGCCGTGGCCGACCGCGACCGGGCGTTGCTCGAGTTTGAGCAACTCTCATCCAAGAACGCTCAGTTGGCAGACATGAACAATGATTTGACACACCAGATCCAGGAGCGGTTCAAATCACAAATCAACAATGGCGAGTTGCGGATGCCGCCGAATGGACTTGGGATCTACGGCCACAGCAAGGGTGTCTCCTCGGCCTCGGTCAATTTGGATGCTGCCAGCTTGCAAACGGGCACCACTTTGATAGGCCCCGATGCGGAGGACACTGTGCTTGAGGGGCCCACCGTGGTTAATATCCGCAAGGGCCAGGTCAAGAAGTTCAATTGGAAGAAGGGGTCCAGCAAGGTGGCGCACAACATTTCCAAGGGTATCAACCGCGCTGCGGGCGCTTTCCAGCAACAGGAGCAGGCCCGCGCGCAGCAGCAGCATCATCATCAACAGCAGCAGCTCCAGGGCATGCCGGGCGACGGGATAGGGCTCCCCTATAACATGACGGTAGCGCAGGTCGACTCCCCGGTCACCGTGGGGCCTCAGGTGGGTCCCGGAGGTGTGAACCGAGTCGGGACCGAGAACACACGCCAAGGGTTTGGCTTCTTCAGCAAGAAGCAGGCCGCCAACACCATGCCGAGATCAGCGACCACAGCGAACCTAACCTCGTCCTCCTCTAGCACGCCGGCGCCAGCCGAGGCGCCCAGCACGCTGTTTGGCTCCGAGCTGGTCGAACGCGCCGACTATGAGCGCCGCCAAATTCCGAGTGTGGTGACGCGATGCATCGAGGAGGTGGAGCTGCGGGGCATGGACGTCGAAGGGATCTACCGCAAGACGGGCGGGAACTCGTTGGTTAACTCGATTCGCGAGGGGTTTGACAAGACCGAGGACTATGACATCTCGGACCCTTCTCTGGATATTACGGCGGTCACCAGCGTCTTGAAGCAGTATTTCCGGAAACTGCCGACGCCGTTGCTGACTTTCGAAGTGTATGACCGCATTCTGGAGTCCAATGGTATGTCCCCCCGGAACGTTCTAGTATATCTTGCATGTATTGGCTGACACCACCACCACAGCGATACAACCCGAAACAGAGCGCTGCGTACACCTGCGCAAGACAGTCAATATGCTCCCGCCCAAACATCGCGACTGTCTCGAGTTCCTCATGTTCCATCTCGCCCGGGTGGCGAGCCGCGAGCCCGAGAACCTGGTAAGCTTTGCACCCCACCTCCGCTATCTTTCTGTCTCTTTCTCCTGCAGCTTGTGACTAACACCCCATGGCAGATGTCTCCCAAGAACTTGGCCGTCGTCTTTGCACCGACCATCATGAGGGATCATAGCTTAGAGAAGGAGATGACGGATATGCATGCCAAGAATCTAGCGGTGCAGTTCTTGATTGAGAACAGCCCGGTTATTTTTAGCGAGGCATAGGGAAGGGAGGTAGGGAATGAAAGGGGTTGAAGACGACGAGACACGAAACGGGTGAAACGAGAAACTATCGAGGAGGAACTTTTTGCTCTAGTTGGAAGTTGCTAAAGGGGAGGAATGGACGACGGAGGAGGATACGGGGAGAAAAGGCTAGAAGTCTGATGAGCGTCTCCTCTGGTGCCTTTTCTGGTGCTGTTGCTATAGTTCACTTTATTTGTTTGGCTGCGGACTGCGGATTTCAAAAGTGCCGACGGACTACTATGGGGGAGGTGCAAGGCTTTTTTGTTTGGCTTGTTGTATATACCTTTGAGCGACCGGCTTTTTTGACAACGCAGTTTTCTTCAAGTTGTCTTGTTCGAATGGAATGAATATTCTAAATAACTTTCACATTCGGTGCTGATCCGGCTTGTTTATTGGGCCCGCTGCTTGGGCGGGTGCCATTGATGCCGAAAAACAATATACTACGTCCGATGGAACATGTACCGCATCCCGTAGATATTCGAGTCATTGTTTCCCTCCTATTTCTCCGTATCCTGCCCCCGTCTGACTACCTCTCCGCCCGCTACATCAGATCAGGCCGCAATTTTTTACCCATCATCCCCGCGCGAGCTCATGGCCGGGGCCGGGTCAGGGGTATCTCACATAATACTCGTCATCGAAGTCGCAACAGAAAAAAACAGAGTACGGTTCCTCAAACTCAAATCCCACAAAAGCCCAGCATCCCGCATCAAAACAGTGTTGACAATGAGCAACCAGCCTCAACTACTCCCCCCCATAACCCTCCTAACCCTCTCCAGCAGCAATTTACTCTCCCTCCCAACCCGCGGCCGCCCGTCCCGTCCGGGAGCCTTTGCCTTATCCATCGCCCGACGGTACCGGTCGCGGTCGGCTATGCGGCGCTGGCGTTCTTGCTCGCGCCGCTCGGCTTCGGCCCGGCGGTCGGCGGCCGCTTGTTTGGCGCGCTCGGCGGCGGCGAGTTCTTTGCTGAAGTAGCCGTTGGGAGGGCGTTGGTGGTTCTTTCTTCGGTGGGGGTGGGGGTGGAGGTGTGGTGGTTCGTCTTCGGCGGCTTCGGCTTCTGGTTGTTGTTGTTGGTGGTGGCGGTGTTGTGATGGTGGTAACTGGATTTTGTTGGACGGAGTGCCGACATCGTTGTTCGTGTCGTTATCGGTGACGGTTTGAGGTTTTGGTTCGAGGTTCGGCCGTGATGAAGACGAAGAGTCTAGCATCGCTTGTCGCTCGGGGTGGATTTGGTCCCGGGTGGCATCTGCGTCGTCATTGTCGCTGGTGGTAATCGGGTCTGGGGCTGGTGTTGTCGTGACTTGCTTCTGGTGCTCGGCCTTGATCTTGGCATACTCCTTCTTTACTTTCGCTTTCGTAATAAGTTCCCTTTTGATTTTGGTCACTGAGGACAAGGGATTGATTAGCTCTGTCGTTTGAAAATAGGTCAGGGTGACGGGGAAGGGTGTAAATACCCTTGCGACGCCAGGCACCGTCGGGAAGGTTGTCCGGTCCGACACGGAATCCGCGCTTGGCCTTTTTAACTTTGCTGGATCCATCAATCGCAGAAGAATCATCACGAGCACGTTTTGGAGCCATGGTAGGTGATATGTGTATTGGTGCGGGGAGCGGTACTAGAGTTGATGGTGCTACGGTTCGACGGCGCTTGATTATTTTTTGACGGCAGGCCTGCGATAAGAGGGGGCATTTGCTTATCAGACCTCGACGCTGCGGTGAATTCGACCCCACGCAAGGCCCACGCGGTGCGCTCGTACAGGCAAGTCCACCCTTCCTCGCAGCCCAAGGACCAAATGAGAACCCTGCGGGTTCTTGCTCCATGCCGTTATGATCGGGTTCTGCAGCTGGAGACTTGCATGCGCGCTGCAGCAGGGACCTTGTTGGGGTCCGTCTCTTCACCACATAGGTTTGCATTCCCCAACCGCTGACACTAGTTGTCGGTCGTTTACACTACACTTGACTACACTAATAGTAGGCGGTAACTCCGCACATGCAGGTAAAGTAAACATGGAACAGCACAAGACGCCAGGGAAGGCGCACGTGAGTGGCTGGGATGTTTTCGTTTATGCCGCATGAGCGATATGCTCGGCGGTTTCGGGGCTTTCCGGCCTTGCCCGGTGTGATATTTAAGATAATAACTAATTAGCGAGTGGCAATGACGCATTTGCTGTTTCTGTAAGCCAAGCTCCGTGAGAAACCACGGAGGTGTCTACACTATGTGGACAAGGGGATGCAACATGAATGCCCTAGTCTAGCCATGAGAATTACATTCTGCCATTCTCCAGCACTTCGACTATTGGGCTCAGGTTCTCTCCCACCGAATTGTCGGGTAGCTACCCATCTTTGAAACTTCTCCATCTATTAGGGTCTGACGGCATCACGGGAGCGATGGCCGCCCCATACAGTGTGGGCTGGATGGGCGGTAACTGGGACCCATTCCGCTAAAACATGCCGCAGCCGGACCACGTTGCAGGGGTTGTCCGCCTGTCGCTTCATGCCATTCACGCCATTCGGACCCGTTTGTGTCGAGTCACCCACTGCCGGGAAGTCCTCATCCACCAAGACCCCCAAGCCGGGCCTCCATCTCCTCGCCTGATCTTGAATAAGCTGTCATGAAGTGCGCGTTTCTTTTCTTCGACAACCTTTTCTTAGTTGCAAGGTGCGGCACAGGGCAACAAAGCAACTATTGTCTGTCTTTTCCTTTAGCCTGGAGTCTGACAACATTCCAGTTTCGGATTCCGGCATCCTTCGATTCTTAAATGCCAACGACTGTTGGAGCAGACTGGTATAACTGACTACTCTGGCTCCGCTGCTTTGTTGCAGTGGTGCTCTTGCGTAAAACACGCCGCCACCCACCATTTTTTGATTTTTTAGTATCACTATCACTTGCCGATACTTAAGAAGTCACAGGCGGTGGAAATATCTTCAACAGTTTTTGTTCGCCACGAGCCCTAGGTACATTCCCAGCACATCGTTGCCGCCGCGACCCTCCCAAATCCCGAGTCGGGCGAGTTCAGTGCGGCCCAGTCAGTCCCTGCTGCGTATGGAGCATGAGCGCCTCGAATGACATAAGGTGACGGACCTCGCGAGTTCAACTCGTGCCCTTTTGTCCGGCCCAGCACAACCACAGACAGTCTCCCTCGCCGGGTCGTTCAGGGCTTAGGCCGTTCGGCCCAGAGCCCGTATCATCGCCGCGTCACGAACAAAATGCCCATGTTCAATGAAGATGATATGGCGAGGAAGGGTTCTCATGATCTCGACTCGCAGCGCCCTGGGGCTTCCCCCATTCCAATCCAAACGCCACCAGGTGCGGGGAGGTGGAATTCACGACGCCTCTCGGAGGAGAGCATCCGGACTGAGTTATGTGAAGGTCCTCTTTTGGACAGTCCTCCCCGACCAGAAACGCCCCAGGAGGCCGTTTCGAGGGCAGTCTCAGACAGGGCTGAGCTCATCGAGAGGCTGAAGCGAGGCGAGAGTCCAACTTGGGTCCCAAATCGCCATGTATGTCTCTTCTCCTCGCCGCATGGAAGTTATGACTAACGTGGGCGCAGCTGGAATCGTTATTTCATCACCAGAACAAAGCATCTTCACCTCCGAGGACCCCTCACTCAACGCGGTCAGAGTCCCCGGGATTGCTACCGGCACCTACGATAAGTCCCGAAAAGCAGGATGCGGTTTCTGACCAGCAAGCCATCGGTTCACCCTCGCATGAAGGGTTGAACATCGAACGTCCCAGGTCGGCCCTCCACAGCGGTGACTTCACCCCAGTGGACGTATCTCCAGGTTCTGGAGATACCGGGCACGCTGTTCTTCCGGGGGCCGAGAGCCATTTCGGTCCGAGTCATAGTGTGTGGACAGGCACATCGCCCCCGAGGGACTATTCCCCGTTCAGCTTCCCTCCGGTTACTGCAGACTACAGAAGAGAGGCGTTCAAATCCGGCCCTTCATCTCTGAGCTCCTCACTGTCCTCAAGTTTCGTCTACCAGCCCCCGACAAGTCCACTCGTGCAGTCACAGAGTAATGAGGAGCTCGATTTGACCGTACCACTTAATAGCTTCAATATTGATGCGAATAGCCCCCGGAACGCGCGCCGTCATACTCTCAACTTTGGACATCCAAACCTCGCCAATACGACCCCGGGAGGCGGCATGCAAACACCGTTCCGCCGTGAGAGCACAATTCCGTACCAAGCTCACCAACCCCGACGATCCTTGAATTCAACTCCGAATAACTCAATTACCGGTGCCTCACCTCAGACACCCGCGTTCCCCCGCCCTCGACGACCATCGATCGGCTCCGAGGCTTCGCCTCTTCACCATGCTTCCATGGTCGGTTCCTACGAAGAGAGCATTCTCAGGGGCCGCATGTCCACCACGCCCTCTAAACCGTTGGAGTTTACGGCACGAATCGGGGTATTAGGTCTTGGAAAATGTAAAGCGAGTCTGCGGTGCCCGGCCCATGTGACGTTACCTTTCTCAGCCGTCTTCTACAACTATGGTAGCACAACTTTAGGGGGGGTTAAAGTCGAGGACGGGCCGAGTCCTTACGTTGGCCAGATTGATCTTGAGAACAGGTTGCCGGATTCGGAGGAGGGGCAGCGGACCAAGAGGAAAATGCAGTCCAGGTATCAAGATCTAAAGGGGCCGACAGAGGATGCCATTTCAGGACGTGAAACTTCCCCGGCCGAGTTGTCTGGGGGCGACGGCAATTCAAAAACTAGCAGGTCCAAGCGGACGTCGAGGACCCTCAAAGCACCCCCTGGCGGGGGCTACCGCATCCCAGAGAAGGGACAGATACAAATAATCATCAAGAACCAAAACAAAACGGCCGTCAAGCTCTTCCTCATCCCATACGACCTCGCGGGAATGGAGCCCGGCACCAAGACGTTTATCCGCCAGCGTAGTTATTCAACGGGGCCCATCATCGAAACCGAGGTCTCCAAAGACGCGCCCGTCGCTAGCTCAGACCGCCCAACCCTTCGATACCTCGTTCACCTACACATCTGCTGCCCCTCCAAGGGACGACATTACCTTTACAAATCCATCCGCGTTGTGTTTGCGAACCGCGTACCCGACGATAAGGAGCGGCTCCGGAACGAGGTTACGTACCCCGATCCGCGGTTCACTCCCTACAAGCCGATTCGCGCGATGCACCCGCCCCTCGGATCTGGGCATACCCTCATGGGCGGAGGTGGATCACCAAGCGCAGCAGCACTCGCCGCTGATCGATCGTCCCGTCGACGGAGTTTGGGGTTCCCACACGGCCAAGCGCAAACTCACCTTCAGCCTTACCAACAACACCAACCACAATTTTCACCCCCTCGCCCACAGCAATACACGGGTAGTTTTCCCGGCTCCTCTTCCCTTTACGGACCGCCGCCCCATTCAAGCCCGTTTGCGCACCTTCACCATTCCCCGACGCCCCCATCACGGCAACCGATCAACACGACGTTCTTTTCTCCCAGCCAGCAGACAGCCACAACCGGGTCCGCAACGACCGGGCTGGGAATATCACCTGTGCCTCACCTCCACCACCTAGAAGTGATAAACCAGGCCAAAAACGACGAGCAAGAACAAAAAGAAACATACGACAAACTAAGCAGAGGCGATGCCGGGTATGGAGGCTACAGAAACCACCACACCGTCAATAACAACAACCTGACCAAGATACCCGACGACACCAACGGCCCACATAACGAGCTGAACACAAACACCAACGCCAGTTTGGCCACAGACACCACTGCTCCTGGTACGGCCGCGGGTGGTGGTAGTAATACTGCCACGGAGGGTTTACTCTCCCAGCGATTACGCTCGTTGGGGGTGCAGCATCCCGCTTGATTTGGGCAGGGGAAGACGGAAGGGTAGTTCTTTTTTTCGAACTAAGATGCGGAGGAGAAATATTAGGAGGAAAGGAGGCCGCGGGCGTGCTATCGATGCCTGGGTAGCCCGCGGGTTTATCAGAGACTGGTCAAGGGACGAAATTATGGGACGGAAAACGGGCAGTGGTTTAAAGAATAATTTAGGTAGCGAACAAGGTCGGCTCTAGGGGCCAAAAGACGAATGGGGTGACACCCACGGCCTGAATATAAATATAAATACTTACCTCCAGTACCTAAATGGCCCATAGAGTCTATATGTTCGTTATGTGATAACTGTACAATTTGTGAAGGGCACTTTCTTGACGGGGTCGTGAAGTTACGAAACACCTCATCCCGCCACTCATCGGTAAACGGTCACAGGAGACTGCATTGGAACACAAATATGGGTGAATCTGCATCAAAATCATTTCTCCGTTACTACAAACAGGCCGGGCACGAATCGTGGCACGAAAGCCGGGGTACTAATGACTCTCCATGGGTCTCGCTTTTCACCACTGCCTAGTTCCTCCCGTTTTGTTTCCCTCCATAACCCTCATACAAGTCGTCATCAGCTTCCTAGAAACAGCCCCAACGACTCGGCTCTTAAGGACGCTCAGGGTATGAAGCATCGAGTTGCACGTTGATCGGTGGGCGTCGTTTAAAGCTTGTCGTAGTACTGTATTATGTGTTAGCGAGTGTATCAACAAAAAGAAAATTGATGCAAGACTTACGTTTTCGTAGCCCGGCACCTCGACCTTGATACCCTTGCGCTTGCGCATCTCCTGCACAAGCTGGCCAACCTTGGAAGTAGGATCCAGAGGAGAACCACCAGGAAGAACCTGCCAGTGGTCGAAGACGGATTGGGGGAAGGCCTGGCCCGAGGTGCCCTGACGAAGATCGCCGTTGAAACCGAAGGACTCGATGACGGGGAGGTAGGCCTTGATAGTGAAGAGAGGAGTACCGGGGCGCTGCTCCTCGTTGAAGACGTGGCCTCTCCGGCGGGTGAGGACACCGTAGACACCGCCCATGGCCTGCTCAGGCACCTGGATTTCGACAAGGAAGACGGGCTCGAGAAGGGCGGGCTCGGCAAGGAGAGCAGCAGCATAGAGGACACGGCGAGCAGTGGGGATGACCTGGCCACCACCACGGTGGATAGCATCGGCGTGCAGGGTAACATCCATGATGTTGAAGCGGATGCTGCGCATGGGCTCCTCACCAATGGGACCCTCACGGGTGGCCCACTGGAAACCAGAGACGACAGAGTCCTTGATTTCGTTGAGGAATTGAACGGCCTTGGTCTGGTCGACGAGCAAGTTGGCGCCGTTGGTATCGGGACCGAACGCCCAGATCTTGCGGGCATCAGTGACATCCCAGCCGAAGTCGTCGGCAAGGATACGAGCGCGGGCCTTGAAATCGTCGCGGGGGGTGATCTTGCCGTTCTCAATGGCCAGCGAGACCTCCTCGCCGAGCGGCGCGGCAGTCATGTAGAGACGGTTGTGCTTGTTGGGCGACTTGGACAGGGCAGTCATGCTCGACGTGCCATTCACGGTCTCACGGTATTGGACGACGGGGTCTGAGATGATGAGGGGAACACCAGCGTGGTCCTCCTCGAGATCCTTCAGGCAGATTTCAAGGTGGAGCTCACCAGCACCAGCAACAACGTGCTCGCCAGACTCGTTGGTCATGGTTAGGACACAGGGGTCAGACTTGGACAGACGCTTGAGACCTTCGACAAGCTTGGGAAGATCCTGTGCGTTCTTGACCTGGACGGAGCGCTGCACGACGGGCGAGACGGAGAACTTCATGACCTTCATGTTGTGGGCGGTCTCGCTGGTGGTGAGGGTACCGGACTTGAGCAGGAACTGGTCGATACCGACCAGGCCGACAATGTTACCGGCAGGCATGTCATCGATGGGCTCGACCTTGCCACCCATCATCAGGACGGTACGCTGAATGGCCTTGATGGAAAGGTCGTCCTTCTTCCCGGGGGTGTAGTTGGGGCCCTGGATGCGGACCTTCAGACCCGAGCGGACGGTACCGGAGAACACACGGCCGAAAGCGTAGAAACGGCCCTTGTCGTTGGTCGGTACCATCTTGGAGACGTAGAGCATGAGAGGGCCCTTGGGATTGCAGTCGCGGATGCCAATGCAGGCCTCGTCATCGGGGGGGCCTTCGTAGAGGGTCTCGGCACGGTACTTCTGGGCAGTAACGGGCGAGGGGAGGTGGAGAATCATCATCTCCAACAGGCAGTCAGCGGCTGGCAGGAAGGTCTTCATGACAGCCTTGAGAAGTTGCTTGCCCTCCTTCTCACGGTCCTCGGGAGAAAGCTTAAGCTCAAGCTTCTCCAAGAGGGAGGCAGTCTCGTCCTTCTTGAAGTTCATGACCGCAGCGAAGATCTTGAAGATGGGGTCCAGGATAAACTGGCAGAAAGCACGGTCAAGCTGCTTGCCCTCGTGGGTGCCGCTCTTGGACCATTTCTTGGTGGCGGGGTTGAAGAAGCTGTCGCCCCAGAGACGCTCCATCATCTTGTTGCGGTCAACACCGAACTTCTTGGCGTACCGGGTCGCGAACTGGCGGATGGTGAAAGCCCAGCCGTGGAGACCGGAACCGAAGGCAACGGTGCCCTTGTAGGGGTAGACCTGGACATCACCAAGAGCCTTGTCGAAGTAGGTCGAGATGATGACGTTGACGGACTCGATGGTACGCGAGAACGACTGGTACAAGTCCTCCTTGGAGACCTGGAGCTCGAGGAGTGCACGGTCGACCTTGTTGATGATGACGACGGGCTTGATGCGCTCACCAAGAGCTTGACGGAGCACAGTCTCGGTCTGCACGCACACACCTTCGACGGTGTCGACGACGACAAGAGCACCATCCGTAACACGGAGGGCAGCAGTGACTTCGGAGGAGAAATCAACGTGACCGGGCGAGTCGATCAGGTTGATCAAGAAGTCCTTGCCTAGAAAGACCGTCAGCGCTCCGTTATTTTTCTCTTTCTTGTTTGCTGAATCAGCTTTATCGGGACGAAATCTTACCCTGCGACTCCTGGCCAACAACGTCCTTAAGATCCTCCTCGTCGGGCAGGGTGCCGTAGAGGGAGATAGCCGTGGACTTGATGGTGATACCACGTTCTTGTTCATCCGCTCGCGTATCTGTCGCACGAGCCTCGCCGGCCTTGCCGGACGAGATGATACCGGCCTTGGCCAGGAGAGAGTCGGTCAAAGTGGACTTGCCGTGGTCGACGTGCGCAATGACGGACATGTTGCGCACGTTCGTGGGCTTGTCTGCAGACGAGTTAGCATCGTCACGCCTGGCGCCAAGTAAATGTCGGCGTGCGGCGACTTACCCATCAATTGACGGATCTCCTCGATCGTGAAGCTTTTACGCAGCCATGGTCAACACCCTATCCCATACTGGAGGCCATCACCGGATGCCCATGTTCTTAACTCCGGGGCGGGGTAGAAAACCCCAAAGCCGCGCATCGCGAGAGCAAGAGGACAAAGGGCATTTCAACCCGAGACGGAAAATAATATGAAGAGCGGGAATGAGGTTAGGGATGTGGAACTTACTTGACCATCTTGGCGGTATTGACGGATACCTGCTAAAATGGGTTTGTTGGTGTGGTGTTGCAGAGGTGAAGAATCTCGCAAAGCAAAGATTTTTTTTCTCCCCGAGAAAAAAAAAGGTAATGGTAGCCTGAGTTGGGCGAGCCCGAGAACCGAACAGGGATCCCGCAGTCCTGTTCAAGTGGATCAGCTATCAGCCCCAGACCGATAGCGAACAAAACAAGAGAAGGCTGGTGAAGGGGAAGAAAAAAGGCGTCAAGGAGGTGGGAGGGGGAAATTGCCAGCTGCTCCGAAGCCTTTATTACGAGGGATATGAAAAAAACTGGAACAGCCGCAGCGGGGTGGAAGGAGGGGTAAAGACTTGGTGGGGCAACACTGCGATAATCGATTTGTGGCCCCTCCATTGGCCCCTTGCTTGTTGTGCGCCGGCTGATGTAACTGGCCAGGCGAGGGTCAAGCCCTGTTTTGCCCCTCAATTCAATCTGGGGCAGAAAAGGGAACCGCGCGACGGCAAAAGTTTCTGAAGGGGAACAGCAATGCTGCCACTGTACATACCTCGATTTCTTGAGATAAGTAGTGCTGCACTAAGGTCTCCGCATAAGTGAGTCCGAACTATGGTACAAAATGCTGGCTTCTAGCTGCGGGATCTTGAGAGCGACTTCTTTATAAGAAAGAGCTCCAGCGTGTGCTCAAGCTCTGAAGCTCGGGCCCGCCTGTTTGTCTGTGTTGACGTATGAGAAACAGGATCCATCGCCCCTCTTGTTTGCGACCGGGCCGTTCTCTCTTAGGCCCAGCCCGTAGGTCAGCAGCCAGAAGCACAGGGATCAATGAGCCATTCGGCGAGACAACGCCCGAGGCTGGTACCCATCGGGACGAACAGGGTCATTGGTGGCGGGAATTCAAACACGCCGAACGACGCAGTTTACGGACTTGGTCAATTTGAAATGGCCGCCTCAGCCACGCCGTTCTCTGAATAATAATATCTTAGACTCGTCCGGCCACCCGGTCGTCAGGCTTGTGCGCCATACGGCGTCCGAAATATAACTACTTCTTAACAAGATGGCCAAAATGGCCCCACATACAATTGAGCTCCGTCGTGGTCGGGTCAACCCCCAATCCTGGAAACCAGAGCCAACTTGAGAATTCGAAAATGTAACGCTCAACCAGCCTACCCGCAACTCGCAAACTGAAAACCATGCGCCTCTTTGCGGCCGACGAGGGTATCATAACTCGGCAAACCCAACAACACCAACACTATGTCCGATATAAAGCAAGGAAGCAGGTGCGGCCTTAACTATTGCCTCACCTTCCCCACACGTTCCGAAACTCGTCCTGCTCACCGACGCCATAATTCGGGCTCGTGGTACGGTCCGAATTGTTGTTCTCCTCATCCTCGCCCTCCCAGCCCCCGGACTGTTCGTTCGCAGGGGATTCGGTTTGCCCGGGGTGATTCTGTCGAGCCGATTGTGGAGACTCTTGATGAGGCTTGTGCGGCCCGCTGTTAGTGTCAACCTGGAAGTCGTCTTCGGTAAGCTTTGTATGTGTCCCAACTGTTGGACCATATGCAATTTCAAGCGGGTCCGCGCCCCCCTCGTGAGGCGAGCTGGCGCGTTGAGCATCAGCAACCGCCCTCTTCTTTCCCTTCTTATCACCAGCTCCTGCTTGAGCGCCTTCAGGTGCCTGCTTTTTGCGTCTCTCCAGCGGAGCATCCGGATTTAGGCTTGGGACTGAGTTTGATGAGGCGCGATTATAGAAACTTCCAGTGGGCGTGTTCTGGTAGAGGCTTGGATGTGGCGACATGTACCGCGCGCTGGCTGGCTCACTTGCGGTAATGACCGGATACTAGGAGACCAGCGGTTAGTTGACTCATGTGGGGAGAGGCCAAGGGGACAAAGCGACTGAACACTCACGTTCCAGTCACCGTACTCGAGTTTCCTCGCACTCTCATACAAGCGCTCCTCATCAGGGTCCAGGATAAGCTCCTCATGGCTATCCGTGTGCGGGGAGAGTGACCCGTTTCTCCTGCTAGGGCCGCCGTTCGCCCCTAGCAGCGGTGTTGTCTGGTTGATCTCGTCTGGCCGAGGAATCCAGTACTTCCCCTTGCCGCCTCGTTCGTACCGCATCCCATCCTTGATCCGAGCTAACCGTGACCGCGAAGCCTCATGTGCCATGATTTTATCCCCAGAATCGAAAATGCGGTAGCCGTACTTGTCCCCAGAGAATGTCTCTTTTGAATCCTGAATCAGATCCCGAATACCAAAAGCATCCCTGGCTGCGTACTGGACCGGCATCCTGGCCGTGGCGATTCTGTTGTCCGCAAAGTCATGCCACGAAAACGCATACCAATGAGCAATGGCGAACCCGGGCATCTCGACACAGATCAAAAAGTCCTGGATAGCGGCGGCAAGATTGTCCGGGGTATAGCCTTCAACTTGGTCAGGTAGTGCGCCCAGCCACACCAAAATAGAGAGAAAAAACCCCTGCCAGTAGGATGCGAAGATGATGAGCTTAATGCAGAGGAACTTGGGCACCGGCCGGAAGGGCTTGAGGTCGTTATGCATGCAGACCCAGAACAGACCCAACGAGTAGAGACTGACGGTGACGCTAATGTTGTAAATGATTCCGCTCCAGAAGTAACCCGAGCTGAGACCGATGTATCCCTCCTGGTACGTGCCTGTCGCCTTCATGATGATAGCGGCTAGCGCGAGAATCGGTTTGAGCCATGCGTACTGGAGGATGCCACGCTTGATAGCGAGGAAAGTGTGGGGATCGGAGATGTCGATAGGCGAGAGGACGTGATTTAGGGGCCAGAGGTGGTGTACCGGCTCGCGGCCGTGGGTCATGATGATAAGGGCGCGTTCACCGCCGAGGTAGTTAATTAGCAACTGGAAAAACGTATAGATTGTGAAAGCCTAGTCAAGTTAGACCTCCATTACCGATAGCAGGGCGGAAGCCAGGCTACAGACCTCGTAGATATCCCGAACGGGGTCGAGAAAGTCGGCTGCTGTCTGGGAGACCATACTGGTCCAGGACGAAATCGAGTAGATAGGGACCCTGTCCAAGTTTTCCGACTGTCAACCACGCTGAACTCGAGAAGAGGGTGTGGGAGGTGTGGTCATACATGAGCAGGATGCGAACCACATATCTTTGCAACAGCGGCTTTCGGTAGTTCTTGCTATATCGCACGCGGTAAATATGGGAGGTCGTTGATGGTCACGCGACTGGGATGGTGGTGGGTGTTCTCACGTCTGTAGCCATATCGACCTGTCCACAACAATGAGGTCAGTATTCAATCCCCGAATTGGGGCTGGCGGCCATCGCCAACCCAGCCCGTTGAAGCATCAAGGACGAGAGGAAAAGAAAGAGAGGCATATCGTACACAATCGACATCAGCGTCGCAGCAATCGACGCGACGCCCGCAATCACGGTTGCTGCCTCCTCAAACTTCTGCCCCGTACCTCCCCTCATTGTGCCGTACGATCACGAAGCATAAACTCCCAAGCGTATCGGGGGAGAGTTTTCTTGTCCTTCAACTGGTCCCCATCGGCGTGACAAGTCGTCGAGTTATTGAGAGTCGTTGAGGCTAGATCCCATCCTGGGGAGCGCACGCAAGTGATGACGACGACCCCCAACTGGAAAACGGCCCAGAGCGGGAAACCCCAAACAGACCGTCGGGCGTGATTGACAGGGGTTGCTTTGCCGAGCCAGGCGCTGAGGTGCACGGTCCAGAACGAAGCACGCGGGGGCCAGGCGTGCCGCTGCAGCAGACCCCTGCTCTCCATGCAGCGCGCCGACCATTGGATGGAGGAGGTTTCCTCCGATCTTCTCAGTGGATTCTGGAGCTTCCATGCAACCCCAATTGCAGGCGCTTTTTGAGCAACGCGACAGAAGATCGCGGCCCTCAACTTTTGGGGGAACGCGAGTATATCCATATTAGGGAACTCGATACCAATCCCCCCGGTTTTCTTAATTCTTAGCCACTGGATATGCGGTAACTAATTCAATTTGACTACATTTCGTCTTCTTTTTTTGTTCCCTTTGATACCTTGCGCTGGGGAATGGCAACGGGCGGCGCACTTCACTTATCTGGGGCCTCGTAGCATCGCGGTGGTGGTTGTACTCCCAACAAGGAAGAGTACCTTTCCGACACAATATGCCCCATGGTGGTTTTTTCTCGGGTGACGGGATAGTATTCCATCCGTAAGCATCACGAAGTCTCCTCCCTCTTACGGACCTAGTCAGACCCTAACCGTCCAACTTCTCCAGACCGTTCCTCGGGATCCTCGTTGCGGGCGGCATCCTGTAAGTCTTTGCAAAGTTCCTTCGAGAGCCATTACTACCTCACCAGTTCCTCGTCAACCGCCTTCTTCTGACTAGCGACAGCTCGGTGTTCTCATTGTTATATTTCAACCGTGTCTTTGCGTCGATCGTCTCCTGGGGCATCCGAACATACACATGGCACCAATACGGCGTCTACATCGACATTAAGGCTCTCCAGATATCGTTGCTGGCGGGCCGTATCTTCTTCACAGGCCTTCGATACCACGGGAATAACGAGACGATCCTGGTGCAGAATGGACACATTACTTGGGCGTACTGGCTGCGACGGGTTCGGGATGTCAACGTGGGGAATCGGAAAGGAGGCCCGCAAGAAACGGATGTCGCGGCGGAAGAGGGGTCTATCAAGCTTCCGTGCCGGGTGAAGGTGACCCTGCGAGGCCTGGAATGGTTTATATACAACCGCAGTCCCGCATACGATTCAATTCTCTCCTCCCTTGCCGATCCCGAGATAACACCCCCCGATACGAACCCCGGACGAGGCGGGCCGGGGACGACGGTACCTGAGGCTCCGGCTCAACTACGACGGCGGCAGTCAAATCGGCAACCAAGCCAGGCGAGGAGCTCGTCTCCCGCACGCTTTTCGACTGGGTTCGAGAGACCGAACACCCGCTCGGATGGACGTGACAGCAACGCTGCTGTGGGAAGCCTGGCGGCTGATCCGGGATTCTCTAGCTCCGAGCATGGGAAGGATGAAGTTGGCGGCCAAGCAGCCAACAACAACAAGGCGGACCTCCCTCTGTTCCTCCAGCTCCTGCCCATCTACTTGACCTGTGACAAAGCAGCCATAGTAATGGGCAACGAGAATACCAAAGCGATCTTGATTCTAAAAACTACGTCGTTGACGGGCGACATCGATGCCACCGATACCGAGACTGTTGACCCGTATCGCCAGTACTTTCGGTTCAAGTTCAAGAACCCCATGGTGGAGATGAAGGATAATATGGATTTCAGAGAGGAGCAGGCTGACAGGGCACTCCGGGACAAACAAGGAGCTCAGGGGTCGCTCACGCCCCCTAAACGATCCTTTCTTCATTGGCAAAAGAGGAGGTTACGTGAGGGGTTGAGAGACATGGTTCCATTTTGGAACAGATCTGTTGAGTCCGTCGCACCCTCAAGCAGGGGGATCGGGACGGCGGCTAGCCAGGCCCCTGGGTCTGGTCAGTGGCAAGGGCTGTCGCGGTATCTGTCCGATGATGTGGACGACCAGAAGTCCAGGTGGGCATCTGCCGAGTATGGCGCTGTTCCCACAATCTTGGATAGCCCCGAGGCATCGTTGACTATCATGTGGGATGTGGTCGGGAAGGTTGGGCCAGAGCCAAGTCAATTGTCGGAGAAGCCACCGGATCAGAAACGCAATATCAACGGCGCCGACCCTCCAGTCTGGGCGATCAACCTGTCGATCCATGGAGGCTCCATAAACTATGGCCCATGGGCTGATAGACACCGGGCAGACCTCCAGCGCATCTTTGCGCCGAGTCTCTGCAAGGACGCCGTCCCCGCCCAGCCCTTGGCCGAGGGCGTGTATCGGATGCCTACACAATTCAAGTTCTACGTGGAGCTCACCGACGCCACCACTCTCCGCGTGCCGGTGAGGGAGCCGTCAAAAAATTGGAGGTGGAAGGGTAAAGAGCCCGCTCCGCCGAAACCGCGGAATAACGACAGTCGCAAGGCCCGCCGATCCAAGAAATCAGAGCAGCCCGCCGACCTGCACCAGCGGCCATGTGGATGGCTCGACTTAAAAGTCCCAGCTAATACGACTGCTTCCTACTCGATGGATATGACGGCCAGCTCTTCGGGGTACACAAACACGCTCGATGTTGATCTACCGAGCGCGGAGGTCACCACGAGCATCAACCACGAGCTTCTCCTGAGGTCCAAACGGCAGAAGATATCCTGTCATCTCTCTACACCATTAGGCTGGAATGCCCTCCGCCAATGGCGTTTCGATATCAACAGCGACGAACTAGAGCTTTACATCTTGCGGGACCATGTGTTTCTCCTGATCGATCTCGTGGACGACTGGACGAGCGGGCCACCGTCTGAGTACCTAGTGTTCACCCCCTTCAAATACCACATCAATCTTGAATTTCCCAACATTCGACTTTTCTTGAATCTTAACGACGCGAACATCGTTAACAATCCAACGGATTTGGAAGACAACACATACCTCATTATCTCCAGCCCACTTCTCACATCGACTACGTGCATTCCCATTGACCAATATCGGCCGAGCGAGAACGCGATTCCGTTTGACATCCGCGCGGACACGGCGTCGGTTGACCTTCACCTTCCACCCTGGAACACCCTAGCACGATTCCTCAAATCCAAGGAGGTCGGACGGCTCGAAAATCTCGTCGTGGACGGGGCGTATCACTACAACGCAACGACGTCACCGGCCAACACCGACACGCTTGTGCTGAACATCAGCGGACAGTCGCCGGTAGCCAACCTCCATGGCTTTACAATCCGTTACTTTCTCATGATCAAGGACAACTACTTTGGCGACGATATCCATTTCAGGACGTTGGAGGAGTACCAAGACATGCTGCGTCTGAAGGAGGCTAACCCGGACGCAGAGTTGACAAACAAGCCACCGCCTAAGAAGTCGAACGACTTGGATGTCATCCTCAGCATAAGGGCTGACGACCCGAAAGTCTTGCTTCCAGCCAACCTGTACTCTGCCGAGCGGCACATCCAAATTGACACTGCGAGCCTCTGCCTCGATTTGCGCTTCACCAACTACTACATGGATATGGACCTCGTGGTGGCCCCGTTGAATCTTTCCCTGGGCAACACCGAGGCAGGAGCCGAGACCCCAATGAGCGCAACTTCGAGCACGCAGCTCTTTATTGACGGGCTTAACGTTTACGGCCACCGGCTCTTTGGTCTGCCCCCAGCGGAGCCGACTTACATGTGCAACTGGGACCTGTCGCTAGGCGCCGTGACGGGCGAGTGTACGACGGAATTTTTGACCACGTTGTCGAGCGCGGGCCAGGTGTTTGCGTTCACATTTGACGACGACGAGAACGCGCTGACTACTTTCTCTTCGATCGTGGTCTACGACGTCACATTCCTCCGCGTCTTTGTGCGTTCGGTCCGACTTTGGCTGCACGTTGAAGACGCCGCGTTTCTCTTCTCAACAGGGGCCGTTGACGTCCACTTCAATGACTGGGCTCGGTCACACTACTCTAGGAGAGCAGAAATCAACATCCCGGACATCAAGCTATCTTGTCTCAGTGCGGAGCTAGCTACCAGGCACAAGGCGCGTCTACAACATCATGTCGTTGAGGCGGACGCGTTGGTGGAAACGAGCGTCAAAGTTGCCATCATCGGGCGCAAGGCCAACTTTTCCAAGGAGAGGAAGCTTCAGCAAGACCTCATTCGCAAGCACGACCAACGGACACAAAGGAGCCCCTTTCTCATCCTCCCCGAGCTCATGGGGGGAGAGGAAGACGATTTCGTTCCGGATGCTGTCGACCCCCCAGCGCAGTGCGTCCCCCCAGTTCCCTTGCCAGTTCGGTCGGACACGAGAGAGACCGATATGTCATCTTTCCGTTCCCAAGCGACTTCGAGTCGGTCGCGCGGCGGGTTACGGCATGCATCTTCTTTTCTCTCCCTCAGCAGTACAGCGCCGAGCAGTGTGGTTATGCCTTTCCGATCAAGCCGGTCGAAAGCGAAGGGGAAAGGGAAAGGAAAATCCCCCGAAGAAACCGCTCAGTACAGCTCGTCCGGTGTCACGTTTGGCGCCGATGGCCGCGGCCGAGTCACCCATCAAGAACAGCAGCAACATGCCCGGGAGCTTTCCCCCTCAACCCGCCACTCTGCCTTTTACAGCATGCCCGGTGAGCAGTCAGAATACCAGGATGCTAGCCACAACACTGTTGCGTTCTCGAGCCAGTATTTTGCACCATACTTCCCGCTCGAGAATACGAAGCCGAGTCACGGGGAAGCCATGATGATGCAAAGCATCGAGAAAGACAGCGACAACGGCTCATCCAGCTCTGGCGGCCCCATCCGCTTTGAGCTAGGGGATGTTGACCCGAATCAGTTCAACGAGGAGTTTGCCTACTCCAGCGTCATTCTCGAACTACCCGCCGGGGTGACCGCGTTCTGTAACCCTACCTCGCTGCGGTACGTCGGCAGCTTGTTCTCGGCCCTGCAGCAAACCGACCCGGAGTATGTGCTCGACTCTCTCCAGATGGACTCCATGAAGCAGATCTTTGACGCGCAAAAGGACAACAAGATACCAGGCCGCGTCAGCGACATGCTAGTCAAGATCCCACACCTGCACCTCCGCATGCTCAACGGCCCCCCGGCAGAGGACTCCTTCTCCGCTAGCCGAGCCGCTGTTGTCGACGAGGAGCAGCAGGATCAGTACGACGTCTCGCTGACCGAGCTGTCCTTCACGTCTCGGTCACATGACACGTGGGAGGATGCCTTCAAACCGCAGAGTAAAGCAACGCGCAATTCGTTCCATCTGAGGCTCGACTCGGCGCAGGTGTCGGCGACGGAGAGGATACAGGGTATGGACAACTCGCAAGCGGCCGCTCTGGTCCGGGTGGATAGTATTCTGGCCTCGATGGGTAACAAAGACGTCACGTACTTTGACGCGGAGATTGGCGGGATTCACGGGAGCACGTCGTCGGGCAAGGTCGACTACCTCGCATCGCTGGTGCATCGGACGGGTCTGCTGACGTCCGAGCTGGGCCCGGTGTTTTCAGAGGCGTCGTCGCAGGAGAAGTTGGTTGTGCGAAGCCTGGTGCACCGGCTCGTGGCCGGCGAGGGTGGACGAGGTGGACGAGCAGCCCCGGACCCGTCGTTTCTGATCCGGCCGTCGGCCATCCTGCGCTCGGCGCGCCAGCATCTGCGGACGTTTGACTCGTGGAAGCTGGCCATGCGGCTGCGGCAGATCTGGACGGTGTTGGAGCCCAGCGAGGGCGAGCAGATCCGTATCGACTCGTTTGCGCCCGTGTCGGCTTCGGCGGCTGAGTCGAGACGGGCTGTGGTGGCCGCCTTTGAGAAGTGGAGGAGCTGGGATTTGAATGATATCGAGGAGAGCATGCTGCTCAACGCGGTGTTTGGGTGGTCGACTGAAGCTGATATGTCGAAGCCGGCGATGGCTGCCGCTACGACTACCGCTGCAACTACAGCTACGGCTACGGCGGCGGCAGCAGCAGTCGCCCAGGACAAGCCGATGCTAGTGGTGGTCAAAATTAAGCAGTTCCAACTTGCGCTTAACCCGGGGCCGAAGCAGAACGAAATCACGTTTGTGGATCTCACGGCAAGGGTTCAGGCCACGCCAGCGAAGGAAACGAAAGGGGCTGATGGTGAACCTAATGGGATAGTCGGCTCGTCGGCCGTGGTGAACGTGTCTTGCGAGGAGGCCGCTGTCGGCCTTAACTGGGAGCTGTGCGAGCTGGCGGATAATCTGCTAGTATTGATGAGGAACATGCAGCAGACTCCGGCACCCGATGAGTCTCCATCCCCGGTCGCGGCATCGCCGTCGGTCAAAAAACCGGCTGAACCCTCGAAATTCTTTGGGCCGAACAGCACAATCCATTGTGTTCTCTCTCTCGGCCATGGCTCCGTTCTCGTGGAGACTGTCAACCTCCTCGCCATGTCCTTCAGCGATGGCGGCCAAGCCTCGATCCTCGTTCGGAAGGGAGCCGGCGACGACAACAACACGATCGATACGAACCTCATCCTCAAGTGCGACTCGGTGATGTCGAGTCTCCGAAGCCACCAGCAGAAACTGGGCAAGCTGACGCTGGACAAGCCCAGCGTGTTTGTCTCCCACGAGCTGCGGACTGACGCGACGACGGACTCGCACACGGTCAAAGCAGCAGCGAGCAACCAGCACATGAGCCTCGTTGTCAAGCAGGACCCGGTCACGCTGGCTGAGGTGGTAGATCTAGTTGTGCGAGATGAGTTTGCGCAGCTGTATAAGCTCAAGGACCAATTCCTCAGCTCGCCCGAGCCGAAAAAGGAGAAAGCGCCCAAGAAGATTGCAGATCGACTGTCGGCGTTCCGGGTCAACGCAGCGCTATTCATGGACCAGTACCTCATCAGCGTACCCCTCCTGCCCTCTCTCACGTACGCCATCCACGGGACGGTCTCCCGCGCGGCGATCGCGGCCAATTTCGGGAAGGAAATCATCTTCGACTTTGACGTCAAGGAGAACTCGCACGATATGCAGGTCCGCGGAGTCAACAATGTGTCGCGCAGCATCTCGCTCCTCCAGATCCCGCCGACGAACGGGCGCATCCGGAGCCATACGGAGTCAACGGCGTCCGGGGAACAGCACTCGGTCAGCCTGTTTACGTCGGTCGAGCTTGTGCAGTTGGACGCGTCGGCTGTGTACAGCTTGTTGTCGGCGCTGAATAGGCCGGAGATCTCGAGTGTGGTGGATGAGCTGCAGCAGCAGGTGAAGGTGATTCAGGAACATTTGGTGGAGGTTACTGGGGATCGTGACAGTGTATCACCGTCGCCGAGTGCAGGGGCGGTTACTGTGTCGGCAGACGAAACCAAGTCAACAGCGACAACAGCACCGCTGGCCTACGCCGTCCACTTGACCCTCGCCGGCCTCCAGGTGTTTGGCAACAGCCCGCTCAAGTCCGACGCCGCACCTCTAGCACACATCTCCTTCGCACTTAGCAGCGTCCATCTGGGGCTCTCAAACCGGCTGGAGCAGCACGGACCGGTGCTGGTGTACCCGGAGTTTAACGTGAACCTGCGCCGTATCGCGTTCGAGATCCAACGTGGCAAAGCCGTCGACGCCATGACGTCGTGCGGTAACCTGGCCTTTGGCGCGTTGATATCGGCTTCCTCGCGCGCTGGCGACGACGGCAAGGAGAAGCGGTTCTTCCACGTCAAGAGCGATGCGTTCGAGCTGAATCTCTCGCCTGACACCATCTCGACTGTGGTGGATGTTTTGGGGTACATGGGCGACAAGATTAAGGATCTTGACACGTCGCGCGAGCTTGGGTATTTGCGCAAGCTGCGGCAGTCGAAGCCCCGGATTGCAATACACGATGCGGACGAGGCAGAAACGGTTGGCGGGGCCGCCGCGCGGGGAGAGCAAGAGGGAGAGGAAGAGACGGACTTTATCGACAATTTCTTGTCGTCTATTACGTACAGCTTTGAGGTCTGCAAGATCCAGATTGCCTGGCTTGTCAACAACAGCAGCAGTAGCAGTAGTGAAACCAAAACGGGCGGCGAGCAACAAGATCAAGATACTGTGGCCGTTGCTATGGACAAGGAGGACCTCGTCGTCTCACTGCAGCGTATCGAGCTGGGCACGCGAACGCGGAACTCGGCGCGACTGGCCCTCGAGGCGTTGCAAGTGCAGATCGTGGGCCCGTCCCGCGACAGGACGCTGCGGTCGCCCAACTCGGCGCTGCTCCCGGAGATCATCTTCAACGTCGCGTATGTGTCCACGGCCGACGCCCGTCGTCTAGCGTTCCAGGCCGTGGGCAAACCGCTAGACGTGCGGCTGACCTCGGGCTTTATTATTCCGGCTGCGCACTTGAGCGACTCGATCAGCTTGTCGGTCAAGAATGTCCAGCAGGCGTCGCAGAATTGGAATCCTGTTGTGGCGGGTCGAGAACCACCGGAAACAACGCAGCAGAAAACAGAGGAGACCCAGGCTGAGACGACGCCTCCGCGGAAGAATATCCTCGGCGGAAAAAGATTGGAGTCCCTCCTCATTGACGCCGATTTTGCAGGCGCCGTTGTGCATCTCACGGGCAAAAAGGCACCAGCCGATTTAGTCTCGGCTACCACTACCGCAAAGTCTGCCTCCTCTCGGCCGTCGGGCTCGGGACGGTCGAGACAGAACCAGCACCAGCAGCATCAGCAAGTGGCATCGGACGACTTAACAATGAGCAGCACAACGCTCAAGTCGCCCGGGCTGGCGTGGAAACTGGAGTTTACCGACAACGGGAAAGATGACCCGTCGCTGCACGCTGAGGTCAAGATTGATGCGTCGAGCAATATCTTGTATCCGTCTGTGGTGCCGCTGGTGGTCGATATTAGTGATAGCGTGAAGAAGGTGGTAAGCAGTCGGGACGACAAGGACACTCCGGGCACTGCTGGGACTGGGACTGGGACTGGGACTACTCATGGGGCTGCTGGTACTGCTGCTACTGGGACGACTCCGCCCAAGCTGCCCGAAGAAGACAGCATCCTCACGGCCGACCCGACGGCCGTGCTGGGCCGCATGAAACTCAACCTGGGCCTGCGCATCTGCAAGCAAGAGTTCTCGCTGAGCTGCCAGCCTATTGCGCGGGTCGCGGCCACAGCCAGCTTCGAGGACGTTTACTTCACCGCCAACACGGTGCGGTCCATGGAGCAGGGCAACTTCTTCGCTATCTCGGGCGCCTTCACGGACCTGCAGGCTTCGGTGCAGCACGTCTACTCGCGCGAGTCGACCGGCAGCTTCAAGGTGCAGTCCATAGTGCTCTCATTCCTCAACAGCAAGCACCTCAGCGGCACTAGCGGCGTGTCGGCCATTTTGAAAGTCAGCCCCATGGAGGTGTCGGTCAACGCGAAGCAGCTACAGGACTTCCTCCTCTTCCGCGAGATCTGGCTCCCTCGCAGTCAATCCGCTGCTGCTGCCGACCCTTCTTCTCCGGCCGGGCCGGTCGCAGTTGCCAAACTGGTCACCGAGACCTCGCAGGGCCATCTTGTGCAACGGTACCAGCAGGTCGCCGCGACGGCTGCCTTCCCCTGGACGGCGAGCATCTCCATCTCGGCGCTCAAGATTGTGGTCGACCTCGGCCAGGCGCTGGGGCGGTCCACCTTCTCGATCAACGACTTTTGGGTGTCGTCCAAGAAGACGTCCGACTGGGAGCAGAACCTGTGCCTCGGCTTCGGCGTCATCAGCATCGAGAGCGTTGGTCGCATGAGTGGCTTCATCACCCTAAAGAACTTCCAGCTGCGCACCGCCATCGAATGGCCTGAACGCGAGCAGGCCCTCAACGAGACCCCTCTGGTCCAGGCCTCTGTTGGGTTCAGCCAGTTCCGTGTTAAAGCCGCCTTTGATTACCAGGCCTTCCTGTTCGCCGACATCACCTCGCTGGAATTCCTCATGTACAACATCCGCCGCAGCCAGGATCAAGATCACCAACAGGACGGCATCGGCGATCGCCTCGTGGCCAGTCTTGATGGCGAGGCCGTCCAAGTCTTTGGCACCACCAGCTCGGCCGCTCAGGCTATCGCGCTGTACCAGGCCTTCCAACGGCTGGTGCAGGAACGCAAAGCCAACTTTGAGATCTCGCTGCGGGAGATCGAGCGGTACATGCAGCGCAAGTCGGTCTCGGCCCCGCCCGGCGTCATGCAACGGCTCGGCGGCAGCGGCTCTAAGACGGCTAATGCAGGCGGCCCGGGGGCTGCCACGGCCGCAGCTGGTACTGGTGATGACGCCGGCAGCAGTCTACCCATGCTCAAGTCGCCCATCTCGCTTGACACCGACGTGGTGGTCACACTCAAGTCCCTTAATCTGGGCGTGTTCCCCAGCACGTTTACGGACCACCAGGTGTTCAAGATGGAGGCACTCAATGCGCAGGCCCGGTTTGCTGCGTCGGTGCAGGACGACGGGCGGGTTCACAGCGTGCTGGGTTTGACGCTGGGACAGTTGCGGATTGGTCTTGCCGAGGTGAGGGCGGCCCGGACGGGGGTTGCAGGTGCTATTACTGGGGCCAGTGCTGTGGCCGCCAGTTCTGGTGCTGGTGCTACGGGGGCTGCGACTGGAACGGGCACAGATGCTGGAGAAACAGGCCCGGATGGTGGTGCTAGCGCTGGTGCTGGCGGTGTTGAACCGACAGTATCATCATCCACAACGGCAACAACAGCAGCAACAACAACCACCACGAGCAAAATCCCCGGCGACCTCTCCGTCGAAGACGTCGTCCAGCGCGCAACCGGTTCCCGCGGCGGGACCATCCTCAAGGTGCCCCGCGTGGAAGCCGTCATGCAGACCTGGCAGCGGCCCGACTCCAAGCGGATCGAGTACATCTTCAAGAGCGCCTTTGAGGGCAAAGTCGAGGTCGGCTGGAACTACAGCCGCATCAGTTACATCCGCGGCATGTGGTCCAACCATGCACGCACGCTGGCCCAGACCTGGGGCCGCGAGCTGCCGAATGTCACGGCGATTCGGGTTACGGGCGTGTTGCCGTCGTCGTCAGCATCATCAGCAGAGAAGGAGGACAAGGAAGAAAAGGAGAAAGACCAGACACAAACACAAACAACAACAGCAGCAACCAACAAAATAACAGCCGAAGTCAAAGTGCCCCAGTCCAAATACGAGTACCACCCGCTTGAGGCCGCCGTCATCGAGACCCCGCAGCTGCGCGACATGGGCGAGGCCACGCCGCCGCTCGAGTGGATCGGTCTGAACCGTGACCGTCTGCCGAACCTGACGCACCAGATCGTCATTGTCACGCTGCTGGAGCTGGCTGGTGAAGTGGAGGATGCGTATTCGAGGATTTTGGGGAGTACGTGATTGGGGTTTCCTTACTTGATTACTTGGGATGGAGTTAACAGGAGTATTGGGGTAATATTTTTGGCGGGGCTTTTCCTAAGTCTTTTTCTTTTTGTGTATTGCATGGAAGAATCGTTGAATTGGGGGACCCAAGGGGAAAGAGGGTTAAGGTATCGCATAAGCATCGTAATGGGAGTAAAGATCAGGGCGTTAACTATTAGACTGGGATTGGGGTAATAGAAGGATGAAATAAGTATGTAATGCGGAAAATAGTAAATTGAGTTCCCTTAGAGATTGATACTTCTCTCTCCCTCGGCTACTAGAATGGCGTTTCAAACGCTGTCGTGTATGTCGTGTATGTTAGGTTAGTAAGGTACATAATATTGTGTAAAATGTAAATACTGGCGGGTGATGACTTACCAATTACCATGTTTGAACCTAAAGCATAAAACATCAGTGGTATGATTCGGAATTTAAAAACAGAAAAAAAAACTAGGGGGGTCGGCCAAAAAACAAACATGTCACCATTCCTATCACGGCGAGCACTACACAATAATCTCGAACCATAGAAAGCGGATTAGATGTTGCTATCTAAAACCAACGCTCACTCTATCTCCTATCTCATCTACGCCCAAAACAAGGCAAGAGAACAGAATACAAAAAAGAAAAACATAATCGCCCAATTCCTCTTGTTCCCATAAATACATTAAAAACTCGAACATCAGCGAAGGGTGGATATATATGTACAGTTTGAGAAACTTTTAAAACGTTTGATGCCGCGAAGCTTTTTTGTTGGTTTCTCGCTTGGAACGGCGCATCAAGGATGTGTGAAGGGCAAAGTAAGAAGGTAAGGAGATGGAAGAGAATGGACGTCAACTAATCGGTCTAGGCCGACTAGCTGGTGGATGCTGTGTGGGATTCGGTGTCGGTGGGATACCCTGGAGTCCCCGTTAGTAAATGACTCTAAAGAAAAAAGGGGGAGGGGGGAAATTGAAAAATAAAACTTACACCACGAACACACGGCAATAATGGCGTATAAGCACATCAGCAACATGCCCTCCAACCAATGGCTCTTGCCATCCGCAATCAGATAATTTACCAGCAGCACCGACACGAACAGCACAGCCACCTGGAACGGGTCAAAGCTAAGCGCCATGTCGTCCAAACCCATACCCCAGCCGATGATAACGAGCAGCGGAATGATGAACAGCGCAACTTGCATACTGGACCCAACAGCCACGCCAATCGCGAGGTCCATCTTGTCCTTGATAGCCACAGTAACAGCGGTCGCGTGCTCCGCCGCGTTGCCGACAAGCGGCAGGAGAATAAGCCCGACAAATTCCTTGGAGACGTTCCCGCCCTCGGTGACGGCGCTGATGCCATCGACCATGAACTCGGCGCAGAAGGCGATGATGACGGTGGAGATGGTGAGCGTGGCGACGGCGACGGTGAAGTGCAGCTGCGGCTCCTCGCCTTCTTCTTCCTCGTCCGGCTCCCCGCTGTAGCCGTGCCCGTCAGCATTAAGCTGCATATTCTTGCGCGGCGGCTGTGTCAGGTGGTCGTGCATGCGCTCGTTTTCCGTCTTGCTCGAGGGTAGGCTGTGGCCGCCGACCATGCCGGCGGGCGCGACGAAGCCCTGGGTGATGGCGCCCTTGGGCAGCTCCTCCTTGCGGTGCCGGAACGGCTTGGCCTCGACCTTTTGGGATTCTTGCGCGAAGACTGCGGAGTGGGTCTTGAGCTGGAAGAAGAGGTAGGCGCCGTAGACGATGAGAAGGATGACGGAGGTGCCGCGGGACAAGCGCGCGACGTCGGCCTTGGGGGTCTTGCTAGCGAGGTCAAAGACAGTCGGCACAATGACGCCCGCGACGGCTAGGGCGAGCAGACTGGCCGCGGTCTGGGCAACGGTGGTGTTGAAGAATTGCTCTTGGCGACGGAGGCCGCCGAAGAAGAAGCACATGCCCATGACCAGGAGTAGGTTAGAGAGGATACTGCCGATGAGCGAGGTCTGGACGATGACAACTTCGTTATCGATGAGGGCGATGATGGCGACGATCAATTCGACAGCGTTTCTAAGGCACTTTTGTCAGCACCTTTCCCATCCCGCCCCGCTTGCTCCCAAATATCATAGAGCCAAGGATGAGGTTACGCTTACCCAAACGTAGCATTGAGCAGCCCCCCGACGGTCTCGCCGGTGCGCAGGGCAATCTCCTCGGTCGCAAAGCCGAGCATACCAGCCAGGGGCACAATGGCGATAAAGTTGACCACGAAGACGGCTTTGCGGTCAACAGCGGGGATGTAGTTGATGGCGATACCCACAGGGGCAGCGAGCAGCAGGATGTTGAGCCATGAGCCGAAAATGGTGCGCTGGATCTGGTTGCGGACAGTGAAGGGCTCCTTGGGGGTGAGGTGCTTGAAGAATGTGTGCTGTTTTTTCTCCTTCTTTTTCTCCGACTCAGCTTCGCCCGCGAGGGCTTGTCCCCCAGCTGCGCTTTCATCGGTCGACTGAGCCAGCCCAGTTCGTTGGCGTAGGGTGTTCTGGGTGGTTGTGCCGTGGCTCTGGCTGCTGGCGTCAGCGTCGGCGTCAGATCCTTGTCCTTCGCCATTCGCGGTGGTCGGGGTCAGTTCGGCGCTCGATTCGCCGGTTTCCGGGCGGCCCTGGGACGTCTCCTTAGTGAAGCTCCCTGTGGGCGACTTCGCGGGCGCAGTGCGGGCCGGTGCAAGCCAGTTGCTCTCGATATCGTTGGGGCGCGAGGTAAAAGAAGTAGTCCGGCGACGACCAGCGAAGAGGTTGAAGCCACTGCCGTCTCCGCGCGCAGCCTCCCTGCTGGCCTGCATCCTGAGGGCGTAGGTGTTGACTGGTGAAGCGTTTCTGGTCAGCGCCATGTCAAATCAAACAGCGATAGCAGGATCAACGACTCCGCGAAGGAGGCGAGATGATTCAGGTTATCCAGGGGTTCCTTACATTGCGACATAGCGTCAATTTGGTGGGGAATCTTCCTCGCGATTGACCCACGTTGGTTTGGAGGTCGCGTTCGGCGCGCTCACAACGTGTTGAGGCCGGATTGGTATGTATGGTATGCACTAGATCATGGAACAAGAGGTTGTGGTTAGCAAGCGCCAAGGGCGTTAGTTTATGAGGGAAATTGGGGTGTGTGATGAGTAGCGCCCAATGTACTGCTTTTATACAACCCAGACAAAAACCAGCGGCAAGAAAGCCGGAAAACAAGGCCAATACACTCACATTTCTTGCAACCGCGGAGGCAATCAATCAATTCAGCGAGCACTTGATTCTTGCCGTTCCCCAAGGTGTGACACGGTGAGGATGGTGAGGATATAGGGCTCAAAGCGGCCTCCCAAAGAAACGAGGAGAGATGTAATCGATATGCGCGTGCGCTTTCGCGAGGCGGCTTTTCCTTTGCGCTGGCTCCAGTCGTTTTTGTCGCGCTGCCACGAGCTAACCGCTGCGTGGTGCTGAGGTTTCGGGTCGGAGTCCGGGTCACGATAGACGGTGGTGTCGGGTCATGGGTTGAGGTGTGTGAAAGAAACGAATCCGTTTGTTGGAGAGGAAGGGGGGAGCAAAGGGAAAAGTCGCCAACGACCGACGAAACATGGAATTGGGTTCTTGAGTGGGATGGGGCGAATTCACTCCATCGTAAAACACCCTGTGCCATGGGGATCTCTCCCGTGCCCCTGGTGCCGGACATGTCTGTTCCCCGTGCCAGGGGCCGAGCACCACTCAAACCAACGGGATACAGAAGTCGTAAACGTGCGCGTGCTGCGGCGTGGCATTGATTCCAAACGTCCCCTAATCACCAACAATGTAATCTTCAGTTGGTGTTCCGTAGCTTGTACTCGTAAATGTCCCCCGAATCAACCAAACCGGCCCCCGTTGAAGAGGGACTTCACCCGGCAAAACGCAGGTACAAGTTCCAGCGCTGCAGGCACTGGAGCTCGGATGCATCCAGCGTGGGGCAGATCTCGCGCTGCACCCTGCCCATCCTCATCGTCAGACAGAGCGCGCCTATACTCATAACTTACTAGCTACATATTAAAATTACGTCGGGGTGAAGATTTCCTGTTTCTTCTCAGCTTCCCTGTTTCCATTCCGAAGCTGCGGCCACAGCAGCAGCCCATACGCAACTCCCACTGGATTGCTTCGCCAGTTCCTCTCTCCTGTGTAAGCCACAACGTGTTCGCAAGGACGAGAAGAACCAATTGGGTGTAAAGCGTGCGCAAACAAAACAGGAAACAAAGACAAAAGCCAAAATCGGCACAAAAAAGGGACGTCAAACGGAAACGCCAAGCCCCATATTTTCCTCTCGTCCCAGATCCTGATCATCCCCCCATCTCGGAAGTCAAGCCTTGCCAAGTTGGGCCAAGGCGGGCCCGCCCAGTCCAAGGAAAACTATCACTGGCGCAGCTCGGCCAAAGGATGGAGTCCCGTTCTTGTCCCGTCCTTGGACTTCTTGGATTTCTTGGGGGTTTTGACGTCTCGCCTGTTTGCTTATCATTCTCTACACAGTACGCACAAGTTGCGCCTTTCCCCCTTTCTTTTCGTTTTAGACTCAGGTATCAATTGCGGGGGATTGGGCTGAATGGGTTGGTCACACAAGATCTTAACGGCCGGTTTTATCCCCCAACCAACGGTCTAACCGAGGACTTTTGTCCCTCCCACAAGAAATCGGATCACGCCCTGGACAAGTTCCGACAGGTTTCCTCTCCAAGCATTGGTTAATCCTCAAGCGGCCATGCGCCTCGAAACCAATCGATTGGATAGTTGATACCATGTTCTGCGCAGTGATGACGATGACGGGCTCTCAAGCCGGCCTGGGCACGCTTTCGGTTCGTTGCCCCGGAAAATCTGTTGGCCGAGAATTAGGAGGCCTCCGACTCCTGAGACAGCCGATATGGGGCGCATGCGCTGCTACAAAGAGACGATCGATGACGATTTGAAAGGGTCCGTGCACCTTGAAATATATCCCAATTTGGCAAGTCGTGAGAATTCCAAAGTTCAAATGAGTGCAAACGGATCGAGGTCCCAAGCATATGTGGAATGTAAGACTATTATTTACACCATCAGAGAGCGGCGAAAGAGATTAGGTACACTTACAGATGGAGTCTCCTCCATACCCAAAAAATTACCCGCCCACCGACGTAGCCAAATCCAGTTCAATACCCAACTCAAATGCATTTTGCTTTGCGCTGTGACAAACCTCCTGCTCTCCGAAGCGTTGTCTCGCGCTGCTTGCGTTATATCTTCTCAACCCCCAGTCACAATAATCGCCATATCTCACATATTACACTCTGGGGCTCTTCCCTTCATCCCACGCCTTCTCACACTTTTCCTCCAAACACTCCCTATTTACCTCCCGCATCGTCATCTCCCTTGTCCACCTTGTCTGCCTTATCCCCCTTGTCCCCACCCTCCCTCAGCCGACTCAGCGACAGCCCTCCCAACAGTCCCTCATACTGTATACTGCCCCGCCGGAGCAATTGACTCGCTGACATGAACGCGGGGCTGGGGCTTGCCGTCCTAGGACTCGCCGCATAACCGCCGGCGTTGCTACCATCCGTTCCAACCGCACCACCACCCACACTCCCACTGCCGGTACCACTGACACCAACACCAGGGCTGCCCACCCTAGGTACACTCGCAGCTGCGGCCACAGCCGCCGCAGCATTCGAGGCCGCCAGTACCCCGGGCGGCAGACCCAGCACCGGAATGTTTCCCTCCGGCACAGCCGCCGAAGCCGAGACCGAGACCGTGTTTAGCCCCGTGGTCGGCGGCGCCACCCCTGCCGTACCCGCGCCCGTGGTTGCGCCAAAAGCAGGCGTCATAGCCGCCCCGCCTGCGCTCGTCGTTGCAGGCGCTGCCGTCTTGAGCTCGCGATAAAAAGCCTCCAGAGCCTGTGCGTCAAGGCAAAAGGCATCTAGTTCATCTTTGATCCATTCTGGTTCTTGTGTCGTCCACGTCGACCACGCTGAGCCTGCGACTGATGGTGCTGTAGTGGCAGTGGATAGCGCGGGGGGCTTTGGATGCAGTTGGCCCTGACCTAGACCCGGTGTGCCTGCTGCGCTGTTTGGTGTGCCACCCTGGGATGACAGGGCTGGACGGACGACGGGGGAGAGGAGAGACGGCACGGATGCTGCTGACACGGCAGCGGTGGTGGGCCGCAAAGCCGGTGAGGCCGCCGGGGACGCGTCGTAGGGCGGTAACGGGGATTGGAGGCTATACGGAGTGTAAGACCCGGGCGTAATGACACGGATCGAGGAGCTGAGGCCAGGGGTGCCAGCGCCTGGCTGATTTTGTTGTTGCTGTTGCTGCTGCTGCTGCTGCTGCTGCTGTTCCCCCCGGAGCTCCTTTTGCATTTCCTTCTCCCGAGCTGCAAACGCTCGGCTGCTGTAAAGCCTGTTGGCTAGGAGCAGAAAGTGGCCCTCATCAGTAATTTCCGCAAGAAGAGACCCTGACCGATGGATGTATTGCGTGTGCCGGAAGTCGGGCTTGCCCCAGGAGTAGGACACGTCCACATTAGTGGGAAAATTGGACGATGCCTCCACGTCGAGAACAAAGTCGAATTTGCGGAGGATCGCCTTTTGATAAAAGTGCCGACCTGGTTGGGCCACGGGAGTGAATGAGGTCCGGTCGAAATAGGTAACCGGCGATTGCTCCGGTGGCGGAGCTGCCAGCTTGATGATGTACGGCCGTCGGAAGGGATTGACGTCGCTGATGGCGCATGCTTCAGCAATGGGCACTTCAACGAGCCGGAGCCCATACTGGGCAGCCTCGCGCCCCCAGTTCTCAACCACGTCTTCGACGAGCTTGGCCGTCACATTCATCCAGTCAACCCGGATGTGGTAGCAATTGTCAGGATTGTGCAGCCTGTCGTAGTGCAATTCCACGATCTCGGGACGGTACGAGCGCTTGCGGTGGTCCACATCGTACTTGATCACTTTACTCAGGACCACCTTCGGTTTGTTCCCGGACCCCCCCTGCAGCCCAGTCGGCGTGATTGAGCCTGAGGTTGTCGAATCCTCTTCATGGATCGAGCTAGGCCGAGAAACGCTCTGCTGCGTGTCGCGCGGAGGTTGCTCTCCTATCGGTGTCGAAGGCACTGACCCTTGGCTCCGCTTGTTGTTGAACCAGCCCTGCGGTTGTGGCTTCGCAAACTCGCTACTGATCTGGTAAAAGTACTGACCGTCCCTGAACTGATGTCTTTTCTCGACGTGCACAAACAACCCGCTATCCTTTTTGCCCTCCTTCTCCTTCTCTTCTGCCACCATAAGACGTTTGCCCAGGGCTTCAGCTTCCTCACGGTCTTCCAAATCGTCAAAGTTTTCCAGAAGCCAACTTGTCATATCTGAGCCAATGAAGCAGTTGTAGTGCCATCGGAAATGCCACCTGCGATTCTTCATCCGAACACCCCCGTTCTCCTCGGGCTGCTGCATTGCCTCGGCAAGTGCTGCCAAGTTGATGTTCTTCTTGGAAAACGGCTCGCGATTCCTCACCAGTTGCCCCTTGCGATCCAGTCCCTCGAACAAGGGCAATGTTTCCAACTCGGCAGCAATCACCACCGATGGGTCTTCAGTTTTGTAAATGATGTTTAGGGGGTTCAAGTCCTTCTTTTGCCGAACCCCAGAGCCATGAAGCCGCCGTTCGTTGGGTGGTACGTAACGATGTCTCTGCCACAGAAGCGCAAGCTTCCGGATGCCTTCAATGCGAGTTTCCTCTTCGTTGTCGCCCGTTTCATTTCCGGTGACCGATGATCGTCGGCCAGTCATTGGGATCAGAACGAACCGAGCTCGCCAGAATCGGAGATGTTCCGTCAACTCGTCATTGTGGCCCGCGACGAACGCATCAATGTAGTTCCAATTCCTTTCCGCTCTCGGTGTAATCAGGTCAAACTCGCTCGAGTGGTAGGAACTGTCTAGTAACGTCCGAATGGCCGGCCTGTATGTTGGCTGTCGATGGCCCTGGCCGTAGGTCGGCGCGAAGATGTCGGTTGGTTTCCGGACGAAAATGTTCACTTCAACCTCGCTACCATTGACGCACGAGAGCTGATGGATGGTGTTGCCAACTGACATAAAAATGCTGAAGCCGTCCTCCATCACCCGATCTCGCGAGAAAATGTCGGCAACCTTTATCTGCTTTTGTCCAAAGGCTCTCGCGACAGCGGGGCCCACGACAATCTGGAACCCCTGAGAGAACCGGAGGCTAACGAGCTCTCGTAAGAGTTCGTCGCGCGACCTCGGCTCTTCCTCAAGTTCATCGTCGAAGTTCTGTGACACATTGTACGGCCGACGCTCATATTCAGTTTCAAACTGAGTTTTTGAGGGGAAGTACTCCGAGGTCAGGGGCACGGAAGCCGGAGAACAAAGGCTCTTCCACTTCATAAATCTCATCTCCTGTGGCCTCGGGAACACGTGCTGCCAGCGGCTGTACAGCATGGCCATGTCCACCTCATTCGTATCCGGATTTGACGGGTTGATCAGCGTGAGCCAAGGTGACAAGGCCGTGTTCGGAGATAAGGTAGACGGTAGCTCCGGGATGGCTCCGGCAAGGAGTTTCGAATTGTAGACCTTCTTGGCATCTTCCGCCCGAATTGCGTTTGAATACTGATAATCTCGATCTTGCGCTGGGGGTTCCGGGCGAAGCGTGGTTGCAAGAATGGAACCCGATAGCATGTGGGCAGCAGGTTCGAGGTGAGAATTCCTGATCACAATGGGGCGGCTTGGTGAGTCAGTTGGGAACTGTGGTCCCGGCTGCGAGAGCGTCGGCGTCGGCGTCCCCGACACACCACGAGACGATGACGGGCGTTGGTTTGCTTTTGACGGGCTCACTCGCAAATCTTGGGAGCTCCGAGATGGCGTGAGGGTTTTGGAGGCCCCCACACTCTCCATGCTAGCCTCCGCTGTGGCTACTACAGGTGCCGCAATACCAAACCCTCGGTTGCCTAGACTGATATGACGCATGAATTTTGGGGCCTTGAGCGCTGTTGACGAGGAAGACGATGACGATGAAGTCGCTCTCGCATCAGCCTTGTTCGATCCAACGCTTACGCTCTTGCGGTTTACCGGAGGTGGTCCCTTGAATCCCGAGGAGGCCGGGCGATGGTAGGGTGAAAGGTCGGGGAGGGTATGTTGAGTAGCCGTTGAGGGCCGGCGGGCTGCGAACGACGTCCCTAGAAAGCTCGTATCCTCCAATCCTGACCGTCTTGGCCTGGAGCCACGATGCGTGGGTCGGCGTGCCCTGCAGTCATCGTACTCCTGCAGTTGCTTCCATATCGATTTCTCACCAGGCTTGCTGTACCTATCCGGGGCAAACTTTTGGAATCCATATACATGATCGAATAGAGTTTCGGGAGGGCGTTGAATTCTTGTAATGACACGACCTTCCGCGTCAAATTCAGGTTTGGGAACCGAACTCGCGAGGACTCCGTCAAGTGGGAAGCAGTGATCCATGTGTAGGGGTTTGATTTCGATCTCATTCGTTTCCATCACGCTTCTCATTTGAAGGTCGTACATACGGCAGCGGATGGGGAAATCGTCGCCGCATTGGCTTTGCGTGGCATCCGACACAGATAAGGCAATGCCTTGGTACGATAGTTCCTCTTCATGGGCGCCTGTCCAGTACGAAACGTGAAGCCACTGGGGGACGGCAGACACCCACTCGTCCTGAGATGATGGTGGGCCGGGAGCTTCACCGTTACGATGACCATCCATTTTTTTGCTCGGGGAATAGGAACCAGCAATGCTGTTGTAACTTCCAAAGGTGAGAGTGGTCTGCTTGGGGGTGCTTCCTTGGCTGAGGTCCACCTTGGTCTTGCGAGTCGGCTGTCCAACCTGGTGCGGATTGCGATAACGGAAAAGGGGCACAGAATGGAGCGGGACGTTGGGGATGCATATCAAGTCGATACCAATTCCGTTTCCGACAAGCGCCTCCGTGGTACGGCGGAGTGCATCGTACTCAACCTCAAAGACACCGGGGCTAGGGCTGATGACGACAACTGACACGCCGGTCCTTGTGAGGTCCCTATCGATGTAGTCGTGGGCGTAAAGTGACGAGGCCATGTTGATGGCTTCGAGAAAGTTCCCGTGAATGGCCCGCGATGCTTGAGCTTTGATCCCATTCAACAGCACCTCTCGGTCGGCGGAGTCCCCGTCAGAACCGGGCGAATCTAGGGCCTTTTGGTGGTAGGTGCTGATATCTTTGCGGAAATAATTGAACTCGCGCTTGAGCTGGTGCAAAATCTTGGTCCACTCACCGCTACCCATCTCGCTAACCACAACTCGGTAAAAGTCCTTGTACGGCCGGCGGTCCTCGGCGCTTTGAACACCGGTGTAGTAATCATGATGAGCCGTCGCAGACGCGAGCTCGTTAGAAATACCCGTATCATACTCGACCCGGGCGAAGAGGACGATGGTGACGAGATGCTTCACCCGCATGGCCGCCCATTTCTTGAACAACGCAGGTAGAAAACCATTGACGACCTTGTTAAACGTGATCTCGCCGGAGCCGTCTGGATCAAAGTCCCACATCTCGCGAGCCATCTGAATGAAGAGCACATAACGGGCTGACTCGCTGCGGAATACGGGTTTTGTATCCCGTCCAAAGAAGGCTGATTGTGCCTTGCGCCCATCCACGTAGACAGCGGTCACCTGGGCCTTGACCGTGCCTAGAAACAACACCAATTGACCCTTGTACACCGTCCTCTCGGCCAATTCACCGACGGCCATCCGCCACATGTCGGCTCTCGAGAGATACTGGTCCTTAAAGCACAGCTCGACGTGGGACGCTTCGACGGCCGGATGTTTTGCATCAATCTACTTCTCTCAGCAAGTCTGCATCATTTCCAAGGTTGACCAACTTTCCCCCAAAAAATGTGGAATTATAAAAGGGGTTTCGCTTCACATACGGGAGTTAAGGTAACCTGGGTACCCTTCCTCATGCCGAAGGCGTCGGCGATGTGTTTCGCGACGTACACTTCCACAGAAGAGTAACGAGCCTTTAGTTCCCTGGGCATATCTTTAGCCACACATATGTAGCGTTTCTCCGCGCAATTTCCAGCAGCCCCCTCTTTGCGGTCTTGCACCGGCTTGTGGTGGTGCGAATTTTGGGCGGCCTTTTCTGAATCCCCCTTAACCACGTCGATGGCCACTAGGCTTCCGGGTTGGACATCGTCGCCTATGTGATCTAGGTTTAGCAGCACCTCATCACGGGCAAATGACTCGTTGACCGTGACGGTCCATCGCCGGTCAGCGTGCATGCGGGACGAGAGGCGAGAAGATGGACGTTCGCGGAGGGTGGAGTTGCTCGAAGCCGTGTCTCCGGGTGAATTTGGGTAGGCGGGGTCGTGGGCGCGGTCATGGCTCTGTTTGCTGAAATGTCGTAGGTGGTTTGGCCAGTTCGGTCCCTTTGCAGACCCCGGCGTCGCGGCCGAGGACGAGGAGGAGGCATTGCGCGAAGACATGAGAATGGATTGAGCGCCCACCGCAACTCATCAATCCCGATCCCATCGAGCAATTGAGTGTTGGTGTTGTATTATCATCGCGCCATTCCTTAACAATGGCGGTGGTCTAATGCGGAGCACCGCAAATTGGTGCCTTAGGTGTTGGGATGCAAGATGAAGAAAGATGGTGAAAAAAAGGGAGGAAAATCGACTTGGAACGGCAGGCGGTTTCCAAGCTGCAGCGTCGTCGTGATGAGCCGCAGGCGCAATCCGACCCTGGCAAGCCTGGCCCCAGCCGGGCAGTGAGCTCATGCCGGCAGAATCGGTGGGGTTGCCTATACCGCCTTCCTAGACGAGCTCTCCGCCTCCAGGACGGACGCATTGACGGGGAGTCCCGACTTTCCCCCACACAACCCCTTTCCGGATGGAGTCGTCCAATCGTCCCAACACACACCTTCCAGTTCCATCCCACCTACAATTGCAAGCCACACTCTGCTTTCTTTCGAGGTAGGCTCCTCTCAACCGGCGGCCTAGACAATTCAAACAACTCCGACGCGCCGGAACGATCCCCGGACCCCGGACAATTCAAGTCACAAAGTGATGGCCATGTCTCAACTGAAATGGAGGGGGATTGCCAGATCATCAACTTGATCGTAGGGCGGGTGCAAAGGAAAACGGTAAAACCTTTCCCTGTTAGAAACAAAGCTCTGCTGCAATTCCGAAACGCCCGATGCCTGCGGATTTCCACTATGGCTCGTTTCCTCGGGGCTTGACGGTAGTTTATCAGTAACTCGGGCACCTCCCTCACCAAGCACAGTCTTTGTGTGAACCTACCATGCCTGGGCCGGAGGTACGTACCTACCGGAGGTAGGTCGGTACTGCGTACTGAAACACCCCTTCCCGGCATTTATCGAACCAACACTTCCCCGGACCGGCAGTGCCACCTCACGGTAGGAAGCGTGCCTTGCATGAGCGTCGCAATGCTGGGAGACGACCACACCTGGCCGGCCAGCTGTCGAGTTGCCCAATAAACAAAACATGGCGCAGGTCCTGCGGGCGCCGGCACACCGCCCTGCCTTGTTCAATTGGACCTGCCTGTTCTTTTTTACGTTATGTACGAGCCGCTCAAAGGCACGAGGTCCCGGCTCGCTGGCAGCCAGTTGTTGATAGTCCCTATATAAGGTATCCACAAAGTCCCATGTATGAACCTGCTGTGCGAGCTTGTCGTGCACCCAAGCTCAACGCACCCGTTGTTGTACAACACCATTACCTCCTTGTTCGTACTCCCGTCTACATGGTATTCATCTAAGATTCACTTTACCAAAGGTTCCCTGCATTACCCAGCGACTTTGCTCCCCTCAAGGTTCTCTCTCTTCAAGCGCCAATCCGAGTCACCCCGTAAGGGCCAAAAACAACACGGATAGATACAACACCATGAACGTTGCCCTGCTATAGGCTCAGGTATATAGGACTCCTCGGCTACTCGTTTTCTTCAATATCTTATCTTCTGCCTCTCGTAACCTTGAGGCTCAAAACCGAATCCTTGTACTTCCGGTGTATGGGGAACTAGACAACGCATTATATCAACTTCCGCTCCAACACTTCTCACAAGCACCGCGGACTGCTTGAAGACGCCCCTCTATTCCTACAGAAACGACACAGCCTCCTTCGAGTTCACCTAGTCGGCGTCGTTCCACCGTCCCCGGTTCTCCGTCATGGCACTCAAGCTCTCCGACAAGCAGAAAGTCTCCGCAGCTATCGCGATATCATTCGCCTTCTTCATCGCCGAGATCGTGGGTAAGTAGCTCTATGCTAATTGCGATCACCTTGCCCGATCGCTCACTACAAACTAGTCGCTATTAAGACGGGCAGTCTGGCCCTTATGGCCGATGCATTCCACTATGTCAGTCGACAGCTCTGGCCATTCTGTTGATGCCCGCTGGAAGTCTGACTTGATGTAGCTGAACGATCTTATTGGTTTCATCGTGACCTTGTGGTCCATTATTGTAAGCTCAGCCCCGATGGCTAGAAATAACCGCAGTTAACACCTTCCATAGATCGAGAAGAAGACGGAGTATCGCCAAGACTTCTCATTTGGCTGGCAGAGAGCTCGCCTGCTGGGTTCTTTCTTCAACGGAGCCTTCCTGCTCGCCCTGGGTGTGAGCATATTTCTGCAGTCCATCGAGCGGTTTATCGCATTTCAGGAGGTCAGCGATGCCAAGCTGATCCTGATCGTGGGTTGCGTGGGCCTCGGCCTGAATATCATTACCATCACGTTTTTGCACGGTTAGTGTTCCGGTTGTGGACAACATACTATTTGGCGAACACATGTGCTTACATGTAAAATCCCCCAGAACACCATCACGGTCACGGTCATGGCCATCACAATGACCACGACCATGAGTCCCAGAACCACCCCACTCACGAATCTGAACCCCGCTGCTTCCACCAAGACCACGCCGACTCCGACTGTCCGTCCAAAGGGGGCGGTAACGGACACCTCGCGCCAGAAGGCCACTCTGGCCACCGGCACGTCTCGCTCTCGCTCAAGGCGCCTGGGCGGGACTTGGGTATGATGGGGGCGCTGCTGCACGTCATAGGGGACGCGTTAAACAACCTCGGCGTCATCATTGCGGCAGTTGTGATCTTGTTCACTTCATCACCAGGCCGCTTCTATGCCGACCCGGCAGTTGGCCTAGCGATCTCACTGATGATTGTGTCAAGTGCTATACCCCTGGCGCGGGATAGTGGCGAAATATTGCTACAAAGCGCGCCGGTGGGGGTAGATCTGGCAGATATCAAGCACGACCTTGAGAAGATCCCGGGCGTCGATTCGGTTCATGAACTCCGTACGTTGATCTCTTCCGCTCCCCCTTCCCCCCCCACCTAGGGCGATGCTAAAAACACTCGCCCGTGCCAGACGTCTGGCGCCTAGACCAGCGCAAAGCCATCGCCTCAGCGCATGTCATTGTTTCGGACCTAGACGCTACTGGCTTCATGGCTAAAGCACGCACCATTAGGGAGTGTCTGCACGCCTATGGGATCCGTACGTAGCCTTCTGCCATCTTCACCCCCCTCGTATTTCACCCCTTTCTTCGGGCCAAGCAGAGTTAGAACTCGCAATATCATCTGACACCTACTAGACTCAACGACGGTCCAGCCAGAACTCCTCGCGCCCTTCTCCATTGCCCCATCAACTCAACCATCGATCATCACCGTCACAGCACCCGCTACCGTAGGCTCAGCTCCCGAAATTTCGGGTGGCCCATATAATCTGGAAACCCTGCGTGATCCGGCTGGGAACAGTAGCGTCAATGTTAATGGCGACAGTGCTGATGCTGGCGGTGGTGAACCAGGTGGCAATAGCGCCGCCGAGAGTGGAAGCGGTACAACTACCCCGTGCCAGATAGTGTGTGGCCGGGGAGGGTGTGATGCACTGATGTGCTGCAACTCTCCAGTGTAGACCATAGGGTATTCCCTGTTGTCTCAGTCATTCTTTAAGTTCTTGGCCGAGAAGGGGGGCAAGGCTCGTCATGGTTCGTTGCAAAAGTTGTTTCTTTCAACCCGAATGGGTACAGCGATGCGGAAGAGGGAAGCACACCCCGGAGAGGGTATATGAGTTTTTAGACACCGGGGTTGGCCATAAGACCAAGAACTGCGTTAGCAATACAAGGGAGGTGTTGTCCATTTGCGAGCAGTAATACGAATAAGAGCGTGAGATGGCCGTCAAAAAGTCCTTAAGTATCCTCGGGCCAATCTTATCTCACACTACACGTGTCGATGTCCATGATGTCTCACCAACGGTGGTCACATGTTACCATCTTTCCCGTCAAGAGTCTCAGATGCGCAGTAGTGTAAGTGGACAAAGGCGGTCGCTTTGCTCCACAGGGAGTGTTCTCAACTCCTACTTGGGCTTGTTGTATTTCCAGCTTCATTTGTGGCCAGATATACGAGTCCCACAACCACCAGCCCCGGGGCGTAACCAGCTTCATCTCCAACGACAGAAGCGAGGTTGAAGCCATCTTCCCAAGAGAGAATGGTGTGCCCAACCCGGAAGCTTAACCATGCCATACCCGCATGCCTAACCACAAGTGAGCCATCGTTAATTTATTAGCGGCGAAGCCTTGCCCGTCTAGTTCGATGTCGGGAACAAGGTGTTGGACCCCTAATTTTTTTAGGAAGTCCAGTTTGCGCGACTGCGGCCCGGAACCATGGCCCCGGAGCCCGAAAGAAAACAAGGTGAAAGGGATAAAACAAGGGTTCGGGCGTGGGGGTGGAGTGCTTTTTTACACGACACGACTTTCCCGTTCCTGAAATGCTTGAGGGTTCGAGAGAGCGACAAATGGGCGACAGCAAAGGGCATGTCGTCCGTCTGTCGTGTTGTGACAAATCCCTTTCGCTGGCTGGGTCCCTTGGGATTCCCCGTACGTAAGAGAATACGACGGTTTCCAGGTTGTCGGGTGTTGTTACACAAGATGCAGGGCGGGGCGACGGCGAAGCGGGAAGAAACGAGAGGCGAGCGATTATGTTGCCTGCCTGTTGCTGCTGCTGCTGCTGCCATTGCGCAGCAAATGCAGGGCGATTCCCGGCTTCCTTTGACAAAAGTTTATCTTGACATGGCAGTCTGGATCTCACCGATCGACGGATAAGATCCACGACAGCACGCGAGCACACTCCTTGAAGAGACACAGCAGCAATGCTCGATAACGGCACGGACGATTTTGTTGGGTATCAACCCGACGAGGACTTGGGGCCCCTCATTCTCTTCCCGTTTGCAAAAGACAAACACAGGGCATCTTCCTTCAACGGGCCAACTTCTCGGCCAGTCGAGGCGGGCCAAAATCCCCCCCGTTGCTCGAATGGGTTGCGTGTGCCGTGTGGGATTGGGATTTGGGATGTGCAGATTATCGGGGTTTGAGTGCAAGGCATTGTGGGACGAGAGAGGCGGTTTGCGAGGGGTCGCCGAGAAGGTGGGGCATGCTTGATGAGCTGCCTTGCTGCCCCAGGCTTACCCGCTCTGAGGTTACATGCTACAAGAGGAGCAGACGGGTGAGTGATGTCGCCGTGTTGATCGCTGTTGGTTTGTTGTGTGCACTTCACCCTCCGCCCAACCTCGGTGAAGAAAGCGAACACAGCGGGACAGAGAGACAGAGCGGGAAAGAATCGGCGCCGTCGCAGAGTGTGGTCGTCATTCAATTGTTCCCTCAACTCTCGGCGTCAAGCTCCGGGCCGATGGCCAACAGGCTAAACCAAGCAGGCGTTGCGAGCAATCGAAATCCCCATTTACGCAAGATGTGTAAGAGCCAAGGCCAAGCCAACATTCAGTTCGAGTCTCTCAGTATTCCGGTCGTTTGCTCTCGTCTTCCCCCCTCAGACCGGCTCCAGTGAGGTCACCTCTACACTACTTCGTACTTCGAATACGTCAATCACTTGCCGGCAATGCAATTGGTTTGCCTGCAGTGTTCTGGCAGTCAGGCGGTGAGGAATGTGGTTCTTCGGGCGTGGTCGGGTGGTCGGTGGTTGGTTGCAAGCCCACCCGCTGCGTGAGCCGAAGAGCCGGAACGCTCGCCGTGGCCGTTGAGCAATTGACCGGAGTTGACCTGTTGCCTCGTGGCTCTGCCTGGATGTGGTTTTGGCTCAATCCATGCAATGCCGGCAGTCCGAGGATATTGAAAAGTACCAAGCTTGGTCGAAGGCGGGTACTATGTAGTCTCCCCCGGAAATCTCGGGGCCGTAGCTTGGAAGAGGCGCATTCCAGAAAGCAAGAAGCAAGAGGTTTGGGGTGCGCAAGATGGCTGTCAAGTTCTTTTTTCAAACCTTCGGCTCATCAAACGGGAAGCCGAAAAGTGCCAAACGCCCAAGTCCCAGAGCGATGCGAACGCTTCCTGCGTGGACATGACCCCTTGGACGGGTCGGGAGGGCAACCGACGACAGGCGGGCCGTTGCAACCTCAGAAGCTCTCTTGACCTTGATAATAGCCGGCATACATGCTACTTGGCGGCGACCGGCAACTGCCTGATTGCATTGACAACGACGAAGAATTGCGCCCTCTGTCTAGAGGTGTTTGTGAAAACCAAAAGACGATTAGTAGATGCAGCTACGGATACAAAATACTTATTCTCGTCTCTTCCCAGGTTGTTCCTTGGGGGTGGGTATTGTCAGTGTTTGCCTGGATGTATGTTTTTCCATCATCTCCCACACTCGAGAGAAAGTCAGAGAAATCAGCCAATGGATTCCGTTCGTCCCCGGGTTTCCTTTTTTTGCTTCAGAGGGCCAAGAGGAACGTGGGAAGAAAAAGAAATAAGAATCTGCACAGAAGCGAGAGGGCATGCCGTGCAGCAGCCACCGCGTCAGAATATCGGACATGAACCCGTCCTGTGCAATTTGGACTTCGCATGGGTGGGCTGCTCTGTACGGACGCAAGACGGAATGCGCGGGGCAGAGACCTGCGAGTGTTGTGCTGTGGTATTTTTGGCTTCAAGATGGCTTCCCCGGGATGGCGCCGAGTCTGTGCAGCCCTGTCCAACTAGCAAATTGCAAGAGCAGGTGCAGTCGTCATGCTCCACTCTTTTTAGTGTCCAACGACCCTGTAAAATCAGAGGCCGGCATGCCTCGGTGGGCCGTGCCCACTTCAATGCTGGGGAGCTCCTGCAACTCACATGCCGCCCGCAATTCTGGCAGCGCGCAACGCGGACCTCAACCGCCGCTTTCGTCGTCACCGCCATTCTGGACCATAAGACCCCCGCAGAGAGCTGCACAACGGCGGGAACGTTGCGACTGCATCTCGTGCTGCTACGACCAAACAACAGTCGGCCATTGACGGAAGCCGTGTTGCTGAGCGAGACAACAGAGCCGCGCAAAGCGAACCTCTCCGGCCATTGGACTTTTATCGCCTCCGAGTCTCCCCCGGCTCTCCCCCAACTCCATGTCCAGAGGCTCTTACTGTCCCTTTGCTGCTCCGCTCTTTCCCCTTCACCCACAGCACTTCTCTCTTCTCTCCCGCTCAACCACCTAGCTCTGCCTTGTCTGCTTCCATCCCTTCCGTCTCCCACGTCTTGCTCTGTGTTGTTCTCCACCTCTGCGTCCCGCAGGCCGTGTCCGTTGCCACGATCCCCTCCTTTCCCCTCCTGCTCGAACTCCCTGCGCATCATCCCTCCCTAGGAACCCGACCGACCCCCACTATCGGGATCCCGTCGGTATGTCTCCACCAGCTATCCAAACCCCACCAGGACGAGGAAGAGAATGTGGATTTCGTGACCTCTCTCGTGCTAACCGCTCGGGAAGAACTGCGGGACGGCGGTTCGCTGTCACTAGTTCGCAGCGTAGCTTCAAAATATTCGCCTCTCTGCTGTAACTCTATTGCTACTCGAAACTCCATCTTGGCCGCCCCCCGCGCCCGCTCCGGCATTCGGCCAACCCGTTGTCACTCCGGACAACAAACGCCCCTCGCGCCTTTCGCTCCCCACTGCTTAGTTCTCCTTGGCCCAGTTCCGCGCGGCCCCGTCGAACGCGCACTAACTTGAAGTGTCAAAAAAACCCTTGGACACCAGCGGCAAGCTCCCTTTTGAACGAACCTCTCTCATTGTGGCTCTTGATCCCTCTTCTGGATTTTGTTCACGGCGAACCTTCCGGCATATCCAAAAAAGGACAAGCCAAGAAGCTTGTGTATTTCGTTGAAGTCAGAGTCCGAGACTTCTCACCTCACGCGACCTCGAAACACCAAATCTCACGCGCCCCTCGAGCCTCACCATTGGCAGAACAGGATACGCCATCTGCGCTTCACCCGATCCAGGCCGTTTCTCAGCAAGCAGCTCCTCGCATGGCGCTCCCACCATCTTCATCGGCGACAATGCTTGTCCAGCTAGCCGCTGTGGTTTGAAGCCGAAGCCCGCCCACTCTAACCGCTATTCACGATTCCGTAGAGGCGTACCCTAAGTTTCGATTTCTTCCTACTAAGGAGCGCGCCCAGCTGCTTGTAATGCTTGGGAAACTGTTCAATCTCGGCGCTGGCTCCGGGACCGGCGCCCAGTCCTCTCCACAACCCGCATCTCACAAGCACTTCCCTCTCGAATCAGTCCAGGAAGATATCCACACACGCCATCTACTTTTCCCGGATCCCCAGGACTTGTACGAGCATCGCGTGAATCAGTTGTATCCGTTGTCAAGCGGCGCCACGACCCCAACAGGCACCCCGGCGACTGCCTTCGACTACGATGCCGACCTCGAGCTGGATGTGCGCGACGTGCGCATCATCATCATGCAGGATGCGTTGAGCTCTGTTGCGGCTTCGCTGCTCTACGACAGCCAACCCGCACCGTCCGTCCCGCCCGCATCTATGGACCGACCCTCAGCCACCGCTGGCTCCTATTCCGTCCAAGAGCCGCGCCGGACGCCTGCATCACCCCGGAAGCCAAGCATCAGTTACTCGCAACGGCCTATTGTCATCCAGCCCGGAAGCCCAAAAGTCCGACACGGCGCTTTCGATAGAAGACCCTCAGTCCACAGCCGGAGCCAAGGCTACTTGGAAAGCGAGTCCCAACGAGCGTGGCGTGAATATCGCGAGGAACTGGCCACCTTCTCCAGCTGCATATTCGGGAACTCGGAGCTCATGGGATACAAGGGGACGTCGACCAAAGTCCATGTTGTTCCCTCGGACGTGCGCCAGAACGATGCGAGCTCAATGTTTGGCGACGGGCGTGGCTCTTTGGGGCGGTCGACCATGAGAGCAAGCCGGCTCTCTCAATCGTTTTCTTCCGAAAATCCATCGCCTTTTCCCAACCCCCCCACGCCGAGTGGTCCGAACCGAGCTCAAGATCGAAAGAAGGTGCTCATCACGAGGCTCTTTCCCGTCAATCTCCCCCTTGACGAAGAAATGCCATCCTTTCAGGGAGCGTTCTCTGATGAGGCGACAAGCTATCCGTTCCCACAAAGTACCGACGACCCCAAGGTAAAGAAGAAGAAATTTCAACCGAGGCAAAAGAGGACACCCATGTACGCCGTGGCCCTCATCATTACGCTCCCCCCGTCGGCCCAGTCTGCTCCCGCTGCGGCGCGCTCTGTATTCAAAGGCCCTAGTTCCTACTCAGAGCAGGACTCGTTTCCCTCATCCTTTGGCTCTACCCGGCGTTCCGGTTGGACGTTGGTGGGCCAAGGAGGCTTCGGCGGGCCCGAATCTCTCGATTCAAGCTTTGGGAATGATATGGAAGACCACATCGACGCCATCACGCAGCACTGGGACATTATCATGCGGACCCTAAGCCATCTACAGACTGTCGTCGCTGCTACGCTGTTTGTCATGCTCCGACAGATCGATCTTGCATCTCCGGATCCGCAGCCCGGGATGTCTCTCCAGCTCGCCAAGGCGGTTGCATCTGCCTCTGCGTCTGCATCTGGCCGCCATGGCGAAGACGGCGGGCAGCGGATTAAGCGTCCAAAGACTAATGCCAAACACATCACCCTTCTCCCCAATTGTCTCCTCGACAGCCGAAAAATCAGTACCGAAATCAGCGCTGCAAAAACACGCATCATCGCGGGCATCCGGGCATCCCGCGTGACGACGGGTCAGAACCGGTGGCCGATCTGGCGGGAGGAAGCTCGATGGGTGGCCAAGTGGGCTGGAGGAAGGGAGCAGAGTTTCTTTTTCTTCAACTTGCTCACAGGCTTTCTTGCCACACACACCGACTGGCTTCAGGCATTGAGCCCTCCCGCCTATCGCCGTCGGTACCTTCAGCAGCAACAGCAAAAAGGGCTATCAGAAGAAGATATCCTCGTGCCATCTCGGACGGTGATTCTCGGCGACGACAAGATCGCAGCCCGCCGTCTGATATTTCTCCTCTCTGCCTTTTTGCCTGCTTCTCAGCAACTGTCTGGTGTCAAAGCCAACAACAGGCCAAGCACCCCGGCGTCTTTTACCGCCCTCTCTCAATCGCCCCCATCTTTTGTCGTGCCCGTTTTAAAGGAGGAATCCCTGCGGCGGAAAATCAACCGACGGACAGGGACACGAATGCCCTCACACTCTCGAAATTTGAGCTTGCAGACGCACAACCCCCGTTTAGGGGGCGTTCCTCCGCCTCTAGCACACCTTAGTATGGACAGTCGACACGAAAGACGTGCTTCAGATGCCGCTTCCATACGTACCACTCATCTCCCAGTTCGTGGGAGTGATCACGCACGCAAGATTAGCACCATCACCACAGCCAGCATCACCGCCGAAACTAGTATTCCGCACTTTTCGACCGCACACCGAGCCGAACTATTTGCCCCGGGCCGTCGTGGAAGCAGCAATAGCTTCGCCGCTAGTGATCTCAAACGTCTTACCCGGGATGATAGCCCTGGTTCGCAAAGCTCGACGACGATTGCCGAGCGGAGACAGAGTTCCAGATGGAATGTTATCACCGGCTTCTGGGGCGCACGAAGAAGAGACTCCGCAAGTCAGCCTCTCGAAAATGGGCCCAATGGAGTTTCCAACTCACCAGTAAACCCGCGACAGTCCTCCATCGCAGGTTCAACAAGGTCTATACCACCACAATTCGACTGCGCGCTGGCTGCAGGTCCCGCCACACACTCTCCGGCTTACGATGCGCAAGACGATGGAGCCATTGGACCCAAAGACCCCAGCCCGCCCCCGCGGACATCCGCCGATCCCTTGGCCGCTTCCGAGCAAGTCAGAGTTGTTCAAAAGCCCCTGAGGACTCCCGACCCATCCAGCGCATTCGAGTCACCTGTGAAAACCTCGATCAATATCGACGATGGGGTCATCGATGTGGATGTGCCATTGCCGGACTTCATGACGTCCTTCGAGAGCGCGGTGAGTTCGCCATCCAGCAGTGGCTATCTCTCCGCCTCGGGATTTGGCACAGGCCTCGACGCCTTTGAGCAGTCCTTCCGTCTAGCGGCCGATGGAGACGTACCGCTCAACGTAGCTGGTTGGCTGCAGCACTATCACCCGGATTTTGTTCTCCAGGCACTCCCTGCCCAGCAGGACAGTCTCGAGAAGATCAAGGAATCTATGCGCGCTGAGCCGACTCCGCTTCCCCATCCCTCATCATCGGCATCGCCCTCGTCTCCAAGTGAAGGCCCTACCGAGAAATGGATCGATGTCACTTCGACCATTGTGGCGGATACTACCACATTCACCATCACACGCATACGCTACCGTCGCCTAATCCGGCTCGGGTCGCAACGGCATCTCTGCGCTACTACAGACCGGCCTACCACCCACCCGCTTCCAGCCCAACCACTAGCAGCGACACCATCCACCATTTCGACGCCGGCCACGCTGATCTCCCCGTCGCCATTCGATGTACAACTCAAAGAAGAGTTCATACAGGAGCCCGTCGTTGTTTTTGACGACCTGTTGACCGAAGCTGTGGAACGTGTCATCACCTCCGCAGGCACTGAGACGACAACTAGCAAAGTTGGCTCCACCAGTTCGTCGCGGTCGACAAGCAAACGACGCGATCGAGAAAGGAGAGAGAGCGTCTCGGCCGGTTCAGGGTCAGGATCCGCGATGGGAATCAAGCCACCAGACCCGAGGAGTTCGAGCCAGAGCCAGGCTGCTCCTCACCACCTCCCTCCTCCCCAAGAAGCACAGACTCCCTCGCTTGTGCCTGTCCTCGGTGGCCCAGGGGCCATCCTAGCACAGGAAGTCCCTCGATCGCAGTGCAAGACAGTGTTGTTAGGGGCGCTAGAAGATCTTATCCAGGATGTTCTTGCGGAAAAAGAACAGGAGTTGGAAAACGGGAAAGTTGTGGCTGATAGGGAGCGGGAGAGCCCGCTACGGGAAGCTGTGCGAAACTGGATAGAGAGCGTGGATTTTGGTGGCAGTGCCAGTGGTGGTAGCGGTCGGGGGACCGGCCATGACTGAAGGGTTTGTTTTTTTCTAGATTTGTTCTTGCTTCTGGTGGGCTGTCAGGGTGCTCGGCAACTACGTCTACTCCTCTTTCCTCAGATACCCCTTTTCCCCTTCTTTTATTTAAAGGTCTACGTCTATTTTTCTCTCTCGCTCTTGGCATTTGTACTTCAACAGTGGGGGGTCAGGGTCATGTTTTCATAACTGCTACACGGAATGGGTCAAGGCTAAGTTTGTTGGTTGCATAGAGAGCGTACGGTTGTTTATCGGGTTGGGTTCAGGGGTCATAGGCTCGGAGGTTGCATTGACTGCGTTGGGGGAATTGAGGATTATTGGGTTGGGTCGGGTCAGGGGTTCACTAGCTTTACAAAATCTACAAGCAATAGTTGCTCAAATGTTTTGATTGTTGAGTGAGTGAAACGGTATTGGTAGATGGTGTAAGTTGGTTAATGCTTCGTGTATAGCTTAGTGTATGATGCGCAGGTTTTTTGAGAGGAAGGCCGAATTTGTTGAATGCCAGTTTCAAAGAGTTGCTGTTGTAAAATTTTGTTACGATTGATTTGCTTTTATGTCTCTATTTTCCGCGTTGGACTGTCGACGTCCATAAATTCTACTGTCTAAATCACATATGCCTCATTTCCTCTACCCTACATAGTCTTCAAGTCGTCTTGTGTCTATACGATATTATCTCTCAGCCATGTCTCCGTTTCTTTTCTTTTTTTTATTCTTCCTCTTCTTTTTATTTAACCCACCCCGTTTCCCATCCACTCCTTGTGCTCTACTGTTACGTTAACACCTCAGATTCAGACTTAACTAACAAGTATAAGTATACATGAATTGCGTTGAGAAAAGACATCCCCTCTGCCTATTCCGTTTCGTACGGTGGGTGGTATTAGTCCCGGCCACTTCCTTTTTAACCTACTATCTTCCTACCCCCGTAAGAGGGGCTCAACCGTCCTCGGAAAGGGGTTAAAAAGAGAACAGGGACCATGCAGGACCCTGAAATCGCAAGATACTTTTGTTTGAAGGGTGGTGGGTCGGTAGCGAGAGGGTAAACCACTCGATGCAACCTTGTTGGTGTGTGGTGTGTGTGGACGTTACTTGTTAGCGTGGGTGTTGTTGGGTGATGTCTGGGAGGAGGGTGTGGGTGAGCCAAGGTTCTTTGTCTTGTGGCTTGTACTTCAACCACGGAAACTTTTTGTAAACCTGTTCTTTATTAGAAGGGGTGGAAATGTGTGGGTTGTATCTTTGGGTTGTGGCGCCGTTGATAGTGTTGATTGCTTGATTTCTAGTGTTTTAGCGTTGTTTCCCCCAGGTCTCTTTGTTAATTTTTCTTTCTTTTATCATTCCATCCCACTTATTTCAAACAAACTTGCCTTCGGCTAACTCAACTCACTCTCGCCCCCAAAGCCAACCGGCCTGGCTAGCAGCGGCCAGCTGGCCGGCCATCTCATCCAAAACCAACCAACCAAGGCCCCGACCGACCGACCGACCGACCGGCCGGCCGACTCAACCCAGAGGGTGGCATTTCCCAAAACTAGAGGGCGGCATTTCCCAGAATTAGGCTGGCCTACCTACCATGACGGCAGACACGTAGGTCCGGCACATTGGGAGTGCGTATTGCCTGCGAGCGTGTGCGAAACCGCAGGACTCGGTAGACGGGGAGGGGAGGCCCTGCGTATTCCTCTCAAGACATTTTTCTTGGTGTTACAGAAGGGAGGTGGAAGGGCATGTAGTAGAGAGATACACACACACGGCACACAGACTCGGCACACGGCTACATTCACACATCTCCTTCGATTTAAACGGGCGGTTACCGTAGCATTCAGGGGCGTTGAGTTCCTGACGTGCCGGAGTGGCTTCATTTAGTCCACGGCAATGAACGCTGGCCGTCCCTTCTACGCAAGGTACTAGCCAGCCACTTACATAATACTGCCGTTTATAGACCCACCGTGTGGTTAGCCGTCAGAAGTGCCCGGTTTATGATACTCGGAGGCCGGTCTATGATGAAGCGCTCCGATGGCTGTTAGTTAGTTAACTACCAGACAACTCATGCAAATGGTCCATGTCTTTGCCCTGCTTTAGTTTTCTAGATTCGCCCCCATCTCCTACAAAGTATTGCTTACTTTTGTGACGAACAGCAGGGAGTGAGCGTGTGCTCCCGCTCCGGGGGGTTCCCTTGTGTCTATCCACGCCGCGCGACTGGGATTTGCGTATTCGTACTGCTTTGTCAGGGCTAGTCGTTCCATGAGTGAACGCCACATCTCTGACAAAGAGGGACGCAAATAACATACTACTGTGTATGGAGGGATGAGAACCTAGAGGCTAGCGTCAACACTTTGCTCAATGGACACACACCTTGCAACCTGGCCCTTCCGTTTTCTTTGTCGTTTCCCGCGACGAGGGTGTTACCCGAAGCCGGGCTTCCTTTCACCTGCGCGGGCGAGTTTCGGACCCGACAGACGCACAGCTTCCAAGCTACACTAGTGTATGTTTCGCAGTGGCCGTTCGAATTCGGCTGGCTTGCAGAGTTGCAGTTCCCTTGGTGTTGTTGCCAGGGGGTTCCCCACTAAATCATTCCATGAATGTTCTAGCGCTTCGACTTGCAGGGACGGCATCGAATCAAGGAGCCAACCTCTCATCCAAATCGGTTATTTCCTGCATCGTCGGCCGTGCCGATCAGGTCGCGCGAACCACTGGCGTGGTGGGTGCAGGATGGGAACAGTGGCTGTCGCTGCGTGGGCAGCGGCTAAACACCACGGTTAAACCGTGAGTGTTGAGATGCGGTGGGTGAGTCCAGGAGAGGTTGCCCCTTGGTAACGGAATCGTGAGAAGGAACGGCAAGCTGGCCGCTCAAGCTCTCTTTAGTGAGGAGCGTTTGGGTGCTGGAGGATTTAGTCGTGCGGGTCAAGTAACGGACTGAGCAAAACGCTGCCTGTGGCGCCTGCATTCCTGCGCCCTTCGAACGTGCTGAGGTGATCCGTAAGACCCGGGGTAGTCGAGACAGGACATGCTGATGAGGATGAGACTGGATGAAGAGATGAATAGGGAGAAAAAAAGAACAATTACAAGCGGAGTTGAAGGAAAGCGACACGGTCGTCTCGATCGCGGAGAAACTACCACGTTACCGGCACTCGGGGATGACTTCCGCGATGTCCAAATTGAGAGCTTACGACCGCCCACCAGAGGAATGACCTCAAGCGGGATTTACACCAGCCACAATGAGTCCTTGGAGGTTCGAAGACTTAATATATAAACAAACTAACAGTTCGTTCCTTAAGTGACGTTTTGGCGGAGGTTGCTCCGTTAAAACTCGTGCCGCCTAGCATAAGCATTTATTCCGAGTCCCATTACGAGGACAGCGCGGGGCTTAAGCCCCAGGCATCAAACAGAGCTGATGGTCAGCGCTTGATGAAGATGGCGAAGCCAAACAGACTTTTGAGTGATGGACGACAACGGTCGAAGCGGAGATCTAGTTCCTGAGTCTTCCATGCGTGCAAGCGACTGCAAGATCGAGATTGGCGATTGATCATCGGCTTGGCTCCCGTATGTCGCTAATATCAAAGTGTCTATCTAGGTAAGATGGGGGTCGAGGGCTAAGCACGCTCTCAGGCAACGATACTTCGAACGGTGGGTCACTAGACGCAGAAGGGCGGTTCTTTGAGAGAGGCAATGGTAGAGACGGCACCCCAACCCCGACCTCGCCGTATCCCGTGGTCATCGTCAAAGGATACGGAAATACATTTCAAGGGGGGCGTGTGACGGACGTCCTGATGCAGCAGCCTTCGCTGTCTCTTTTGTTGTTTCTCTTCCCCACGATTCTTGCGCCGTGATCGGGACCCTCGGATCCACGTTTGCCGACGCTACAGAGAGATATTAAAATGTAACTCTGGTAACTTCGACAGGTGGCCGACGGTTGTCTCATTGCATTGTGTAGCGACGCCGAGGCGCCATGGCGGCGTGATCTCGGCTTGCTGGCCGAGCCGGAATACCACATCTTCCCCGGAATCTGGGATCTTCGGGCAAAGGAGTCTTCGCATCATTCCTCATCGGAAGAGGTGATTGCGCGGGGGGTGCATAGGCTGAGCTCCTCGGCCGGACTGTCTCGCAACAGGCCGAAAAGGAGTTAGTTTTCTGTGTGGTCTGTCATAAGCGAGGCAGCAACAATCAAGGTCGTAAATTCGTACTCCGTGCTGCGGGCCAACAGGGTTGAAGATGAGGGGCAATTGCGATGTCAGATGGTCATCAAAGAACTCCCCAGAGCCGGATTCCCGGGTCTTGAGCTGACGAGGCTGCCAACGGCCATTCGTTTTGCAGCCTCGGCGCTTCAGCTGCGGGAGACCTGCAGCTGTGACAGGAACGCTCTGTGGCCAACAATTGGAGTGGTGTTTGTCGGAACTCGGTGTTTGTTGCATCTTGAAACACACACTCAGGGGTTTGCAGTGCAGGTCACTGAGAGCTTCGCGGCTGCTGTTTCCCCCAAGGAGCCTGCCAGCTGCCACGCAGTTGCGGTACTCCCCCCCAATGGCCTCCACGGCATTGCCGCGCCCCTGCATGCCCAGGAGCTGGGGTACCCCACTTCCAGTGGCCTCTTTCCCCATTCTGCCAACAAACGCACAAGGGATTGGACGAGATGGAAGGAGCCCGATCGTTGCGCCCGCCCGTTCGGACGCACGTCGTCCACCCATTTTTCTCGGCGAGGTACCTTCTCCGACGCTGTTTCCTTGCATCTTCCAAACAACTTCTCCCCGACTTCGGGCCCCAGTCATCTCTCAGGGGCAGTTTGCTCACTTTGGCCCAGTTTGCTTACGGACGGCTCGCCAAGCGTCCCGTCTGGGACGTGCGGACTGGCTGTACCGGGCCGGATAGATTGAGCCCCCCGCAGCGCGGCCCTCCCACTGGCCACTCGCGGACTACCCCTGATCCAGCCCCCCGCCGCAGCGCTCCCGCTCCAGCGCCCTGTGGCCACCTGCGTCCTCGGCGTCACGGCCTTATGGCGGAAGATGGATGGCCAACAACCTCCCGCGAATTCCCAAATCGAGGGATTGCGGTAGAGAGCCCCGTTCATGTTGATTTTTCCATCAACCGCCGGCCGCTTGGCCAATGTTGACAAGCCTGCCAGCACCAGCCAAGGAAGGCGCCTGGCACGCCCCATGATGCATTCCATGCGGCATTGGGGCCCGGCGCAATAAGCAGGCTTTCATCCGGCCGCAACCTGCCCAACAATGGTCCCGGCCGAGGTGCCTCCTTTGACATGCGTGGCCCCGGAACAAGCACACCATTGTACCGTTGGCTGCCTTTGACGGGGGGCGATGTTCCACGATCGACGCTCCCAAGCGCTTATTTAGATCTGTTGCCCGCCACATTTAAAGGGGACCCTGGATTCCTCGAGCTCCCCAGACCTAGACGCCTACTTTCCCCAACCAAGTTGTGACGTCGAAGAGGAAGGGAAAACATAAAAAGTACGAAAGGGGAAAAAGGAAAACAGAAGGGTATCTCGGATACAACTCAGCAACACATTCGTTGATTGTCAACAGCAACAGAGTCGGGTACTCACTCCACATTCACTGACATCACTGGCTCCGGCACATCGACCGCCACGAAACGCCAACCGAGCCGTCGGCTTCCACTAGCGCCAAACTAGCCACCTACCCACCACCCATCAGCCACCATGCGCACCTCCCACGGCGTTGCGCTCGCCCTGTCGGCCGGCCTTCAACTGGCCACCGCCGCTCCGGTCTGCACTCGGGACGACTCCGGCCTTTTCTGGGTCACCACCTACCCTGCCGAGGGTGCCGAGGCCGGTTCGGTCTATACCCTGAAGCTCACCGATTCGAAGCTCGAGCAAGTCGCCGAGTCCGATGCCTGCGGCCCTTACCCCTCCTGGCTGACCCAGGCGGGTGATGTCCTTTACTGTGTCAACGAGGCCTGGGGTGGGGATCACGGTAACCTTACGGCGCTCCAGATCGGCACCGACAACAGCCTCACGAAGCTCAGCGGCAGCGAGACCGTTGGCGGCCCCGTGAACATTGCTATCTATGGCAAAGGCAACGCCCTGGCCGTTGCGGATTAGTGAGTGACATTTACCTCGCTTTTTCCCTAAAGCCGTTGAAAGGCGCATTGTTGAGTGATCCCGTAACTGACACTGTATCCTCAGCGCTGGTGGCGGTGTCGACGCCTTTGATATTACCGACACTAAGGCCATTAAGCTGATCCACTCTGAGGTATACGCGCTGCCCGGCGATGACCTGCCCAACCCGCAGGACTCGGCGCGCCCTCACGAGGCTCTTCTTGACCCCACTGGCAATTACATCGTCCTTCCCGATCTCGGTGCCGACCGCCTCCGTGTCCTGAAGCTGGACCAGACAACCCAGAATTTTACCGATCTTGTACGTTCCGTGTTTCTCTCAGTGTACCTATAAGTAATTGTGCTGACTAACCGTGCCCATAGGCCCCCTACGAGTTCGAGCGTGGCACCGGTCCCCGCCATGGCGCCTTCTACGTCGTTGGCGATGTGACCTACTTTTACGTCGTCTGCGAGCTCTCCAACCTCCTCCAGGGCTTCAAGGTTACCTACCAAGATGAGGGCCTCAAGTTCGACCGATTCTGGAACTCCACTAGCCACGGTGATCAGGAGCCTTTGCCCACGAACATCACTGCTGCTGCTGAGCTCCACATTGCTGTAAGTTACCCGGAGTTCAAGTTCTTACGCAGGGATCACCGTTTCTCCGAATACTAACCTTGAACCCCCCCTTACAGCCCAACAGCAACTTCCTCACCCTCTCGTCCCGCTACGAGAACGCGCTCACCTACACCGTCGCCAACGGCACCGAAGTGCCCTCGGACCCCCTCATCACCTTCTCGATCGACAATGCCACTGGCGAGCTCTCTCTCGTCCAGATCGCCCCCGCTGGTGGTGCCAACCCGCGCCACTTCTCCTTCAACGCCGACGGCTCGCGCGTTGCCTCCGCCCTGCAGAACGACGGCCGCGTTGTCATCTTTGAGCGTGATATTACCACCGGCAAGATCGGGAAGGTTGTGGCTGAGGCTGATGTTGCTGGCTCGCCCAACTTCATTGGCTTCAAGCAGTAGAGGGAGGGCCGGTTAAGATAAAAATTCAGGTTCAGGCTGGGAGGAAGGAATGGCCAATAGATTCAATTATTTACTTCAGTTTTCGGTGGTTTTTTTGCGTCCTTGCCGACCGCAGCGCAGTTGAAGAGACAGGCGTTGCCGTCTTTCAACAAAATGAAAAGAAGTGAACCCATTAATATGCCGCCAATATGTTTGTGCGCCATGAGTGTCTCTCCGCAGGATGAAATGGTAAAAACGGGCCCTAAACACTCGGTGAGCACAGTGTGGAAATTCTCACTCGTAGGATTTGTCTGACTGCTTTGACCTCGAACCCCCCTGGGACTAAATATCTGAGGTGTTCTAATTCCGGGTCCTGGCTGTCCATTCCCCGGGGATTTTGTAGATTGCTTACCATCCCGTCGCTGAGTGGGAGTGGTCAGAGCTCCTCTAAGGCTGAAAGTCCCTTTTTGATTGTGACCTTACATGTACTCTTTAAATTTTTGAATCGCTAGTTATTTTCTTCACAACGCCGTAAGACTCATTAGCATCGTTAGAAATGTAATTTGGGATATAACCCAGCTACTTTCGTTGATTATTCGTTCAACGCCATCGTGGAAGAAACATTTGAAGTGGTTCTTTTCTAGACAGGGTGTGTTGCTGAGTCCATCGTTTTCAGGGGTGGAGGTACTTCGGGCCGTTGTCCTGCAGGTCGTTAATTGAAGCTTTACAAATTACCAGGCAGGAAGGACCTGGCATGATAAAAACTGTCTTTCGGGACTTTCAAATGATTTTTTTCTTCTTCTTTTCGTGCGCACAGAAACGGACTTTCCCGTCTTATGTGGCTGCTAACGCCGGTAGTTGATACACCGGCCACCCTAAGGAGCAATATCAACCACGGATCACCGCAGCACTTTGCGTTGTGATGTGACCTGCAGCCCGCAGCCTGCAGCTCGCAACGTCGCCCAGTCAAGCCAGTGCGTTCGTCTCCGCACGCAGGAAATCGGGGGCGAAAATGGGGGATAGCGTGTTGTCCGAAACGGGAAAGGAAGAAGAGGCAAATGGGACGGAAATGGCATTCGGAACTGAGAAAGTAACGAAAACGGAGATCTTCAAGAGGCAAAAATAGGTCGATCTGTTCGTGCCCCGAACTGCTTGCCTTCCCCACATTTTTCCGTGTCTGCCGGGCTACTGTGCGACGACAGAGGGGGGACGAACTCGTGCTTGTCATGCTTGTCTACACTATACTAGACGTACATGTAGGTAACTGTCTTTCTGGGACAAGTGTCTCTATCGTGGACCTTGGTGGTTTTTTTTTTTCTTTGTTTTGTGTATTTTCCCCGGGCACCATCCGATTGTAGTTTGACGCTAACGGCACGTGGAGATCCAATCTTTTGACTTGCGTCTCACCGTCCGCGCCCGTTCGTCTGATCTTGCCCAACCCTGGGCTATTCTCTACCTCAAGGTGTTAAGCTTTCTGTTACCATTTCATCCGGGTCGGCTTCGCTTGGCTCCCCGTTTTCGAACGATGCCAACCTTCTTGTCGTTGAGATTGCAGGGAGTCATCCCTCTTACTATCGTCTTCTCTAGGGAGTGTGATATCGAGTAGAGATCGCGAACGGGCGTAGATGGAATTGGAATTTGTCTGGGGGGTGGCCAGAACCTGCAGGATGTATCGAAAGCTTTTAATCTGCGACCGGGAGAGTCTCCCACCCCAACTTCCCACCCCAACTGTCAGAGCTGTACGGTGTAAATCAAAGGAACTGGCGACTTTGTGACCGTACCCCACGGCCCATGCGCTCGTGTTCGGGGACGGGAGGATGATTTGGAAGGGCCTGACCGCACTCGAAGGGAATGGATTCATGGAACCACTCCTCTTCCTTCTTTTCTTCTTCTCCCCCCTTCTTTACGCTTGGCCCACCTCCCCGATCCCCGATGAGGTTAATCCAAGTGAGAGGGCGCAGGGTCGCAAAGGCCGCTTGCCAGGGGAGGGCGTGGAGGATCGAAGGTAGCACGATCTGGTGGTCGCCGTCAACACTACACTAGTAGAACATGGTAATGTAGGCCGGGAATGCTCGGCGTTAGCGGCGAGGACCCGGGGCTAGTTCTCATGATGGGTCACCAGACTCAGTTCCCCAAAGCTTCCATGATTCGTCTCTACCAAGTTAAGGTGATTGGCATTCTGGTCCCTTGTCGATCCTGTCTCGCTGTATGTTACGCGGGAATCCGAATCGCGACTGATGTTTCCTAGGCGGCTCCGATTCAGGCCGGAAGCATCGACCTGAACTCTCAGAACCTGGCTGTTGAACCGATTCCGCTCCCCAAAGCGTTCCGCGTTGTCATTGGCATTTTTGTGCGCGCCAAGGAGCAAGGCCAAAAGGAGAAAGGCCGGCTAGTTTGGGCCATCCCAGCTGGACGCCATAGAATTATGGGTTAGTAGGCAAGCTACTGTAACGGCGAACTCCGATTTGGCCAGTAGTGTATTGCATGGCATCCGTTGGACCGTGGGGGTTTTTGACACCAGAGTGTACACTTTGGAGTGTAGACGAGCCCATGTCCGCGAACGATGTGAGCTGGACACATACGGGGTACGGCAGCTCTCTGCTTTTCCCCCAGTGTAGGTCTTGGGGATCCACGCACGGACGAGACGGCGAACGGAGAGGGGGATTCCTGCGACAAGGAATGTCTCGTCTTACATACACGTGTATGGAGAAGTGTCCACGCGGCGAGTTGACCATCAACGCGGATCCCGGCGGGGCTTAGGACACCTGGGGGCACTGGTGGACCTCGTGAGCTCAAGCAAGGGAACGAGCTCGGCGGAAGCTCTGCACGTACGACACCACCAGCTGGATCTGCTGCTTTTGGACAAGGAAAACGGCGTGTTACTGGGCCCGTGCCGGGGTCTCAAAGTAGATACTCTTGGATACACAGTAGGTTTATCTCCAGATATCCTGGCTAGTGTATTTTTACGGATTGGACCCCGTAAGATCTTGATATCAGGACGTCACCCCACTTCCCGGCTGAGGAAGTGATGAACGCGGCCCGCAAAGAATGATAATCCCGGGGGGCGGGGCATCTCCAACATGTGTGGCCGACAGGGAGTCTGGTATGAAAATCCTGCAGCATATGGCAGCATCACAGCGGTCGGCTGCTCTGGGCAATTTGAATGAAGCCTTGCTACTGGACTGTTTCCCAAAGTGGTGCGAGCAACACGAATGTGTTACTGACTAGTGTATGAAATAGAAGCCGGGAACATGAGGGGTTGCGGGACCAGAAACTCGGGTTAATTCATAGCGGTTGTTGTACGGCGGAGCACCGCGGCTTTGTTTGTAGGGGACTTTCTGGAGGCTGTGAACCTCTATGCCTTAGTTCTCTACGTCAGGCTTTTCGGGGACAAGCAGGACGCGGGGATAGAAGAGAATCGAGAAACACGCCGATGAGGGCCGGCGCAAACGGAGCCCTGTTGAGTCGCGGCTGGCACCTCAGAACTGGCACTATTGTGCAATGGCAGCGGGCAGCGTTGCGGGGTTCTGGATGACAAGACAAGGGGTCGGTTTATTCTTGTCCTTGGTGAAAAGGAGCCGCATAGCAAGCTGACTGCAGCTGCTCACAAGAACAGCTTGGAAGAGCGCTGGTTCGTTGAGAAACCGTCCGCAATATCAATATGCGGGTCAGTGAGCGAGGTCTAGACGGTCAAGACATCGCAGTGACAATGGGGGCGGGTGTCGATTAATTAATATCTCGTAGTGGGTTCAATAGTCCCATGACCGTCAGGCTCCCCAGAGGCTGCGCGCGCGGGACGAGGCCAGACGCCGAAGGATCCCAGACAGTCGGGTTGCCGAGAGGGGTGTTGAACGGGAGGTCGCGAGTATTGTAGCATTTCTCCGTAAGTGGCGAGCCTGGTGTGGGGTGAACGCGGGAGGATGAAAACCGAGGACGGGTTGGCTCGGTTGGACACGGTTACGTTCATGAGCCTACATGTGCCTGTACATACGGAGGACTCGCTCTCGTCCCTCTATGTTGAGTTGAGACGGAGAGTTGATGATACAGAGGGCCCGGACGTATCTTGTCCGATTCCAAAATCCGGCCCAACGTGAAACGGAGGTGCCTCCTATGAATGGTTAACAACGGACTCGCTTTATTAGTGCCGACGGTTTCGTTTGGGTCTTTTGGCTTGGGAGGCAATTTTGCGCAGGCGTTCTGTTACCACTTACCAGGGAACTAATCGGACCGACCGCCGTCCTCGACATGTCCCCGTTTGAAGTCACTTTCGTCAAGCCACTCACTGGGATGCAGGTCAGCCACACTTCGCGCGTCTGATCGAACGGACCCAGCTGGCTGCACCGTTTCTGCAAGCCACAGCTCGAAGTGGTGGTTCTCATTTCGAACTGCCCAGGGGTGGGGCCGAGGTGAACCATCTTGACAGGTCCGTGCCCACAAGGTTGTGATTTCGGTTCCGTGAAAGAGCGAGCTGTCGGCGTAGGATGGAGATTCTTGGAAAGAACACACTGTCGTTGTCATCGGCGCAAAACTTGGCGACCGTAACGAGTGTAGTGTGTGGCAAGGGCCCCTCTCCCCTCTGTTGTCGTTCCGTTGCTGAACTCCCCACGTCGGCTCCAGAATACTGTCTGTTGCCTGGAAGAGGACGCCCGCTGGCTTGAAGCAGCTTGCTCACGACGGTGGCGATACTCGAGTGGACCGCAGAGTTCATGAGACTCGCTGTGTTGCCGAAAATAGAGAGGGCGAGTCCTTTGGCGCGTGGATGCGGTTTGCAACTGCACGTCCTGTGCAGATTCGGGAACCCGTTAATCTTCACATGACTCTCACAGCACGAATCGTCGTCCTTGGTGGCAGCAATGACGGCAGCGGCAGCGGCAGCGGCAGGAAGCGAGATGGGCATGATGCCTCGCGCCCGTGCGGTTCGGGATGTCGTGAACATGGCCCATGGCGGACATGGGCGGTCTGCGTGGTCGCCAGGTGGGTGGCATTGGTGGGCGCAGGGTCGTTGATCCACCACCTGCCGGTGTGATGATCTTTGGCCGCGATGGGAGACACAGGACGCCCAATGTGGGTTTGGGAATGCTTCTCGAAGCCTTCTTCTCCTTCCACCATGGACCCTTTTTGGTCAACCGTGCGGAGGCTCCGGGTATGGGGCTGACGTGGTTCGACAGCCAAGAGATTGTGAAGAACAACGCTGGCAGCTGCCGAATTTATGCTAAATTGAGCGCTGCAGGGATTGGACCGAAGTCGTAGGGACGTGCGGTCTCTAATGAGGGTCGTCGAGAGTTTTTGTCGACGGGACCCTTCCTTCTTATTTTTTCCCCTCGTTGTTTCGGAGAATAATTTTAGGTCTTGGTGCTTTACACGACTCCCCATAAGTGAGCCTCAAGGCTCTGGCCCGCGGCGGGCCGAGAAGTAAAAAAAAAAAAAAAATGAAATAAAAAATAGGTTGACTCGCTCTAACCGGCGATGTGGGACATGACGGTGTACGAAGTAATTGACCCAGAATATTGGGGATGGCTTAACCGAGGCGTGAGGAAATAGGTCCCGGGGAGAAACATAGTAAAAATCAACTCGGCGGAAGAGGAGTGCTTGTGCTGCTTAACCTTTGGGTCTCCTTTTTTCGGTGTGAGCAGGCCCGGGATGTTCAGGGACTAACTACATACCTGATTTGGCAGAAAGCTCGACTGTTTGCTCTGTGGTTGTCCCTTCCGTGCATCAGGGAAGGTTTCCCAGGCAAGCAGGGAGGTGAGGGCCGCGGGTTCCTTCGATGGACGCTGTGGAGATGGAAGGAAGGCGCGCATGGCGAGCGACTGCCGCTCGTCAGGGAGCACAGATTCCAATCTCGAAGTGAGAGCCCGTCTCTTCCATTTCTTCTCCTCGTCCTCCATCAGAAGCCCGCGATTCCGTAACCTGGCAACCTTGAATGATGATGACGGGCCAACGAACGTGTGTCCAAACATCCTTTTAAGAAATTCTTTGTTTGAGCGGCACCATTAGCGGCGACCAACCTCGCTTCAATATGATTCTGTTTCCGACCTCAGACGGGCTCGAATTTGAGCCAGCACCGTTGTTGTGTTCCAGTGTCCCGGCATTCGCGTCAAAGCGTGCGTTGCAGGCCCTGGTTCACGGGAGGGCCTGAATGTCATGACTGGAGGATGAGACTCTGGAGTCAACCGGAGATGTGCAGGCTCGAGGCCATCTCGCCCACCAGTGATCGCGGAGAATGTCTGGAACTGGATACCCCACCCCCGCGTTTTCTGGTTGGCATGGCGTCCTTCATTTGCTTCTCCTCCACACCAACCCAGATTTGTCGACCCGCCATTTCGCAGGCTCGTGCTGGTCATCGTGGGATGCCGTGGGCGTCGTTGGCGCGCGGGTTCCATGTTTCCGTGAACCGCTCCTCACGAGGTGGTCCGTCGAAACCTGAATCAAGAAAAAAAAAAGAGCCCCGAGGGGTCCCTCGGAAGCCGCTGAGAAGGACCACGTCCGCAGTCGCACGCTAGCCGCTCAGCTTGGCTGCTTGGGTACGTCGGAACAGGGCGAACCCCAAGAAGAAGAGAGCGACATTTTAACGCACCCCACATCGTGTCTTCTTTCGAACAATGGATGCAACGCCGACCAGGGTCCTCGACCCATGAGTGTGTTCGGCCCCCTCACCCCCAGTCGGCACTAGCGCAGATTACCCCTGCTCCCCGCCGTCCCGCCTCCGTTACGGTGAACTTTTTGCGCAGTGGTCGAACAGCGAGATGTCCCACTCAACTCAGGACGTGCCAGGCAAGCAAGCGTCCCCGCAAAAGGACGACAGCGGTCAGTCCCGGTGCTCGCACAGTCCAAGAACTGGACTTGACACCAGTTAAACCCTGGTTTAGCTGCGCCGGGAGGTGACGAGGTGTCCCCGGGAAGTGCGAGAGATCGGTTCTGCACAGGGCGTTGTGTGGTCTGCGAGGAAAGGACGGAGCTCTGCTTTTCTGCCCCTGATTGGAAAACCCCAGCCCCATCCCGGCAAAGGCTGGCCCCGTGCGGGACGAGAGACATATGAATCCTCCACCTTCCGGTCCCAACATCCCGGAGAAGCCTTCCACCTCCCCCAACCGCGCAATCCGTTCCGAACCGACGCATCCAGCGCACGCCCAACCAGCAGCAACTCACTCGGTACTGGATTTTCCGGCCCAGTTGCGAGCAGCACGATAATGCGAGTTCGACTACGAACCACAGGTCCAAGTGTTTCCGGTGTGTAGGGCGTCTGAATCGCCGTGTATTTGGAGTTGGAGAGCAGCCGCCGTTCCCGGCCGGTTGTCACCGATTGGAGAGCGCACAAAGCCCCGGAAACAACACCCAGCAGGCCGCGCCCGTGTCCCCCCAGCGCCGGGTGACTTGGGGCCTTTTGAAACTCTACCACGGCGTCGCAATCCGGGCAGTTCAGCATGTCGCCGTCTTCCAACGGCGACTCGCCGCACTCGGTCACAGCTACCATGACTACGGCCACCAGCGCCACCGTCGTGCGGCAGTATCCGATGCCCAGCCGCGACTTCACCGTTGATATCCCTCCACCACAGCTTCCCACCGCACCCAATGGCGCCAACTCACTCAAATCCCCAAATTCGTTGAAGGCAGCAGCGGCGGCGGCGGCGGCGGCGGGCCGGGCCCCGAATTTCAGCCGGGAAGGTATTCTCGGATCGGCGCAAAAGGCCCGGAACTTATCACAGTCGTCGGATAACCGACCGGAGGCCGTCTTGAATGGCATCCCCAAATCTGTGAGCGAGGAGAGCATTAATCCATTGAAGAGGAGAAACACAGACGCCGCGGTGGACTACCCAAGGCGAAGGGCAACTATTGCTGTAGGTCGAATCACCACCAACTCAGCTCGATCTCTCTTTTCTTCTTCTCCCCCCCGGACACCCCGTTCCGTCTTTTCCCCTTTTCCTTCTATGAGTTCTTCGGCGGGACCGACTAACTCTTGCTGGCAGTGTGAGGTATGCCGCTCGAGAAAATCCCGATGCGACGGCACAAAACCGAAGTGCAAGCTCTGCACAGAGCTCGGAGCGGAATGCATTTACCGGGAACCCGGCATCAAGCTTGATGCCGGGGACAAGCTCATCCTCGAACGCCTGAACCGAATCGAGAACTTGCTCCAGATGAACATGGTCGGACAGGGCAATGGTATCAACCTGTCCCACGGTGACTCGCCAAATATGAGCAACGGCACAGCCCTCAGCGGCGACAACCTCATGGTGCGCGACGCGAACAATAATTTTGTCTCCATCATCCCCAGTGGCGGGCTGGGCACCTGGTCCGCAACGGCCACTAACATTTCAACGATGCCAAAGGTTCATACGAATGCGGCGCTGCATCTGCTCCAATGGCCCCTCATTCGAGACCTGGTTTCCCGCCCTTACGACCCTCAAATCCTCCTCCAGCTCGAGATGGCCCGCGAACCGCTACACTCGCTCGCCAAGACGCCCTGCGTGGACCTGTCCAACACGAACGCCTACATCGAAGCCTACTTTGACCGAGTCAATATCTGGTACGCCTGCGTCAACCCGTACACGTGGCGAAGTCACTACAGGATCGCCCTCTCCAACGGCTTTCGAGAAGGTCCTGAAAGCTGCATTGTGCTCCTAGTCCTGTCTCTTGGTCAAGCGAGTTTGCGGGGGAGCATATCGAGGATCGTCCCCCACGAAGACCCGCCAGGTCTGCAGTACTTCACGGCCGCCTGGTCCTTGCTTCCTGGGATGATGACCTCCAACAGCGTGCTAGCCGCCCAATGCCACCTTCTCGCCGCCGCCTATCTTTTCTACTTGGTCCGACCCCTGGAAGCCTGGAATTTACTTTGTACCACGAGTACAAAGTTGCAACTGCTGCTCATGACGCCAAACCGTGTCCCCGCGGATCAAAGAGAGCTAATCGAGAGGATCTACTGGAACTCGCTTCTTTTTGAAAGCGATCTGCTGGCCGAATTGGACTTACCTCACTCTGGTGTGGTCGCTTTCGAAGAGAACGTCGGTCTACCCTGTGGGTTCGAGGGCGACGAGCAAGAGGCGGTCGGACGCGACGAGCTGTGGTATTTCCTGGCCGAGGTGGCGCTGCGGAGGCTCCTAAATCGTGTTAGCCAACTCATCTACTCCAAGGATTCCATGGCCTCGACCACCAGTCTCGAACCAGTCGTCGCAGAACTGGACTTCCAGTTAACGCAGTGGTACGAAAGCCTCCCAGTGCCCCTCCAGTTTCCTTTTACGCGGACCATGCTCCCGGATCCTGTACAAACGGTGTTGCGTCTGCGGTTCTTCGCTTGTCGAACCATCATTTATCGACCCTACATTCTCGCGGTGCTGGACAACGAGCAGGCGATCTTGGACCCCGCGGTACGGGACAGCTGTACCAAGTGTCTTGAAGCCTCCGTCCGGCAATTAGAGCACATAACTGCGCAGTAAGTCTTTAGCCCCCCCTCATTGGCCCAGGCCCCTCCCCCAATCTAACCAATCGGCCGTAGTCACGCCGGACACATGCCATATCTCTGGCAGGGCGCTCTCTCCATTGTGTCGCAAACGCTGCTTGTGATGGGCGCGACGATGTCGCCATCATTGTCTGCGATTCTCTGGAGTCTCGTTCCTCACCGCGAAGCCATTGACCAAATCATCAATGATGTTGTCATGGAGATTGAGCGTTATGCCGTTCTCTCGCCGAGTCTCAGTCTGTCCGCTGAGATAATCAAGGAAGCTGAAGTCCGCCGCCGGACCTTCCTGAGCGGTTGAGCCCACAAACGACACTCGCCTCACCAGGTGGCCGGACACCTAATTCCGCCCAGCTCAGCTTCAACGACGCTAATGGCCGTTCGGGGAAAGCAGAGATTTCTCTACCCCTCAAGCACGCCGATTCAAATATCCCCCCCACTTCAGATTTCTGAACGATGACTGGCCTTTTTCTCTCCGCCCGAGATGGGAATGAGAGCGATTGCACAACTGGTCGTTTTGCTCGGAACTGGCCGTTTCTATCTGCCAACTCTAGACGGCAACCCTACCCGTTCTTGTCGATGAAAGCGGATGCAAGGGTATCGATCCCGCCACTTAGCGAGACTAAGGCAGGTTTTGGTGCATCGGTCACGCCGCCGAAAAAACGACATTGAACGATCTCCTACTCTAACACTAGAGTTGTCCCTGTTTCTTGGAATCAGGGACAAGATACTTAGGGAGGCGTGGTACACCGCTACCATAGACTTCCATGAGATCTGCAACCTCGACCTGGGGTAACACATTGCGACTCTTTTCCTGGAGGCGAGCGAGTCAAAGTCGGCCGTCGAACTTGGGCGAGGCTGCGGCGTGACCTGGGGTCCGGATACCCCGGCCCGAAGTGCCGTTTCGCCATTTCCCCATCTCCGCTCCCCGCATTCTTTTCTTCATTCCCGGGCGCGACCGGATGATGGCACCGGAATTTTTTTTCTTTACACCTTGGTCCCCCTGGCCAAGTTTTCCTCAACGTCACGGACGGTTACTGGAGGGGGTGGAAACTGGCAGGCAAATACACTTACCACCGTTTGGCGTTGGGATGGAATACCTCTCTCTTTGGGGTAGCCGTGTGGTTTTGGATTTCCATGGATATACTTTTTTCTTTGGCATTTTGTCTTATTTGGTGGATATATCCCCGGGGGTGAGCATGAAATAAGTAAAGGGTTGGAGAAATCAAACAGTGATGGTTATCGGAGCAAAAATCCCTGGCTCTCAAGAGCGCCGTTTCACCATCGAGTTCACTTGATCGCCTGATTTGGAGCTAAGAGAAAACACGATTTCAATCGTCAATCATCCGTGTTGCACTCGGCCCTATCATCTATGCATGAAAACCTGTATGACCCCCATCAACGGCATTTGACCCCTATTTTTATCGTCCTGTGGAATTCCATGCATTCTTCCTTTTATCTTCCCTCCTCTGCCGTGCCGATCACTTCGGCGACCCACTACCACCGTGCGCTGCGATGTTCTTGCTTGCCTTTTTGCGGGGTGTGGGTGATCGCGTTCTTTGCAGTTTCTTCTCTTCGGCCGCCGTTCCAGAAGGAATGGAAGAAGCCATCGCGCAGCAGATATGTGCCTGGCACCAATCCCCCCCCCTTCCCGCAGAGGGAAATGGGAAAAAGTTACCCTCCCTTGATTTCCCCTCTTTTCTTCTCCCGCCCCCTTGCTTTTACCCCTAGTCCCCCTCCCCTTCCTTCACGCTTCCCATTTCGCCGGGCCCGTCTTCCGAAGCCACATGCAAGGCCACACCATAACGTTATGTCATTGAACCTTGAATCGTGACCGATTGGGGATTGCGTATGGGAAAGGATCAATCGGGGCTGAATCTTCAACCGGTTTAATTAGAAAGGGGTATTGTATTCGCCGGTGTTTTGTAGTACCTCTGCTTGGACTTCGCAGCTTTGTCTTGCCTACTTTGTTTCTCGGCGCCTGCATTCCTCCACTAGGGTACATTCCCGGACAACCTGCGGGGTTGGATCACCACAAGCGCCAGGGGCACGACGTCGTTTTCAACGGTTACGATACTTCACCAACCATCCCACGTATTTGCTCGACCCTCCTACGTGTAGAATACCTAGCTTGGAAAAAGCACCGGCTTCAGGACGAGCTGACTTCCAGATGCAGAATTTCAGACCGATACGTTTTGTCGTTGCTAGGTACGTAGCAGGGAAAGGGGGGCCTTCGAAGCAGACGATGGAGCACATCCCTGAGCTGATGAAGATGCGTGTAAGCATGCAATCGGGGGGTGGGTGGATTTGCGGGGGAGTTTGCGGGGGAGTTCGCGAGAACTGAGGCCGAGGAAGAGGATTGTTAGTGCGTCACCCCTTGCTCTCAGCAATGGTATGAGCTTGCAAGTAGAATACAGATAACTATGCAATACACAAACTGCAGTTAGGTTATGCCTGAAAAATGATCGGACAAGGCGGCCGATTTCTTAGTCTTCTGCCGGGGACCAACCTTGATTAACTGCTTTAGCTGCGTCTTGGCAGGCGAGATGGGCCGCGATTTATCATGGTGGCTTTTTTGAGGCTCACAGGATGTGGTCGAAGCGAGCAGCGCGATGCTACAGAGGCTTTCTCACAGCGTCTGAGCAGCAGCATAAGCGCGCAGGTTCTATTTCGAACTAGAATTCTTTTAGGGGGGGTTATGTGCAGGATCGGATCGGGCGGCTGACCCGCTGCTTTTCGGGCGAACACGCCGTCCTCCTTCATTGAGGGAGAAAAGGGAAGCTAGAAAATGAGAAGGAGTTCCGAGGTAGAGACTAGACCCCTTTAGATAACGGTACGACTCAAAGAGACTAATGCTGCAGGCGTATCGGTGGTGTGATTCGGAAGCAGTTTCTCGCGCGGTGGATGAAGACAAGACGGAGGGTTTGAGAAAACGGTGCGAAGCGCCAAGACATACGGATACACGGTGGACGAAAGAGAAGTCTTTCTATTGCTGTTACTGTTTGTCCGTGTTGGCTTGGCTGCAATTTCTGAAAGAAGTCCCCAATGGAGTTGTATACCCGGCACACTTTTCATAGACTGGACTGGGATCGCGAATCGGACCGAGCCTGCAATGCAAGCCTGCGATGTTAGGGGCCCGCCTATAGGACATAGTTGTAATTTCTCGTTTCCACTGGGCCAGTGCTGTAACCCCCCACACGCATTTACTTGGGTAACGCTCGCATTGATTTTTGGTATTGCGCGGGCATTCCAAGTTTGATGCCCCTTCTGGAAGAAGTTTCCCGCTGGTATCCAGATTCCGGCGACCCAACGTTGTTGCTTCGGCGATGTCACTCATTCCCAGTGCACATTCACGTCGTGGAGACCGGTACCGGTGGGTTTGACCGCCGTCAACATCATCGAAGCCTTCCCGAGCGAAATTTCCGACGGGCACAATATAGGGAAGATCATATGGAGAAATCAACGATTGCTATGTCCTCAAGTTGCACGGCATGAAGTTACCGCATGGTCCAGTTGTTTCCCGTGGATGTTTCCCGTGGATTTGCCTGGGGAGCCCGGCTTCATATTCGCCTTGGCGTGCAGTGTCAACTGACTTGCCGAACTTCATAGCGGCGCTGGAATATACCCCGGCATCATAGAGGAGCCGGTTCGCTCGCCGGCAGGCAGATCAGAGCTGCTTCTAGGAGGTATCTGGGTATCTGGGATGTTGGCACCCGAGGGCTTCCTCGGCAATTCTGGGCAAGCGGGGCGGCTCGATGGGTTGCTTGTAAGGGGAGGGGTTCTGATGGCCGGAAGCTCCGGACCTTACGCTCACCTTGCCGACTTTTATTCCGCCGTAGTTCGGGCAACCCCCGCCTGCCGGCCGGTCGTCTCCGAGTTGAGGACCTGATTGACGGCGCCGCACCGGCCGTTGATGAGTGGGTCATCCCGTCTTTTGTTCCCGCATCGGCGGCTGTGTGGAGAACTTCATTGTGGGACACAGAATAACCTCTATATTTGGGTCTTCGGTTTACTCAATCTGTTTTGTTGGTTATCTCCTAGAGTTCCTATCATGTCCCCTCTTCTATGGTTTTTATTCTTTCCTTTGACTGGGTCTTGTTGTTCTCCTAGTGGTGTCCCGCTGGTGACAAAGGCGAGGGATGTGACCCGCGGGTTGGGCCGTCCTTGCCGTCGAAACCGCTCGTCCCGTCCGATGCGGAGCCGAGTCGGCTGGGCCCGATGCGGGGAAAGGGTGTTCGTGCCCGGGTGGGGCTACCACTTGCCCGCCGGTCAGAGGAAAATTTTCTCACTCGCCCGATTATGATGTTCCGCGGAAGGCGGGACTGCCGCCATCGGGAGATATTTGCAAAGAACCCCCCAAAGTCGGAAGGGACGGTTGGCTGGGTTTAGCGGTTTCCCGGAGGTGTGGGCGAAGGTGGGTGTGGTCTTGCTCTGAAAAAAACACGTGATATATCACACTGCGGACAGCTCTTTCACCACTGCCAAATTCGATTTGGCCTGCCGCTGGCTGGCGTTAGCTGCGTCGTGGACCAGTGGGAGGTTTTGCTCTACATCCACCGTCGGGTGAGGGGACGGGAAAAGCATGGTGGGAGCCCAAGATCTTCGTCCCTCTCTCTCACCGGAATGGTGAGCACAGTCTCGCGCTCAAAGATCGTAGCTTCTCAGCGGGCGACTGACGGGCCTCGCTGGGCTCACGGGGCTGGTGGAGCTCAACGCTCAAGGGGTTTAGGGCGTCCCTGGGCACCCCCGCGATCGCGCATCTCGTCCCATTTGGTCTCATGTTCGCCCCTCACCTGAGTCTCAACCCCCGCAACGCACCGCATTCATCCATCACCCCTCTCGTCTCGTCTTGTCTCCCGGTTCCTCTTTTTCTCTCTTGCCAGCGTTCGCCCTCCGCATCCAGACCGCTCTCTGTCTTCTCTCGACGGCACCCAAAGCATCCACCAGCTTTTGGCACACAACCTGGGGCCTCGTTGGGCTTTTATCAGGCACACGCACGGGATTTGGGACCAACCAGGGTGTCGTCTGCGTCGAGGTGAGCCGTGTTGTGCTGGCACTGCACGTCGGGCCTCCGCGATTGGGGCAGCGTCCGTGGACCCGCCTTCGGCCAGCCAACCACGCGCAACCAGCTGGCTGAACCCTTCAATCCTCCATCCCAGGAGCCCAGGCACACAAGCAGGGCGTCGCTTTTTCTCACCGCGGCTGCCCGACGAGTCGACGACACAGCCAACCCGGCGACTCGGGAACCTCACAACCCAGCCAGCAACCTAGCAACCCAGCGCAGCGACCATCGACGGCCGCTGCCTCACTCGAATCGAATGCTGCTGCTGCCCACGCGGGGCTGAACAGGCAATCTGAAGCGACGGGACGAATGGCCGACGTCGAACAACAGCAGGGCGGGCCCAGCATCTCGCGACGGAAGTCGAATGCCGGCAAATTGAAGGTACCGGCCGCGAATGATTGGTCACGGAAGGGCGAGCCACGCTCTCGTGCTTCGCCTCGCCAGCAACGCCATGGAGATATAGACATTGACCATGTCGAGTCGTCCGACGACGATGCCCCCGACGATAAACCGTCGCCGAGGAAGCCACGACGTCGACTTCGTCCTCAACTTCGCCCAAAAACCCCGGACTCTTCGGCTTCCGACTCAGCCTCCTCAGACATCGCGACCCCGGCCAAAGCCCCACTGCGGTCGATGAAGTCACGTTCCAAGAGCAGGACGCGGGTGCCCAACGGGACCGTGCCCGCTGTGGACACCACGCCCGCCCATCGGCGCCCAACTTACATCCTCGAGAAAAATAGCGATGACTACGACGACGACGACGACGATGATGACAATGGCCCCCCTCCCTCCGGTCCCTCGCGGCCCGTGAGTCGCCAAACTATCGCCCGCCGCGCACCGAGCGTCCGATCCACTCACCCCTATCGCTCCACGCCCGAATCTCGCCGTTCGCCGAGAACTTCCGTATCCGATTCCGAAGACGATACCGGCGTTACTACAGACTCTGCCTCAGAGGAGGTCATCATTCACAACCCCAAGCACCTCCCACCCGCTCCGATGGCCCCTAGCGTTCCGAGTGTGCCTCCCGCCGGTGGCATCCACGATTCTTTGCAGGAAAGGCTCAGTCGACGCCCCGAGATGGTGTATGAGGAGACTGACGCGGACGGACTCTCGAGATACGCGCCGTCCGCTAGACATCGGTCGCTGTCCCGCCCGGCCTCCAGCAGGAATGACCGTTACCGGCGGCCCCGGGACGTCACTATTTCTGGACCGCCGAGCCTCGACGAAAGACGGCGGTCTCGGTCGAGGTCAAAGAGGTAAAGCTCGCAATCGATACCCTTGGCCCAACCTTGCTGACAGATATTGGTTCTAGTGTACGACCCTCAAGGAGGCATTATGAATCGGACGTCTACGTCCCTTCTCGGCCAACTTCGTCCTTCAAGCGGCCACAGGCAGCCTCGGCTTACAGCCTGGAATCGTCCGCAAAGCGGTCCGCTTTCTTTGGCGCTGGCGACTATACTGCGCCTCTCACTCGTCCAGCGCACTTTGACAAGCCAGCTGAGCGGTCAGTACTTGCTGTCCCGTAAATGGCCTTACCCCGTCTCGCATTTTCTGACTCCGTGGCTTTAGAACCACCGTGTGCGTGCTCTGCAGGGATGACAATACCCCCGTGAGCACGACCGTGAAACTGAAATGCTGTCATCGCATGTGCCATTCGTGTATCCGCAAGGTGTTTCAGCTCTCGCTTGATGACCCGCAACAAAACATGCCGCCACGGTGCTGTACCACCGACAATATCCCCATCTCGGCTGTTGAGAACCTATTTGACCCGGCGTTCAAGAAAGAATGGAATCAGAAGTACAAGGAGTATGCCAGCAGCCGCCGCCTCCTGTGCCCGACCCGGCGCTGCGGTGAGCCGATTCCGCGGGAAAGCATGCGCAGTGAGAACGGACGATGGCAGGGCCGGTGTAGCCGCTGCCGGGCCAAGGTTTGTGTGGCCTGCAAAGGTCTGTGGCACAACCAGTCCAAGTGCCCGAAGAAGGCCGGGAACCCGGTGCCCGAACCGGTTGTCGAACAGGCGAAGAGGGAGTCCTGGCAACGCTGCTTCCGCTGCCCGAGAACAGTGGAAATCAAGAATGGCCAGAATCATGTAGCATGGTGAGTCACCAACCCATGACGTGATCGGACGGGATGGGCCTGAGGCATATTGCTAACACGACCTTTTTTTTCCTCTTTGTCCAGCCCTTGCGGTGCTGAGTTCTGTGCCATATGCAGATCCAAGTGGAAGTCATGTGCCTGTCCTTGGGGCAAAGAGGACCCATTTGAAGAGGCTGAGACAGCGGCTTCACGAGCGAACCCTTTCGCGGCTCGGGCACACTCTCCACATGACTTCCGGTCGGAGTTTTCTCCACCACAAGGGGGGCATTTGGTGCGACCCCGGCCGTCTAGCTACGAGGAAGATGCCCATCTTCGCCGGTACCAAGAACACCGGGAGGGCCATTTGACCCGCAGGATGCATTCGTTTGACGACTTTGACAATCACCACGGAGGACTGGCTGGGTTTGATCGGAGACGGGAAGAGTATGACTTCGACGAGGAACCGGATCCGCGTGAGCGTCGCCAGCGTCTGGAAGCCCGCCCGTACAGTGCAGCGTTCACTGAAGACGAATACCACCGCCGGGCAGCAACAGTTGTGGCTCCGTCGCCCCCCCAAGCCCATCTAGCAAGCGCCCCACAACCCCCTCGTTCCGCATTTGAACCGCCATCGCGACCTGCATTCGAGCGCTCGATGACCGGGTTCGAATACGGTACCGCGCTGCCCCGAGCAAGAGAGCCTCGTTATGCTTCCCCTGAGAGATTTGAGTATCCGACGGAGAACTACACGCCCGAAAGACGACGTCCTCACTCCCCCGACGCCTGGCAATCTTTCCCGCAGGAACGCCGAGCCCGATCCCGCGATAGACGCCACACGTTCCCGTCGGAGTCGCGACCAACATCACCTGACTGGCAGATGCCAACCCGGTACCCATCGCCAGCGGCCCCCGAAGAGGAAGAAGAGCGCGACCCTTCACCTGAGAGACGACGTGCCCCGTCACCCGACAGGCGCCGTGCCTCTTCGCTCGAGAGGCGCCTCGCGGGTAGATTGACCAAAGAAAATTGGCAAAGCCCTGGCGCGCCCACCGTTATGAATGGCGGTGCCGGCCCGGCTACCCAAGTCGGAGCCCTCGGCCCCGCGGGCGCTTTAGGTCCCCTCAGCCCTACACGGGCACCCCCGCCGCCTTCCCGAGCCGCCACCCACATCGGTGCAAGCATGCCCATGGCGCCCGCGCCTCCGCTCACTTCCCACGGCGGTCCTGGGGCCGTACCGCCCGCTCTTCGCCGGCACCACACCATGGATGAGGAAGCCGCCTACCCTCCTACTGCCGGTATGCACGCCGGTGGTGCTGCTGGTATGCCGCATCCTCAAGAATGGTTTGGTCCGCCAATGCCCCATGGCCACCCCCATAATCTCCCGCACTCCCAGCCCCCGCACCCGGGAATGGCCGGCATGTCAGGGATGGCAGGTATGGGAGGTATGGGAGGTATGGGAGGTATGGGGGGCATGGGGGGTATGCAGGGTATGCCGGGTATGCAAGGTATGCAAGGTATGCCCGGTATGCCCGGTATGCCCGGTATGCCCGGTATGGCGGGCATGCCCATGATGCATCACGGTGGTCACCCTGGCGTGAACGAAATGGCCGGACCCGACATGAACATGAACATGAACATGGGAATGGGGGGGCCGGGCATGGCGACAGGCATGGGAATGGGCATGGGCATGGGGATGAACAACATGGGGCCCAACATGAACAATATGAACAACATGAACATGATGAACGGGTCGTCACGTGCGCCGACCGTCAGACGGCGCCCGCCCGGTCACCCCGGTGGGATTCGCGAGCATACCAAGCATGATATTCCCCGGTCGTCTGTGCTAGCGGGCCTCGGGGGTATGGGACGGGGTGCGCACCGGGTTTCCGAATGGGCGACATATGTTGAGGGCGTACCGGAGGATGCGACACGGGCTGTTGTGCAGTAAGTAAGTGGCCGGAGGATGCTGGGGATGGGTTCCACGTTTATATCGCCTGGCGTTTGTCTCCTGCGTGCTTTCTGCCTGCCTGTGTTCAATTTTTGGTCATATTCTTCGTTTTTGGCTACCCCAGTTTGTTTTGCCCTTTGCAATGTCTGTTTTGCTCCACGCATCTTGGCTATTTTTTGGATATTTCACCTATCTATCTCCTTATCTCTGTGGAGGAGGAAGAGGATGACGGCAGGAATATTCATGTGTCACGTTTGTGACTGAAGAGACAACGGGGGGATTATGTCCTACCACTACGTTCTTTGCCGTGTTATAGCCAACGGAAAGGCTGGAAGATCGCTCGAGCGGACCAAATTCCGTTTTGCTCATGTTTATTTTTCCCCGCCATGATGGAGGCATTGTTACGATGGTTTCCATGATTCGGAATGTGATAGGGCAGCATTTGACTGGGCCATCGTTGCGCCTGGATTCACTCTTTTTTGCCCCGCTTATAACGTTGGTGAAATTGAGGACGGTAGCTATAAGGGGTATTTTATGATTGTATGGATGAATGAATGGATGGATGGATGGATGGACGGACAGGATATGATGAGATGAGATATGCGCCGCTGGCCCAGGCAGAGGCAATGATTTTTGTATTTACTCGGGTTTGGGGGGAGGCGCATATAACTTTCTTTGGCTCATTGATTTCGGTGCATATCGACTCATGAATGAAGCAATGTAACAAAACAACTCGCACGGAGGTACAAACTGCACAAGATAGGAAACATTTGTTGATATATTGACCATTCGCTTTTTGTAGCATGCTGGTTCCAATTATATACCCTTTCCCAGCTATTTTTCCACTGCTTAGGCCATATCCACTCCCAAACCAGACAATCACGACATTTACCTCCTCGCCTTTTTCGTCGGCCGCGCATTCTTCTCCCGCTTGCGTTCCGCCACCTGCCGCGCCTTGCGAATGTCCACCGCACTCTTGAGCTCCCGCCGACTGCCCTCGCCATCCTTGTACTTGCCCACCCGTTTCTCTTTAGCCTCAGCCACCCGCTTCTTCCGCACATGATAGTCATCCCGGAACTTATCGGCGTCCTTCGGCGCTTTCTCCTGCTTGTGCTTATACCGCGGGCCTCCTCCTCCTCCTCCAGGCCCGCCGCCAGGGCCGCCCGAGTTGAAGTGGCGGACGAGGTTGGACTTTTCGGTTTCGCCCACACCCGGAAGACGGCCGAGGCGGTTAGCGCGGCGCCACTTGTCGAAGCGGCCGCTCTGGAAAGACGCCGCGATCTTGACGCCGGATTCGCCGCGGACCATCTTGGCGCCGCGCGAGCCATCGTCGTCGTTGGCGCGGGCGACGTACTTGCTGTGGCGTTTGTCCCAGCGCATTTTGGAGCGGGTCGGCAGGCCGAAGGCCTTGGCGCCGTCGTCGTTGGCTAGGTCCATGGCGGCGTCGCGGGCGGCTTCGACGAATTGGGTTGTTCCGCCGGAGTTGACGCCGTAGGCGCGCTCTTCGGCGGCGCTGGTGGTGCGCGGGGTGTAGGACATGAAGATTTCGGGGTCTTCGAAGGAGGTTTGGCCCTTTTTGGATTTGCTGCTGCTGGTTACGGTTACTTCGAGCTCGGAGTCGGAGGCGTCGTCTTCCCAGGCATCTTCGTTGTTTGGTTCTGGCTGCTCGTTGTCGTCGTCGTCGTTGAATACATCGAGAGCATCACCTCCTTTGCCCTTTTGGGGCGACGCTTCGTCGTCATCATCATCATCACTACCACCCTCCACGTTGGCCATCTCGGTGTCTTCATCCGTTTTCTTACTTCGCCGCGGACCAACTCTGGCCCGGAAACTGCGCATCACCTCGGCGGCCTTGTTCTTGGCCGACTTGCCCTGGGGTCCAATCTCAAAGACGGTTTCTTGCGGCTTGAAGCCGCTGATCTTCGAGAGCAGGCTATCCCGGGCTTCTTCGGCGTTGGCGGCCGACTCGCCAAACAGGGGGTGTAGCTGGGTCCAGCTTCTTGAAGCAATCACTTCACGAGCACGCTTGGCGCTCTGGCTGGACGCCGAGTTCCTGGTCCGCATGTAAAGCTTTTCGGCCTTGAGGGTTACGCCTCGGAGTGCCTCGATGTCGTCCATGTCGCCTAGTACCTTCTTCACCCACTCGATGTTGTTCTCCAACTCGGCCCGCATCAGAGTGCCGACGGCAACATCTTGGGCGTAGGACGGCTCCTTGACCTCTTGACCGACAACCAGTTTCCGGCCAAGGAAAAGCTGGAGATCCAAAAGATAGGGGAGATCGGACTCCTTCACGAGCGCATATGCCCAACCGCGCTGGCCAGCACGAGCAGTTCTGCCGACACGATGGACAAAAATCTTGGGCTGAGGGGGGAAGTCGTAGTTGATGACGTTGGCGAGTACGGGGATATCGATACCACGGGCAGCAACATCTGTCACGACCAAGATGTTGGTCCTCCCCCTCCTGAAATTGTCTACTTGGATCTTTCGGGCCGTCTGGTCGAGGGAACCATACACGTAGGAAACAGAAAACCCAGCATGGCGGAGGAGGTGCGCGATGTACTCGACATGGTGCTTGGTAGCTGTGAAAATGATGGTCGAGTGCTCGGTGGGCCGTTCTCTCCTGTTGGGCCGGTCCGAGCCGCGCTTTCGTTTCCTTGAGTGATGCTCGTCGTCGTCTGCTTCCTCCTCAACGCCTTCCGGCAGACCTAGGGGCATTTTGATGACGTCGTGTAGAATGTGAAGGAGCGCACCCTCCTTCTCGCCGCTCTTGACAGAAAAGAACGCACTCTCGAGGTCGGGAGATACTTTTGTCTCAGCATCTAGCCTAACAAGGCTTGGCTCCTGCAGGCCGGCCCGAGCAAATTCGACCAAGGATGACGGGAGAGTCGCTGAGAAGAGCAGGGTTTGACGAGATGGTGGTAGGGCGTGCAAAATTTCGGTAAGCTGGGCGGCGAAGCCCATTTCGAACAGCCGATCGGCCTCGTCGAAGACAACGTAGCGGATAGACGATAGATCCAGGCCCATTTCTACCTTCAAATGCAGGAAACGGCCGGGTGTCGCAATGACAATATCCGGGTTGGCGGCCATCAACCCGAATTGCTCTTCCAGACTGTCGCCACCAACCAACAAGACCGTCTTCAGATCCGTACCTTTGCCCAGCTCTTTCACAACCTTGAGGGTCTGCAGCGCCAATTCACGAGACGGCGACATGATGAGAGCCCTGGCACCAACCCGCGCGCTGTGCGCTTTCAGACGCTCAATCATGGGGATCACGAAGGCGGCCGTCTTGCCGGAACCGGTACGGGCCATGCCCACGACATCGCGGCGCTCGAGGACGAGAGGGATCGCTTTGCGCTGGATCGGGGTGGGGACTGAGAAGCCCTTACGGGTGATGGCTCGGAGGAGATTTGAGTTCAGGCCTAGATAATAAAGCGCTTTGAGTGAGTATCTCTGCTTGCTTGGTTGAGGAGGCGGGGCGCGTAGGAGTAGGGGGCTACCAACCCATGGCCTGGAAACCACCGCTCTTCTTCGCCGATTTGCCCTGCAAGTTACCCGTCTTCCTGTTGGAACGCCGCTGCTGCAGAGAAATGAACGCCTCATCCCCCTCGCCATCGTCCGAATCGCCATTGTTGAGGAGATCACCAAAGTCGAGATGCGCGGGCGTCTTGTCAACTTCCACTTCGTTGTCGCTGTCGGCGTCATTGGCGAACAATGAGCCGGCAATGTCGACCTCGTTCTCAGACATGGCCGGGGAGACCGCGCGTCCCTTCATCGTGGCGTGTTGGAGCTGCACGCGGAGGTTATGAGGGTCGGGCAGCGTGAAGATGGAAGTTCTCTCCCAGACGCAGAGCAGGGGCGTGGAGTTGGCTTGCAGCGGCGCATCTGTAAATTTTCGAGGAGAGATGCCGCTACGCCAAATTTTAGCGGGGCGGCAATGCCTTATCGCTTATCGCTTTGGCCTATCGAGCACCTCTGGGGCTGACAGGGCAGCCCGCCTTTCCAATCCATCCCATCCCCAAAACATCGACGGACGACAAACAAATCGACGGATGACGGCATCGGCGTCGACAGGGACAACTTCAACATACACCGCCTTGGACTCCCCTCCCCTCCCTGTTGAAGTGGTGTTGAGACTGCGGAACAGTCGCGAGGATGGCGACAAAGGAAACAAAAGACGATGCCCCTGTCGACAACCGGGATGCATTGGAAGTGCTAGAATCCGAGGCCAAGGAGTGGGAGAAAGTACGTCGTCATTCTCGTGGTTCTGTTCTGTTATGTTTTGGTTTACTAAATTGCTATTCTACTAGGATGCCGAAATTGACCGGATTCTGAAAGCCTTCAGGCTTGATGCGTAAGTCTCACTAACCCAACAGCTCCGCTGTTCGACCGAATAAAAGGGGACTGTTGCTCATCATCTTTCTTCCTCTAGCTACGCCGTCCTCGGCCTCAAACCCGGCGTGCCCGAATCCGACATCAAAATCACATACCGCAAAAAGTCCCTCCTCATCCATCCCGACAAGACCAAGAACCCTCTTGCCCCAGACGCCTTCGACCGTCTCAAAAAGGCCCAGACCGAGCTCATGGACGAGAAGCACCGCGCGACCCTCGACGAGGCCATCGCCGACGCGCGCATGCTGCTGATGCGCGAGAACAAGTGGAACGTCGACAGCCCGGAGCTGAAGACGGCCGACTTTGAGCGCCGCTGGGTCGACAAAACCAAGTTCGTGCTGATCGAGAACGAGCACCGCCGGCGCCGCCAGATGAAGGCGCAGATGCAGGAGGAAGGCCGTGAGCAGCGCCGTCAGGACGAGGAGGTTGAACAGCGCCGGAAGAAGCGCCAGCATGAGGAGGACTGGGAGGCCACGCGCGACCAGCGGATTAGCAGTTGGCGACAGTTTCAGAAGGGGGGGAAGTCGGGCGGGGGAGAAGATGGGCCGGAGAAGAAGAAGAAAAAGAAGTTAAAGCCGATTGGGTGAAAGCATTTGACTTGGGAAGGCAATGTTGGCAGCATATTATCACTTTTCTTTTCGACTTGTGAGTCTATTTCAGAGGAGAGGTGGCGCGCTCGATTTGACCCTAACAAATACAATCGCACAAGGTCCTCCGACGAGGCGGGCAACGGTCCCATCAGCGTCCGTCCTGTCGACCGCCCCATCCAAATGATCCGTGCTATCAAGTTGTCTATGACATGCGGAAAACGCCATCGATTATAATAACCTTTACAGCATCCGATTCCCAGTCGTTTACCCACTAGGGTGGTTGTTTATATGACAACCAGATACGAACGCGACATAACCAACCCCCCTATTCCCGCCCCTTTCCCTTAAATTCTCATTTCGGCGCATGCTTCTTCTTGTACTGCACAAACCTCCCCAGATTTAGCGACGCCTCGTCCGCCCTGGTCCTCAGCTCGCTCTGTGCCCGCTTATCAATCCCCTTCGCGAGCGTCTTGAGCCGCGGAACAAATTCCTCCAGGTGTTTTAGGAAGCCGTCTTTCCAAAACACCTCGCGATCGCACGGCACATCCTCATCTCCGTAAAGGTCGAATAACTGGTTTAGCGCCTCGACGATATCGGCTGGTGGCGTGTTATTGGAGGTGGATGTTGTCTCGTTGTTGCTGGTGGTGATGAGGGTCATGAGGAAGACGCCGACTTCCCGGTTGACCTCGATCGGTGCCGGGTCGCGGGCTAGAGAGCCCAGGACGCCGATGCACTTGACGCCGAGGCCCTGGAATGGGTCTTCGGCTTCTTCCTCTTCCTTTTTCTCGCCTGTGTCCTGGCCTGCTGACGGGGCCTGATTCCTGGAGGCGTGATAAAGAGAGATGAATTTGCGGTGTTGACGCCCGTCGGAAGGTGTTTCGCCATTAAGAGTGCGGGCCACGGCCCAAGCAAGGCTGGTGACTTGTGTGGCCAGTCTGAGATCGGCATTATCGGCTTCGAGGATGGGCGCTATCGTCTTGCGCCAGATCTTCTTAGCTGTTGGGTGCCAGGCACTGAAGATATGGGCGTTCTCGCCATTGGCGAACTCGAGACAAGATATCGTCCAGGCGATGTTGTTCAGAGCGGAGAGCGCATGATCTTGGATGGCAAGGGTCTCTTCGCTATGGAGATTCGAAAGGCGGATGAGTTGAGGCACGGCCCGTTGGATGAGTTCGCGGAGTGTGGGGAGGTCGTTGAGGTCTCCGGACCCAGAGCCCTCCTCACCGGCGACAAGGCCCATGTCGGCTTCCATCTCGGAGGTAACTGACGCGTCGTCCTCGTTGTCCTCTTCGTCGCCTTCGTCTTGCTCATCACCTTCCTCCTCTTCCGCGCCGGCATCTGACTCTCCATCGACCTCCATCGCGTCAGCATCCACGTCGGCCGTCTCATCATCGAAACCGTTCCATTCCTCGTTGGCCTTCGTAGGGTCCGTTGGTGCCCGGTTGCCTTTGACGAGCGTTTCCTGAAAGTCGGTGCCGATCGATGCGAGGATTTCGAGAGTGACCTGTGTGATCTCGGCATTACCTGAACTACCATTGGCCACAGCACTGCTCGGAAGAACCTGCTCCAGCGCCCGCGCTAGGCTAGGGATGATGACAGCGTCACATGCGCCGTCTTTCCCGGGACTGTGGTCCAGCCATTGCAGGGACGAGAAAAGGTTGTGTAGAACGCCGCAGGATAGGACGGCTTTTGGACCTGTGCCGGTTGAGAGCTTCAAGAGGACGTCGTAGCACCGCGTTTCCTGGTCATTCGTCATGGCCTGGCCGAGCTGTAGGTGGTCCTCAGATAGTGTTGTAAGACAGGACAAGGCCTCTTCGATTATCTCTTGTGGGGCAACATCAGTAGCAGCGAGGCGGAAGAGAAGGCGCAAGATGGTCTGGTTCCCGGAAATGGACTGCAGGACTTCTTCTCGGGACAGCCCCAGGAGGCCCAGGAGGGTGAGCAGCGAACTGGTGATCTCCCATACAAGCCGCTGCTGGGCTTTCAATAGTTTGGGAAACGGGGGTTCAGTGGAGGTGAGAGTTTCAACGATCTGTTGTAAGTCAGCTTGGCCTCACAAGCCATATGGTGCCTCGCTTGGACTCGGGAGACTCGAGCATCAAAAACCGTTTACGAAGTTGGGGAAAATGCTTACCGCCTTGGCGGCATGCTCGATGGCAGTCAAGACATCCAACCGGTACAAGTGCACACAAAAGTCCGCCTCTTCCTCTTGCGCGAGCACCTTGAGAATCTCCCAGCCCGCAGCCCGACTATCGATGCTGGTGTCTGTGAGTGTCTCGGTGAGTACAATATGCACAACCTGTTCCCGCAACAGCAACTTTCTGCATTTGGTGTCCTGGACGATGTTGGCAATAGCGCCAGCCGCGGCCGTCCGAGACTTGGCCTCGGGGCTCTGCAGGTCCTTAAGCACGGGAAGAATCTTGCTTTCTCGCAGCTTGGCGAGCTCAGGATCGGATGGGGGTTTGACGGGCTTTGCGATGGGATCGCTACGGTTGCCCCGCACTCTGTTGCGGCGAGCTTTGCCCATTTTATTCTCAGATATAACAGAATTGCAGAGTGGTAATGATGTGATAATTATCCAAGTCGACAAAGGGTACGGGCACCTTTAGGTGCTTTGGTTGCCGATATTTTAGCCGTTGTCCTGTCGATGAAAACTTTCCAGAAAATAAAAATCAAAAAAGTTGATGCTGCAAGAAATCTGCCCCGCATCGGACCCACCTCTCCCGCATCGACAGGGGCTCTGCTGGCGGGTCAGTGGGGCAACGACGGTCCCTGCAGAGCACCGGATCGGCATCAAGCGACTGGCATTTGGGGGCTTTCATGGCGGACTCGGCACTGCCGCCCGACGCACGTGAGATGAAATCAGGAACAGCCAGCGCATGGGAAACCCACTTCCAACTCCCATTCCCAATCGAGTTTCACGTTGATTCCATACGTGAATCCCCCATTTTAACTCGACTCATGGGGTTGACACTTCAATCTCCTGTTGTTGCACTACCGTGACACTGAACGCACGCATTCCCACCCACACGCGAGCGAAACCCCCCAAGCAAATGCGGACAGCCATCCTTTTGCCGCATGTTTCCGATGACGACCAAAACATATATCTGATCGTCTCGACGAGCGAAGGGCTCACACTCTCTTCGGCTTCGTTTCCACACGCTCTTTATTCAACTTGTGCGACACCGACAAATGTGGTCTAGATGAGACTGGGGTTTCTTAGTAATGAGCAGGAATTGAGGAAAAAGGACGACGACCGCGACAGGCCGACCAACCGGAACACCAGAACCAGCAGCACTTCCGCCGCCCGCAACACGAGAATGACGCCCTCGATGCGCTCCCCTTGGGGCGGCGTCTCCCGCGCGCCGCCGCGGAGCATTGTTCTGAAGCGGCTCGCCATTGTGTGTGCGGTAGGCCTCTTGGTCTACCTGTTTATCAACAACCTCCCCGTCGGCATTCCCATCCGCGACCGTCGTCATCCGTTTTACCGACCTGACCCCCATCCGACGGGCCAGCCCGGTGGACCATCGGAGTCTGGGCCGCGGCCGATGGTGCCGCCGCAACTGGACGCCGGTCAAAAACCTACGCAAGAACAGTCAGGTTCGCACTGGCTGGATGAGGATTCGTCGTTGGGACTGTACAATGGGCCGCTTGTGTTCCCGCAACTTTTGACTTCGCTCCAGGCAATCCAGACAACGGGGGGTTCTTCCAGTGCAAATAAGAATGTGCTTTTTGCTGCGGCTAGTCTTAAAAGTGCGGCGTTGCTACTCCCCATGGCGTGTCGGATGGGGAGTGAGCTGAGGAATTACGTTCACTTTGCTTTAGCGGGAGGGAGCGAGATCGATATTTCCGAACTCCGTGCTCTTAATGGCATCGATGACTCGTGCCAGATTATCTTTCATGGTAAACTTCTGGTCCCTTTGCCGGTACCTGTTTGTGGCGCCTGTTATTGTGACTAACACGACCGCAGATGCTCGTCCCGACTATCCTGGGGCATCCGGTACTGACCGGTTGAGACAGAGCACCATTCGTGCCTTGTGTAAGCGAGACAACCCAACGGCCTCGGAATGGCAAGGCTAACATACTCGCTGTAGTTCATATTGGGACGTACATGCACCCGCAAGTGGCAATCATTGACGCGTCCGGGGCGGAGGAAGATTACTTTCTCGCCGGAATCGGGCGGCAGGCCCCGATTTCGGGCATACCCCTGATCGAGTTGCCCGAAAATGCTCATTCAAGGCTTGCTTGGATGTCCAAGCTGGATAGCCCGTCGTTAGCGGGTATGTCTCAACCCCCACCACGCCTTATTTCGATACTGTACTGACGCAAAGAACAGCTTGGGACAAGATCAGCGTCGAGATACTCATACAAGCGCCGTCGAGAGGCTCAGCTAACCTTGTCCGCCTATTGAGGTCGTTAGCAGCGGTCGACTTCGGCGCGGGCTCGGTGCCGCATCTGACGATCGAGCTCCCGCACAATGCGGACCGCGGCACGATAGACTTCCTCAGGGGCTTCCCATGGCCCCCGAACCGTGCCCTATTACCGTCGCATCCTCGCATGTTATCACTGCGGCATCGCATTCCGAGCAGAAGGGTGTCCGAGTTGGAGAGCTCTGCGAGGTTCCTCGAGTCGTTTTGGCCTAGGAACCCGAAGTACTCTCATGTTTTGGTCCTATCAGCCCATACCCAAGTCTCACCCCAGTTTTGGAACTGTAAGGATCTTCGCCTGTGATTCCACCTGTACCATGATTGCTGACGATCTTCCCTCAGACCTGAAATACTCCGTCCTTCAATACATGTACTCAGGTATTTCCAAAGCTCAAGAATGGGATTCTCGGCTACTCGGGATCGGTCTCAACTTGCCCGCTACCTATCTTGATGGCATCACTCCCTTTGAGCCCCCATCCTCTAATGAAGGCGGTTCATTCCTTTGGCAAGCCCCCGACAGCAACGCGGTGCTCTTCACAGGGCAGAAGTGGACCGAGCTGCACGCCTTTGTCTCCCGCATGATCACCTACATGAATCAACACGGTTACAGAAGCAGGAGTATAGAGGAGAGGCGTGCGGCTGAGAACGCCAAGCCTAGCGAGGACAACAAGCCTCGTGAGGACGACAAGCCCAGCGAGGACGACAAGCCCAGCGAGGACGACAAGCCCAGCGAGGACGACAAACCTAGCGAGGACGACCAGCCTAGCGAGGACGACCAGCCTACGGACGACGGCCAGCATAATGAGGACGCCCAACATAACGCGGACCTCCGACATCACGAGGAAGGCCCGCATAACGAAGAAGGTTCTCATAACGAGGACGGCCAGCATAGTCTAAATGGCGCAGAAATCGAAAACGGGGACAACGATGAGGACCCGGTCCCTCTCCCCTTCTTCCTCGACAAGCTCGTCGGCAAACGCTACCCCGCCTGGCTCGAGCACGCACTCCAGCTCTGCCAGGCGCGCGGCTACTGGACTCTCTACCCCGGCGACGCGACGGCGCGCAATCTCGCGACTGTACACACCGAGCTTTTCCACCCGCCCGAGGAATACGCACCCGTGAAGACGGGCAGCGCGCCCTTTGATGACGAGGTGCCGCTAACGGGCAAGACACTGTTCGAGACCCTGCCTGAAAGCGGGCGACTTCTGACGTTTGACGAGATGCCGCTGCTGCTGTGGGATGGGAGGCCGACGGGCTTGACGGGACTGGATGATGCGGCGTCGATATATACGTATGATTTTCGGACGGCGGTGGGCGGGTGTGAGCTGTTGGAGGAGGAGGAAGGGGAGTTGTTGGCGAAGAAGTCGATGAGTGACTTGTTTTGTATCAGGGAGGAGCAATAATGGTATTCCAGGAGGGGGTTGGCTTGAACTTGTAAAAGAATTCGACATGGTGTGAACGGATCATAGACGATCCGGCCGGGCCAGCTTTCACAAAGGATGTATTAGTATCTCATGCATGATGAGACGAAGACCGGATAAAAATATTAATCGACACTTGAAACATATCCAACCCCCATAAACGCCGAGATATCCCTAGAGTCATTCAGTCATTCATGAATTCATCATATTATTCATCCGCTCGCTCGGTCAACTTGTTGACCACGAGTAACGTTATACACGATCCGACAATACACGTAGCTATCGCGCCCATGACCTTGGTATATTAGTTAGTATGCTTAGTTATATCCATATTTGGCCCGATCAATCCTTCCGGAATGAAAAGCGGCCCACAGAATTCGTAGCAACAACTTACGAATTGCGTTTTCCATCCACTTTGCACAATGGCAGCCCTACGGCTGTATTTATTGACGGTTTCTGTGGGGCGCACATTCACGTCAGCCAAAATACTTCAAGAAGAAGAAAGGGAACAAACAAGAAGAAGAAAGGGAACAAGAAGAAGAAAGGGGACAACAAGAAGAAGACTCACTTGTGTAATTCGCAATACCTACACCAAGACAGCTGACGGATAACGCCCAGAAGATAGCGCCCAGCGGGCGGGCCATGCGCAGTTCGACTTCGGTGGCGGTCTTGCGCAGGTGGAAGGATAATACGATGGCCACGGCGACGATGGACATGTACATGGAGAGACGGAGGTAGGAGAGGAAGGCTGGAGGAGTGCGGTTAGTAGATTGGTTTCTGGCAGACAACCAACGCCTTGGGTTCAACGCGTTATCAGGGTGGGTAGCGAGGGGGAGGGAGAAAACCGAGTGGGAAAGGTGAGTGTCGATGAAACAGAATGCGGACAAAGCACTTCGGGTTGGGAAAAATAGGGGTTGGCTTACTTCGCTCGTTGGCACAGTGATCGCGACAGTCACTCGTCTCGTTGTCAAAGAGGAGGGGGCCAAACGGCGGCGGAAGACAGAATACATTCTGAAGAAAACCGTGGCCACGGCTAGCAAGGCAAATGTCTCAGTTAGATATTCTGATGTGATTTATGCCCTGCAATGTCACTCACTCTTCCATCTCAGACAGGTCCACGGGCTGGATTAACGACGTGAGCGGTCCGCAGCACGAGCATGACGGCCGCTCTTCCTCGTCGGGGCCGGGTATTACTGAGGCTGACATAAGGAAAGAATGTGACTCTTTATGAGTTAAGGTAAGATATAAAATTTCGATATAATTGAAGGGCCTAGGGTTTTGTGTAATTTTCGGTTGCTGGCGGAGTCGGCTGCGTTTCGTGGTTCAGGTGTTCGATGACGTTGTTGGCTCTGAAGGTTAAAGGCTGTTGGCGCGGGACGGTGAGGCCCACTATTTTACCCAATTGACCAACCAACGACTCGCTTGAGCGTGTAAGTCTCGAGGGTTTTTATGAGCAACAAAGAGCATCTAGCGAAAGCTGACGGAGTATGTCATATGGATTTGATTGAAATAGGGTTAGCCGCCCATTGGGTCTTCAAGGGTCAAATTTGCTCTCCTGACTATCGAATTGTCTAGGAGTCTGGAGGTTGATGCGGGACCCACTTTAAGTTTACATTCGCCAAGGGTTCTGCGCACGGGCCTCTATCCTGCGGGGCACGCGTTGAGTGCTTGCTGCCCAGCGCGTCGTGGCGCGTCTTCAACCGACAACCATTTCTCACCCCGCAACAAAGTCAACAGGCAGCATCAACTGGATTCTCACCCGAATAACCGGCAAATTCAACGAACTGCTCGAATTTGCGCATAGTCACACGTCATGGGTCAGTTTTTTTTAAAAGTAAAAGGAGTGCGGAAAATGAAGTATATTTCTAACTCTGCCCAGCATCCTACGGAGGCTATCAACAAACAGGCTATGGTAGCCAAGGGGGCGATAATGCGGGTGGTTTCAGTCTCGGGTCACAACCAGGCGGGAGTCAAGGAGGTAGCGGTAACAACAAGAGGGTAAGGGCCCTGGTTTTAAGCCGTGATAGCGTGGTTGTGTACCACTCCAGAAACTAACACCCATCTCCCTCTAACACAGAACTTCGCCGACGACACCCTCCGCCCTTTGACCGTCAAGCAGATCGTCGACATCAAGGATCGATACCCCGGCGGCGAGATAGTGATAGATGGCCAGGCGGTGACACAGTTGACGCTGGTGGGCCAAGTGCGGTCGGTGAATTCGCAAAACACCCACATACTGTACCACATCGACGACGGTACTGGTATGATGGACATCAAGAGGTGGGTTGAGCTATCCAATCAGGATAACATCACTCGCTTCGCCCCGGACACGTACGTGCGCATCTACGGCAACATTCAGACCTACGAAGGTAAGCGCCTCGTCACCGCCCACTACATGCGCGCCATCGAGGACTTCAACGAGGTCAACTACCACCTGCTCGAGGCGACCTATGTACATTTGAGCCTGACCAAAGGCACCGCGGCGGGCGGGGGCGATCAGGGCGGCGACAGCATGGATACGAGCGGGGATGGCTTGTTTGTGGATAACAGGGGCGCAGGAGGAGATGCCGCGCTCCAGCAGAAGCTCGGGCCCTGCAGTCGCAATGCGCGGACTGTGTTCCTGTATCTGTCTAAGCAAGAGTCTGAGGGCACACATCTAAATCAGGTGGCGGCCGGGACTAAGTTGACTGCTGGGGATATTATGGCCGCGACGGACGAGCTGTTGGGTCACGGTCTCGTTTACACCACCAACGACGACGAGACATGGGCGATCATGGAGACATACGATTGATGGGGGGTAGAGGTCCGGACGTGGGGAAGTCAGGAAAGAGATAGGACTTGGTTTGGGGCGTGAAGAAAATTTTTCCCAAGAGATGCATCATGCATGCTAGCACGGCGCTGGTATTTGAGCACATATTGAGAGTTCCGGCATTTGGTCACGGGAGATAGGGAACCACAGGCGCAGATTTGTTATACTATGGACCTTTTCTTCTGTTTCTGACTATTTCACAAAAGCCCAGCCTGATGATAACGGAGATTTGGTCTCTCAAAGATGTACTTGTATTGGCGAAGATCTCGCCGCAGACCCGACCGGAAGCTGTTGAAGGTAAGACTCCAGAGGTTGTTGGGAGACCCTGCTAACACCAAGCCAGCATGTTGAATGCGGCAGCTAGTTAACGAACTCAGGGGCCCAGTTGATGGGCCAAAACAAGACTGACGAAGAGAAGAAGTAACTAAACAAGAGTAAAAGAAACAAAAAAGCACTAACGAATAATTCAATCTCAGGTGAGAAAACCCGGTGTCCAACTTCCCCCATCCTTCGCCCTCCCCAGCATCCTCTCCTATTCTTTACCGTCTGCCCCCTCACATCATCCACCTCTTGATGACCCCCAGCCGCTTCTTCACCACCGGACCCGTGCCAGTCTCGGGCACGACAGCATCCTCCTTCCGGGTACGCCCAGTGCCCGGCTCCCGAACCATAATCGACAGCTGCACCGGCATGGGTCCGCGCTCCAGGAAGACGTCGCGACGAACGACAAAGCCAAATTTGGCGTAATAGACGTTATTAGCCAGCGAGCTCGACTCGAGATACATCGGACGGTTTTCTGCGTCGGCCTGTTTGATAAAATGGAAAAATAAGAAGGCCCGAACCCTCCCTTTTACCCCCCTTCCGTTTTCGAAGACTTGTTCGTCGTTCGTGACGGAAAAGGGGGTAGCAGGAGGGCCGGCCGGCCGGTCTACCCGCGGAAACCGGGGGGACGCGGGGCCGGGGGATGGGAGGGACAATGTCAGTCTTTTTGCTTCTCATCTTCGTTTTGTTCCCCTTTTTATCCTTACACGCCTAGAGGGATTAGGAAAGAAAAAGAGGGAGACTTACCCGCGCCATCATATCCTGAAGCAGCCTTGCCGCATAGCCATGGCCCTGCGAGTTGGGCTTGGTGCCGAGGTAGAGCAGGTACCAGGCCTCGTTGTCGCGGTCGCCGAGCACCTGCAGCTTGATGTCGTGCAGACGCGGCAGGATCTCGTCGAAATAACGCCGGCGTCCCTCGGCGGACAGCTGGAAGCGCAAGCGCCATAGACCGCTGCGCAGCTGTGTCCACCAGCCGTCGAGGTGCTTGCCGGGGGGGATCCTGTGGTAGGGAGGGTGGTTGTGTTAGAGTTCTAGTCTTTTCGGCTGAGAGAGGGAGGTCATCGGAGATGAAAGCGGGGTTCAAGGGAACATACCACAGCGCCACGCTATCACACTCCGGTCCCACGGCCGTCACCAGCCCGCCCAAGCAGTGCGACGCAACGGTGTAGGTGAGGATATCGACGTGCAGCCGCCACTTGCGCTCTTCGTCAGACTTCAATCCTCTTCTAACACCGCGCTTCTTCTCGCTAGAAGAATCCACGCTCGCAGCATCTTTATCATCATCAACAGCAAGACCATCTCCGCCACCGCCAGAAATTCCAGGGGCAACACCATCGCCCACAACGAGATACCGCGCATAGTCATCCGCGGCAAACGCGTGGGCTAGTGTGAGGGCGGCTTCGCGGTGCTCGGCCATGCCGATGGTGCGCACCGAGCCGGATTTCCAGCGGGCAGGGACTAGCGAGTGGGTGATTGCGTTCCCTGCGGCGGGAGACGTCTTGATCTTGTCGATGGCTGTGGTGGTTTTCTTGGTGTTGACATCGAGAGCGAGGGCCGGGATTTTCTCGGCCTTGGTGTCAGCGTTTAGGGCAGCGGCTGTAGCAGCAGCACACGGAGCGGCGCCGAACGGAGGAGTCGAGATGGGACTCTCATCCACAGGCGTGGTAGCGGCCGTCGAAGTGCTGGAGACGGAATCCCCAGAGCCGACGCTGGCAATGCTAGAGCCGGAACTGGCGATACTACTGCGACTACTACTACTACTGCCGTCGGTGCTGCCGGGACTGGCATTGCCGTCAGAACTAGTGGTGTTGTTTACGGACGACGCCATGCTGGGCAGGTGGTGACGGTGGTCGTGGGACTGGAGTAATTACTTGATCTGTGACGCGCGGGGGGAAAAGAGAAGAGTGAGCACATGTGGTCATGGAATCACAAGACGGGGGGGTTTGTCTGAGGGTTGAACAGGGGCGGGTAGGTGATGGGTCGGAGGAACACACTTTGAATTGCGTTTAGATAAAATATTCTGGATACTATCGCCCGTGTGGACGTTGGAAAGCTGCGATCTCGAGATGGGCATGAATCTGGACGGGTGACGCAGGCAGTTGAGGGCGGTTCGGATATCAGCCGACATCAATAAGGTGTTATCCCTGGTGTGTATTCGAGGGGGTTTAATTGGATATCTTGGACGATAGTGAGATGAGCGGTGCGAGCTCGGCCGGTTGTTCTTCGTCTTGGTGGTAAGGTAATGAGGGCGAGGAAGTTGGTTTTGGGTAGGATAGTTGATTCAGACGGTGTCGATTGAGGGATGGATGAAACGGCTTTTGAAGGGGGATGAATAACTGTTTGGTTTCTCGAAGCAGGTCTCGTCACACAGACACGCGGACACACAGTACATGCAGGCACAACCGAGTGGATGGATGCTGCTTGTGTGCAAGCGGAATGGGAGGCAAAGCGAGGCAAGTGGAGAGATAATTATGAGTGGAGGAGAGTAGAGTATTACCCCCTAAGTAAGGGGGATTTTGGTAAGTAGGTCTTGAACGAGACGTGCTATCCGGGGGTTTAGAGTTCAGAGATACTTCTGGTACAGACACTGACGAGCAGAAGAAAAAGGAAGAGAAAGAAAGGGAGAAGAAGGGAGAAACGCGAAGCAAGGACAGCGAGAAGGTATAAGTAGCACCCCCACCCCGCCTTACTCGGTCCGTACCGTGGACGACAATAACAACAACAGCCACAACAACACCAATCTCCGAAACTGGGTAGGATAAAGCGGAGACATGGGTAACGCCAAAAAGGTCAACAGCTCTCTCTGGAATGGAGGGGCGGGGACGGAACGGATGGTGGCAAGTGGGGGGGGGGGGGGGGGGGAAAGTCTCATGCTGTGTTATCTTCATGGAATGATACTATTGAGCCAACCCTGTCCGGCTTCTTTCGTCCATCCTCGTCCCCATTAGTTAACTACCCCTCTGCTTTGCCCTCGCACATGGCGGCCACCCCCCAAACCCGCTGCGGCGTCTGCCGCCCGCGCCAGTTGTCTGTCCGCCTGTCTTGGATTTGAAAATGGTCCGACAGGGATGTCGTGAACCCCCGGGTAGACGCCGCCTAGGGTGCAAGGGCCGCCGAGATCCATTGGCTGTTAGGGGCCGGGCAGGTGTCAGTCGTATGTGTTTCCGATACTAACATCGTACAGTGAGGAGAGAGCAACGAGGGGTGGGTATGAAGGAGGGCAAGGCGGACAGGAGCAATTGTGTCTGTCGGTCGACCACTTCGTCGGTCGGTCGGGAGGTCGGACGGTCCTTCGGCCTTCTCGGAACGGGGCGAGAGGTGGGTGTGGCGGTCGGAGTGGGGGGAAGATATGCGCCGAGACCCGGACATCTCAGATCGTGAGCAAGGGAAGGGGGCACGGGCACAAGAGAACAGGGGAGCCAAACAAGGGAGACGGCATGGGAGGGATACGTAACATCAGAAGTGTTCGTCCGACCATAACGTTCTAGTGCTGAACATGCTTCATCCTGAAAACCGCTCATCACCTAAAGATGGTATGATGAGAGAGATAACTACCTGGTTAGCATGGATGTCGAATGCAGAATGAGAATGCAGACAGGACGCAGTCGGAAACACACAGTGGTCCGGAACAAGCCTCGCTGGCTCGGCGGTGTGGGGCAGCCCGGCATGGCGTCCGCCTCACCAATTCATGTCCCAATCAACGATCAGCAGCGCCCAGAACGCCCGGTTCAGATCCATTGACAGATCATCTTTGGGGGCATGGGGCCTTCGGGTTTGCAGGGGGGGTCAGGTGATGGTGTTGATGAGGTCCCCTCAGAGGGGGTTGTTTGTTGGTTGTTTCCCCAATCTCATAGGGTGACGTCGTGGGAAAGGCAAGTTGAGGCGAACAAGGGTCGGAGGATGTTGACCAGAGTCCATAAGCGCCAACGGCAAAAGGCGGCCTTGGACTTCTTTATCACGTCGCATACCCCCCTTCGGAAAATATCAAGTGTAGCCGCCATAGAAATGCTCAAAATTCCCCGTCCTTGCTATATGCTTTCCTCCCAATCTCAAGCCTGGAAGACCCCCCGTTTTGTTCGGAATCCTGCTGTGGTGATGCAAGGCGCTCAAAAAGGAAGCATGCAGGCTCCTTGCGCGGCTTCTTACTTGCTCGTGGTAGAGCGGATATCTTAGGCTTTAAATCAAAACCAACAACAACAACCGACGCCAACCAACTCTTCACGAGGCCCCATCATCCCGCACGGCGCGTGCTGCCAGCCGACGGAGCACAGATGCACCCGTATTCGCACTTCCTTCTTCGTACCCTATCACAGCATACGCCGGATCTCTGGCTCGTTCAGGTACTGATCCAAGCCCGAATCGAGGTGCTTCCACCAGTCGAAAAGCATGGAATTGCAGATGAGCTTGAACCAGGGCGTGAACTTGAGGCTCGGGTCCTCAAACATCTTCTTGAGCTGCTCAGCGGACACATACTGGGTCGCCTGCACCTCGTTCTCATTCGGGGCAACATCGACATTGGCCTTGATGAACAGGATGTAGTCAACTAGAGAGAAGAGTGGACGGAAGCCCACGTTGTCAGCATGCATGTCCTGCACGGGTGCATGGGAACACACGGGATCGCGGGATGTGACGTGTGTGGTTGCTCGGGAGCGGATGCTCGGGAGGAGAGAAGGAAGAAAAGGGGACAGCTGCGTACTCTCGTGCTCGCCCCATTGGCCGTCACTCGGCGCCTTGTAGTGGATGCGCGTCAGGAAGCGGAAGTCCTCCAGCGGCACCTGCTCCTTCTTGATCCCGAGCTCGTGGTCCAGCTTGCGCTGGGCCGCATTCTTGACGCCTGCCACGGCGTCGGGGAGGTTGGACCCAGTCTCGTTGGACACATGTAGCGGGTGCGAGCAGCACGTGTTAGTCCACATGTCGGGGAACGTGATCTTCTCCGTCGCGCGTTGCTGCAGGAGCAGCTCGTTCTTGTCGTTGAACAAAAAGACGGAGAAGGCCCGGTGTAGCAGACCCTTGTTGATGTTCGTCATAAGGTGGCCTGCTCAAGGAAAACCCCGTTGTGTTAGCCCAATCCGTTGCCTCAGCTGCATCTGTCTGTTGACACACGCCCGGGCTCTGAAGCACGGAGCTGCGTGGCCAATGGGAGGTGCGAGTACGCTAGGTTAGGTACTCACAAAGTTTCTTGCTTGCTGTCCCGATTGGCAAATCGTTCTCGTCTGTGACGATGCACACCTCGTCCATCAGGCGGATCTGCTCCTCATCGTGGCCCTCAAGCGCCGCACCGCTGGTGTCGATATCCGGGAACAGGCGGAGCATCGCATCGGCCGTGATCGGCCCCGTTGTGGTGGCGGTCGTTGATGTCGACATTGTGCTGAGACCTCTAGGGCTCTTTCGTGATTGAAGATATGAAATTGTATGTACTAAAAGAAAAGTATCCGGCTTAGATGGGTTTGAACGTATTTTGGGAGAGGTAAACCCAGCAGTGGGGAAGGCAAGAGCCAGGGACGGCGAGATCAACCCACCGCTTTTATAAGACAAGCAAGTGCATGCTCAACAATTCTTTCTCGCTCCGGGCGGTTGCCGACAAGGGCCGGCCGGCGAAAGTGGCGGACCCTTGTCAATTTTTGGGGGAGAACCCCGCTAGCTATCGGGCTGGCGCGGCCGGGCTCCAGTGGCTCTGTGCCCTGTGCCCCTTTGCCCCTCACTGCCTGACCCCCGAAGTGAACCCTTCCCCAGTTTCACGGCCGCCCGCTGACTAAGCGCCCTGAGTAAGAAGGCCGCAGGCTGTAGTAAGAGCAGTACCAAGCACTGGCGAACAGTAGTCAGAATTTAAGACCGAGTTGTAGTAAGAGAGAAGACTCAGAAAAGGCACAGTCACTTTTTCAGCTCGGCGACAGAGACAAGGCAACCAACCAACTTGAAAAGAGAAACCCGCGTTGTCATCGGACTTGGGCAGCAACTAACGGGTTCGGCTTGCATTTTTATCTTTCTCCACACTTTAACCCAAGTCTACCGCATTTCAACATGACAGGGCATTACATACATACATACATCATCCTGGTCTCGTCCCAAGTACACGTTGTCTATCCAAAAGAGATGTATCCAAAAGATATAGTCGAGTGTTTTATAGAACGGACGACTCTCCATTCATCTCATCAATTCTGGGTAAAATTACCCCGCCGCATTCCGGCGCTCGGCTTCCCTAGCCACCTCATGCCAGTCAACACGCCATGTAAACCAATACTCGGCCAACGAGACGCTGTATGAGGTTAGCGGTATTGTCATTTTGAAAGGAGCGGAAAGGACACCGGGTAAGTAAACAGCGTAGGAAACACTCACATTAACAGCCCGAACATAACACCAATCCACAGCCCGGTCAGCTTCCACTCCAGGCCGAACCCCAGCCCGAACGAAATAGGCAACGCTACCAGGTAGTAGCACACCAAGTTGGCATACCCGCCAAACTCTTGACGACCGATACCCCTCAGCAGCCCGTGCGAGACTGCCGCCATGCCGTCGAACAGCTGCATGACGGCGCAAACGGGCAGAGTCTGGGCCACGATCTCGATAACAGCCGGATCTTGCGTGAACAGAAGCGGGATATGGTATCGGAAAACGAAGAGGAGTGTAACGTTGAACAAGCCGACCAGCACGCCGCCCACGGTGGTCTACACCGGAAAACTTGGTTAGTAGTTGATCAACTCGCAAGAGCAAAGCATATGGATAGGAAACTGTAAAAAATATAAACAACGAAAAAGACTCACAACTTTGGCCGACGTCTTGGCGGCATCGACCAACTTGGCCCCAATCAAATTCGCCAAGCGAGTCGAACCGGCAACAGACAGTGGGAACGGAATCTGGAAGGTCGTGCTAGTCACAGTCACCAGCACACTCTGCGCAGCGAGGTACGTGACGCCCAGCCGAGCAGACGCCAGCGTCAAGATCTCGAAGGCAAACCACTCGGCCACGACCATGATCATTCCCGGTAGCGCAAGCCGAATCATGGGGCCCCAGTTCCGTAACGCACTGCGGCGGAACCCGCCCCAAGCTTGGGACCCGTCAATCTTCCAGACATACAAGAAGAGCAGTAACGGCAGCATATTTTGCGTGATGGCAACTGCCATTGGCGCGCCAACAAACCCGAATCCTAACTTCCACACAAACAACCAGTTCATTAGGGCGTTTGCCGGCGCGGCGATCAGCAGAACATAGGTGGTGGCATGGAACAAGCCCTGCGCCTGGACGAACCGCTTTCCGCCCTCAAACGCGGCGTACGCCGGCGTGCCGAGCAGCACGATGCGCAGGTAGCTGGCAGCTAGTGCAGCACTGTCAGGTTCAATCATGGACGCTAGGATGGACTCAGCGCGCAGCCAGATGACGGCAACAGGGATCAGGAGCAGCAACAGGAAGTAGGTCATACGCTGCAGCTGCAGGCCGACCAGGTGCTTGTGGCCCGAACCAAAGGCTTGCGCACACAACGTGTCCAGGCAGGTTGTGAGCCCCTGGATGGGCGCGTAGCAGGTGATGGTGGCCGTCATGGTCGCCAGCGATACGGCGCCCAGCTCCAGCGTGCCGAGCCGACCGACCGCGAAGATAGACGACACGTTCAGTGAGTATTGCAACATGAAGGTCACAACCAGCGACCGCGAGTATACCGCCAGCGTCTTGGCCTCCCGCTGCCACGTCGTCCGGATCTGCCCGGCCGCCACGGCGGCTTCCCACTGTTCGTTGAGACCCTGAGGCTGTTCCTGTGCGCCGGAAGAGTGGCGGCGGCCACCCGAGGCCGGTAAAAGAGGGGAGTTCTCATCGGGAATCACGACGATGCGTGGGGGGCCGACGGCCGCCTCCTCATCGTTCCCAGCCGGCAACGGCACTTTGGTACTGAAGAGGCGCCGGTACAGCCCCGACAGCTGACCACTAACGCCCTTTCTCGGCGCCTGGTGTTTGGGCGGGAGGATGTGATTGTCACGCAGCAGTGACCGCTCAGCATCCCGGCTACGGGTACGCTCCGAGCGGGTGAGCACGGGTGGGTCGTCTAGGGCGCCGGGGCCGAGGGCAGGCCGGGTGGTTCCGAAGGCGATGCCGCTCGGCCGGCGGTACAGCGTCGGCCCCGCGAGGTCGTCAACGCCGTCGTCTTCCTCAGCTTCGTCGTCATCCCCGAATTCGACGGCGTCGGCGTCCACAGGTACGTCCTCGTCCTCATCGGAACACTCGGCCAAGTCCCGAGCGAGCAGGTCTTGCGCTAAGGGCGAGGCAGAGCGGAAGGAGGAGGCAAACGCCGATTGGATGTCGTGGTGAGCAGCCGTGGAGCCATTCTTAGCCGGGATAGGCTGTGACCCGGGGCTAGAAGGCATTTTTTGGTGTTTTATTGTTTTGGCGGAGATCCAGTGCGGAGCGGTTCTTGGTAACTTTGTCCGTGAACTCACTAAATCAAAGTGGTGATGCGGGCCGGCAGTGCGGTCGCCGTCTCGGCGCCGGATGTGACGTCGGCCTCGGGTCAGACCGGTCGGCCAACGAGGATCAAAAGAAAATTGTTATTTCTCCTCGGACTCCTTTCGGACCGGATTTCCTGGCAACGAGGTAACTTGGACCCGGGTTTCTAGGTCGACAAGCGCCGAGACTGCAACCAAGACTCGGTTCAGTCTTCGTGAAAGAATAAGAAGGATCAAGACTCCAAACGCGCTTCTCCTAACTAACGGGCGGCGAAATAGATACAACACGCATGCAGTTGAAATAAAAAAGATAATGTTAGGTTTAAAAATGCTAATACCCTTGGCGTTGACCTGAGAGTTTATGAACCCAGGGAGCCAACCACAACCTGGAGTGGCGAGCAGTTGGAAAACATATATAAAGTCACTGGAAGGATGGGAGAAAAACCAATTTGTCTTATGTCAATGGGAAGGGCGAAGTAACACCGGCAACCGAGATCGCACAGCGCTAAACTCAACGTGGTAAGTGGAGGATGGATTCCTCTGTTTCGGGGCATCCAGACACAGGCAGTGCAGGACGACTCCTCCGTCTGAAGTGGGGTGACGTCGAGTTGCAGGGGTGGCTTATCGTGTTATCGAACACGCTATCCTATGATAGGTAAGCGGTGAAAGTAGGCAGAATACTGAAATTCCACTCTAAAAGTCACCCATGTCCATTGAGCAGTGGAAAGTTTCCAGAGCGCAAACGGGTGGAAGCCAGCCCAGAAATTGTTGTTCCAACGCGCAACAATGGGGAAACGGTTCTCTCACGCGCCTGATGGCGCAGGCGCGTCACGTAAGAGGATAAAGATTGTCCATGAAGCGCCAACTTCGGAAGATATTCATGCTAGCAGGCAGTTACAGCAATTGCTTGCTTTCAGTCAAGACCCAGTGCGGGCGCGGCACGGTGCGTCGTCTTGCTGCAAGGCCGCTTTCTCATTTCGTTTTGCCTCTCTCCTGTTACCGCTGTTTCTTCTTCAATCTTCTTTACTCAACTCTGACTTCGAATTGCAGGGCTACAATCCTTTAAAGTCTTCCTCGACGACCTGCTCAATCCCGAAAGCGACCATGTCGACCGACCCAGGATTCTCCGGGACTACCTCCAGTTTGCGCGACCTGCCGACGACGACGAAGCCTCTGCCTACCTCCCAGATATCATGCAGACATGGAGTTATGCCGGCCAGATCAACAATGACAATGTCATGTCCGCCGTCCCCATCGTCCTTGCCCTCCTCCTGAAGTTGCTCTCGCAGTCGCTCGAAACGGTTCCCATCGGTCTAGGCATATGCAGGACCCTGCTCCAAAAACGCCAGCAGGAGTTAATTGCTCGCAATTTATCGGCCGACAAGGGGAAGGCTTTTATCATCTCCCCAACTCTGAGGATGCTCAAGGAGGTCGTCAGCTTTGATGGAGGTGCCGTCGCACGACCCCTATTTCGCGCGAGGGCCAACACGCTCAAGTCGCTGGCACGGAATATGGGCATTGTTCATATTGGGGAGGAGGCCGAAGACCTCAAGCGGCCGTCTGCCCGTACCAATGCGATCCTTTTCTTTTTGGACGCCCTCAAGTTTCTTCAACCGGAAGCGAAGAAGGAGTTGTTGTGTCAGAGGGATATTGTTTCCGCCTTGACACGGGATGTCAAACAGGACCCGCCATATCTTGTACGGACGCTTCTACAGGAGCTCCGCAGCCGCGTTCTTCTCGATGATAAGCTTGCACGCGAAGCCAAGTCCAACTTGCTGAACGCATCTACGCTTACCCGTCTCTCTGCACTTTACCAATACCGCTTAGAAGCGCGTGGAGGTGTCGATGACGAGGCGCCTATCGCCGACGTTGCTCACGATTTCCTGGTCACCGCATGCACAAACCCGGCCTGCGCTGTGTTGAGGCAGGATTCGGGCTTTTACCCACGAGAAATTGACACCAATACCGCTATTTCTCCCGCCGAGCTTGACGACTTGGGACTTGAAGCCATCGTCTGGATGAACAAGTTCAAGAACGAGGTGCCAGTCCGGAATTACACCTTGTCAAACTTCTTGCCGAACCTGCGCCCCTGGTCGAGTGTAAAGCAGAGTGAGCTTATCACTTCTATCTTTAAGGTTGCACCAGAGTTGGTCGCCAACTATTTCCTGACCAACAAATCGTTTACTTTTGAGCCGAAGCTTTCGGCAACGTGGATCGGATACGCCGCCTTCCTCTTCAACACAGTCACTCTCCCTCTTCCCAACTTCTTCTGCCGCGGGGCAGCCTTCTCCGAGCTACCACCGCCAACCTCCATCGTCATTGATAATATTCTCCCGCTCCCGTTGAACCAAAAGGCGCTATCTAGGAGCCTTGCAAACAAGTCGAACATGATTCCGTTCTTTGCGACAAGGATACTAGTCGTTGCGATCGAAAAATTGGACCACGCGATCAAAATGCACCAAGACCCTTCTCATTCCAACAAGACGGTTTGGGCGGAAGCGGCACGGAGGCTTGTGGACGAATTTTGCCAGCGCAGTCCCGGAATCCAGGAAATGATCAATTCATATCGCTCGATACCTGACGGCGACATCCTGCACCGGGAGGCAGCAAGCCGGCTCCTGCGCCTCTGCTATGAAGTATTGCCGCAAGTCGCCCTCATGGCCAAGTTTGACGTATCTCCATTCCTTGAAAAAGCGCTTGGCCGTTTATCGACACAAGCGTCCGACGACCCCAGAGATTCTGCACTCGGTCTGAAGGAGCTAGAAAACCTGTTGGCCATCGCCGGCTATTCTCCCGGCATGCGGTGGTTTGTGGCGTCCGAGGGCATGTTGCTTTCTCCGTTCACGCTGCTGCTGAAAGTCTGTGTCGATGCTCCCCGTGGGGTATCGCTGGAGGCAATACGAGAGATCCTGAACTTCATTGCGGTGGAGCAGCAGCTGGTGCCAGCTAACGAGAAACATCCTGGTTTGCTCGTGCTGCTGGATGCATTGCAAAGTCTGCGGCATTCCAAACCGGAAGCGGTTGTGAATATCTGGTCGTTCCTAGATAATTGCCTCACGCGCTGCGCCAATACTCCAGTCAAGTACGTCGAGAAGATGCAGGAGGCTATTCAGGAGGCGTCCGACTTAACAGGCCAAGATCTGTCTGGGACGATCGCGAGCCCTATTACTGTGGCCTTGCTGGAGCAGCTTCCGTTTGCGGCAGCGAAGGAGAATGGAACGGTCACCGTCAAAGCGCTTGGCATCTTCCTGCCCAAGTTCCTGGGCCTCTCCGTCAGCGCTGGAGAAAACAGAGCGCTGTTGGAGCTTATTTTCACCAAAATGACGACACACCTAGCAGATAATAAGGGTAAACTTGCCAAGGCAGGCGTCCCCAAAGGGCTCGAGTTTGAGTACAACAAACGCCCAACCGCTGCGGGAACTAAGGCGAAGCAGTCCAAGGCTGCTGCGTCAGCGGCAGCGGGCAAAGAGGACTCCCAGCCGAAACAACCGGTGATGGATGTCGAAGCCTTGGAAGAAACACTCCATGTACCTGACGGCCTCGAGGCGGACAACTCAGCACTCGTCAAGTGGGCAACTAAGACTGCCGACGAGCTCGTCGACGACGGCTACCTAACATCTCTCATCGCCCTGCTCGTATCCGAGCACGCCAGCATACGCAAAGAAGCCCTTGTCAGCATCTTAAAAGCGGCAGCCAAGATCAAACAGTCCGAGTACGAAGAGAAAGACCAGATCTGGCTGCTCCTTTCCGAGCTTGCCGAGACGGCCCGGGAGAACAACACCATCAACGACACGCCGCTTCCAGGCCCGATCGTTGCTTTCGCCACCCACGCTCTCACCGTCCTACGTGACCCGCTCTCCTCCCTCTACGGCAAAGTCAACAGCTTCCTCACCCGTGGACCCACCTGGGCTCTCGACCGGCTCCCACTCGTCGACGAGACTCTCTCTGAAGAAACCCCGACAGGCAGCGGGGGGCCGAGCAGCCGCGACAACCCTTATTACGCCCAAATCAACTGGCTGCTGTCATACCTCATCGACGCCCTGCGCACCCCTCAAGACCTCGAGCTATTCCATCGCAAGCGTGCTCGCGGACCGGTGCTGGAACGCATCCTAGCGCTGGCTGCGAATCCATACATGTGGCTGCCGCTGCGGAGCCAGGTGCTACGACTGGTGTATCGGGCGACCGGCATCGAGGGTGGTAGCACGACGTTGACGACAAGGTTTGGGATTGTTAGCTGGTTGGAGGCGAGACATGCGGGCTGTGAGGATGGAGATGGAGACGGAAAAGAGGCGGCGATGTTGGGGGGGCTGAAAAGGAGGGTTTGGGAGACCTGTGATCAGGAAAGGGTTAGGGTTTGGAGTAGGGGTGGGCTAGGGGGTGGGAGGGTGTAAGTTGCGCGAGACTGGGTTGTTTTGTGTGTGTTTGGAGTGTGTATTCTGCATCTATAATGGAGTGGGATCCTCTAGTTCAGCGTGCCATATATAATGTTGCATGATGTTCTGTGTTCCAAGACTTGTTGATGTCGTTGTCTAGCATATGGTTGAGAGTCGGCAAGAAATAATGAAATCAGAATTCAATAGCTCCAAAGTATTTGAATGAAACACACGCACTCTCTATTTAGACTTGTGACCTCTTTGAAGAACTGGTACCTCCTTTTTGAGCCCGCCTTTCCCTCATGAATCAAAAACCGCCTTACCCTTGTACCTTATGGTTGAATGTCACGGGAAGGTTGTTAGTCTCGCACTCTACACTCGTGTGTAGATGTGGCCCCACTACTTTCATCAATCGCCGTTGATTCTTGGCCCGGCTGGGCACCCCCGACCCTGTGCCCCTCTTTACTACCCCTGCACACCCCAACCCTGGCCAAGTGTGGTCCGTTGTGGCCCGGGCCACTTGAAATATTGACTTGATCGCCCGCAACCTGCCACAGGCGGCAAACTAGGTCGACCGACCACAGGAGCCCAAAACCGACCAAAACCCATCAAAGCTTCCACAACAACCCGACCACCACCCGCTTCCATTGAACAACGCATCAATCCTCACTACCGCCCGCTACACCTACAAATCGCGCACCTTCTTGCACCAAGCAAAGAACCGACGCAAACCTGCATTTTCAGCAGCCATTTCGAGACCCAAACCCGACTGGTTGCCGGGAAACCCAGCCCCTCCTTCCTGCATTTTCACTCTTCCTGATAATTGCTTTTCGATCTCCGTTTGCCGTGTTCCGCCCAAGCGATCATCCCACCTCATTTATTCGAAGGAAGCGCACTGCAGCCCACATACCTCGCTCAACTTTCAACTAACCTCAACTCCCACACCACATCGCCTTGAAGAAGCTCTCGAGCAACTTCCTCCAACACCGCTAGCCAACGACATACCATCTCGCGACCTACATCAGCCTTCCACATTCCAGATCCCAGATCCTACATCCCACATCCCAAGACATCTCGCAAGCCACGCCTGCAGCCCGCACCCTGCACACCATACCGCATACCACATCCCCGTCGCTTCTTTCCCCGTGTGCCGGACCCAGACCCCGGCGCATCGCATGCCGGCGGCCTCTCACAACAATCTTTGAGCGGATGCTCGTTGACCCACCAAATATCTGAGACCATGTCGGAACGGTACTCAGCAGAGTTCCTACTGCACCTGCGCGACTCGCCGCTATGCGTGAAGCCTCCAAACCTTCCTCCTGCTGAGGAGTGGATGGGGTATGTCTTCCTATTGTTCTTGGGCTCACTCCTTCATGCCACCCTAGCACTGGCCAGTCCATTCTTACTTCCATGTGTGCTCGATTGCTAACATTTGACTTCTTTCTAGACCACCCCCGGAGACCTTCCGGAACCAACAGAAGGCCGCTGGCGACCGCCACAAACCTGGCGATGGCGGGGCGCTGCTAACTCAGGACAACAAACGCCCCACTCACGACCGCAATGGGTCTAGAAACTCTGCGAGTATGTACACTGCCCTGCCCGGCAGCTTAGCTGGCTGGCCCTTCATCGTCCCATGTACCTGATTTGACTGACTGGTATTTTACAGACCCGGACGAGATCATTCTTGGGCCCCCACGAACCAGCTTCGCATCGGCATCTGCCACATCAATGCGTGGCCCCCGAAATGGCGAAGCCGAGAAGGGATTTAGAGACACCGAGCGCAACGACCGCTTCAACTTCCGCAACCGTACCGGCGACTCGGAAAACCCCGCCGATAGATTCAGCAGAGACACAAGAGAGGGTCGCAACAATGGCTTCCGCCGCCGCACCGACCAGGACCAGGACAACGAAGGCTGGAGTACCGTGAAACCACGTAAGAGCTTTGGTCACGAAGGCGCCGAGCGTTTCCATGGACGTATGGGAGGTGTGGGCAATGATCGCTTTGCCCCGCGGGACGACACTCGACGTACGCGTGAGCGTGATGACCGAGAGGGAGGAGAACGTCGCAGCCGCAACTTTGAGCACCGTCCGCGAGACCAAGAGGGTGATGAGCCCGAGACACCACGCCGCAATGGGCTTCCTCGGGGCAAGACGGAGTCTTGGTTTAGGGATAATGCCACTGGTAGTAGCTCGGAGGCCGCCCCTCCTCTGTCCCAGCGTGAGCGAATCGATAGGGCCAAGAGTTGGCGTGATCGAGACCCGGAAGATAAGCCGAACGACAGATATGGGGACCGGAATGACAAGGGTTATGATCGGAGGTGGGATCGCGATCGTCATGCACGTGTCGAGAACGACCCCGAGTGGCTGGACGAGCCTCTGGAAGAAAAGACTCAGAGCCACACCGAAGACGATTTGAAGAAATTCCTGGATAGCATGAAGGCGGGCAGGTCGGGCGGTGCCCCGAAGCCGGAGGAGAAGGCTAGCAGCGGGGGCGGAGCATTTGACCAGCCGTTGGCTCCAGCGATTGCTGAGGAGCACAAGGTTGTCTCGGCGCCTGCCGTTGAGTCGGGCCCGGACAAGTTCTTTGCCGCTTATGGGAACTCGGGTATTGACGCTGGCACTCCCACTGCCGAGGCCAAGGACGCCGCAAAACCCAAGGCAGGAAAATCCTCGCGGTTCATGGCCTTCCTGGCACCTCAGGAGGAAACCAAGGCCCGAACGGAGCCTCCAACACCCGCAGCTGTGGCGCAAACAAGCTCTGGCCCTGCACCCACCCAGCAGAGCGATGCTGATAAGGAAGCATTTGCTCTCCTCATCCAAAAACTCCAGCGATCCGGGTTTGGACCGGCCCTGCAATCGGGCGCGCCCCCGGCGCAGACACCCCCCGACAGGTTCCCGGAAACGTCGCCTTTCCAAGGGTTCCAGCAACAGCAGAAGAGTGCTGTCGCCTCTCCCGAGCCATTCCAACAGTATGGCAACGGGAACAACGGTGGCGAAAGGCGTGACGATCTACGCATGCGAGGCTCGCAACATTCTATCCACGACATGATTTCTCCCCGTCCAGCTGGTCTCCCTATGCCGCCTCCGCCCGCAACCCGGCCGGAGCAGGCTTTGCAGGATCTCTTGGCCCAGCGCCACCTCATGCCTAGCCAGTCGAGCACGCGTTCCGAGCAACAGAATATGGTTGCCGTGAACCGCAACCGAGAGTTTCTGGTGGGCCTCATGCAAGGCCAACGCGAATCACCCGACCAGCAACGCGCCGAGCAACACCACCTCATGCGCATGCCCCAACCAACCAAGCAGGCCTCGCTCGCTAACGTACGCGACCGCGAGCAAGATTACCCCCGCGAGCGGAGCGCGTCCCAGCGCCAACAGATGCGCGGCGCTCCCCCCGGCTTCCTCGAAGAGAACCAGTTCCACCCAGGCGATATCGAGGCCCGCCCGCCTATGCAGCCGACCCAGATTTTACAGCGCCCTCCTCCGCCAGGTCTCGAACACCAGATGCCCCCCTTCCACACGGGCGGAGTCAACCCTAGTGCCGGAGGTGGTCAAATGCCCCCTCAGCGACCCATGATCCCCCCCCCTGGGCTGATGAACAACGGTCCCCGCAATATGCCTATGCCGGGCATGTTCCCGCCCAACTTTCCGCCTCCACACGGCCATAGCGGACCTGGCAACTTCCCACCGGGACCCCCTCCTCCCCATGCCGGCGGCCCCCCACCACCCGATGGTATGGGCGGTCCCCCGCCCGGTCCTCCGCGCTCGATGCAGCCTCCTCCCGGATTCTTTGGAGGCCCGCCGCCTGGTTTCATGCCTCCTCCCGGCATGGTTGGTGGTGGTAGTGGATTCCCAGGCCCTGACGGCCCACAAGGCGGCCCGAATCCGGGGCTCGGCCCAGGTCCGGGACATGGTGCTATGGGAGGTGGCTTTGGTGGCTTGCCTAGCCCTTTTGAGAGGCTGGAGCGGATGGGTGGAATGGATAGGCGTGGGATGATGCCGCCGCCTCCGGGGGGATTCCGGGGCGCTTAAACGAGACATACATGCGTCTCCCTTGTCGGTGCGGAGAGTACCGACTGGCCTGGTCACAATCGGTGATCGGCCTGGAATTCCATGCTCATTTGAGATCGTTGAGCATTAACAGCTGGAAGGAATGCTTCGGAGCTGGTTCGAGAATGGGGGGTTCACCGATGCATTGGAGATGGTCGTTGTTAATGAGAGTTTATGTAATGCTTACGTTTTTACCCAGTCTTTTGCTTGGTCTTTCGGAATGGTCTTTAGGCGGTGATCTGCTTTGTTTTCTGTCTTGCTTCGTTTCTCCTTTTCGCACACTCTCTCTCTATTTCCGGCATTCGGCGGACGGTAAATGAGGCTGGGCTGGGATGGGAATTGGAGGCAGCGTAGTTTTTATTCAGCTTTTATTTTCTCGTTGCATTTCGACTTTACTTTTCCCCACTATTCCCCAGTTCTCTTGATTTTCTGGTGAACCGCAAAAAGAAAAGGGGGTTAAAGAATGGCGGGATGGTTGGCCGGCTGGTTGGCTGGCTCGTGAAACGGATGGCGGTTTGATTTTGGGTTTATTTGCACGGAGCTTTCTTGATATCACTTGATATTACGAGTCCGGTTGAGGAAAAGGGAAGTTGACATTGAAAGGCGCTGCTTAACGACTGGTCACGAGCATGAGCATGAGCATGAGCATGAGCACAAACAGGGCGAGGAAACAAAAAACCATGAACGATGGGATGGGTTTCAAGGAAGGTGTTATTCTCGTCTCAACCATTACAATTTCTTTCAACCCCCAGCGAAGCGCTTTTCGCCTTCTTTTTCTTCTTTGTTTTTGGTGTTTAGGTATTGTATTTTTTGGGGCTGGTTAACCAACGATCCGTTCGAAATCTTGCCGAGCGCCGAGCGCCGGGGTGTGCTCGAGGATAGTTCGGATGGATCTCTTGTTCGGTTCGGGTCGGTTGGTGTGATAGGTCGGATGGTTTCTGTCTGAAGTTTGGTGGTTCTCGGCAGTGGGGGGTTGAGGAAGAGTGGCATTTTGTTACAGGTGTGAGGACTTGTTTGTGTATTAGCCCAGGAGGCCAGAGGTGGGAATACAAAGGGATATATATATGTAGGCATTTTTGGTGAGCTTGGCGGTGCAGTGTAATAGTAAATAACATTGGGAAGAAGAAATAAATGTACAGTATAACCCTGCCTGTTCTCGTGCCATGAGGTTGTCTTACTCCTCTGCTAACGCATAGTTTCGCTATGGCTTCCTCTTTGGCATGCTGATACCCGTGATCGATCTTCTTCCTCTCTGCTGGACTCTTTATTTACCAACTTCATATTACATTGCAGCAATGTTGTGTGCTAGCTCCCTTAGCTACAGCATGTCTAGATACATTCGCCATCTAACTATCTCCGCTTCCTAAGCGAAGAGATCTTATTACTTTTTACAACAACATATCAACACCGCTCAAAGACACGGTACAGCCCCTTGAGGTTGGCCGCCTCCAAGATCCCACCCTGCATCAGCGATTTCGTAGCCACCAGCCTCGACTTGAAGGCCGGAAAGAGCACATGCTCAACCGCTCTACGGACATGACTTCGGCGGGCCTTGATCTCGTCGTCAATATCCGGTGTTGATGATGCAGCTTCTTCTCCGCTTTTCTCTGCCTCTGCCTCTGCGTCACCGTTTTCCCCTTCCCCTTCCCCATTGCGAACGGTAGCGGGTAACTGCTCCGGCACGTAAAACGCCGCCAGTTCTCGGAGAAATGTGTCAAAACAGCCCTTTTCTTCTTTCCAGTTGACGTGTGGGCCAAGCCGGAGGAGGAAGCGCGGGAGTTTGACGATGGCTGGGTTATACCCCTTGACGAGCAGCGGGATGCTCATGAGTTCGCCCGTGGGTGAGATTTCGAGTGAGAAATACTCGAGCAGCATCTCGCGTCGCTCAATGAGCTGCTCAGCGACTAGGTCAACGATTTCCTCTACATCAAACTCTTCTTCGCTTTCTTCTTCTCCCTCGGTGGCGCTTGCTTCCGCGGTGGCGTCTTTTTCCTGCTGCGCGGCTAGGCTGAGTAGTTCCCGCAGATCCAGTGGTGGGCTGAACCGGATGACGCCAAAGTTACCAAAGTCAGTCAGGCCCAGCTGGTAGAAGTACTCGGCGCAGACATGGCCGTAATCTACTAAATACAGCTTTACGCCGCCCTGAATGGCGGCCAAACGGCGGCGCTCATCCACGACCCCGACAAACGTGTGGTTGGCGAAGATCTCGGTCAGCTCAACGTGCATCTCCTCACGCACCTCAGCGCGCAGTTCGCGGACGCTGCTAAGTCGGCAAGCTGTGGCCACTCGGTCCACCGTCTCGTACTCAATCACGTCGGCCTCGGCTTGGGTATCGGGCGATGGCCCACCCTTGCTTGCTGCACCGGTGGCCACCGCAGCAGGAGGCAGCATGCTTGTGATCTTCCGCAGATTGGTATCGGTCCGAACAAGGTTACTCTCGTTCCTAGCTGGCGTCTTTCGAGCATTTCCACCACTTGTCTTAGAACTGGGGGTTGTGGCTGACGGTTGCGCGGAAGGGGCAGAAGGCCCCGACCATGTGCCACCTGGGAGCAGGCTCTGGGTGAGGAACGTTCGACTAGCGTCCACCTCAGCTAGCTTGGAGCGAATGTGCTCGCAGATAGCCTGAATGATCTCATCTTCGTTCAAGAAATTTACTTCCCGTTTGGTGGGGTGAACGTTGACATCGACTCGGTGGGGGTCGATCTCAAGACTCAGGTACACAAAGGGGTGGCCACCCTTGGGTAGGAAGGCTGAGTATGTCTGCTCGATGGCTTTGCGGATGTTGGACGACTCCACACATCGATGATTGATAAACAACAGGATGTTGGTCCGCTTAGTGCTGTAATTGGCGTTGGTCGCCAGCCCCTCTGCCTTGAAGGCCCAACGGTCGTCGGATGTGGAGAACTCAGTGAGCTCGTTGGCAACACTGCCCCCGTAAATTTGCCGTATCCTATCAACACATGATGCGGTCGCTTGCACAGCAATGCTCGTCGATGACTCGCCGTGCTTTTTGCAAGAAAATGCGACGTTGGAACAGTGGACGGCGTACCGTCCAACCATGTCGATGATCTTGTTGTACTCGTCTGACGAAGACCGGAAGGCCCGTCGGCGGGTAGGCACGTTGTAGAACAGGTCCTCAACAGTGATCTGAGTGCCTTGCCGACCAGCCACCGGTTTCGGGTCAGGCGACTGGCCGGGTTTGGCGGGAACTAGTTTGCCGCTGTCATAGTATGCCCGCCAAGCGCAGTTGGACTCGCGGGTCTTGGTGGTCACGGTGAGGTGGGCAATGTGGCTAATGCTAGCCAAGGCTTCGCCGCGGAAACCATAGGTGGCTATGGTCTGCAGGTCCTCAAACTTTTGCAATTTGGACGTCGTAAATCGCTCACACAGGATTGGTAGGTCTTCTTTCTGTTTTCTCGGTGAGCGGTGTGCAACAAGCAAGGGGCCGGCGAAGAACAGGGCGAGGGGGGCGAGAGAGAGAGATGGGCACGCACATCGATGCCTGAGCCATTGTCGGTAATCTGCAGTAGCTTGAGGCCGCCGTCCTTGACTAGGACTTCGAGCGACGTGGACCCAGCATCTACGGCGTTCTCAATCAACTCCTTCAATGCATGGACCGGAGCGACGATGATTTCTCCCGCGGCAATCTTGTTTACGACGTCTTGATCGAGTGCCTAGGAAGCAGCTCGGACTTAGCAATCCGAAGCAGGATGCAACCCCAAGTGTTGAACGACTTGTTCATATCTTCATAGCATACCTTGATCCTTCGAGGACCAGCTGTGTCATCGAGCAAATCATCGGCTTTCCGCTTCGCGCCACGGGGCGCATCCACATCCATAGCATCAGTCATCATGCCGTTTCCACGTCGGGCCAGGAAGAAGAGAAAATGGCGGGCGGGGCGGGGCAGTCTCAAACTCGTCAGTTTGAACGCGTTCCTGCCCGTCGTGCTGACTGATGGGCGGCCGCTCTGTGGCACATCTCAGCCTGGCCGATGGTTGGGGACTCAGGTTGGGGGGGAAAAGAAAGTGCAAGGCCACTCAGGTGTGGCCAGGCATCCATGGGCAGATCGCGACTTCCACCTGAGCCCCGTCGGCTGTTTGCGCGTTGCGGGAGGTGCCAAGCCGGGAGCGATGGCGAAGCATGGCTTGACATGTCCGATTTAGGAGTAGCGCAATTGAAGTCTTGGCGTTGTTCTGGAGAAGTGGGGGTGGCCCGGGCGTTCTTCCAGATGCCCACACGAGACTCCGGCCGCCCGGGCTTCTGTTCCACTCGTTTTCGGAACGGTTTCTCGTCTTCTTTCTCGTTTCTTCAACCCGCAATCCTGCACCTCGCTTGAGCCTGGTTTTGCCATCAGGCCGCTCCTCTCGGCGCGGCAAAATAAGCTTTTTCGTCCAACTCCGCCGGGCCGTGACACCATGACCGGCCCCGTTTTCTTCAACGGGTTTCGAATGGCCCGCTAGCATATCGAAACCTCGATCCATCCCGTTACAGCTGCGGCACAGTTGAGGACGCCCAAGGACCACCTCAACAAAATTGTAATGCCATGGAGAATGGTCGAGGCCAAGCTTGAGAAAGAGACCTAGCTGACAAAGGCGCCGGCCGTCTCTAGTCCTTCGACTCTTGGAGCGATGGTTTGCGCGCCGAGTTTCGAAACTGAGCGTCACCCGACTTAGACCAAGCCCGGGGCATTTCCCGTTTGGAGTTTTCAGGCCCAGGCTTCCAGATACCGGTCCCCCTCTCTGCGTAACCAAGCCACACTGCCCGAGAGGCGAAGCTTCCGCGCGGCTAGACGGCGAGATGCCGGACTGTGCCCCTGTTCTTTCGCCCGCTGCCGCGATACCACACCCCCCCCCCCCCCCCCCCCCCCCCCCCCCCCGCCCAATCTTCCCCCACACTGTGACCATGTCGCCTCGGCGCTGATGCATCCAACGGTTGGCACGCCCGGGCCAACGATTGCCTGTCCGTACCAACCGACACCCCGCGGTACCTTTCCGTCCCCTGCGGGACTAGCGCGATGCGTTGGGATGGCACAATGGCTTGTGGCGATTGAGTTACATTTTCGAAGTACCTAGCGAAGCAGCGTGCCGTTCCCGTCCTTGCCTGCATACTCTCCCGATCAACCCGTGTACTTGCTCCCTGCAGCCCTGTCGGTTAGGTCACCACACTGGATACCCTACCCCCCCTGCCTCCTTTCACACACCCCCGGCCCCGGGCGGACCGCTGGAACGGGCTCCTACGCGGGGCACACTCAAGTCCTGGGTGAGCAAAAGTCTTTTCCCGCCCTAGTTTTGCTGTCTAGTGACACTTTTGCCTCGACTGCATAGTATCTCTTTAAATATGTGACACTGGCCACTCTGCGGTCTGCTGGCTGCTGGTCTCCTATCACGACCGCATCGATCATGCATAAGGGCCAAGCGCAGCGTCCACCGCGTAACACAACTTACCTGGTAACACAACAGCCGGTTCAACTCGAGTCGACTCTACTCGACGCAACTCGAACAAGTCATGGCGAACGACTCCCCACGAGACATCCCCTGGGTTTCCAGCCCGGACCCAACTGCGAGCGAGGGGAATTCGTCAGTCCAGGTCAACTTTGATTCACTCAGCCAAAGGTAAGCTACTCGCTTTCTAGTGTATCTATCATACATCGGTCTCGACTTACACACGACACAGGGGAAGAAGTGTAGACCGGCGTTCCCCCTCATCGTCAATCCGTCCTTCGCCCTCGCGAGGCGTCCCCGAACACTCATTGGCACGACAAGCCACGGCCAACTCGCTGACCACATTCCTTGCCTCGCAACCGTCATCTCAGCTATCACAGGGCGACCAGCCTCCGCCATCTCCAGAAGACGTGCTCAGAGACCTCATCGATATCCCCGAGTCGACTGGCGATGTGATCAGGAGTTACCTACACGGCGTCAAACGACCACACAACGACGACGATGACGACAACATGGCGGAAGAACCCCATCCAAAACGGGACAAACTCGGTGAGGAACTGGAGAGCATGTCGGGGCCGAACTACTCGCTCTCTTCCATTGTGGTATCATCTGGCTCGTCGCCGTTTTCCTTGTTGGCTGCTTCAACTCCGACCGTTCCAACCAGGACCGTTCCAACCAGCGAGGGGAGCCCTTCCACACCTCCGACGAGGACCACGCTGCCATTGAGACCGCCTCGACGACGGCCACTTCACTTAGCCAACAGGACGGATGTACTGCAGGGTGGGGTGTCAATGGGGTTCGGTCCATCTCATTCCGGACAGGATGAAGCTGAGGATGGGGACGACCAAGAAGGCGGAGAGGGAAACCGGTAGTTGCGGGCTCATGGGAATGTGACTGGAGAAGTCATTGGTGTGAGGTATCAGGGCAGGCAACTTTTTTTTTTTTTCTTTTTCCTATCCTTTGATTTTCCGGCCGTTGTCAGCACGCTGTGAGCGAAAAGGGGTAGAGATGGGGGAGGCAGAAGTTTCCTTTTCGTTTCTTTCTGCGTTTTCTTCTTCTTCTTATCTTTTGTCTTTGTCATCTCTGCATGTGCATGCTTTTCATTTCACATACCACTTTCCCACCTTACATCTCTTTGGACAACACCCGAGTGGGAGTGAACGTTACCTCATTGGCTCTGGTTCGTCTCTCGACCGGGCTACTTGCAACGCAGCCCTGGTCATCGATATCTCCCTTGCATGTCTTCTTCAATTTTCCCTTTCTTTCCTAGCACACTTTCATGTGCAAAGTATGGTAAAAGGAGGGTATACTCAGGGTTTCTCTTACCGGGCAACGTCATATAAAAGTTCTAGCCAATCTTCGCAGTCCTATAGATTATCTCTGGCCAAACAACCGCTTTTGTTTTTTTAAATGAATGAGAGAAAAAATCTCCGACCCGATCGCCGAGATTGCCGACCCGCAGGTGCCGGCAGCCCAAAAAATCTCCGAATCGCTTCCCAGTTAGCCCCCACCGCCAATGGAACACCACTCTCTATTTTCCGAAAAGGCTTGGCAGCCGTTGAGAGGTTCAATCATCTCACGAGTCCGGCTGTCCAGATATCTCCTTGCCGCGGGGTGGGAGATTGGCGGTCTGTGCCGGGCTTACGTTTCTTTGGCCCCTTTCGGATTTCGATATCCCCAACACTCGATGGGTGGCTGGATGGATATGTAAGACCCGGCCATTAATACAATCTCGTTCTCACCGAACACCCCCGACGCAGCTCACGCGAGCCACGCGAGCCACGCGAGCCACGTCTCTTCCCGTCTGACAACGTTACACGACACCAACGGCTTCCCCACTCACGCCGATGAACAACAGCTGGCTAAGGAATTAGGTTGTGGAAGGAATGGGGGAGATGTCAGGAGTTCAACCGTGAGATCTACGGATGGCTCGACTCTGTCAGGTTGTTTGTTTGTTCGTGTGTGGTAGTCCGTGACTAATCCGTGATGGACATAGATACATGTCCGCCTCGTTGTGATGAGATGACGTACGTCTCGGCCCGTAAGACCTATACCAACCCCCCTCCCTTTATACTATTATACCAGATGCCCAATGGAATGCCACCTCCCCTCCCACTCTTCGAACCGAATCAGCCCCATCGTGGGATCGGGTCGAGCTAGGCAATCCATCGATTTCATTTAACCACTCCCCACAGTTTAATCTGACTTCATTTCTCCACATTACACCTCTTTAGATTACCAACCTCTTCCCCGGAAAATGGCAGGAGAGGAGGGGGGGTGATGACAGCCAAGGCCTACCGCATCAATATGCCATTCTGCCGAGGCCGGTCACTACGTTAATCAGCTAAGGTGGTTCCCGGTTGGTCAAACTTTCCCTTGCCTATCCCCCAAAACGGATATCTACGACACCCAAACCTTAACTTGACGTCCACTCGTCTAAAACGGGAAGGGGGGGAGGCTTACAAAAAGCATTCAATCTCCATCCTTCGTTGGGTATCTACCCCATGCTTTATCTTTTCCCACACCTCTACGGTACTTCTTTATTTTCTCTCTTCTTTGTCTTCTTCTTCTTCTTCTACTTCTACTTGTTCATTTTCTCTCTTCCTATTCGTCCCCCTCTTCCCCAACGAGAAAGCGGTAACACACATCAACCCAACGGCTATCGTCTCAGTCACCCGTGCCTAAACTATACACGTGCAGCGCAAGGAGAAAAAAATCCCTTACGCTTTAACCACGCCAGGCCAAAGTCAACATCAGGGTTCCAGTAGAGCCGGGTATACAAGTGAACATTAGTCGATAAGGACGTAGAGAGAGCCACTGAGCATGGTTTGGCATGGCAATAGCAACAATAACGACCATATGGTACATACCATGCTGGCTAGTGCTATTCGAGCATGCACCACTGTGCTTTGCCCATCATCGAAATAGGCCGCGGAAACGATGATACTTTCAAAAATATAATACGGCATTGAAGCGGGTGCGTAAGCACGAAACCTAAAAACCCCCTAAAACAAAAAAGAAAGTATAAAAATAATAAACCCCAAACCATAAAACGCCACTGGTATGCTTTTCCAACATCGCCGAGCCCCCCTAACCGCGTGCCCCGACATGGCTTCATTCGATCATCTTATCATTCGACGCCCTTCCCCTCAGATACGTACATAACTCCTCGACAAATGCACGAAACACAACAACTATGTGCCAAGACATACGGTGGTATCATCCCAAAATATGCAACCCCTTGGATGGAACATCTTCCCCAGGAACGACAAGAAAAAAAGCCAAAATGAAGCCAGGTATCCCAGCCCTAACGCCTGAATCTGCACCTGGCAGGTCCATAAACTGCATCGGCCTCGTCCCCTTCCCCTTCTCCCACTCCGCTCCTGCCTTCAACATAACTCGTCACGTGGAGTGTGTGGGCGCGTCCTGCCACTGCCATCAGGCACTCCTTGTCGTCCCCGGATGTTCAAGTAGACCACCAATGCCCATGCGAGAGGTCTCTTCCCGAGGCTGGTATGGGGGCGGTGGTGGTAGCGACGGCAGTTGCGGTTGTCCTTGGAGCGGCTCAGGATGTTGTGAAGCACTTACGGGCGGGCTCCTTATTCGTGGGAGCGGCAAGATTTGGTAGTCTGCCGCTTGGGATGGGCGAGCTGCCGCGTGGACGTCTGTTCTGGGGGTCTGGTAGGTCCTAGGCGTAATGGGGTACTCAGGCCGATTCGGCGAAACGCCATATGTCGAGGATGAGAGACCAGGGCTCCGTGTGGGCAGCATGTTAAGTGGCCCGCTTGGGGGTGGCCCTGGTTGCCTAGAATCATAGCCAGAGTCGCTTAGCCGTGGCTGTCGCGAGTCAAATGTTGCCGAGAGTGGGGTGGGTTGAGAGTACGATTGCAACCCAACCTCAAAGGAACCGCTCATCTCTCTTAAACTCGGCGAGGGTGTTGGATACGACGACCGGGAGACGCGGCTCAGCAAGAGTACGACGAAGTAAATCGAGTTTTGCGAGGCCAGCCCCGCACGGACTGAGACTTGCCGCACCTGCCCGTCATCTCCTAGGAATGCGAACGTGTCGAGCCAAGGAAGGGGATGTCTTGCCACCTCTTCTGGCGAGAAACCCAAGCTTTGAATCACGGCGTCGGTCCGGTCGCTGAATATTGGCGGTAGATAAGCCGGGTCCTTCCTAGTTTGCTCCTCTTGCGCCTGCTGTTGGAGCCTGGTAGCCCTTGGTCGCTCTTCAGGGGTTAACACGTGGGTGAACTCAAGTCCTGCTACCGACGTCCGACCGACGCCGCTGAGAAAGGAGGACGACGCCTTGGAAAACTCGAGGCCGATCGTCAGGTAAGCAACCGGCTCTTCGGGTGTTCTAGCCGTTGCGATCGACAAGGGGGTGGAGAACACGTTGGTATCAGACACCAGCCCGCGTTCGGGGAACCTCGGCGCAGTCGCTTCAGCTGGCTGAGATTTCAGCACGCGGTACGATTGAATTCGACGAAGAGGATCATCGTAAACCATACCCGGCGGCGGTGGTCCTGGGCCGTACGACGACGACAGCGGCCTCCTCATGCTATCCACGGTGCTTCCAAACCTCGCGCCCTCGTATTTTGTTTGGCTATCATCTCGGAGACGGGGCCGCCCACGCTTCTTGTGCTGCACATCGACACAAGCTCCCTCCTTGTTGGTGCTGATACATCGAGAGCATGGGCGTTGCGCTGTTTCCTGGTCAGCAATGAGGCCACAACATTGACCTCATCCAGAGAGTGAATGGGAAACAGACAAAACAGAAGGGGTATTTAATGCGCAGTGATATTAAAAGCCAGGGGGGGTCCTGTGATCCCGATATAACCCCCGCTCTCGGTTATCACAGATGCGGGAGCAGGCGAGTCCCATGACACATTATCCGCTTGGTAGTGCGTCACATGGGAAAAAGGAAAAGGAAAAATAACACCGAGGAAGGTCGACAAGGCTAGCCAATTCGTCATCGGGAGGGACAGATCGCAGTGTTCTCGAAAGACAGCGGGCCGCCTTGCCGTGGGATGAGACTTCCGCCTTGCAGTAGCGAGCCGTCTGGTCCGATGCAATGGTGTCTTGAGGGTGAAGGGGGTTGGGGGCCAGTAATAGCCCCTGCTTCTAGACCGAGCCAGAAGTGGGTGGAAAAAAGGAAGAACTCGAGAATTACGAATGCAGCCCACTCGGGAAGCATTCTCTCCCGTTCCCGCAGTCCGGGCGGGCCCCGTTCCCAGTGCAACGACAACTCAAATCATTGCGCCGTCTCATATTGAGTGCAGGGTTGTTCTGATGGCGTTGCACGCTTGTGCTTGGCGAACGTTGATTGCCGCGCCTAAACGGCCCCGGAATTGCTCAACAATATGATGTCAATTAATTCCGCAACCCACAACAACGGAGCCGCCGCGCCAATGGCGCCAACTCTAGCCCGGTTGTGCCTTTTTTGGGGCCGTGTTTTTTAATATCGGCGAAAGGCGGGTCGGGGTCACGTACCGTCACATCTACACATTGTTAGCGTTCTTTTTCTTCAGAACTCGAAGTCAGATGTAGCCGCAAGGACGAACCGTAAGTGGGCTTTTTTGCAGGGCACGCAAGCAGATGCCACATGCCCTTTTGCTTTCCGTTGAGGTTTAGGTGTCGTGCTTTGGACAGCATCCCCAATGCCATGATGTCCTGTGGGAGGATACGCCTGTGGAGGGAGCGACCCGGGTTGGTTGTGTGCTGTCGCGCCGGTTTCAGGTCCCGACATGTAGGCGGTTGGTTGAGACGTGGCCTGCCCGAGTGCTGGGGGATAAGGCAAAGACCGCGTGCCTGGTCCGTCAGATCGCGGGAATGCGTATGAGCCTCGCTCCGAAGCCTCTGAAAGGAACAAAGGTGGCTCGCCCGCAGCACCCGCATGTGCTCTCTCGTCGCTTCGTGTTGTCGGGATGCCGCGGTACACATCTCGTGTTGTCGTTTGATGCGCCCCCTCACTTCGTTCGGCAACCCCATGACTGGTCTTGGCCGGGAGCGGCGGAGAGCCCGACATGGGCGGAGATGGATAACTGCCCGGATCCGCAACACCGCCGCAGTCGATTCTAGCTCGTGTGATATCAAGACCAGACAGCGTTGCCCCCGGTATTCCCCGGCGCTGGCCGAAAGACGTCCAAGAATCGTCCACTCCGTGGCCGGTTAGTCGCATGGAGGACGTGGTGCTGATGGAGTCGATGGTGAATGCGTGACTTCTTGATCTCCCCGGTGGGGCGCGTTTAGTTGCACTCGATGGTCCAACTTCAGCGAAGGTTTCCGTGGATGTTTCGCTTCGCAGAACCGATATTGACGTCCAGATTGTTTTCCAGGGGCGTTAATACCGATGGTCGTCACCGGGATCGACGGGTGGTGCAAGGTATAGTGTCAGCCGTGAGGAGGTGGTTCAAGACTCCTCCAGTCTCGAGAAAGTGGGATCCCAACAATATCGCGGGTCAAGAGACGGCGGGATTAACTCTGCATCGGAGAGTCAGAAGAACTAATTCAAGCCCGTCGGAGGGAGCGAGGCCTGTCGTGCTGGGCGGGGGCTTGCGGGGTACAAGGTCCAAATACCCTCCGCAAGTGTTCTCGGGTGCTTCGCGCTCAACTGCCCGCCTTTTTTAGAGAGCGGCGGTTTTTAGATCGGCTGAGTTGAAGCGGGCTGGACTCGGGACTAGCGGACGGGGACTCAGGGATAGGCCACCCGACAAGACGCTCAAGGTCGGACAAGATGCTCCAATGTGAACCCTTCTCAGCGGTGTTAAGAGACCCGGCTCGTGGCACGGCAGACAGCGGTCTCCGTACGATGGGGAGGCAAGCGGGGAACTGCAGGCCGGTCCCGTCACCAGTGAATCTCCCGTGGCATGAGGCCTGGGCGTGAGCCGAAAGATGGGAGAGGAGGGCCTAGACGGGGGGTTGGTTTCGTTGCCGAGGTAGTCGTCGCGGTAGTTGAGTTGTCGTCGTTGCTGTCGTCGGTTTAGGTTGATGTTAGGATCCGAGGGTTGCTCTGAACAGGAGAATCGCCGCCACGTCGAGGGCAACTTAGCAACACAGGGTCAAGCTTAGTCGAGACTCGGCAAGGAGAGATTTACTACGAGTGGTCCTCGGGTGGTTTTTGTGCGAGTGAAGGGTGACGGTACAATTGAGATGGAGCCCAGATAGAGCAAGGATAGTCGGACACCAAGTCAGGGCACCCCAGCAAGTGTGGTTATCCCATGGATGGCCCCGAAAATCGAAGGCTAATGCCAGGTAACTGAGAGCCCTGGTCGTGGTCAACCCCCCAGCGCCCCCCCCCGGTCGGCCCAGGTTCTGTCCTTGGTGTGGGTATGGTAATCTGTAATCTGTAATCTGGACGTCGCAGCGCCGAGAGCACACGCAGTTCACACTCGCCCGCTGGCTGGCGTGGGGGAGGTGAGCCGTTTCCAGGGTCGTCAAGCCCGAGGCGTCCCCTAGCAAAGGGTAAAAGTGGCCGAGGCGCCTCCTTGCCCTCACGGTTAATATGGGTGTGAGAGCGCGCCAGTACCGTTGCAGATAGTGGACCTCGGGGGATGTTAGGGTGGCAGCATGCAGCTAGGCCTGGGGAACAAGCCGTCTGTCTATTGGGCGCTGGGGCATTCCACGATGTGGTTTCGTGCGCCCCATCAAAAAAAAAAGTTAAGCAGCGGGAGTCTTTGGTGCGAGATGGCCGGCGCCGCGCAATCTTGTTGACGTTTAGGGAAGTGTGCGGTTCGCACGTCCATGGACGCGTCCGTGTCCCGTCTCAGGTGTCAAACAACGGCCGGAGCTAGCGACTAGGAGCCTCCGCCAACAGCTCGGGGGTCGACCAAGTCGCTGGGAGCGGGGCCGGTTGGGAGGCGTGAAAGCCAAGCACTCTTGCTGGGAAGTGTCCGGTCGAGTCAAGTGGCGCCGAGCCCACAACCGAATGAGAGCTGGTGTTGTTGCCGGCCCCTTCCCTTGCTCGTCGGTATGTCACAGCATCAAACGGTGGAAACACGCCGCATCGGCTGTCTTGTCGACATTTAAGGACCCGGAAGCCACATCCTCAGACAACAAAGTTCTAGCGTATGCATGGCGCGGCTACCAACGTACATCAATGGCGTGACGTGACAGAGGGGTGTGTGGTTGCAAGTCTCGCAAAGACCGCCTCGTTGGTGATGCGACCCAATGCTGATGGCTGCAGAATTAGTAGGGACCCGGGAGCAACACCACGCTCCAGATTCGGGAATTATCGTTGAGTTAACTTTGAAGCAAGCAAGGAGCAAAGGAGCAATCGAAGCGGCAGGCAACGCCCCTCGCAAGGGCAAGCAAGACAGGGAAAGCGCAAAATTGGTCGCGGACAATTTGAAGGGGCGGCAACTTCCCAGCGTGTTTAGGATCGAGGGGTGACCCGTCCCCCTTCAAGTTCCTGCCTCCCGTGCCTCCATCGTTGTTGACGTTAGCGCGGGAATCTGATCGCCGGAAGGAGATACCGTCTCTCCTGCGGCGGGTGCGGGTTTTCGGTGTTGCTCCCGCCATGCTCAACACAACGAAAAGGCACACTGGTTGAGGCAACTCCTTGCCATGGAAAGCACCACCGGGGCCGAGCAAGTCTCCTCCTAGCGCGCTAGGACTATAGATAATTACCCCTGAGAGAAGGGACGACTGCGTGGAAGCGCCACACAGTTTTGAGAACAGTGCCTTCCCCATGGAAACCCGCCCCATGCGCCTCCGGAACACGTTCGTCACTTTTCTTTTGCCCATCGATCGAGGAAAGTGACACATTGCATGTCACTTTGTCACTTTCTCACAGCCAGCGGCTCCTCAATCTCGGTTTCCCACAATCGGCGCCGACCACTGCATCCACCCTCGAGACCACCCCATCGTTTTGCCAAACGGAAATTTTGCTGTCCTCTCTCGGTTGGGTGGTGTCGACTTCGGCCGCGATCTCTCCGACTGGGGAAGCGACCACCGCGGCCATGCAGACTCCCGTTCTTGCGGCAAGCGCACAAACCGCGGGCTCGGTATGCCCCGGCTTGTGACAGGGAGAAGCAAGCAAGACCGTTTATCTTTTTGCGCCATGCCGCCAGCCAGCGCGGGCGGTGATTGGCCCTGGAGCAGATGCGGCCGGATTTGTCTCGCTTCCCATTCGCACAAGCAAACTGCAGATCAACGTTTTCCGTTGTGTCGGTTCCCCCTCACAAAAGCTTGTATGCCAAGCCGCAGAGTATGCCCGGCCGCACAAGCCAGGGGTTCGAGGACCCCACTACAAGTACATTCACGAGTGTAGTGTAATTGCGGTAGGTACCTCCAATGGACCGCGGCGTTGAGCTCGAACTGCTCGGAACGGGAGGGGAATTTCGATCACACTTTCTCGTCATTATGAAGACCTCAATTATATGCCCTAACTCACTACCAACATAACATTGTCGACACAACCGATAATAAGATGAGTACGGGGTTGAGGGCCCAACTGACAACAAGGTTGATAATTGCATCAGGTGAGAGAGGGTTTGGGGGTGGGAAAATGAAACCTTGGTGCTACTCGGCGTTTCTTGACAAATGTGATTAATTAAACATCAACGTATGTATGTACACGTACCCCATACCCCGCGAGATATCAGGGAGCAAAACAGCACGATCCCGCCCTACAAAAATGCGAGAAATGCCGAATGCGTACAGTGGTGTACGCAAGCTCTTGCTCTAAAGGAATCTGCCGTGAAATTGGCGCCCGAGTACTGAGACACGAGAACAGTGGCGGCAAACCGGAATGGGCCCGCGACGGCTGCGTGATCGCCCAAAGCTTTGGAGCCAGTGTCAAGTTCCCCGTCTTGTCAATGACACCGCCCATTGAAATCCCATTGGGTCGTGACCTTGACCTTGACTTCCTTTGAGTCCGTCTCGAACGCAGCTTGCGCAGGACATCGGCCGTTGCGGCTGGTACCCCCGTGTGCGCCACGAGACCTTAAGCACACAAGATGGGGAAATACAAAGTCGAGGTAAAAGGCATATACTCTCTCTCTGCAGTGAGTCTAACTAACTATATTCTCCGCCGTGTGTTTGCCTTCATCAGCTACTAGACTGGGCGCTCGTCATTGAACACTTCAACCACATACGAATACCACAGTACATACGAATAGCATGTTCTCTCGATCGGTCGCCGGTGGGTCACTCTTTGTGCCCAGCAGCCTGGGCACAAAGTTCGAATGATTCAGTCTCGGCGGATTTCTGCTCGAGACTTGTCGTGTAGCAGCAGAAGAAAAGAGCGGAGATTCTGCCATCCTCTGTATTTTTGGCAGGCCTACGGAGTAAAACCGTGTCGATCCCATCGCATTCGGCCTCATCCTTTCATCAATTCTTTGCAGTACTTCGTACACGTAGAGATTTATGCGTGCGCCGCTGAGGGCAAAAGACTGCTGTGGAGCGACACAATAAGCGAGATTTTCCAGAAATTCTAAACAATTTCGAGGGCGACCTTCCAGAAAAGTAACTCTGCACCCGACCGATTTGAACTGATCCCCGCGCGTCAGAAATTTTCCGGGCCTGACCTGGCAAAATCCGGGATGTGAGGGGAGGCATCACGGCATCGCATGACGTTATGCCGAGGCCCTGGACCTGTCGGGCTATTTTTCATTTAGTTCCCTTTTTGAAGGGTGGTCAAGGTTCTCTTGACTTCAACGCGGATGCAGAGCTGGGTGATGTTGCCGTCGGCGACGATCCTCCCCATGAAATCTTGAGCGTTTGCTTCAGGTAATTTCTTCACTCCTTGTCGAGCTCTCCCCATCCGTTTGCTCTTTTCCAGAGTAGTGTAATCGATTGCGGGGGTGCTTGGAGTGTTTTGCCATCACACGGTGCATGAGTGAGGCGGGGGAAACTCCGTTCATCTCATCCATGTCACGGCCGTGCGCGCGCCGGCTCAATTTGAGGGAGACGGAAGATCGACCCAGCATGCGCACAAATTACGAGCACGCAGCAGTCGTCGGCCTTGTGGTGATCGACTTGGCAGACCTGCAAAGCACGTCTCGCCGACTTTTGGATACTACCGCGCGGGCCCGCACGTGTGTTGGGTGTGACCAACAAATCAGCCAAGCAGCCAAGAAGCCAAGTTCCACGACCCTCGCACACTTCTCGAAGAATCGAACGGACAGCTTGTCCGCTGACCGTTTTGATCCCCGGACCGCTGAAATGTCCGTTCTCTGGTTTGCGGTCCCTCCGATTGGTTGTTTATTCTTCCATCACGCCTTTGAGCTGGAGTGAGTGAGACAAGTTCCAGCTCCTCAAGCTTTGAAGATTCTCCAACAACAGCACCATCGCGCGACAGTCAAACTTGTTGCGGCAACGCCAGACGCTTGGCAGGTACCCTGGCGAGAAGGGATCAACCTTTAATTAGCCCAGAACGGTGCTACTCAGGTGCAGGGGGTCAGGATCCATGAAGAGGCCCATACACGACAGTTTGGCGACCACCAGTCGACAGACCTACACTGTTACTGTGCAGTTCGTGTACACTACCAATACACCTGATCGGAGGCTGGTTCGTCTGAACTCTCCGGATGGGTGATCTAATCGGGTGGGAAGAAAAGCGGTTGTTGATTGTGTGCGACCACGCTCAGATCCGACTGTGGCTAGCCATGGCGGACACGGAGATCTCTCCCCTCTCTCTCGGAGATACACTTGAAGGACGTTGCCGAACCGGACCCGCGAGGGCAAAGGAGAATTTGTTGATGCTGCAGGTGTGCGCAACGGCCGAGTTCACTACCTGCAAGAAAATGGAAGTTCATCGTCGACATAGTACATACAATCGGAAATGTGGACACTAGAGAACAGCCCAAGGCAGTGTATGTATGTACAAGAGAGGTCGTTGTGATTGAGTTACTCCGAGTTCGTAACTGAAACCACGCGATTTGGTGGACGAGTCTTGGCACGCACATGGTGATCAAACTGCCCGCTTGCGCCATCAGCCATGCGGAGATGCCTTTTGCGGCCACAGCCAAGGTCGTTGCTTCCTGTTTTGTCATGACCGAGTCTTGAGACTGCATCGGCACCGAGATGTGCACGGACTCCCGACCCATCTCCTGCTCTCCCTGTGTTTTCCTCCGGACCTGCTTGAAGCGATCAGTTCCTTCCTAACCTGCCGGCCGTGACGTTCATCAGCCCATCACTTGCCAGCACCTTCCGCTTGTTCATCCTCGCTCACCCGCACATACACTATGAAGGGGAACAGGATTTGTTCTTTCCACCCCAATCCCACCCACTTTGGTTACAATGAAACTTGACCTGCATTCGAAGCCCCGGCCCGTCTCCCCCCAAACCCAAGGACCGCACGGAGCAACGGGCCAATCAGCGAGCTTGCCGCGAAGCAAAATTCGCCGGAAAGGGCAGAGCTTCCACCCATGGAGCCATGGTGGATTGAGGACGATGCAGGGATCTTGAGCTGGTTTTCTTCTCCCCTCCCGTTCCCCTCACGCGCACCCCACGGGCGGGCCGTTGGCGAACCTTCCATCAATCAATCTGCCCCATCTCGACACCCCCACCCGTGCAGCAAAAGTCTACACTGCACTACAGTCGCATCCTGGATGAAATTGGCCCTTCCACTTCATCGGCCCGGGCGCCTCTCGCTGTGATACCCATCAGCAGAAACCAATGGGGCTTGAGAAAAAAGCGCCTTGGCTGAGCGGTCCTTGACGAGGGCGAGTCGTGACGCCCGAAGCAGCACCGGCATTACCTCATGCAACAACAAGCGCCTCGAAATGAGGTGTCGTTCACTCACATCCTCCCCCGCCCATCCGCCTCCCCCATAATTCACCCTCCATTTGCGATGGGGAGTCGACTTCCCTCTCTGAAGGGAAGTAGCTGCCTAATGAGCGGACCGAATGGGATACACATCGACGTTGTCCCTTAGTATCCACACAACCTGCCGACCGAGCTGCTGTTTGCGACATCTCGAAGGACCCGTTGAACAAATTTCTTCGAATTTCGCGCCCAGGAGTGAGAGGGTTACCACCAAACCTCCGATGATGTCTCGATGTATCACTGCGGCGTTGACCCAAGCCGCGTCTTTCTGGGTGGGGGGCCGCCCAGCCCTTCCACTCGAATGTCATTTCCCACATTCTTCCCTGGCCACGAGGACCGGGAAATTTTTCTCCCTCCCGCGCGAATTGGATGAAGCTGCCCTGGTCGCCCTTCCTCTTTGAGCCAGCTAGCCACCCAAGCCTCCCCCCTGTCGCACCCTGTAACGCAAGGACCGAGAGAGTCAGGGTTCGGGGTGGAAGAGTGAAGAGGCTGGCTGACTGGCTCGGCTGGGAATGACGGAGGCTCGAGCAAAGCTCGGCAAGGAAGCGACGAGAATTTGGGCGCAAAAAAACAAAGCGCATTGCCTGACTCGCAAAGGAAGCCGAAGCTCAAGACTCGTTCGAGTACAATACAATCCTTGAATGATTGTTAGCGCGGAACCTGAACAGCCATTTTGGGAATCGATCTGCAAGCCTCCAATCTAGCCAATAAGAAATTGAGGCACAGGCCACTTTTCCATCACTACGAAGATTGAACCATCACGAAAATCACGATCAAACCAACGAATTCAGGGAAAGCAATGCCAATCAACGAAATCAACAGAATCCAATTGGAATATATATAGATTTGGATAAAGCGTTTAAGTGATCATAACTTCTTCGACGTCCTACTAGTTATATGAGATAACCCTAACCTTAAATTCCTCCATCTTATTTATCGGGTTAGAATCATTTCCTAGAATGGAGGATACACTGGGTACCGAGCGGCACCCTTGTTTTCGGCTAATTTGTATGTGGTGTTGGGTACTTTTTGATTCTTGGCAGTATCTTGCTAGTCACTTGTAATTGCATTGATTGGCTCTATATCCTTGTTTGACCCACTTTAAGTCCTGAGCTAACAATCATTCAGGGGTTGGATTGTACACGAGTGTGTGGTGGTTTCATGCTCTCTGATTTCTCCGCCCTTCCCGCCCCTCAAGGGTTCTAGCCGACACTCTTGGCACACCGACGGAAAGGTGACCGGGGCTTCGACAAGGAGCAAGTTGGGCCACTCGGGGGTGAGTGGGCCCTTAGCGCTCCCGAGGCTGGGGAACTAATTCCGGATATATCCTTTGTCGCCACTATTCTCAGACACGCTTGGGCACGGGATATTCCTTCGTCTCGATATCCTCCACCTCAGTCTCAACAGCCTTGACTGTGATCTTCGGCAAGAATTAACTTTATTGAAGGTGGGGTGAGAATCCCCCCCTTTACGAAGCTAGTAGACGGATCAAGCTGTGTGAGCGTGACTGCCGTCAGGGAGAAGGCACGGGAAAGGGGGCGAGATAATTGCATGAGGCGAGGGATCGTAATGCGCAATACTGCCAAAAAGCGCCATCTCTTGGTAGCGGTGATACGTTCGACCCGGCGGAGCTTGGTTTTGTGCAAACCAGGTGCGAAACCCAGTCAGCTACACTGAGCCCGTTGGGCCGACAAGTCCATTGAAATCCCGGTTTCCGTGCCGTCCCGTACTCGGGCCAATATCAGGGACCAAGTCGCCAGGTTTTACACAGTCATCAGTCAGGACACGCACTACGCCCAAGCGGCCGTGAGGGGATATTCCGCGAAGTAAGGACGTTGTCTAACGATGTACATTTCTCTAACGTGGTGTGTTCCCCTGAGTCGATCATACCGTTTAAGAGCCAGAGCGTCCGGGAATTGGACCTTGATGGTTGAAAAGAGAGGCTTTTTCATGGAAAATGTCCCACCAACGTAGAATCAGCCTACCCTGCGGCATATCTACACTCTCGCCTATTGGGGATCCTGAAATTAAAGGGGAAACGCCATAACTATCGCGTCAGTGTGTCGTGCACCTTCTAAGGAATGACATTTTCCCGCATGTTGGTGCGTTTTGCGCGGCTCTAGTTTCTCGGAAATCGGTACTCTAATTTCACAGATATGAATCAACCTGAAACTTCGCCGGGTCTAGACATCGTCGCCCTTCCCGGTGCACCTCGTGCCCTTTCTCGTTGGCTTTCGGGATAGAGAAGAACGAAGAAGGGAACACAATTCCTAGTATCACGGCAAGAAAGCAACCTCGGAAGTTAGCAAGGAGGCGTCCCGAGGGGGCTATTCATCTACACCCTCAGAACCATGCCCGAGCCCACCCGCCGGCGAATAGACAGGTCGAAGTTCCGGCTTAAGTCATGAAGCGGTTTAGGAAGGAGCTAGATCGCTGGAGGTTGGTGATCCACCCGATCGGGCGTGATGATGTTGAACTGACACCTTTTATGTAAGGTAGTAACACTAGGTCCGCGGGCACCGTAAACACACCGAGAGTATACACTAGTGTAACTGTTGGGTGTTACGTCCGGGGGCCCGGAGCAGACTCGAGCGCTTGCGATACATGGTTGTCTTACTGTTCAGCAGACATGTGTTGTTAATGTCCCTGACTCGCAGGAGGAGCGAGCCCAGGTGAGTTTCGATTCTTACCTCTGGACCAAGGCAATGGTTCGCTTGCAAGGGACAGATCTATCTAGGAATTGTTCTAACGATATCGGAAACGCCTTGTCGCTCTTGTGAACTTATAACATGATGATTCACTGGTTCTAGAACTGCACTTCTAGACTCAACAACCTGCTAGTATTAGCGCCTGTACCACGAGAAGAACATCGAGAAAATGTTCCATGACACGAAACAGATGAAACAACACGATTCAACAAAAGCGAGCCGCCCAAGTCTGGGACGCAACCACAAGCACACCGCCAGAGTGAGACAGATTTCACCAACTTCAGCTGAACAGTCTCCAGGTACGGGAGCTTCCTTCTTGATAATACATGCCCGAGCTACATACCGTTGCAGCAACACAAAAGTACCCCCACCATATCTGGAACAGTCACGGAAGCCATTCTCACTCACATCAGAGACACGCAAGTAATCTCCACGGGATTGAATATCCCCGCGAATCGGGATATTTTCCCCTTGAACGCGGACCCGAAATGCGCTTAGTCACCTTGTTATCGTCACCCGCCGGCTGTACTTGCCCTTGTTTGCCGACTTCCGCATCCCACTACATCATCAAGTCGGCCATTTGATTCGCCTCGGGATCCTACTATATTTGTCGCCCACAAAAGGTGAACAACATCTGGGACTTGACGGGACCGCTCCCTTTCCCGTCTCTCCACGTGAGAATCGGGTACGAAACCAAAATAAGGGGCCGGCCAGACGGACGGGTAGTCAGTAAAACCGTGTTATCCAGCACCGGCTAGACGCTAAGCACGGGGTTTGTCGTTCAATGAGAAGAGAGAGATTTGATATACGTGTAACGGGAACACAAAAACGGTTGGGCACGGGGGAACTGAACGATTAAACCCGCTTCAGGTACTTTTAGTTACGTAGGTACCAGTTCCAGAACCACCTCCCGAACATCATCTCTGAGTACATACATACTTCTCTCTACACCAACGTACCCCCCTCGGCATCCGGAAGCGAACACAGGAATACACCTGCAGCATTACCCACCGTTGCCCCTGCAGCCCCCCGTGTTGTGTATCTTACCTACCCACCTACCTGTGTTCCCATTCCTATGTACCTCACACCCTCAAAGGTAACTGTCCTTCACATGCACGTCTTGCACACGCGCGCATGCAGCGTTGGGAGTAACACAAACCGGGGACCACAAGATCTGGTGCGACATATCCCCTTCGTTGTCGGGGGCGTTGCGACAAAACAGTATCCGAGACATGGTTTGTGGAGTCTTTTTTGTTGTGTTTTTTTTTTTTTTTTGTTTTTCTGTGTTGTTGGCGCCAGTGTATGTGGTGTAGCATGGTACTACATTTACCTGCTAAATACCGAAGATACCCGTCTGCGTGGCTCAAGCTGGGTCGGTGGCGGGCGGGTTGGGTTGGTAGGTGAGGTGAGATGTATTTTGTGTTGTGTTTGTTATTCCCCACTGGACTCGGACACTTCCAAAGTGATGGTAGTTAACGAGGCATATGTGGATGCTCGGAGTGAACGACATAAAAAACGAAAGGATTTATTGCCCGGTAACAGCCAGAACAGCGGATATTGACTCTTAAGTTTGAGATTACCGAAGTAGGTAGATAACGAAGTAAGGAGGGAGGTAGTTTCCAGCGGTATGTGAGGGAACACAAAAACACCAAAAGGGGCGAGTAAACAAACCCACGAAAATGATTCGGCCAGTGATGCAACCAGCCCCACCCTCAGACTTCCATCGAAAACAGAGCAGAAAAGAAGTAACGACCAAGACCACCAAGGCAAAGGGAAAAAGAACCAGAAGACACACCACATACCCCATTCGTTCGTTTACCACCCAATGCAAACCAGCCCAGCACATTCCATATGCCCTTCAGCAGAACATAACCCCCCAACGGACTATAACTGACCCCATGTCTCTCCCCACCACACCACCCAAACGAATCAACAAAACGCCGAGACGACAAGAGACAATTATAATCCCGCATACGGAGGAGGCAGGTACTGTGCATGTCTCATCATGTCTCGTTTTGTCTTGTCTCGCGGAGACAATATATCTCACACATACACACAGACACACACCACATACAAAGAGAGACACAGCCACACACACACACGCAGGAGTATCCATTTCCCCCTACACCCCCAAAAAACAATACACAAAACTCCTTACCGCCCCCCCTCGCTGGACGCCACCTTGTGTACACTACACTAATCTGCAGACGCCACCCCCGCAAACTAGGCAGGTCTGTTCTGTCTATAGAGCAAGTCCACCCGAGTGTTGGCTGGCTGGCGTTACGCTGTATGAGTCCCAAAAAAGCTGGACAGAAGAAAAAGTGTCTTTGACCCCAAGCGTAACACGAACCCTAACCCTCCCTTGATGATGATAACTCTCCTTTCCATTAAGGTCATTTACGAATTTACAGTCGACTCTCCACAATAGGATGGTCCTGTTCACCAGGCCACTGGCTCTCTGGCCAGACGTGCCGGATGGCTTCCCAGATGTGGCTGAGGAAGATGTTAGTATAGGATTTAGAAAGGGGCGAGGGGGGGCTTCTAAGAGGGGCAAGCATACTCAACATGCACAATCTCCAACCCGTCTTTAACCTCCTGTGGAAGGTCCTTGACGTCCTTTCGGTTCTGTGCCGGTAGCATCACCGTCTTGACGCCGGCGCGCAAGGCGCCAATTAGTTTCTCCTTGATACCACCAACGGCTGTGATCCGTCCTCGGAGGGAGATCTCGCCCTATTATGGGATTAGGTTCTTTCCCTTCTTGTTTTGCAATGGACTGTAAGTTGTAGAGGAAAAAAAAAAGGCAAAACATACCGTCATAGCCAGCGTAGGCGGCACAGCCTTGCCAGAGAACAACGAAATCAACGCAATCGCCTGCGCAATCCCACTACTCGGCCCATCCTTCGGGATCGACCCCGACGGGCAATGCACATGAATACTACGATCCTTCATAATATTCTCCGCCGGCCCCCTCGTCAAGCCCAGCTCATATGCATGCGCCTTCACCCACGTCAGCGCCACCTCCACACTCTCCTTGAGCACATCCCCCAGTTTCCCCGTCAGCTGCACGGTGCCTGTCCCGGGCATGTCGGCGACCTCGATGAAGAGGATGCTGCCGTTGCCGCCGGTGCTGTACGCGACCAGGCCCGTGACGATGCCCGGGCGGCTGGTCTTTTCGGCGATTTCTTCTTCGAATTTCTCGATGCCGAGGAAGCGCTCGAGGTCGTCGACGCGCAGGCGCGGGTTGTAGGTTTCTGGGTGCCCTGCGTCCTTGGCGTCGGCGAACTCGACGGCTTTGCCGCGTAGTACGGAGGAGATCTCGCGCTCGAGGTTGCGGACGCCGGCTTCGCGGGTGTAGGACTCGATGATTTTGGACACGACATCCTCGGAGAAGACGACTTGGTCCTGGGCGAGGCCGTTGACGCGCATTTGTTTGGGGACGAGGTGCTGCATGGCGATGTGGCGCTTCTCCAGGGTGGTGTAGCCGGGCAGGTAGATGGTCTCCATGCGGTCGAGCAGCGGCGGGGGGATGGTGTCGAGGCTGTTGGCGGTGGCGATGAACATGACCTTGCTCAGGTCGATGGGGATGTTGATGTAGTGGTCGGTGAAGGTGTGGTTCTGCTCCGGGTCGAGCACTTCCAGCATGGCCGCTGAGGGATCTCCGTGGGCGCTTGACCCGCCCACTTTGTCGATCTCGTCGAGCAGGAAGACCGGATTCGCCACGCCAACCTTTTTCAGCCCTTGCACGATCAGCCCGGGCATGGCAGCGACGTAGGTGCGGCGGTGACCGCGGATCTCGGCTTCGTCGCGCACACCGCCGAGAGATATGCGATGGAACTTTCTCCCCAGGGCAATGGCCACAGAGCGCGCGAGACTGGTCTTGCCCACGCCGGGGGGCCCAACAAGTAGGAGAATAGGGGACTTGTCCACCATCCGCCTGCTCTTGAGGACCTCCAGCTTTGCAATATTGGACTTGACCTTTTCTTCCACGCCTACCTCAGGCGTGGTCCCAGGGGACTCAGTCTTCTCAGCCTTCTCGGTGTTCTCGTCCCTACCCGCAGCCTCGATAGCACCAATCTCCTCCTCTGCCTGCTTGATCTGCGCGTCCACATCGTCATTGATAGACTGCTTCAGCCTCAGCACAGCAAGGTACTCCAGCAGCCGCTTCTTGACCTTCTCAAGCCCATAGTGATCATCATCCAGCTGCTTGCGAGCCCGAGCCAGGGTCTGCGGCCCCAACCTGTCGTCGGTGGTGGCCGTCCACGGGACCTCGGCGAGGGTCTCGAGGTAGGTCCGCGTGACGGCGTGCTCGGCCTGGGCAGGATGGATCTTCTTAAGGCGCCGCATCTCGCGGTCCGCGACCTTGGCCGCTTCGGGCGTTAGCTTGGCCTCGTCTAGTCTCTTTTGAAGCTCATCGAGTTCATCAGCCTCCGGGTCTTCTTCCGAGTTCCCGCCTGGGTTTTTGTTTTTATTGTCGTTGCTGCTGCCCGAAAAGCCCGGCATCCCCGTGGCTGACGAGGGGATCTTGAAGGGTAACCGGGCCTTGCCGGATCTGATGAAGTTTTCGATGTTGTTCTTAGCCGAGTCGGGGTCAAATGGCAGCGTCGTGGTGGTCACAGCCGTGATCTTGATGCTGTTCTTGATATTCCCAACCTGGCGATCCAGCAACTCAATCACTTTCGTAACCCGCTCCTTAACATCCCGCATCGCCAACACTTGCAGCTTCTCCTCGTATGAACTGTCCACAATATTCGCCATAAAATCCGCCAGCGACCCAGGAAGTTTCTGGCGCGTGATGAACATATCCAGCCGGCGAGCAAGCAGTGGCGACAGCCCGGGCGTGCCACCACTGCCCGAGCGCGGGATGAGGGATGACAGCCGCAGAATGGCAACAAGCTCCCTAGACAACAACTTCAGGTGCTGGAACAGCTCCTCGAGCGTCGCGTCCGCCCGGCTGTGCTCGTCCTGGTAATATGTGACTTTCCCTTCTAGATACGCCTTGCCCTCGTAGACCTTATCCACCCGGACACGCGTGACCCCTTCCACCAGCAGTGTGAACTCGCCTGTCCCGCGGCCCTCGACGCCCGTGATCTTGGCCGCTACGCCCCAGCCGTACAGATCGGTCTTGGTAGCCTTGGCCGGATCGACATCGTTCTCGGCGTCCGCAGGCGGAGGTGTCGCTTTTGCAGCAGCGGCATCAGCAGCATCCGCATCAGCATCGTTCTCGGCAGCACCTTCTTGGATCAGCAGCTGGCCGTTGGCCCCCAGCAGCGCGGACGCGAGAGGGACGCAGGCGATGGGCACGGTGTCGATGCGGCCGTTGGGGGATTTGGACGCGGCGCGGGTGTAGACGGCGGCCAGCAGCGAGGCGATGTCGGGACGGTTGAGCGACACGGCGATGCGCTGCACGACGCCGGGGAGGAGCACGGTGCCCCGGGGGAGGGTGATGATTGGGAGGGTGGCTGAGTGGGACCGCGCCATGATGTCGAATCGAGGATGGATAGATTAGGTCGTCGGGATTATTGAGGATGGAGTATTCGGGATTAGGGTGGTTCGGGTTTCGAGTCTGATGGATTGTTCCCTCTCTGCTGTTCCACTCTTTTGAAGCTATCCGTTTTAGTGCCGCAAGAGGCAACAAGATCCCGCCATCCAACCGCGTTGGGAGTGCTGCTTTCAGGAGACCTGGATGCAGGTGACTGCGGCCGTTGGACGTTTCGTTCGGTGTTGGTTGTTGGTGCAACGGGGAGGGTGTCTCGTTATCCGTTCTTTGTTCTTCGTTGCCCTTCGTCGTGTCGTGGGTGGTGGTGTCACGTCGTTGGTCGTTAAAGGAAGATTGTTTGTTGCGGTTTGTTGTTGTTGTTGGAAGTTCGAGGAATTAATACGTGATGTTGCACAAATGCTGAGCTGGCGGAAGGAGTTGCTTTGATGAGTGATCCCACGCTTGCAGTGCTGCCGCAGGTGGCTTCTGCCGAGGCTATAACCACAGCGGGACGCGGAGCCCCCAGCGCGTGCTCAGCGGACACCGGGGACGCTGGACGTCGCTACAGTGGGGCGCTGAGGTCGCACATCCAGACGACTCCGGAGCTATGCCCTTTGCCGCCGGCATGGCGTTCCGGCCCTCGGGAGGGGCCACTTGTGACCCACTTTATCCTTGTTTGAGTGGCGGTCTGCCGCCATGTGATTGTGATTGTGACTGAGCAGCCCATGAGAAACCATGGCTCTATTCGTAAAAGGAATGTACTAGAAACCACGTTGGAATTTTGGTTTTTTTATCTGCTTCAAGAAAGCCCCGGTAAACATCTAAATTTACACTCGCATTGGGCCCAACAAGTCTAGCAAAATAATCACTAAAACCCATACAAGACATCAAAGCCAAACACAGTATTATTTCACAGGATATCACTCTATGCGATGGGAACATCCAGCCTCTCTATCTTACGCCTCTTCATCAATGTCCGCTCACTCCCATATGCGGTCATAAAAAACCAGTAGAAACGTAGAAACAAATCATACGCCCGAGATCATGAGCCATGCCATGCCAAACACACGCCATACATCCCCCCCAGCATCATATCAATCATACGGATGTTCACGCTCACTCATTGATGCCCCAAAGGCAAGAATCCCCCTCCACTCTTCCCAGATGCAGGTCCTCCTCCTCCTCCTCCACCCCCACTCCCGCTACCCCCCTGCTCCAATCCCCGATCCGGCCTCATCTGCTGAGGCGACGCCGTCAATGACCCAGCACCACTCCCACTACCTCCACCACCACCACTGGCACTGCTACCGCTGCCACTGCCACCACTCAAAGTAGGCGCAGATGCAGGCCCCTGCTGAGTATGTTGATACGGCTGGTGCAATTGCTGACCATACTGTTGTTGTGACTGCTGTTGTTGCTGTTGTTGACCTGCATACTGCCCACCGTATTGCTGCTGCTGCTGTTGTCCATACTGATGACCCCCTCCATACTGCTGTCCCTGCCCATACCCCCCATACGACTGCGACTGCTGCAGTACAGGCGGATTAAACGGGAACCCACCATCGCGCGACCGGCTCCCCGTCATCCGCCGCATACGCGAACGCGTGCTCTGTGTCAGGGGGCGGATGACGTTTTCGAGGAAGGCGTTGGCGTTGGATGTACTTGGTCGGCGCTGGTGTGGCCCTGGGCCCTGGTGAGGTTGCTGCTGCGCCTGGTGCCCCCCCTGTTGACCTTGCTGTCCGAATTGGTGTTGCTCGTCGTCGCCGTCGGAGAAGACGTCTTCGGGGAACTCGTCGTCGGATGTTAGGTCGCCGGGGGGTAGGACGTGGTGGGATGTTGGGGCGGACGGGGAGGTGACGGAACGGGAGTGCAGGCCGGGGCGGTGGACGGGGGAGGTGGCCATTACGGTGAGGTTGTTGCTGTTGCTGTTCCCGCTGCTGCTGCTGAGACTGGTGCTCGCGCTGTTGGGCGTGCTGTTCCCGCCGACATTGAACGCCCCGGGGTTCATCGTGTTGCTCGCTGCGAGTCCGCCGCTGGTACTACCACCACCTTCGCGCGATACAAAAACCGGGCGGTCCGCAAACCCGTTCTGGAATGACGTGTTGCTATTGTTTGACGCTTGGTGCAGGATCGGGAGGATATGCTCGTCATACAGCTGCGCGCCCGAGTCAAACGTGTCGGGTGAGAATTCGGTCACCGTCCGCGACGACCGCCCGTCGCTCGGCGCGCTGGTGGACGTGTCGTTGTCGTTGTCGTTATCATTGTCGTCAAAGAAATCATCCAGGCTGTCCAGCTTAGAGAACAGATCGCCACCGCCTAGTGGCGCGTCGAGCGCCCGCGCATCGTCCGATAGCATAGTGTCGGCGCGGTCGCCCAAGCCAGAGCTGGGGAAGAAGCCGTAGGGGAAGTCGTCCGGGTGGAACCCGACCTCGGGGGTCATCGCCGGCTGCGTGACCGCACCCTCGCCCCCTTCGTCGCTCTGGCACATGTAGAAGGCCGCGTGGATGTTGGCGCGCGTGGAGTCAGTCTTGCGCGCGGGGATGGGAATGGCCCAGCCTGACGGCTCCGGGATGCCAAACAGGCTCTGCGTGCGCTCGTACTCCTTGCGGACGGCCTTGGACGTCGGCCGTGTCATGCTCATGCGCAGGTGGTGCTTGTCCATGGACGAGCCGGACATGGTCATGATGTTGTCTAGAACCTCAAGTGCCTCCATGCAGTACTCAGTCTGCAGCAGCCGCAGCAGCGGGGAGATCATATCCGAGCCGTGGCTAGCAATCTCGGGCTTCTTCATGTCGACCTCGGGGATCACCACGCACAGGATGCGCATTGTCTTGATTTTGACCCACGACGCCGCGTTCGTCAGGAACCCCATCAGCATCGTGATCATGGGGAAGTCAAGTGTAGGCAGGAACCGTTCCTGGAGCGCCTCGAGCATCTGCCTGACAAACTCGGTGCCCGACGCGTACTTGGACCCGAGGTACTTGTCCAGAACCACCAACACCCCCGTCAGCCCCTGTTCGTCCGCAGCAGCCATCAATGTTTCGGCCGCCTGGACCGCACCGCGCTCTAGGAACTGTTGTCCTTGTTGTTGTCCCTGTTGCTGCTGCTGCTGTTGGTCGTCAATCGCGCGCAAGAAGCGCGGGAGGTTGGCCACGATGGTAAAGAACAAACAGCTCGAGTCACCCATTAGCGCATCGCCGGGGAGAACCAGCAGTTTCTCCAGGGTCTCCAGCGTGCGGTCGAGGCACGACGCCGACCGCAGCCCTTTGTACAGCAGCGGCTGCAGGCCCTCAAAGACGCCGTCCCACTTGGACGGTTGGCCGTCGTACAACATCCGGCGGACGGCGGACGAGTGAAAGTCTAGCTTGTCGAGGAACTCGTTGAGCATCTCGATGCCGACGAGGAACTCGCACTCGTTGATGGACTCGAGGCAGGCGCACATGGTCCAGAACAGCTGCGGCAGGGCCAGCAGCTTGTCAGCGTCCAGTTTGACGATCAAGGTCCGCAGCGTGGTCAGGATCTCCATGGAAAACGTCTGGATCTCGGTGTCCTCGTCGGCGATGGTGTTGGACAGCCGCGCGAGCATGTCGCCCAGCATGTACTGGTCTAGCGAGGTCGACGTCAGGATGCAGCGGAAGATCTGGAACGAGCGGCAGGCGAGGTGGCGTACAGGACACGACGTGGCCCATGTCAGCGACAGCCGGCCCCATTGGTCTTTAATACCGGGGAAGGTCAGCTCGAACGTCTTGACCACCTCAGCGGTGAGGTACTCCATGCTGGGTGGTACCTTGTTGGTGCTGTTACTGTAGCTAACACCACCACCGCTGTTATTGTTACCGTTGCTGTTAGTGCCACTATTACTATGACCGATCTCGACCACTTTGCTGCCGTTGCTGTCCTCGTATCCCCAGACCACAGACCGGTCGTGTCGGCGGATGGCATCAACCAGGCTCTCGATCCACTGCTTGGTCGCCACGGGCGTGTCGTCGTCGTCCAAGTTCGAGATGACCAGCTCGTGGATCAGATGGACCAGCATCTCGCGCGCCTGCTCCTGTACCAGCGGCGTGTAGTGGTCCCAGAGCACCGTAACCACCTGCAGCAGTACGGGCACGCTGTCGGCCGTGAGACTGACTGGGGCCACCATGAGGTCGACCAGCAAGATCAGCGACAGTTGGCCAAGCGAGAAACCCGCCTGCTTGGTGCCGATAGGCAAAGCTTCCCCGAGGTCTGCGCAGTAAGGCAACATGTTGATATCCGGGGGCGGGGGCGCGGGGACGGCCTCGCGTTTCTCGTTGGGCACCATGGCCCGCGGGGTTAACTTTAGTAGCAAGAACTCGACCACGCGGTTGCCCCCGGGGGTGCTGTTGGTGCTAGCTAGGAACACCACGATCTGCTTCGCGTACTCGACAAAGTTTTGCTCGCGGCGCTCTAAACACAAAGACATGATGAAGTCGAGGATGAGGCGCACATTTCCTGGGTGGGGGCCTGTCGCCAGCGCCTGCCACAGTGCCTGTACCTCGTTGTGCAGCGCGGCGCTCGATTTGATGGTGATCTCGAGTAAATTCGCCAGCAGCACGTACGACTGCGCGATGGGTCCGCCGTTAGGGTCGACGCGCAGCTCGACAGACTGGATCCACGGAAGAATCACCGCGATCACGTTGCGCTGCGCGCCGGCCTGCTGTTCCTTGAAGTAAAAGGTGAACTCGGAGAAGATGTGGAAGGCCAGCTCCGTGTGCTGCTTGGCCAGCCTCTTCGAGATCTCAAACTGCGCCAGCTTGTACACCGCCTTGGTTTTGTCTGAAATGCTAATATCAAAATCCTGGATCTTGGAGCTCCGCGGTTGCGGCTGTCGCTCCTCGAGGGCCTTCAGCAGGTGAGCGCCCCGCGTCCGGATTGCGCTCTGGTCGTTACCTAGCATAAACAGACACAATCCCAACAGCTTCCAGAAAGGGGCTGGGTACTCGGCGTGTTCCAGCAGCACCTCGGTCACAGCGCCGAAGTAGCTCTCCAGCATCTCGGGCGCCTCAGCTAGGTAGCACCGCGAGATGCAGTGCTCCAGCAGGTAGGGATACTCCTGGTTGTGCACGATCAGGTTCTTGAGCGCCCGGCGCCCGATCACGTTCATCCGGTCGCTGCCCGAGTTGAAGATGGCCTCGATCCACGCTAGCATGCGCCGGACATCAAACTGAAGCGACGCACCGCTCTCCGTCGTTGCGCTGATCGGTCCCCCGCAAAGCGCCCCCATCGCGCTCAACGCCGCTGTGCGCAGGTTGCGCTTCTCGATCTCCATCGCTGCAGTTACCGTGCCCCGCTCACCCGCGGCCTTCTGCTCGATCACCGACTGCCGCATGTTATCTTCCCGCTGCCGGATCTGCGGCTGGTTCGGCGAGAACCCGCACCAATCTTCCATCAGCGCGAACGCCGACTTGCGCGCCTCGAATGTCATCCACCGCGACGGGTCCTTGGTCCGGTTGATGCCCTCGAACAGCTCCTCCATGAGCCCGCAGTAGTGCCGTCGCAGCCGCTGGAACTCCCAGTCCATCTGCACCTCGCCGTCCATCAGAAATAGCTTCAGGTCCTTGGTGTAGCCGACCAGGTTGTTGAGCACCCAGTCGTCCTGGTACACCTGCGCGTTACGCAGGAAGTGCGACGTGAGCTTGTACACATGCGTGATCTCGGTCCGCAGCACGTCCATCTTGCGGTTCCGCCGCGGGTTGCTGTTCGTCCGCTGGTGGTGGATCCGCTGTCGCGCGTCGTCGTTGCAGCGCGATACCTGCCCTTGCAGTTCCTCGAGGAGCGTGCGGTAGATGTGGATGTTGATCGACCCCATCGCGATGACCACCGCTTCCCGGATCGACTCGTTGGACGCCGACAGCATCGGGTTGAGGTACTTGAACAACGTCCGGGCCGACCCGATCTTTTCTGCGGCCGACGACGACTTGGACCCCTTCCGCCCGTGCTGGCCGTTCGAAGCTCCCGTCGCCTGGGCGTTGCCGGGATCTGCCAGGGTCGTGCAAGCAAACACCAGATACAGCTTCCACTGCTCGACAACGCCCCGGGAGTGGCTTGATGACTTGCCTGGCATGCGAGCGCTACCGGGCTCCCCCATCGCGTAGTACCGGCCGGCTCCAGAGCCCAAACCCCGGTCACGGTCCCGCTCCCGCGCTGGTTCGGACAAGACCGTGATGACCTTGTACAGCTGGAGGATCCGCTCGCAGACCAGGTCCCGGCTCAGCGTGATGGCAAATGGGCACTTGTCGAAGGCGATGCGGATGAAGTTGGGAAATATCTTGAACCACAGCGTGGTATCGTATGACACGTCGCTGGTGCACAGCTCGATCAGCGCCCCCTGGCTGTTGGTGTTCTGCATCCCGCGCTGCAGCCGGCTCCGCTCGGCCACTGATAGCTGCTCGTCGTTGAAGCTCATGACCTGCATCGAGTCGTTCTCGAGGATGTCAATCAGCCGCGGCGTGTCCTTCTCGCGGCCGCTGGGCTTGCGCAGCACCGCGTCAAACTCGGTAATCAGCCGGAGCACATTGACGGCGTAATACCGGACGCTGCGGGATTGTGAACAGAGGAAGAACAGTCCGTGTGCTTCCACCTGGTCGACCTCGGCCCAGACACTCGACAGGTCGAGCTTCATGCCCCTCTTATCGGCGACGGTCGAATCAACGTTGTCGTCCGCAACGGCCGCGTTCCTCGTCTTTTGCTTGATCTCGTCGATCCAAATGTGGAGAAGCTCAATGTACAACTTCAGCGTCTTCTCGATGTGGCCAGGGCCGAGCATGCCCCCGTCAGACATGGTCGAATACTGGTCGTCAAAATTAAAGATGAACCGCGCAAATCCCATTGTCACCTGATGAGCGTGTGACTGGCGCGCGATCGCTTTCAGCGACTGCGCCGACGACTCGGCAATATTGTGCTGCACGTGGGCCGTCCCGGTGCAGAGGAGATTGATGAGCGTGTTGAAGGGCATGCCGGGCGACAGGCACCGAGGCAGAGCCTGGACAGCGATGTGAAGCAGCTCGTAGAACCCTTGTTTCTGATCGTGCGGCCCGGAGTGGTCCTCTTTCCTCGAGAAGTTGAACGTCTCTGTGATGGGCGTCTTAGGCCCCGGACTGTTGAACTTGTCGATCTTATCAAACTTTTCGTTCAACGCGGCCTGCCCGCCAAACGTGTTGTCACAAATGATGCTGATCTTGCCGAGGATATCGCAGAACCGGGCATAGTGCTCCCGGACGCTCTCGGAAAGAGCCGACACCATCACCGGCTTGGACAGCCGTTCGCCTCCGGACAACGCAGCCCAGGCGAACGAAGGCAGGTCACGCGGCGAGCCGAACACGGGGGATGACGGGGGTACACGTTCTGCTGGCGAGGGCGGGGCATACGATTGCGGGAAGGGTGGCCGGCCTTGGTCGCCCTTTTCGAGGTCCGACATGACGGTGAGCAGGGCACGGATACCAATGACCATCCGATCAGGATCAAGCTGCTCGATCTTGACCTCCTTGTTGGATGTGAAGAGGTCGGCATTGAGCAGGGGGAAGATGACACTCAGGAAGCAATATTCTGGATGCTTGTACCCAACGAACCGGATGATCTGGATCAGTGGATCGACGACAGCCATGTCCGCGGCGACTATGGCTCGCTTTGCGGTGGGCAGGACACTCTTGAAAACATCATCCAATTTCCTAGTTGCACCCGAAGAAGTGTCGTTGGTGCGGTACAGATACGTCCACACAAGCCGGGAGATGACCTGCAAGCAGATCGGGCGGGTGTACCGGTCCTTGAGACGCGGTTGAAGAGGATAGATCAGCTGAAGCCACTGACTCACAAAGGTCTCGGGCGGCGAAACACACAGCATCGTGGCCGTCAACGGGAACGTGTACTGCCAATGCCTCGGCTTGACAAACATCTGGGCTAACCGGGGCCCGATGGTTGCCAGCACTTCGTTCCACTTGGGGTGCGAAATGTCGGTATTAGTAGCCTTAGCGGCAATGGGAAGCACCAGCATCTCAAAGACCTGGCAAAATGCCGATTTTACTTTGGGACCGTGGGATTGGCCAAACAACTTGCCCAACGCGGCCACGAACTCGCAAGACCGGTCCCAGGCCTCTTTGGGGGCGGTCTTGATTCGCAGATGTTTCATCCCCCCCAGCACGAGCTCCATCTTGTTCTCGAGATCTCGGGATGAGGTGGGACCCTTCGCATGAAATTCTTGCGATGACCGCTCAAGGTCAGCGATGAAGCGGTCCGTTACGGTAGTGAAGCTGAGCTCGCTCATAACGCCCATCAGCTGTGCGAACAGGTTCCAGTTGGAAAGCTTCAGTGGCGAGATCATCAACTGCTCGGTCTCGGAGATCTTGAGCTGCCCGAATATGATATTTTCCAGCTTGTCCTCCATCTCTGGGGTGATGGAAGCGAGCGTGCTCTGGGCCATGACCTCAAGCAAGACGCGGCATAATACGTAAATAGAAACGGTCGAACGGCGCTCGGCCTGCGCAACGTATTCCTGTTTCGCGACAAGGGACATCTGGCCGCCGCCCGATGAGTCCGGCGGGCCACCGGGAACGCCTGGCTGGTTCGGCTCCGTGTTGCGTCTCTGCAGCGGGCCGGGAGGGGGGTAAATTCGGGATTGTTGGAGTTGGGTGCGCGCTTCATTGGCCGCGTCGCTCTTGCTCTTCCTCCAGAGCATCATGGAGTCAATAAGGGGTTTTGGTTTCTGCTTAGCAATGTGGCCAAGCGCCACGATGAGTTGGTCGAAGCCCGGATCTACGCCGGGCCCGCAAATTAGCTCAACCTGCGGCTCTGGTTCAAAGGGCACCGTAATGCACGCGTTCAACTTGTCCTCTGCTTGGGCGATGAACGATGTGAAGAGGACGTGTAGGGCATATTCCCCCACCGTCTTTTGCTCGTCCTTGTGATGGCGGGACGAGTGCGAATGGTGATGCACATGGTCGCGCCGTGATTTCCCGCTATGCCTCCTCTCCATCTTTCCACCACGTGCGGCCGTCTGCACCGCGTTGATATCGCCAGCAGCGGCCGAGGCAGCTCGTTCCGGTAATCCCGTGTTAGACGAGAGAGTTGTTCCCGATAGGGCCGTGGCCGGCCGTGGCCCTAATGAACCATCACTATCCAGGCGTGAAAACGAGTGCATCTCGGCCCTGTCCGGTGTGAGCCCAGCACCAGCTGCGGCAATCATTTGCGGACTGAGAGGGCTCGACGAGGAACTCGCGAGGCTCCCGTTTCTAGAGTGATGAATCCCAATGCCATGAACAATCGACGTCTGTCGGTGGTGCCCGTATGCGGAGGCCTTGGGGTCGACTACGCGTTCTATCACGCCCCCGAGAGCGCTTCGAGACGGAACATGCGATCGAGGGTGTGGGAGTTGTTGTGCCGTGACGTCAAGGCGCGGGGCTGGGAGCTTTTCAATGGACGATTCGCGCGAATGGGCAACGCTTCTAGAACCTAGGGCTACTGGGCGTATCGTCTTCTGCCAGTCGTCTTCATCCTCCTCGTCGAGCCGAGAAACCGTGCGGGGTGAGAACTTCAAAGGCTCGTAGTCCGGCAACGTCGTCTGGGACGGAGCTGCGTGGGTCAGTTAGATACGGAAAATCCTGCGCGATTCATCAATCCCCCCAACCGCGGCGTCAGGTTGACACTATGCAACGAAAGCCATGGGCAGCAAGTTGAACAAAACACCGGAATCAATTTGGTTTAGGGATGCTGTCGCCCAAGCGCAATGCCCAGTGTGGGGAATGCAATGCTTTTGAAACTGGACGGGGGCGAGAACGGGTACCGGCTCGAACTCGGCCAGCAGCGTCATCGCGTCCTGAGTCGACGCATCGTCTGAAGTTTGAAGGGTTCCTCCGTTTGTAAGAGGCGCGAGACGCGAGGCGCAAACCCCGAATTTATGACTCGAGAAGGGGCCAGAAAAAAAGTTGAAACGAGAATAGAATAAATATGCTTGCAACTCACCCATTTTCTAGAAATCGCCGGTTGCATGATACTCCAGTTGAGATTCAATTGCGTGTCATCGGGTCTTGAGGACAGTCCAAAGAGAGAGAGAAGGTGTCGTACAGTCACTCGATGGGCACCAACAACAATGGTTTGAACTTTTGGTGGTTCGGCATTCGAAGACCACGAGATGCGGTCGCGCCCAGCGATCAAGCGGGTCCAATTCCGGGGTGCGGCGGGGCAGAGAGACTGCCAGGGGTTACAAGCTCAACCAATAGGGGAGTGCCAAGGGATTGCCATCGGACACTTGAACATTTTGGGGAATGACAGTCGACCCCTGAAGCTGTACGGAAACAACTTGACTTGAGCTGAACTGAGAGGACTACTATGTACTGTGTATATATGGAGGAAGAACTCAACTACATAGTACACTAATGTTTGTGTGGATTCGAGGCTTCATATGTACCATGAAAGCCGTGGGTTATTACAAGAGGCCCCGCCGGACTAGTGTAGAGACGGCCGAATTGGAAATTCCATGTCCTGGAACTTTCCTCTCCCCCGCCCTTGGCCATGACCTCTTCATATGAATGGAATGATTTTGCCCCACGGTTTTCCCACTGCACGTGGAACAACACACAATGGTGGGGATGGGGAATCGGGGCATCGGCCATCGATAAATATGACGTGATGAAAGTGGATGGTAACTCGGGGTAATTACATAGTGCCGTTGAAAGCGGCGCTTCGCGAGAATTCCCGTCATCTGAGCGCCTTGCTGCCTATTGGATTTTAGCTTTGCCGTGCGTTTCCGAGCTGTCCGCGAGCCTCCAGAAATGCCGCCCTAAACCGCGGCTCCATGTCTGAGTGGAATACCGTGTGCGGATAGTGTGTGGTGACTTGATACCCTGTGCCCTGGAGCTTTGGGTCCCTTTTCGCCGGCAGTTCATCAAGCAGCATTTCGCCTTCACCAAAATCCCAATACGCGGTACATCATTCCGCTCGGCACGTTTCGGGGACTTTTTGCCGTTGCGGACATGATATCAAACAGTAAGACGGAGCCGGACGCAATGAAGTGGCCAGAGGTTGGGGCCCCGCCCGTGAGTCGGACTTTAGGTGGGGGCCATTGAACATTTTCACCCGCCCGAGCCTCCAGCTTTCGCTCTCCGACGTTCACTTTAAACTCGTCAGGGCCAAGGGAGCAGGCATCGGGGTTTACTTGACCAAAAAACAACTCTTCCTTTCGGTTCGGAACTCCTCGCCATACAAAGTTCAAGGTTTTCTCGGAAACTCAGAACAACCTTAATCGGACGGCCTCGGAGGAGCCCAACGGCCCGCCAGCCGCCCCTGGTTTTCTGGTTCGGGGTTTCCATGTGGGGCTATCGATGTCTCTGGACATTGGATCCCGGGCTGCTCGTTAAGTCAGGTACTGTACTTGGCGAAAACACTCAAAACGACCGCTGGAAGAACGTAATACGCAAAATAAAATGAGGGAAAACTATGCTATCAGCGAGAGTCACGTATTATTTTCATCCCCTCTTAAAATTTTGTCATCAAGAAAGGATTTGCTCCCTGTAGTCGCCTGCCGGAGCAAAAAGGGGATTTTCTAGTCAAGATCGAGTCCCCTAGTCTGTCTAGCCAGACCCAAACCAACGGAGTCGTCGTATTCGGATTCGTCCGATTAAACATGGACGAAAATCGCCAAATCTCTCCGCGAAACCGAGGGCACCCCCTCGGTTTTGCGAGCAGGTAATGCAGTTTCTCTCGTCCTGGACCTAATGCATCAGAGCAAGACTCTGTAACGTATCCAAGTCTTCGTACCGAATACGGACAGCTCTCTCAAAGCTCGGTCTTGTTGCTCCTTGCACAGGAAGGCTCGAGGGAAGTGTGGGGGCAAAGTCCCAAGAACTGCTAAAAAGGCTGTGCTTGGCGGCCCCCCTGGGGGCTGACCGGGTGTGCGTGGCAGGACGACCCGGGCTGGAGGTTGCGCATGTGCATGCAAGTATGATTATCTGTTCTTCAACAGAAAAGGTTCGCAGACCTGAACTGCCTTTAATATTCTCCGCTTAACCTCGACCTTTCTTCTCGATTTCTTCCCACTCTTTCTTTCTGTACGCTGACGTCGCTTTTCGTGTCGCCGAGCCGCGCAGCTCGCTCTTGAATCAATTGAGCGCGAATCACTTTCGCCCCCTGGCAATTTTCCCACCCCGGTTATACCCATTCTGTCCTTTTGTTTCGGCCACCGCTTTGCGAAGCCGGAACGCCGGGACTGATCAGATCCAGACTTGCCGGCTAACGTTTCCCGTGGCCGCTCTCGGATCCGGCCCCGGCGATACTAAGCGCCGTGAAGAGAGACAGATCCGGCTAGCGAAGCCCGGCTTTCCCGTGCCGTCAGAGTCTCGCGTTCCTGTGCGACGGCTTTGTCGGTGAAGACATTCTGCCGCGTCGCGCGCCCAAAGATTCGACGTCAGGCCCCGATAGCCTCGATAAATACCAAAACTTACATCCCGATTCTTGGCTTGCGTCGACTTCGACCCCATTTGTCACCATGGCCGAACTCGATACGTTGGACATCATCGTCCTTGCCGCCATTCTTGTTGGGACGGTGGCCTACTTCACGAAGGGGAAATACTGGGCGGTCACCAAGGATCCGTATGCCAGCTCCTTCGCTGCCGCTAATGGCGCCAAAGCAGGGAAGACACGGAACATTGTTGAGAAGATGGAGGAGTCGGGCAAAAACTGCATCATTTTCTACGGCTCTCAAACCGGTACTGCCGAAGATTATGCTTCGAGACTCGCAAAGGAGGGCAAGAGCCGTTTTGGCCTCGAGACCATGGTCGCCGACCTTGAAGACTACGACTTCGACAACCTCGACGCCATCCCCAATGACAAGGTTGTCGTGTTCGTGCTCGCGACCTACGGTGAGGGCGAACCTACGGATAACGCTGTCGACTTCACCGAGTTCATCACCGGCGAGGATCCGTCCTTCTCTCTTGGCAACGACGTTCCTCTGGACAACCTAAACTATGTCGCGTTTGGTCTCGGAAACAACACGTATGAGCACTACAACTCTATGGTCCGCAATGTCAACAAGGCCCTTGAGAAACTCGGCGCACATCGCATTGGAGAGGCCGGCGAAGGCGATGACGGCGCTGGTACCATGGAAGAAGATTTCCTGGCCTGGAAGGACCCCATGTGGACAGCTCTGGCTGAGAAGCTTGGTCTGGAAGAACGCGAGGCCGTCTACGAACCCATCTTTGGCATCACTGACAGGGAGAACCTTACTCGTGAAGCGCCCGAAGTCTACGTCGGAGAGCCGAATAGGATGCATCTCGATGGTACCCCCAAGGGCCCCTTCAACGCTCACAACCCGTACATTGCCCCAATCAAGACCTCGTACGAGCTGTTCAATGTCAAGGACCGCAACTGCCTACATATGGATATTGATGTCAGCGGCTCTAACCTCACCTACCAGACCGGTGACCACGTCGCTGTTTGGCCCACCAACGCTGGCGAGGAAGTCGACCGCTTCTTGGATATTTTTGATCTCACCGGCAAGCGCCACAATGTCATCAGTGTCAAGGCTCTCGAGCCGACCGCCAAGGTGCCCTTCCCGACCCCGACCACCTTCGACGCCATCGCTCGCTACCATATGGAAATTTGCTCTCCGGTCTCTCGCCAGTTCATCGCCACCTTGGCCGCATTCGCCCCCGACGACGAATCCAAGGCTGAGATGACCAAGCTCGGCAGCGACAAGGATTACTTCCACTCCAAGGTCAACACCCACTGCCTCAACATCTCGCGCCTCCTAGCGAACGTTAGCAAGGGCAAGAAGTGGACCAACGTTCCGTTCTCCGCTTTGATCGAGGGTGTCACGAAACTGCAGCCCCGGTACTACTCCATCTCGTCGTCTTCCCTGGAAAACCCCAAGTTGATTTCCATCACCGCTGTGGTGGAGTCCCAGAACCTTCCCGGCCGCGGGGACCCCTTCAGGGGCGTCGCGACCAACTACCTTCTTGCTCTCAAGGAGAAGCAGAATGGGGACCCCAACCCGTCTCCGTTTGGTCTGAGCTACGAGATTACTGGTCCTCGCAACAAGTACGACGGCGTACACGTCCCAGTCCACGTCCGTCACTCCAACTTCAAGCTCCCTTCGGATCCCTCCAAGCCTGTCATCATGGTCGGCCCCGGCACTGGCGTTGCGCCTTTCCGTGGGTTCGTCCGTGAGAGGAGGAAAATGGTTGAGGATGGCAAGACGGTGGGGAAAACCATTCTTTTCTTTGGCTGCCGGAAGTCGGCCGAGGACTTCTTGTATGAGAAGGAATGGGAGGTATGTAGTCATCCGCCGTTCGAGCTTTTTTTTTTTTTTTTTGTATTATGGACTGTTTACTAACTGATTTTTCTACAGGAAGCTAAGCAAGTACTCGGCGACAAGTTCGAGCTTGTCCTCGCCTTCTCCCGCGAAGGATCCAAGAAGGTCTATGTCCAACACAGGCTACAAGAGCGCGCCAAGGAGATCAACGAGCTGTTGCAGCAAAAGGCGTACTTTTATGTCTGTGGTGACGCTGCCAACATGGCCCGCGAGGTCAACACAGTACTATCGCAGATTATCTCTGGGGAACGCGGTATCCCAGAAGCTAAGGCTGAGGAGATCGTTAAGCAGATGAGGGCAGCGAACCAGTACCAGGTGCGTTATTCTCCTTCTCGACTCAGTCCCGTTCTTTTGATCATGTATGGATTGCTAACTGCGTGTCTCTTCAGGAGGATGTATGGTCCTAAACGAATGTGCGGTCTATTAAGAAATGAGATTTACGCTGCCTCGGACACTTGAGTAAAATGGCGACGGCGCAAGGGTATCATGTCGGATCAACGACCACGTTTCGCGGACAATTCAGCACCCCGGGCCGGGGGTATACATAGATGGTAGGAAAGGGGGAGAGTTGGGGGACTGGCACGTGGACGGGAGTTCGAAGAAAGGGAGGTATTGTTCCATGATGCATCGGTTTTTCTTGTATTGTCCGCCCTCGGGTAGCCGGGCCCCTTTTAGAATAATGTGTTTTGTTTCTCTCTTCTTAAACATATTTTATATCCTTGTTTGTTACGTGGTGGTGAGCTTGTCTTTGCACTTATGGCGTAAGGCTAGAAGAGATTCATCCACCTCTGCCACCCATCGAGTACATCGCCCTCGTCGGGGGCGAGCTGACCTTACTGTCGAAACGGAGCACCACCTAGAATCTATATACTGTAGGATTTAGACGTGGATACAGACCGGTGCCCACATACTCCGTGGCAATGATGCAGAATGAGGAGCCTGCCACGAGCCTTGGAAAGTCTGCAAGTCGCCGGCTTGCTGTCTTCGACCATCCAGGCATGCAATGTTACGTCAAGGGTCATCTCCGCGTAGTAAAACTTTCCAGGTACCATGAGATCTCTATATCAGGCTAGTACTTCGTACCGTGGTCCTATTCCAAGTAATCAATTACCAGGTTGAGAATGTAGTTGGCAATACGGTGGAAAATAAGATAAACAATGAATTTGAGCACGAATTGCAGGACACTTCATCTCCGGGCATCTCGGGAATGACTATTCCACCACCCCGAATACTGCCTTTGAGCTCGTTGAGAAGATGATCCCTCGTGAAATGTCTTTGGCATGCCTATTTGCTCGATTTGAAAGGGAATTTACTACGGTATGATCGGTGGCACTGTCCACGATGCCACGGTTAGCCTTGACGTTTGGATCCTTCACAGTCGACGGGCATAAGCAATCACAATGACCCGAAAACCGCCCTAGCGACATGAATAATGAGGATCAAGATGTCTTCCTGTGCCCGAAGATAACAGGTAGGGAGTGAGAGTGTATCGAGGAAGCATAGGAATGGGGCTCGCGTGTGATGGAGGTTCCGGAGCGCCGCACCTAGGCATCAGTTCAACCACCACCATCTCGCATCACGACAACTGTTCAGCGGGCGGGCGTAGTCTCCTTCTCGTCAGCTTAAAGACAGAGGAGGTAGGCGGAAATTAACTAGGAAAGACGTTATAGGAGAGGGAGCCGCGCCGTTCGACATGGTGTATATAATCTGTACTTGGTTACGAAAAACATGAGTGACTTGAAAACGACGCTTTACCCGTGACGTTCTGACATTTACAGTCAGAACTTCCCATGTTATACAAGGTACAAAACCCCATTAGAATTCTCTAGGTGGTGGGGCCCCTGCGTTTGTATCCTGCCCGAGAGAGGCGCTTGCGGCCTACAACATGCCCATTCTCAGCTGTCGCCGGTCCTGCAGGATGACTGTATTGATAGACCGTATCTCAGATTGCCTCGAACCTCGTTTACACTAGGTATACTAAGCCACACGGCTCCGATCCCTAGGCAAGTCCTCGACTCCTGGCAAAAAGAATGGAGCAAAGTGGACAAGAAAATCACCTCCCACCGAATCCCGAGTGTCCAGGAGTTTCAAGTAGATCAGCAAAAGACATGATCGGAGAATTTCCAATAATCCCAGCACGCTTAGCATGCCAGTCTGAGACGAGCTTTCCGATGCCAATGACCAATAGATTCAACGACCCAGTTCATTCAAATCTTCGACCCCCGCTTCGTAGGTCATGGCTCTCTCGGATGTCCAGGACAGCCCAGACGGGAGACCTCGGCCCGCTGCAGTATCACGTAGCACATCCCAGATCGGTCCTTGTGCAGGCCAGCCGTGCCTCCCTGGGTAATTATGCCTTTCTTAGCCGGTTACGATGGTGCCAAATGTTGGAGAATGTCGGAAAGGGTGGTGTAGGAAGCAACTCTTGAACTTCCTAAGATTTATTGTGGCATGGTTATTCTTCAGACTTCAGTGTACTCTAACCTTGCTAGTCAAAGCTTAGTTTACTACCCTTGGATGCCGCCCAACAATTATTATCGGAAACTTCGGTGGACCGGCGGTGGAAAAGCTTGGTAGCGGGTACCATGGCCGATTGTACGACGTTTGGAATTGGGTTGGGCGATGGGTTTCTCCATTCCGTATGCCCGTGTCCCCCATCCGTTCGCTGACCGCATGTGGCTGCCCGTTCGGATAGCCCCCGCGACGATCGTGGGATGAAAGACGGGTGTCTTTCCTCGCCTTCGGGTACGAATCCTTACTTGGTGAAGGCTGGAGTCGGCTTGTGGCGTGTTGCGCTTGCTTTGTCACTGCAGTGTTTGTGTCAGTTTATCCCTGGAACGGTGTCCGAATTATTTTCCCCGACGGCAACCTATCAAATTAAGTACTGAGCTTGCATGCCTACTAAAAAGCCGGGTGCCCGGCGACGGCGCGACGGCGCTAGACGGTTGGATCGTTTGCTGCTTTCGAATAATTTCTTTTGATATTCTCAATCCAGCATTCTTAGTAGAGTATTCATTATCCTCCCCGCTGTTAGTTGCTCCGAACAATATCGTTATTTCGATAACGGCATCAGAAAAAGCGTGGACTGTCTACCAATTGCTGAAAGTTTTGAGGTCATAGGTTTTGGAAGGGAACTTAGCGAGATCTCAGAAGAGGGCCAGGTACGAACACATTCCGTTTCGTCTTGAACTATAGAGTCCCGATTTCCCGGGGACTACATTGGGGGTTAACTTGGAGCCATGTCCACTTGTTGACTTTGATGACAGTCACAACATTCCACAGCACAAGACGGCTTTTGAAAAGCCTTAGGGCAGATCGGATCCCACTCGGCTTCCAGCGACCGCACTAGCTTTACGAAACTGCTTTCTTTCCCTCCGAAATACCCTCAAGATCAAACATGCACCAGTAATCACGAAGCATCTCGATCATCGTTTGGGCAGAACAGAAAAGGAAGCAGGTCAACCAGCTCAAAGCTAGAGGCAAAGCCCTGGGGATAAACAAGACGGGAAACAAGCAACTTCTAGTGCCCATTAAGTCACAACACTTGGGCGGCCAATTGGGAATCTTACCTAGGCCCCTACCTTTCCTCCGGTGCAGGCACCTATTTCCTGGAGACTACGGCCTTGTTTGAAAACACAGGAAAGAGCCTCGAACACCCTCTGCCGTTGATTGGGCTCCTGGGAAGTACACCCGCCTAATGATCTAGGGCCCAAAGAAAATTTCAATTTCAATAAGGAAGTTGCTCGCAGTACTTGAGCAGTGGAAACCGTCACAATTACCTTGGACCTGCACTTTGCCATAAATAACACTGGCCGGCATAGGCGCCTTCCTCTACTTCTTTTCCGCGTGACACGACTTCACGTCCCCCCTTCATACTCCTCAAAGCCACCTACCTATTTACATCTTTTGGAAGTTTCAAAATCTGTCCAACCCGAACCTTTCTCTCATCTCAACCTTTGGAAGCACAATTCTTGGACGTGCACACCACGTTATAACCTGCATTCTCGAGTTTTGGTAATTAGTTCTGCCAAGTCACTCGCAACCAGAAACTAAGGAGTAAGTCTATCCATCCCATTCATGCTGTTTCTTGTCCCAGAGTCTGCTTTATCTTCCATACAGTCCTTTCTTTCCGTGTTTTGTACTTTTCCTTTGTTCTGTCGATCACACACCATCAGATCATTTCATAGCTGCGGCTACTCCGGCAGCCAGCTACGAAGGACTCGGGTTTTGCTTCCTGCGCAAGCCCCAATCGTTGGACCTGCAAAGGCTATCGGCCGACACGCTCCTTCCCTTGCCCCCCTACCGTGGGTTTTTTCTACCGGTGGCAGGCGCACGTTGCTGGTTTCGGAACAGGGAATTAGAGGGTCTTTAAATCTTTCTCCCCTCCTCCTCCTCCTCCTCCTCCTCCTAAACCACAAACTTCTTGGACTGTTATGGGCTCTGCTTCTGATCTTTACAGCATCAACACCCATCTCCCATTCAAATCACCACAGTCTCTTTCTTCTGCATCTTGCTCATAGCTGGATTCATCCTCTTACCCCCCACACTCACTTGTATTCGACACTTTGGGACTAACAGCCATTGAGACAAGGTTTCTTGCGCCCCGAAAACATCTCTGTGATTCTGCTCCTACGAGCCAGCATCAGTTTTGGAGGTGAGTCCGCACACGGTTAGGTTCACTGGTTCCCGGTGTCCGGCACCGTTGCCAGAATTTTCTTTTTACTCGGGAGCTCTCAAGCTCTGGGTCCCTTCTTCCTCTCCCAACGCTGCCCTCTTCTTGACATTTCCCTTCCCAACAATAGCTTTTTGGTTGCAGACCATTTGCCAATTTCCTTTCGTGGCCACAGAGTATAGGGGACAGTTTTCTGACTGGGCTCTCTCAGAGAACCCCTCATTTGGCAAGAAATCGTCAACTTGTAAAGGTGCGTACTGTCTGCATTGAAAACAACCACCTACCTGACCTGGCCTGACGTGGAGCCATTCCCGAGCATACCGTGGCACAACCAGAGATCAAGGCTGATGATCTTTACTTCTTTCCAGACTGTACGATAATCGAAAATGTCCCATTATCGCCAGAATCCCACTGAGGCCGGCAACCACCGACATGCGTCGTACCCGGCCTACATGGGCGCTCATCTCGGAGCCCAACCCGACGTGCCGGGTAGCCACGGCCAGCATGTTGGTCATCATACCGACACCATGGGCGCTGTGATGAACCAGTTCAGCACCCTAGCGCTCCCTGCTGGTCCTGGTATGCCGGCGGCTTCGTCGATGTCACAGATCCAGGCCCACCATGCCTACTGTGCTCCCCAGGAGCAGGCTGTTGCCTATCAGAGCTACCCTGTTCCTATGCATGTGGGAATGGGCCATGAGGCTGCGTATGGTTTTGGTGTCTCTGGTCAATTCCCAGTACAGAGTGGGTTTGCGCCGCTTCCCGTCCCGTACCATGCCATGCACTACACTCCTGGCCGTGTCGCATCTTACAACGACCGCAGCGGTGACGTTCCCGGCTTGGAGAATCGCCGTGGGTCGTACTCAACCACCGAGTCAACACCCGCCACTCCCTTTTTCGGCAGTGCATCAGAACGTGGCACGTCTTCAAAAGTGGCGGTGTTCCGGTCCAGCTACACCACCCCGTCCCCAGAGCAGGTCGTCGCTCCCAAGGCACCGCAGCCAATTGACGAGGAGACCTTGGAATTGCTTAAAGCTAACCCCGCCATCCCGGAGGCAGTGCCGGCCGTGTTCACGCCGCCGAGCCACACCAAGTCGGTCGAGCAGTGTCTAGAGAATAGAATTCATGGAAACCGAAACGTCTACATTCGGGGGTTGCATCCGACCACGGACGATGACTTGCTCCATCGCTACGCTTCTCGCTTTGGTAAAGTTGAGCAAAGCAAGGCAATCATTGACACCTCGACTGGCGCTTGCAAGGGGTAAATCCTCTCTGCCTACGTTGTCTTTTACTTTTGCTGACGTTTCTCAGTTTTGGCTTTGCCAAGTTTGCCGATGTTCGCGATTCCGAGAAGTGCATTCGTGGCTTTTATCACCTGGGCTACGAGGTTGGCTTTGCCAGGGTAATTAAGCCTTCGTTCGCACCTCTATACTTGCTGCCATCGCTAACTCCCGTTTAGGAGAGCTTCAATGCCAGACTCAAGGCTGAGGGTGACGAGTCGTCGACCAACCTGTACTTATCAAACCTCCCTAAGCGGTTGAATGAATCGGTGAGATCTCCTACCCAAGTTATTGACCCAAACCACATTTCAGATCTAACAGCCTTCAGGAGCTCAACTCCATCTTCACCGGTTACCATGTTGTTTCCAGCAAGATCCTTCGTGATAGCATGGGCAACAGTCGCGGCGTTGGTTTTGCTCGGTTAGTCTAGATCTATCTCATCCCCTGCGCGCCGTTCGCTGACTTGTTGGGTCAGGTTTGAGACCCGTGACGAGTGCGAGGATGTCATTAAGAAGTACCACGGTGCTTCCATCGGCGACGAGGGCATGCTTATGCAAGTCCGGTACGCCGATACTCCGGCGCAGAAGGAACTGAAACGTATCACTGCTGAGCGGCGCCAGTTCCGCACCAATGAGTACAACATTGGTGCATACGGCACCGCCGATGTTGGCATTCACCCCAGCATCTACAGCCCGGCCCCCTGGAATCGCCGCGCCGCCGTGGGCCCCGACGGGTAGATTTCCCTCAACGTATATGGATGAGAGGTGGGAACTAACAGCCGTTCAGGATTTTTGCACCCCGTGTGCCGTCCATCCGTACTAGCATCATTGGCAGTAGCGCGAGCATGGGCTCGATGGTGGGCCAGGCTCTTGCGCAGACTCCCAAGTATGTTCGCCGCCCTTGTTCCGATCTGAGCATTCATCCTGATATTCGTTGTAGGCAGAGTCTATCGGTCCGTGGCACGTCGTCGTCCGACGACGGCTTGGGCGACAGTGCGACTGTTGTCGACTCTCCGACCGTTAAGAGGGGCAGCACTCAGTCTTCTCCCACCGCAAAGACTGAGAAGGCCTAGATGGCCGTCGATGCTTCACGCTACCATCCTATCGACGGGTAATGAGAGCATTCACGTGTAGGACTAAGGTAGTTTGTCGGACCAGGGACTTTCCTTATTTCAGAGGGATGTCGCACGATATCGAATACGTCACTATCGTCATTTGTTTTTCTTTGCTATGACCACAGAAATTCCTGAGATGGGCACGAGTCAGACCCGGGGCAAAGTGGTGCCAACTCACATAATGAATTCTCTACTATGTTGGACTGAAGCAGTGCAATCTTATAGACGGACGCTTGGCCTGTATTAGTGGAGGAAGTGGGATGGGCAGCCACCAAAAATACTGTTTGTACCTTGTTTGCAGTTTGTTCCTGTGGGGTTTAGACTGTGATCATGTAGCTGATCGTGGAATTATTGATCAAATAAAAAAAAGTTCGACAGCTAACAGATGGTTTCTGGGTGTGTCCGCTTGGAATGTTAGTGACAACATGATGGCCAAATGGAACCCCGAGATAGTTGCCTTGTGGAGAGGACGCTGAAGTTAAATACTTCGGTGGGTTACCATTACAACGCGAGTTTTATTCATGTCCCATCATTTATTGTTAATTTATTTAACCCTGCTGAATTCTCCAGGACTCCATCACCAATCACTTGGGGCCCCTCGTCGTCGTCCTCGTCGCCATCATTCTCATCTTCCTCCTCCAGATCTTCCTCTTCCTCCTCTTCTTCAGATTCATCCCCTGACTCCCCGCGCTTTTCAGATGAGGCCTCTTGTTCCCGCAAAGCGACCTCCAGGTCTTTCGCCATCTTCTTCGTGAACCCAGAGGCTTCGACGACAGCATCAAGCCTTCTCACTCCATCGCGGCCGACGGTCTTCTTAGCATCTCTAAAGAACGGGCCTGGGGTCGTGCTGGTGAAGTGAAAGCGGCGGGAGAAGAAGCGTTTGATACATTCGACATCACGGTCAAAGTACATCTCCGCGTTTTGGTGGTCCATGGAAACCATTTGGGGGAAATCGATTAGGATCGGTGTAAGGGTTATGGGGTTTTCGTCGTCGTCGGTCTTGTCCTCGCGGATAAGGATGTTAAATTCGTTAAAATCGCCGTGGATGAGCCCGTGCTTGGCTAGACGGAGGATGAGAGCGATAAGCTCGGCGTAGAGGGAGGCTGGGTCTGGCACTGAGGAGATTTGACGCATCGGCGGGGCGTCGATCAACGTCATGACGATGGTGTGGCGCGACTGGGCGATAGGTTCGGGGACGGGGAAACCTTCCTCGCGCAGGGCCTGCATGAAGGCGTATTCTTTGATGGCGGCTAGCCTGGACAGATACATCCACGAGGCGGACTGGCGGTTACGCAGGTAGTCGCGGTTGGTCTTTACGGTGCGGAAGGAAATGCGGCCGAGGCGGTGGATCTTGAGGACCTTTTGGGTCCCGGTGTCGTCGGCGACGATCATGATATCGCTCTCCTTGCCGACGCCGATGCGGCTGCCGACACTGTAGACGTGTTTGCGAGAGGCGTGAGTGTGTAGGGCTAGGTAGTCGAGCCCGCCGTAGGAGAGCCGGTAGCCGTCGTATTTGGCTTCTTTCATGCGCGCGATCAGGCCGACCTTGGCGAGGGCCGAGATGGATTTGTGCACGCCGCTGGCGCCGCCCTTGAGGCGGGCAATCTTCTCGATTAATGGGGTTGGGACTATTTCGTGGTTCTTACTACCCATTTCTACCTAGACGGGGCGTATTAGTTGGTGGGCCGGTATTCTCGACATGCCGAGGGTCATCCGCTGCAAAACTGGAGATGGGTTGGAGAACGTACGGCTGTCAGGACTCGCCAGTCCTCCGCCGTCAGATGGCGCATGGCTCTCGTATCTAACTTCATGGTCGTCGCTCTAACTGGGTAGTCAGCGCTTTGTCACAGCGTCTGATATGTGTGAGGTTTTGGAGTTTTCTGGTTTCGGCGGGCCAGGGATGGGACACTGCGAAGTACGCATGTATTGTACCCCTCCAAGACCCGATGTCCACCAAAAATTCCCAGAGATCTGCTGATAAGATAGCGGCACACCGACAAGGTTCTCGAAACTGTGTGGGTCGGCCGCGGCTGGTCCGGATTTTGTATGCGCCGAAGCCGCCAGTTGGGTGGCCCCAGCTCCCCAGCTCCCCCACCTAGTAGGGGTCCGTCGAGCTCAGTGGGGCTGACCGCTGGTTGGGCGCCTCGTCTCAGGCGGCAAGCAGCATCGCGTAACCAAAGCTGCCTGCCTTGCCTGGCCGCAATTCAAAGCTTCCATTCCGTTCCTGACAAACCCACCACGCTGCACGCTGCACTGATCAACCACCAACGCACTACGTATCGACACATCTGCACCTCTACCCACTTCTGCCCAGCACTGTTTCCACCACCAAACACCACATTTTGGGCATTTTCACACGCCAATTTCCGGTGCGAACCGACCCCGCCGTTTTCGCAGCCCTTCTCCCCCTCCTAAGCCCATTCGCCGCACGCCCGACCTCGCTTTTCGGGCCCGTCCCCCGCCATCCGCCATCCACGATTCCCACCCCCCGAGGCCTCGAAACCCCATAAGCATGGCGCAAGATAGCGAGCTTTCTAAGTCGGCCGACAAGGGCAAGGGGAAGGCCGTTGACGATGAGACACCAAAGGACAAGGCTGGCCAGCCAGCGGCGAACGGCAAGAAAGAAGATGATAAGGACGAGCGTTGGTTTCTCCCTGCCCTCCCACAGCACCTCTCTTGGGGGTGCTGTAGCATGCTCCATCGGCACTGACAGCAGATAGCATCCGAAGAGTTGAGCGAAGAGGATCAGACGCTCAAGAATGAGCTTGACATGCTCGTCGAGCGGTTGACGGTGCGTTGGGCCAGTCGTTCCCAGCTTTCCGTTTTTGCTCCCTGCTCACGTTTGCTCACTCCTACCCCAATTTAGGAATCCAATGCGTCACTCTACAAGCCAGCCCTCGAGGCGATGAAGAACTTTATCAAGACATCCACATCCTCGATGACAGCGGTCCCTAAACCGCTCAAGTTTCTACGGCCACACTATGAGACGATGACGAAGCTCTACGACGAATGGCCTGCGGGTGACGACAAGAATTCTTTGGCCGACGTGCTGTCGGTCATCGGCATGACCTACTCCGACGAGGAACGCCAGGACACCCTGAAGTATCGTTTGCTTGCGCCCACACAAGATATCGGCTCGTGGGGCCATGAATACGTTCGCCACCTCGCCCTTGAGATTGGCGAGGTTTACGGCAAGCGCATTGCCGCCGACGAATCGACCACAGACCTAGTTGACTTGGCCCTTACCCTCGTGCCTCTTTTCCTTCAAAGCAACCAGGAGGCGGACGCCGTGGACCTGATGAGCGAGCTGGAGATCATCGACGAGCTTCCCAAGTTCGTCGACGAGAACACGTACGGGCGGGTTTGCCTGTACATGGTCTCGATGGTCAACCTGCTCACGTACCCGGATAACGAGCAATTTTTGCGGGTGGCACACGGTATCTACAAGACATACAAGCAGTACACGCAGGCCATGGTGCTGGCTATTAGGCTCAACGACATTGAGCTGATCGAGACTGACTTTGACGACGCCCCGAATGCAGCCTTGAAGAAGCAGCTTGCCTTCCTGGTCGCCCGCCAAAGGATATGCCTGGAAACCGACCGCGAGACCCCGGAAGACGAAGAGATTGTGGATTGCATTGGCAACGTCAAGCTGCCGGAGCACTTCAAGTCTCTTGGCAAGGAGCTCAACATCCTGGAACCCAAGACTACTGAAGATATCTACAAAAGCCATTTGGAGAGTAGCCGTGTGGCCGGCCTAACCAACTTTGACTCGGCCCGCAACAACCTCGCGGCCGCGTTTGTGAATGCGTTTGTGAATGCGGGCTTCGGGAATGACAAGATGATGCTGGTGGACAAGGAGAAGGACAAGGACAGTTGGGTGTGGAAGACCAAGGAGGAGGGCATGATGTCGACGGTTGCATCGCTAGGGACGCTACTGATGTGGGATATTGAGAATGGATTGGACCAGGTTGATAAGTACACCTACCTTGAAGAAGAGCAGATCCAGGCCGGTGCCTACCTCGCCATCGGCATCATGAACTCGGGCGTCCGCCTGGATTCGGAACCTGCCATGGCCCTGCTCGCCGATCACGACAAGCTCAACCACAAGAACCCCCTGATCCGAGTCGCCGCCATCATGGGTCTCGGGCTGTCGTATGCCGGCTCAAACAAGGATGAGCTTCTCGCCTATCTCATTCCCATCATCTCCGATACCAGCCAAGAGATGCGGGTGTCGGCCATGGCAGCACTCGCTTGCGGCCTCGTTTTCGTCGGGTCATCACACGCCGAGGCTGGCGAGGCCATTATCATGACGCTGATGGATGACGAGCGTAAGAGCCAGCTCACGGATAAATGGACTCGCTTCCTTGCGCTCGGCTTGGGGCTTCTCTACTTTGGCCGCCAAGAGGAAGTTGATGTCGTCCTAGAGACTCTGAAGGTAGTAGAGCACCCCATGGCGAAGCCGACATCTGTGCTGGCCTCGATCTGCGCGTGGGCTGGTACTGGCGCCGTCCTTAAGATCCAGGAGCTGCTCCACCTCTGCAACGAGCACATGGAAGAGTCGGACGAGAAGAAGGGCGATGAGCTGCTCCAGGCGTATGCCGTGCTCGGTATCGGGCTTATTTCCATGGGCGAAGATGTGGGCCAAGACATGGTTCTCCGCCACTTCGGCCATCTCATGCACTACGGCGAGGCGAACATCCGCAAGGCCGTACCTCTAGCTATGAGTCTTATCAGCCCCAGCAACCCGCAAATGAAGATTTACGACACGCTTTCGCGGTACAGCCACGACAATGACAACGACGTCGCCATTAACGCCATTTTCGCCATGGGTCTCTTGGGTGCGGGCACCAACAACGCAAGGTTAGCGCAACTGCTCCGCCAGCTTGCCAGCTACTACCACCGCGACCAAGAATCGCTCTTTATGGTGCGCATCGCCCAAGGCCTCCTGCACATGGGCAAGGGCACGCTGTCCATCAACCCGTTCCATACGGACCGCCAAATCCTGTCCCGCGTCTCAGCGGCCGGCCTGCTTACGGTCCTTGTGGCGATGATCGACTCGAAGCAGTTCATCACCAGCAACTCGCATTACCTCCTGTACTTCCTTGTTACAGCCATGCACCCACGCTTCCTGGTCACGCTTGATGAGAATCTCAAGCCACTGACGGTCAACGTTCGTGTTGGCCAGGCAGTGGATGTCGTCGGCCAGGCGGGTCGTCCCAAGACCATCACGGGATGGCAAACCCAGAGCACACCGGTGCTGCTAGCGTACGGTGAGCGTGCGGAGCTTGAGGACGAGGAGTACATTAGCTTGAACAGCACCCTCGAGGGTTTGGTGATTCTGCGCAAGGTATGTTGAACATCATTTACCGCCGGCATTGTGTGAGCAGACTGATAGCTGACTTGGATCCTACTAGAACCCCGAATGGGAGGATGGAAAATAAATGGGACCCAGGTATTCGGTTTGAATGGGATGGGGCTTGTGGCAGACAGGCCAATTGGCCGAATAAAATGACGGCGCTCGGCAAACACGAAGGGGTGATGATGTATGTGTATAATACAGCAAATGGATCGTGTCTGCCTGCAACAGCACTTCTAGCCGCTGTTGGCCCAGTCGCTTCTATTGGCGTGATCTGTGCCATCTGCAAATGTCTGCTTGCATAACTCGGATCGTCACGGACCTCGTCATGGACTTGCTGTGGCCGGTGGTTGGTAGTGATACTGGACTCCCTTGCAATTTCTCCTTATCATTGACATACAAGGAATATTCATCCGAGCATTTGTTTTACTGAGAGGTGGACTAGATGTGTGTTTGGCCACAAACCGTTAAATTATCCCCCAAGCTGCACCTGACTCGAATGATGAGTTTCCCACTAATCGCTCTGCTGTCACTACGAGTCATCGTTTTTATGCACAAACCACCATATTATATCTGCGTTTTTGCCACGAATTACTATCACATTTCGAAAGTTCCCAAAAAAATATCCGAATTCATCCACGGACTAAGCCCACATCTACTCCCTCACATCCCCCCCCAATCAACCTAACCACAGGCACAGGGGACTGGCTCTCTTCAACACGCATGCATTCTCCTCAACCCAACTCAACAACTTAACAGCTTAACTCACTACCCCCAACAACCAATAACCAGCAGCTATATAACATAACACCCAAAACTCCACGCCCAACTACGTAGATAATAAGTACCTAGGCAAAGTGCTAAGTACCCATCAGAAATGAACTAACTAGCAGCAAGCTAGGGGGGGAGGGGGGAGGGTTCGACAGAGGAGGTAGGTATGGTTGTGTGCGTGTGTAAACCAAACCAGACCAGACTTGTGCCGGGTATCCATCCATCCATCCCGCTTTGGTACCTACCCTGTTTTTAGGGGGGTGATGATCCAATCGAGGGAAGTATATACCCAACGGCTAACACCAATAGCCAACGGCCAACATCCAACACCTAACATCCAGCATCCAACATCCATCCATCCGGCGGACACTCCTTTCTCTCCCAGAGAGTCACCCTATATTACCAATCCCCTATAACAACCCCAACCCCCAACCACAATCCAACCCCCCTTTCCCCAAATCCCAAGTTCCCCCCTCAACTCTTCTTAATCCCAAAAATATTCCTCTTCTTCTTCTCCTTCTTCTTTCCCCCATCCGACCCGCTCGTCCCCGGCCTAAGATCTCCCCCACCACCACCGCCCAATCCACTTCCCAACGACGAAGCCGAAGCAGACGGTGTCCCACCAGCACCACCCCCACCACCCCCACTTCCTAGAGTCATACCCCCCATCGCCTTGGTCGGTGGCGCCAGGGAGGATGGTACCGACTGCGGTGGAGGAGCAGGCCTCTCAAACAAATGGGCTGGCGCCTTCGGCGGTGGGCGATCGAGCGGGAGGTTGAGACGGCGGCGGTCGACACGCAGTGCGCGGAGGTCAGCGAGGAACTTGGACGGGGTGAGCATGTGGGTGGTAGCGAGGAAGATGTCGCGGTTTTGTTTTTCGCCGACTTCGTAGCAGGCGCGGGATTCGGAGAAAGTAGCGCCGCCCGCGACGAAGACGATAATGCGCTGGCGGTTTTCGGCTTGCCGTCTATTGGCGGAGGCCCAGCGTGGTGCTGCGGCGCGGAGGGAACCGCCGCCTGGGCCGGCGGCGCCGGGACCGGTGGCGTAGGGGTCGAGACCGGCGCCGTTGGGGTCGTCTTGGGGAGGGTTGACGGAGGGGAAGAGGGTTGGGTCGAGGTCGCCGGCGCAGAGGTGTTCGAGCATGGATTTGATGGCTGGGTCGAAGCGGGAGAGGGCGTAATCGTCGTCGGGGATGGCTGTTTTGAGGTTGGGGGCTGGGAATAAGGGGGGTGCGGGTGGGCGGGTTTCTTTGAGTTCTTTTAGAGGACGGGCGCCAAGGAGGCTGAGGTTTTCGATGACGGTTTGGTCTTGGCTATCGCGGGACTGCTGGAGGGACGCGTGCCAGAGGAGGCGGCTGATGTCCTTGTCGATGAGGCCATCGCGGTAGAGCACGTATAGGGCGATGAGGCGGAGCCTGTCTGCAGGTGCGACACTTGGGTTGTCGAGCAAGCGGACGGCCTCGTCCAGGATGTTCTTAGCCTTTTTGTACTCCTCATCGAGACCGGTGGCTAGGGTCTGCTCGACGGCAGCCACGTCGGCCAGCTTGAACTGCTGGAAGATGTTCATGGCATTCTGCGCCATGGTGAGATGGAGGGTGTAGGCTTGTTTCAGCTCCTTGAACTGCGGCAAACCCGCCAGCATGTCGCGGATGTCGGTTAGTGTCGCCGCCTTGGAGTCCTTGTTTATAAAGTTAGGGTTGTCTGCCATGAACTTTTTGAAATCGCTCATGAGCTTGTCAATGGTATCTTTCATGTGGCCGTGCCGGTTGCTGACCCAGACGGTGTCCTTGTCGCTCAGGTCCATTTCCTTCTCCTCTGGCGTTTCACCTTTGTCATTAAAAAACGTCACTTTCCCGTTCTCCTGCTCGCGGATAGGGAGCAAGTCGTGGATCATGGCCTGGTACGTGAACTCGTGTAAAAGTGGCGCCATCAGGTCCATGGATCTGTCCGTGATGAGGAGAACTGACTGGGGCCGTTGCGACGGGGGAGGAAATTGGCGATTGAACTGCTGGTAGGCGTCGAGTTCCTGCTGAACAAACCGGGCTAGGTGCATGCACAAGACCCTCGCCTCGTGAGTGGCGTGTTCCGGCGGCTGGTAGTACCGGATCTTGGGGACTTCTTGCAAGGTGATGCAGAGCGAGGCGATCTGGAAGTGGGAGTGGGTCAGCTAACAGAAGCCCCTGACCATGGCAGCAGCCCACAGCACGGCATGATCATGGTTACCTTTGACGCTAATATACGCAGATGCCGTGCTACTAAGTCGTTACACGTGGGATTGTACAAGACGAGGAAACTAGACGGGTCGAGAAAGGTGACAACACGCGCCTCGCGGGGATGGAAGTCGACGAGCAAAAGATCCGGGGGCCCTGTTTTATACGAAACTTGTAAGATGGCCGCATTTGTATGTTTTGGTGTTGCAAGAGATCCCGCATACCTCCCATCTGCCTTCGAAAGCCATCCAAGCGACGCTCTTGCTGACCAGGCAAAGCACCACTCCAGATAATAAACCCCCTCCTGTAGCGCCTACGCTCGAAATCGGCGAGCAGACAATCGACAATGTGCGGTAACGGCGAGAGGAAGTAGATGGCGTCCATTTCCGGGTTCATCTCCCTGCGCTCCTCGATGCGCTCGATATCTAGGCTCGGTTCAGCGACTACCCCCTCTACCAAGAGATATAGGGGTCAAGAACTGCGGGGGGCGTACTGGCGATATTGTGGTTGAGGATGTCATCTTCGTTGATGGAGCTGTCGATTATCCTCTTGGTGCCTTCGTCGATAACCAGTACCTTCCACTAACGGATGCGCAAACCGAGTGTTAGAGCCGAGGGTGTCTCGAGAAGCGTGGGGTGGTTGTTACGATATCAAGGGGGTATGTATTCGTGCTAGGGTCGAGATCGGACTGGGATCAAGCTGGGAATGGGCTCACGTCATTCTGGGCGGTTTGTTTGATGGCGTCGATGATGGCTAGGGCACTCTATTAGCTCAAAAAGCTCAAAAAGAAGCTGGAACTCGGACAGAAGAACGAAGCGGCGTACCCTTGCCGTGCTCCTTGATGATGGAGGGGCCGTCCATGGCGGCTGCGGTGAGGCCAGAGCCCAGCTCAATGCCCGGACGGCTTGCGTTCTCGGGGGCCTCGAAGACGGGAACTAGGAGGATACGGCGGTATCTCGGGAGCGCAAGGGTCGGCGGGGTGGTGAAAGCTTCGAGCTCGTGGTGATGTGCTGTTCGTGCAGTCGTCGTCTCGACTTTCGAAACAAGGGGGTTCGGGGGCTTGTTGGCCGCCTGCGGGCCTGTCGCAGCAGCAACAACTCATGGTGGGGTGCAGCATCCATGGCTGCCAAGCTTCCCCAGAAGGAGAAAGATAACTGCATATAACCCTAACCCTAGTTATCATGGACACAGGAGATGCGCAGGTGTTCGATCTTCTTGGTGCTGCACTTGGCTCTTTCCACTTGCTAGTCTCAAAACTCCCATTATCACATCCAGCAACTCGTCTAGACACAATTCCAACCATATCACCGCCAAGTGTGTCGCACCGAGTCGGACCCAAACGCCGTGTGAGCTGCAGCAATCAGCAAGCATTTCGATTATTCGACGCGAGATGCCCAAGCCGGTCGATGCGAGAATGCAAGGGTGCTGAGCTCCCTCGCTATGGCCAAAAAAAAGCGGCACATCAAGTCCCTGGATAACTTACTTTGCTAGAAAAGTGAAAAAAAAGACCAAAAAGAATAAACCAAAAAAAGGGAAAGAAGAGAAAATGGAATAAATCCAAAAAGTGAAAAAAGACAAACAAGAGTATATCAATCAAAATTTACCAAGATTTGATCGAATGTTAATGGATTAGACTTGAGCTATCTGTTTTAGTGTGTCGCTTTTTTTGGCCACAGCGAGCCTCGTCACCTTACGTAGCTTGTCCGCGGTGACCCGACTCGAGGTGATGGGTGTCCCTTCGCTTGCCCACCGTGCATGAACCCCCCACTGGGTGCTGCCAGATGCAGACTGCAGAGCGTGTCACCCCTGCTTGTCCGTCACATCGCCAACTAACCAGGATTTCTCTTCGTCTTCTCCTTTCTTTCTTTTTCGTCTCCAATCAGTTGGGCCTGTAGGCCGCGTGGCATGTCTCCGAAGCCGTTGAACACGCGACGCTAAAACCACAGGGGCAAGTAAGACGTTGAAGGGACCCAAACAAGACACGCGGAGAACAACGTTGATTGATGTGAGTGCAGACTGACTACCTAGGTCGACGGCCATCGACTCGAAAGCTGCGAGATGCAGCCTGGTCGTTCCAACAAAGCCTTGTGTAGGTGGGGGGCAAGCCTCTTTTCTTTTTCCTTTCTCGTTTGGGGATTAGCCTTGAGCGAACAAGCAGAACCAACAACCCTTTCTTGAGCCTTCAGGACACACGGGCCTTGTCTTGGCCCCGGATGTCCCGAAGCTACCCTTCCTCGGCTCTCCCGAGTTCGGGTTCTTGGCCCAGGCCCACGGTCTGGCGAGCAAGTGTTGGTACCTCCGGATATGGTACGGAGTAATATCATGATAGCCCACCAGGGGCTCTCGCGACACGTTTCGGTGGTCTTGAGTTCCATTCCACCAGACCGGCGTGACATGCCGTCTTGCTAGCTGCAGCCAGAACCCGGCCCGCGGTCGACTCCCGGACGGGCCAACCATCCAATAATCCAATTGCAGAGAATGGCGAGAACATGGGCGTCGACATGGGGGGCCCAGTATCGTTTCTTCGGGAACCGGGCCCACACCGCGCCCGCTGCTTGTGCCGGCGCAACGGCCGATTGGTGACAGGGTCAATGGTGCCGGGGACCTTTGGAAAGAAAATGCTCCTGCGCGCGCGCGCGGGATGCGTGACTGACTGAGCAATCCGGGGGATGGAAGCACAACATTCAGCTTACCATTTTCTTTCGTTGGTCCCAGCAGCTGCAACCTTCAGTTTCTGCAATGTAACTGTAAAGAATCGAATAACTAGTCGCGACTTATCCTCACCTTTCTCCCGTTCCCACTCCCAGGCTCCTCGTCTCTCATCATCTCCTTTTCACCCAGATGGTCTAGTCATACGAAGTACTGAGTGCTCCTCCGCCATGTCTTCTTCCCCTAACACGGCCCCTTCAGGGGTCGAGCGACAAGACCCCCCCAGAGACCTCGAGAGCCAAAGCCCAGACAACGACAACCTCAAGAAAGAAATCCTCGAGGAACAGCAGCACGGCGATGATACTTCGCCAACAACTGAACGCCGCTCAGCCGGCAGCCGCTTCCTGTCGCTGCTGACCGTCCGGCCGGGTGAGGTCTACAAGGCCGACGCCGACCATAATCCGAAATGGTACCAGAAGCTGCTCGACGCGGGTATCGAAGAGAACGGCATCAAGCCGGTGCCGCTGGAGCAGCGGACCGTGACGCAGTATAGCAACCTGTTTACGGTTTTCTTCACGGGGCTTTTGTGTCTGCTTCCGTACGTTCCTCCTCTTAACAGAACAACATCCCAGCCTAGATGCAATGATAGGGCTATCGCTCGCGCGACACTGGACTGACCTCAGATCTCAGCATCCCAACCGGCATGCTGGCTACGCTGGCTTTCGGTCTTAGTCTCCGAGACGCCTCACTCATCATCCTTTTTTTCGGTCTGCTCACATCGCTCCCACCGGCCTTCATGGGCATCGGTGGCATGGAGACGGGCCTGCGACAACAGGTCCAAGCTCGGTATTCGTTTGGGTGCGTGTTTCTCTCTACCTGCCATATGAACCCGGTAACCTTTGAAACCCCGGGCTGAGAGCCCAACCAACCTCGAGACTTCATCTGATCTAACACATATCCACATAGCCGCTACCTCTCCATCATCCCCCTCCTCCTAAACGCAGCCACAGTGACCGGCTTCTCCCTCCTCGCGGCCGTCGTCGGCGGCCAGACCCTCGCCTCAGTCAACCCAGGCCACGTCAAGGTCGACGTGGGCATCGTCATCGTGTGCCTGATGTCCTTCGCCGTGTCGCTGATGGGTTTCAAGGCGCTGCACTGGTGGGAGCGCTGGACGTGGATCCCTAACTTGATCGCGATTCTGGTGGCTGTCGGGTGTGGTGGGAAATATATTTACTTGCAGAGTGAGGCGGAGCCTGCAACGGCGCCGCAGGTGTTGGCGTTTGGGGGGTTGATTGCGGGTTATTTTATTACGTTTGGTGGGACGGTGTCGGATTACTCGACTTATCATGATCCGCGTAAGGCATCGAGGTATGTTGGCTCTATCTGTCTCCCTGAGGGCTGTCTCAGCTAACCAAAAACAAAAACAGAGTCAAAGTCTTCCTCTACGTCTACGGCGGCCTCCTAGTCCCCTCCGTCCCCCTCCTGGTCCTGGGCGCGGCCCTCGGCGGTGCAGTCCCCAACGTCCCCGAATGGGCAGCAGGCTACGAAGCCACGGGCATCGGCGGCGTGATGCGCGAGATGCTCCGCCCCGCGGGCGGGTTTGGCCTGTTCATTCTCGTGCTCCTCTCCCTGAGCGTCATCGGCAACATTGCCATCTCCATGTACAGCATCGCGCTCAACCTGCAGATGGTGCTCCCGCCGTTTGCGAAGATCCACCGGTTTTTTTTTATTTTGGTCACCATGGCCATCATGATCCCCATGGCGATCCGCGCTGCGCAGGCGTGGGAGGAGAGTCTGACGAATTTCTTGGCTGTGATTGGGTACTGGGCTGGGTGTTTTGATGCGGTTTTGATCATGGAGCTGGTCGTGTTTCGGCGCATGGACTACTCGACGTATGACCATGCGATCTGGAATGTGGGTAGCAAGCTGCCGCTTGGTGTGGCGGCTATTGGGGCTTCGCTGGTCAGCATGGCGCTGGTGATTCCGGGGATGGAAGAGCCGTGGTATACGGGGCCGATCGCTGAGACCACGGGGGATATTGGGTTTGAGATGGCTTTTGTGGTCACGGCGCTGGCGTATCTGCCGTTCCGGTGGTTGGAGATTCGGTTGACAGGGCGGTAAAGCCTGTAAAGCCTATCTATAATGGGGGCCTAGTGATCAACGAATGGGCATAATATGCTGTTTTGTTTACCCCATCCATCACCTTCCTGACCTTGCCGATAAGTAAACCTCACCGCGCAATCCGTCCACACAACACCACGTCCTCCCCCAACGGACACCACCTAACATCCCTCAACCGCAACGCCTCTCCCCCCTTCAGCTTCGGCGGAGACACCACCACACCACCCTGCCCAAACCACGTCGGCGCAATCGTCACAATCACCGCGTCCACCAACCCCTCATCCTCTTCTTCATCCCCACCACCCGCCAACAACGAGTTAATCACCTCCCCACCCCCCTCAATCATCACACTCCTTATCCCTTCCCCGCCCAACATCCCTAATACATCCTTCCACCCGAACCGGTCCTGATCCTGATTCTGTCCCTGTTCCTGTCCCTGTCCCTCCTCACCCCGCGTCCCCAGCGTAGTACCCCGCGAAGCCAACGTACCCACCGTAGCCAGCCTAATAACCCGTCCCCCAACCTCCTCTAAAACCTCCCTCCTCCCCTCCTCCACCACCGTCCCAGGCGCAACAACCACCCACGGCCCATGCCCCCTCCCAGCAGCCGCTAACCGAATGACTTTGCTCTCCGCCGTGAATTCCCAACGACCCCGCGGGTCAAGGATAATAGGGCGGGGTTGGGACGTTAATGGAGGTTCACCCCCTCCTCCCACCCCTACTTCAGCAGCGGTAGATGGAGAGGAGGAGGTGGGGTGTACATAAACCCTAGAATTCAACCCCGGATCATCAGCCACCGCCGTGCCGGCTCCAATCAAGATAGCATCGTGGCGCGTGCGCAGGTAGTGGGTCATGGCTTTGCTTTGGGGGCCGGAGAGGGTGGTGCGGACGCCGGGGAGGGTGGCGATGGAGGCGTCGAGGGAGTGGGCGTAGGTTAGGGTTGTGAAGGGTTTATTGACTGGATTGGCATTTTGGGGATGAAGAGGGGGGAGGTACGGTTCGAGGAGGGCGGCTTGGGAGGCGGGGAAGATGAGTTGGTCTGGTGGTAGTGGTGGCATGTTTGTTGGTAGGTGAGGCGGTTTGTGGTTGGGTTGGGGGTGTGAATTTGGGTGAGAATGGTTGGAGTTGGTGGTGAATGTGGTTGGTGGGTGGTTGAGTTTTGGGGTTTGGAAATGAGGGCGGAAGCGGACACGAGTGGATGAGGTTGCTCAGGCGGAGATGTACGTACAGTAGAGGTACTGCAGGGGCTGTGGTCTGCTTTAGACCCTGCCAAGACGGGTTGTCGGCGGGAAGGAATTACAGTACGGAACATGCGGGGCCTGATCGGTACCTGATGGGAGACAAACACCAGTTTCTGGGATCGTGACGGCGAGAATGAACTGGCCAGGCCCCCCCCGAAGAACTAGAGTCTCACAATGGGTAAAAATACATGTGCTTATGTGGCATTTGGTTCTGAACAGTGTACGAACCGCCTCAAATTAGGTACCGTCCCTGTACCCTTAGCCAACGGTGAAGCAGAATGTGGAATCATTTCCATTTCCGGCTTTCATCGCACCATACGGAGTATCGCGAGAGAATCCAACTCCCGAGATCTAGCAGGAATTGGGTATCTAGTGCAGTTAACCTAGCTCACCCGTTTCTACCTATTTCGCCAAAATGTATGTTCTAGAAACCCGTTTAAGCCCATCCGATGAGAACGGTAACTTTCGACGTATCGTACCAAATTAATACACTACCCTCACTCGTCCAACCCGACCGCGAACGGCCAAACTGCCCGTTTTCAACGTCCCTGAAGGCCACATAATATTCCACATCCATTCTCCTCCTCCCGCCAACGCAGGGCTGTGGCGGAGTGCATGCCGTTCTTCGAATGGGGCTCCTCGCAACCTGTGAACCGCGCATGTGAGACAGGACCTGGTCGAAAGCGACACACGGGGGCCAGTGCCCGGAGTTTAAACCGCCGGGCGCGCCCCAAACCCTTGCCAAGAACGGATGCTTGGCGCGTGGCCGGCGGCTTTCTTTGGCTAAAATCCACTGCTTGATGTTCGATGCAGGAGAGAGCCGCTCGCTGCAGACCGCTGCCGCAGGTCGGTTGTTTGCCTTTGTTCCTTTTATTTTTCCAGGGTCCAGCCGTTCTCCTTTTCCCTCTCCCCTTAAGCTCTACACTACTCGAAGCCAACCTCCCTTCCATCGCCATTTGTTGCCGTCATCTTCTCCTCAAAGCCACTGCGCTCTCCCAGTAAAGTCAACCGAGGCTTACGTCAACGGTCGGAGCTAGTCGGCTTTTCGCTTCCCGCCACCACCTGCACATCATCCACGCGTTCCCGGCGCCCACTCAGCACCTCAACCGCCTTTTGACTTCCGACGACACATCCCATCCCTTCCCGAAAACCTACACAGCCACGATTGCCACGCAGTGCACCCGACTCATAAAATCCAATCAATCACCACCGCTGGCTGCAGGTGATTTATTTCGCTCTCGGATCCTTTCCCGCAACTTGCGAACTGCGACGTTCCCGTTTTCGCGACCGCTTCTTTCTACCAAGCTTTGCGACTCTCGAGTATAATTTCGAGAGACCTCGCCTGTCCCTCCAACTCCCACCAAACCCAACAAACAACCCCGCTAAAGAGCGAAGAACCCCAAAAACCACCACCAAAATGTCCTACAACAAACACGACGAGCCCCCCGCCTACCACAACCCCAACAACCCCTACAACAACTCCCCCAACCCTTACGGTTCTCCCGCCCCCGGAGGCTACTACCAACAACAACAACCCATGGGCTACGGACAGGGACAATACCCGCAAGGCGGTGGCTACCCACAACCACAGCCCGGCCCGGGAGGGTACTACCAGCAAGGTCCGTATGGGCCCCCGCATGGGTATGGACAGGGCGGACCGCAGATGTATGGGCCCCCGCAGCAGAGGCAGAAGTCGGGACCGGTAGGTTTTTTTTTTTTTTTCGCCCGCTTCTCCCTCAATTTCCCCTCCCAAAACCGAGGCGGTTGGGAATCCGGAAAGGTGGATATATGGTATGATATGATGTACTAACGTCGATACGTACAGGGTATGCTTGAGGCGTGTCTCGCCGGGTTGGCATGCTGCTGCTGTCTCGATCTGCTATGCTAAATAGCCCGATGGATGGGCTATCAAGTGGAGAGTAACAGAGGGAAAACACATACAACCCCCAAAAAACAGTCAACGAAATGAACGGGTCCGGGAGCTGGGATTCCGGAGGACGAGTCACACTCGGCGAAATCATCGCAGGATACCATCGCAAGAAACGGAGGGTTGGATAACGCAAATCAAGGACCATATCGGTCACTCCCCTGCGTAAATACGGCGCAGGCCGGGGGAGTAAAGCGGAAGTAAAGGGGGGCGTACAAGGAAGAATGATACGCAGAAGAGGCGCAGCGCAGCGCAGTATGGGAATGACACGACGGCATATGGGTTACGGCTACGGCTTGGAGCGGAGTCGGCGTTTGGAATGGGGATTTGCAGTTTATGAAATTTGATATCGTTTTTGATACGGTTGGATGATGCTTCTTACTTGCCATGACTTGTTCTGTCTGGCCGTTCTGAGTGTCTTCACTTTGTTTGTGGGTATGTACCTAGGCCTTGTAATGATTCAAATGTCTGTTTTTCTAGGATCTGTTGAGACTATTGGGTGCACCGTAGAACGGGAGGTTCCTTAGGAGGAGATCCAGACAAACGAGCAGCTCGGCAAAGCTAGCATAGGTAGGTATCAAAAACATCCAGTGTGAACTCCTCACAACCAACACCATGCATGCCAAGGGACCACGAACCCCCTACACATCCACCCTCTTATACAGCCCCCCAAACTTCTCCGCCGCCTCACGCATGCAATCCAACCCGTAAATCATCTTCTGTACATCCGGGCTCGCCCACTTGTCCGGCACCGACCCGGACCGGCCATTCTCCCGGAACTCGCGATCGCGCGCCTCCTTGGCGGCGCCCTCGCCCAGGTGCAGGATCCGGCCCGAGTGCGCGGCCAGGTCGACCAGCGCCGTACAGTGCGGCTTGCGCAGCGCTTCGTACACTTTGAGGGTTTTGGTCAGGGACTCCGGGCTGGACAGGTCGGGGACCCGGCTGACTACCTCGGCGAGCACCGCGCCGTCCTCGATTGCCATAGCTGCGCCCTGACTAAGGTGTGGTAGGGTCGGGTGGCAGGCGTCTCCGAGTAGGGCAACCGAGCCCAGCACCCACGTCGGTAGCGGTTTGTGCACGCGAAGCTTCCACTCGCATACTTCGCCGTCGGGTACTAGATCTAGCATGCGGTGGACAAGTGGGCAGAAATCGCCGTAGACCTGCAGCATGGCAGACTTGGAGCCGCGCGTGGTGTAGGTCGCGTTGGTGGCAGCCGCAAAGTTGGTGTCGGGTTGGGCGGTCGATAGGTTGTAGATCTGGTGGTTGCTGACCGCGTATGCGATGATGTGCCGGCGTTCTCCCACCCACCGCACCACCGTGTCACTGTCTAACAGCGCCAGCATCTCTGGGTCGTGCGCCATCTGCTCGCGCGTCAGCATGATGCGATACGCTGCCTGCCCTGTGTCTTCTTCCTCTGATGCCGTGCCCAGTTCGGCGAGCATCTGGGTGCGCGTCACCGACTTGACCCCGTCTGCGGCTAGCACGAGGTCGGCCTCGATCGTGAATGGTTCGCCGTGGCGTGGTTGGAGAGTAAGTGAGACGGGTGCGGCCCAAGAGTTGATTTTAACGAGCGCCGTCGAGAAGTGGAAGCGGATCGCGGCCTCTTTCTGACAGCCGTTGAAGAGGCCGTTGGCGAGCGACCACCGGTGGCCGGTACAGTGGGGGTAGCCGTACTTGGCCGCGATGTCGGGCATCTGCACATGTGAGAGCTCCGTATCGGTACTCCCTCCTATTAGATATCATCTAGATTAGACCCCAAAGTTCATGGAAACCAGAATCCATACAAGACAACGTACGCCGGATGCTCGTTCCCTGGACGTTGGTGGCTTCGGCATAGATCTCATCCCAGCAGCCAAGGCGGTCCAGCACACGAACCACATTGGGGGGCATCTGGATGCCGGCACCGACAAATCCAAGGTTAGATGCCGTCTCGTACACGTCGATGTGCTTGAAGCCCTTCTTGGCAAAGGCTAGTGCGGTTCCCAAGCCGCCCATCCCTGGATGTGTTAGTACAATAGATACTGTGAAACAGAAATATGGAACATGAGAGGGCATACCCGCGCCGATGATGGCGATGCGAAGATCGCGCACGTCCCCCATGACCGATAAAGCTGTTGTCTAAGTTTGTGTTTCTCAAATGTGAGTGATTTCTAGGTAAGTACGTTTTGGTTGAACTGAGGCCTATGAGGACGGTGAACGTAAAATGTAAGGCATAAGCATCAAGCGAACTCGGCGTGGAGGTACGTAACGATAAAGTTGGAGTGGTGAATTATGAGCATAGAGAGGTGAGCAGCGCGGGTAAAAGGGGTAGCCCCTTCTCACCACTCATATATACTGCGTATAAGTACATGTGCATCGGCCGCGATATCCCTGAATGCGGCCCTCGGCACCTGCTTTTGCGGGCGTATCCGCACCAACATCAGGCCATCGATTCTGCGTGTTCTAGCCTTCGATGTGGCAAGCAATGTCGGTGCTGAACGGCCCTTAACTGCAGAGGCCTACCCGGTCCCATGTTTCCATCGTATGCTCGCGCCGTTTTTCCCCCAGGCCGAAGAGCAAAGTGAAAAAAAGAATACCCCGAGATCGTCTGCGGGAGTTGGTTCGGGCGGAACGGGAACTGGTGGAGGGGCATTTGGAGCTGTGGGGGAGAATGCGGGGAAAGAATATAGCACCTATGGAATCATATTTGCCCTGGGGGAAAATGATTTGCCGATGGACCCGACGTCCATAATGCGTGCCACAACCGCCGATGTGGCTAGTCCAAGTTTCAAGTGGGTAAGTGCGAGTTGTCCCCTATTTAAGGAAGTTCCTTTTCAGAAGGGTTCTGAAAACGTGTGATTTGGCAATGTTCTGATAATGATTCGTTCCCCCAAGAGCAACATCGCTTCGGGTGTTGAAAAAGGGCCGCATCCACCTGACATGGGGGAATCCACACTTCATTCTTCACTGTGTACAGTGGTTTTTGGCGGCAACGGTCCAACTGCCCTTGAAATTACATACAGTTGGCATAGGTATTGTAACAGGTTCAATCTAAATTAGATGAGCCCTGATGTTGGTTTTCCACCCCATCGTATTGTATATCATGTTGTCGGTGACCTTATCCCTCACACTAGGTATCACAACGTCAAATTATACTTTTCATCCCCCTGTCCGTTTCGTGGGGAACTTCACGTGTATAATCGGTATTTATACCAAGATTTTAAGACAGCCGAACCTAGAAAACAGCCACCCTGACGTTGTCGGGAATCTGTTACGAGGTAAGGAATGTAAAACGTAATCGTAGCATCACTTGGCGTTTCTAGACAGCCACTGCTAAACGCTATCGTATTGTTCCTGTATCCGTCGAGGCCACACGGGCCTGCTGCAGCGAGGAAACATAGCGAGCTTGGCGAGGTACCTTTCGAGGCCACAGCTCAAACGCGGCGTCGCGATCATCCCCGGGTAGAAATATTCGACGAGGAGAGGGCATTCAATTCACCCCTTGCCGATAACGATAAACCAGCGGGAAAATTCCGGGCCCGGTTGAGTCAAGGCGATCTCAGGGTTCACGGCCCGGTGCGCAAACCGGGGTGCACAGCAAAAAAAGGGGATCAGGAGATCACGGGATCGCCGTGTCATCGTGGAACCCGCAGAATCAGATCGTGATGATGACAGGTTTGAGTCTGACAAACTCTGGTGCAATGAAGATTCAGAAAAAGAGCGGCGGGCCTCCTTATTTCTACTCCGTGGTACACATGTCTCTTCTTCGTGTTTTTTCAGCTATCTTCTTCGATATTCCGCCACCTCGGCCGCGGCCGCGTTTCTAACGTCAGACATGTCTGGCCCGGGGCCGGCAAACCGGCAGCTCGGGGCATGGGATGTTGAGGTGAAGGCGAGGGTCATCGCGGGCACGTGCCCGAAAAGAAATAATCCGCCGACAAGGGGAGAATGGAGATAAAAATAATATAACCAAAGATGTCCATACACGTACAAAGAGGCGCCCCAAAAGAAAAGGACAGCGGTAACGAGAACGTATAAATAACTTCACAGTCCTTGACAACGAGTCCTCGACCAAGCGCGCGTTTAGCGACATCGTTGTTGCTGGAATCATTGGAAACGGGCTACAGACCAGCAAAACCGCCCCTTGGAAACAAGGCGCTCGCAGCGACCAGTGAGCATGCACAGCTGGGAGCAGCTGCGGGGGGTGAGCCGCCGACGTCATGCCACTCACATGAGTCCCCAGCCAATCGATCCAATCAATCCAATGGACATCTTTCGCTTATCCAGAATGTTTCAGACGAACAGTCCCCACAATCGTCACTCTGTGCAGGGTCGAACAACAAGCAGCCAGCAGAAAGCGAAAGCCCAGGGCGGTTTCAGGCCCAGGCATCGAATGAGCGGCCCGCATTGGACGTCATCCATGTCATTTCCCACCCTGGGAGGCCCCTTGAACCGTTGTTCCATTTTTCTTGTGTTCTCCTTCCGGTTTCTTTGTGAATGATGAATTGCATCGTGGCAGCGGCTAAGCCGTGTTTCCTGATTTAACGTTGTTTTTTGCGGAACCCCATTCCCGAACAAAGCGATTGTGCTCGTGGAAGCGGGCCGGGCGTGGGCCGAACTAATCCTAATTCGACCCCTTCACCCCCCAGGTCTATGTCCTGGTCCTTTTCAAGGTCACAATTCTCGTGGCCCGGCGCCGGGACCGATTGGGATTTCTCGCTTTCTTGTTCTCGTTTCCTGGCCTCTCTCTCTCCCACCCTTCGTGTCCCCTCAACTTTCGGGATTCTCGCCCCAAACACCAAAAAACCCGACCACTGCCCACCACCCATCATCCACTACCTCGTACCCTCTCGACCTTTTGCGATTCGTGGGCTGGCCCGTATGGCCCTTTCCTGTGGTGGCCCCTATTGCACTCGCACACGCGAGTCCTAGATACCCAGAAATACACTTCAGCTACAAGTAACAAATAATTACAACACACAACTAATCGCATGCGACATCGACATCGGAGTCCGCCCCTATGAGCGCCTCAACATCGACCGCCGCCGCCGCGGCAGCGACGACTACGGGGCTGGACGATGGGCGTGGTTCTGCTCAAGGGTCCACGGGCATTAGCCTGGTCGCCTTCGTCACTGCCTTGGCGGCTTCGTTGGTCGTCTTTGGCATCCAGATGGGCTTCTTTTTACTGCTGAGGAATAAGGTGGTCCGGATATTGTGCGTTTGGTTCTTGGCCATACCCTCTTTACAGTATGTTCGCTAACACCCACACCCTCACAGCAAACCAAAGACATATCTCGTGCCGGAACGAGAGCGAACCGATATGCCACCCTCGAACCACCTGGCGCTCGCCTATAAACTCATGAGCTTCGAGGACCGCGAAATTATCAAGAAATGCGGGCTCGACGCCTACTTCTTTCTACGCTACCTCCAGACTTTACTCATCATCTTCATTCCCATCGCTATTGTCGTCATTCCGATCCTGGTACCGCTCAACTACATTGGTGGCAAGGGCCACGAAGTTGTTAATAACGCAACCGACAACTCCAAGAGCGAGGTGCCCACGGGGCTGGATACCCTGGCCTGGGGCAACGTTGCGCTGAACAAGCAACACCGCCGCTGGGGCCATCTCGCACTCGCCCTGGTCGTCATTCTCTGGGTCTGCGGCGTTTTCTTCAGCGAGCTGAAGGTGTACGTCAAGATCCGCCAGGACTATCTGACCAGCGCCGAGCACCGCCTGCGCGCCTCGGCCAACACCGTGCTCGTCAGCTCCATCCCGAACAAGTGGCTCAGCGAGGAGGCTCTGCGCGGCCTGTTCGATGTGTTTCCCGGCGGCATTAGAAATGTCTGGCTAACTCGGGACTTCACATCGCTACTCTCCAAGATCAACGAACGTAACGCCGTCCACAAGAAGCTCGAGGCCGCCGAGAGCACGCTGATCCGCAATGCCAAAAAGGCCCAGCTGAAGCAGGCCAAAGACGGCGGTATTATCCACAAGATCACGGCTGTTGTGACGGAGAACCGCGCCGACAGGGCCCAGCGCCACAAAGATGAGGATCGCGAAGCCCAGAAACGCGCTGAGGCGGCCGGCGGTTTGAGCGCCAACACGCCGCATCTTCCCCAGGGCGTCCACGACGCGATTGCTGAAGCAGAGGACGGAAGTGATAGTGATTCCTCGAGTTCTCGGGAGAATGGCACCCAGGAGAAGAAGCAGCGTAAGAACCCGCTTGCTACGATCGGGGAGGGATTCGGCAAGGGTGTTGGCAAAGGCGCTGCCCTTGCTAGCGGTGCTGGCCTCGGTATTGTCGGCGGCGCGCGAGCTGTTAGGAAAGGTGTCGACGGAAGTCTAAAAAACGGGCCCGCCGGGTTCGATTTCGCCCACGCCCAGAGCGGAAACGGAAACCGTCGGGGTCCTTCGCCGACCGGCGACGCAGACTACTCTAAGAAGAGCAGTCACGGTGATGCGGCAGATGAGGATGAGCCACCGAAGACGTCCTTTGCGTCAGAAGCTCCGCTCACCAACCACCCCCACCACCAACACGCCCATACTGGATCAACGGCGTCCCGGGATTCGAACGCCAAGAAGCACCACGATGAGCCCAAAATGTTCGGCAACACCGTCCGCCGTGCTACTAACATGGAGGAGATGATTATCACGGACAAGACGCGGTGGTACGAGTTCTGGAAGCCGCCCACGGGCAGCTACGCATCACCTATCCCCCAGGGCGCCGAGGAGGGCGAGTACCCGTGGAGAAAGAAGAAGACGATCTGGACCTTCGTGAAGGATGTGGTTCCGTTCCTGGCCGACAAACCTACTCCCATCAACTACCCGGCCGCGTACGAAGGCGACTACACCACCCAGACCGAGGAAGACGCCGAATGGCGCAAGTGGCTCAAGCCCGAGGAGCGCCCACGCCACCGCATCGCCAACTTCAAGTGGACGCCCGGTTGGCTGCCCGGGCTGCCGCTGATCAACAAGAAGGTCGACACCATCCACTGGTGTCGTGCCGAGCTCGCGCGGCTGAACCTGGAGATCGAGGAGGACCAACAACACCCGGAGCGCTACCCGATTATGAACTCGGCGTTCATCCAGTTCAACCACCAGGTGGCCGCACACATGGCTTGCCAGTCGGTTACGCACCACATCCCCAAGCAGATGGCCCCGCGCATGGTGGAGATCTCGCCCGACGACATCATCTGGGATAACATGGCCATCCCGTGGTGGAGCGAGTGGGCGCGCAGCCTCATCGTGTTCGCCCTGGTGGCTGGCATGGTCATCCTCTGGGCGTTCCCCGTCGCTTGGACAGCCTCGCTGTCCCAGATCGACGCCCTAGTTCGAAAGTACGAGTGGCTCAGATTCCTCGTGGATAATGAAATACTCAACAACGCGATCAAGGCCATCGCCGGTGTCTTGCCCGCTCTGGTGCTGTCGATTATCCTGGCGCTCGTGCCCGTGGTGCTCAACCTCCTCGCCAAGTTCCAGGGCTCCAAGACGGGCTCGCAGAAGACGGAGACGGTGCAGATCTACTACTTTGTCTTCCTATTCGTCCAGGTCTTCCTGGTCGTGTCGATCGCTTCGGGTACCCTCCAGACGCTAGCCAACATCTCGGTGGACTTTACATCCACCCCCAATGTTCTGGCCCAAAACCTCCCCAAGGCGGCCAACTACTTCTTCGCCTACATGATTCTACAGGCGCTCTCCACGAGCTCGGGAACACTGCTGCAGATCGGCACGCTGGTGATATGGTACGGCTGGGCGCGCATGGTCGACAACACCGCGCGGGCGAAGTGGACGCGCAACACCAAGCTGCCCACCGTCAACTGGGGCTCCTTCTTCCCCGTGTACACCAACTTTGCCTGCATCGCGCTAATTTATTCCATCGTGGCCCCGCTCATCGCCCTCTTCGCCATCATCACCTTCAGCCTGCTCTGGGTCGCCCACCGCTACAACATGCTCTACGTCACGCGCTTCAAAACCGACACCGGCGGCGTGCTGTACCCGCGCGCCATCAACCAGACCTTCACGGGCCTCTACGTCATGGAGCTGTGCCTCATCGGCCTTTTCTTCCTGGCCGAAGACCAGGACCACAACAACGTCTGCTTCCCACAGGGCATCGTCATGGTCGTTGCCCTGATCCTGACCATCCTCTTCCAATACATGCTCAACTCCTCCTTCGGCCCACTCCTCCGCTACCTCCCCATCACTTTCGAAGACGAAGCCGTCCTCCGCGACCAAGCCTTCCAGCGCGCCCAAGCCCGCCGCTTAGGCCTCGAAGACCTCGACGACGACGAAGCCAGCGCCCTCCACCGCCCCGGCACCGCGGACAGCAGCTCCACCAACCCCCCACGTCGAGCAGCAACAACCGGCATCGACGACGCCGACGACGACGACATCGAGCTCGAAAAGCTCGAAGCCGGCCACCGTCGCCAGGGAGGAGGAGTCGGCCCCCACCAACACCGCCGCACGAACTCCATGCTCGGCCGCTTCAACAAACCCATCTCCCACGCCAGCACCTGGGCCTCGCGCGGCGGCAAACAAATCCGCGCCGCCACCTTCGGCAAAGCCGAAACCGGCCTGCGCACCGCCGCCACCTACCGCAAACAACGCCGCCAAAAGGACCTCGAGGCCCAGCGCGCCATGGGCGACGCGCTGTACGGCGGGTACTGCGACGTCATTGAAGATCTCACCCCCGCCGAGCGTGATGTTCTAGTGCGCAAGGCGTTTCAGCACTCGGCGCTCAGGGCACGGAGGCCGGTGGTGTGGATTCCGAGAGATGATTTGGGGGTGAGTGATGATGAGATTAGAAGGACGAATGGGTTTAGTCGGTGGGTGTCGGTTACGAATGAGGGGACCGCGTTGGATAGTCGGGTGAGGGTGTTGTATGGGATGAATCCGCCGGATTTTTCGGAGGTGGATTTGATTAATTTGTAGGGGACTAACTTAACTTAGTCTCGGGGATGGGGGGGTGGATGCTAGAATGAACTAGACACACGGGGTAGACAGACCAGAGGATGGACCGGCTGGCTGACTGGATGGATGGATGGATGACGGATACCCATGGCGTTTTCTCTCTCTTACTGCTTTCTTTTTTTCTTACTGCATAATATTTCGGGCTTGATATTTGGGAACCAGGGTCTTGCGGTTGGTTGGCTGGCCATACCGAGCGAGCGGGAACATTACGGGGGACAGAAGAGACAATAACATACAACAACAGCAGCAGAAAGAAACAACAGCAGCAGCAGCAGCAGCAGTAGCAGCAGAAAGAAACATTGCCAATGAAATAGAGGCAAGGGAAAGAAAGTACTAAGACAGGAAGCTTAGCTTGGCATGGCATAGCATGGGGGTACAAGGCTGGGTAACAGGGCAGGGGGGGTCTGAATGTTATGATGTAGATACATAGAGGGGGGGAGATTACCAGACATACAAATCATCGTGCAAATTACCTTACAAGTTTATGTGGGATGGGATAAGTGTCGTTGCCTTGGTTGTGAAGGTGTTGTTGCCTTGCTTGTGAAGGTGTTGTTCGTGTAATATGGTGAGTTGAGAATCGGTGGGAAACGGCTCGCATATCGGTCATGACTTGCGTCTTGGACAAGGATTAGGAGGGGGAACACTACTTCACGAAAGATTGGTACACTCAGGCAGCCCCGTCTTTTGATCCCTTGAAAGAACTCAAATTCACCCCTAACTTCTATCGGGGATGGCAGAAATGTGTGTGGCAAATACACACTCAAAAAGCAGCCTTGGTCTCCTGTAATCTCACTTTATCAAACCCAAAACTCCAACAACGCCACCAAGCACCTTAGAACACATCAGCGTCCGCCTCCCATATTCAACATTCCCCAATTTTCTTTCCGCCGCACCCTATATCCATCCCCCAAAAATACATCACCTCAAAACACGCACCACACCCCCTCACACCCTCTTCTTCCCCTCCCCCCGTCCCCCCTTCCCCCCCCAAACAGCCCCAACCACCGGCCCCAACAAAACAGCCCCAACCAAACAAAACAGCGTAGCCACCAGCTGCAAAACATTCAACACCACCGACCCCGGCGCCAGCCCAACAAACTTGACAAACTCTGTCGTCTGGTACAGATCCTGCTGTGTAGCTATTAGGTAGCGTCTGGGCCGGTTTTCGTTGGTGTTGGTACTCTCGGCGGCGGTGCTGGAGGAGGCGGATGAGGAAGGGCCTGCGGCAGCAGCTTCTTTAGAGCCGGACGACGAGGAGGCCTCGGCCTCGCCGGCGATAACAGCCGCGTAACTCGGCTCATCCCCCTTTTGCACAGCGCGGCGTTTCTCATGGGCGGCGTCGTACGGGGGTGGGGAAGAGCTGTCGCGGGAGGCGGAGGAGGATGGGGATGACGAGGAGGTGGTGGTGGAGGCTGGGGTTAGGTGGAGGACGGTGGTGAGACGGACGGGGGCGCGGTAGAAGGGGATGAACCAGATGGAGAAGATCTGGAAGATGGTGATGTAGAGGATGTTGGTGCTTTCATCGTGGGCTGTTGCATGGAGAATTGTGTCAGCGATGGTGGATGAATAGGAGGAAGGTTGGAGTGGACGTACCGCATGATTCGATCTCAATGTCGATCTTGGGGCTCATGATTTTGTCTATTCCCCGTCAGTGTTTGTCACAGCTCATCTCGTGGACTGTTGGTAGGCGGATTACTTACACCACCGGAAGATAGCCGCGATCAATGCACGCGAGTCGTATTCGCCAAGACCGGGAACATTCAACTTCTGAAAGGTCGGGACACGGCAGAAGGGGTGCTCAAACGTGGCGCCAGGCGCAAAGTAGCGGTAGATGGCATCGTGCTGCTGGTCGGGGGTGCCTTGGGTCAGGGTCCGAATGACGCTTTCGATTTCTCGGGCTGTGATAGTGGGAGGAGCAATTCGGTTAGCGGCTCTGCCATTTTGTGGATTGGAGCACGGGCAATTGGCTGAGACAAATGAACATACTTGGGTTCTCCATGGCGAACGGATTTTGGTATCCAGCGTGGATGGAATTGGATATGGGTCTGAGCTAAACTGAAGCTACAGATAGATATTGTTTATAATTGGCCAGAAATTGATCGCATAAAAAGCCTCTCGATAAAAGCGATCGAGATACCACATTCTTTTTAAGTACGCAAACCTTTTGAGCTCTGTTCCTGGATGGTGACGTCATACTTTCAACCCACAGCATGTGAAGGCCCCGCTCGGAAGTCAACGGTTCGCCAAGCCGGCCTCTCCCGATACTGTCTCTCAGAATGTGACAATATCTGGCTGTATATTACATTTCATGGTCGTCAATGGCGAGCTAAGCGACTGTTACTTTTAAGCCGAATTGATATGGTTGTTGTCTGTCTGCATCAACAATACAATGGACAACTGAAAAGGACAGGAGAATGGACAATACAATGGACAACGCAATGGACGACGGAAGTCACGGAAATACATTTGACTGCTTACCCGTCGTATAGCACTTTATACATCGTGCCAGCATTTAGCGATAGGAACGTGAAACATTTTGTTTTACCTAAAGTTCCCCAAAAGTGGCAGCTTGCTCTATCAGTGAGGGAAAGCCAATCTCAGTCCAGTTGGACGGCAAAGCTGCACTGCTAGCAAGTTGAATCCTTCATGTATCGATCAAGGTTAAACCTAGAATGCAAGATCCAAACCAGATCTCTCCCTAGCTTCGCATCTTCACACAATCCAAGCGGGGTTTAGTAACTTCTGCTTATAAGAAACTGTGGATTATCACGTAAACGCCGTCACCAAGGTCGATATTTCTACAACTCCCGACTCCGTCAACATATAACCAACCACCTGTACATCATTCATCCGCATCAATCAACCAACCCAGATAACATAACATGTATATGCAACACACCCCGGCCGCCTTAACTCACGCCGACCAATACCAACCAACCCTACCGTTATAGACCAAAAAAGAAGACATATTTGACAAAGGAAACCAAACCCAAAAATTAACCCAATATCCGTTCTAACCCAATCTCATCTCTCTCTCTCTCTCTCTCCCCCGTTGGAAAAGGAACTGGAAAAGAAACAAAAAAAAACAGAAAATCACCTCCGACTCCCCGACCGCCTAACATCCACAAACGGCGCATCCCCCCCCGCAAACCTCTCCGGATCCACCTCCCTAAACCCACTCGACCTCCTCTCCACACTCCTCACCCTACTCCCCCTCCTCGTCCGTCTCGGCGGCGAGTGCTCCTCAATCACCACGACCTCATTCTCATCCGTCCCGCCCCGACTGCTCTCACTCTCCGAGTCACTCGACAGTACATGTCTCGGCGGCGGTGGCATCGGACCGCCGCTGACGGGGCGGCTGATGCTTCGTCTGCGTCGGCTGCGTTCCTCGATGATTACGCGGTCGACCTCTGCCATGGGAGGTGAGCTGGCTGTAACAACCTCCTCGACGATCACCGGTCCACCACTGCCGCCGCGCCCGCGACGGATCTCCACTGTCTCAGCCTTGCCACGGTGGGAGTAGCGCCGGGTAGTAGCGGTATGACTACGACTGCGACTGCGGCTGCGACTGACGACGCGCACGGGGCTGCCGCCGGCGCCGCGACGGTGACTAGATCGGCGGCGACGGCGGGTATACACGGACCCGGTGCCCTCGGTAACAACAGTAGAAGTGTCGGCAACGGTGGTGCCGCTGGAGGGGTTGCCGAGGTTGACGATGGTGTAGACCAGCCAGAGGAGGAGGACGAAGCCGGCGACGGCGCCGAGGGTGATGCCTGCTACGGCGCCGGGGTCGGGGCCGGAGTGCAGGGCGCCGTAGTTGGCGGGGATGGTGGCTGTTTGGATTGGGGGGGTGGGGTTGTCTTGCCGGGGGAGGAGGTCGTTGTTGTTGTTGGGGACGACGACGGGGGCGGGGATGGGGGAGGGCGCGGCTGCTCGGGGAGGGGTTTTTATTGTTGGTGCCATGGTGGAGGTACTGGATGGCTGGGAGGAAATGGACGGTGGTTAGAATAGGTGGTTTTCGCTGTCTAGCCTCGATGCTTGACTCTGGTCGCGAAAAGCGGTCTTGATATCGGTGTCGATGGGTCGCAAGAACTGGCCAGCCCTCACATAATACCGCGCGACGAGGCTCGGGACGGGGCGAACAATGACGGGAGGAGAAGCCAGTCGACAAGTCGAGACGAGAGAGAAGCTCCAAGGAGGTTGGGAGGCAATGAATGGCCCTGGATTTCTTTAAGAGATCGCAATGCTGTTTGAGTGCAGTGCTTGTTGCGTCCCCCGATTTGGAGCTCAAACACCGCGCCGTACAAGCTTCCTTCCAGCAGGCAACCGCTCAAAGAGGCGCTGCTGGTTCTGGTGTGTGTCGCAAATGGAACTGGTGGACGTGGGTTACCGAATGTGGGACGGTGGGAAGCGCAATGAACGCCTCACGGCGAGCGACAGCAGAGCAAGCAAGGTAGGTAGACCGGGCCAATGAGAACCAGGTCGCGGCCTCGATCTTGTGCTGCGCTGGCCCGTCGAGGTGTGTGAAACCTGGGCAAGTTGCTTGCTACCAAAACGATCGAAGAAAGTGAATGTTTCGCAACCAAGCTCAGGCTTAAACCATGCAAATATACATAGGGCTAGGATGCAATTCTCAAAAAAGAAACAGAAACAAAAGCAGGAAGAGGGACTCGGGCAAAAAAAAAGACCGGGCCACACGGTTGGTTTCAAGAACCATTCCTCTCGTTGCCGCTAGTTATGGAGTAACTACAGATCAAGGAAACAAGAAACCTGGAAGGGGAGTGAGAAGCACGCGAAAATCGTTCACACTCTCCAAAAGCGGCACGGCACGTCGAGGGGGAGGCTGGGGAGGCGGGCGGGGCAAAGGACAGGGGGGGTGTCGATGTGGGGCTCGTCGCTCGGAAAAGCGACACCCACGATGCTTGGCGAGTTGGTCGGGCCTAACAAGGGTCTCGACGACTTCGCCAAGCATGAGTTGCTGGTTGGTTGGTCGTTTGTGACTTACAAGTTACATACTATGTAATACACAAAAACTCCAGACTTTGTAAGAGGTTGATATGAATCATGTACCTTTCCGAAGGTAATTATTAACTCTAGAACACCGCCTGTAATCCCAACCCCTTATCATCACCGTCATTGTCGTTGTCGTTGTCGTTGTCGTTGTCATGATCGTCGTCATCGTCATCATATAACCTTGCCCAGCCAAGATCCATAACTAACTCACCCTCAAACCAACCGGCATCCAGATTAAACAGTCACCACCAACATCCAACATACTTACGACAACGGGCGCACCCAATTATTCATCCATCCATACGTACCGCACACCTCTCTACCCCCCCAAGACAAGATCCCCCATAATATCTATCACCCAAACATCAAACAAATCCCCGGATTGCTCTCATGCCCATGGGCTTCTTTTCCTTCTTCGCACTCTTGTCGTCCTTCTTATCCTTCGTATCTTTGCGTCCCGAGTTCTGCACGCCACCTAGAATCAAAAAAAAGTTAACAAAAAACCATTCGCGACATCAGCGGCTCCAAATGAGCAAAACAAACTAACCTCGGCCGTAAGGTGGTCTTTCACTGGTACCGGTACCACTACCACTGCCACCACTACTACCTGTATTCGTCCCGCTTAATCCAGCACCCTGTTGCGTCCCCAGACTTCCCACTGTATCATGAGACCCAAGCGGCGTCGTCTGCTCCAGCGACTGCGGTACCGAACCCACGGTATTCGTACCCGGCGACATCCTCTCAGCAGCCTCTAGTTCCTGTCGAGCCGCATTGTTGCCCCGAACGCTCGGCAAATGCCGCGGCAGAATGGGCGGCGCCTCGCTTTCGGCGGCGTCGGCAAATCCTAGCGATGGCGAGGGCAGGGCGTGCTCTGGCTGTTGCTGCTGTGCGTTGTAACTGCTCCTCCTGTCCCTTTGTTGCTCGATTTCTGAGCGGATATCGAGCAAGGTTGATTCGAGAACGGCGTTTTTCTTAGCAAGCGCGTCGTATTGCTTCTGGAGGGCCGTTGTTTTGGCGCGGGCGGAGGATAAACTGGCTTCGTATGCGTTGACGACGTTGCTGATATTAGTAGGTTCTGTAGACGCCTCGCGGCGCGCTTCTCGGGTTGTTAGTTGGGCTTTGAGATCTTCGATCTGGGCTTGGTAGTCGCTCTCGGCGCGGCGGAGCTCTTCCACTTGCAAAGCAGCGTCGTGCTCTGCCTTTTCGGCCCTCGTCTTGACCAACTCCGCGTCTTGCTCTGCCGCGGCCGCTTTGGTCTGCTGTCCCTGTAGCGCCCGCTCCGAAGCAGACAAGCGCGCAATCTCGCTCTTCAACTTCTCAACCATGGCCGCGTTAATGTCGACCACCTCAAGATCCTGCTCTGATTGCAGGCGCTGGTACTCCGCTTCGGTGACAAGCCGGCGTAGGTTTTCACATTCCGCACGAGACTTCTCCAGCTGTTGCTTGAGCTCGCTGCCTTCCGCTGCCCACTTCTTCTGCTCCTCACGCAGGCCGCGGAGCTTGTTTGACAAGTCACTCTCCCACTTCTTAGTCATATTCCGACGGTGGTCGAATTCTTTCCGGATCTGGGCCTCGCCTCGTTTGGCCTCGTCCAGCCGCTGCTTCAAGCTCCGGTTGGCCATCACGAGGTTCTGGGTTTCGGCCTCCGTCGCGGATACCCGTATTTGCCGCCGGCGCAGTTCACCCATGTGGACCATGTGTTGCTCCTTGATGAACCGCTCGTATTGCAGGTCGTTGTTGAGTCGAAGCCTGTGGTGCTGTAGTAGGGCCATCTGATCGTCCACCTCAGCACTGGAGCCCTTTTGTTGCCTTGAACTAGAAGCAACGGGGCGCTGGAGCGGACTCTTTTCTACCCCTTGGTTTTGAGCGTTGAGCACTAGGGATGGCACGCTGTCGTTGGCTAGCGACTGTTGAAGTCCGCTTCTGAACAGGCTGCTAGGCTGCGACATTTCCTCACGCTGACTGTGCTGTATTGACTGGCCGACATCTGGAGGTAATGTCGGGCTGTCGCCCGCCGGCTCACGGCTTCTGGTTTCCGACGGATTATACGCCGACTGTTGGCTCGATTGAGAGCCGCGGCGGATCGAGGGGGTGTTGGCTCGGCCGATCGATATGGAGCTTGACGAGAGTGCCGGGTGAGACGGGTTTGCGTGGGCCTGGGTTGCCAGCAAAGCAGCATCAAGGCTCTCGGGCTCCTCGCCCATGACCGAGACGGACCCGCTCGGAAGTGGTGTGGTTGGGCGAACGTGACCAGGGGCGGGTGTCTGCTCAATAACTAGGGCTGTGCAATCCGCAATGACTTCGTCGGCCTCTTTCTTGATCCAGCGGCTCAGGTCCGTCTTCTCAGATTCGATCGTGAAGTTATAAAAGTTGGGGTGGAGGAGATGTCGCTTGCGGAACCGGTCCGACCGGTCGCGGATCTCCATGGCCTGTATGTCGATATCATCGGCATTGTTCGCATGGCGGAGGTACCGTTGCGGTTTGCGAACGTAGTCGAGAAAGTTGATCGGGTACATTCCATAGAGGAACGTGAAGTACTCAGGCAAGTAAGGGATTGAATATCCATCATGGTCTGGGTCCAGCAGGGAAGTATCCCAGGCGATCCCACCTCCATTATCACCATTCTCCGCCCCCATTTCCGTATGCTGTTGCGCAAAATACGAATCACGGTCCCAGAACAACAGCCGAGCGTAAATGTTGAACAAGGTGGGAAGGAAAGGCACCAGCGAGCTAGGGATAAACGGCAGGATCATAACCAGGGCAACGAGAGCCATATTGATCGTCACGGTCGATTCATCCTTTTGCAAGGAGTGCAGAATGTTCCCAAACAGAGGTGTTTGTAGGATAAGGTGCAGGTGGGGAGGCCCGCTCGAGATGAAGGCGCAGAGCAGACTCAAGGCCGAGTTCCGGTGCTCTCTTTTGACCACAAAGCGGTCCAGCGCCGTCATGAAGCCCTTGGGGTCTTTCTTCCCAAACGCCATGAGGGCATCATCGATCATCTGCAGCTTCAAGTCCGAGGACGGACCCCTCTTCGGCTGCGACCTGAACGCCTCCATCCACAGGGTCAGAAGGCGGCTGACAAGCGGCATGAGGCCTTCCTCGCCCAAGGCATCCGGATCATCGTAATCATCGACCGAAAGAAGGTCCAGGGTGTGGTCCATGGCGACCCTTGCGAGGCCTTTCACTTGCCCAACGTGCTCCAGCACCGGGTCCAGCAGCATGTCCCACCATTTGAAAACCCTTTCCGGCGTCCGCAGCCCCGGCCGCAGCCGCCGCAGGATGGTGAGAAACGCGACGTATTTCTCGGGGTTGTCACGAACCAACTTGTCCCACACTATCCGAAGCTCGTCGCCGAGTCGCCCGCCAGCGCCTTCGTCGGGCTTGTCGTGTCTCTCGAGGTAGCTAGCAATGATCCCGTTGATCTCAGCCGGCAGTGGGAGGGTCGGCGCCCGGGCGAAGAAGCCATTGAGGGCTTTGGCGAGGTCTTTGGAAGACCTGCGACGACGGGAGTTAGTTTCAATCCAGGAGAGGGGCAAGCGGTGTAGGGTGCCGTGATGGACGAGGGGTTAAGCAAACAGGGGGGCCATACCCGGATGAAGTCATCCTGATCGGCACAGCGCAGCACTCATTGGAAAATACCTGGCAAGCAGGATGTTGTTTGCGGGGGGTTAATGACGCTCGAGGCTGAGACTTGGAGATCCGGTATAGAAAAAGCCGGCCGCTGATCGAATTTCCCCGGCTGTAGAGAGCTGGCCAGTCCTGTGCTTGTGTTGCTGTAAGCCCCCAGCCTTGTGGGTGGTTTGGATCAGAACTCGACTGTTAGGCCCGCGTGGTCGCCTTCCAGCTTGGTCGTCAGGAACATGGAGGTTGCCCCTGTCAAATGAATCACTGAGGTCGTTGAAGGCTCCACTGCCTTGATTTGGCGTGGTTTGGAATTTGGGTTCCCGCAGCCCCGTCAAGACTAATTAACTGTGGGACCCGCCCATGTGACCAAGCCGCCAACCTGGAATGTCTGGCAGACGCAAGACGCCTCACTGTGACCAAAAAAAGCGGCAGACCAGGTCCCTGGATAACTTGCTTTTCTACAAAAGGGAAAAAAAGACGAAAAAGAATAAATCAAAGAAGTGAAAAAAAAGACGAAAGAGACAAAATACATGAAGATTTGGTCGAATGCTCATGGGTTGGACTTTGGTCTGTGCTCGCGTCGGTGCAACAAGGATGTGTCACGTGCTCCGACTAGCCCATTCGCGAATGATTTCCTCCCTTCTGCATTGCACCAATTAACGTGTGCCATACAAATCGACTCGCACCCCCTCCGTACACGTTGTTTACCCCCATGCATCCCTTCTTTCTTAATCTTACCCCCCCCCCCCACATTCAACACCAGAACCACACTATCACCACACTGAACCGATCAGACCTTGCACTGCTGTGTAAGCTTCATTACACGCGCATTCGCCATGCCATTCTTATGGCATGACGATCCACTGGCAGGGCTGCCGGAGATCGCGCCGCACCCGGGCCGATCTGAATCGTCTTCCTCGGCCCTCTCATCTCCGCCTACGAGTCCGATCGTCCGGCAAATTGACACTGATGTTGACGATATCCTCAGAAATTACCGGCCAATCCATTCCGGCGACGATACTGCCAAGGTACTCAGGGCATTTGTTGATAATCTATCTAGCCAAGGTTTGTCAACGTTGCAATCCGAGATCCACGCTACGAACCCCCACCAGCTGCGTCAACTACGTAATTTTCTCACCGACGCGCTTCTGAAGCCTAGTATGTTAACACCATATGAGACTACTAACCGTAAACTAACGCTTTATTGTAGTGGCTGCTGGTGGTGGCAAACAGCCCCTAGTTACACCTTCGCCTAACGAGTCTGAATTCGCCATGACCCAGATTGAAGGGTCGAGCCAAACAGCGCAGAAGTCGCTGAAAGAAGAGTGCCTCCGCAGAGATGGGAATCGATGTGTTGCCCTGGGCGTCATCGACTCTACGGCCTATACTAATATGCCTCCAGGCGAACGTAAAGGCACCAAATGCGCTAATACCCAATGCTCGTATATTCTACCATTCGCGCTTAGCAATATCGACAAGAGGAATGCCACGCAAACCAAGAACCATGAAACGACATGGTGGGCACTTTACCGCTATTTCCCAGCTTTAAAGAACAAGATTGGGGCCAATACGATCAACCAGCCAAGCAATGCCATCACACTAATCTCGGAACTTCACAGAGAGTTTGGTCAGTTTACATTTGGATTCAAGGCTGCAAACGAGGTATGTTATCTTCCCAATTCACAAGATACCGCATGGAGATCTTAGATGACCCCCCCTACTATACATCCCAGGTCCCGGCTTTTGTTATCGTTCCCCAAGAAGATGCTGAGGTCCAACGGCCTGACCCGGACATACTTGATGTTCACATGCGTATTGGCCGTATTCTTCAATTAAGTGGTATTGGTTTTGCCATCCGCCAGAGCTTCGCAAGGGGTAATTCTTGCGTGTATAATATCGCTTCGGATGGATCAACCGACTTAGAGCGCATCTTGAGCGACAAGATGCTCTTGTCTATCTAGGAGGCCGTCCTCTCAAGTAGGTAGGTGGTTGAAATGTCGGCTGCAAAGGCCGATGGTCGGATCCAGCGCCCTTCTCACGCACATCTTGTCGAAAAGAACAATTATTGGAACAAGCCATTGGAACAATTTGTTCGTTCCCGGCCTGGGGTTATCTGGGTGGACACGTGGAAAGCGAAAAGGGGCGGCGGGCTCGCTGTGCTGGATAATTACTTTTTCACAAAGGTGAAAAGAAGCAAAAAAAATAAATCAAAAAAGTGAAAAAAGACGAAAAAGAGTAAGTCAATCAAAATCCATACAAGATTTGATCGAATGTTTACTCCGTGGTCTGCCGCTTCTTTTGGCCACACCTGCAGCAAGGACGTCCAGGCCTGGCTGGCTTTGGCTGGCTCGCCTGCATGGTCCATGCTCGCGTACCCCGCACTACACTAAGAAAGCAAGGTGGGGCTTAACCCCAGATATTGAAGCGGGCCGGGGATCGTCTGATGCATGGTCCGACAGGGAAAGAGGGCAGGTTTCGCACGCCGTTTCTGGGGAATTACTGGGCCCTGGGACGATGCGCCCCTCTTCTGGTGGGGTTACAGCTGCGAGACTGGTGTCACTGGCGCCCTCGATGAGCTCCCGTCCCTCTCGTGACCGTCCTGATCGAGGTTGAGGGGTCCATCTTTCTCAATGGCTGCTGTCCACGGTCTGGCGTCACACAAAACCGCAGAGCTTCCCTTCCCTGAAAAGCGTTGGGCACTCCTCCTCGTTCTCCTCTACATCTCTTACATCTTCCTCTCACCATCTCCTCACGTTTTCAAGCTTTCTCCCATCTTTCAAATTGACCATTTCAACCCAAGACGGTTTAAGTCAAACACTTAAACCCGACTTACATACACCCTCGCATCAGTCTCGAGGACCAACGTCATCGTGCCCGCACACCCATTCTCCCTTTCCAAAACACACACGACAGGTTGCCAAAGATGGCCAACAAGAGCTCCGCAGTGGCAGACGAGCCAATTGATGTGCTCTTTGCCCTGCATCCCAAGTTCAACCTTCTCGACTTTGCTGGGCCCCTCGAGGTTTTGACCTCGGCCCTGCACGACGACGAGGATCCCAGTAAGTTGACACGCGAGTCCTTTCTTTCGTTTCTCAATTGCACCCAACCCCGCACCTGCCTTGCAGGGGGAATTGCAGGGAGGGGGTTCAACCAGCAGAATGACGTCGTAGGACGAATGCAATCGTATGCAGCTTGCTGACCGGTGGTCTGATGAATCAACAGCCTCCAAGGCCTTCGAGGTCACCATCGCTGCCGCCGAGCCTAAGGTGCTCTCGGAGCAGGGCGTCATCGTCGGCTCGCAATGCACCTGGAAGGAGGCCCACGAGCGCCTCGACGATTTCGACGTGCTTGTCATCCTCGGCGGCAACAGCGATGAGATCCTCAACCAGAAGGCCGAGCCGCTGAGCCTCATCGCGGCCTACTCAGAGCTGCAAAAGAAGGATCCGAGCCGGGAGCGCACCTTGCTCTCCATCTGCACCGGCTCGTTGTTCCTCGCAGAGGCGGGCATCCTGTCTGGCCTGTCCGCTACCACCCACCCGGACTACTTCACCAAGTTTGAAAACTTGTGCAGCCACGCCGTCGTCCGCGACCTTGGCGAGCACACCGACGTCATTGAAGACGCTCGCTACGTCGTTAACAACCTCCGCTTCGAGCTTGGCGACGAGGATGAGAATCCCTACATCCGCCGCAAGTCGGATGCCGGCCGCCGTCCGTCAAACGCTCGGTAAGTCCACTGTCCACTCGCAGAATCTATATCTTCGAACTTTTACTCTCTCCCCAACATATTTCCCTACTTGTAGCTAACAACAAATCCAGTAAGGGCTCGATGTCATTCAAGGGCGCATCGCGCAGGGAGTCGATTGCCCGCCGCGCCGCGATGCGCCTTGGTGGCCTGCGTGTCATCACCAGCGGCGGCGTGGCGGCTGGCATCGACGCGACCTTGTACCTGCTCAGTGTCCTCGTTGACGAGGAGACTGCCAACAAGGTCGCCCACCGCATCCAGGTGACCTGGACGAAGGGTGTTGTTGTGGATGGTCTTGATGTGTAAATTATTTAGCGTGGCGTTTCATGAGATGGGCATATATGGCTTGCGACGGGGAGGGCCGTCGTTGTAGCACGTAGGTTTTGATTTTTCGGGTGTACATTCCACAGGACAGGAAGAACGAATGACAATTGAATGAGCTTCGACTTACATTGATCCCCTGAACCCATGGGCATCCTCCTATACCCGCCCATACGTGCATGGGTTGGTTGGGTTGGCATTGAGCTATCACCACATGGAGAGAACCCATGCGGCGAGCGCAACACCCTAGGATCCGTCGTAGCTAGGCAGTAAAAAGTCTTGCCTGCATGGAAAGAACGAAATCCCAGTATCACTACCGCCGCGTTATATATTCGGCGTCGGAATACAACGTAGCTTGGCTGTTAGGTAGAACTACCGCACTGTGATCTCGTGATAACTACTTCATTCTCACACAAAACGCTTCATGACATGGAATCGACCTCAAAAAAGGATGGTACACTGGTTAATTTCATACGTATTCAGAAACGTCAAGTAGCAAAGAAGGCTTTAGTGGGCAATTTATCGAATCTATCTATGTTAATCACAAGTTCGGGATGAGGCATGTCATTACAGTGAGAGGCTACAATCAATACTAGACCACTTGGATACCCGAGAGGGAAATGTAAGAGATTTGAGCTATATCCTTCGCTCTATGGACGGGATTGTTAACACTGGGACTTGGCAATTTTACGAGCCGTTCCCGGGCAGAAATACCCTCTACTACCTCCCTGAGGCACCTGGGATCTCGAGCACGATGCTTCCAAAACCTCAAATATTCAGTTCGGCCTCACTAAAAGTGGAAGACAGTCTGAAGCATAAATCTCTTTGATTCAGCAGATCTATCAACGCAAACCATGCTTGACCCACCCCCAAGGACAACCAAGCTCAAATGTCCAAGGTTAGACGAAACCAACCCACCCCAAAACGCCACTCGTACTCGTGTGCCTGCCTATGCTAGCGCTCGATCTAAGCTGTAACGACAAAAGAGAACGAGAGAGAGAGAGAGACATGGCCAAAGCCCCCAGGTTCTCTCCACCCCCTATTCAAAGACACCCGTATTCAAGACACCCCGATTCAAAGACACAAGGGGAAAGGGGAAAGAAAAAAAACAAGGTATCTAAATCCCAAACCACATCTTCAACCGCTCATACGTATAAAACGCCGCCGCCGCCATCGGCACCACCTTGGCATACCCAATCGTCAACCCCACAAAAAACCCCCTCGCCCCCCTCTCCCTCATAATCAACCTCGCCGTCTCCCCAATCCGTAACCGATGCCCATCCCCCACCGCCCCGCCCACCTGCATCCGCCGTCGGATCACCTCCAGCGGATACGACGCCGTCTGCGATACCAGCCCCGCCACGCCGCCCGCGGTGAGCTCGGCCCAGTAGCGTAGCGGGGCGGGCTTGCCGGGCGGGTGGTTGTCGGGGCGCGGGAGGGTGGTGTAGGACGCGATGGTGTGGTGGCGGAGGAGGTCGCCGACGGTGTCGTGGGTTAGGAAGGACATGCCGGCGTAGGGGAGCATGCCGAGGAGGGTGGGGGAGAAGCCGCGGTAGAAGTTGATGAGGCCGGAGCTGGTGGCGATTACCGGCGCGGCGGTGGTCGCGACGGCGCTGGCGGCGGCTCCGCGAGCGCTGGCGGGGACTGCGGCGGCGAGGAGTTCGGCCGCGGGTTTGGTGGCGGCGGTGGGGCTGCGTATTTGGCCTTCGTGGTAGATTTGTTTGCATATTGACCGTAAGGAGGAGCGGCCTTCCTTTTTTGTCTCGAAGGCGAGTCGTACGCGGATGACCTCGAGAGGGTAGGTGAAGAACACGGATGTCACGCCGGCCATGGAGCCGCTGATTAGCCGTCGGAAGGAGGTTTCTTTGCTGTGGTCGGGGATCACGATGGCCCGGATTTGCTCGTATGCGACGAACTTGATTGCGGCATACGGAAATATCCTGAGGAGGGTCGCCGAGTGGCCGCGGAATAACCCTAGCGACCCGTCTTGGTGGTAGATGTCCTTCATGGCCTGCGCCACGCCGTACCATGACCCTGTGTATTTAACGAAATGGGGATTGCGTGACTGGAAGAGGATCTTGACTCGGTCGAGTGGCGCGACTATGGTTTTGGCCTAGATTATCATCTAAGTCAGCCACATTCTTGACAACGACAGTTCACAAACTAAAAAAGAACAAGGAGCGCAAGCAACATACCGCACACCCAGCCAGGCCACCCGCTATCCCGGATTTCACCACATAGTTAACGCTCTGCTTATCTTTGGTCGCCTTCCGTGGGACCTGCGCCTCGTCGTCGGTCGGACATACGGCAGGCTCTTTCTTGGGGGCTACCGGCGCCCGTGTAACGTTGACGGCGGTGGCCTCTCTTGGTCGTTGCCCGGGGAGGGCCCCCGGGATAGAGACATGGGCATTCATCAGCGCCGGGCGTTTGCGGTTTCGTGGAGGAAGCCAAGGGCGCAGTTGAGATCAGGCTGTCGCGGGAAGACGGGGAAGGTATCTGATGCGCTGTGTCGAATCGAAATCGGCACGCTATGGGCGCATCACGCAACGGAAGAAGGGGTTTGTTGGTTGATGTTCGATTTGTCGATCCTTGAGGTGGTTCCCCCTGGCTTTGTTCCTATCGTGCGTGTATTTTACTGTGGACCTGATGTATGTACCGAATGAATGTTCCCGAGCGGCCCTTTAAAGCCAAAACACAGAAGGTCTCGCTTGCTTTGTTCCGAGTCGCGTTGAAATGCGTATGGCCGACCGAATAAAACCTGCTATCGTATGTCGTCGAATCGTTGGCGCAAGGAGTGAGGATAAAAGATAGGTATGGAAAAGAAGAGACCGGGACAAATTCCGGACATGCCTTGGAATGAGCGGGACGTCATTTCTGGATGGCCATGGCCGAGTTTTTAGCGGTCGGCCGACGCCCCGCCTCCACAAGCCGAGGATTACCGACACCCCGGCTTGCTCCCACAGACCCTGAAAAACGCCCCGATTTCTTGAGCACCTGCAGCAGCCGTTAAAGCCATTGGCAGAGCGGGCCAACCAGCGCTCACGCGACATGAGCAAAATGCGCAGACGTTGAATTTTCGGGGCCCATATTTTCTGCCGTTAATTAGTGGAAGTAGTGTACGTACAAGTCTCTCTCTCACAATCCATTTCCGATCCCACATTCTGCCCACTGTGCGAGCGCAGCGTGTGGGGGCACTCCGTGTTCCAAGTCCCCGGCCCGAAACGAGACACGACCGCGTGACTTGGCCGAATGGCCGATGAAAGCCCCCCGCTGTCAAGCAGCATCCTCTGGCAAAACGATAACAAATCAGTGGTTCTGCTCGACTTGCCGCGGTCCATCGAAGAGGCCCAGGTCCTCCCAAGTCAGCTGACCGCCATCAGCAGGCTGCCCACCGCATCTGCCAAGGACAACCCGGATCTGGACAACCCGGATCTGGACAACCCCGGACGACAACGCAAACTCCGCCGATTGATCTCGGCGCCACCCCCGACATGTCCGTTCCCGACACCGGAACCCAAGGCGGGGCGGTTTTCCGAACCGCCTGTCGCATCGCCCTCGGCGCAAGTGGCCGAGCTGATGACTCAAGCGACGGTCGAGTCGGCGCTGGATGAGATCAAGCAGTCGTCGTATAGTGGACCGTGGTGTTTACCACGGGTGTATGCCAAGAACCCGCCCACCCCATCCTCAGTGGTCCCGGACGACCCTCCTACAAAGGAAAAAGAGACATCGTACCATCTCCCCGAAAACGCCCACGCCCTCCCCGGCACCATAACCTCCCAACGCACCACCTTCCTCAAAACCACCCGCCCCAACCAATTCCACCTCATCCTCCTCGACCCGCCCTGGCCCAACCGTTCCGCCAAGCGCAAGCGCGCCTACCGCACCGCTCCCTTCTCTTCTTCTTCTCCCCTTTCCTCCCTTCCCTCCTCTCACTTGCATACCCCGCCGTCGTCTCCTACTCCCGCCGAAGAGTCCTCCCCCATCGAAATATCAACCCTCCTCCACCAAATCCCCATCGCCTCGCGTCTCGCGCCGGGCGGGTTAGTCGCCGTGTGGGTGACCAATGCTGCGCGGACGGCTGAGCTGTTGACTCAGGGGGGCCATGGTGGTGTGTTTGCTGCGTGGGGCGTGGAAGTGGTGGGGGAGTGGATTTGGTTGAAGGTTACGGCGGGTGATGGAGCGACGGGGGATGATGGGGGGGATGATGGGGGGGAAGATGGGAGAGGGGGAGGGGGTGAGCCGGTGGTAGGGGTTGATTCGGAGTGGAGGAAGCCTTGGGAGAGGTTGATTATTGCGAGGAGGAAGGGGGAAGTGACCGGGAGTAGTAGTGGTGTTGCTGGTGATGGGCCGGTGCCTGGGAAGGTGATTGTTTCGGTGCCGGATGTGCACTCGCGTAAGCCGAATTTGAGAGGGTTGTTTGAGGAGCTTTTGCCGGAGCGGTATGAGGCGCTTGAGGTGTTTGCGCGGAATTTGACGGCTGGGTGGTGGGCTTGGGGGGACGAGGCTTTGCTGTTTCAGAGGAGGGAGTGCTGGGAAGATGAAGAGGGGGGCGAGTGAAGAAGAAACAGAAAGACAGGATGAAGAGTGAAGGGGGCCCGGGTATGATGAACTAGCGGTGGGTTCATACTCATACATTTTGAAGTCCGCGTATCTGCCGCAGCATATAATACATGCCACCCACCCTGGCGCCATTGTGACAGGCCACGCCGTATGCTAAATCCATCATGCCAGCACTACCATGCTGTAAATGCCAAGTGTGCCCACAAACATCTTGAAGTCAACTAGTCTCCCCTCCGCCCAACATCACCCAGCACCCAACCCGCTTCAAAACTTGACATCCTTCTCCACCTCCTTCCAAGAACCCCCCGGGCCCGGATCACCAAGCACACTACTCACTCCCTTCTCCTCACCACCACCCGGAGCTATGACATCCCTCGCCTCAGGTTCTGCATCTGCTACCCCACTCCCCCTCAAAATCTCCTCCGCCTCCGCCCGCAACGCCCTCCGATCCGCCGGAATCTCAGTCTGTGTACGCAGCGGAATCACCCCAGGATTCATCTGCTGATCCAAAGACTTCTTTCGGTTTTTGTTCAGCCGCTGGTGCATGCCGATATCAAAGTCCTCCAGATCCTTTTCTTCTGGTAGTTCGGGCCAGACGAAAGGCTTGACCAGCTCGGCGATCATCATCTTGCCGGAACGGGGGCGGAACGTGCGGCCGGTGTGACCGTGCTTTTGACGGGGGCCGAATTGGTTGACGAAGGAGCGGACTGCGGTGACTTCGACGTTGTATACGTGCCAGAGATAGTCGCGCATGTCGAGCTTGTTGAATTGGAGGGGTACGACGAAGGTTGCCAGGTTGGGGGGCTGGCGCGGTTTCGGGCGGATGAAGGCGATGACGTGGTTTGGGCTGGTTGAAGAGATGGGGTTAGATTCGGTGCTTCTTCCTGGGTATAGTCGGACAATGAAGCATATCTTGTGTCTAGCAGAATGGTCCTGTTCATGCTCGTGAGGGTGGGGTTTCGTACAGATAGACTTGTTTCGTGCCGAAACGGCGCGGTATTGTCTGGACTGCCGCCTCCGCGGCTGCTGCTACTGGTGTCGCCATAATTTTCTACCGAATATGAATGCCGCGGAGTTTTGTAGAGGTGTAAGGAGCGTGGGCGCGGCAAGGCTGCTTCATCAAATCCACTCGAGGTCGTTAGCGTTGCGATTATGGTCCTGGATTTTTGATATCGATACGACTTTTGGCATGTGCCAGCTGGCGGCGGGCCGTGGCCAATACCATCGAAAAGCTTGGCGTCGGCCCAGGCAGGATGTATAACCCTAACCCTCAAAGTTCAAGTTCAGATATTACATACAATGGTAAGGAGATCCTGTATAATGTAAACCGAACCAAGTTGACTGACTACCTGAGCTATAATATGGGCGAGTTGATAGGCTATTACTGTTGCTGCTAAATTATGATCTCCACCGCATAGGATTAGTCAATAACCCTCAGCAAACATACAAGAAGTTTATAAATGGTCCATGATGACCTTCCTCTCGCGAGGTGTTGTGGAACCATTTTCCCATGGAAAGAGCTTCACACCTTTTGACAGGCCCAAAGTTGGCAGTCGCAAGCGCTACGGGCCGTAGAAGCCATTGTCGCTGCAGCTTATACCAATTACCTATTTCCCACATTCATTTCATCAGCATGGACGTCAACACTCGGTCTTTTCGCACCCACACCTACACGTCCTAGAAACACCCCAAGTTCCAACCTCATACCCTAAGCATCACCTTGATACCAAGTCAGCCAGAACATTAGCACCATGGGATCACCAACCAGTCCTCATCAAAAGCCTCGCCAACCCACCACTTCCCCAGCGCCGGGTCCCACCAACATACCAACTGCAACCACCTCTGCAAAGGACGGCGCCCCTCCCCAGCGCAGCGAACATAACCAATACATCCCCAACCCACTCGCCCATTTCAGCGCCATCCCATGGGCAGCTCGTCTACTCCGCGACCCAGCCGTCTCCAACATCGTAGTCTCGGAACGCCAGCCCCTCGCGTCAGGGGACAAACGGCTTGTCCGCGAGACGCTCAACGGGGCAACGACGGTGCGGGCCTGCGTCACGTTTGTGATGCACCTCCCGACAACCGCGGAGGAGGAGGTAGCCGGCCGACCACCGCTTTCGAAGAGTAAAGCGCTGCTGAGAGGGGGCGGTCCCAAGGATGGGGAGGATCCGGCACGGCCGTTTTTGCTGTTCAATGCGCTGCTGGATTTGGGGGAGGATCTGTGTGGGTACCGGGGTACTTTGCATGGCGGGGCTTTTGCGGTGTTGTTGGATGAGACGATGTGTGCGGCGGCGGATAATCAGAGCCGTAGGTTTTCTTCGTTCTCCCCCCATTTTGAGCGCGGATGAGGGAGTTAGTAATCAAGCTAGTATAGCTCACGATCTGACTTGTGTTGAGCAGAATTCGCGTTCACGGCAAGCTTGAAGGTCGACTTCAAGAAGCCGGTCAAGCTCCCCGGCGTGGTGCTTGTTCGGTCGAGGGTTGTCAAAAAGGAAGGGCGCAAGATATACGTGAGGGGGACAATTGAGAATGAAGCTGGTGAGTGTGGAATACACCGAGTGTAAGAACAACCGGAACTAACAAATTAGGCGATGTCATGGCGGAAAGCGAAGCGGTACTGATAGATAAAACGCCGGCAAAGGACAATAAAAGCAAGCTGTGAACTCTCGGGGCCTTCTGGAGAGCAACAAAAACGGATCTGAGTTGGAATAGGGGTTTCAGTATAATCAACGCTCAGGTCGGGAGAACTGGCCCTGTCGAGAAGAGAAACCGACTGCCCTGTCAACTATTAAGACAAATTATAAGAATAAGTTCCGGGGTTAAACATAGTAAAACGGTTAAATCGTGAAACAATGAAAGTTGGTCAACCCTCAGCTTTCAATTACGAGAATCATATTGACCAAGAAAAGAGATTTAAAAACTCAAAAAGCTCACTGCCCGCTTCCTTCGGTGAGGTTGTAGACAACTACGAAAAACCTAGATGGATTTTTCTTAGGTGCCCCCTCCCTGAATCGAACTTAGGAAGGGGAGAAAGCGGGCACTGCCGGTGCTGCCCGCACCCCCCTAAATACACCATCCGCGGTTGGGCATTTGTCGGATGGGGGGGCTGTTGGAAGGAGCAGTGAAAGGGGAGGTCATAAAAGGCGGACGAAGATGGAGGAAGGAGAGGTTCCAGCTGAACCCATGTTGAGACTCAATTTGTTGTCTTATTGGTTGAATGTCACAATTGTTCCACTTTAAATACCGACCCCTGGTCGCTGAGACGACGCGCTCTTCCTCAGCAGAACGCGACTCCAGCGACCCGCATGTAACCATCCTTTTCACCTCCGTCTCAAACGTCACGACTGCCGGCCAAAAATGATAAAAAAGTCACCAAAAATCATACAAAAATAAAACCCCGCACCATTTAATCACAGGGTCCGTTCTAGTATCTGACAGCCAATGGCACCCCGAAGCACCACCACCACACGAAAACGAGCCCGTCCATCCACCGAGCAAGACGCCCCAACGATGGCAAAGAAACGCCGAGTTAAAGCCTCGGGGGAGACGCCCGTTGATGGGAACGCTAATGATGGAGTAAACGGCCAAAACAAAGAACCAACAAAGGCCGCAAATGGGACGTCACGGCGGTCTGGTCGCAGCACAAAGGCTGCGCCAACTGCACCGGCTGCACCAGTTGTGAACGGCGCGCCTGTGGCCGACGCGTATGAGGTACCGGTTGGGGGTGGTGGTGGCGAACAGCCGTCTGATGGGAAGCAGCCGAAGACGGCTAGTCGACGGACTACGGCGGCGGGAAAAGCGAAGTCTGCGGGTGCTAGTCAGAAGGACAGTGTGTATGATGTACCCGACTCCGGGGAAGATGAGCAGGGCACGGCGACGGGGGCACCGAGGAGAAAACTCCAGAAGAAGGACGCTGCGCCAGTTGCTAAGCCAGTTGAGAGTGAGATCGTATCTGCTCCGGTGGTGGCCCCAGCTAGTGGGGAGCAGCAGCCCGTCATCTTGAAGAGGAAGCGCGGTCGGCCGAGTAAACAGGATCGGGAAGCTCGTGCTGCGCTGGAGCGGCAAGGGCTTATTGCGCCGGCTGCGCCGAAACGGGGGGCAGCTCAAGCGAAACAGCCGGTGGTTAGCGGTGATGATGAGGGTTGTGTTAATGGTGTTGACACACAGACGACGACGACTCAACCACGGCAACCGCAGAAGAGGGACCGAGCTAAGAAATTAATGTCCGATGCTGCGGTTCTGCCAAAGGGGATTTTGACGCCACGGAAAGAGAAAGGGAAGCGTGGGCTTGGCCGGCCGCCGAAGAGTGTTGCGTTTGACGGCTTGATCGATGAGAAGGTCTTGGATGGCTTGGCTGCAACGTCGCTGTCAAAGTCGGCCAAGAAACGCCGCGAGGCTGCCGAGGCGGTAGAGGAGATGCAGGTTGCTGGGGGTGAGGAAGACGAGGACGGGGATGAGGAGGAAGAAGATGAAGAGGATGAGGAAGTCTGCGCCATCTGCTCCAAGCCCGACTCGAAGCCGCCCAACGAGATCGTCTTTTGTGATAACTGCGATACACCCGTGCACCAACAATGCTACGGGCTCGCAGAGGTGCCCGAGGGCGATTGGATCTGCCGCAGTTGTTCGCAGGAGGATGCGACGGCTACAGCTGCTACAGTTTCTACCGCAGGTGCAGTCGACGGCATGGTGAATGGGATATCTTCTGTTGTCGCGCGCGGTGGCGAAGCGTTGAAGCCGGATATTCCCAACTTTGATCTGCACTTGCGCTCGGCACAGCGTGTGCTGCTGGACCGGTGTGCTGGTAGGCGACGGATCAAGCTATGGGGGCAGGCTGAGGCATATGACAAGGCGTACCAGCTAGTGAAGCAGACTGTGGTCGCAGGTGAGGGGAACTCGATGATGATCATCGGGGCAAGAGGATGTGGGAAGACTACGGTAAGTTGCTCTTCAGCTATTTCCCCCCACAGTATATTCAGGCTAACGTTTGGGTAGCTGGTGGAATCCATCATTACCGATTTATCGAAACAGCATGAGCAGCAGTTCCACGTCGTCAGGCTGAGTGGGTTCATCCACACAGATGACAAACTGGCCCTGAAGGAGATCTGGCGGCAGTTGGGCAAGGAGATGGAGGTGGAGGATGAACTTGTCAACAAGGCATGTCACCCTCCCAAACGCCCACCATTCGAGATTCCTGCTAACTAGCGCAGACCACCAACCACGCGGATACCATGGCCTCACTCCTGGCCCTACTCTCCCACCCTTCGGAGATCGCAGAAACCCAGGACGGGGTGACGTCGCGATCCATTGTCTTCGTGATCGATGAGTTTGACCTCTTCGCAACACACGCGCGGCAGACGCTGCTGTACAACCTATTCGATATTGCGCAGGCCCGCAAGGCGCCGATCGCAGTATTGGGGTTGACCACACGCATCGACGTGGTTGAAAGCCTCGAGAAGCGCGTCAAGAGTCGGTTCAGCCACCGGTATGTGTACCTGTCGCTGCCCAAAAGCCTCCCGGCGTTCTGGGACGTGTGCAAGCAGGGGCTGAGCGTGGATGACGAGGACATGGTGGCTGAGGGAATCGATGAGGCGCTGGAGGGACACGTGGCGTTTTGGGGGTGGTGGAATGGCAAGATTGATGTAAGCACAACCTTTTCCTTTCTACGACCGCCTCGGACTGATCCATTTCCAGGCCCTCTACAAATCCGAGCGCTTCACCAAGCATCTCGAGTCACACTTCTTCGCCACCAAATCCGTCTCGGCTTTCCTCACCACCTGCCTCCTCCCGCTGGCCTCACTCTCACCCACTAACCTAGGACTCACCATACCTGCGGGGCATGTCTCCGTTTCCGTGGAACCGCCCGACTCCAAACTGCACCTCCTCCCCTCGCTCTCGGACCTGGACCTGTCCCTCCTCATCGCAGCCGCCCGCCTCGACATTGTGGCGCACACGGACACAGTCAACTTTGCCATGGCGTACGACGAGTACACGGCACTGATGGGCCGACAGCGGGTGCAGAGCGCGAGCTCGGGGATGTTAGCCCTGGGTGGAGGTGCGCGAGTCTGGGGTCGCGGTACTGCTGGGATCGCGTGGGAGCGACTAGTAGCGTTGGGTCTACTGGTACCCGCAGCTGCGGGCGGGAGAGGTACGGCAGGGTTAGGGGGGCTGGATGCGAAGATGTGGAAGGTGGATATAGCTTTGGAGGAGATGCCCGGGGCGGTGAAGTTGAATGCGGTACTGGCGAGATGGTGTAGGGAGATTTGAGCAGCATCCAAAAACGCTAACTTGCATGCCTATATGCAATATTGCGCCGTCATCCGCTAGTTAATCACCTGGCCTCTCTACGCGCTGCCTCTCCCCAAACCGGGCATATTATGGACCATCAGGACAGTGATCTCGATGTTGGCCAGCATAGGTACACAGCACAGGAACAGGCAACAAACAGTCGTATAATACCCATTAATGTGTTATCCCCCCTCCCGGGACCGGAGAGCAAAAAAAACAGAGAACGAAATTAAAACCGGCACCTCAGCCAGCCGAAGGATGCAAGACCTCGTCCGATGTTTTATTTACTTTTGTTCTTTCTCGGCCGTCCCCGGCTCCGTGTGGCTGCGCGACTGGCGGGATATTTGGAATCAAGCAAGAGTGGACACCAAAACCTGGTGGGCAGCGAACCAGCGATCATTTGCGAGATTCAATGTTGTTGCCTGATCCAATTCAACAACTGTTATTTTCCCAATTTGTTTTCCTCGACTCAGGCAAATCTCTCCATTTGTTCAGGCGTCTCTCCCACTGGTCGTCCTCCGGTCAACCAGCAGAGGGCAGTATGCAGTCCAATCCTTTCTCTCCACCGTATGCACAATCCATCGATCCGTCCGCAGCGCTCGGTCCCGGCGTGTTTTTTGTTTTTGTCCTACGAGGGTTCCGCGAGCCAGCAAATGGGAGAGCGTGCTTCATTTTGAATGTTTTGGCGGTCAAGAGAAATAAATTGATCTGCCCGGATCCCGGCTGTTGACGTTGCGGCCCAGGAGTGTGGCTATTTCGGGCGTTGCACTGCCTTGCTGACCCACGTGGGGTCTGGAAGCTTGCGAAGACTTCGACCAGTGAGCAGGGTCACATCGCAGCAGGGTCCCCCAAGGGAAGGAACATTCCCTCCCCAGAAAGTGCCCGGAACGGGAAGAACAGGGGTGGGCCACGACCCATGCAGTTGGCTGAGTTGTTGAGAGTTGTTGTTGTGCCCATGCCCAGGCAGGCGCGAAGAAGCCCGGCAGTGTCAGCACAGCGCAGCCCAACATAGCACAGCACAGGATCGATCGCATGGCGTGGCCGCCGCTGCGCTGCGGAAGGATCTGAGGTGAGAGTTGGGATATATGTACGGACGGTTGGCGGCTCTGCGGGATGGGTGGATGATGTTTTAGACTGGTCTTGGTTTTTTTCTCTTGGTGTCTCACTCAGGCTTGGAGCTTTTCGTGATTTTCCTTTTTCTGTTGCTGTGCACGATTTGTGGTGGAGCGTGGATTGCCTCTCAATTTCCCGATTCGGAACTTATACACCAACCTCTGGCACATTTGGCTAACGACAAAACCACCACCAACGACGACGACGACGACACCCCGTATCTCTCCCTACCAAGGCACATCCACCATGTCGAAACGTACCGTCTTCACCACGGTGACGCCCCTCCCCGTCGGCGTCACCCGGCAGATCGCACTCGACTTTTTGCACGACCACCACGAGATGATCGACCTGAACCCCTTGATCAAAGAGCGTCATCCCATCCCACCACCACCGCACGCCCCGGCCGACGAACTGCGTTGCCAGTGGTATTCGTTGACGGACAAGGTTTCCTATTTCCCGGGCGTAGCGGGCGACGTCACGTATACGTGCGCGTTTAATGATGTCCCGACTGGGCTGCAGACGCATTGTTATGCGCCGGCTGGACTGAGTATGTCTTTTTTTGGGATTCTACTTTTCCATCTTCCGTGCTCAACCTCTCCCCCCTTCCAAAACAGCGGAAATTCTGACTCTTCCTTCAGCAATCCGGGCCAAATGGTCTGTTGGCGGCACCCTCCCCGGCGAACCATCACAACCTCACGAGCTCGGTCTCCGAGCACCCGCAACTGGCCTCTACCTCCGCGAAGACGTCGATATGCGGTGCAATATGTTGATCACGGGTTTTGCCAAGAGGACGCTGAAGAAGTCACACGCCGCGCTGGTTGAGCGGCTCAAGATGAAGGCGGCGATGGCGGGTACCGCGGCCGGAAAGGGCATGGGGTTTGGCGCGGTTGGGACGATGAGCGGGAACAGCTACAGGAACAGCACAGGTACTATCGCGTCGCCTCCGCCGATGCAACTGAACTTTTTGAAATACGGGCCAGTTGAACATCACCACCCAACTTACACTCCTCCATCGACCACTCCACCCCCGCCGGCCTCTGTATCTGCGTCAGTATCCACGGTATCCGCGGTTTCGGCACCCATTACGCGTTCCTCTTCGGTCTCATCCTCCCCGTCCTCGTACAGCCCCCAGAGCAGCCCGGTGTGGTCGCAAGCGCCGAGCACTCTGGGGACAAGCCCTGCCATGTCGACGACTTCAAGCACGCCGGGTATTCAAGAGAAGGGGGGGATGCGGCTGCAGCGGAAGCCGACACCACCAGTGGAATTACACTCGGAACCAGCAGTCGATCTTTCGCAGCCATCACAGCAACAGCCGCCGCCGCAACAACAACAACAACAACAACAACCCATTTGCGTGCCTGCGCCCGTGCCGGAAGTTGTCATCCGGGAACCTGATACGCCGTTTCTTCGTCCATCCCAGCTGAACTGGCCGCTGACCAGTGCACCCGATGTGCCTCCTGTTCCCACTCTGGTCCCCGCTGCGGTCTCTGTCGCTATCCCCATACCTCCAGTAACGGAACCAAAGCAAACACCGACTCAAACTAACACGACACTGTGGGATTTACAAAAAGAAGTACAAGACCATCTAGAGCTGCACATGCAACAGCAACAGCAAGAGCAACAACAACAACAAGAACAACAAACCAGACCTCACCTCTCTTCCCAACCCAGCTGGCCCCTGAAAGCTCCCGAGTCACAACTCAACGCCAACTGGCCGCTCAAGCCGTTCACCCTTCCCACCACCACCACCACTACTCCCGCTTCCCCGCCTACCATGACAGAAACAACAACCACAATCCCCCGCAAACCCCGCCCGCAATCCCAGCTCTTCATCAAACCGTACCGTCCCCCCGCCCACCACGCCGCCGCCGCAGCCGCGCCCAAAGTGAACGAGCCCGACGCCAAAACAGAGGAATCCAAACTCTCCGACGACGCGCTCTGGCTAGCTCTCGGAGGCGCGGCGGGTTCACGAGCCAAAGGGGCGAGGGCGGTATCGATGTACGGGGCACCGAGTCTAGTCCCAGCCCCAGCAGGGCCACCAGCAGGATCAGTCGGACAGGGTCTCAAGCCATATCAGCCGCCGCGGAATGTACGGGCGAGCAGTTATGGGGCTGCGTATGGGGTTGTTTATGGAAGCCAGCAGGGGAGTGGGAGTGGGAGTTGGTCTGACTCTTTGTATGCGCATGGACATCCTGATTATCCGCAGATGAGTCCGTATGATGGGGAGGTTGTTGCTAGCGAAGCGAAGGAGGGCCGAGCTGGTAGTCCACAGGGACAGGCGGAGGGTAGTGGTGGTGTTGTTGGGCTGGGTGTGGATGTGGGACGGGGAGGCCATATGCGGACGGTTAGTATGCCGTCGATGGTAGGGGGGCATTGAGTTTTTTTGTTTTTTTCTTTGCGGGAGTGGTGGGGTGGATGGATGGTGTGGTTTGGCGTTTGATACCCTGATGATAAACGGTGTTGTTTTTTTGGAGGAGAGAGAATTGTACATAGATATCATTTAGACCATACATTGGGATAGTGGGGAAATGTGTTGGATTAATATATCATAGATCATAATTAATCAAGACCTTATCCGTACTTGGGAATACAATACAATGTAATTATTTGGAGTCCAGTTCATCGGCATCCCTTTTCTAGACGGAGTTCATAAACCTCAACCTGACTTTAGCTCATTAGGGAAACAACGTCCCCGAGCTTTGTTACGCCCCCAACTGACTGTGATCTTAGTTTCGACATACCTCTTCTATTTTAGCAATTCACTCAAATCCATCGCCTCAGCGGTCCGACACCGCTAACACAAGGAACACATAACACATAAACCATCCCACCCTTGTTTTACACAAACACAACTTTGTACTCCAATCACAGCATATAATAAATCTTGCAGTGCACCTACCCGTGCACCCTTTCCAAACGAGTCACTTCGAGGCGAACAACCCCTTTCACCCCCGATCCTAGGTAGGTCGTTTACCGGCTCTTTACGGTGGACCGTAGAAGACGAGGGTTCCAGGGTGTCCTCTTGGAACATTCCACGGCTTCTATTCTTCCCCCACGTAGGTTTGTATCGACCCGACAATGCCCAGTCTCGAGAGCCACTCGGAACATCCGCTCGGCTCGGCCAAGCCGTTTTTCATGCCCGTGGGCTCGGCTTTGGCTGGCTGGCTGGCTGGTGCAGGCAAGGGTCGCGTGATTTTTGTGATTGTGATTGTGTGTGCGTGCTATGCGTGCGTGTGGCCCTGCCGTGTCGTGTCGTTATTTGTGGTTCCACGGTTGGATTTTGTGGTTCTCAACGGTTTCGAACATGGTTTTGTGGCTGGTCTCGCTTGCCTCGGTACCAAGCATTTTTGTGAATTTGTGCCCACTCACACCCGTTTCTAACATCGTTCGATGTCCCTTCTATTTCCTTTCTATTTCCCTTCCATGACTTCCATGGATCTTTTTTTTGTTTGGATTTTCCCATTCCGTCACTGTCCTTGTTCTCGTGCTCAAACGCTCGCGACCCTTCCCTTGTTTAGAATTGTCGCACGACAAAGGTAACTAGAGCAAGACAAACGGATATGTGGTACGTCAAACGGCTTCGGAGTCAACTCCGAGATGAGATCAATGTGAAATGTTTGCTAGATCCTCCCTCGGAGGAAACTCCGAGCCTGAATGGTTGAAGGTGAAAGAATGGGATGAAAGGTTCCGGTACTTCTGGCGTAGTTACCCCCCGGAGGCCATAACAGATGGGATGGCAGGGTTGTGGTGTCGACCCTATCTCGTGTGGAGAGAATACGTGAATACTTAAGCAAAGCACGTTGGGTAGACCAGACGGGCGTCTCCGCTGAGCTGGCCCGATCGGCTCAGGTAGAAGACGAAATTGCTCCAGGGTTGTCTGTAATACACTATGTTAATTGATACTGGTGTCGGCGCTCTCCGCGGCCAGACCGTCGGTAAGGAATGCCGGAGATGAAGCTGGACTCCAGTTGTTGGCCCCCCATCTGATGTTTACAGTCGTGCGTTCTAGACGACGTCGGTAGTTCACCCCCGGCGTGGCTTTGCCGGTCCAATGCCCGCAGCATTTCCGGGGCTTGTGATAAGTTGTCTGGCTGCGTACTATGTATGTACATATGTATCGTTGTGTTCGTGGTAATGACTTCCTGTGCTACATAAAAACGGTGTGCCTGAAATGGAGCTGAAAGGTGATGAGTCAGGGGCCCTCGCCCGGTGAACGTCGTGCATCGTGCGGTGCGTCTCACGTTCTCGAACGGGAGCAAAGCCCTCGGGATGAGAAGGGGAATCATATGCCCGAGACGGCAAGCTGCCCGCGGCCGTGGGGTTGAACCGACCGTCATACCCCCGAATCGACAAAGGCGAACAGACGGGATCCGAGCGGGCCCGATCGGCCTTCTAGAAGACCGGATCCCGTGAGTACCGCCCTCTGCCCGGGATGATGCCGGCTCCTCGTGATTAGAGGTTCGTTCACTTTTTGGGTTCTGACTAATAGGAGGAGAGGTAGCTAACAAATTCCTGATATCACGAAGTCTAGATCGAACCCATTTTGATGAAAATCGATGAGGCAAAACTTAAAACCGACAAGTAACCCTTGTCGACCCATTGGCAATTCAAACACTTGTCATGTCGTGCTTGAGCGACACAAATGCGGCTGACCTCAATTCGGAGCCTGCTCGCCCGGACGACTCCGTATCGACCGGCGCAAAATTGTCGACAATAAGGCTCCCAAGAGATAGACAACGTTCTCGGCCATAGTCCGAGTGCCCCCGCGATGCTGAGTGGACTAGTTCAAACCAACTCGTCTCATCGCATTTGTTGCGCAACCCTCTTCATGAATGTCGCTGCTGCAGTCCCGTTCCGAACGATCCGTGTCGTCGCCGTCAGACGCTTGCGACTGGCTGGACGGATGGGCGCACGGCAGGCAAGAAGGGTGTAAGCTAATGCAGATTGGGTGGGAGCGGATGAGGAGCTCGTCCCGTTCTGCCATGTGGCTTTTCGTTTCTTTTTCTGAACTACTGTCTCTCGTATTTTCACCGGCTACCCAAAGTTGCCTTATGGGACGTACTAGTGTATGTGATGGTGCGCTTGCTTCTCGGCATCGCTACAATTTGCGAGATTGCGATCTGTGGCTCGCTGAAGGAAGAAGGAAACGTCATGACTGCGGGATGTTGAGAAACGAAGGGCCAGAAAATCATGACGGAGCTATTCTGCCGTCATACACGCGAATGCGAACAGGGCTTGTGGTTGATGAACGTCCCCTGGTTAGAAACGCCCCCTTTTCCGTCGTTCGAACCGCATTGTTTCATCCCAGAGGGAACTTTAATGCAAAACAGACTTGGAAAAAAGGATTTGGAAACAAAGTCCGACGTAAGGAATTGACCGAACACCATACACAGTACACCTTTCAGAAACTACCAACAAAATCTCCTAGGCTCTTGCTATCTTCTCAGCTGAGCATTTCTTGAGATTTTGTTCTTGTGCGACATCACGAGCGGGCTGGACTCGCGGTTTCCACGTGGCCTTCCCCACTCAATTTCCCAAACAGCCGCTTTCCAATTCCCTTCCCACCCAGTTTTTTCCTTGCTTCGGCTTTTTCACACACTGGAGGATCCAAAAATGCAAAAAGCTAGGCTCACGTGGCAGATTATCCCGTCCGCCCCTCCCTACACTAGTGCCGAGCCCCCCGCTCAAGTTCTCTCCTTTTGCAAAAGTCGAGAGGTACGGGTACATCCAAGCGCAACTCAAGCTGGGGGCCCCAACCCCAAAACAGTGAACCCTTCCGCCCGTTCTGGAACTAGCTCCAAGAATGTGTTGAAGATCCTCACCCCTTTGCCCCGCCACCAACCATGCGTTGCATCATCTCACACCTGTTCTTTTGGATCTTTGGGCGCCATTTTCCCTCTTTTTTTTCCCACGAGGCGTTTTGCCAAGGAGCATGGCTATCTTATCCTCCGGTTGACGCCACCAGACTTCTGTCCGGCCCGCTGAAACCTTTCTGCCGTGAAAAGGCGGAAACCGTTCGCAATGGATGGGATGAAACTGTCGGCGAGGCGCCAAGCGCCTTTCTTTGAACGGGCTGCTCTCAGCTTTTGCTCGATCGCCGTCTCGTTTGTGAGTCTTCACCGCGACAGTGGGTGAATGAGGAGTCTTCCAGGCGGGATGTGGGAGAAGGATCGCCATTCTTGCCGCGTGGAGGCTCCATCAACGAGGAAACGTGGTATAATATGTGGGGAATTACTGCCTCTTTTCTTTTTCCCAACACCATTCCCACAGAGTCTGGCAGAATGGGGGCGTCGGGAGAAGATTAGGGTTAGACATCACGAAACGAGGTTGAAAATGTGTCACGATAACGTCGCTCAAGCGTACGAATCAAGGAGACACAAGGGCCTGGCAGACGCACGACGGCATGGCGCCAACTACGCTCGTTTCCCCATTCCCCGGGCGCCCACAGCCGATCCCGCACCTCTCCCGGTGGGAATGGCTGCCTGTGGCGTGCATCAACAGGGTGGTGACAGGATACACCAGCCGTTCGTGCTTGAGCTGCTGCAGGAGGGAAAAGACATACAGAGATGAATCACCGCAAGCCCAACCCACCACCGCCTAGCCGCCATTCGTCCTCTCGTTTTGTTGGTCCCCTTTTATGGGTTCTCGTGGGCCGTTCTCCTTGTGCAAAAGATATGTGGTGCAACGTTCTTGTTTGATATTCGAGAACCCTGCACCTTATTCCTGCGACGTTTTTTACAACGTCCTCTGCCCCCACGCAACCATCGTTCACGGCCTGTCCGTTCCAACGGCGGTGTCTTCGCCAGGTGGACCATGACCCGGTTTTCTTTAATTTTTTTTCTCCATGGCGGGCTGGGGTGAGACTGGCAGTGGACAAGTGGGTGGATCCCGGAGTCGGCGTTCGGCTTTTGAGGGACAACTTTGCGACCCCAGCAGTTTTTCGTCCTTTGTCCGGATTTCGTTGGGCCTGGACTCTTTTCCCTCTCTATCACCTATTGCATTTGCGTTTCCCAACGGCAAGTCCCTCCGGGCTGGGTGTATCTGTTTCTTGCGGTAACGAAAATCGATATGACGTCGACGGTGATGACGGAACGGTGGTCCTCCATATTTCAATGGTTGGTCGACATCGGATTTCAACAGAGATTGTTTAAACCCTGAGCGGCTTTGGATTTGTGAACGTTAAGAGCTGGGGTCTCCCGGGCTGCTTGGGGTGCCCGCTCCGGAACGACAAGGGCCAGTGTTTCTGCTCTGCTGAAGCACGTTTTATGCGCACCCTGTTGGCCCTTGGCGGCCAGGCGGCCCCGTTCCGTAACCCATCGGATCTTCGCTACCGACCGGCGCCGCCCAGCCGTTGAATGGAAGCCATGGTCCTCCGCTTCGAAATCCCAGGCCACGTTGCGAGCACAACACTCAATTATGATTACTCCGTACGCAGGTCAATATTCGAGCCTGTGTGAGAAACCACGCGGCGGCCCTGGGGGCATGGGGTCGATCCGAGAAAACCACGCTGTCGGCTCGACCTCCCTGCCACGCGAGTCTGACAAATGCCGAACCACACCCTAAGCCCCTTTCTGCAAGCTGACAAAGTAAATTCCCGATAAGCAAATCCTACCGCCTTCGGTCTCAAGTTGAGTTTCGTGAAAGAAACACCCAGAGGAATGCTGTTATACCGAGAGTCGCTACTATGTATTGACATACCCTAGTTGTTCGAAGGAGCAAATGCTCAAAGGCCGCATTCCTATCCTTTTCGTATCAGTAAACAGACCAAGGCGACGTCTCAGAGCATTGAGCACAGAGCACCTTGCCGGGAATAAGGATATCTCCCGCTTTCCGACGTCTATGGCCGGGGCCCCACTTCCGTGGGGACAACCCCGCCGTTTCTTTTCGCTTTCGACCTATCCGCCCAGATAACTCCAGGCTCGGAAGGGACAAATTGTTCCAATGGTTGTTCTTTTCGACAGATGTGCGAAAGTGTGCTGGATCCGATCATCGGCCATTGCAGCCGACATTTCAACCACCTACCTACTTGAGCGGAGGGCTTCCCGCTCCAGAGTCCCGAGCGAGGCCTTTTGCGCACGACCGAGCGAGTGGTCTCCGGTTGTCTATCCTCGACGCGAGGATGGTGAAGATGGAGAGCGGTGGGCTATTAACCCGGGCAGATCCGAAAATTCGTGAATGTTTAGTAAGTGAGTTTGGCTCCGAGTTCCGAGCAAGCGTCTGGGTTCCCCCCTATCGGGGACGATGAGCTGATGAAGCGGTGGACTCCCGCAGGACGCAGTTCTGGCGACGGAACCCTGTTGTTCGCCCAGAAGCCCCACCTCATAAGAGTCAAGCAGCCCCCCATATCAACAGTGCCATGAGCCATGTTTCTGCGCGTGTGGGTCTGCTCTCTTGCCCCAGCCCAATTGTGGTCTCTTGAACCCAGCCTTTTCAGCCCCCCGGAGCATTACGAGAGAGGATTTGTGAACGTGCGCTGCGAACCCCGGTTGTCAGAAGGAAAAGCCATCCGCTCACAGGCTGTCTCGCTGTGTGGCTTGCTCTCAACAGGAGGGGGCATCGTGGCTGCAGGGGCCCCCGCTTTCAAACTGGCGAGGCCTCGTGGGTGAGATCCCTGGAGCCACGCGCAGATCTTAGTGAGCGACACTGCGGTTGGCCGCAGCCACGGCAGGGTCGCACAAAGCAACAAATGTGTTCAGCCGTGTGTGCGACTGGACCGAAGGGAACTCTCTGTGTTCGTGTGCCAGTGTTCCAATGCGAGTTCTCAAAAACTTGTCACGAACATCTGCCATCGCTTTGATCCTGTCACCTCTCTCCACTTGAACTCTGTGGCTCTTCACCAATCATGACCTTGGGGCTTTCGGCAACACTCTCTCCTGCTGAGTTAAAAGCTCCACTGGCCTGACCGCTTTTCCTTTCGCTCTGGAATATGAATTGCCTCAGGTTTCTTGAGTGTAAAGGAAATAGGCGTATTTGAAGTGGGCCTACACCTGGTGTGCTTCACACGGGGTGGCTTTTTGATACCCACTGCTTCCCGTCGTCCGCCCTTATGTTATTTCTCAGTAGTCAAAATTTACCCCCTACATCATGCCGACTTCTTAGTTTAGATCTTACCACGCGGTGGCGCTCATGGCTTGCTGAGCTGGTGTCACAGACAATTTGCGACAATTTGATGTGGTGCTCCTCGTCGTTGCAGCTCGCTTCCTGGCCCTGATATTAACTCCACATGGCTCTCACGTCTCGTCCACTGAAGGCAGTGCCAAGCTCGTTTTTCGACGCGGAAAGAGCCAGAGCGGGCTGGTAGTTTCCCTTGACGGCGCATGGTGCCTTGTGTCAGAAAGGTTCCTATCGCCGAAAGGGACAACGGCGGGTATCGTGAGATTCTCTAGCGTTAACTCCGCAACGAGTGGTCGAACTACACTGTAGTTAATTGGTTTATCTAGAGCCCACCATCCGCAACGGTAGTGTACGCCGGCAGGTCGAGGGGCCTGCAGGATCGGGAGAATCGCTTTTCCTCCTCCACAGACGGTGGATTTCGGTGTAACAATGATGAAATCGTTGACCGCCCACGTGCGATGAATTAACCAAGAGATCCCTGCGCCAGAAGGGGATTTTGTGATGGAGCCTTTGGGCTTTTCTCAGATTTATGTTTCGGCGGGGCAGGACGGACCAGAAAACGGCAGACGAGGAGACCGCCTCACGGCGAGAGGATGATGGCCTGGTGGAACCATGTCCAGCACTGGTGTGGAGGGGTTCCATGTGCAGCAGCGGTCTGAGAAAGGAGGGGCGGGGTATCCTGGTATCACCATACGTTTTTCGGGCTTGGCTCTTTTGGGGCCTGCTCTGAGCGATTCTGGCAATTCGAGATGGCCTCACCTGCCGTCCTGGAACAGTCCCAAAAAAAACAAGGAAACAGCGACCGTTCAGTTGCGGTTGCCAAACTTTACGAATTGGAAAGACCTGCCTGCTCAAACGGATATATTCTTTCCCATTGCTTTTTGTTTCTGTAATTTCCGTTCCTTCAACAACCCAACACGGGCAGAACAAATTTCTTTTCTGCTCCCGTCTCGTAGGGCGTCCATCGACGGAACTCCTCACAATCGTCGCATCACGGAAGGCGGCAGTGGGCTGTCTCCACTCGAGCCCATAGGCTGTCACGACCCATTCAGAGGTGCTGAGGTACCTGTACCTGTACTTCCCAGGGGCCCCATGCTCCTACCCTTCGCCCAGGGGACCCTGGTTCTTCCCTCGCGTGGTGTGCCGTTCATTGTCTCTTCTGCTGCCGCCCGGCGCCCGCTCCACGTTTTTTACGACCTCTGCCGGCCGTCCCTCTTTTATTTGAACCGAATCCTGCCCAGTCCCGGCGCCGCCGCCCACGCACACCAAAACTGGCCCCCTACCCCTTCCCAGACATCCCACCATAAAAAAATTAAGGAGCGAAACAGGCCAGAAAAAGGAAACCCTTCTCTCGTTTTTCTGAAATGTGTTAGATGGCCGCGACGTCAAACCCGTCCCCCTCATCACCCTTCGTCGAACCCTCCGCGCGTGTCGTTCCCTCACGCGCCCGACCTCCACTGAATTCCTCCCAGTCGGCGCCTTCTCCCACCTCCGGCTCGACCAACGCCCAGCATCGCCTTCAACACTCGAGTCATCCGTCCCTCAGTTCGCAGCGGTCGGGCGGCTTCCTCGCCTTCTTCGACCGGACCCTCGCCGGCATCGCAGAACCGCGAATCCGCCCGCGCCAATCACTCTCTCGCATTTCCACCAGCCCCGAAACGCTCCCCAGCGGCCAGTCCAGCCCAGAGAAAGGTTCTCGCAGCAGCGCCCGTCCCCCGTCTAACCACGCCGGCCAGGCGGGGTTGCAGTCTAGCACGGACAGCAGACAACCGAGCCCGACTCTTGTCCTGGGCGATCCCCCCTCGCAGCCGTACAGCGAAACAGATCCATCTCTCCCAGAACCAACAATTCTTCCTCGTTTCGACAACAAGATGCACCAAACCTCCTCGCGGCTGCTCCGCATGACGGACGATGACCGCCCGTACACCAAGGTACGTGTCCAGCCAGGAGCAAAGGATCCGGTTGCAGGTGCAGCTGCAGGTGAAAGCTGTTGTCGGCATGCATTGGCGTGTGACATGCTGCAATTGGTCTTGTTATTGGAGGTGGACCAATCCCAGCGCTAACTTGAGGAACCTCACAAACAGGATTTCAAAGATCTTTTTGCGACCTTGATAGTCAGCCTGTTGCCACTCTCGGCGCATCGCGTGCGGCTGACAAAGGTGGAACACACTTTCTTGTCCGAGGATGCTATCAACAACCTGGGCTCGCTCAAGTTCTCCCAATCTAACCGGATGCCCGATCCAAAAGATCCGTCGAGGATCGTAACGACGACGACGACAACGACTTTCTCAATGGCCAAGGATATGGCCCGCTCCATTTGCCAACGATTTCTTGAAGCCAGATTTATCGAGTCGGCGGACGGGAAATACCAGTCGGTGTACACGATGAAGGGCGTGGTATGGCAGTTGACTCCCAAGGGCATCTCGATCCTAGACCGATTCTGCTCGCGGAATGGCATTCAGCAGAAGCAAGTCGCGGAGCTGATTGGTGCCGCCCTGCCACAGTTGGTGAGCCTCGAGCGTGATGGCCAGTCGGACAAGCTACTCACGGACCGTGGCACGGTCGAGGTGATCTTCCGGCGGTTTATCGGTGGCGTTAATGGCTTCAACATCAAGTCAAGCGTGAGCTCGGCCGATTCAGACTCGTTAAGCGATTACCGAGACGGGCTTACTGGCGTCAAGATGGCTGCGGAGCGCAAGGTGGGCGGCAGAACGTTCAAGGATACCTTTACTGGCAAGGCAGCGTCGGATTGGCTGTTGGACTGCTCAACCACCGTCGATAAGCGCGAGACCTACGAGATCGCCGCGCTGTTTGTGGAGTACGACCTTATGGAAGCCGTCCAACAAGACCGATCCTTTGCGCTACAGCACCCGGCGCACAGCTTGTTCCAACCAACAAAGCACGCCATCTACCAAGTCACAGCTAAGGGGAGGGATCTTGCGAATGGTGCCCTAGCCCGCGGCCGCGCATCGGAGAGTGAAGGGGTCTCCGCTTCGCGATCGGGCGGAATTGCCCGTGACTCCAATACCCAACGCCTAGACAAGATCCTTAACGATGCGGCACTTCGTCTGCTCTTCCGTGAGAACCTCCGCGAGACCCATTGCGAGGAGAACCTGTCTTTCTACCTTGATGTCGACGAGTTCGTCCGGCAGTGCAGGCAAGCTATTCGGGCGGCGCAAAAGAACCCTAACAACGCGGCATCTCTCGATGGGATCAAGGAGATCATGGCCCAGGCCTACGGGATATACAATGCCTTTTTGGCCCCAGGCTCCCCATGCGAGCTGAACATCGACCACCAGCTGCGGAACAACCTGGCGACCCGCATGACTAAGGCAGTGGGGCAGGACGTGGCCATGATTGACACGCTCCACGAGGTCACGGCGCTGTTCGAGGACGCTCAGAATGCGGTCTTTAAACTGATGGCTAGTGTAAGTTTATTCCGGCCCGAAGGAGTTGAGAAAAATCTCGAGATGCTCAGTTATCTAACCCACAAACAGGACTCGGTTCCCAAGTTCCTACGCAGTCCCAAGTACGAGCAGACGCTCAAAAACTACGATTTCGATTCCATCACGAGTAACCACCAGACCGGCCGTGTGCCTGAGCGGAGCCAGAGCAGGTCAAAGCGGAATTGACTGTCGAGGATGCCTTCGATAAGGCAAATGCGATCGGGTCGATGATCGAGAAACGATCTCTTTGTCTACACGCGAAGACCGGCATGCCCAGGCCCAGCGAGGAAACATTTTGCCTAATGATTCCCCATTCATGACCTGGAGAGGAAAAAGACACGCATTACGTCCGCATTTTTTGTTTTGTGCACCGTCGTGTACCATTGCAGACTCCGGCGCGCATAGCTTCTTGGGTTTTTCTTTTCGGTTTCCTTCTTTTTCCGTGATATTTGTGTCATTTATTTGCATGGAGGTGAACCGGAGCATGTCCCCGCCCTTTGCGGTTATATCCCTGTTGGTACTCTTCTATGTATCTCTGCGGTTTCTTCTTTGTCTCTTCTCTTTGTTACTTAATTCTCCCTCCTCGTGATGTTCGCCCCTGCGATGATTTCAGTTTTTACTCTTTTCTACGTTTGGTTTTTCTATGTTCAGGGAGATGACATCCTGGCGTTACGGAGGAGCTGATGACATAGATGGGAGAGAGAGAGAGAGAGAGAGAGTGAAAGCACAATCATCTGGCATACCCACGGTATTACAACGAATTTTTTTTCCTTCTCGTCCCAGCTTAAACCGTTGTGCCTGGTTGGTTGGGAGGGTAGTACCTCCCACCCTTCGTATTTCTGCGTTCGTCTGCTGCTGATGTGCCCGGTGGCCGTTTTGTGTGGGCGGTTAGCTAGGGGGGGTGGTAACAGGGGGGGATAATGGGTGAAACCCGGCCATCCAACGTGAGAGAGTGTAAAGACGATACAGGGAAGGGGGGTTGCGCTGCAATGCAAGGGGGGTGATTGGTAACGACTCTACGACCGTCCTGCTTCCCATGTACGCATCGAATAACGAAGAGATACAAATACCTACACTACCCCGCTGGGTTCAAACTAGTGTACTAGTTAGTAGCCGAGAGCGCTCGAATGGTGACGACTTTGTGTGAGTGAAATGTCTATCGACTTGTACGGCACGGAGGCTCGGTTGCGGGGCCGGGCCTTGCAGAGGTTGAGCAGGATAAGAATTGAGTTGCTGGTGCGTGAAGTGACGGATATGTGCTCCGTCTTCCCAACTTACCTTGGAAGCCACCCGATAAAACGGTAGTACTTGGAAGGACGAGGTGGTTTTACATAGTGGAGATAATGGCCATTGTGGCTACCGCAACAACGTCACCTTTTTCCCATCGATTTACTGTCAAGTGTGCGCAACCTTACAACTGACACACGAGCGTTATCACCGGCAGTTGGCTCTCGACCGCCCACTGCACATCTCGGACAGAAAGCGGGGAGGGTCAAGGCCGGAGATTTGGTTTCAATCGCCAACGCGGGAACGGAATGTTACGGTACCCGGGAACGTGGCTACCGAAAGAACCAATGGTATGGTTGTCCCGTTTGCGGCGAAGCTTTTTTCGCAAACCGGGTTACACGTCAGGTCGGGGATAGGAACCCGTTGGTTTCATGAAGTGCGGCCCAGACTAGGTACACTTACACTAGTGGATGGTTGGAACTTGGAAGTCTCGAAAGGAAAAAACTGGGCGGCGGCATGTAACCAGTAACCGCGCGCAGCGGTCTCCCGTTGTTAGTTGCCACTTGACTTGTGGTAATCTACATGCGCTTCACCAACCCTTTGCTGGTTTAACAAAGCAGTTTCTTTAATGCAACTGCAACCGCGCAGATCGGGAGCGCACATTGGGTCTTTTAATGCTTCACCCCACCTTTAATTCTTGAAGCTTGTCTCGAACAAGTCGCCACACTTGCTTTCTACAACTACAACGTCTGGTGACGGTTGTCTAATACAAAGATTCTTCCAACCCACCACCATCATCATCACCCTTCTCGCCCCCAAACCCGAACAAAAAAAAGAAAAAGAAAACAAAACCAAAATCATCAATTAGAAGACGCCACGATGCCAGGGTCCGTCTACTCCGTCGACCTCGAACGCGAGGCCCGCGATCGCACAAATAGTCACCACCACCCACGATCTCGCAACTCTCAAAACCACCACCACAACAACCACCACCACCACAAACCTGACCGCCGCCATCACAACCACCGCGCCCGATCCCCTTCTCCATCCCCCTCCATATCCTCCACCTGCTCAATCTCCTCTTGCTCAACCGGCCTAACAACCACCACACCCACCACTCCCGACCCACCATCATCCAAGCCAACAACAGCCTCAACCTCCAAACCCACCTCCAACTCAACAAAAACAAAACCCGCAAAATCAAAACCATCCAAAACCAACCGCAAAGCCCTGATCCCCCATCCAACCCACGGCAGCGGTGCCAGCAGCAGCAGTGGGCTTGGCAGTAGCGATGACGAGGACGACGATGATGCGCCGGAGGAGTATACCGTTGATAAAGATGGGCGGATTCGGGAGGAGCGGAAACGGGGGGGTGGTGGTCGACATCATCAGGCCCAGCGCAGGGGTGAGAAACGGTATGCGCATGCGCGTGGTGATGGATATGGACGTGGGTATGGGTACCATGGATGGGACGGGTCGGAAGAGAAAGGGGGGAGGTATCGGGATCGGGATGAGGGGGGGTGTGAAGAGTGTAGGTATGGATGTTGTAGTGGTGGGGGGTATGGATATGGGGATGGTGGGAGTGGGAATGGGAATAGGGGGGGTTGGGAGAGAAGGAGGGATGATGTGGATGGGGAGAGGAGAAGGAGGAGAGAGAAGAGTGAGGGGAAGAGGTTGATGTTGGCTGCGGCGGTGTTTGTGGCGGGGATTGTGTTGTGTTGTGATTGAGGTTTTGATTTGCCTTGTTTTATTTGTGTAGGTTTTGGGGAGGGGTTGTGATGAACTTATAACGACTGTTGAGCGAGGGCTTTGGCGTTGGACTTCGGGTTTGACACCTAGGCCATTCATTGTCTGAGGCGGTTGGGATTCATTTACAAAGAGGAAGCTGGGATAGGCGATATGAGGTTACAAGATTCAGCCCAGCAATGGCGATGATTTCCAATACTACTACGAGCGATAAAACGCAGTTGATACCCTGCGCTAACACAACCCACGACGCCAGCTTGGACAGATATTAAGTGCTCTGGATATCATTTTCTTCTCGCTTCTAAGTGAGCTCAACGGGCATCACATCCCATTATCTGTCCTTGTATGTAAATTCCTCATAACGCCACTCAAACGCCCAGCTAATGCCACGAAATAATACAGTCTTCACCCTTATCCCACCTTTTTTGGGGCGCACCAGTTGCCATTCCCGTAAACTTGGAAAACCAACCTTGGCCATAATAAACCAACCACACTTAAATCGAGGTCGGCGCAGCATCCTTTCTCCAGCCCTTGCTCCTCATATTCGCCTCAATCCCCTTCCAAATACCCTCCACAACTTCCCGATCCCTCCAACGACTGGTCTCCGCTCCCGGCTGGCCCGGATCGCGCCACTTCTCCACCGAGCAAGCCATCACGCGATGACCGTACACACGCACCGACTCAGGCGGCTCATCACCCCGCCAGCCCAGATACACCCCGAGCACATGCTTGAACAGCTCCGCCGGGTTGCTCCACCGGTAGTTCTTGAACTGCCACGCCTGTCCCGTCGTGAACACCGCCACCACGCGATTCCAGTACTCCGGCTTGAACTGCTCCGGGCCCTCAACCAGGATAAACCGCATCGGCCGCGACGGGTCAATGTCCTTGATCAGGCGCGAAATGTGTAGCATCGAGGCTGGCGCGCTAGCGTCGGGGGGCGCGTACCGGCCGCCTTCTAGGAACGACTTGGCGTTGGACATGCGCAGGAGGGCGGACGCCGACGGCGAAAGCAGGATGATGGGGTCTGGTCGTCGTGCTGGTTTCTGGTTAAGAGCCAGCGCCGTGGTTGACCCAACTCCTGGGGCCGTTGACGGGCCACCGCCGGGTTTGCGCGTCATGAAGGGTGCTGCGAGCTTGCGGACGTGGGAGAAGTCCTGTATAATCGGTTAGCTTTGCTTGACACGACCCAATGATCAACACATTTAGCAGCAGCAGCAGCAGCAGCCATGTCCACTCACAGTCGCCTTGATCCCTCTCAACACCGTATTCCTATCGCCCATGCGCCTCTCCCCATTGTAGATCTGCGCCAACCGCGGATCCAGTGTCCCCCTTCCCGCGCGCCCCGACGATGACGGCGCTGCCTTAGACGTAGCACCCGCCACCCTAGCGCTCACGCTCACGCCAGCAGTCGTGTCTTGGCCACCGGGCAGCGGTTTAATAAACTCGCTCTCCTCCTGGGCGCCCTCGAGAAACGTGAACAGCACCAACCGCTCAACAAACGCAAACATGTGCACGGCGGCAGACCCGGCCATCTCGTCGTTCAGCTTGATCGCAATGGCATTGTACTCGGGGATGGTGAGGTCGCGGTTGAGCCAGGCGAAGTAGATGGAGCGCACATCGATAGCTTTGCCCTCGGTGGACGTGAAGCGCGTGGGCGCGTCAATAGGGACGGCGACGCGATCGGGGCTGGAAAAGACCAGGTGGGTGGCTTTGGAGAGGGGGACTTCGTCGGACGAGTCGGCTGAGGTCGTCGGGGTGATCTTGCCGCTTGATGCGATCGAGTGCCGCAGGAGCAGCAGCGGGTCTTCAATTGGCGCCATGGCGTCGTCGTCTCGTCGTCTTGATGCGGTAGTCAGGTCCTTCGAGATTTGGGTTGATGTGTAATCGGGTTGTCGAAGGAAAGGCGGGTTGCGATGTGGCGGGAGGGATGGGTTTCTCGGGTTTTCGAGTTGAAGCATGGAGTCGCGATTGTTTAGAGACCCACTTTTCCGCCCAAATGGTGGATTGGAAGATGAAGCTCGGGCCACACATTTGTACCCTTTTGGAATTGTGTGATCCTCCTGCTAATTGTTCATTGTCCCCTATTCATTCATTTTCACCGTAATTGTTCCTCGAGGTTCAAATTTATTTTGAAGATCAAGGCCGAGGAATTAAACACAAGAATTTTTTCTTTTGTACCGAAAAACCACCACCCCCGCTGAACGCCCGCAAAATCATCATAAACATGCCCATTGAATATCATCATAGCCGTCTGAACGTCGCAACATGCCATCATCCCACCCAAGCTCAATACGACGGCTGTCGCTCTAGCTTCTAGATCGCAGCACTATAAGGCGCTTAAAAACGAAAGAGCCGTCCTACGGCTTGCTAGTTGCGATTCTGTCGCTCGGCCCCGTGAAGTGTCGGTGTGATACTCGCAAACCCGAATCCGGTGCTCCTGGCCGAGGTCTTAGCGTTGGTCGTCTCGGCTGTATCAACTTAGGTGAAGCGACGCCGAATCAAGACGCCCGAGAAACATCGCTAGACGCGGCTTGAAGAGGGAACAGGGGTAGACCGCACCACCCTGTTTCATGAATCAACCAACATCGTGTCGTCACCATCAAACGTCGGGCCGGCCGGCTCCACAGCAACACCTCTCCCTCGCCCGGCAAGCAGCTCCCTCCGAATTGCCGGAGCAATCTTTTCGTGGCCGTGGTTCAGGAGAAGATCAAGGAGAGCTTCACGTTGGTCTTCGGTGACTAGATTGGGGTGTGAGTATCTTAGAATACATCACTCCGGGGCGTACAAAGGGACTCACTATCGTTGCGATATCGCTCGGCAAACGCGAGCAGACACTGGTGGAAGATGACCGGCAACGACCTTGGCGCATCGCCATCTCTGGCCGCCGCGGCATAGCGGAGGAAATGGAATACGAGGGAGTCGATACATTGCCAGGCTTGAAGACCGTCAGTTTCAAAGTTACTGAGAACGCTTCCCAGGTTTTGTTGACATGGAACTTACGCAGGGCATACTTCTTCTTCAGAAGAATCAGAAGCATGTGGTTGGTCGCACTAACACACTCAGAGTGCTGTGACGCCTGCTCCGCCGCGATATCGCACAGGGTCTTGATAGCCGCGGCCGAATGAAGAACGGGGATCGACACACGCTCGAGCACCGCCGACACGATTTGCGCCTCGCGTAAGGTGCAGGTCCCTATTATCAGGGTTAATATGAAATTCACTCCTTAGAAGACTAGAATTGGCGAGGCTTACCAGATGCGGCCAGTGGGAAAAGGAACCCTATTTGGCACCGTCAGTAAAACACCTCCCGCAGCACAGCCAAGATGACGAACCCTTGAAGAAACCAGCAGGCTTGTAGAGCCCGCGCTTCAGGCAGTTGAACAAGTGAACGTTCAACTTCTTGTTTTCGTAAATGTCTTCGCGGACCCGTTCCAGAACCACCATCTCCATAAATCGCTGGACAACAATGGGCTTAGCCGAGACGAATATCCTTGTCGCTGCGAAGCAAGCATTTGGCGTCCTGGTAAAGGTTCAGTTAACTATGTCCTCCAGCCCCTTCTGAGCATTAGCAAGGCAACCTACCAGAGGTCCGGTCGTGTTATTTGGAGGATCTCTTCCCAGTGAGGAATTGTCGGTAGAATCTTGAACGGCTTCGGTAATGGGCCAGACTTGTACCGAGCAAGGATGAGCCCAATCCTATCGACCTGTCAGCGCTGACCTCCGTCATGCAACAAAACCGCCTCCAAACGTACTTGGTAAACACCTCGATCACCTTCGGCGGCATCTCGTAGTCCTCCTCAACCGGGTTAAAGTCCTGCTGCTGCTGCCGCCCGCCCTGCATCGCTTCCTTTTCCGCAATCTTGGCCAGAATCAAATCCGCCAAATTTGTTCCCGGCCCTTCCTCTTCTTCACTTCCAGCTCCGCCACCTCCCATCTTCCCATCCCAGCCATGTGTAAGCAGCGGGTCGTCATTCATCGTCGGCGTGATGAACCGGTTAAACGTATCAAGATCAGCCGCGTCAACCTCAATCTCCTCCACAATCTCCTCCTCATCACCCCAAGCCTCTTCGTTCGCAAACCTATCCACTCCATCCTCCTCATCCCGATCACTATCTTCCCCAAAGCGGGATGGGTCGAACTCAAACGCGGAGGGGCCGGATGCGTGGTTGTTGTCGTCGTCGTCGGCGGATTGGAGGTCGTCTTCGTCAATCAGATCACGGCTCATGGCCAGGATCTTGCGGGAGGCTTTGGCATCGACGTAGGCCTGCTCCTCGGCCTGTTTCCGGTCGGCCCGCTTCGACGGTCGCCCTTCCCTGCTCTTGAGCACCCCCGTCGCGAGGAGGTCATCTTCAAGGGGGTTGTGCCGCCGCTTGTGGGATAGTGAGGATGTTGCTTTGGGCATTTTGTTGGTTGTTCGGGGCCGGGATGCAATGTTGGGTGGGAGAATTGACGGTATCGGAGAATAGACTTTTTAGTTTTTGAGCCGGACGGACGACTAATTATTAGGTAAAACACCAGACCGCTCTCAGTCCCTCGGGCTGCAACAGTGCTGGTAATTTTTTGGTGCTGCTTCACAAAAAGTTCACAGGTGGGGCAACTTTCAGGTTGCGCCGGACTGCTGATTGGAAGAACTCTGGGATTTTGCGGAAATACAATCCACCGGGCGTCTTATCAGCAGCAAAAATTCTTATCGATAGCAGTCCTCAAGGCCCCGCGCTGCCCCGCGGTGAGCGATCAGCGTATGAAATTTGTGGTGAGCTGCAAGTACATACAAGCAAGCCGATATATGCACCGTAAAACCTCTTGGAAACGTCGCCGCCATAACCTTGTTATCTTTATTTACCTAGGATAACCGGTATGCCGACAGAACTTGAGGAGGTATGAGAGTTTTCTCGGGAAAGCAGTCAGAAATGATCAGAATAGCTGACCAGATTCATAGCTCGTCGGGTTCATCGCCCATCCGAACCCTCAAATTCGCAAAGTAGCAACTGAGAACTTGGTGCCATACTCGACTGAACAACCGTCAATTTTCAAGACAGAGGAGCTGCTCCCTGTGAAGCATCTCAAATTTCTCATTCGAGATCACCCAGTGAGTGAAAACATTCATGTTGACCCCTGGGATACTCGATCTATAGCTAACTGTTCACGGAGGACATCGCTGAACATGCTCTCACTATTCTAGTCAACCTGACGGCGGACCGTAGTGTCCTTGAGTTTGTGGCGACGGATGACCGGTTCCTTGGGTTTCTTCTCACTAATTTAGTGGTATGTAGTTCCGAGACGCTCCCGGTCGTTCATACATTTATATGCATATGCTAACCCCCAACGACAGGACCCAGAAGAACAAAACGCCAATCTCCTTGCCATGTTGCTAGCAAACTTAGCCAAATGGGACGACCTCAAAAGCATTGCTACCCGCAAACAAGATGCCCCTGCCGCCCTCAAATCCAACGATCTTGTCCTCAACCAAATACTCGATCTCTTCGTCAAAGGAGCCGACGGCACCTACAACAAAAAGGCCGATTTCGACTATCTCTCCTACGTTATTGCCGACCTCTCCAAACACCCCGAAATCAGAAAATTCTTCCTCACGGAGCAAGACTACGACCACGTGGTCCCCATCAACAAGATCAAGGTCTTCACAGAGCACAAATCCGACATTCGGCGAAAGGGCGTGGCGAGCACCATCAAAAACGTGGCGTTTGACGTGCCAGCACACACTTCCTTCCTAGACGAGGACCAAATCAACATTCTACCGTACCTCCTGCTCCCCATCATAGGGGGCGAAGAATACGACGACGAAGACACGATGGGGATGCTGCCGGACCTGCAGCTCTTGCCTCCTGACAAACAGCGGGATTCGGACCCCAACATTATCCAGACGCACGTTGAGACGCTGACTCTCCTGACCACTACCCGGGAAGGGCGAGACCTGATGCGGAAGATCAATGTGTATCCGGTTGTGCGGGAAACGCATCTCCGGGTAAACGATGAAGGTGTCCAGGAAGCGTGCGAGAGACTGGTGCAGGTTTTGATGCGGGATGAAGCGGAGGAGCCAGGGGCGGTGGTGGAGGAGGTGGAGGACGATGAGGAGACCAAGATAGTCCCGGTTTAACCACTTCCGATTCTATGCTTGTGAAAAAGAAGAGCCAAAATGGAAACGCAAATCACGGTTGCAGACATCAATCATCCCGGCCGCCAAGCCAAAATGGCCTTTGAGAGCAGAGAAAAAAATCTGCCAACTGGACGGGTCCGGCAAAGGCAAGGGCTCGCGTGCTCACCTCCTTGCTTGGCCGGCCAAGAACTTGTCGCCGAGACTTTTGGCGCGAGCACGCCATTTCAGCCAAGAACACCAAGCTTCGGGACGAGAAGCATCCCGAAAGCTTGGCCCGGCAGTGTAACGACACGGCTTGATCTGCGAGTATTTCAGGGCTGAATTATTGAAGAGATGAGGCCTCGGCGTCACGGTACTATGTAGTTGGTGGGCGATCTGGATTCTCGTGCGCGGGATATGGAGACGTCGCCTGCAAAAGGATAGAGCTGTGAAAAATAGAGCAACCAGGATACGCTTCAATAAACTTGAAAAAAATCGAATCAACTCACGTCAGCCGCCTTCTGGAATCCAACACTTTTCGTTTCGCCGCGGATGGGAAACCGAATATTGTCTCCGCGAACGCCGAGCGCGTGGTGGTATTGCAGCCTTCAATTGGCCATGCGACGGACGCGTCTTGGACATGGAATATTGCGGCGACGGGCCGATGAGCTGTGGATGCGCTCTTGAATGGGGAAAACTACACTAGAAAATCCTGTCAAGGAAACAAGAGAGATGAAGAAACTGCTGGGTGGGAATCCATGCGGGTTGCAACGATTCCACGAGCGACATCAACCCCGGTCGCCACATGGATGATGCAGTCATGTTTTTTTCACCATTGCGGGTTTGTCGGTTTGGTCAGGAGATGCCCGTGTTGTGATGCGATATTGCAACAGCGGGGCAGTCCTTTTTCGTCACTCGCCAGCCAGCCTGCCCTCGCCCTAACGAGTTTCGAGAAAATCTCTGGGCTCGGGCAACTTGAAATTCCAAGTACCTGGAGGCTGCCCTGCCCAACCTCTGAGATAAGGAAAAATGAATTCCATGCGAGATTTTGGCAACGCCTGGAAATAGCGTCCAAGAACGGGTGGTCCTGCGGGCAGGCGTTTTGGAAGCAACATCCCCGCTGCGTCAGGGGAACAACCCCCCAGCGAACCAGCGCTGCGGAACCCAAAACGTGGTGCTATCTTGGGCTCGTCATTCGTGGTCCCTGCCCCAAACAACGGGATCAAAGGCCCAAGCTCCCCGTGGATCTCCTGCACCCCATCGCTGAGCGGGCCCCCGAGACAGGGGGTGAGGACCGGTGCGACTTGCCGTTTCGGGAAGTTTTCTCAATGAGCGATTGGCTCTGGGCCATTCTGGCCTTGTCAGGGCACAAATAGCCCTTGGTCATGGTTGCCGTTCCTGTCATTCCTGGCACGCTCGTTGGCTTTCCTCGAGACAGTCGTTTGAATTTTGAGTTGGGTCATTGTCCCCCCCAACTGGCCGAAGATGGATAGGAGTCGTGACCGAGAGTCGTTTTGGGAAATGGTGATGGGGGTGACCTCAGGATGTCGGGACTGGCTTGCATGCACATCTTCTAGCCGACAACCGCCGAGATCCTCAAAGGAAAATATATCACACTCTTGCAATTTACAGATGGAAAATGATAAAACAGCCAAATGCCCATCCTAGTTGCCAAGAGGACTGCACATACGGGACAAGAATGCCCAGGCGGCGGGAGGAGCCCGGAGTTGTGTCCTCAGCCGCCACGTGAGAATTAGAAATCCGGACCTCTTTTCGATTTTCAAGAAGGTGAAATCTGAAATTCTCTGCGTCCAAAAGGGCAAGCACGCCAAATTTGTCAGTTCCACACTGTGGACTCAGTTTCCCGAGCGTCCAGGTGGACGCCAGGCACAGAGCGGGCCTGTGAATGCTGTAGCTTGCGCCCACGTGGAACGGCGTTGGGTTCTAAAAAGGTCATGGAGAGGAGACAATGGGGACAGGAACAGCCACCGAGAGGTGGGGCGAACATATCTCAACCTAGCCATGACGGATATCGGGATGGATGGACATGCATGTGGTAGTCATGGATGGATAATTCGGAAGCGTCCGCGGCTGCACTGCATCCCAATAATCCATGTGTAACGCACGCAAGCAATGTCGAGAAGCCCGAACTGGGCTAAGGTTGGACCTGCGGCGCATTTAACTCTTCCCAAACAAACCCGGTTTCCTCTGCACTAAGGTTCGAGGAGGGTACCTAACTGACTCCGGCGTGTTTCAGCTAATAATATATAGCTCCGGTCCCCCCGTTCCTCAACATCCTCCTTCCAATTCAAACACCATTGGATTCGTCATAATCTTTCCGGTCCGACAACCTCGAACTGGATCTGCATCGTAGGAGATATATCCTACTGTGCACCGACATTCCACACACCTTCCGACCTAGGTAACGTTGTGGCCTTCGTCACACACACCCTCTGTCGCCATGGGGGAAACCACCAAGACTAGCGGGAACAACAGCGCGTTCCACAACTTCGTAAGTTCTATCTAGTCCCATCATGCCCATCATGATACAGAAACTGGGATGCGAGGAGTTTGACGGTCCTCAATTGCTAATGCCCCTTTCCTACCTAGCACAACGACTTCTCTCATGTCAAGGACGTCAACGAGAGACGCCGTCTGGCCCTCGCGGAGGTTGACCGAGCTCCGTTCGGATGGTACCACGTGCGGGCCATCATCGTCGCAGGCGTCGGTTTCTTTACGGACTCTTACGACATCTTCACGGCCTCGCTGTTGACCATTATGCTGGGCATCGTCTTCTATCCCGGCGTCGGCCAGATGCCCACGTCCTCGGACACCGCCATCAAGCTCGCTACCTCGGCCGGCACGGTCATCGGCCAGCTTGGCTTTGGCGCGCTTGGCGATATCGTCGGCCGGAAGCGCATGTACGGTGTTGAGCTCATCGTCATCATCTTTGCTACTCTGGCGCAGGCTCTGACTTCATCGTCGCCCTCTATCGATGTCGTTGGTGCTATCATCTTCTGGCGTGTTATCATGGTATTTTTTATTCGTGTGCTTTGCCATGTGACTCTCATCGACATGACACTACGCTAACATCGCGTGAAAAGGGGATTGGTATTGGCGGTGACTACCCGCTTTCCAGTATCATCACGTCCGAGTTCGCCACTACCAAGTGGCGCGGTGCCATGATGGCTTCGGTGTTCGCCATGCAAGGTCTTGGTCAACTTGCGGCCGCCATTGTCATGCTCATCGCCACCGCCGGATTCAAGTCGTCTCTCGAGACGGCCCCGACGCTTGCGACCTGCACAGGGGGCTGCGCCCAGTCGGTCGATAAGATGTGGCGCCTGCTCATCGGATTCGGTGCCGTCCCAGGATGCATCGCTTTGTACTACCGCCTTACCATCCCGGAGACGCCCCGCTATACCTTCGATGTTGAGCTTGACGTCGAGAAGGCTGAGGGCGACGCGCAGGCCTATCTCAAGGGCAGCTCGGGTGCTTCGCCCGACGAACTGACCCGTGCGACCGCCCGCAAGGAGGCCGCTGAGCAGATGAAGGCCCCCCAGGCCAGCTGGAGTGACTTTTTCCGTCACTACTCTAAATTGAACAACGCCAAGCTCCTTACTGGGTAAGTACCCAATCCCTCGACCCCCCCTCCTAGGGAAATCCTAGAACTTATGTCCTGACTTAAACGTCGCCAGAACTGCCCTGTCGTGGTGCTTCCTTGATATCGCCTACTACGGCGTCTCGCTCAACAACGCCACCATCCTGGAGGTTATCGGTTACTCCACCAAGAACGCCCACAACACCTACGAGATCCTGTACAACACCGCGCTCGGCAACCTCATCATCGTCCTCGCCGGTGCTGTCCCCGGCTACTGGGTGACCGTCTTCACCGTCGACCGCTTCGGCCGCAAGCCGATCCAATTCATGGGCTTCGGCATCCTAACCGTTCTCTTCGTCATCATGGGATTCGGGTACTTCCACATCGGCTCCAACGGCCTGCTCGCCATCTTCGTCCTTGCCCAATTCTTTTTCAATTTTGGCCCCAACGCCACTACCTTCATCGTGCCCGGCGAGTGCTTCCCCACCCGCTACCGGTCCACCTCCCATGGCATCTCCGCCGCCATGGGTAAGATTGGATCGATCATCGGCCAGGGCGCCATTGCGCCCCTGCGCACCCGTGGTGGTACCAAGCTGAACCCCAACCCGTGGATGGACCATGTCTTGGAGATCTATGCGCTGTTCATGTTGCTTGGTGTTGGCACCACGTGCCTGATCAAGGAGACGAAGCGTAAGACGCTGGAGGAGCTGGCGGGTGAGGATGACGAGGAGGTGCAGGTGCAGGAGGGAGCGGGGAACATCGCTGCTGTTGAGAACACGACGGAGGCTGTGGCCGGTGGTGAGGAGACTGCGAAACACTAACTAAGGTGGGGGGAATAATAAGGATGAATAGTATTTGCTGTCTGTCTTCACAAGTTACACACTTGCTTTCAAGTTACACTAGAATGGAAAGTTAGTCGATGATGTTATCGTTAAGAATTTGTTTGCTTCTATAAAGGACAATTTACGCGCCTACCTTCTAGTTGCGTGTGTGTCTCAAGTTACGTTAGTATGGAAATTTAGTGGGTGATTTTACCATCAATAATTTTGCTTCTCTCGAGGATTAAGTTGTCACGCTGTAGCGATTAAGACCGGGGGAACTGCCGGGAAGAGAACCTGAATGATGTACCGTGCCTGTTATTTAGAAATAACTAGGAACTTTCGTGCTTTTATCACATACTAATTATTCGTAATCCCATCGTAATAGTGTAGGACAGTAAAGAAAAATGAGGAGAGATGCTAAAAGGACGTGACACTATATCATATTATAGGTTGTCCGTTTGTAGCTTGTGTATTTCCCGTGAGCTGGTACGATTCTTGCATTGACTTAGCACTTTATTCTCAGCACTTTATTCTCAGCACTTTATTCTCAATAATCACCACGTTAATTAAACCCTAACCTTGTACGTAAACTAAGCCAGGCAAACTAATACAAAATACCTACCTAATCAAGTCCACCCAACAAACTCTCAGTTCGATAACCACTATTACTACCACCAACCTCCCCAACCCCAACCCCTATCTTTCCCTTCCTCCCGCTCCCTCTCCTTCTCCTTCTCCTTCTCCTTTTCCTTCCCCCTTTTCATCCTCAAACTCACACTCCTACTCGCAATCCTCCTCACCCCACCACCACCGCTACCACCACCACCAGCACGCTTTCCCGCTCCCCCACCTTGACAATGATCCCCAACACCCTCCTCATCCTTCCCCTCTTTCCCCTCCACATAATTCTTATCCACTCTCAGCGGAAGCGGGTCCATCATGACCCCCGATCGCTGGGTGCCTGCAAGCGTAGTAGCAGACGATGACCAGGGCTGAAAGAAGGAGACCACCCGTTTTCTTCTACTGGTCGTGGTCTTGCTGTGTTGACGGTGGTCGTGGAGAGAGTGAGGGGGAGGGTGTGATAGAAGAGGAGAAACAGGGTTGCTGTCTCGTCGGAGTATCGTTCCTTGTGGTATCGTTTCTTTCAAGTCCTCTTTGGTAGGGATATTTCCCTGAACCCTTACCTCCTTGTCATCGCCCGCTCCATCCATGGTGGTTTCGTTGTATCTCCCGCCATCACCATCGTCCACACCACCGGCGTCCGTAGCCCGCTCCCGATCTCTATTTATGTCCTCGCTCGAACTGGGACTTGATTCCCCACGGGAGGCGGCCAATTCACGCTCAATTAGGTGACTCAAACTAGCCTGTCGTCGTGGGACAGGTAAGAAAGGCCCGGCTCTTTTTTTAATAGCAGGTTGTGGTGTAAGACCTTCGATGCTTAGCTCTTCGTCCTTTGTCTCGGTTTCGTCGTCTTGAGGGAGGGGCGGTTCTTCCTGATGATTACTACGGCGGACATGATTCTGTTTATCATGACGGTGACCCGGGAGGTCAAGGTTGTGCTGGTCAACCTCGTCGGTATCACTCTCATCTCCCCGCTTTGAGGCCATGCTCAACAGAGGCGGCGACCCAGTGATTCTATGGTTGACGAGCGCCTGCTTCGAGCGTATTACACGTTGCATCACAGCATGCGCATTATCAGGACCCCAGTGAGCCGCAATCACCTCTAGAAAGTGGCTACTTCCGGGTTCCGGCGACAACCGGGGCAGTGGTTGACACCACGGTGATGCTGCATTGTGCCGCTTGATCGTCCCTACAGCCGTGGTCTGAATGGTCGTTTTAATACCTGCGATGCCATCATCACACTCTGTCACCGGGCCCCCAACCGCACGTTGATTTTGACCCTGTCTCTGTTTTCGCATGGGTTGGTGAGGAAAGCCGGAGTGACGGTATGTGACGCGGACATGGAGATACTCGGTCACGATACCGCTGAGCTCGTGTTCGAGGTCCTCGATGAGCTCGTCTGACCGCTGACGAACGTGGGTCCGTTGTCGGTGACGGACCGCTCGTTCGAGGCGGATGTGGGCTACAACGAGTTGTCGAGATCCTAAGCGGAGCGCTCTGTATGAGATTACATAAGTGACTTTAGTGACGTGATGTTTTGTCTTTGGGGGAGCAATGGAAGAAACGCACTTGGGACATGATTTATCATCGAGCACCTCTATGATAGTGCTCCCACCGGCCGGTACCAGCTCTGTAAAGACATCATAGAGAAAACCATACTGCATGACATCTATTCAACCGTTAGAGCCATTTCATTCTTCCGTGCAACATAGGCGTCTCTTCACGACCTCATTTACGCCCACTCACCTGGTGTATACTCGCCCCCCATCACTGGACTCTGCACTCCCGCTGGGGCAAGCGCACGGCTCAACTGGGCAGACAACTCAACCGCGACCTAGACGGCTACCGTACCCTCGTCCACCGTTTCATGTTCAGGGATGAGAGCTATCCGGGGAACAAGAACACAAGACCCTGGAAGGTGTGGTGACACTCGGAGAGGACGCTGTCGATTCGCTCCCTGTCCGAGACGGACCGGTGTCTGCAAGGTCCTTGTTCTTGTTGTTCTTGGGTGGTCACCTGGCCCGGAAGGCCAGGGCGGGAAAGGTCCTTGGCGGCCGGAAACCTCGGGCGGCGAGTAGCGGGCGTCGTGCCCCGGGTTATGGGCGGTGGCTGTGGTGATAGTTCCGGCTAGTGACGTCCGGAGCGCGAGGCCCGCTCCTCTCTCCTGGGCGTCTCGACCCGCTGCGCCCGGGTCCGAGCTGGGTTGAGAATCCTGTGATAGATGACGGTCCGCCTGACGTGAGCTTGTCGTGCATAACGCAGAGGCAGATCGTCGCTGATGCGGTCGCTGTTGGCCGTGGGGGTACACGTACAGCGTCTTGGCTGACGTTGGCTGAACTGCTTCTGTGGCTTCCGTTTCTTCTGCTTCTCCCTCTAGTGGCTCTAGTGAGTTTAATGAGACAAAGTGTCAGCAGAACAAAGATGCATAAACGCGGCTTGGTATCTCTCCCCCTCCCTTCCCCCCAGGAATTGAGCCGACCAACCATCTGTTGTCTCCGGCCCGTCCCTGTCGTTGGCGGCTTGCGTGCGACCAACAACACCCATGGGAGCCTGCCCGGCCCACCCACACACACCCCGGTCCTCTCTCCTCTTTGGGACCGTCAGGGGTCTGTCGCCGCCGGGGGGTTCAAGTGGGCTGTCCGCCCTGCGTTTCCCTGACTCGTTTGTCTCACTTCCTGGGCTGTGATTCTCTTGGTTGTCTTGGTGTCCTTCGGTTTCTGGGGCGTCCCGGATGACCCGAAGAGGACAGCGACTGTCGTGGCTGGGTTGCTTCGCGATATGCAGTGGTTTCGGCACATCACGCCATGGTGAGCCGCTGGAGAGTTGGCGACCGTTTCGGACCGTGCGAAGTTGTGTCTCGGCACAGCTCGTCATATCGGCGGCAGCGAAGAAGTCGGATAAGGCGGTTTAACTAATTCCAAATCGGTCAACGAACGCCAGGCGAAGTTGGTCGGTAACCTGGAAAACGAAGAAAGAACCCTAGAAAAGCTAGTTTCCCAAAACTTAGAGTGTACAGAAGTGTGCGATGTTTGTTTGTCTGGACGGCGTCTTTTAGTATTCAACAGGTATCTACCGCTAACCATGTCAACGAGGTAATAACGAGGTGACGAAGAAATGTGCGATGCTCATATGGAACCCTCAAACATTTCGGTCCAAGCTTCAAGGATCTGCAACCCAATCCTGCTTGTCTCTTTTCGTTAACGTCGAGTAGAAAAACTTTGAGATGCCAAAAAACGGAGACCTTCTTCAGCCGAGGAAAGTACAATCCGCCGTTGGCAGCTCAGCCCGCACAAGTCAATAATCGGAAGGACCTGCCCGGGCTATTCGGCTTGTCGGCCAGGTTTCCTTTGCGCCCACACCTACCCGACCGCAAGTCCAGTACGCCTTCCTGCTGACTGCGTGACAGGCGCCTTCCTTCATGCAGCCGCGCCAAGCGTCCGAAGTAAGTTGGACTTTGCCCCTTCTATCTCGGCGTCGTCCATGCTGAGGAAGTTGATCTGCAGACAAGCAAACCGTTAGTTGATGGGATGAAAGAAAAACGTAACACGGGAAAGGACACCGGCACACCGGCACACAAGGGATAATAAGAGACCAGCGAGAAGGAACACAACGGCGGAACCTCAAGCCACAATGACGCACCACTTCATCCGCTGTCCCGGCATGCCCAAACAACACGCCCTCGGACAGGCTTGCCGCAACACCACGCTTGACCCGTTCCTCCCAAACCCCTTCCCAATTCCACTCGTTCGGACGCCGCGCCGTAGTCTCAGCCCCGGTCTGAATTCCACCACCCCCAGACCTTGTCGTCCCCGAAGCGGAAGCTCCCGCAGTAGCAGTGGGGGCCTTCCCAGGCTGATCCTCCGGCTCAGCCCCAGTCCCGCTTGGCGCGGACCCGGCACTAACCCTGGCCCCGGATTCAACCGCCGATGATGCCGATGCCGATCCGGATCCCGGCACGGGCAACGGCTTCCCGGTCCCCGCAGTCTGCTGCTGCCTCCGGTGCGTGCGCCAGGCATGCCACGCCCCCGGATTCCCCGCGGCCTCAAGCGGGACGGCGTCTAGCACATCTTCGTCGTCAAATGCGCTGCGAATGTACCGCAGGACCTCGTATGTCGACACCTCCTTGGGCCGGCCGGGCCGGGCATACCCGGGCATCGAGGCCGAGGAGGACGCCACGGATGCCGCGGCAGCTGAGGCAGCGGATGTTGCGGAAGCAGCTACAGACACTGGTGTAGTCCCGGTCGCCGTGGCGACTGGCCGTGTGGGCGTCCGCAGCATCATCTCTTCCTCGGCGTTTTCACTCCTCGTTACCGTCGACGAACCCCCCAGCCCCAGCCCCAGCCCCAACCCTACCCCTCTCTCCCCCCGCGCACTTCCACCACCACTCCCACTCCCACTCCCACCACCCACAGCCACACCACCACTACCACCCGAAGCACCACTCACAGCACGACCCCCTCTCCCAAACCACCCCGCAAACCCGTGCCGCAGACTGAACCCACCCGGCGGCAGCCGCTCCTCATCAAATGCGCTCGCCGTGCCGCCGTCCTGCACGTCGGTAGAGTACATGTACGTCGTCAGCGGGGTGAGCAGCGGGTGGAACATGTCGGTAGAAAACGTGACAAGCGGCGGCAGGGAAGGGTAGGTGTCTGGGAAGGAGATGTGGAAGCGGAGGATGGCGGGGGCATAGGGGCCTTGTAGTGTATTTGTTAGTGAGGGTGTATTTTTAGGATATCACCATCATGGAGAGTCGGGGGAGGAGAGAAGAGGTTGTCGTTACGCTGTGTAGTTACATACCCTTCCGCACAAACAATACACCCGACCATAGTGTCGGGTCGCCCTGTGTGAGGCTCACATAGATACCCTGCGGACACGCTTGTTTGAGGCCAGCACTGTTCAAACCCAACCGACCACATCGCATCACATCAGTATAATGTCCCATCAAGTTAATGGACGTGATAGGGTAACAAGATTTCAGACATACAACTCCGTGAGCAGGTGCTGTCGCTTGACGGATGACAAACTGCTTATTTTTGCCGATCCAGGCGGTGCCGACAACGACGACGACGACATTTTTTTTGGCGCTGGCAATTTGGGCAATTAAGGCCTGCTTGGGTTTGGATTGGGAATTATTCTGCGACCAGCGCTGCGTTAAAGGGGAAAAAGAGAGGGGGTGAGTAAAATGAGGATATAATTCAATGAGCTAGGAATTCAAATAAATTTTCGAGAACGGTCGCCTAGTAAATGAGAGGCTTATGTTGCAGTCGCGATAACTAGCATGAGTGAGTTGTTACAGAAATTCGAGTTCGCAACACCACAAGTGTTTGGGTTATGCAGGGAAGTTGAGGAACTCCGCCCAATCGAGGGTTAGGGTTGACTATGCATAATTAAGTCCCCCCAAACCTCCCACTCACCAAACCAGCAGGTAATGAAGTTCTGTTCCTGTTGTTCAGTTCCCACGCGACACCTTCCCAACCTTCTCGTCACCCGACCCGACTCCCAATCCGAATAATCTGAATCAAAAAGTCCCGCGCAGGGGTTCGGTATCAAACCAACAAAACGATCACCATGACCCAACAAAAAGATAGCCAAGCCCAGCACAAGGCTACGAATATGCCAAGCCGCCAACACCTGTCTCTTCCTTCGTCCCTTTCCCTGTCCCCCCCCTCTTGGCTCCCAGACCAACCACCAACCGGAGGAAACGGGAGTGGCTCATTTTCTCGACAAGGCTACATCCCGATATTGATGCAGTTCTACTAGTGTACAATTATGCGAATGGGAAAAAGGTCACACTAGGTTCCGCTGCAAGCTACTAATTACCTATGAGCATCCCGGCCCCTCCCGTCATCACATCTCACGCAAAGGTCAAAATTGTACGGCGCTAGGGGAATTTTCACATCCCCCACAAGTCTTCTTGTCTCACTCGCGGTGAGACCGCGGTCTCGCGAGTCCTCCCGGTTCCCCCACACCACGCATTTTTGTTTCCTCATGGGCCTGAACCCCCGTAACGATGCGTTGGTTCCCTTTTTTTGCCCACCTCGCCGGTCCATGAAGATCGTGACCCGGATTTCCGAGGTGGAAGAAACACACCATTGGATAGTCAGGTCCGGGGCAACGCCTCCGCGAACCCACGTTGTTTCCCATCCGGGCCGGGCGCATGAGACCTGAACCCCCCGGCAGCTTTGAAGCCAGCACACCCCTAGGTCGGACCCTTTTTGGGACTTGCCCCCCTCCTCGTCGCTTTGCACGCACTTCCCCCTTCTCGCGTCCCCTTCCAAACAACGGGCGAGTCCGTTCAAGTCACTCACTCGCTTGCCCATCCACTCACACGCCCTCTCCTCATTTCGACGCAAGGCGGCTCTCGATCTTGCTCCGCTCCTGGTCCTTGAGCTGCGCGAGCTCCTCCTTGGATGTGTCATACCGTGCGTTGACCTGGTTGAATGGATTCTCCGGGCTACGCTCAAACTCCTTCTTGATCTTCTCCTTCTTCTGGTTCAGCCGTAGGCCCGCACCGGTACCGTCCGATTCCATCTCGCCCAGCCGGCGCTCCTCAAATGCAGCGTACGCGGCCTTGAACCGACGCTCAGGGTGCCGGTCAATCTTGGTGGCGTCGGACTTGGACGTCAGCGAGAGGGCGTCCAGCGCGTTATCGATACCGGAGGCGTTGAGTGCTGACAAGCCCCCGCCATGGTCGTCGAGCTGCGACAAATCCAGGCCCCTGGTCTTCTTGACCGCCGCCTTCGAGTTTTTGGGCGCCGACCGACCCGGCGTGTTTTTCTCTTCCTCGGCGAGCAGAGCCTCGCGTTCGGCTTTCTTGCGCGCAGCCTCCGCCTTTTTCTCAGCTTCGGCTTCCCTGGAGAAGTGCGCAAAAAACCTGTCAGCACCCGTCGCCCAACATACGGTCGAGGAAATATTTGTGCCTCCTCCACTAGAAGGACAAACGAAACCATGTGCAGATCTAGTAAAACAACTGGGATCCCGGACGAAACGGTGGGGTCACATGAAAGCTGCATTCCCACAGACCCATTGTCCGCGCGTGGGACGTGGCATCTGCATTCAGGGTCCTGACGGGTATGCAAGCGAGGCACAAGCACCCGTCATCCCAACTCGGCTGGCGGCATTCAACACAGGGAAGGGTTCAAGGGTCTTCGCAAGGGTCTTCGAGAACCGGATGCTAGGCTATAGTCCCGACGGGAGACCGCAGCTCACTCAACCTTCCCGCTCCTTGGAGAGCAAACCACAGGACCAGAGAAAGGGGAAGGGAGCAAGCAAGCAGGGAGGCTTTAACAGGAAAGAGGGAAAACAGGCCTCTGAAAGTGGAAAAAATGCAAGTTGAAAAAGTGAAAGTAGAAAAACGGATGATGGGGGAAACGAACAGCAAGCAGTCAGGCTGCTTGGTGACAAACTCACTTTTTAGCGTTGCTCTTCGCTCCCTTATCCCACTTGCTCGATTCAAGCGCCTCACGCTCGGCATCAGCAGCCGCAACCTTCTTGGAAGCAGCCTCGGCCTTGCGAGCCTGGCCCGCCGCCTTCTTGCTATTGCCCTCGGCCCCGCCCTTCTTCGCCATAGTGAAGGTGCTTGTTTCCGATTCGGAGGCGATGAATGTCGAGGGAGGAGGCTTTCCCCGTTCGTCTGCGTGCGTGGGCGTCTATTTTTGGCGTCAACGTCGATCTGCGCGTTCGCCTGTCGTCGGTATGTCTGTTAGCGGCCACAGGATTGATGCTGGAACCGTTTTCGGATGTGGTAGTGATGAGACCGGTGATGTTGGGATGCCAGGTCGGCTGGTAACTTTCTTGGGGAGTTTCCACGTTAGTGGGGTAAGGGAAACGTTCAATTGTGTCACGCTTGGAGGGGAAACCGTTCGCGGGGTTCGGGTGCCTGAACCCGCTGCGAGTGGGGCGGCGCGAAGGAAGGAACAAGGCTCCCAATAGTGTACATATCACGGGTGTGACCCGGCTTGCATCGACCCATGACGAAGCGGGCTCATGTCTTTGAACACGAGTCCTTTGACCTTCAATTAGACCTTTCATAACTTTTGAACCGTAACTTCCTCGATTAGGACCGCCGTCGGTACGATCAGGTGTGGTTTTGTTCCACGCTTCGTCATTACCCCGACGGAGCGTTCTCAGTTTGCTTCATCCTTGCGAGATGTTCGTCCCCAAAGTTCCTGAGTATGTGAAATACTTTCACCTATCAGTGCCGACAAATAGGCCACTCACCCTGTTCCCTCCGTTACTCACAATCGGGGAAAGACTTCACACTCTGTTCCTCGAGAAACACTCCTCCACTCACCGGACTGGACACGCCAATGCAGAACTCTTGAGTGTAAGCATGAAGCGCCATCTCCAAGACATCCCCGGACGCCGACTGGCTAGTCCGATGGACGTCCCTCGCTTGATACTCCCCGTATCATGCAAGGTTGTTGAGGCCCTGTCCGGGCTGAATGAGATCAACCCAGAGTCGCCGGGGCCCTAGCATGTCGAGCGCTAGAAACCGTTGCGCGCAGCCCACGGTATGTTGCTTACTGGGCGCTACGCTAGCCAGATCAGCCCGGTGGTATTAACGCCCACTGGGCTGTCCATTCTCGGCCCATCGTGACGGCCCCCAAACCCTGGCCACTCGAACTCGCGGTGCAAAGTCCCGCGGTCCAGATCAGAGGCGGCCTAGAACTCAGTCACCGAAAACGTCAGGTGCAAGCGAAGGCGAGGAGACCGTTGATGTCGGACATATTGGTCCGGGGGTCGGGGGGCCAGGGGGGCAGCGCGTCTTGGAGGATGAGACCGTGTAAGAGCTGCACCATGGCTGGGTCCCGGCGTCGTTTCTGCGCCCCCCGTGTCTGTTGGGCCGAGTTGGTAGATCCTCATTGCCCTTCAAGAGTTAGCGGATTATTTCCTTGATTGGGGGTAGTTCCTCTACCCAGCTTGGATTTTTTGGAGTCTTTTTCTTCTGCTTTGTATCGCCCGTCTCAAAATTCCGATACCGCCATTGTTGACCCAAGTAAACCGTTGGCCGAGATTCAACTTATTCAGTTTGGTAACTGACAAATCCAAGCCTCCACCGAACAGACCATTTTCTAAGGATACACGGATGTTAGAATTATGCCTGCGAGGCCAGAAACAGCGGGTCTTGGACGGCATAGCCAAGATCTTAATCCCTTAGGCCACGATGGTGTATGTAAGTGCATTCAATCCTCGAGGCCCGTGAGCTTATGCATATTCTTCGAGGAGCTATGCGTTGTAGCAGCGTCCTGTTGTCAAATTAAAGTCAGCGTTGGTAGCGTTGGTAGTGAGGGCGACGCCCAAGCGGCTGTGGGTGATTGTGCAAGAAAGTGGGTATACCCTAAGATAACGCCTGACCGCCCAACGCTCAAGGTTTGGGCCGAGCCAACCCATACCAATCCGCAAATTGGTGGTTTCGCCAATGATTTCATGACGGCCAGTGGCACACTCCATGATCAGGCACACCGTAAGGGATATGCTCGTGCCGACATGTGTCGGCCCTCCACCGGAAGCTTTGTTAGTACCGCGTTTGTTAACATGGCGCGGGTTGGTATATTGCTCGCTGCAGCCCGAAAAGTCATGTGGGCCATGTGAGCTCGATGCCTTCATGCAGGAGAACACGGTTTAGGCAAGTTCGTGAGCGGGCTGAACAACGGCCAAGGTGCTGTTTGTCCTACGCTAGGGGAGCGCATCGGACTGTGATAGGTACTGGGCTGCCACGGAGTCTGTGAAAGATGCCGATGTTGAGTCATGCAACTGCATGCTGGGCCCATTCCAAAGGTTCCCCTCCGTTGCGCGCTGGAGTTGCAGACCGGTCAAGTCGTTGGTTCCGTGCATGGGAAAAAAAAAACTCGGTTGTTTCCAATCGGGACAGTGAAGGATCGTCATCAAGCGAGCCTCGTGAAGTCCTGTTGGTGAACCACCGCGGTGTGTCATTCCCAAGAGAGCGTGCTGCTTCTGTTCAGCCGGGGTTGAGCTGTATGTGCCTCTTTTCTGCATGTCTAGCCGGGCTCTCGGTAGGGAAGGACGCCGCACGGGACTTTAAGACCGGTACGGATACCCCAAGCCTCTGTCTCAAAACCTCACCGGCTGGTGCCCGCGTCCTTGAGTTAGAGCTGTACGGATCGACCATCCTCACCCGTCACGGCCGAATGGAAGCAAAGACGGAGCAAACGGCACAGCCCAGCCTGGCCCAACCGACCGTTGAAGAGGCAAGGATGATGCGGTTGGGCGACGGCGGGCTGTTGGTTCTGTCTTTCCTGTAAGTCGGAGACAATGTCGTATGCGGAGATGAAGGCTCGGACCGACCGCCCGAGCCATCAGCCGGAAAGCGAGCCGTGGGGGCCAAGACTAAATCAGCTACTTGAAAAGAGAATCAGTCATCGATCTAAACACGCAAACGATATCGTGATAATACCTACTGCTATAGCGAGAGAGAATCTAATCCAAGATGAACTTAATCGTAGTTGTATGTACGGAGAAGATAAGGTAATTACAAAAAGAATAAGTAACCGAGAAAATAACCCTCCGAGTCTCTGGTACCGTAAACGTGAGATGGTGTAAACGTGAGATGGGAGGCGGAAGTGCAAGTCAACGCCCTGGGGAAAACACTCCAACTCCTCGGGGAGGATGGATCAATGCGCGGGCCGGGTGATGGGAATTGTGAGGCTGTTCCTTCCGTGTTGAGCACCCCACCATCTCCGGCTGGAAATTGGGCATTGCGCCAAGATGGAACCTGGCGTTGTGCATGGAATAGATCGAAGGAAAGGACCAGTCGTCTTGTAATACTGCAGGTGCAACCCAGTCTATCTAAAAACTGCAGCATTGCGCCCATACCAACGCTGAATTGCCGTCCGATCCGGAAGCCTGGGTTTGCAGATACACTAAGTTTTGATTGAGTGAGGTCAAAACAACCGAAATAGAAATCGGGCATGACGTCTTGGTTCACGTCCCCGTCGCGTGGCATCAAAAACGGAGCGTTTTGGTGCGCCGTTTGTCCCGCGTTTGCTGCCCACGCAGCCCCGCGGGGGTCCCAAGCTTACTCCATCGCACAAATTTTGCGCCGAACTCGCCTGCTTGGATGAAGTGATAAAATTCCTTCGCTCCCTTCCCCCCCACTGGACGCAAAGGTCTAGTAATATCCTTTGCCTACACCACTGGACGTCTGGTTTTCGAGGCATGATCTCTCTTTAAACACAGTGTTCGACGCGGGCAAGGAACCCAATTTTGTTGCAGCTTGCTCCAGCCACCGTCGCCAGCTGGCCCGGGACTACGGAACCGAGGCCGTTCACCACCCACTGTGCGGGGGTTTCATTGGGGCCGCCAAGCTTTTGGCGCCCCCCGCGGCCCAGCCATTTGGGAAACAGGGGATGATGAATTCGATGAAACTTTTCCGGCGTGCTTGCCGCCGGCAAAGCTGGACAATCCTACACTACCATAGTGACGACGCAAGAGCGGACGTGGAGTGTATTTGCATACATCGATAACGTTACACCCCATGCGCAATGTCGATACATGTTGGACAGACGGCGTTGACGTACAGAGTACACTACTATGTACATACATGTACACGCGTCTCACGAGCGGTCAGGTTGAGCATCTGCAGGTCGTTACCAGTATGGTTCCCAGCAACCGTTACGTCGGTCGGCCTTTGGGCCCCGGCCGGTGCGCTGATCTGGCGATGTGGCGTCCACGGTTCAAGGCCAGATGTGATTGATAACCAGGGCGGCCTGGCTATGAAGCTGCCACGCTCGGATTGACGCCCAGTCTCACCTCCAAGTCAAGCCCCCACATCCATCCCGGAAGGGAGCTCAGGAAGCAGCTGGAGCGCGGTTCATCCCAAGTGCGTGGCTCCCGCAGTTGCGCATGCACACCGCCACGACCTTGCCTCGCTTGCTCATGTCATCAGCTAAGCAAGGACTGGGCTCCGGTGAAAGGAAATGCCCCGTTTAACACGAGAAGTGGCGGCTTGAAAAAAACCGTCAACTGGCAAAACGAACTTGAGCGTATTTTTATCCGCGCGCATCTGGCTTAGCTTGTCTCTCAACAAGGGCCAGGATGAGGCTGTCGAGCGCACGCAAGCTAGCGAGTTTCCGGCAAGCCGCGATTATCGCCACCACTATCACGACAGTCCATGCAGCGACGTGGTTCACGATCGCATTGACCGCTCGCTGGTAATCAATCGGATCATCCGCCATCAAGCCCGGCGGATCTATCTCGGTCGAGCTTCCTCTCCGCGATGAGATGAGGGGTTTCCCAGGCGTGCTCGCATCTCGGCTCATGGGATGGACCTTGTCGGGACCTGGTCTTGAGCTCCACTCAGCGACTTGGGACTGCAACCCCCCCCCCCCACAAACCACCTCGAGCTAGGTGCTAGGGTGTCAGTAGCCAGGAGGAGTAGTGGAGTGTACCGTTCGTCCTAAGTATGCATAAATTGGTTGAAACAAACAAAAGAAAAAAAGAAACAAAAGATAGGGAGAAAAAGAAAAGAAAAGGGGATACCACCTGTTCGGATTCGCCCCGAAGTCGAGCCCTGGTTTCTCCTTTTTTTCGTACCTACAGGCGTCCA